TTGATATAGCTGTTGGTGATATAGACAAACTAAAATAGAAAAATAGATTTTAATTTAGAAAGCTTTGAAGGAACATAGAAAGATGTATAAAGAAATATGTTTTTGTGTTGTTCTGTTGTTTGATTTAGTTTTATTTGAATACACATTGTATTATCTACTGTTTACTCATTTTTATTTTGTTATGTCTGATTGTACATTACTTTGGTTGACTTAAGTTGTTTTTAAATGTGCTTTATATATAAATATGGATTAGAACGTATCGTATATATGGGCGTAGATAAAGAGACAAACATTCACAGATTCATAAAGAATCATGTGTAGTACAAAAAGAATACTACAAACACTGAACAAAGTAATGCATTTGAGAACAAAATCACCCTTTTATCACTTTAAAACCAAACTTTTGGCATTTGATAACTCCATTAACCCTATAATACCTGAAACCACAAATTACGCCCAGAAAACTCAATTTTCAGTTTATTTCACTAACTACTGAAAAGCAAAAAAATCAAAATGTCCTTAAAATTTTACAAATATATTTATTTATCTTGTTTGATACAGCACAAAAGGACATTTTTATCATTTATCGAACTGTATTAAGGTGTTTTTTAAGTAATTTGTTGTTTATATTGATTGATAAATGTATTTTAAAAGTATGTATCAAATATGATACAAAAGGCAATAAAGGGTTAAACCAATAAAAACAGAAATGCATTTAACCAGAACTTTTGTATTAGATACCATTAGATTGGAATAGTGCACCAAATAAAGCTACATATACAAATTATATGCATTTTTAACATCAATAATGGTCTTTTTAATCTGTGGCTCATTAGATTACAATGCTAACCTGATTTTTAATTTTAGGATATTATGAGGAAAAAAAGTAAAAGGCATCCAAAAAGGAAACAAATCGATAACTTTTGTACATAAATGAGAGACTTTTTCATATTTCACATTCTCCAGGTATCATTGGGATGTCTTTGCTTGAATTAGACCCAGAAAGGTTCAATCAAACTAACAGTAAAGATTACCTTTACATATCAAAAAGACAAAACAACAATTTTAAACAAACAATTATTGATACCAGCCAAGCCTGCTTACAAGCCCGAGCAGTGCTTGCGTATGTGAGGCACCTGCTTCAATGAGAGTTGAGCTCTAAATGAGATTGATATTGAAGCTTGGAGATGCTAATAAGCCTGACGCGGGTGAGTGATCCAAGAAAGCTTTGATCAAAGGGTACAGGCCTCGTGCCTTAAGTCACACGTACACAACCGTTGATTGGGATTAGCTCTGCGCTTTTCAGCTATGCAGCAGATTAACACACTCTTACTGGGTTAAGGTGTCGAAAGTGTGACAGGAAGTGCGACAAACAGGAACTGGAGCTGTAAGCTGTGATAGGTTAGGAAGGAATATTACATGACTGATCATGAATTTCCTGCACCAGATGAGCCTAAATCAATAGATATAGAAACAGAACATAAAAGACTGCATGGTTTTTATGATAAGGTATAAAAATTGTCTTAAAAATGCAATGGTTTCTGAAAGATGTTTCTTTTCAATGTAATGAAAATTAACTCTTGAACTTGTATGCAAAGGTTTTTTCTTATGTGACCGTTCTTGCGGAGATTAACCATCAAAATGCATGAACAACAAAGCTGAATAAATATTTTACAATTACAGTTTTATGCTTATATTTCTTATGGTAATGAATGTCAAGCAATAAGGCAAATTTTTGAGTCTTAAAATATAACAAAAGGTAAGTTACATTATTTCTTTGAATGTCTGCATGGCAGGCATGCAAATACAATGAGGATGAAACAGATCATGATTTAATATGAATAGCAATGGTGGAGGAATGAAGTGGAGGACATTTTGCAACAGGACCTTTGATTACCTTACCTTTCTTTGCAGAGGTAAGTTAGTGTGCAGCTTTTACACTGAACTGTTGCACTATGTCCTTTGTTTAAGGTAATTTGCATGTCTTTTTGTTATTTCTGTACCTGCACTCTTAAAATCCCTGTATTTGCATCTAGTAGCTCTTTGCAGATCAACATCAGCTTTTGGTCCTTTGTTCCTATCAAATAAACATTTTACATTTGGAGTACATTTAAGTTAAAAAAAAAAAAAAGTACTGTAGCACTCCTGAGTGGAAACTGAAGGTTAAATTAGGGTAAGCTTTGTGCTACAGTTTCGTATTATGTCACCTTATTGCTATGTGCTGCAGTGAGATTAACACAGAAAAGGCGAAGACTTTCTCTCAGGCCTGCTGTCACAGTGTTTCCTGGCATACCTGCACCGTTTCTAATCTCTGCTGCAGGAGAGACCCAGACAGCCAGACGCTCATGTACACCCAGGGATTAAGGGTCTAATGCTTCCTCTCCTTTCCCTGTGAAATCTTCAACACCCCTAGACCAGATATTAATGCATATTCAAGACTACATACAGGAAGAAAAAAACACCTGCAGAAATAGATTTTTGTGTAAAAATAATTGGTCTTGTTCGTTTCTCCTTTAATATTTCTAAAACATCAGATGTGCTCAATAAAACAGATATAATAGGAATCAAATTATTATTTGACTGTTATATTTAAAAAGAAAATAGTAATATTTACAATATTCTAAGAAGATGTGAGATTTGGGTCACATACATGGTACTGTATGTCTAACATGGCATGTGTAGTGCCCCCTAGAGGTTAATTTTATACTGCTCAACAGATACTGATATCAGCACATGAAGCAGCACTGTGTGGGGCTCATACATTACCAGTTCATCAGGTACAAGCGTGGAAATACCAAAGCATCCTAACTAAGACAACTTGAAATCTATTAGTCTCCATTGAGGTTAGACCTTATTTGTTGCTGAAGCTGTTTTCAGAGATAGTGATTCAACTTCAGCAGCAAATAAAGACCATGAGGCAGTCAAATTTACCTTTTTAATATTTTTTTCTGAGGGTATCAGGTCCCTTCAGTCATTGTTTCTTTTTTTCTGCTTTTTTATTAAAATCAAATCTGAAATAGGATATAATTTACAGAATACATAACAACAGAGGATAATATAAGTGGTGTAATATGATGTTAAGGCCGTGAAGCTTTTAAGGATGTCAAACCTTTCTTGGTAAACATACAAATGGAAAACATGTTAGGAGAAATCCTTTATCTGCAGCTTTAAAAAGACACATCTATGAGCCCTCTATCACCATTACAGCTGTTCCCTAAATTTAAAATGTCAAATGTTCACCATGAACTCTACTCCTAGAGCATCCTCTGGTGGTCAGTTTTATACACTGCTCAACACAGTTCAACCTGCAAAAAAAAAAAAAAAAAGCCAGCTCTTTGTCCAGATATGAGGCTGTTTACCACACAGGAACAAAAAAAGAGACAAAACATACCTAAAAAATGCAAAACTGTAAATCTGAATGAGTTAACAGTATTTGCAAAGTGTGTAAAATGAAAATATGTAACTGCTGGGAAGTGATGACAAGACTTGGTAAATAATGTAACAGCCATGAACAAATGTAGTTTTAGAATAAAGCCACATAAAAAAATAAAAAATAAATCAGTGGGATTGGGAATGACATGTTTGTTATTCCAATTTGGAGCTTTAAATTGTTGTTTAAAATGAAACCCTCCATCTCAACAAGATAACCTGTATTAATAAAGGTCTAAGAATAATAATTAGGATTAAAGTAAAGATGCAAATAAAGCTTGATATAGTATTGACAGGTAAAAAGTGATTAATTATAATCATAATTAATTATTTTATCAATCATATATAATTATTATAATTTATTAAATCATTAAAAAAAAAAACATTCCCTTCAGGCCTCTCCTGTATTTGAACAATGTATTTGCTCAACCAGCAGATGTCAGAATACAACCTTTCACAATTCAGTTGTCAGATCTTGTTTTTTTTTTTTTTTTTAGCACAGTACTGTGAGTCAGTGACAGTTTTGTTGAATTTGATGTTAAACAACACGGTAACTTAAACATGCAGTATTTTCTGTAACTAATGGGCTGAGGTCAGAGACCACTTTACAGCAGAAACAGCAGATTCTAAAGCGAGACATCTAAGTGAGACACGTATGGCACCACCTGGTGGACAGATTTGTATTGAAGTTCATAAAGATAAAAGGGGTTTGAATATGTATGTATGTATGTAGTGAGACAGCAGGAAATTTAAGGGGAAAAAAACTCAAGCTGTATAAAATGTATATTTTTTTATAGATGTTTTGAAATAAAGCAAAATATAGAATTGGAAAAATGTTATCTTGAAGTTTATTTAAAAAAAAAAAAAAGTATAATATTTTCCCCTATTTTCAGCTCACATTCTTTTCAGCCAACAGGTGGGACTGGAATCACTGTTATTCAAAACGTTTCCCCCTCTGTGTCAAATATACCTGCTGAATCACAGTTCCTTATGATGACGGCGCGAGAGAACCGCTTTGGTATTTTCATAAACGGACAAGATGGCAGCTTCTGCCCCCGAAAGGTCCATCAACTCTGCTTTAGAGACTGTTTTAAATGAACTGGATGATGTAGTTTCATTAAAACATGAACAAACTACAGCACATACAGCACCTCTGGTGACACCCAGTCCTGCAAACAAAGCAGGACTTTTGGCAAATTGTCTGGTAATAGAAATGATATAAGCTGAAGTTACATAAGCACTCTTTGAAAATAACATTTTTAGAACGACTTTCAAAATATTCTTTACATTTACAAAAATATATCTCCAGGTTGTGAACACAAGAGTGTTATATGTACATTTTATTTACATTCGAACCATGGGGGATTAAATTACTGTACTAATAAATGCTGCTTGATATGTGGGATGAGTATTTTAAAGGAATACCCATACACAATTTACCAGTATTTACTTTTCTTAACTAACAGGTAGAACTGCACAGGGTCTGGTATCCTGATAGTGATGAGTTCATCTCAGTCCGTTTCTTTTTTCAGTGTTTCAGTAAAAGATCCATGGTTTCTGTTTTTCTCTGTTTAAATGATGACTCTATGAGCTATGTCACCTCTGGCATCAGGACCGTCTATCGGACGCAGTGAGTACAGGTCAGTAAAAGTCTGAAAGGCGGCCTGGTTTGATGTCTTCCTTAATGTTGCAGAGGGTAAGTCCTTTGCTGGAGTGCACAGAACTTTCAGTCTCTGTGGAGAAAGTGTAAACTTAGTTTACTACTAAAAGAGCAACTCTGCAGAGCTACGATTTCTTTCCCTTTCTTTCCCAATAACTACCTCAATCGGGGCTGACTGAGTCTTTAAACTGAAAACTTTGATTGTGTTACAACACTTCATGCTGTACTTAGTTTCACTCTAATTTTCTGTGAGTGTTTGACATTTTTTTCTCCAGTAAGAGCCTTCAGCAACTTTTATCACAATGGATCAAAACAGCACCAGCTCGTTTATCTGGAAAGACCTGAACCAGGACTTAAGGTATGAGGTATGACTCTTGTCCATCATAGAGGAAGAGGAAAGGAAGGAAGGAAGGAAGGAAGGAAGGAAGGAAGGAAGGAAGGATGAAGGATAGAGGGAAGGGTGAATAAATAGATGGTTGGAAGGGAAGAAGGAAGAAAGGAAGGGTAGATGGTAATAAGGGAGGAAGAAAAGAGGTGGATAAAGGGACAAAAAAAGGAAAGGATGGATAGAAAAAAGAAAGGAAGGAGGCTTGGATGGATAGATGACTAGAAAGAAGGAAAAGAGGACAGAAGAAAGGAAGGAAGGAAGGATGTAAAGACAGGTGGATAAGAACGGAAGAAAGGAATGAAAGATAGAAGCAAGGATGGATGGAAAGGAAAGGAAGGAAGGAAGGAAGGAAGGAAGGGAAAATGAAAGAAAGAAAAGAAGGAAGGAGGGAAGGATGAAAGAAAAAAGGAATAAAGGCAGGATTGAAGGGTAGATGAGAGAAAGGTGGAAGGAAGCATGAATGGAAAATAGGAAGGATAGATGGGTGGAAGGAGGATAGGAAGGTTGGAAGGATGAAAGGAGGGATGGTGGATGGAAGGAAGGAGGGACAGAAGATGGGAAAGGTGGATGGATAGCAGAAAGGAGGGAAGGCAAATAGCAAGGGTGGAAGGATGGAGGGAAGAAATATAGGAAGGAAGTATGGATGGAAGGAAGGCAGATAGGAAGGGTGGATGAATGGGAGGAAGGGAGAGGGAAGATGGGAGATATGAATGGATGGAAGGATGATAGGAAGGAAGGAAGGATAGATGGAAGGATGGCTTGATGTGACGGTACCTGTCTTAGTGTTCCTGGGGTGACGCACACAGCATACAGCATCCACAGAGGAACCAGAAGTGTGGATGAGAGAGTGAAGAACCCTCCGATGGTGTAACCCCACCACGGGTACTCATAGGTGTTGTTGAATTTGAGGGGAGTATATTTGACCAAGGAGAAGAGAAATGTGCCCTGTGAGAGAAAGAATAGAAACAATTAAGACATGACATAAAGACAATTGTCAAAATTTATCAAATGGCGCAGGTGTGTCATTCATATTTTGGCTTCACTTTTGTCTGTCCATGTCAATCATCTCCCTTTTTTCTGTATGATAAATGTATTCAGTGTGTCGTTTTGCTTGATGGTCACCAAAATTAAACAATACATATTTATAAACCTTAGATCATCATTTCAATAAACTCCTAAAGTAACGGAGCAATGATGGCTGACTATTCAATGAACTCTATTTTGTTCTGCTTGAATGCTTTCTGGAAACCCATCAGTAGTGCTAGTTTTCATCTGGTTGATGGTTGAGACATCAACTATCTTTAGGACAAAAGCTTCTGGCAGCTGTCACACACACTCACTTCCTGTTCCTGCCTCTAACAAAGATACAGGCAGATGTGAAAATATTCAGATACTTACAGTGCAGATAGCTGGTGTGAAGTACTGCCAACAGTATTTCATATAAGGCCAAGGCCGATACCCAATCATGTCAGTGATGTTATCATAATGACGATCAGCACCTAAAAGTAAGAACTGTTAGTTAAATCAGCATGGTGTATTTTTTCATATGCACAGTTTGTGATACTTCAACCTCCTGTGGGGAACTTTTAGTTTGTGTCGACTTTGGCGCCCCCTGTGGTCAAAGCAGTCTCTGCTTTTCTTACCCTTTTGATGTTTGGATCATGTCTTTTGGCAAAAAAAATCTTATCTTGCTGACTTTTGACATTCAAATGAATCATTTGCATACTTTATGAGGAAAACAGGGCTGTCTCTTCAGCTGCTTGGCTGACACCTACCCCCATGCACTCATTTCAGTTTACCACAGGTGTCACTGAAGAGGATCAAGATCTTACTGAATTTATCTTTATATTTTAGAGGCAAACCAATATATACTTAAAATTAGGGGTGTCCCAATACAACTTTCTTTTACTTCCGATACGATACCAATATTGTAGTCTTCAGTATTGGCCCATACCAATATTGACCCGATATTAGGACAAACTTGTTCTTGACAAGATTTGCACTTAGCTGCAACGTCTTTTTCAGACTTTAACGAAAAATATTTCCACATGGCCAACATCACTCCTTCTCTTTGCTACTTTGTTAGTACCTTAGTACACACTGTTGTTATGTTGCTGGATAGAGGTGGAGCTGGAGTGGAGTCTGGAATGGACTAGTGCTGATTTTAGAGATTTTAGATGCAGACCAATACAACCCATTATTTGTTATCAATACCTGATTGGGACACCCCTACTTACAATCATCATTTATCAATACAGTCATTTTAAGATATCCGGTGTGTTGGATAATTTATTCTGAAAATAAAGGGCTTTTGACTCCTTAAAATGAAGCAAAATCTATCTGTAACACTTAACACATATCTATAATGAAGTTACATTACATATATTGCTTTGCCACTTTCGTTAATGAAGAATAATTTAACCCTCTGGTTCTATTTTGTCTGATCAAAAGTTTGACTTACCATAGACCCATCCAACACAAACAGACTGAAGAACAGCAAAAAGCAGCAGTGTCATCCCACTGCAGGCGTAGTAGTCAAACAGTTGGAAAATATAAAGGCCTCCCTGAAAATAAGAAGCAACAGATGTTGTCAGGGATGATTTTACTGTATGATCCACACAATGTTTGTCCTAAATACACAAAGGAGTCATAAATGGAAGAAATCTATGTCAACAAGCTTTCACCACTTACCTCTGTAACCATCAGAAGGCCAACCAAGAAACTCACCACAGAAATAGCAAGAAGGAGGAGTTTACGATAGCATTGTTTTCGAAAAAAGTCGGGATACATGTCGGAGATGGTGGTGACCAACGCCTCCTGATACACAAACTGAAACGAGAAGAGATGTTCAGTATAAACAGAAATAACTCGCTCAAGGTGTCTGAGTATTTTCTTTAATGTTCACATCAGCCTTCATAGCCATCCCCACCTCGCTGTCTAATCCTAAAAAGATGATCATTATAAAGAAAGAAACAGCCCAGAGCTGAGGAAGCGGCATCAGAGCCACCGCACGAGGATACGCAATGAATGCCAACCCAGGACCTGCAAAGGAACATGGGAAAGTTGTTAAAATATCAAACAATTCAAACAGTATCACTCTGTGTTTCTTTATCAAGCTTTCATACCTGATTCAGCCACCATGGAGATATCCACACCTTGCTCTTTGGCCATAAAACCAAGCACAGAGAAGATGGCGAAACCAGCGACAAAGCTGGTTAAACTGTTCAGCAGGCACAGGTACACGCAGTCTCTGTGAGAGAAAAATGGGTTAATTCGTCTTTGGTGCTGTAACCTGAACTACAAAGAGTACTCTGATCAAATAACAAACCTGTAGCAGTTGTTGTTGTATTTGTTGTAACTTCCCAGAGATGTCAGAACGCCTGTACAAACTCCATAGGAGTAAAAAATCTGGCTGCCAGCATCCATCCACACCTGCATGGTTTCAATGAGTTTGGGTTTTTAACAAGTCAAGTGGACTGTTTATTTGTATATTTGTTGATTCTATCAAGGAGACAATTATTTGTTAGTTTACATACTAACCTGCAAAATTATAACTTCTGCAATTTTTTACCCACAAAGTTTTTTGTTTCCCTTTCATCCCTGTAAAACAATCCCTACCTCTAAAAAAAATTAAGCTTAAAGTTCCTCTTAGTTCAGGAAAACAAACTCAATCGCACAAGTAGGTGATGGATAAATTGGTGCCAATAAACAAATTAGGATACACTCAAACACACAAACTGACATGTAAGTTTGTGTAGCCTGGCTTTGGGTTGGTTTGTTCGCATGTTCAGACACTAACAGCACTTAGTGAGACTTGGTAAAGTGTTACCTCTGGATCAGCAAGGCGGGACGGGTCTGGGGAGAGGTAGAACATAATTCCATCTTTGGCACCTGGTAACGTCAGACCACGAACAAGCAGCACCACCAGCATTACATACGGAAATGTGGCAGTGAAGTAGACAACCTAAAGAGGAATCACCAGAAAATTTTACAATCAATATCCATGTTTATATGTGCAAAATTTCTTGATCCGATTAAAAATTTGAGGGATCGGATAATTTGAATCCGCTGTTTATATGGGCGCAATATCAAATTATCCGATCATGAGGTGTACATGTGCCAAGATTAATTCAGATTAGAAGCATTTAGACTCACGCAGAGTTGTCTGATTTCGCTAAAACAACCACAGAAGAAGAGTTGTATTTACGCCCGTGCTGTCAACAAACCAACAAACGCGGTAGTGGCTGACTCCATCCAATTCAGGGGTGTTTAATAGTGTCCCTAGATGGCGCCCTTGCGTACTTATTTTACTGTTCTGTCAAGGGTTGCACTATGCGTGCAGATGTGACATCATTACGCCGTATGCACGCCTTGTTATGTTACAGGAGGGGCAGACATGGCGCTCGCGGTTGTGTTTTATGCCAGAATGTTAATTATAAAACCTCCTGTACTGGCCTCCATAAATAGGCCAAAGAGTGAAGATCGAGTCAGGTAAGAGAGTCACGATCGGAATAAGTGTTTACATGGACGCGTTTCGGAATAACGATCGGCATAAACCACCCCTCTTGATCAGAATACAATTTCTTTCCGATTGAGTCGAATTGGATCAGAATCTTCCGATCGACATGTTTACATGACGCATTAAACGCAGCTAGTGATGGAGCAAGGTCTGTAAGAAATCCCCGTTACTGATTAAAATGCAGATTTTCTGCACCTTTCCTGTAGACTTCACTCCATTCCAGACACAAAAGTAACACAGTATCCAAGCAAGCAGCAGACAAAGAGCCAGGTCCCAGCGAATATTTCCGATTTCGTCAATGCCACTGGACAGACCCAAGACTCTCCTCCTGTAACAAAGAGAGTTTAAGAATAACAAAACCAAAAACACAGCCCTAATATGATTATTCATGTATCTCACTTACTCCCAGAACTCTACCACTGAAGATGTGCTGTTCCCATACAGCTGCAGAGGTGATGTTTGATTGTGACCATGCTCAAAGCAGCCATCTGATATAAAAGAACAGCAGAAGTTATGAAAAACTGATGATCACAGTTTGTTGCAGTGTTTTGTGTAGAGACTGAATTGTAAAATCTTGTACCTGTGTTCCAGCTGTTCTGACAGCTGGCCCATGGTAGTTCAGAGCTGAAGGAGGAAAACAGGTAGAGAAATGTCCACGCCAATATGATTATATAATACACTCCAGTGTATAAAACAACCACTTGGCTTCCATAACCTAAGCCTGTAGGGACATGAAAATGTTGTATCGTTTAACTACATCAGTGTTTGGTAAGAAAGGTGACTTTTAAAATCAAACTGACCAATAAAGTAATGATCAAGTGTGAACTTAATGGTAGAAAATTTATAATTAAATTGATATCTAGCAGGGGTCTCTTTCTCTGTCTTTCCTTCTCTCTTAATAAAACAGGGGAGTGAGGGGAGGCAGAGCGTACAGCCATCCATTCACTCTTTATTCTCTCTTCAGTCATGAAAAAAGGGAAGTAGGTCAGCCTCCACCAACCAAGTTTTTTTTTTTTTATAAAAACTGTAATCATTAACAAACATATACACCAGGGTTTGAGAGGCAAACATTAACAAGGAGAGGACAACCTTAGGTAAAAATTTAACAGATGGTGAGTAAAATTAAAGTTTCAGTAGTTTAAATCATAGATCTCTCTGTCCCAGGAATCTTGTTTCATTCATGGAGATATTTAATTTTTCTTTTTAATGGGACACATAAGATCATTAGAACTTGACTTAGCATTTGGCGGACTACATACACTGTGATCTGTTTAAGTCTCTACTCAATTATCTGCCAGCATACTGCTCGACTTTATTCAACAACTAGTGCCACACTGTATTTGCCATTTGGTGTTAGCAGATAACATACAGCAGGTTTTATCAGGACATTTTCTCTGTAAACAGCTGTGTGCTACAACTGAAACCCAAAACATGGACAATTTGGGCTGTGAAACTTAAAAAAAAGAGGTATAAGTCGATAATAAACAGCACAGGGAAAAACTAGAGTGTAGAGACTGGCTTATTTTTTCTAAAGAAAAACATTTAAGCCCTTTTTTTATCAAAAATATTCAACTAATATTGATCTGGCAGACTTATTACTTTCACCAACTTCTACCAAAATACCCAATATCCTGCAGTCTACATATATACAGGTTTTAACGGTATTTATTAGCATCTTGGCTTGCCAATTGGGTTTGCACTCCTACCTTCAAAGAGTGGGCTGATTTTTCTCCAGCAAGTTATTCCACCCTGACTGGTGAACTGGCCCAAAGATGTCTCCAGGAAGAAGAGTGGGATGCCACAGGTGAACAAAAACAAAACATAAGGTATGAAGAAAACCCCTTTAGAACAAAGAAGGAAATATATTATTAAAATAGGTTACCGATAAAGCTGAAGCTGTGTAAACATGTAAAACAGATGTGGTTTAGTTTTTTATTTGTTAGACTGTTTTGATATGGAGACCTTAAAGGGATATTCCGGCATAAAATTCATTTAGGGTCAAACATACAGTAACATCGAGTTAGGCACCCCCTTGAGAGATGAATGACTGCTCGCTTCTCTACCAACTTCAGTAATGACCGCACGATTGAAATGCACAGTGATCTGAGGAGCCATAAACAAACCTCAACCAAAACTCCACTCTATAGCCACAAATAATGCTCAGAACAGCACCTAACTTCATCAACAGTACATATAGGGTCCCAGCCATAATACTAGCCACCAAACATCTTTTAGCTTTGCCTGATTTCTTTAGCAAAGAGACTAAACACAACTCATCTATTCTCTTCCAGCAGCCACTTGTTTGTAGCGAGACCTTGGGCCAGTCCATTACGGACTGCTGCGGGGTGACGCAGCTCAAGGAAGAACATTTACGATCATTTCTTTTTGGAAATACAATCAGACTGAGATGCTAAGGCAGAAAAACAACCGCGTCTGCAGTGCAAAATGATTAATATGGTGATTATTACTTCAAGGAAATGATAAAGAAATGATCATAAATGCAACATTCATCTCTTGAGGGGGTGTCTAACTCGGTGTTACGGTGTGTTTGACCCTAAATTAATTTTATGCCAGAATATCCCTTCAAGTGCCTCTGAAGCAAACTGTAATCTTAATCTCAGTACAAGTCTTTAACTCAGTCTTGAAGTGTGATCCACACCTTCTCACAAGAATAAAAATTTACCTCCTCCATTCTTGTAGCACAGGTATGGAAATCTCCAGACGTTTCCAAGACCAACAATGTGTCCAGCCACAGCCAGAATGAACTCAACTTTACTGCCCCACTGCTCCCTCTCCTGAGGTTTGGGCTGAGTGTGTCCTGGTTTGGTCCCAAGGGTCAAGAGATTCATTTTCACTTGAGATTGTTTACTTTGGTCCATTTCAACCTGAATGAACAAATATAGTAGTTTATATCTCTAAATCATGCAGGCAGTATTGATTGAAGGTCAAAGAGGAAACATCTTGGATTTCACTCTGTTTTCACATAAGTAAAGCTGATCCGGTTTCTCTTATGATGTTAAGATTCACTTACAGAGGAAGAATTTTCTGACAAAAATACTGACCTGAACAAACACATATGACAGGCTACATACACTTGACACCCTCTAAATTTAACAGCAGTACATCATAAAGCAGCGTTAACTCTTTTTAATAGGCTAGAAGCTCTAAGGACCTGCATGAGGCACATTTCATCCTTAAAGCTAAAGGCTAGCTGTAACAATGCTGTTCTGTTTATATCAGACAGCATTAGACATACGACGTCCACTTTCCTTGTGTTAGGGAGCTAACATTTCCTAAGTATCACTAAAACACAGCAGAGGCTGATATGAGAGCTGTTAGTTTTGCAAGGATGTGGTCGTACACCAAAGAACTGGAGAGATAAACAACCTGATACTGGTGGCAGAGGTCATGTGATCACCAGGGTTACCACGGTTCTCATGGAGCCATGATCATTTATCTTTAAGTATCAAAACTTTTCATTCAAATCATAATTGTTAATGTTACTTTAGGCAGAAATACAAACAACATTTAGGTCTACAGTAAATATTGTATTATTGAAACTATGTCTCGAGGAAAAACAAACTTTATGTGTCTCTAAAAAGTTCTTCCTATGTATATATGCAACAAAAGAATGAATGAATTACTAAAAAATAGGATTTATAGGCATTAATAAGTATTATCAGAAAATTTAAGTGTCTATAAAATACACAGTAGTGATGAGTCAGAACTTACCTTAAGCTGTGAAGTGTTTCTGGCAGAAAGCAGCACCCTCTCAGGAAGAAATTGGGTGTAAATGGTTTCAGTAAGGAGGGGCAACTAAGTCCAACTAAACCAGTCTTTTCTTTAGAAACCAACCCCCCTCCACACACACACACACGGACACACACACACAGTCTCTGTGTTGGTTTGTCTGTGTGCCAAGATAAAGCAGATAGCCACTTATGGGCAACGCAAGGCAACCTAAGGCGGCTTTATGAATGCATCATGTTTTTAACAGATGTGCAGGGTTATTATCTCAGGGAAACAGACAACATGAAACACATTTCGTATGCAGATGCTTGCTCTGTAAAATCTATAAGAGCAGAGACGCTTTTTGTCACAAAAATACTCTTTCTTCATTGTACTTTAACGTTTCTTAAACTACAATATGATCTGGAATTTACCAGTTACCTTTATTTATTTACATTATTAGCAACATGACATTGTTAATACATTAAAACATTATATACATTTTTTATAAACATTTTTTTCACTTTCCCAGGATCGGTTTGTTTCTGATCATTAAACTTAAACAACAGCCAACTTACTTACCCAACACTGAACACGGGGTACTTTGTCTGTACTTCTCCTGTGTTTTCACATGGAGTGTTGCATTTCTTTTTAATACTTAAAACCAGCACAACAACATTTCGACTTGTAAGATTTTTTAAGGGAAATCACATGATCACCAGATACCGACAAATTGGGTCTTTTCTTGGGAGAACAATGGGAAATCTGATCCTTTTATGTCATGCTTTCGTTGTCCTTTCATGCAAGGTGAAAAGAAGGAAAACCTGTCCCAAAGCAACACCAAACTCTGTTTTGAGTGTTATTTTAATCAGCACTAAAGGAAAACATTGTTGACAGATCAGCTAGAAATTCTCAGCGTTTTATACAAATGTGTATTTCATTTTAATCATCTTTATTTTAGTCTACTCTGATCTCTTAGTTTTGGGACTATCTTGCTTGCTGTATGCTGAAACTGGGGCAAAATCCACTCATCCCTGGCTCTATATCAACACTATGAGAAATGCAGCATCTCTGTGTCCACTAGAGGGAGCTTTAAGATCTACAAACAAAGTACAAAAATCTGATTATGTTACACAGTGATTGTATAAACCCAGGCAATACTGACTCTGGTTCTGTTATTTGTAATTTTAGTTATTCAAAAGAAATGGATTATTTAGTTCAGCAAACATCATTTATTCTAAGTGTTCAACATGAGTTAAATTATCTTGTTTTGGTTTGACTGGATGTAACTTGAAGACTCTCTTTCTTCCCCAGAACACGGTGCCTCAGTGTCCAAGTGAACGATGGGAGAACAGTTGTTGTTTCTCACTTGGTGTCCACAAGAGGGCACCATTATCACTCAAACCTCCTCCTTTCTAAACGGAGGTGTACCAGCTACAGCATCACGTTTCACCTGAGGGCAGATGAGAAGTTACTAACACACTTTCCATGAAGCATGAAGATGCTGTGTGCAATAACTAAAATATTTATGAAAACTTCACTTGGCTTCTCAAGCAATAGTTAAAACAATCAATACAAAATTTAAACTTAAAGATCAATCATTTTGTCAGTGATCTATCTCTGTTGGTGATAATATAAAACATTATAATTTAACTGAAATATTATATGTTCTTAATTTAAAACTTTACATCTGGCACCAATAAGAAAATTTGAACATGTATAATCATCATGTGTGATTTCTTTCAACTTGTATACAGAGTTGATATAGTGGATTAGGCTGCATGATTAATCAATTTTAAATCATAATCCGATCATTTGATTATGACGATGTTGAAAAAATTTGAATAATCAAAGTGATTTTCCTCTCTATCATGTCTCACAAACCACTCCCCACTGCAAAGTCTGTCTGAAGGCAGTATTAATTCGTTAGCACATCCCTGTTCTCAAACAAATTCGGGAGTAAAAGCAAAAGTTTTTGTGTGCGTGTCTTTTGTTTGTACATTTCTTGTGCAGCATTACAGCGCCACTTACTGGCTTGGCACATGCACTAAATCGTTTTTAGTGGTTTCTTTTTGAGAGATGATAGAATTATTTTATTATTATTATTTTTTTAATTTTTTTAATTTTTTATTTTTTTTGCAAAGTATGGTTAAGTTGTCAATAAATCAAAAAAGAGAGTTTTCAGAGAAAAAAATCTGGAATTTATTTTTTGCAAAAACTGTGTGGCCCTAAGTGGACTCCATTATTAGCCCATAACTTCCCTGCTTATTACACTTCACAAAATACCATGCACATTTAGATGCTCTGCAGATATATGGACATATTTTTAAAAACATGTTTCAAATTCTTTCTGACAGCAATCACTGAACTCAGTGTTAGTTTTAATGTATGACCATGGACAGCCAGACTGACATTAGCTAACTTTTAACATGCACCTTATGTTCTTGTTCACAGAGTCTTACACTTGGAACAAGATGACCTAAAACTAAAGGATCAGCTTGAACTCTGAGACTTTCTTGGCTAATTTCAAAGTTTGAGGATTAGGGAAAATACCAGAAAAGAGCACACAACATCAACCAACTTCTAAATATAATTTGGGGCTGAAATTTCAAAACTTCATGATATACCATTCAATAAAAAAGGTAAAGCAGTATTACACAGCTTCTGGGATTTAAAAAGTTTTCTTATACTCAGCTGTTGAAAAACTGCAGTAAATTAAGTTAAAAAAAAAACAATTTAAGCCTAAAGTTGAATTCAAAGACACGGATTGTGTGTGGTTCAGACTGAAGATGACTTGTGTTGTAAGATCAGGAGACAGCTGTGTTTTTTTAAACTGAAGTGACCCTGTTCTGCGTCACTTTGGACGGGGCTGCCAAAGATAACTTATTAACAAACATAATAATGATTCATACAACATCTTTTTCCTTCTGCACACTTGTTTAAAGCTCACAGACGGGTGATCGCACAGAACTGAAGAGTTGTGATTACCAACACTGATCAAAAGTCAGGGGGACACCCACAGGGATATTATTGTGCCTCAGAAGACAACTATCGGTGAGAAAACACAATTTGATTTCATTTTTCAATAATGTGATTCTGAATATGTCAGTAATTATTGCTTTCAAACCACTTACACCACAGTTTTTAAATTTCAAACAATTTGTCCTGATTATTATAAACACGTCTGTCATCTCAAATATTTCTTGAATTTTTTTCAAAGGGGGCATTTTTTGATGCAAGTAAAAAAAGCAAATACAACCTTGCCAAAGCAATCTGTTCAGTTGGACATTTGTGAACACTCTCAGTAGATTGGGAATATAAACAAATTCTATTATCATAGACTTGAGTTCATGTTAGCAATTAATTAGAAAAAATAAATACTTGGTGGATGAGACGGTATGAGATATCACCAGACAAGATGTCACAATACTTTACTGTGTAGATTTTTTCTCCCACTTCTACTTGTTAACTATTTAAATTATGAATCATTGTTCGGAGATACCTTGGAGAAGCTGGAAAACCTTGGTAAGGAGAGGAAGGTCTGAGAAAATGGATGGACAGGCTATACATCCATGTGATAGGCGTCTTAGGCCAAAAACAGTACCAAGTATGTACTAATAGAAAAAACAAACAATACAGTAATTTTTTACTGTTGTAAAAAAAAGCGTCAACGATCATGTATTTAAATAATTGTCTATGGAGCACGAGACATTGTGATAAATCTATGTTTCACACGCTGCTTACATGTGTGGTATTCCGCATAACTTATATTGTGATAATCTGTGACGAATCTAGCATAAAAATATGCTGGACGCCAGTCAATGTGGGCCCTCAGGGTGCCTGTGAGAACAAAGAGAGACACAGAGGGACAGACACAAAATGTCAACTTAGGTCACCAGCTGTGAAGTTTCAAACATTTTTCTCAAAGCTCTCAGATTTCCTCCAACAACAGTCCTGTAAACCCTCCACTTAAGTTGTTCTCTGAGTTTCTGTAAATGTTGCATGAACATTTGTGTGAAACTGAAGTATTAGGACATAAATGAGGAAAGTTTTAATCCTCAACAACAAGCTCATATTCATTCATCGCTCAAAAAAAGACTAAACAATCTCCTCAGCTCCACAGCTGTCAGCTGTGCAGAGTGGTGCTGAGATGGAGCATAACTGATGTATCTGTTGTAGGGCTGCACGACATTGGCCATTTTTTTTTTTTTTTTTCTGAAAACTCGCTTTTTCAATTTAAATTTTTTATTCAGTGACAACTTCACCAAACCTCACTTTAATATTTTCACTTTTTTATTATCTCTCAAAAAAGATACCGCTGAAAATGTTGTAGTGCATATGCTAAGCCAGTGAGTGGCGCTGTAACGCTGTCGAGGAAATGCACAAAAGACAGAGGAAGAGTACAGAGCATGCATATAATGGTTGTTTTGGCCGGACACGCACAGGCGCCATAAAAGAGTTGCACTGTGTGCACCATAATCGTTTCAGGAAAGATGCAGATAGGCATCCACACAGAGATGAAATGATAGTTGTTTATGGATTTATGCACTCTCGTACCCATTTTCAGAAAGTAACGTTTACAGTCACCCAAAACACTGTTTCTGTGTGGATGAAACGCTAATACGAAAATAGCTTTTGCGTTTACTCTTGAATTCGTTTCCAAATGGACAGGTTGATACACCTTCAGACAGACGTTAATTTTAAATTTTCAGAGGTGCAGAAGTAGCAGGTACTGGTACACCAGCCTAGAGTGCCCTCTAGCGGCTATCGGTGTAATATTAACAAATGTGGAATTATGTTTTTACATATATAGGTCGCACCTAAGTATAAGTCGCAAACCCAGCCAAACTATGAAAAAATACAGTACTTTCCCTTATATTTAATTACATTTATTTATTCAGTTACCGATTAACTGTAAATCACTACTTTTTTCAAATAATTTGCCCAACAACCTAAATACCAATTTCTGATCAATTAAATGAGTTTAAAGTAGTCACTAAAATATGATGACTCAAGCTATATTCTTTTAAACTAAAAAATGTCAACCCGCCAGTGTAAACAACATCTCCATCCTTTGTGAATCCTTGCACTTGTTCAGATGTGACAGGCAGGGAACTGAGACGCAGCCATACTGGTCTTCTGACGACCTACATTACCGCCCACAGAGCCATGCTACTGGCCTTGCCGTTATGCTAATCCCCTCCTCTCTGTGTGACCATGTGGCCTCCTCAAACAGTCTCCGCCTTAAGTTGCTCATTCAGAAACACACATCATCCCCGCCCCCTCCACCCTCGCTCTTTCTCTCTCCCTCATTGTCAGCCAAACACAGCTCTTTTAGACCTCCACTCATGGGCTTCCTCATGGTCAGAGCTGGAAAGAGCATTTGTCCTGGGGAGACTGGGGGATCTAGAAATCTGTTTCACCCAAAAGGGCAATCGATGAAGACCACCTAAGGCTAGATGGAGGCATAACACAGAAGCACAGACTACAAACGTGAAGCGACCTTTCTCAGGTATTCTTACACTTTCTCTTAAGGTCACAAGCAGGTTATTCTGTCGAAATGCCTAATCTGATTTGTGAACTTTAAGTATAAATATTCACTGCTGTGGTTTAATTCCATGTAAAGTCATAATGTACTACAGTAGCAGTTCACTGACAGCTGGGCTTTTGTGGCTGCACTTATGCTTGGCGCTTGTAGCTGTATTATGTAGGCCAAAGGTTACCGGCTACGCTGCAGCCAGAGCAGCTATTTCCCTTGTTTAGTATAGCACCTCAGGCTGCTCCGTCATCATCGCTGCTGGAAGCTTACTTTATTTTAAACAAATACTGCAGATTGCCTAATATGTTAATAATGCAAATATTTAAAAAAGACTGCATAATAATTACTGTTCAGAAAAGTTCCCCTGAGAAAAAAAGGGGCTGATATTTTACTGATGTGTTTTTGACTTAAAAAAAAAACTGCAAGCTGCATGCCAAAGATTTTTGTGTATTATTGTTAATCAGCAGCGCAATATGACTGAGTTAATGAAACAAATATCATTTTGGTACAAACATGGTCTGAGGTGGTTGGACTGTCATAACAGGAACAAAGATTTACTTCTGTAGGTTATTTATAACAAGCAGTTATTTCAACACCGCTACGCTCCACAAAATTTGGTCGGATATTCAGCAAAAATAGTATCAAAGATATTTTTTGAAAAACCACCATAACCTGTTGATGGCATTGAGCACTTGGGCTTGTTGGTTCTTGCCTCATCCTCATCTGTTTACACACTAGCCACAAGTACCGCTTATGCATTTGCACTTGTGACTTTCCATCAGGCTCAGGGGGGGGTTTAGAAATGACCAGCTCAGATGAGAATACTTGGCTAAAAGTAAGTTTGATGTCATTACCTGTTCCTCTGGTGGCCGTGCGAACAAGGAATGACATTCCTGTGCATTGATAACATATCTGTTCAAGCCTCTTCCAGTCAAAATATCTCACAGCCAAAACACACTCAGGATTTTACTTTCATGAACAGAAGACTACCTCAGTGGAGCATTAACTCAAAGGAAGGTTTTGGTCAACATACCACTTTAGTCAAGATTGAAATATCTAAACAAGATAATATAAACATTTTACAGTGGGTGGGGACATTTGCAGTGCACCTGTAATTATATTGCCACCTTCTTAAAATAATGGCCTATTTCACTTTTTGCCAAAAATGACTTTTTCCCCCCTCAGTCACTCCTTCATGATGCTGCCCATCTCTGGTAGAATTGCTGAAATCATCAGTTGAACAGATCATGTGATACTGTCCTTGTAGTTAGGGCTGGGCGATAAAACGATATCGATATATATCGAAAATTAATTTCCCTCAATATCAAGATAAAACATGGTCAATATGCTTTTCAATGGTCATATTTTGTTAGACTATACAAATAGCCAATGAGAAGGGGAGTTGCTCCAGGTCCGCTTCGCGCTAAACCAATCGTGCTGAATTAGAACCAAGTAGCAAACAACTGTGCAGATGAAGGCTCAACAGATGATGACATTGCCGACAACACTTGTAGTATCTTTCTGTCACACACCACAGGTGAAGAAGCCTGTCAGTAAAGGAGCTGCCCAGTACAGTTACATTGCTCTGTAGGGGCTGAGAAACATTGTCCACAAGAGATGATAGCTTAGTCGTCACCCTCCTGTCTCCTACCACCTCTACAGGGTCCAAAGGGCAGCCCAGGACAGAGCTAGCATTAAGCTGCATGTCATTCCCTCTCTCCTCCCACCATGAATCATATTTTTCTATTTTTTATTTTCATCTTTTTATGTTTTCTTACTTACTTTCAAATCTTTTTTCTCTTTCTCTATTCGTTTTCCTCTATATTCTTGCTGTAAAGCACTCTGGATCAACTGTCTTGACTTGATTCTTCAGTTCTTGCTGTCCAATGAGGCAAAACAGCCTCAACAGGTTGAAGAATAAGAACAAGAATAACTTCATTTTATGCCTTAAGGGAAATTCAATTGTTTGTAATCTCAGTTGTGATGTGTCAAAAAGTCCTTTACTATTTACAGAAGAGTTGTAAAGTCTCATGGCTGTGGGATCCAAAAGACTTTCTGGATCTTTCTGTCGTGTAGCGAAGAGAGAGGAGCCCACAGAAACTATTCAGTCTCTCAATTAATGACCAGATGTCTCACTCAAGCTTGTTTCTTTAGGTAGATTATCTAATCTTAGCATGCTATCATGATAATCTAAGATGATGAAACAGCTACACATCAGCATTTATACCCTGTCAATATTCCCCAGTACATTAGCTCAAAGTAGTTCCACAAAGCTGCTGTCATGCTGCTTTATGATGGTGTAAACACCCCACTCTTTTTATGTAGAGCGGTTTCATCCCAATCGAGTGTGAAGTTTTGTGACATTTCTCAGTTTGAACCTCACACCAAGGGCTGGAATTTCCCCTGTAGAAAAAAACAGGAAGGTCCACGAAAGGACGAGTGACAAGACACTAACCTCGATAAGAGCAGGGGGTTGAATTTCCCCTAAAATGTTGGTTCTTATCTGCTGTGTAATTTAACTATGAAAAGACATTGTGCACGTTTCCCAGATGAACTGAACACACATGTGCACGCTCTGAGTATAGTTTAACCTGCTAAAACAATGCAAATAAAAACTGTGCCCAGATCTTTTTTAAGGGAAAGGGATATTTCAAGCAGGGTGCTTGGATCTGATGACATTTCTGAAAAACACATATGTTGTTTGCAGATAAACTTTCAGATACATTGAGAGATGTATTCAATATTTCATTGCTGGTCACTTACTAAACCCTTTGCCTGAACAAGTACCATAGAGTAGGGTTGTTACAATAGAAGAATTTCCATAACAACAATATGATAAGATATCAGTCCGATATCAGCAAAAAAATGAATATCAGATTATATCTGCCTGCATCTAAAATCTCTGATACAAGCAGTCCATTCCATTCCGCTCTGGCACCTTTATCTAGCAGCACCCTGATCCAGCAAGCTGAGCCCACAAAATTAGGAAACTAATACAGTCATGTTCTCGTACAAAAATGGAGGACATGGTCAAAGAAAGCTGCACTCAACAAACGATCACAACACCAAAACATCTGAGAAGCTCAGTGTGGAAGTATTGTGGATCCACTTAAATAAAAGACAAAGACGGGGATGTATGTTGACTTTGTACAACATAAAGCCGTCTTACTAATCGAAAACATCAGACTTGATGGCCTGCCATCCGTGTGAAGTTAGGGTGACCATGTTCTGACTTCCCAAAAAGGGGACATGACTACGTGGGGGCGGAGTCATGGAGTCGCACGAAGTTAATTTTGAGAGTTTTTCAGGTCGGATCAGGTGTTTTTTACGCACCTCTAACTCGTGAGACACTTGCATACCAAACTGCGGACATTTGAAGGATTTTATAAACTTCCCCAGACAAAGTCGGACAGCCCCCCAAAAAGAGGTCATGTCCGGGTAAAAGAGGACATATGGTCATCCTATGTGAAGTGACAGGAGCAGAGAAGACACCACTGACATGACGAGCTGTGCAAAGTCAAGTTTTCAACCCAGTACGACAGCCTTTTTTACAGCAGGCCTCGTGCCAGAGGCTCTGGAAAAGAACGTATTTGAACATTTGCACGCCATGTTGGATATTCTTTGAACCTGGACCTGAAAATGACACGTCAGATTGCTGTTCACTGACTGAAGTTCAGTAGCCAAAGTCCACAGTGCATGGACTCAACATCAACTAATGTGACCGGATCTCCAACTCAGATTCTCATTACTGTCCACTTCCAGCACTCTTCGCTCAGTTGTTCCCTCTCTGTTCCCACACAGCTGCCTCATTTCCTTTCAGAGTAAAGCTCCAACAACTTTATTAGATTTGTAGATGACACATCATTAACCTGATCAATTACCAGTTTGGGCCTGCAGAGAAAAAGCCAAAGCTCCTAAATCCAAGTATCAGAACATCACATGCTGTCAGAGTGAAAGGCAAACACCCAGCAACTTCTGGTTCCTGACCTGGTCCTCCAACAGCAGCACCATATGGAGGACAGTTGTTCAATACATCTTCCTCCCCTTCCTGGATCCTCTGCAACTTCTACAGATTTCTTACTAGCAGCATCCCGACTGGTTGCATCATCCTCAACCACGGCACATTACAGAGGGCTGCAAAATCTTCACGGCAAAACAAGAACTGAGGACCTCTACACTCAGCAGTGAAGGAACAAGGCCAGCAGGATCATGACGGACCCCGTTTAACCCAGACACAAACTGTTTGTGTCGTCTGGCAGAAGGAAGAACATTTTGTTCATCCCCTTCAGCACTTCATCCTTCAAGTCAGGAGGCGTTTGAACTCTCTAAGCTCTCAAGCTTATTACTGTCACTTAACTTGTATTGTATTTATTTACCCAAATGACTACCTCTTCAAGAACCTGTTCAGTTAATTTTTTTAATCCTTAATTTTATGACAACTGTTTTAACCTGATTACATGTCACTCTGTACCTCTAAGTAGGTATGCTATTTCATTACCTCCTTTTCCAATCATATGACAGGGCTGTTTTTTATATATATATATATATATATATATATATATATATATATATATATACAGTATATAAAACATATGTTATGTCCCTAAAACCAACAACAAGTAACCAACCATGTAGCAAGTCTCCGTTGACTCATAGATAGTGATTTAAGTGGATACTGGGAAATTTAGTCAAACAAGAAAGTAATGACAGTATGATGTTTGACATGGCATGTCCACTGGTATTACTTTTGCTCATGTGGACTATGTTACTGGGATGTTCAGTCAGGTTACTATTTAGCCCTATTTTTTGTTAAAATGCTCCTTTCAGACTTAAGCCCAAAACCCACAGGATGTGTGTTGGGCGCGTGCCGTCAGCATTGCATGCTACACAGCAAATACAATCCCATTCTAATCAGTGTAGCATCGCACAAAGGAAGTCCTAGAAGCGACTCTACCATAGACTGTATACTATGGACAACCTGGCTCTGCCATCCACCATTATACAAATTTGAAGCCGAATTGCTCTCAGTATTTCCAGGATTTTCTCCACTTCCTGGAACCACCACTGGTGCTGCAGCGTTTTACGCATCTCATTACTTGCACAGTGGTGTTGTACGTATTCTGTAGAAGAGTCGCTGTGATGATGCTCTGCTCAAACAGCGTATCCCCTGGGTTAGCTACGCAATCTTTGTACGCCCATAGGCTGTATTGTGTCAATCATTGAAAACACGAACCCCCTAATAAATTTTAAAAATGGAGCTGCACAGAAAAAAAGAGGACTTGAGCACAAACCAGTCTTACAATTACTGTCAACACTGCAAGCAGGGGGGAGAAAATGTATATTCTGTGTAATAAATTTCTAAAGTTTGTCCACAATTGCTGGAGCCTGGAGGAGGCGGGATTTATGACCATTACTGTAGCCCGTCACCAGAGGGTGCTGTTCTCAGGGTGGCTTCACCCAGCTAGGAGGCTGACGGCGTCCATTCCATATACAGTCTATGGCCTCGACACACTGCTCCACTAAAGTATTTTTTTGTCAGATAATGAGCACAGTATGCATTAATCTGCACAGAGAAGATCATCCTTGACAGGATACCATGCATGGCGCATGTCATCTGGTAAATTCCAAAATAAAACAACGCGACGATGACACAACATGCCCAACATGCATTTTGTGGGTTTTTTTAGATTTACAGGAAAGAGATTGGTAAAAAGATCAGAGGGCATGATGTGAATATCAGAAACAACCTTGGTGAAATACTTCAACTACAATATTTGTTATTATCATTGCAATTATTCAATGCAATTATGATTGAATTAAATCGTGATTGAGAGTAACTCCTACCTCACTAGTTGTTCCTGTTTGTTTGCTGCTTGTAAACATAAAAGTTAGTGACTCATACTGAATTTTTTTTTTAAACTGGCTTGAGGCACTTTTACTGTAACCCAGGGAACTTAAGTTGTTTGTACTATTTTGTTTAAACCGTTAAAGCCTGGAGTCATCTGCCATACTTCTCTTTTCTTCTTCTTTCTTTTTTTTTTGTGATACTGTGAAACTGGATTTGATTAAGCTACCAACTGTTGTTATGTTTTGACCAATTGCATTGGCTTTAGACTTTTTTTTACTGTTTTTTCTATATATCCCATCCCTAGCAGCTGTTTGAATACACTAATATTAGCCCAATGGAGTTATATAAGAACTATTTACAAGCAAGCAAGAAAGTTACAGGAACTTGCAGAACAAACTCTGTGTTAAGTCACTGACATCAGTCCTATGACAAAGTTTGTCCAACACAAAATAATATGAAAGGGGTTTCTTTGAAAATTGTCTTTCTCAGTTTTTATAACATTTTCATGTTAAAAAATAAATGTATAGTCCATTTGTGGACTCCAGAGGTGCTGGTTCTTGTGATAAACTTGGAAAGATCAAGAAAGTGGAGGACGTCTGAATCATCCTCTCTAGTATTTGAGTGCCAAAACTAAATTCACTGTTATTATTGTGGTCTTTATATGATATTCCCTAACCACAAACCCAATGTTTTCTTTGCCTACTTCTTACCCTCCAGAAGAACTCTCAACGAGACATTTGTCGAGACAGTATCTCATGATTTGAAGGTTTTGTGAGCAATTTAATAGCGCACATATTTTTCTGTCTTTTGGTTTCACTCCCACATCAAATTCTAGTCAGTGACACAATAACCACATTGATGGGAGTATAAGCCTGTAACCAAGCAGCACAGACCCACTGTTGACCTAATACAACAAGACTGCAAGCATTGTGCAGACTATGGACATTAATACACAGCGATTATATAATATTCATACTCTGGTTGAACTCAGCTGTTGACTGGAAACTTAAATCTGGTGTGAATGAAGTGTATTCATTTTACATCTATTACATTACACTTTATATTTCTACTATTTGTCCACTCATGAAAAACTGAACTTTTTCCCTTAAGTAGTTCATTCCTCTGTCTTGTCTCTCTCTACAGCACAATGGATAAATCTTACAGTCCAGAGATCAAGTTCAGACTCGATGTGGATGTGACCCATCACTCACCCGGCACCCTAAGCAGAGGACAGTGGTCCAGCAAGGTTGAGTTCCTCTTGGCCGTCGCAGGACAAATTATAGGTCTAGGAAACGTGTGGAGGTTCCCATACCTGTGCTATAAAAATGGTGGAGGTGAGTTCTGTTTGAGACCATCAGATGATTGACAACATTTAAACAACAGAGGAGCATACAAAACGTGAACAAGTCAACTCAAAACTTTTGAGTTGAGGGCCAATATGTCAAAGTAGAACTACTGTGTTTAGTTACCTTCATCTAAGGTACTCAAGATGTTCTGGGTACCTCATGTACAGTTCAGTACTGTATCGCTTATTTTGCTGCAGTCAAGCAGGTTTTTTTGGGTTTCTCAATTCACATACCTTAATTGGAAGAAGACTGTTTCTGACAAAGCAAAGTTATAGGGCGTGGTAGCGTTTAACAAAAGCACCTGTTCAAAAACATCACACCCAACTTCAGGTTGTTGTACTGCAGCCAAATCAGTGCTCTGCTCTGTGCTCTTTTTACTCATAAGAGCTCAAATCAATGAATCGATCAACTTTAGCAACATATGTTTGGGAATTTTTAAGTAAAAGCTGCAAATAGCTAATTATAACCTCAATAACTTCCAAGCAAATAATTGAAACATGATTTTAAAATGATCTGTGTTTCCCCTGGAATATTTTCAGGCACAGAGGCAAGAGGTCAATTGAGGTTTTGCTCATGCGTTAACTTTTCTGGTAATTTATTTCTTGAACGGCACATGACCTGAGGTTGGTATTTCCATACAAAGGACGAATAAAACAAAAAAAGACATTTCATGATGTATTCACATATATCTGTCAAAACTGGCTTTTGATTCATAATAAAATCTGTTGGTACCAGCAATCTTTAAAAATGTTAGTTGGTAGATGGGTAAAATTAGCAGGTTAATGCCCAATGTACAAGTAGTGACCAAGGTTATTACACTTGCTGGATGAGGCGAGAGCAGAGGGATCTTGTGTTAGCTGATTTAGATTTTAATTTACAAAACTACCTGTTTACTGTTCAGTATTCCTGAGTAAACTTACATTTCTTTGGTTGCCTTGAAGATGAGCAGAGATCAGGGTAATGTGAGTTTATTTTTGCCATAGGCTAGTCTCTATTAGCTAGTCTATCAGCTAAGATAGTCCTGCGTAAGTGATCTCAGTCTTATAGTTTACTGACCAGTAAACAAACATCTTTTCTCATTTAATGTCTCATTTGCCCACAGGAGTGTTTTTCATCCCTTATGTGCTCTTCCTGTTTGCCTGTGGCATCCCCCTGTTTTTCATGGAGATATCTCTGGGCCAGTACACCACACAGGGATCTATAACCTGCTGGAGGAAGATCTGCCCCCTCTTTGAAGGTAAGCCCTCAAATCTCCAACTCACTGAGAAATAAAATAAACGCAAGCTACCAAGAATAGGTCCACAAAATCAGCATTAGTATTATTCAGATTTTAGATCATAGAGCTTATAATTTGGAGGGTTAAAGTCCTGTATTTATCTGAAATTGATTGATTGGCCTTTCATAATAGTTACTGATGTGAGAACAGATTTTCCTTTGGCTTCTACGTTGTTACCTGCTGAGAAAAAATCCTAATGGTATAGATTCAATGACCTACAAAGGGGATAATTGCAGAATGACTGGCTGGGATTTGTTGTGAAAGAAAAGCACAAATCTTTGGCCCAAATGCATAAAATGTTGCTTTTTTTTCTTGCACGCATGCACACACACACACACTCACTCACACACACACACACACACACACACACACACGCGCGCGAGTGTCTTCTGTCAGTCTGAAATGTGGGCTGCATCATATTCACTGTTGTTACCCACACAAATGCCTCTAAAAATAGAATATTAGTGTAAAGTTCACTTAAAAGCTTACTCTCATGTATTCTTTGTCATTTAAAGTGAAACATATATTTTTTTGTTTGAATTTTTCACATTTTTACTAAAAGCAGATTACAAAAAACAGAAATGTAGGATCTCAGATTATAAGATTATTACTTAAGAACAACAAAAAAAGAGTTTGTTTGAAAAGTGTGCTCATTTTAACGCCGCACATTTCTCATCCATGTTTTAAACACTAACCATTAACTTTCATTTTTATTAACATTTAACCCAGTGTTCCTTTTTTTCCCCTAATTGGGATCATGTTATCCTTCAAAAGATTGTCACTAACAGAGGTTTCAGTCATCATGATTGCCAAAATATTTTGGAATTGTTTAATTTGACTAATTTTATCATTGTTTAAGATATTTGGGTGTATTTAAAAGTCCCACAACTGTCTTTACACGTGACATTAGTCCCAGGTTTGTTCTTTAAGTGAAAAGATTCGGACTTGTTCATCTAGTTTAACGTCACACTTTTAAGACACCAAACAGCTCGTGTAAGTCTCTTTGATCCACTATGATTAACAGGGATCTTGTCTCTGGGCTAGCTTGTATTTGTTAAATATTTCCTCTAGTGATCGCTCACATAGGGCTGAATGAGTTGTTTATCTTTCCCCTGCACTCAAAATGTCAAGGAGACAAATTACAACACACATAAAAATCATATTGGCTACACTCCATTTACTCTGAAATAACAATGTCAAAGAACAGCAGCACGCACTTTAAAATTACAAGAGGTGATAAAAATGGCCCTGATAACATAATTAATGTCCCTATTAATCCAACAAAATAGACTGTGCCTCAAACAAATCTACTGTCCTCTGTTTTTAATTGTTTTATTGTTAAAATATAAATGCATATCTTTTTAATAAACCAAGTTATTTTAGGTTTATTTACTGTTTATTTTCGAGATGTGGTGCAGTGTAGCTAATTTAAAATTTAAGTGAGTGGTTACTTTTTTCAAACTTGTGCCCATTAGCACATAGTCGAGTTAAGCAACAGCAGAGTTTTTTTGCTTCCTGCTGCCACCATGATGGAGAATGACAGAGCACATTGCACCATAAAACACTCTCAGAGGGATAAGTCGACAAGTGAAAACTTATGTTCACTTTGCAATATACAAAATTAAAATCTAACTGAAGTACTTTGAATATTGACAACCTCCCACAAGCTACTCAAGCATTAAAGTGCAGCTAATAAAAGTAAGCTGAGAGTGAGTTTATCGCCTGGTATCTATTTTCATTTATATGGTTTATTACTGGAAAAGAATCAGCAAGTAATTTAACTGTGGTTATGTGATTTCTAGTTCAAGACACTGACAAGTAGGGCTGAGTATTGCCACCGATTTCCTGAATCGATTCAATTTATGATTTGATTTGGTTCAATACCAATTCATTGACGGATATTTCTGTTTTGCTTGAATATGAAAAAGATTCTTGGAGAATTAAAGACAGAAATTATACTTTTAGTTGAATTATCATTAAAAAAAACCTTCAAACTAGGTACAATATTTAAAATATTAAAGTTCACTCTAAAAAGTCACCCCAAACTTGTTTCCTGAAAACACTTTTTGTTGACCAATCAACACAATGATCAGTCAGATCAATGTTGGAATAAAATTAATCAATATTGCCTTTTTTTAAAGATTTGAAATGAATCATAATATTTTTTAACCCTTTTAAACTAACGAGAGTTGATTTACATTGTCGATATGGACCTAAACACTGTTTTTGAACTGATCTTAACCCAGCCCCTAACTCGTGTTCTTAACAGAGTAATTTCAAAATCATTTTCCCTTTTAACTAAAAAATTTCAAGCTCCACCCTGTGCTGCAAAATGTAGCCTTCTTTTTTATATTCCTGATATTTTTGATGAATGCTCAGTAACATACACTCACCGGCCACTTTATTAGGTACACCATGCTAGTAACGGGTTGGACCCCCTTTTGCCTTCAGAACTGCCTCAATTCTTCGTGGCATAGATTCAACAAGGTGCTGGAAGCATTCCTCAGAGAGCTTGGTCCATATTGACATGATGGCATCACACAGTTGCCGCAGATTTGTCGGCTGCACATCCATGATGCGAATCTCCCGTTCCACCACATCCCAAAGATGCTCTATTGGATTGAGATCTGGTGACTGTGGAGGCCATTTGAGTACAGTGAACTCATTGTCATGTTCAAGAAACCAGTCTGAGATGATTCCAGCTTTATGACATGGCGCATTATCCTGCTGAAAGTAGCCATCAGAACTTGGGTACATTGTGGTCATAAAGGGATGGACATGGTCAGCAACAATACTCAGGTAGGCTGTGGCGTTGCAACGATGCTCAATTGGTACCAAGGGGCCCAAAGAGTGCCAAGAAAATATTCCCCACACCATGACACCACCACCACCAGCCTGAACCGTTGATACAAGGCAGGATGGATCCATGCTTTCATGTTGTTGACGCCAAATTCTGACCCTACCATCCGAATGACGCAGCAGAAATCGAGACTCATCAGACCAGGCAACGTTTTTCCAATCTTCTATTGTCCAATTTCGATGAGCTTGTGCAAATTGTAGCCTCAGTTTCCTGTTCTTAGCTGAAAGGAGTGGCACCCGGCGTGGTTTTCTGCTGCTGTAGCCCATCTGCCTCAAAGTTCAACGTACTGTGCGTTCAGAGATGCTCTTCTGCCTACCTTGGTTGTAACGGGTGGTTATTTGAGTCACTGTTGCCTTTCTATCAGCTCGAACCAGTCTGGCCATTCTCCTCTGATCTCTGGCATCAACAAGGCATTTCCGCCCACAGAACTGCCGCTCACTGGATATTTTTTCTTTTTCGGACCATTCTCTGTAAACCCTAGAGATGGTTGTGCGTGAAAATCCCAGTAGATCAGCAGTTTCTGAAATACTCAGACCAGCCCTTCTGGCACCAACAACCATGCCACGTTCAAAGTCACTCAAATCACCTTTCTTCCCCATACTGATGCTCGGTTTGAACTGCAGGAGATTGTCTTGACCATGTCTACATGCCTAAATGCACTAAGTTGCCGCCATGTGATTGGCTGATTAGAAATTAAGTGTTAACGAGCAGTTGGACAGGTGTACCTAATAAAGTGGCCGGTGAGTGTACAGCATACAGTTTTAACTTATGACCAGTCTTGCTTACTTTTAAATGTTGCACACATAATTTAAAAGTTGTTTATTAATGTTGTTTGTTTCAGGGATTGGTTATGGCAGTCTGGTGGTTGTTTTATACTCCAGCATCTACTATGTCATCATTTTGGCCTGGGCTTTCCTCTATCTCTTCTTCTCCTTCAACACTGAAATCCCCTGGGGGAGTTGTAGAAACAGCTGGAACACAGGTATGCTCCAGCGTGAGATCTGATTGAGCAAACATCTGTAGGACAATCAAACTACAAGATTTTTTAAGTTTATGAATCATTCTGCCACTTGCTTCCAAATGTTTTTTCTAAAGATCTGGTCTTCCTTTGCATCAGAAACCTGTGTGGAGTTTGATCAAACAGCTGATTATGTCAACTGGACTGTACCTGAAAACGCAACTTCTCCTGTGAGAGAATTCTGGGAGTGAGTATAAAAACTAAAATCAAACTTGAAATACAACTATGAACTCAGGAACCAACTTTTCTGAATTACAACTTCATTATTTTTATGTGCAGGAGAAGAGTTCTGAATGTCACAGGAAGTGTCCACGAGATGGGCGAGATACGATGGGAGTTGGCACTGTGTCTTATGTTGTCCTGGGTCATCTGTTACTTCTGTGTCTGGAAAGGTGTTAAGTCCACTGGGAAGGTAGGAGCAGGGTTGAGAGCCAGTTCAAATTTACTGATTTAGATCCCAAGTCTTCTCATCGAATCTCCAAAACCCGATTCTTTATCAATTTTAGGGATTTAACATATGACAAATATTAGATTTGATAAATATTGGTATATAGGAATGTCATTTCAGTTCTGTGAAAAAATGCTCTTGATTCCCTCTGGTTAAACTCGTATTTTTTAACATGTCCAGCCTTCAACAAACTTAACAGAAATGACATTCACGACTCATTTTAATGTAGCTAAACTAACTCATGTTAGCTGTGACTTGAAACATGCCTCCTACAATGCAAAGAGTGACAGTGCAAAACAAAGTAAACAGAGGCAAAAGAACTCTTAAACTCTCAAAAGTGAACCGTAAACTAGGCCTGAAAGATATATCGTTTGACTATCGTCATCGCGATGTACGTGTATGCGATAGTCACATGGCAGAGCCTGCGATATTGGAGGTGAATGAACTCATTTAATTTCAAGGGTAACCGACTGAGATACACTCCATGTGACTCTGCATGTGCTGTGCAGCGATCCACCAATCGCCTTCGTCCTTAACTCAGTTGCCAATCAGACTCACTTCTCAGCTGCCAATCAGACTAACCTGCCAGCTGTCAATCAAAATCAGGGCGGAGAAAACCCACCCCTGCACATGTTCTGCACATGGAGGGAGACGTGTGTCCGCTGAGAATTACTTTCGGAACTTTACTCATGACTATTAAGCCCAACAAATAAGAACTGTATGGGTTTTAAATTGTACATTTCCGTGGACCACTCTACTATAAGCAGTGCGCGTTTTGCGAGGTGCATGCAATTCTCGGAGGACATGCGTTTCTCGGTACAGCACCGCTAACAAACAACAACGATCGCAAAATGAACAACGAACAAGCGAAAACCACCGAAAATGAAGATTTGTTGCCAAAAAGAAAAGGAAAGTCAGTTATCTGGAATTATTTCGGTTAAAGAAGGATGATGTCGACCAAAACACGTCTTCTGTGTTCATCTGTTTCCACAATAACGTCCCAGCACAATAAAAGCTAAAAATATCTCTGAGACAGACAGAAGCCGTTCTACTAACATTCACAAAAAGAGGTAAGATCAGAGCAGATTAACTGTCCTCAAGATTTCAGCAGTGCAGCATAACATTAAGTGCTATTCAGGTCATCTGGTGAAAATACTGTATTTTTAATATCGCAATATATATCGCAGGGTTGAAAAAATCGCAATATTATTTTTTTCCAATATCGTGCAGCCTTACCGTAAACCCTGAACAGAATTTTTTTATCCTTCATTTACAAGTTTTACAAAAATATTACTAATTCTTAGAAGGATAACTCACAATAAAATATACAAACAAATACTATTTAATTTTTTTTTCTTCTATATTATTTAATCATTCATGTTATTAAAAATGATGTTTAAATGAGCCCTCTCAATTGTACCTCCACAGGTAGTTTACTTCACAGCCACATTCCCATATGTAATGCTGGCAGTGTTGCTCATCCGTGGACTTACACTACCTGGAGCCTTAGAAGGGATCAAGTTCTACCTCTACCCAGACCCTTCCCGCCTCACTGACCCACAGGTATGAGCAGATTTTGGTACTTTTGTCTCTCAACGACATGTGGCGTGACTGAATGAACTCCCATAACCTTGATTTGCCAGCTGGTGTCCTTGTTAATATAAAACTGTTTGGACAAGCTTGTTCGACACAGCAGTCTATTTGTCCTTTTTGAAGTTAGGTAAATTAGGCAAAGCTGGATGGTACTGCATTTAGTTGACTAGAATCTTTAGTGAAAGCTTTGTCATAATTTGTAAAAACTTAAGCTATGTCTAAAGAAAGTTATGTGAAGATTGTAAGAATCAGTTACTAATACTTGGACTCGTTGGGAATTTCACCGCAGATGATTGCTCGGCTCATGTAATCAGACTTGACAGCAGAGTAAAACATTTGCAGCAAATGTCAAAACGATGGTTCCTACTGCAGTTACAGCACATTGTAAATGCTGATTTTTAGTAAATGAAAACTTGTCCTTTATTTCTGCTGCAGGTTTGGATGGACGCTGGCACACAAATATTTTATTCCTATGCTATTTGCATAGGATGTCTAATTGCACTTGGCAGTTACAATAAGTACAACAATGACTGTTACAAGTAAGTTTAGTAGTTTATTGATTCTGTTTATCAATATGAGTATTCTTCATACTTGTTCACTTTCCTGACAGTATTGTTTTGGTATCTGTTTTTTTTAATCAGTGGTTTAAATCTTTTAATCTTACTTCAAATGATAAAGATCTAATACACCTACATCCACCATATAATTTTTAATATAAACAAAGAAGACTTTTTCAACATTTACAGTAAATGTGGTGATAACCTATTTTTGGGAAAAAATAATTAAAGCACCTTCTCCTCCATTTTTTGTATAGTTTACTTTAGCTCTCTTTCCAACAAGTTCACTAAACTTTTAAGGTCAGTTTAGGTCATTGTTAAAGCTTCAAGTTGGAGACAATGAATGAAAAAATGTAAAATCTATGTATTTCTGTCTCTTTTGTTTTTCAGGGACTGCTTTTTCTTGTGCCTTCTGAACAGCGGTACCAGCTTTGTAGCTGGCTTTGCCATCTTTTCTGTGCTTGGTTTTATGGCGTATGAGCAGCACACAGACATATCTAAAGTTGCAGAGTCAGGTAAGAATATAGAGAGCACTTTTAAAGACAAATTGGTACTTTTCTGGGAAACACTGTTGGAGCGCACCAGTTTTGTTTGCTCAGTAGAGTGGTGATAATTTGGTCCATGTGATCCCCCCCTTTCCCTCCCCATGTTTCCTGTCTTTTTCAAGCTGTCCTATTTAAGAAAAGGCAACAAGCCTCAAAAATAATCTTTGTAAAACCAGAAAAAGAAAAACATTGTTGTAGAACCATTCTGTGACTTAAGCTATCTCCATGTCTCCAGGTCCTGGTTTGGCGTTCATTGCCTACCCTCGAGCAGTCACCATGATGCCTTTCCCTCAGATTTGGGCCATTTTCTTTTTTGTTATGATCATCCTGCTCGGCCTGGACAGTGAGGTGAGCTGACTCCCTTTCAGTTTTAATGAATGGTCATGAAATAACTGTACTGACTGGACTAAGAAACCAAAACTGCAACCCCGGCTCCAAAAGCTTGAGATGCTGAGTAAAGTGTCTGGTAGTGTTGGTATCAAATTGTGAGCAGCGGCACTCCGAACCAGATGTAGTAAGTGCTCTGACTGTTTTAGATAAAGGCATGAATGACTTTCTGAAGATCAAATGGAGAAGGGATGATCCTATCTTCAGGGTTGCTTAAGATGTGCAACGTGTGATTTAATGATAGGACAGGAAGAGACCTCAACTAGAAATTAGAAAAACACTCTGGGATTTCATCATCTCCAGTATCATTGAACGATTCAAAGAGTCTGAGGCTGAAAACTACTTGATGGCTGTGATGTTAGGGATTGCAGGTGGTACTTGATTGAAAACAGACAAGACTCTGAAGTGGAAATCGCCACATGGGCTCAAAATCACCTCCTAAAAACAATGTATGTGAACAAAGTTTGCTGCATCCACAAATGCAAGTTAAAACTGTTCAGTGCAAAAAGAAAACAGTCAATTAACGCTGTCGTGTCAGCTTCTCTGGGCCCTGGCCCATTTTAGATCGGCAGAGACAAAGTGGAAAATAGTCAGAGGATTTCATTTTGGAAATCATAGATGCTATACGCTTGTGAGTGGAGGGACCATCTTGCTGATGATAAAGGGATATTTCCTAATGTTAATTGTATGAAATAGTAGATCTGTGTGTGGGCAAAGCACTATTATTACAGAACAATATATACAGGTTTTGGAGCAACTTGAATGTGAATGAAAGTGAATGCTTTTTCAAGGGACAACTATTTAAAAACAACCATTTATTGTTGCTTTATGTTTTTATGTTATTATGTACAGCACTTTGTGTCAGCTTTGGTTGTATTTGAAGTGCTCTATAAATAGAGTTGAGTGGAGACAACCTTGCATATTCCAGCGAAACGATGCTAAACCATTTTCTGCACAAATAGCTGCAGCCCCAATGCATCAACATCACAGGTGTCTATGATCTTTTCAGACTATTAATGTGGTGATTATGTGGTCTAAGGAAGAGTTTTATCACAAGCTGCAACCAGAGTTCAGCCAGTTTGATTGACCTATCGCTAAGCCCCGCCCCCCTCCCCGTAGTTACTGTTGCTAACAAACAACCGGAGCTGAGCAGTGCTTCAAAATGGCCGCTGTCGGTGTCAAACGCTATCCCGAGAGGGTTTCGATACAGTCTATGGTTTCGACAAATTCTGGGCGCAGAAACACCTGAAAACTTCGAGAAGGGACTCTATTATGCCATGGAGGGATATGTTCAGAATTTAAAGTAAGATGCGGTGGGTGAAAACACAGTTATATTAAACAGCTAGTGTGCTAACCTGGGCTAATATTAGCGTTAGCTAGTTTACCAGAGGCGAAAGCTGTGTTACAACATCGCCAATGACGATTAAATAACTGTCTGTAAAGTTAGTACATTTGAGGCTATGTTGGTGTAACTTACCTTAGAACAAACGTAGACATCCTTGTTGATCCTCCGGATGTTAAGTTAGCTGTGTGGTCTGCCAGATAGTAGACATTTACTCCGGTCTTTCTTTAGTTTTGGAAATGGAATGAAATACACCCCGTTGTTCATCCTGTCGGGATACCTTGTGTCTGTATCACATCTACTCCATGCACAACTTTTTACCATGTTTCTTTCTGCTATATTAAAATTAACGCCACAAAACAGATGAAAAATCATGACGAGCTGAAAGCTACAGATGTCCGTGTTCCGGTCCCGGTAAAACTGATACTAAACTGCCATTGGCTCATCTGAGTTCGAGGGGCGGGGCTTAGCGATAGGTAAATTGCCAAAAACAGTGGGCTCTCTCAGTACAACTCTAAGGTGGCCGAAAACTGTCACTGCTACAAATAAAAAAAGAATGCAAAAAAAGAAGTCACAACGGAAGTTAAGGATAAAAAAAAGTGGCAATGCAAAAAAAAAAAAAAAAAGTTATTTACTTTTAATTAGAGGTTGCAAATTAAAAAAAGCCATAATGGAAGTGAGCTGCCAGAGGACCAATAATGATGATGCACTGGTGTTTTACGATCTAGGCACAGAAGACGGTGGTGAGAAGACGAGCAAAGAAATTAGTGGAAAGGTTATTGTTTATTTTCACGTCATGTGATTTTTATTGTGTCATTTGGTTAGGCAATGTAGTGCCTGAGTCGATATGAAGTTGATCTGGAGGATGGCGGTATAGTGTTAGCTTTAGTTTTTCCATCGCCACTTTTTTTTTGTGTCGTTAACATCCGTTGTGGCTTTTTTTGTTTGTTTTTTTATTTGTACCGTTTCTTGTTTATTTGCAGCGGTTCCTTTTTTCGCATCTGTAACTTCCGTTGTAGCTTCTTTTTTTTTTTTTTTTTTTGCATTATTTTTTATTTGCAGCAGTGGCGGTTCTCAGCCACTGCACAACCCGTATGAAAAAGCTTTCTCAAAACACCAGGCAGATATTCAAGGATAAATAATCTGTTCTCTGAAAAACACACACTTTACCATGTTGGTCCGCTCTTCCTCCAAGCTCCTAGTTAGAGTCAAAGCATTACTCCATTCCTGCAAACACAGCAGCTGCAGAGAGCAGCAATTACACACAGGAAAAGCACAAGCAGAGCAGGAAACAAATGCAATTACTGCAGTGAGACACAGTGCTATGAGAGCAAAAACACTCCAAAAACACTCCTGCAATACACACAGCTGGAGCACTGATACACAAACACACACAGAATTTGGAGTTGGTGGAGTTGTTTCCTGATTTGAGCTACCTGTTGTGATAAGTCCAAGTGTCTTAATAACTGAATGCCTCATTTAGCAACTTTGCTGTTGTTGAATTAAGTTAACAGGCCCTGTAATTAAGCACTGAGATGTATTTGGATTTGTTGTGCCTTAAAATACAGTTAGAATCATGACTTAACGAGGAGTGGAAAAGTTGTAGAGATGTCCCTACTCTCTCTTTTTTTTTTTTTGTTAAACACGTGAACCAAAAGATACCAAACTGTGAGGTGTGTGATCTGTTAGCTTGTATGACTTCATGAAAGACGAATCTGGTGCCAAACTGTCTTAAATGGTCAACAACACATTTGGTGAATAATGAAAGAGGAAATATGACAAAAGTGACTCTAAGCTGTTAGTAAATCCAATATCAGGCAAGAATGGGACAACATTTCACTTTTAGAATCCCAGAAACTGGTCTCCTTGGCACCCAAATGTTTTGTAAAAACAAGAGGTCATACAACACAATGATGAACAAAAACTTGCTCTATCACAACTTCTTCAAACCTGTTGCTAGGATCAGACTCAAAATGAGTGTACAGTATATTGTGAATACAAACTGTTTGTTAAAGATGTTTGTGTTTATCGGTCTGAATAAGAGGTTTTGGTGCTCTTTGGTCTATGACAAAGATTTTAAGGCTGTTTTAATCCAGGTTTATATGAAGCAAAAAGATACCTTAATCCTTAAAAATCAAGTTTAAATAGTCTAAGAGCCTTCCTAGGGTTTTACACTATAACTACTTACTGAAGCATTTGGAAATATGTCATGCAAAGTTTCTATAAATATCTTCCAAATGTGTAGTGTGATTCATCAACGTAGGTTTTTGTGTTTTAGTTTGTAGGTCTGGAAGCTATGGCAACAGCAATTTCAGACTTGAATCCTTCCTTCTTCCATGTTGGCCATCGCCGTAAACTCCTTCTACTGGGTATCAGTGTCATAAGCTTCTTCATCGGTCTGTCCATGGTCACAGAGGTAAGAAAACGTTTAATAACCTTTTTTTCCCTTAAGTCAGTGTAAGAGTAAAGGGCCTTTTGAGATCTGTCTCTGAGCATGTTAGAAAAGTATAACTGAATACAAATGAAAGTACATGACCATCCAACTCATTCATTTAAAAGTTGTAAATTTAAACTGATTTTCATCATTTTCAAGTTGAGGGTTTTATAATGGTTAAAGGTGGAGCTGTCAGAATATGAGATTCTCCCCAAACGATTATCCTTGTCATAAAAATTTGCAATAATGATACTGTCAAGATATTTATGGAAATAAAACACAGCTAAACAAAGAAAAACACATTTTTTTCTCCTCTTGAAACGTTGATTAAAAGGCTAAATGAAACAAAACCTAACCGGGGTCACGTATCTTCCACAGGGTGGACTTTACATCTTCCAGCTGTTTGACTACTACGCCTGCAGCGGGATGACTCTTCTACTCTTTGCTACGCTGCAGTCTGTTTGTGTTGGATGGGTTTATGGTGAGTTCATTAACAAGAGCGTTTTCCACTGTTTTTACATATGATGTTAAATCTGTTCATCACTGTGTTTCCACCTTCAACACAGGTGCAGACCGGTTTTATGACAATGTGGAGGACATGATTGGATACAGGCCTCTCTCTCTGATTAAGCATTGTTTGAAATATGTCACTCCAGTCATATGCATGGTGAGTTTGGGTATTAATTCACTCTGTGCTCAGTTTATTCGCCCACTGACCATTAGCCAAGTCCAGTGTCTGTTCTCACAGAACACATGTATTTTACGGTTACAGATTTACTACTTTTTAATCATTGATTAAAGCGAGGCAGTGTCCTTAAGAGTACTCAGAGAATTATTTTGAATATGTACGACTACCTGTATAGCAACTCAAGTTGAATGAATTTTATTACTTCCTAAGAGGACAAACCGATGTGTTTTGTATATATGAAGTAGCAAGAGATTTGACTTTCCTAAATCCAATATAGATTCAAAATTGACAGAATGTTCCTGCTTTTGGAAGTAGCATAGGAGTCAATAAACAAGTAGTCATTCAAGTAATTTTGCTTCAAGTTTTGCTCTGGTTTCCTCTCCCTTGTGTAACGCTGTGGCTAAAATCAGCCACTAGGGGCAGAATTTAGCCACTAATTCCATGTAACTTTTTTTTTTTTTTACTGCAGCAAATGGGATGATTTTTTGTGCAGATGGTTATAATGATGGACACTTTGAGAATATGACTTCAAAATTTTCACCAGGTCAAAAATACGCGCTGGGCAAATTTTCATCCGTTGATAACGCTCTGTGGCTATAAAAAGGCACTAACTTTGACTGCTGTAAAAACATTGGGTTAATATTTTTTTTACCTTTTTTTTTCATATATTGGGTTAATATTTTTTTCCATTTTTTTTTTTCATATATCTCTTAATTAACTTCTGCTTTGATCAAAACTAGGGGACCTTTGTTTTCTCCCTGATCAAATACACTCCTCTGAAGTTCAACAATACCCTTGAGTACCCATGGTGGGGCTATGCCCTTGGCTGGTGGTTTACTCTCTCCTCTACACTCATGGTTCCACTCTGGATGGTGTATAATGTGATCAGGACTCCTGGTACACTGCAGCAGGTAAGCTGACAGTTAATTGTTTTAATTGTTTGTGTGTCTTTTCAAAAGCTGAGATTTTATATTTTTCATAACACCTATATTCCTTTATTTCAGAGGATTTCCATCTTGTGTACTCCAGCTGAAGATCTCCCCTTGAACAAATCAGAGAAGAAAGCACTTGAACTGATGGACTTAACCTCATCTCCAGAGGGCATGATGTCTTAGTCTAGCCAGAGGTGAGTTGGAGTAGATTCATATTGAAGCTCGCCTGGCACTTATAAAAACTTACCCTCAAGCACTCCAACACTTTAAAATGCAGTAGTTCCCACTTTTTGGTTATGACTGCTTAAACACAGCTACGTCTTCTTGTGATACCTGTAACTTCTTTGACCACAGGTTTGACCAAAGACTAGTTTGTTTGAGTTCTTTTTAAAAGGCTTGAAATGCTAAAAATGATCATAAACATGCGCCCCATCAGATTTATTTTGCAAACCACAGTAGTGGGCCCTGACCACCTGGTTCTATAAGAATGGTTTCAACCTTATTGTGGTGTTACGTCAGGAAGCACAACAGAGCTCAAACCTTGACCCAACAGAGATAATGTAAAATCTACTACAAAGAGGAGACACCAATTTAGCTTTGTAATTTGAGCAGATGCCCCACATAGAGAAGGTGTTCTCAATGCCTTAGCTACAGGCTTGACTAGTGGCCTTGGCCCTTCACTGTATGTCATCCCACTCTCATTTCTCCCAAACATATCCTGTCTCTCTCTCTGGCTGTCCTGTCAATCTGAAGGTTAAAAAGCCTCAAAGTAGAAGTAGAACACAGCAGAGGGAGCCATTTGACTGGAAAATCAATTACTGCCAATGCAATTGACCAGGTGGCTAATTAACCACAGGTCCTAAATTCGTTATCGAAATATATCATATTGTGCGGAAGCATGCCAACTTTTCTATCCTACTGGGTCGTTTACATGTTTGAATAAAAGTCAAATGATTAAGTTGATGCCAAATGCCAAATACATTGAACACTTGAGTCACCTTTAGCTCATTGTCAGTGACTTACAGTCGATATCAGAGTATATTTAGATAGATGAAGTTGTGACCTGAAAGAATAATCCACTAATCTGTTTCCTGTTAAAACTGTGATTGTGTGCACTTTGGCCAACTGAGCCACCAGGCTGTCCCTGCTGCAAAATGGCTCTGCTATAAAAAGGGCATGAACTTGTCACACAGGAGGAGACAATTCAGCACCGACACATGTGTGTGTGTGTGTCTGGTTGTAAATATGAGAAACTGTTAATGCCAGCAAGTATGTTTATGTTGGTGGAAGCACTGGGTGCTTATAAGGAACTCTGTGCAAAGTTGTCGGCTGTAACAGTCATATTCCCAAATTGATATATATATTTTTAACAGTAATAAAGAACATATTTAATGTGTTATTCAATGTCATCATTATCTTTGATTGTGAACTCTCAGTTAGGAAGTTTCCTGGTTACTGTTTTTTATCAATTTGTATAGTTTGATACAAAAAATGAAGTTTTAGTAACTCCTAATTGCTGTATGACATTTTTCAACTTTAAGAATCAACTTTTTTTTTTTGAAGAGATGATCTATTTTTAAACGATTTTTCCATGTGTTGACACTGATAATGTGACATTTTATATTAAAGCAAATACCGTCATGTGAATACCTGTCCATCATGAATGACAAATCAGCTCATGTTTAATTAAAGAAAACATTTTGGTGATTGTATAGATTTTAACACTGTTACTTAATTAATGTATGTTTTCCAATGATTTTCAATTCATTGTATTAAATAATGTGCCATGCTTTATATGCTATCCATAAAATCTCATGCCATGAATCAATAAAGTGGCTCGTCATTACTGATTTATCTTCTCGTTTGAGTGACATGTTTGTTTATTTATATTAAATTATTCATTGACTTCATCAAACTAAGCCAACTATTGAGGAAAATGTAAGTTCTTTAACAAATATGAATCAACTAAGTATGGTAACAGTTAGTTGTTTCATAGTTGTTTTCATGATTTGTTTTAGACATTTATTTTTCATCAGACGAATCCATGAAAGTGAAGTGAGGATAACCAGTGTAATTGTGTTAATTTGATTGATAATATTGATCTATGTTACCAAGACCAACTATAGTTTAATATGCTGAATTGAGCAAAAAGAGGTTTAGGAAATCATTGTCTTTTAATTTGAGTCTGAGTAGAAAAATCTACTTCTACAAATCGTTGGCAGTAGCTTAGGAGGTAGAGCTGGTGGTCCAACAATTGGAAGGTTGGAGGTTCAATTCCCCCCTATACCTAGTCTGTCCATTGTGTTCTTGGGCAAGGCACTTAACCCTCCTTGCTCCCAGTGTACGTCCTCCATTGGTGGGATTTGTATGTATGTTGCTTTGGGTAAAAACATCTGCTAAATGACACTGTAACTTGTAAATTTCAGAAAGACTAAATGTCTTAAATAATATTGCGCTGCATTAAAACTGAATTTTAGGAGACAAATCAACACCTCATCACTTTCTCATTCAATCATTTTATGACATTTTTTTAATCTTTATGCTTATGACAAAAGCAAACCTATTCATATAAAAACACCTTGAGATACTGACCTGCATAGCTTGAACAACAAGACTTCTTTTTTAATGCAACCTCTTGAATTTATTTTTAATGCTTCAAAGTGCAAAAAATAAAAAAAATAGAATGAAGACATGAACAAAGGTACCTCACATACTTTTTTTGCTTGAATATATTTCTTTTGCATAACTGCAAAGTCCAAAATATTTTTAACATTTTTGTTTTACAATGCAAAAGTCTTTTGAATAAATGTAAACATTTTAAATGACAAAAAAATAGTGACAAAACCAATTTCAATTTCATAAACTTTCAGCGTTCAAAAGTTCCTTTTTACGTTAAAATGGTTCAAATTATTCCTCTAATTGGCAGATATTTAATTTTGATGATGGATGTCTGAAAACTTTTTTGCACTTTCAGAGGGGGATTAACATTCAATATATTCTTAAATACAATTTAATAACTAGAAAAAGTACTTCATGCTCATTTCCACTGTACAAAAAAGTTTGACTGTTCAGAGCCAGCAGTACTCAAAAACATTTAGCAACGAGCCGTTTAAAAACCTTGCTAACATATAACAATATACAGCATATTAACACACACACTCACACACATACACACTGTATTTTTTTGTTGTTGTTGTCTTTTTTGTTTTTTTTTTGTTTGTTTGTTTGTTTTTTTACATAAAATATTTAAGACAGTTAAGGTTTTCATTCTGAACCAACCAATGTTTTTAAAACATCTCAAGGTTATTGTCAAGATTTCATCCAGACATGTCATGAAAAGATAACAGTGTTGGTTTGACAGTCATGTAAGTGCAGCATTGTCCACTATCCACTAACATTCACACATATCAAAATAAAAAAATAAAAATAAAAAGATGCAGTGAAATAAGGTGACGTCTGTTGACTGAGGCAAAAACGGTCTAAGCAGATGTAAAACTGATCACATGACCAGAGCTGAAAGATCCCTGAACTGTGAGACAATCAGAGAAAAATGGCAGAAATGTGTGGCTCTGAGGATTATAAAGCTTCATTTGCAGTTCTGATCCCTTTCCCACCTCTTTTTTACAGAGTCAAACATGCTACAGCACATCAACTCTGCGTGATACAAATGTGGGAACAGGGTGATGTTATGATTGGAACTTTTTTTTTTGCTTAAAGTTTCACTCATAGTTTCATTACAGCTTGTAAAACGATCCTGCGTGGATTCAAAAGTTGAGTAAAAGTTGTATGTTTGCTAAGATTGTGCTGATATGCTGTTGATGCTGATACACCATAAGGTAAATGCGGCAGAAGTAGAAAGTCATGAGTCACTAAAATCTACCAAAGCTGAGGCGCCGACGCGTTTAGCTCAAAATATTTTTTTAACTTCCTTTCTTAAAAAAACATTTTTGCAGCTGCCACTTGATCAAACTAAAACAAAAAGGATGATATCAAGCAAGCTTCTGATGTTAGGTGTCTGTACTGTGGCATCACTTATTAATAAGACACGAGATTTCAGCAATTAATTCATGACCTTTCATGCACCTCTCTACTGATAGATGAGTTAATGCATGGCAGTGGTCTGATCCTTATTATGAGATTTCTTATTTCTCATTTTTTACCAAAACAAGGGATTAGATTAGACTGTTTTTTCTCCCTGTACAACAGTTTAGGTTTTTTTTACATGCTCAGTTTGGCTTCATTAATCGTTCATAAATATCACATATCAATCTCACGTTTTTATAAGTTGTAACTATCAACAAACTCATGGTGAAACTGTGAGTCTGTCAGAATTGCAACTCATATATTTGGTTTCATACAATATCTGTTTGTGCTTGTTTTTTCATTCTTCTTTTGCCTCTGTGTCTACTAATTGGACACTTGTAGTTTCATTTAGTGATTTTTAACAATATTGAACAACCATGACTGAAGAGGGGTCTATTTCTTTTGGATTCTGGGTTTATGTGATTGCAATGTTGCTCTATTTTCTGTATTTTCCCAGTGAGTGATGAATGCGGACTTTCCTACATCATGATTGTTCTTGATGAACCAAAGCTACTTGTAAATGATAGATGATTTGTTTTTCACACTAATGCTTGTTTCCGTTCAAAATACCACTTAGCTGACAGGACTTGTTACAAAGTACATATTGCACATGAAAAAAATTGCAAAGTTTCAAGTCTGAATCCCAAAAACCTCATGATACATGCAATGCAGCTGCCCAAGAAAATGCTTAATACAAAATACAAGTCAAAGTACAGTTTTGGAATTTGAAAACACACCGTGGAGACACATCTCGGCCCTACACAGCAGCCAGATGACACATAAAATGGAATTTCTCTGTGTTTTTTGAAAAAAATAAATTATGATGTATTTTTAAAATAAAAGTTAGGGCTTGAGGTGTTCAGACCTCAGCTCACTGAGTCTGCAGTCCTGAATCCGCTGGAAGTTTAGTCCTGGCAGTTGCACAGTTGTGTGCGGCAGAGGAAATGCTGTTCGGTTTGCAAATGTCCCTGCTCACACTCTGCTTTATATGCAGGAATGGTAACGTTGTACTGAGAGAAAGAAGTTCAGATTTCAGGCCTTTGTACGACTTCGTTCCTAGAGAGGCTTTTTCCCTCCCTTTCAAAAACGTCGTTAATAAGGGCAGTCCTGACTCCTTCGTCGCCGTTTAGTGACCACCTCACCGTTCATGCTGTTTCTAATGCTGTCATCCCGTCTCCGTTTTGACCTCCTAGTCTGTAAAGTAGAGATGAAAAACAAGTGACTACGCTGGTCTGAAATAATCCATTTTTAAAAAGATGGATGGATCAGATGGATAGATTCAAAATGTCTAATGAAACTGTGAAATTCAAATATCTTAAGTTTTTAAATAAAGAACTTCTGATGTTTTTACTCCTCTTCTACAGAAGATATGCACTTTTGTGAGCAAATTCACAATTCCCCTGACTGACCACTAGAGGTCAGCATCACACTGAAGACAGCCCAGGAGCAATACCACAACAGAGGACAATACAACAGGACGGCATACTGGAAAATTGCAACTGAATCTGCATGTAGTTGATTCCTCAGCTTTCACTTAAATAAGACAATCCTGACATGAATATAATAACATTTTACATGACATTTGAGTCATAGTGGAGGGATTTATCTCCATCAACCGTGCCTGTGGTTCTTATTATGATACCCAATGTGGCTGACCATGAGTCCAGCAGCTTTTCTCATTGAGGTAAATTAACTGGTTTAAAAGGTATCATGGGAATCCAATCTCCAACCCATTAAAAAACTGGCTATCGTGAATTCTTAAACAATTTGTGGATAAAGAAGATAAAGAAGTTTGTAGTTTGAATTCTATTACCTAAGAATAAATCCCAAAAAAGGCTTTAATCTTAATATCAGTGGAGGCTAAGGTGTAAATTTGATTTGTTTTAGTGCTTCATTTTTGGTATTACTTTGTTTTTTTACATGGAAATGTGACAGCTGTACATAGCTAGAGAGATATCAAATGTATTAAAAAAGTATATTTTTATAAAATATATTTATAAATATGTGAATGTGTGCTAAAGTTTGAAAAAAACCAAAAATATCATTGTTAAAACTAACACAAACATTTCACTCCCTGGGTGAAGGAAAATCAAACACAGGAGCAGAGAAGAGGAAAACAAAAGCACTTGGTTTGACTGTTTTTCTACGTTTAGCCAAGAACAGTGAGTTAACAGACCTTGGCGTCCCGTTCTGCGAATTTCTGGAACATGTTGGCGTAGGTCCTCTTGTCCTGCTCATGATGTTCCTTAATCTTGCTCTGGCAGATGGAAATCTGGGCGCGAGCTGCTCGGTTTGAGGGGTTGACTTGGAGCACTTGCTGAAAGTCTGCCATAGCCAGGCTGAACTCGTTTCGAAGAAGCCGGGCCTCCCCTCGACGATACAAAGCCTTCTCATTATTCTCATCCAGCTCAATCACCTGAAAACAAACACACAAAGTAACATGTTTTCAAGCATCCAGGACACCCAGGAACACAAAAAAATCCAAGCAGTGACATTCAACTAAACTACATTCAAATACAGGGTTTCATCAGGGCTTTGCAGCTCACCTTGTTGCAGTTTTCCACGACTTGTGAGAACTCTTTTATCCTCAGGTAACACAGCGCTAAATTGAGGTGTGACGTCAAAACAAAGTCCTGTATCCTCTTCTGCTGCTCTATCCCAGTACCACACTCCATTTCTAGCCAGGAAACAATGCGCTGGTACTGGATGACTGCCTGGTGATACCGCCCAGCCTAATACAGGAGGAAAACACTATTTCACAACTTCTTCATAAGGTTAACATGGAAAAAATATCTATATTCGAAGGTCAGCGTTGGGGCAGTACCTTGAAATAATAATTCCCTTTATGCTTCACTCCGAGGGCCAAATTCAGCTTTTCGTTCAAGTCCATTTCCCAGGATTCTTTCACCTAATGGAAACACAGAATGTCACAGAAAATGAGCAAACAATGGTTGTTATGTTTGAGGTAATCAGCTGCTAATCTCTCCATGGCTGCGTAGAACATCCTGAACTTTTGTGCTTGAATTTGTTTGTCTCTCATGAGAAAATCGACCAAACCCACGTTTTGACCATCTAGAGTCTTTCTAAAATGTAGAAAAGCAAGACGAGCCTCACCCTTTTAAACTCTTTCAGGGTTACTTCGTATACGATTTCTTGGTCTGGTCCAATTTTGTACTCCGGTTTACCTTCACTTCCAAAGGCATACCTGTGGAGAACAAGGAGGCAAACTATTTCAGAGCATGCGAGAAGTGTTTTTTTTTTTTCAAGAAATGAAAAATGAAGTTAATTATTACATATTGAACAGTTTGAATTGCTGCAAAGATGAATGAACTGACAACTCTGATACTCGCCGTGAGTGAAACTTACATTTATATTTTAGACAATGTGGTGCGATAAAACTCCTTAATTTCTCATTTGAGTAAAGGCTTTACAGTTTTGGAAAAGATTATATCCTTGAGCTTTACAGACAGTTTTAATATATCTTTGATTTTTGTCTCAGATGACTTGAATTTAGTATAGAGCGTGTTCGTACAGAATCTATCATGTATTCCGGTCAAAATGTTGCACTCGCTTGCAGGGAAAATATCTGTGGATTCAGAAATTGAGATCATGGGTGAAATCTTATTGAATTGAATGAATCGGTACAGACCAGAAAATAGGATAATTTGGGAAATACAGTCCCTTAAAGGGGTTGCCAAGAGATGAGCAGAGTTGAACTGATTCCTTAGAAGAATTAGATATAGATAATCGAGTATGGAGAGAAATTTTTTAAATGTGAGGAATTATTTAGGTTTTAGTTGGAAAAGCATTTCGGGTCAGTTTTAGTCTCACCCGGTAACTTCTTTGTGTTGATTCCCAGTATAAATTTAAGTGCAATATGAATTCTGAGTACTCTGCTTTTGCCTGAGGAGCTGATGGGGAGGGCTGGTGTGGGCTGAGTTACAGGAAAGATATGATGTGGTTTGGGCAGAACATTGTGTTCTCTTTCTTTTTATAATCTTTCTGTATTTCACTCGATTTATTTATTATTGCTGAAAATACTTTGTGTAAACAGGGGAACTGAGTGGCTGTGATTCACATCCATGCAGGTGACTGTCTTTGTTTGCATGAAAGATGAACAAATTAATCTTTTTACAATTCAAGAACAAGTAAGAATATAATTTGCTTTTATTCTTATGATGTTTGGTCTCTCTGTTAAGTGTCAGGTCATGCATTGAATCCTTTGAAAATCTCTGTACACCAGAGAAAATAGACCGATTATTTTGCCTCTAAGAATAAAACCGGCGGTCAAATTGCCACACGGTAAGTGCTGCACATGCTGGTATTTTACTAACACTCTAAATTATACGTACTATTTCTATTATAGCTGTACTAAAACGAATACTACGCCGTCCTCCTAGGATTGAAAAACTCACCGCATGACTTCTGACATCAAAAGATACCGTGTTTGAACATATAGTATATATACACGTCGTCTACAGCACAAAGCATAAGTATATATTTATAAGTTCTGAGTTTTAATTCATTTTATTGAATGCTTAAGTTCAACAGAAAGCCAAAAAAAATTAAGGTTCAATAGATGATCTTTATGAAATGTTCTGTTTTTCCCTGAAGATTTGGTATCTGTCTTCTATTCTGCACAACAGGAAACTGGAGAGGGCATTTTAAAGCAGCAAAATCAATCATCATCCGACTGGAAGCCTATTTTACCTCCCATGAGCTTAAAAGTTCCTGGGGATATAATTTGGCTTAATTGCTATAATAAAAGGCTACATGAGGACACATCATGCTCACTCAGTCAAAATAACCACAAAGCCGTCCCACTCGAAAACCGCTCACTGTGTACCTACAGCGTAAGAGCAACGGAAGAATTGTTTAGGTTTCTTTTGTTAACTTACTTTGGTTGTAAATAAAGTACACAGCACTCTCCTTTCTGCATCTTGTCCATGGCCCGGTCCACTCCAAGAGGAACACCTTTATCTTCAGCCTCACCCACAATGAAGCTGACGTCTCTGCAGTCAAACAAGCGGCCTCCACACCTGCCTTCCAGGTGCACTGCAACACAAATGACACAAATAATCGTTCAAACCACCGTTTTATGTTCCTTTATCTGTCCTCTTACAAAAAGAAAAAGCTCTTTACCGTCAACACTTGCTCCATCATTTGGATTAGTGTAACCTTCCCCTTTGACTTTTATTCTTCTTAAAATGCCGCCATCATCCGTGAGCGTCTCTCCTTCAAACTTGAGGAGCTCCATCTGTTTGATGTAAACATTTACTTTATCATTGCACGACACTGACAGGGGTATAAAGCAGAGAACAAAATTACAGCTCTGCCCAACTTGGTGTGTGGTGCTTCAGTAGGTGTGGGAGGAGAAAAGCAGAACATAACGAAAAACAAGTAGGAGTCAAAGCAATGAAAAAAGAGAAATAATGACTTTAAAGGAAGCAGCGGAGGGAGATTTTGCAGCCAGACAAACAACATATTTATCAAACTTTACACCCCTATTAGGAAAAGATATGTGTGACAGATTAGTCAGCTATTATCAAGAAGCAGGGTTTCAACCACATTTTTACCTAACAGCTTTTCTTTCCTGTCTTCTTGAGGTCAAGGTTTTTCAACTTAGTGTGATAGTATTTGGTATTTTTGCTGCCTTAAAAGATGTTTATACTGTGGAAAGTATTTTTAAAGCTCCTATGAGGAGTAAATCTTCCAGATCTAATGAAACCACTTGCAACAAAATTTATCATTTCAACAGAGTTGTTTTTATCACACTGACATGATGTACGTAAACCGAAAAAGATACCAGAGAGATTTTAAAACAATACTCAGACATGTACAGGACTAGATCAGCAATGAAATAAAAGCCATGAAAAGATTCTTAACAGGAACTTTGATGTAAACAGCATCTCTTTACAAGTAAAGCTATTTTAAAGCCACAGTAAGAAGTTTTAATCTGATTGTCAACAGACTGATACAAACAGTGATGACTCTTCGTGACCTACAAAGGCAAACAAGACCACCATTGTAATTATTTTAAATGCCTTTAACCACCATAAGAGGTTAGATGTCAGACCGGATGATCAACATCTTTCCAGAGAATCAGTCTTTTACTCTCTCTACAGCAAAATTAAAAGTAAGAGAAATGTTTGACTGTTTGTCCACAGGGGGCGCCAAAACCGACACAAATAGAAAGCTCCCATAAGTCTTTCATGTTTAGTTAATAATTTCAAACACATTTCCCCCAAACTTTAAAAAGCAATGCTGTATCTGATATTTATGGAAACTACGAGATCTTTTCTCAGATTTAAAACATTTGGAATGGTTTTAAGAAAAATTAAATACTTCCAACTCACATGTTAAAATCTTTTAAGTTGTATATACTCACCTATTATAAGTCTATTGTTGGTACTATTATTTTTATCATGAACAGTTATGATATATTATATTTTCATAAAGATGACTACTATTTTAAAAAGCTATATCACAGTTGACATTCATTATCTGTTCATAGACGGAGTAATTAAAGTTGTTGACAAATAGAGTGATAACCATGTATGCTTACAGCTACAGTATAGTGTGTGGTTTACATTTTATTGAATGTTAGTACACCGCAAATAAGTGGAAAAACAGAGTTGGTAACACTTTACTTGATGCCTATCTCTATAACACATTATAAATATATGTATAATGGGTTATAATTGTGTTATAGCACTGTATAACTATAGTTATAAACACTCATAAATGATCATAATGAGTTATTAACAGTTATAACACATTATAATACCTGATCTTGTAAGTCATGATCAAATTCTTTATAATGTGTTGTGATTATTGCTATAAAGCATTTTGATCAATTATGAGTGTTACAACTATAGCTCTACAATGCTATAACATGATTATAATGCATTATACACATATTTATGATGTGTTATAGAGATAGGCGTCAAGTAAAGTGTTATCATAAAGTTTATGTGTTGCTAGTTGCTGCTTCTTAAATTATGGAGGAAAAATCCTTATATTTTAATATCTAATCTCTAAATACGCTTAAACAAGAACCACATAAAGGGGCCAAAACTAGACCCCTGAGTTTGGAATACTTGGTAACACCTGTGGCAGTCCCAGAAGATTATTTTTTGGCATTAACAAAAGTGGAGCATCGACAAAGAAAGAAAGAGGGAAAAAAAACATGTTTATAACAGGGCTGTGTCCATGGGGAGTGTATTGTATAGCAGGACAGTTCACTTAATCTCTTTGGCCTTTTCCCAGAACAGAACAATAATTATCATTGATTGTAGGGGACAGAGAGGCACTGAATTGTATCCCCACTGTGCTAAAAGAGGTTGGTTAGAGTGGGGAGTGGACTGAATATTCTGGCTGCTTGACTGAGAGGGATTAAAATAGACAAACCAGTTAATTTTCACAACCAGAGAGCTCCTCCTGCGGAGACTGACACATGCTCTTAAATTATCAAGGTCCCATGGTGCGATGCAGAGTTAACAGCAGCACAGACGTTGGGCACCTACCTCAAACATTACTGATGAATTCGGAGGAATCTTTTCAGGGTTACCCGCGGTTCCATAAGCATATTCAGGTTTACACAGTAACGTGCACACCTCTCCCCTTTGCATGGACAACACACCAACATCCCAGGCCTTGAGGACTTGTCCTGTAAGTGAAAGAAGCATGAAGATCATTTAATATTTTAAGATTTATTAGATTATCTTAATATTTGGAAGGATTCAAAGTAATAGTTTGGAGAAGTTCCAGAAGAACACTTCAATGACAATATTTTTTAATATGAAGCTACTGAAAGGGGATTTTTAGCAAAACATAAATAATAGAACCAAAGAGAAATGCCTCACTTGGTTCTGTTTAAAAGAAATATAATTCTCTGAAACAGCATAAAACCAAAAAAATAAATAATCAGCGTGAAAACCTCAAGTCGGAGTTTTACAAGAGAGAGAGTTTATTTTTCCAGCTACTCCTCGTTTCTGAGAAGTTATTGCTCCCAGACAGGAATAGTCTAGCAAATTATCAAATAATCCCCTTATAAATCCTCTTCTTTTGTTTTGTTTTCACAGTTTATTTTTTCACAGATTAAACAAACAAGATAGAAAATTATTAGTTGGCAGCTTCGAGAGCTGCTGGTTGGTGGACTCTGTCGTGGAGCAGAGCCTGGCTATCTGTAGTTGTTTTCAGTCTGCTGGCTATTGCTTCATACTCAACAAAAAGGGGAAGGCTTCATTCTTCTCATCTTACTTTGAATCTTTATAAACACTCTCTGTTTATGAATGCAAAACTTGAAGTCGAGGGAAAGGATAATTACTATCAGAAATGTTCATTTTAGCTAACGTGAACAGCAGAAGAGGCAGCAGACATCAGCTGTGATACAATACCAATCCTAACTCCATATAAACAGTTTGGGATGTTTTAACCTCTGACCTCTGCTCTGCCTGTTATGTAGTGTTGTGGTCCAAGGTAACAAAATTTGATTTAACTTTATACCTGCAGATTTACTCTCTTTACCTCACCTTACTAATTAAAAAATACAAAAATGAGCAATTGGACACTGTCTCTAAATCCAAGCTTCATTGATGTCGATTCTAACATGTGCAGCCAAGGAAACCAGAAAAATTCGCCTCAGATTCCTCCAGTCTCAAGTCTTGCGCCACCCTGAATCCCCTATTACCCTATTTTTGAGATTGAATGTGTAACATCATTATTCCACCACTGCTGACTAACTCTTAGTTGTGGATTTTTTGCTATTTCTCAATAAAGCTGACAACAAAAAAAAACACTACCCTGAAAGCCCTTACAAGTTTGTTTGTTGCTACTTTTTCAGGCCATGGCTGACCGGTTGGCAAATTTTCTTATCAGCAAGTCAGCAATTACTTTCAGTAATGGTCCAGAATTTGAAAAATGTCCTCACACAGGAAGAAAAAAAGCCCAGCTGGTTTGGTAGGAATGTCTAATTTGAGCTTACCTTTGCCTACATTGAAGCTAAAAGGTTCTTTGCGGTCTCGACTGCAGTCGAATCTCTTTCCAGTGAGAAGTTTCCCAGTGTAGTGGACAGTCACCCTGTCCCCAATCATCGGCCGGTCTCCATCTAGGCCAGGATGTTTCACGACCTGCGGACACAAAGAAAAGCTCACAATAAGACCAAGAAACCCTCTTTTTTTAAGGCCACAAAAATAACAGATAGGTCTAGATGAAAAAAAAAACAATGATCAAACCTTTGAAAATTTGAACGTCTACAGAGAAAGTATTAAAAGCAGTGACAGCACATACCTTGATAACTCCTTTGTCTTTGTTAGCTGTTATGTCAATGCCCTTTGCAGCAAACACAGCAGTGGCTGACTGGCCGTCCATAGGTAGATCCTGATCAGTGGTCATTTCTGTGTATCGGCATCACACAGTAACACTGTAAGAGATAATAAACACAGAAGTCTGCTTTTTAGCAATCCGTGCCATAAATAACATTCCTGTGCCTCATGTCTTCACAGTAGACAAACGTGCAACAAGACAAACAGCACATGATAGACTATAAATCTAATTTGCAGGGCTGAGCAGCGAAATCACTCTTTCGCAGAAGTTATTAATGCAAGATCCTCCTAATCCTCCAGTAAACATGCTTTCCCAAACATTATATAACTTTTGGCCATAGGAGCGCACATGTCCCGAATCAATGTGCTGCACAGGAGATATTTTTACAGTTTCACAGAAAATACCATGTTAACATTGATCCCAGCTGTATGAGGGACGTTACTCGACACTGCAGTTTCTAACTCTACTGCACCTTGTCTGATTCCCAACAGATGAAGCAATTACTCTACCATAAACATGCGGCATCAGCATGCTGCTTACCTCACTCATTTTATTTTGTAACATTCACTGCACTCACTAAAGTACAGTATGTTCCGGACTATTTGTTTATCGCTCTTTGTGCTCTTTGTCAATCTATAAATAACATCCACATATCTTATGAAATGTGCAGCAGGGCTGAACATTGCTCAGGTATTTTCACTCTTAATTGTGTAATGGTATCTGAACCCTAGTCTTCCTCCATGTGCAGGAAAAGTGTGGGCTCACACAGTGTACAGATGCTGTCGGTACAGTCATGTAATCTCCCCCCGTTGTGTTTGTGATGAAGCAGGTTGAAATCTTAAAACTGACGCCACTCGTCTCAAGTAGGGATGTTAATAACATCTTATTGGAGCACAGGGCTACATGTGGGCTGTTTTTATTTGTTGCATGTGTGCGTGTGTGTGTGGCATTGTCGGAATAAGCTTGTATGCTGCCTCCTCGAGGGCTTTTAGGCTTAATTATTGTGGTTTCTTGTACTTTTATTTCTTATTTCATTTCATCTGTGGTACAACAAGTAAAGACTAGAACATTTTATAGATACAATTTGTCAGAACGAGGGAAAAGGAGGCAAATGTTACAGACGCAAGGACAGTACGCAATGTACACAGAGGCTTTCAGACGGGCAGAAATAGGTATTTGAGAGTCTTTCTGGTTGTAGGAATTTCATTCCTGCCGTGCTGAGTAAATGTTATAGCCTTTATGGTTTTCACAGTATTTGACCTCAACCTTTATGGCCATTATGCCCACATGACTTTTTTTTCTGTATTCCTTTCTTTAAATAGCCCTCTCATCACACTTGAGGCTCATGCAGATGAATACAGTATATTCAATTATCTTAGATAGATAGATAGATAGATAGATAGATAGATAGATAGATAGATAGATAGATAGATAGATAGATAGATAGATAGATAGATAGATAGATAGATAGACCTCTGATTTACAGCAACAACAAAACTACACCTGCAGCTTTTCCACGGTCATAAAAATCTCACAGCCTGTGTTTTTTCAGCACTTAAACATTACCTCTCTCTCATCACAGCAGCGGCCCGTGTCGAGAGTCATTGTTAGCAACCTCAATACAAATAGCTGCAGGCGGGTTCAGTCCGCTCTGGCAAAATAGTCTTGACATTGTTTGAGGACAATGAAAAAAGCTGGTTGGCTATGTTAAGTATGTTGGCAAACATACTATTTGCCGATGATTATCACATGAAACAGCTGAGTTGTTAACACTCGCTTGAATAGCAGCAGCTCACAGCTGTTGTGGGACTGTGTTGTGGTGTTGCTGATGTGAGGATTTTCGGCCAGTGTGAAGTTGCAAGTTGAGAGGGGAATATCCGCAATGATGAAACAAAAGTCAGGACGGGTTCTCGAGAATTGCTTGTGTTTCTCACAGGAGTTGAAGCAATATTCAACATTTCAACACGCTGACAATGACTATTTTCATCTTCAGCTATATTTACTGCAAGAAAAAAAGGGAGTATAATTTATTTTTCAACCTGACTGTAAAAGGGGAAAGAGGTTAATATAAAGGCGTGAATTAAAGTGAGCTTGTGTTGATCCATTTATAAGAACAACTAATGGAAGACAGATGAAAGATAATCTCACTGATTTTAAAGTCAAAACCCTTGAATGAAAATCATTTCCCATTATCTCAGCTGTGAGCACCTGATGCTTTGTGACGTTGAGTAACATTTAGGTGTTTCTGCCAAAAGAATTAGTATTTTAAAAAGTACAGAATTTATATCATAGCTGCCTAATCATCAAAAACTCTGCCAACATGACCAAAGTCTAAATTATTTCTGCAGCAAAAACTGCGATATTAGGAGCATGTTTCACATTTCCTCAGAGACTATTTGAGGCTGCAAGCTTGGCTCGAGGGCATTATAAGAGAGCAGAACGGCTGCTCTAAATCCATGCATACATCTTCCAGAATTTTCCATCACTTGGCCTGTTTTCTCCTTCCGGACATCCCAGAAGCCGGTGATGACTATGTGCAAATATCTGGACATCCCTCCTTGGTGACTAAGTTCATAGAGAGCTTGTAATGTGAGAAATTAAGTAACAAAGCTTCGTCCAGTGAGGAACGAGCTCACTGCACTGGATATTGATCAAGACATGAACTCGTTTCCTCAGACTGGAAAAGACCAGCCGCTAACATCCGCCCATAATGACATGTCTTACTGGTGTCTGCACAGTTCATCCTGCATGTCCAATTTTGTGTCACTGACAGGGGATCAAGTGTTTGTTTACTGAACTCTTCGACTCGAGCGTGGGACAAAATGTCCATCTCTTGAGAGCCAACACCTTGCCTGTTGACTTTTCAGTTTGGTGGTTTTCATTTTCGATGTGACTTGATGTGTGTATGTACATGTGTGTACGTGTGTATGTATGTGTGTGTGTGTGTATGTATGTGTGTCTGAACACAATGTTCCTTCTATTCACAGTTCCCCGCTGGCAAAGTCTGATGGTGCTCACCAATCTGAGACCCCCTCACGGACCACACAGCTTCAGGTTTTAAACAACAAAAGGAAGATATCACTCATGTAATTATGCTAATTTATAAACTCCTCATATGAACATCAACACACCACTTCAATTCAAACAAAGTCAGTGTGCATTTGACTGCATTTTGGATAGTCATCCTTAATGGATTCACATGTAAAGGCCTTTCTTAAAGTTATTTAATCAATGTTACATTCAACTTTTGTCTTTTCTTTTTAAACAAATTATCTCCATGAAACAGTGAACAGTGAGACTAACTGTAAATAGCTCAGGCTCAGACAAAATGGCATGTAGGCTTCATGTACCTAATCTGAGATACCCAGCGTAGGAATGCAGGAACACATCACAATGAGGCAAAGACCACATCCACAGACGCACACTGTGTATCTGTACATTCTGTCTCACATCCGTGCTCCGCTGCTGATTCATACATGAACATGTGAGCACACAGTGTGCATGACCGTCCCAGAGACTGAAACCCTGAACCACAGCAGTCTCTCACATGGGACAGTCTCTTTTTTTTTTTTTTATTCTACTACCAAACGCATCAAAGAATGATTATTTTAAAAAAAGCGTGTGAAGTTGTTTATAATAAGGCTGTTACTCTTTTAGAGAAGATGCTGCTCTGACAGGGTCCTGACATGCGTGTGCTCTGGCTGTGATGTTTGATGTTTTTATGAGGCCATTTAAAGGAACTGTGAATCTTTTTATATCTGTGTATGAGAACATGATGTTATTTCTCTTTACTGGAAAACATAACCTAAGGTGCATCCAGATCTGGTCATTTTTCTCAAACTGTGGCCTGCTCTGATCCTATTTCACCATTTCATATGATAACACCCATATACTTTGAGTCATTTAGAGGCTTCCTCACCCCGTATTGTGAAGCGAGGTCTAAAAAAGAGTCAACACAATGAATGTGACTAAAAAAGGGTACGTCAATGAGATACAGTACCTCTAAGCCAGAAGGGGTCCTCTCTCTGCATGTAAACTGTAGTCGTTATCCACCACCAGTGGCAGCCACATTAACACACACACATACACTCACCTATACACGCTTACATGTGAATTCTTTTCAGCCCTTATTTACCAGAGCACACAGTGAGATACAGCTGAGTGTATCCTCAAATGCCCCCATGGAGTGGCAGATTCAACATCCAGACGTGAACATCTTTTTAACAGAACACCTTCAACTGGACATCATGTTTTTTGTTTTTTTTCTACAATGGTTTGCAGGTTTTGGGGTGTTGGAGGGATGAGGAAAGCCATTCTTCTCTCTTCACAGTGTGTGTAGACTATATAACAAGTGTCCCTTTAAGTCACCCAGACATGAAGAGGGAACATCAGCAAGCCGGTAGACACAATGCCTCCATTAGATGCTTAATTAAGTCCTCAAAGAGCGGAACAGAAGTGATAAATAGAAGAAATAAAGACTCACATTACCTTGAGTTTTCTGTTTTGTATGTCTTCTCCGAAAACAGTGGTAGCCGGCTGGAAATTCGGTCTTATTCCTCCTTAATTCAATCCCGCCCCTCTCATCTGATACCATCCAGGGTACTAAATGTTCTGCCCATGTGCTCACTATGTAGCACTGTTTTTGTCCTTTTCTTTTTTCCTTTTTTTTTCAACCACCCCCCTTTTTATCCCCTATCCCCTCTGTTGACGATAAACGTGCCGGTGAAGTGGCCACATGGATCTCAGACTTGGAAATGACACGAGTGAGAGAGTGAGCGAGAGAGGCAGACACTCAGACACGAGTGAGAGAGAGAGAGAGAGAGAGCGAGAGAGAGAGAGTAAGGTAGAGTTGTGGGAGGGTGTTTAGTGTAAAATTAAGGGGCAGGTCTTGGAAAGCAGCCACAAAGTAACACAATGTTCCGGCTGTACTGTAGCTGTACTGCTGCCGCTGCTGATGAGAACACTGTGTTCCAATAGACACCCTGACCTGTAACCCGTTCCGTGCCGAGCCAGGCCGGGAACAGCCTGTACCGCAGCAGGCTGTTCTCTCCACTCAGCTGACAACACATATCATCAACACTGCTGTGTGTGTACTAGCCGAGCTTTAGCCTGACTAACTAACTGCCTGCCTGCCTTGCGAACTGCGAAGTGCAAGCACCGTAATAAAAGCCCCGTTTGTGCCCCGATAAGACGCGCGCTGAGACGGATTACTGTCGCTGTGAAGGACGGTAAAAACCACAATCCGCTTCTGTGGCCGGACATTTTTCATTCTGAATTGTTGTAACGCACCTGTAACTTATGGGAGAGTGGATTTCGACATGCAGGCATGAGTGTGAACTTCTAAAAGGCAAATTCTTGTGTTATTTTTCGAATTGTGTTGACCATCTCTGTCTATTATTGCATTTAGAGACTTGTGAGCTGCTGCTAATATCCCTGAAAACGAAGTTGCTTCGATGTTACAGCTGTGTAGCTTCAGTTTGTATTCTCCTATGTAAAAGACAGTTTATTTTAACCCTCCTCCTGTGTTAGGGTCTGCACTTTCTGATTGTAAATGCATAAAAGAACCACTTCAATTAGCTTTTTTTTGCATCAAGACTTTTTGACTTTGTCAGGAACCCCCATTTCAAGAATTAAATCGACTATATAATAAAATGGTCTTATTAAAATTATGGCACTTGTCTTGTTAGGGTGGCTGTTGACCCGGTTAGATTAATATCTAACAATTAGAGCAAAATCTGAAATCATAAGTGCACTGTCAGTCAGATCCTCTTCCAATGTCCAGACATTAAATTTGTTTTTTTGCATCAAGACTTTTTGACTTTTTGTCAGGAACCTCCATTTCAACACAATAAAAATTTTAAAAAATTAAATTGACTATATTATGAAATAGCCTTTAATGCCTGAAACCACAAGTTATGGCCAGAAAATTCTGAATTTTTTGGAGCTGAAAAGTTTATTCCACTTGCTACTGAAAACCAACAAAATCAAAATGTCCTTAAAATATAACAAATACATATTGAGCTTGTTTGAATCATTAGATGTTTTTGTAAAGTGATAAACCACAAGAGGACATTTTTATCATTCATCAGACTGTATTCAGGTGTTTTTTTTAGTAATTTGTTGATCATATTGGTTTGATAGTAGTATCATAAAAGTGTGTATCAAATATGATACCAAAGGCAATATTACAAGGTTAAAATGATGGCACTTGTCGTGTAAGGGTCGCTGTTGACCCGGTTAGATCAATATCTAATAATGAGAGCAAAAACTGAAATCATAAGTGCACCACACTGATAGTCAGATCCTCTTCCAATGTCCAGACATGTGAGATCAATTCAGTATAGATGTCTGTGTGAGGCGTATACTGACAAAGAAACACCCAGAGGACCACAACAAAACCTATTATAAGCAACATTTTCATGGATAATGAAACCTAACAAGGTAACCTAGAGATGAGAACCAAATTGGATCTTTCATGATCTCTTGTTTGAAAGTCAAATCCAATCCAGTCAAATTGGATGATGGAGAATTGTTTTTAGTGTAACTTACAGCTGATTTAAGACACGGGTCAAAACCGACCCTTAGCATGATGGGTGCGTAGTAAAAGCTTACAGAGAAGGAAGGTTAAAACCGGCGTATACATTTTTCTGTTTTGCAAAAGTCTTTTGAAGCAACACACATAAGATACAGTTTTTAAGACAAAAAAAAGGTTAATTTACAGGAGTGCACTATGTTGATGTGTTTTCTCAACTCAGATATTCTGCAAATAAAAAAAAAAGTAAGCTGTCTCAGTAAGTGACTCAGTAATAAACTAAGTATACACATGAAAGGAATTTGCCTCTGGTTTCAGTTTGCTCTGAATGTAAACACGCTGTTCCAAGTACAATTTCCAGGAAGACAGAAATAGACGTACGGCTGAAAACAGGGACAACAAAAGCCAAACAAAGACAGGCAGAAAATAAACATTGAACTATGTAGAATGGATGAACTGGCAAAAACATTTAATGAAAAAATATCCCTCTAAATATGTCTATATGTACAAGTCAGACTCAGTGCAGTCAAACAAGTGTGCGAAGGCTTAAATTGTGCTGGTATAAATATTTGATATGTTATGTAATATAATACATAATATAATCCACATGAGGAAAATGTACACATTAAACACGCTACATGGTTGGGTCTTTATGTGCATATAGAAAGAAGGCCATTAAAAGCTGTACTTTATAGTGATGATGTATGCATGCAAGGAAAATTGAGCACTTATTATTTAAATTAGTTTTCTGACACATACTGGAATACACCTTACCAGAGAGTCTAACATGCAACCTACTACAGGCCTTTATGTCAGCTTTTCAGCAAAATGCCATAAAATGTGTCTGTTTTAAAAGTCCCAAGACAATTCAATTTTTTTATTAACAATGTGTTTTAGCTTGCTCAGTTTGTCAAATGCTATTCAGTGGTGCAAAGCGGCACTTTGTGTTTAAGATGTCGTCGTTATAAAAATGCTTCAGTGTCAATGTCTAGAGTGCAACATCATCAATTGGCATGAACAGTAATAAAATTGATCTTTCTTTTTCATCTTGTGTTGTTGCTCCAGTCTGTTTTTTTCAGTATCGATTGATGGGATTTATGTGTCTGCAAGCAAGTTTACCCACAATTGTTAGCACAACAGAAAAAGGGGAATTGAAAGAAAGCTTTAGATTGTCCTGTGCTATCATTCAAAGAAGTTACATCAGGTTTATCGTTTACTAAATGAAGGTTAAAATCATTGAAGTCAACACACTTTACACTACAAATGTAAAGATCAACATCAGCTGATGTAACACTGAAAAATTTTAAAGAAGTATTTCAAGCTTAGCTCATAGTTCAACATAAGTGACAAATGCAAACCAGCTAGCTTTCGTCTTACTGATGAAAGAAGGAAATGTTTTTGTAAATATGTTATTCAAAAGTTCAATAAAAGTTCATTTCCTGTGGAAAAATTGTTTTGAGAGTTTAATTCCTAACCCTTTAACAGTTCTGTACTTGTAACCTGGAGTAGACAGGCTACCAAACTGTACATCTTTCACTCAAACTTGAGAACTGCACTCTAAAAACAACCCAATTTGGGTTGTTTTTAGAGTGCAGTTCTCAAAACAACCCAAGTTGGGTTGTTTTTAACCCAATACCAGAGTTGAAAAGGAACTAACTACTTATTGGGTTATTTTGACCCAGAATGTGTGGTTATTCAAATTAACCCAATCTTCGAGTTAATTTGACTCATGATCTTGGGTTAAAATGATATATGCATTTGGGGAGCTTTTTTTGGGAGCTTTGCTTTTACAACCTGTACACTATTTCCCCATGTACTTTTATCTAACTGATTGGTGGGAATCATTATGTTTTTAAACACATGTTATAATATACAGTTCTTAAAATGTAAAACTATATTAAACCTAACCCACCCCTTCACCGAGCTACCCCATTGTATATATATGTATATGTGTGTGTGTGTGTGTGTGTGTGTGTGTGTGTGTGTGTGTGTGTGTGTGTGTGTGTGTGTGTGTGTGTGTGTGTGTGTGTATAAAATATATATCATATTGTATATAAAATCAAGGTCAAAGTTCACAAGGTCACCAGGCCACTTTAATTGCCATCAGGCCTAGAAACCAAGTAGAGTCAATCGAACCCAACGTTCTGACCAAATTATAGGGTTACTCTCAGAAAAATAACCCATAATTATTAACCCATTCAAAAACCCAAAAAATGGGTATGGATCTGAAAAATAACCCAGAGATTTAACTCAACACGTCTAACCCAGGAATTGTGTTGAAGAAATAACCCAAGAGTTTTTAGAGTGTACTTGTTTACCAGCTTTCTGGGATGTCTTCTTCATGAGTCTGCACACAGACGTAACAAAACTGAAAAACCTTGGATAAATTTTGTGTATCTTTAAACGTATACGGTAAGAAATTTTGTAGGCTGGCGCAAATCATAGCTTGCAAATATCTTTTTTATGAGTCCTGTACCCACAGGTCCACATAGCTTTATTGTTGCTTCTGTAAAATACCGCTCAGGTGTTGTCATGTTTCCTTTTGAGTTTGTGTCTCTATAAATAGCAGACAACACATCCTCATATATTTAAGCACCTATCTGGCACACAGATGTTACGATAAAGGTCCAGTTCGCCTAATTACAGGCATATTTATATATTACATGGGACAAAGCTATGGCCAGAGTCATTGCTGCTTATTAAGAACATAAATTTTAGATGCAAGTGTCTTTGCACTCTTGACCTTTACTTCTGTACTAAAGTTGGGACAGACTTGTCATTATTTCCTTCAGAGTTAATTTCTTCAGGCTTGTGGAGCAGCACGCCCCAAATGACATGATTAATGTGTGCCTCTCCACAACACACATTTCTGTTACCCAAATAAGAGGAATTTTCATGAAACTTTCCAACTTCTTCAACTAAAACTCCAATGTAATAACCTTTACAGAATTTAAAGACACCCTCACATGAAGGTACTAATAATGTATTTGAATGCAAAACTTACACAGATGATAAATGTTGCAGGAAAACTAACCAGACAAAAATAATCACATTAAATTTGCTGGGCTTTGTTTTTGCAGCCAGAATATGAGATTAAAGTTTTAACCTGTTAACCCGGTTGTGGTTGTGTAATATTTTTCAATGGAGTAAATATGATGCATCATCTTTCAGGATCTCTTGTTTGAAAGCCAAATCTCGACCTGCATCTTTCCAGTCAAAGTGTTTCTGTCAATTCTGAAAGATAATCTCATCCAATAAACCTGTTTAGGATGGTTTAATTGTTTCTTTTTATAATCAGGATCCGAATAATACAACCATGTTAAACATTTGAAAACATTTTAAGTTGCAGAATACATATCTTGTTTTTTTCCCCCTGTAATTTCTTTACTTTAAACCTTAAACTTCCCCTGATTTTATCTGTTTTTTGAAGTAAAAGCAGTTTTCCAGAATGACTCATTCAACAATTTTTAAGATGCATGACATTTAAGTAAACATCCGATGTAATGTGAAGTGTTGTTTGTGGTTTTCCATGCCATATAGAAAATGTTCAACCATAGCCACAAGAGTGTGATTACACATCTGTATGAGTTCTGGTTTGGAAAGACTTTTATGCAACTGCAAAAAACAAACAAACATGCAATTAACTCTTATTTGATCTATTGTGTGCAGCAGTTACGTATATTTAAAGCTGCTGTGAGCGGCTTTTGCTTCATGTTGGCATCCCCTGTGGACAAAGTAATACCTCTTATCTCGTGTCCTGTATACATGAAAGTAATGCTTTCAGACAAATACGTCATCCTGTTGGCATCTAACGACAAAATATATCACTCAATGTGAGAATTTGCCACGTAAAAAGTCTAAAAGGTGCTTTTCTTGTCTGCTATTTGTCATCTGATTTGACACCTACCCCCTCACCGTGTTTTTAAGCATTATAGATAACTACAGTGAGACAGTGTTGTAACAAGACTTGTTGCTAATGGTTTTATTTACATTTGAGGGCTTGAAGAGGCAACCTTATTCTTTAAGTATTTTTCTTTACCGTTTAAAAAATTCCTGACAGTGCCTTTAATACAGTGGCTGACAGTGGTCAATAATCTGCAACAGTCTGAGCAATCTTCAGCGGGAGAAATGCACTGCAAATGCAGAAACGACACATCTACAAAAGTCCATAACAAACACGATAGTTATAAGACTCTGCAAATGAAAAAGAAAGTGCTCCAAAACACCAAAACAACGGCGCAAACAGCAAAAACACAGGAAATATACAAATGACACAAAGTGAAACTGATAACACCAAAGAACAATTATCTTTAAAATTTATTTTAGACTCCTGTGAGAAACTTTCAGTTTGGCTCAGTGGTGTTTGCTTTTCTGTTCCTTTAAATTCTTGGTAGTGTCTTTTGACAAACAAAAAATCATCCTGTTACCTTTTGACAGTCAAATGCTTCATCTCATGTGGTTTTCATAAAAAAAGGGCTCTTCCTTCAGCTGCTCAGCTTCCCCCTCAAACCAGTTTCAGGCATTCACAAAAACACTATGTAAAAATCATCAATCTTGTCACTGATTGTCTTGTTTGCATTTGAATATCATAAAAAGGATCCAATTTGAATTTTGACCTTATGTCATAAAAATGAAAAAAACTACTTATAGGAAGTTTAAATACAGCTCTTGAATGAATGAATAAAATATTCAACCTTTGACCATGTGACCTCACATTGAAGTTTCACTCAGCCTAAATATTCTTAGCATTTTAAAAAAACAACTCCTGCTTTAGTGTTTGTGTTTGTGTTAAATAGTTTATAATTCAGGTTAATAAGTCAGTGTAATTCAATTAGTAAGACATACTGCAAAGCACAACATTACAATTTTCTGAAGTTAATTGCTTATAGAGAAATTTTGAACTTCCATGAGGTTTACATCCATTCATCAGTTGAATCCTTGACACCATGCAGTGAAAAATTGTACAACTGCTAGAAACCAACTGTTGTTGAATAACAGCTGATAAGTTTTTATAAGCACAAACACTCATAAAACACGGTTTATGTGAGCGATACTACTTCTAAGAACTGTTAGTTTACTTTTCAGATATAATTTAGCAGAAATTATAAGCCAATAAATCATCAAGTTATCTGATTCTCCTTACAAACTCTGAAAAGCCCAAAAAAAAACTTTGAGGATACAACACACAAGGCGCAAAGGTTTTATTTTAATGTGTCTTGTTTTTAACTAACCGGCATGTCGTCAATGGTTGTACACAGCTGAGAGGTTTAAAAATTAAAGATCAGTAAGACATTGCAGACATTCACTGAAGCGACACAGACACATCAGGCTAGTGTGCGAGAACAGCTGAAGCCCTCATAAAAGTTGTCAAAGAGCTTTATGGCTTCGGTTTTATGCTTTTGTGGTTTGCTGCTGCTGCTATACTATTATGTCCAGACAGGATGTTTGCATTACAGCATGTTCGGTAGCTGCTGTATATCTCAGAATTTTTCATATCTTGTTATCAGCATCATTAAAACGATAAAATTTGACATTCATTCTTCGCGTAAGTATAACTCCCATTATTGAACAGAGAATTGTTCATGTCGTGGAGTTCATCCTACCCTGGTTTTGCTGCTGCAGCGACCAGTTTATTGCTGGTTTTGAAGGGAGAATCCCACAGTCAGAGGTGGTGAGGACACTGTCTGACCACACATCGCTGGCGGACAGCCAGGCAGCTATTGAAGGGAACATGATGATCCTGTTAATTACAAAGGTGACATAACGCGAGTGAACCTGATTCTGCAAAATCCACGGGGACATTGTCAACCGGCTGAGTAATCTTCAGTGCAATCAGTTAGGGGAAGAAAGTAGGCTTCACACCTTCTCTCTAGTCAGTACATTTAATTCACAGCGGAAGTGAGGGGGAAAAAAGGTACGTAATAGAAGGAGTGTGGCCTGTGATTTAATAACACAACCAGCCCTCGCCATGCTCTGAAACCCACCTGAAGTTATTAGCAACATGTGTTTATATTTCTGAAATTCCCATGGCACTTGAATCTTACTCAGGCGCAGATTGGTTTGTTTTCTCAGCCCTCGTCTGTTCTGTGGTGTCCTCGTAGCTTTGTTGGCAAGTTCCCCAGACTTGTATGCAGAAGTTGAGGTCAAAAATGAACTGAGCGACCTGAGCTGAACTGAGAGACGTGAGTACACTTAAAGCTGTAGTAGAAAGTGGAATTAAATTCTGACAGCTGAAACAAACTGTTTACAACTGTTTACAGCTTCTGCAAATACAAATAAACCACATATTCCTGTAGCTTTATTATTCATATTTTGAGTTTATTAGGCTACATGTATGATCTTGTTACTCAAAAAGTCTGGATTATTTGTTCAAATAAACAATAAAAGCATGTTGATTATTTGCTAACACATTGGACGAGGTATCGAAGCCCGACCTGCATTGGCAAGAAAAGGTCTGTCTGCCTCTGTCTTGGTGTAACCAGAAGCACGCGGGTGAGTTCATTCAGGGATACAGGCTGCACAGTCATCAGGAAGTGAAACAGAACAGAATGTGCTGTACTAATCTGATTGAAAACACGGCCCTGAGTGGAGGCACGAGAAAAAAAAAAAAGATGTTTCATTTAAACAGCTAAAAGGAGAATCCCATAGTGACAGGAGGATATGTTCAAAGAAAATACATCCAGTTCTTCTTTTGGTGATATAAAAAGTCAAGCGGTGAGGAGGAGAGGGTTAGAGAAACACCCGCTCTCTCCCTCACACACGTACGAAGCCACTGAGCTAAAGCTGAGCAGCATAATGCTCTTTGTTTGTGTTCTAGGCATCCGTGTTACGTACACGAGTAATCTCCTGTAGTGATCCCTTTTATCCCTGAACTTTTACCCCCTGAAGCAAGAGTCCCCTACCACTATGTCTGCCAAAGACCCTCAATTAATAATTCCTCGCTGGCTCTGATGAAGACAACACACTACAAAAAAAATGGCCTAAAACAGGGAAATATTTCTATTTCTTCTCTGTAGTTTATTTTCTAATTGTAGATGGTCTAAATATCTGCTCCACACTCCTGCATTGATAATACAACAGAACTTTATTGAACTCATGAAAGTTTTCACTGTGAGAAAAATACACTGAACGCTTTATTGGAGCTCATGTTGTAATACAGTGATGCAAGACCATGCTACATGTGGTATTATGTCACTCAGTTTCCACGAAATCGTTGAAGTACTAAGAATTTATGCATTGAGCATTAAAATATGTAGTGAAGTTGACGTAGAAGTATCTGTTATGAAAGAAGAGAATGCCTGAAGTTGCTGTGCGTTATTAAAATGATGCATTTTTATAATGTCAGAAGTATTACACCGGTGTAGCTCATACAGAATTTGAATATATTGTTGGGCAGCTGCATTGTATCTAATAAGAGGATTCATCAGTTTTAGTGGCTGACATAAAAGCGTAAAATACTATCCTTTGGGATTGTAAAGTAAAGGTAAAATGTCAAAGTACTAAAGTATCTGAGTAAATTACCTTATAAATTTGAGAGTACTAAATAAAGTACAGTGACAAACAAGCTGAAATGGAGCTAGAAAGTTTATAAAGGTGATTGCAGAGAGCTGTGTCCATAACTTCATTTTCCCTTACTTAATCTAATAAAATTTGCTGTTCCGTGTTTTTTTTTAACGTCCACTGGTGCAAGCGTTTGGATTATCCTCTGCAAAACTCTGGTGTGTGTATGATGAGAGCACAGCAAGATTCAGTGTGCAGCTTCTTTTATTTTAACCCCATAAGCTTTGGTTAAAACTTAGTGTTTACACTCTCATCCCAAAAGAAGCAGTTTCCCACTTTTAACTACGTTTGTTCATAAATTAAGTCAAAATGTATTCTATTCTTTATCGGGTTGTTATTTCATGACGGCCAAGTTTAAAAGTCTATTTTCAACTGATGATTTGTTTCAAGTCCATCTCTAAAATGATGCTGTTTCCTCTTGTTGTGGTCTCATCTAACCCTGATATGAAACAAGGTGAAATACGTCTTAAAATTACATCTTATGTCTGTTTGGTCTTAAACCTAAAGGCGATGACCAGACCAGTCAAAATAAGTTAAAGATATCATTTATCGGTGATATGTCAATAGTGAGGTGAAAGTGAAAAGTTAGATTCAGGGTCAGAGAAGTTCACAAAGAGTTCTGTAATTTCCTCTGTTTGGCACTGAATGTGTCCGTGCACAGGAAGTGAGCATAGAGCGTCTAACCGCCAAACTGAAAACTCACAAGTGCTTGTTTGTGATATTTTGTCCTGTTGAATGACAACCTCTTCAAGCTCTGGAGGTTTTCTCAGGTTTCCTGTACAGGACCAATAAATTACTGAGTGTAACTTTATCAAACTTTTAAAATCAGACTAGATGAATAAAGACTTTTTGATTTAACATAAGAAAACAATTAAAATATCAAATGTCCACCTCTATTCTTACAGTGCATTGTAACGTTTTTTGTTTGGCAGTGAGTTTTCTTATATCTACTTTCTTTAGGATTATTTTTATTTGATCTTTAAAAAGGTGAGTTTTCATGAGTGGTTTGAATGTAGGTAAGTCCGTGCAGCTTTGTATTTGTGTTGGGAGTGAATTCCAGAGGGAGGGGTGGTCATGGAAAAGGCTCTGTCCCCCTAGGTTAGGTGCCTGACCTTTAAGAGCAAATAAGACTATTAACAAACAGACAAGCTGTTTTTATTAATGTTTTTTTTTACATCTAAAACTACTAAGATGGGGTAAGCGTAGGTTGAATTGATCAACTGCACAGCTATTTCTAAGTGGACATCACATATCTAGCAAAAATTTTAAAAAAGTGCAGTTGTGCCTTCAGGAGGTCTCCAAATCCAACACAAACTGGATGTTTCTCACAGGAGCTCTGAGGGGGTTACTTTATGAGCAATTTGGATCTTAAATAAAGCAAAAAATAACTGCTAGATTATTTTTGTGTCAGTGAATTTCCATTTTAAATTGGATAATGATAAGAATAAGAATAACTTTATTAAAATAGCACTTGTAAAACATGGATTTACAAAGCACTTTCACGATTTGCATTGATAAAACAAATCATGAAAATTAATTAAGGAGGCTAATTGGTTGTTGGATGTATTATTGGTAAAGAAAAAGTTAATCAGTGGTACTTTCGGTCAGTGAATGCTTGGATATTTTATTATTATTATTTTAGTAGTAAAGTACAGTGGCCCAGAGCTGCCACTGCTGCAATTAAAAAAGACCTAAAAAAAAAAAAGGAGTCACAACGGAAGTTAACAATGCAAAAAAAAGTGGCGATGGAAAAAAAAAAGTTACTTACTGCAAAAATAAAAGGATGCATTTTTTTTTTAAAAAAAAGTCACAACAGAAGTGAGCTGCCTTGAACCAATAATGATGATGCACCAGTGTTGATCTGGAGGATGCCGGTGTAGTGTTAGCTTGAGTTCAACTTCATATCGACTCAGGCGCTACATGGCCTAACCAAATGACACACTGAAAATCACACAAAGCGAAATTAAACAATAACCTTTCCACTTACTTCTTTGCTCGTCTTCTCGCTGTCATCTTCTGTGCTTAGATCGCAAAACACCGGTGCATCATCATTATTGGTCCCCGGCAGCTCACTTCCGTTGTGGCTTTTTTTATTAGCATCCTTTTATTTCTGCAGAAAGTAACTTTTCTTCCATCCCAACTTTTTTCTGCGTCGTTAACGTCTGTTGTGGCTTTTTTTTTTAAATATTTCATCTGCACCGTCTCTTTTTTTATTTGCCGTGGGCTTTGGTTTCTTTTTTATTTTATTTTATTTTATTATATTTTTTGTCATCGGTAACTTCCGTTAATGAAGTGCTGCGTGAGCGTGGTTACGCTTCTCTCAGATTCTTTGACATTCCTCTTCCCTCCGGTTCCGTAGACGGCGGTGTCTCTCTGAAACGTCAGTCTCGAGCCACTTTTACGCGGCAGCAGAAGAAGAAAACCAACCTGTTAGCTCGCGCCTTCTTCCGGTTCGCCGCTGCAGCTAACAACAGTGAAGCTAACAGCCGAAGACGGGCAGCGTGGACCCTGCTGCCAATCCTGCTGTCGACCTGCAGCTTGAAAGAAGTGAGCTACTCGACTCATTCATTTGCAGGAATTCTTACGCTTTAACATTCACCTGGACGTTTTATTTTCTTTACAGCTGTTTGTCCGTTTTTGCTTTTTTAAAAATACACGCGTCTCCATTCATGCTAGCTCCCTCATTGACTCTCTGGCTAACATAGCGTTAATATTTGCACAGCAGTCTGAGGAGCTGGCAGCAAACATATTTGAAAGGTAGGTGTGACGGACTAGTTTAGTCAGGTAAATGAATGATAATCGTTAGGAACTGGAGTAGTTAGGTTAAGCTCACAGGCTGTAATGTAAGGCGAACTTGCACCAGGAGGTAAAGTGGAATAAGTGATTTCTAACTTTGCCCACTCTTGATCGACATGTTATCTAATATGTAGACTCTTTACCCCCCCAACGTGACAAGCCCACAGAGGTTTCTCGAAGCTCCATGTAACCACAGAGTCAACGACTTTATTATATTTTGGGATAAAAATCAAGAATTAAATTCACTTATCAACGATTCTTGGATCTGAAATCAAAATTTTCTGCTGTTTCTCTTTTTTTCAGGCTAATCTGATCGTGAGACACCACTAACATTTAGATATGGGAGGTAAGTTTCTGCATTTGATCCATTTTTGACACTTTTGACACAGTTTTTTTGAAAAGACTCTACTCAGCAGTATCTAGTCTCCATAACCTCACCGCCAGATCAGGTATAGCTGCTGTTTTTTCCTCCTTTTTTTGTGGTTTAACCTCTGCCACAGAATACCCAGAAAATCAGCTACCCCACCTACTGAAGGAATCCACAGTATTTAAGACCTAAGTGTGAGTGCAGCAGGATTGGCAGGTAGAGAGTTAAGATCGAACAGGATTCAAATTCAACTTTATTTATATGGCACGTTTCACACAAAAGAAAAGACAATTCAAAGTGCCTCACAGAGACTAAAAACAACAATAATGACAAAAACCCATGGACCCACATGCACACAAAGACACACACCCACTCTCACTCACTCACCCACACATACACACAACCGCACACAGTTTGAGAATTTAAGATATATTGTTAAAGAGACATGGCCTGACACCGAGACATTAAATGAGGAAAGAGCTACCTTTAGGAAACACTGGAGATAAAAATAGAAATAAAAATGGTGAAAAGAGTAAAACCTGATGGACTAAAATAAGAAAATAATATTAAATGGACAAATAAGTCAAAGGGGTAAAAGAAGTAAAAACCTGTGATGGGAAATTAAGAAAAAGACTAAGAAGAGAGATAATAAATAGAATGACATAAAATAAACATGAAGAACTTTGATTAAAATGAACATTTGCAATAAGAGAAATCTAAAATGGCAATTAGTAAAAAACCTTGTTAAAAAAGTGAGTCTTGAGCCCCCTCTTAAAAATGTCAACAGTCTCTGCGGCCCTGAGGCTCTCCGGCATTTAAGATATTAAATGCAGTCAAGTACATGAAATATAATGCATTTAAATTTATTACATGTATGCATTTGACAAGTAAAATCAATTTTAGGTCAATTGATTCATCTATGAAAAATCAGAGAAGTGTAACCACCCTCAAAATGTTTTCACAATAAACACAAAATATAATGCATTAACAAAGTGCTTAAAAACATGCCTATTTCTCTTTCTCATGGGAGTTTATTCTTTTCGCATATTAAGATGTTGATAAAAACAGGATCTTATCCTATGTAAAATATACTCAAAGACAGAGAGTTAACTTAAACTTTATTTGTATAGCACTTTTCACAGACAAAAGAGTCACAAAGTGCTTCACATAGACAAAAATACAAACGTACATACAAATTAAAAGGCCAAGCTGACAACATTAAACAGTCATAGCAGCCCCAAAAGCAATTAAACAAAAGCCTGAGCAAATAAATAAGTTTTGAGTTGGCTTTTAAAGGAGTCAACAGAGTCAATTAAGTGCACAGAGAGAGAGGAAGGTCATTCCAAAGCCTGGGGGTAACAGCTTGGAAGGATCGGTCCCCTCTGGTCCGAAAACGAGTGCGCGGAACCATCAGTAGATTCTGATCCACGGACCTCAGAGCCCGAGAGGGGGTGTAAGGCTGGATCAGGTCACAAATGTAAGATGGAGCCTCACCATGCAAGGCTCTAAATGTTAGGACCAGAATTTTAAAATTGATCCTAGAGGGCACAGGCAGCCAATTTAGTGCTTTAAGAATAGGGGATATGCGAGTCCTCCTATTAGCGCAGAGTTGGAATTCTCGCTGCAGAGTTTTGCACTAACTGAAGACGAGACAGCTCCTTTTTGTTCAGACATGAAAACAAACGGTTACAGGAGTCTAAACGTGACGACACAAAGGCATGAACGATGAGCTCCAAGTCATTTTGCGACACCATTTTCTTAAGCTTAGAGATTTTCCTCAGTTGAAAGAAGCAGTTTCTCGTTTACAGTGTTGCACTAAGGAGATCAGGATGAGGCTGTTGGTTAAGACACATTTTTTTATTAGTATGCTCCCAAAAGGTGACGATGGACGGCACTCCCAGAGCACCTGTCAGTGTAGTGTGAACATTATTTCAACAGTGAAAAGCAGGTTTTGTGACTACAATGGGCCCTTAATTTATAAGACAGAAAACTCATAACTCATTCATGTTTGCATGCAGGGCTCAACAGTGAGACTGTTTCACCCACCTTTGTGACTAAAAATAGATGTGTGTGAATTGTAAAATGTATTTAGGGGCACATGTGCGCATAGAAAAAATCAGCTGAGGCAACAAATGTTTTTTCATGTAAATACCACGGTGAAGTTAATTTAACCTTGATTTGATTTGACCTCCTTCCTCACTCAGAAAAAATGGCTGCCATCAGTGCATGCACATTTTATGGGAAAAGGAAAAGTACTGAAGCCCCACCCCTTCACATTTGGTATCATTGAAAAGCTCTAAATGTCCTCTGTAGAAACCAAAAGGAGTTAATTCAGTAGTATGCAGTGGGTGGGAGATATTGAGGTTTACAATGGTCCTCCTAGGACGGCAAATTTGAACTACTGGTAGTCAGGAGGATGTTGGATATTTGACAGACATTCACTGCAGATCTACCGGTGTCTTCTCACTCTCCATAACCAGGAATAGCAACAGCAGTGCAGTTAAATCTACTCGGCACCCTTGGTGTTGAATAAGGGATCATCAATAAATTACCGGTTGATGTTTTCAAGAAAGGCTGTTTTCCTCTAATAGCTTCCATGTCACGTGACCAATTGACCTAAAATTGATTTCAAATCATAGTACTCATGTTGACCAATAAGACAAACATTATTTGATCAATTTCATTGTGCCCCTAAAGTTCTTCGTATGCTCCTTTCTTTTTCAACTCCTTGTAAAAAAGTTAGTGTCAAGCCCTGGCATGAAATCATTTATGGAATGTATTTCTTATACCTGAGTCCATTTGTGGACTAAGAAAGCTAGCAGAACTTGTGCTCTGGTATTGTTTTTTTAAGGCTGGCATTGTTAGATTAGGCACTGACAGTGATGTGGTAACAGCTACCTGACTAACAGCTCATGCAACATATTTTTTTAATCCTGCAAAGTGCTGGGTATTAGAGGCTGAATAATATAAACACAAGAGTAAGCGGTGAGCTCTTGAGTTTATTATGTTCTTTAGGACTGCAATGCACACAGGAATATGGAATAGGTATCAAACTTTCCAAACAACGATCATCAGATCTCTCTATGTTTGTGTATAAATCTCTCTTTCAGATCCTGCTTTTCATAGAGACTGTCCCCTTGACTGCAAGGTCTACGTTGGGAATCTGGGAAATCATGGAAACAAGACAGAGTTAGAAAGAGCTTTTGGGTACTATGGCCCATTAAGAAGTGTGTGGGTTGCAAGGAATCCCCCTGGCTTTGCTTTTGTAGAGTTTGAAGATCCCAGAGATGCATCTGATGCTGTGAGAGAACTGGATGGAAGGTACATGCGTCGGTGCGATATGAAATAGTTGTTATACATTTTGGACAAATTGTTTTGGAGATATTTGCTGTGCTTTTTTCACTCATGTAATGACTTTTATTCAGGACAATGTGTGGCTCTCAAGTGCGTGTCGAGTTATCCACCGGGGAGAGGCGCTCCAGGAGCCGTGGCCCTCCTCCATCCTGGAATAGACGCCCTCGAGATAATTTTAGGCGACGTAGTCCTGCAGTTAGAAGAAGGTATGTATTTTCTACCTGACAATCCACGTTCTGTTAACGGTCTTTTGCAGTTTGTTTTTTTTGCATGAAATGATTGATTTGTATTCCCCCACACCCCGATAGCATTAATCTATATTCCAGTATACGAGTTTGGCATGGCAGTTAAAATCTGACTTCCTTATTCAATGTCAAAAAAAGGCCTCTCTGTTAAAATATCATACAGGTAAGAGCTTTGACATCTAGACGTCCAAATGAGCAGATGAAGTTTTGGATCGATTGTCTCCTTGGCGTACATTTTTATTGTTGATTACTATTGAGTTCATCAATAGATAATCAGTGGATCTGGCTACCTCAGGATTTGATACAACTCTCTTTTCTTGAAGGTTTTTAAATATCTTAAAATTTTGCTTTCTCTTTGAGTTCAGTTGCCGTCTATTAATAAAAATGAACCCCGTTGCAGAGTCACCACCACGCTTCTCACCATCTGAGTCAGTCAACTAGTCCTCTTTCAGCATCATGTGACTGCTGTCCAGCGAGCCCAAATCAGCTTGGCTAGTGTTGTCACATGACCCCAGGCGCACGGCAAGCCGCCAGGTTCCACCAACCTTTTGGCTCCTGAGCATGCAGTTCCGAGCATCCTCCTCTTCTTTCTTCAACCTTAACCCAATCAACAGCGGTCCACTTCACATTTTCAGCCAATCAGCATCTTTACCCTTTTTATTCTCCACACAACTTCTGTGTCAACGGGGAACAGCCCTTGGCTTACATCCCTTCACAACCTTACCCCCCAAAAAGGCAGGGAAAATCAACAACTACCCCTTCCAACCAGCCACCAAGCAACTTCATATCTCCAACATTTGCATCATGTGGCAAATCCTCTCTGCAATTCGACCTCCCTCACCATCAGTCTGGCGTCCTTGCGTCATTTCTTTCTTGTCCAAATCCCCCAAAATAGTAAGTTGCTTTTATCCTGCTCTTTGTAGATTTTTTTGCTTAGCGTAGCTTTCATAGCTGCTTGATGGTTTTCCCATTTAGACCAACGTCAGTGCAAACCTGCCAAAATCTAAAGATCAAAAGTTGTGGTCAGGGAACTTTGCTGTCAGAGCTCAGTTTTCATTTGCAAAAAAAAAGCACTTCATTTGTTAGATACTCATTGTGTAATCGTGCTGCTGAGTGCATTTTCACTCACATGGATGCAGGTGACCCTTTTATTAGCAGACAAGGAAATATGTGTAACCACATTTCCACATGCAACCCATGTCTCCTTAAGGATCAAGAATACCAAAGGTTTCATTAGTGATCGGAAACACAAAGTTCCTTTCTAATTTCTTTGCGTTATTTCTGAACCTCACCTACATTTTAGATCACCGAGGAGGAAGACACTCAGCCGCAGTCGCAGCAGGTAAGCTTGTCACAACTGGTTTCAACTCAACTGTGTTGTACAGATTAAAAATCATAAAATTTCTAATTTCTTTGTCATTTTCTGGCTTTGTTTATCAGGTCTCTTTCTAGAGACAAGCGCAGATATAGGTCTGTTTCCAAAGACAAGAACCGCAAGCGTTCAAGATCCCTCTCACGATCAGGGAGGTGAGTTTAACGTCCCTTTTTTCTTGTCATGATATGCTTTGAGATTCGAGCGTCATCACAAAGGATTTTTCTTTTAACTACCTACCATTTGTTTATGTTTATTTTACAGTCGTTCCCGGTCTAATGATAGGAAGTGACCTCAATCTATGGCTCATCTGTAAATCCAGCAGTCGTTGGGAGATACCTTTTTTTTAAGTCATGATGGTCTTTTGGATTGTGTTTGTCCATTTGAGACAGTCGAGGTTGGCCAAGATTTATTTTGTGCCATCGCAATCTTTTCAATAACAACAAAAAACTGTTTTTTTTTCTCTCTCTCTCTGTCTGTTTCTCTCCGTTTTAATGATTCTCAAAATAAGATTTCCCCATTTTACTGAAAAAACATTTTTTCTTGGGTCTTTATCTATAAAGTATGATAAAATGCGATACACTGCATGTTTCAAACGAATTGTGGGTAGTTTTACATCGTCATTCTATTTTTAATGGTTGAACATTTGTGTGGTTAATTTTTATTTTATTCTATTTTATTTTTATTCTTGGTTGACTTTTAAAGTAATGGGTTACTGTGAGCTGTATTATATGTAGGGAGCCTTCTTTATACCAATAACGGAAATCAGATGAGAAACAGTTGTTGTAAATATTGGTGCTGTTATTTGCAGGCTGTCTTTAAAGCCTAGCATATGTAAAACTGTATTTTACTCTTGTCACTTTTGCAAAAGAGAGCATTTATTCTATTCATCTTTGCTGGGTTCTCTGAGCTCTGACAATTTATCTTGATGCAACTTGTTTAATAAATGTTTTTTTCCAAAGTTAAAATGTTGTATTGCTTTTTAATTGCTGTTTCAATAAACCACCAGGAAAATAACTAACATACTGGTAAGTAAACATGATGCATTCAGCGTGGTTCATTCCAGGAAGTGCTGTGTAGTTTTTTTTGCTGTGTGCTTTAAAAGCTGCAAGTAACCAACACAGGAAGCTATCAGTCATAGCTGCCGTTAAGAAACAACTTCTATGTGCGAAATGTAGCTGTCATTTGTGAAGGCTGATGACATTACAAGGCAGCTCCTGACGAGAGAGAGGTGCCAGATTTGGGGGGTAAGTACATATCCTGTTAAGACAGTTAAGTTGGGTAGAAGTCGTTTGACTTCTGTTTTTAACCTTACTGAATGAAATGATTTTGTAGGTGATCCTACATAATACAAAACTGCATGCCTTTTTATGTTTTATTGTTTAATTGTGCTGTAGGAATGGTCAATACAAACCTTTAGGAAGTCCCTGAAACTAAAAGCAAATATTTACAGTTTTACATTTTCTTTGGATTTATTTGTGATACTGATAGGTTGTAGATTTTTACCTTTGTTTTCTGACCTGTTGCATGACTGAATGTCTCGTGTTGTAGGAAAGAAGGTCAGAAATCATGTCCACTGCAAAGAAAAAAAGGATTGGTTCACGTCGCCGGGTAACAAATCAAAATAAAACGTCTGAGGATGATGAGTTTCTTGCAAAGGATAGCTCTGCTGTTACACAACAAAACAAACCAGAGAGAAGCCCTGAATCAGTCGGTGCATTTGCTCACCTGGATCATTTATCATCTCTGACCCAAAATCCACCTTCACCAGAACTCTCAGGGAATAGAAGAAAATTTGGGTCAAGTCAAAGAAATAAAGGACGACATGTCAGAGACTCTGCAACAGAATTACGCCACAGTCCGACAGAGGAAGTGGAAGAAAAGACCAAGAGTATTGAAAGCCCTGAAAGAACTCAAATGTCAGCGGCAATACAGCCTGAGAAGCAGGAAACATTTAGTCAAGGTAGTGAGCATGACATGTCTGGGACTTATGAAAGCCTCCTGTGTTTGTCAGAAGAGAAACTTCCCAATGTGCGTTCTGCAAGAGAGATCGAGAGCAATGATGTGGAGGTGAACACAGAAGTGTTGAAACAGGGTGGAAATTTTCACAGCAACTACTTGAGTGAGTCAAAAGCAGAATTAGCAGCTACACAGTTTGCTGCCTCACAGGAGACAACCACAGATGAAAGCAGCGCTAAAGATCACACTGAAGTTGATCTTAACGTACAAGAAACATTTAAACCACTGAATGAAGAGCTGTCTACTGAACAGGAACAGCGAATACTTATACGGGTATCTGAAGATTATCAACCTTTATATGATGATGTGAGCAAGGCCACAGAGGAGGAGATGAAGCAAACACAAAATTACAAAATGGAAAATAGTGAAGGTCTGGTACATGACAGACATGCATCAGAAAACCTTTCTAGAGACCCACTTGACCAAGCTGAGGCTAGGGACACGCAGGACCTGGACTTTACTGAGAAAAGTATGGCTGATTCTGATGATTTTGCAAAGCCTGATGGTCCAGTTCTTCATGAAAAAGAGGATAAGCAACCTGAAAAAGACAACTTTGAGGCCTTTGACAACAAGGAGGAGGATGAACCACAAACCAGTGACACAGATAGAGTTGATACTGAACTGGAGTCAGAGATCACTATTCCTGACCCTGATTTGAGCAGATCCACTTTAGGAGTGTTACAGTCAGAAATAAACTCTCTTGTTGACTTCCAGCCTCAGGACAGTTGTACTACCACTAAGGATGAGCACGATACAGACCTCAACCCTTTTAGGCACAGGAGAAAACTTGGGTCAAGCCGTAAACATAACGTAAGGCAGCAGGTTGAGGACCCTGCTGTGGAATCAGAAATAAACTCTCTTGTTGATTTCCAGCCTCAGGACAGTTGTACTACCACTAAGGATGAGCACGATACAGACCTCAACCCTTTTAGGCACAGGAGAAAACTTGGGTCAAGTCGTAAACATAACGTAAGGCAGCAGGTTGAGGACCCTGCTGTGGAATCATACTACAAACCTACACTGGAGGTATCAGAAAATACTGAGGGTACACAAGAGTTCAGAGGAGAGATGTCATTCGCAGCTGAGACAGCAGTGCAGGAAAAATCGATGCAAAGTACACTTAAAGAAATGGTAAAATCTGACCCTCATCAAACTGAAGGTCAGGAGAGTGAGATTCAGCAATTCCTGGGCACAGTAGATGAAAACAGCCCTGAAGATCATCCTGGGACTGAAGACAATACAGAGAAAGCAAAATTTGCATCACATACAGGGGAGTGGTCACCAGCTGAGGAACAAATAGATGCTTTACCCGTAGGACAAGGTGCTCATCAGTCAAGGAATGCTGAAAGCACAGTACATGCAACTGAGATAGTGCAAACACAAGAAATGTTTGAAACTGATCATTCATTTGAAAATGTAATATATGATGAAATAGTCTCCAGAAGCCCACTAAACCAAGAAATCTGTGACACACTTGGCCAGTCAGATTTCTCCATGGAAACAAACAGTGATTCTTCCACCAAGCAAGACAACTCAAATCCTGATGCCACACAAGGTGAGCATTCAACAAGAGAGAGTGATGCGAACACTTTTGTACCCAGAAATGATGATTATGATGAGAAGCCAGTGATTATGGATGGAGAAAAAGTGGATACTGGACTTGGTCAGATTGACAGCAGAGAAGAGGGTGATACAAAACTCAGTCCTGAGCAAACAGTTCAACTTGAAAGGTTAGAGGAAAGCGAAACTTTTCAGACTTTGGAATCAGAGATTCGTGTTTCTGCAAACTTCCAACCTCTGCAACCTAACTGTAGCCTTGACTCCCCTGCTGCTGACTCAAACCAAAAACCTGCAGAGGAAAAAGATGAAGAGACTGAGGATAATGAAACTCTTGAAACTAAAATCATCTCATCAACATCTGAGACGGCATCGATGGACTTTTTAATAGAAACCACAGCGGAAGAGGTGGATACATTTGATACTGCTTCACCTAAAGACATAAGTGATGAAGTTAAATGTCAAGAAGATGTTGGCACACCTACTGACGTCTCTGAGCTTACCAGTTCTAGTTTGCATTCAAGTTTAACAGCAGGTCAAAACCTTGATATTCAACAGGATGAAGAACTCCCTTATTCATATTCTGAAACCATAGAAGAAAGGGATGAGGACTCGACACTGTTAAAGTCACATGTAAATCTACAGAACAACCATTCAGAGTGTGAGACATACCCAAAATCTGAAGATACTGATTCTTTTGTTGTTCTTGAGACAACAACAGAAACCTCCAGGCCCAAAGAGCTTAAACATCCTGAAAGCAACATGGAGTGCACTGACTTTGGATCATTCAGTGAAGAGTTGGGTACTAGTGAGACACAAAATAAGATTTTTAACTGTAGCTTTGACTCCTCTGCTGCTGACTCAAACCAAAAACCAGCAGAAGAAAAAGTTGAAGAGACTGAGGATAATGAACCTCTTGAAACTAAAATCATCTCATTAACATCTGAGACATCATTAAAGGACTTCTCAATAGAAACCACAGTGGAAGAGGTGAATACATTTGATACTGCTCTACCTAAAGACGTGAGCGATGACATTAAATGTGAAGCAGATGAAGAAAGGGATGAGGACTCAACATTATTGAAGTCACATGTAAATCTGGAGACATGCTTAAAATCTGAAGATACTGATTCTTTTGTTGTGCTTGAGACAACAACAGAAACCTCCAGTCCTAAAGAGCTTACAGATCCTGAGAGCAACATTGAGTGCACTGAATTTTCATCACTAAGTGAAGAGTTGGCACAAAATGAGATTTTTAGCTTTGTTGAAGTCACAGGAGTTCTGCATCCAAGTAATGCTTTCACTGAGGTGCACGAACAAGGGGAGGAAATACAAGAAATCAATAAGTCATCTGAAAGGACAGCTGATGAGACCACAGGAAATCCTTTAAGTGGCGAACCTGAAATGATGGAGCAAAATATTGACCCAGCAAGCATGCAGGACACCCCAGATACAGATGACAGTCTACTGAACAACATGAAGACGGAAGAAGTCCACTCTGATGCCAAGGAATTAGACACAATTACCCCCTGTGACGGCCCATCCCAGGACCCTCCTCACAGCTATGAGGAACAAACATGCACAGGCTTTAACCCCATTAAGAGTCGTAAAAAAATGGGGTCTAGCAGAAGATACAAAGACCAAAAGCAGTTTAAGGATCCTGAACACATGGCCTGTGATAAACTTGAGACATCACAAACAGAGAAAGACAGCCAGGAAGAATTAAGTCAAGGTAGTGAGTATGCTAGTATCATGCCTGTAACACACGAAGGCCCTTCAGCCCTTATACACTCTGGAGTTCAGAGCCCCACTTCAGACAACCATCCAGAGACTGACCTGCAAAGCTTCATTCATATCAGCAAAAGTGTCCAGCAAGACCACGATGACAGAGGGACTGACTTTAGGGTAGAGGAATCTGACAAACCGGTGGATGTAACTCTTGATGAAGAGGAAAACTCTAACATTCATCAGAAAGCAGACCTTAAAGGTGCTTGCCATTCAGAGGAGTCCTTAGGTGAAGTTCATGTCCAGGATGTTGTGTCACAACCGATGCAAGAAGTGCTTCAAACTAACATCTACTCTGAAAATTTGATGTCTGATGAGACAGAATATGCAGAAAAAAAATTGGGAGGTCTGATCGCAGAAGCCGAAGTCGGTAATACCTACGAATCTGACTTGACTATAAAGAGAAGTGATGGTTCTCAAGGTGAGCAGGAAGGGTCTCAACTCTATGACATTCTGGAAGAGGAAACTATAAATGATGTCAGCAGAGAGGCTTCAGACTTAGGGAAAGCTGTTTACCACGGTGATACCAAAAACCTGCATCAAATAGAGAAAGAAGAAGGTGAAGCCATTGCGGCAGGTCACTCAGACGAGACTGAAGTCTGTAAAGATTACGATATAAAACCCTGCGATGAGAAAACTGGGTTTCAGGAGAAAGAAGGTGTCTTTTTTGGAGTGGAGGAGGGTGAATCATCCAACTCCCAAGATCAGCAGGTTGACTATGAACAAAACAAAAGCACGGCAGTTGAAGCACACCGGGGACTTATGTTGGAAGATTTTCAAGAGGCACTCCTTCATACTATAATATTACCAAAAGAAGACATAGTAGTGCGGGAACAATCAATGGACACCATCTCTGAAGGAGTAGATACAGCTGATACCACTCTGACGGAAGAAGTTGGTGATGATGCACAAGATGGCACGCTTGTTAGTGAACGCTCTTGTCTGAGCTTAAATTCAGCACAGGAACAACTCCTGAAAGTGGGTTATACTCAGGAAGAAGAAAAGAAGGAAAGAGATATGGAGGAAGAGTCATTTAGATTGGATGGAAACTTACTTGGTAGTGATGTGGTGACTGATTATGATCTAGCACAAGAGTTGGCTGTGAAGAAAAAGCAATCTGGAAAAAATACTGAAAATGAAAGTATTGTGGAGCAAACAGCATGTTCAATGTCTCAAGGGCTTTTGTCTAGGAATGAGGAAGAGAAAGAACATTTCACCTCATCTCAAGTCACAGTAACTTGCCACTCAGGGGACACTACACATGAAATACTTGAAGAGCTAATACAAGTTCGAGACATACATGAAATTATGGCTGCCACAACTGAGACTGAATCCACTGTAGAGGCACAACAGTGTGACATTAATTTTTCTTTGGACTCAGAACCTCAGCAAATTGACGACAATGTAAACCCACTTAGGACCAGGAGAAAAATGGGGTCTAGTCGTAGAAATAGAAGACAACAGAAGGACACAGAAGCTTCAGACAAATCCCAAGAGGTAATTGTGGAAAAAGAGGGCAACGATGATGCCCTGCATGTGAAAACAACATACAAGTTTGCAATGGACAACATCAAACTGGAAGAAGTGGAGGAGCACACAAATGTATACCCCAGCTCTACAGTGGAAATAGGGGAAGACAAAGAAAACCCAGACGCTGTTTTGCCAGGAAGTTTGATAGACAGTGGTGCAATAACAACAACACCCATAACTTTGAGCTTGGGTAGAGACAACTTGGCTGAATCCTGTCAGGGCATGAATGAAGACGAAAATATACAGCCAAGAAATTTGAGCGCGCTCACTAGTCATGAGACGGTTAAATTTGTCCTGAGAGAGTCAGCAGAATCAGCTTGTAAAGATGACTCAGATATGCAGAATACCTCTTGTCATGATGATATTGCCAATGCAAGGTCATTCTCCCCTATTCTTCTTGAGCAAGAAGATGACTTTGACCAAAACAAGGAAGCTTTATCTTATGACAAAGACATAGAAATTAGTATGCAACAGACAAATGATGCCATAGATACTGAGGGACATGCCACAGTACATGACAATTACACTGAAGCAGACACTTCAATGGAGATTCCTCTCACTGACAAGGATGAACATGGAGAAAATTTTCAAGAGCCTATGAAGAAGGACCACAAAGCCCAGGATATTATGGCGTCAAAGGAGATCATACCCACTGAACTGTTTTCAGCTTCACACAAGAGTGACTCTTCGGCTCAGTTGGATGCTGGTCTCGTGGCAAACATCAGGGTAGAGTCTCCTGTGGCTGTGACTAAGCAAAGTGGAACTTCTACGGCTGTCAGTGCGATGGATAGCCTACATGAGGTACAAGAACAAACTGCTTCAGATGATAGTGAAACTTTGGAAGAAAAGTCCAAACACAGGAAGAGAAGATTTGGCTCTAATCGCCGCATCAAGCACAAAGTGAACCAAGAGGAAGCACCGCCAAACAAAGACCAAACCAGTAACAGGGAATTCAGCATTCCTACTGGAGCCAAAGAATCTGAAAAAATAAAAGTAATAGAGGAGTTTCCAGTGCATGTGAGTGCAGAGGTTTCACAGGGTGAGAAAATAGAGCCATCGCAGAGTTCAGTGAGTATAATCCAACAAGAGACTGATGAGACCAGCAGTGTTCTTGACAAGGGACCGAAGCTACTTATTAGTACCCCAGACCCAGAGAAGGTAGAGAGCAGTATGATATCAGACAAAAAGGTCATGATGTCGTCAGTTACTGAGGAATATGGTGTCACAGGAGAGAGTGGTGTGTCTTTAGATGAGACCACACAGGATGCCCAAATTGAAGAGGAAAGGCCAGGAAGTATCGACACAACACAGAATCGAGCTTTAGAGTCTGTAGAGGGGCAGTTTCAGGCTGTGGGAGATTCGGGAATGAGGCAATCTGTAGACAGTGGAGGTGAAGAAATGCAAAAGAGTGCTGAAGTTTGCACACTGGAGTCAAGCACGGTAGATGAAGAAGGTCAGAACACAAGTCTAGACGTAAAGGATTCAAACCCAGTTTTTGGTTCAACAAGCCAAAGGAGAAAGTTTGGTTCAAGTCGGAAGATTCTCAAACCAAAAGACAAAGCAGACTCATCTCAAAAACATGAAGTGCGTAATGAGGCTGTTGAGACCACAACAAATGCTGAAGACGAAAAGACGGGTGTTTTTTCAGATATCAAAGAAGTGCTTCAGCTCAACATAGATCAGAAAGACAGGGAGTCTAAAGATCAAGTATGTGACACAGATAAGAACAGCCTTACCGAGGATTCTCACTTGACACCATTAGCTCAGCAGTCATCAGTGGAAAACTCTCTTTCTAAAAGCCAACAACAGGAAACCAAGCTTCTTATAACTCCACAAAATCTCCCTACGATGCTATCAACGTCTCCAAAAGAAGATGTGATGTCAGAATCTGCATCTGGTGGAAGAAGAAGAAAAATGGGATCGAATCGAAAGTCTCGACAACACCAAAGAAATGGAAACCAAACTGAAAAGAGAATAGAAGACACGCAAAATGGACCTGATGGCGATGATGCCACAGAAGAAAGTGCAGTCAAGACAACTGAAGAGAGTCAAAGTCTGCCTGAAACATCTGAGGTAAGAAACATTTGTTTCTGATTGTTTTCTTTTTCTTTATCAAAAAATTCAAGGCATATTTCCTCTTGTGAAATCAAACACTGGGAGGAATCTTCACACGATTGTTTCACATAGTGCCTAAACAGAGGAAGGGACAGTGGTCAGCATTTCATTTTAATATGAGTTTTAACCAATTTTAAGTCACCTTCCAAACACTTCATTGTGTTTTGCTTCTTTATTTCATTTTTTGTTGATAGATTTTGAACAATTTGCTGTTTCCTCTCACGGAAGTTATACATTTGTAATACTCAACTTCCCCTTTGTGAGAAACCTCTTGCACATTGGTTAAGTGTTTGTTTCAAAAAAGAACAAAATGACCGAGGAACTAAAATGAGGAACATGCTGCCCACACTTCAAGTTTCATACATCGAAAAGGAGAACATTAAGAACTATCTAACTTCTTGATCTCAGTAGTTGCATGTATTTTTGTCTCAAATTCACTCACACTGGCCCAAACACCAACGGTCATGGGATGTTGGGAAAAAGCCTGCAGGAAACAGAGCATAATTTAACTTGAATGACTCTTAGACTGCTGTCTCTGAGCATTACTAACTCCCTGCCCTCTCTTTGAAAGAAAGTACTTTGTGATCACAACATTACTACACAACATTGTTACTGCATCTTACATCAGTGGATGAAAAAAGTAGCCTAAAAAAACTGGTAACTCCTTTAACAATACACAGAACTAACATCCTGTGTGAAGATTACTTCAGGGAAACCCACTTAATGCAAATTTTACATTCTAAGCTGCTGAGGTAATTAATATTGGATTGTTATTGAAATGAAAAGTCACAAGTAGAGACTATAGTTTTAATTTAGAAGATAATATTCAAAAAGAGGAAGACTTGGTATAATGAAAAATGTTGAATGTTGTAGATGTATCAATTCAATACCTCCTCCATTGTTGTCTCACTGTTAATATGTTTTTGATTGTACAGGCTGAAAAACCAAACCTGACAGCAGAATCACCACACAGCAGCACCTCAGAAGCTGGACAAGACATAAAGCCTGTGAGGTAAGTCTCTGAAGCCGACGATGAACAGAAATTTTAACGCTGTGGCATCCATAAGTAGCTTTTCACAATAAAATTTTGATGTATTTGGTTGGGTTACTACCAGGGAAGAATCTTCTCTTATATTATTATGATTATAATCAGCCTTTAAACTGTAAGCAGCACTTAATAAACAGTAGTAGAAAGTTTAGTGTATTTTGCAACTGTGTTCAAAATCAACAAATATGTTTACATTAAGATTCCCATGGCAGCTTACGCTCACTTTCTCTCCACAAAGTTTTTGAGTTAAGAAAAACTCTTGCCCATTTTATTTTCTTGTAATTATACAACAACTTTGCAATTATTTTTGAACTGATATTCAGTGTTGTGCAACAGACATCCACAGAAAAATTTAACTACTAAAACTGTAGAAATAATAACATAAAAGTAATATTTATATACAGATATATTATTTCCAGATCATAAAGACAAACATTTGTTGCTTTAATCACCAAAAAATTCTCCATCAAAATCTCAGAAACCCCCAGCAGTGTTTACACTCTGTTTGTTAGTGTAAGTGTTTATAATGCAGATTGTAACGGTTTCATGACACTGCAGTGCTTCACGCCTTTGCATTTGTGTAATTTTTCAACACCAGTTTGTTTCTTAAACCAGCTAAATAGATGGGATGCAGAGTTGAACATGCAAAATGAGCTCATTAGGCTTATGAATTACATGATATCACAATATGATTCTTTTTATTGAAGGATTAGTTTGTAAGTAAACGCTATTTGTGTAATTTTGCCCTAAAATTATTGAAGTCTGTTTGCCTTAGGGGGTGGGATATGTATTTGAAGGTCTGCAGATTTTGTCATAGCTATGCTAGCATGAATGTATTTTTACCTGTGTAATTTTTCTGTTTTCCATTAAAGCTCAGTTATAGGAGACATTAAAGGCAACTTAGACCACTTCTTGTTGTGTCCGTTTGTATAAATGCTCTTGAAATTACCACCAAGGGTGAGTGTTGTGTTTTGTTTTCTTAATATTTATCCATGATTGTTTGTCTCCTGCACAGCGAGAAGACGTCTGTACAAGCGACTCCAGTTAAAGAACCCAACACTGAAATCTGCCTGGGTCAAGAGACACAGAAGACAGTTTCCCTTGGTAAATGGCACATTCATACCTACTCACAGTGGTCAGAGTTGCAGCAAAATGTGGCAGATTGTATAGAGATAATGATTTAAGGGAAGTTTAATATGAAAAAAGTTGTGCTTTTATTGTTTAAGGAGTTAACACCGGAGGAGCAGCAGGCAGATCAAAGAGTTTCAATGTGGTGATGGTTGGAGACAGCAGTGTCGGCAAGACCTCCTTCATGAGAAGAGCTCAAAGTGGAAAGTTTTCTCTGGAGATACCTGCTTCTATCGGTAAAGTCCTGTTATTTGTCCTACTCGACCCCATGAAAGTGCATAAAAAATCAAGATAGTTCCACATAAAAAATCAAGACAGTCTCACATAAATCCTTTTTTCTGTAGGACTTGATTCTTGCTTGTGGACCGTGGTTGTGGATGGAAAACCCGTGGTGCTCCAGTTGTGGGATACAGCAGGTCAAGAAAGGTAGGTTTCCATGTACAGACCTTGTCGAGGTACATTTTTGTCTTTTGCTCTTCTATTCAAACATATGTACAGATTAAAGCAGTTTTATGTAAGAGAATTACACCCTTTTAGAAGACTTCATACAAGTACAAATACTCACTAAAAAAACTCTGATTTCCACAATTTGTTGTAAATTAAAGAATGAAAGAAGAAAACAAACGGGTTCTAAGAGCAAAAAGCCACATATTTCAGGAAAAAAAATCACTTGAATACATTTTCTGAAATTGTGAACTCATAAATTTTAAAGAAACAAGGCAGATATCATCTGGGCTCAAGCTTGTATTTACCAGCAAAAAAGGAGAAAAATGTTCTTTGGTCAAAGAAACTTGCTTCTCTATGGCATGCTTACCTAAACCTAATGCTTACAATACTTAACACCAGCATAAGTGATGGCCGTTTTTTTCACAGATAAAGACAGATTTTCACATTTTACAAGAAGTCTGACATTAGCTTCCCCAACATTTTCACTTTCCTCCACAGAAGCCTTAATATACCTTTACACTTTTTAAACTTTTTTATAACTTAAAATAAATTTTAAATTTGGTATCGAGAAATGGGTGGATAGTGAAAGCCTAAGGTACTCAGCTATTTTAGACCCTAGATGTCAGATCATTTCACAGACTGTATCTCCCCTCCTTTTAAAAAGTGTGGCCAATGATAGTGAAAATTAGCCGAGAAGGACATCCCACATGTTCCCAACCTACTAAGCTAATGAAACTGTGTATCATGCCCCATTCTTTTTGAATTAGAAATGTGTAAAGGTATAAAATCACACGATTCAATCTTCTCTTTTTTAAGATCATAAAACCAGCTTGTTTTGTGTCCATCATGACCAGAGCCAAAGTTCTTTGTGAGGACTTTTGTTGTTCAGGATAGCTGTCACTGAGACACTGATCTTGTTTAATCTTGGAGACAGCTAAGGTGGTCTTGAGGTAGAGTACAGATTCAGACTGTAGGGCAGAGAGCTCCTGTTCATAAAAGGCAGGAGACTAATAAAAGTCATTAGACAGAGTAGAGAGGGGGCATGATTGTTAAAGCTATTAATTATTGTTTTTTTCTATGTGGAGGAGGGTTCATCAATGATAGCTATCAATGATAACTCCTCCTGATGTCTCATGACCCGTCTCCTCACGCAGACTGAAGGCAGCATCCTGGTTCTCTAGCTGTTCTCTAACTCCTGCAGTCAGCCAAGACATCTGACGGGAACAGTGTTTACATACCTGACATCATTAGACCGCTTTTGATTGTAGCGAGTCACGCATGATGCAAATATGTTACCAGAGGCAGCTGAGTCCGAGAACATGTTCGGTACAATGTACTGCAAACACACTCAAAGTGTTAAGAAGAGTCCTTAAAGCCGGGCTCAAACCTGTTTCAGAACTGGTTTGGCTCCTCTCAGCAATGTTTTGTTTTCTCAATTAGCACAAAAGATGGGGTTGAAAGACGTTCAGGCTGTCCGGATTTGCATAGAACTTCAACATGTGGGACGTACAGTAAGAAGGTGCTCTGTGTATATCAGACGTTTACTGTGGATAATATGGATCCTGAAGATTGAGTTGAAAAAGGGGAAACATAAAGCCTTTTATACACTAGGTTACAAAAACAGCTTTGATGGATGTAACAAAAGGATTTCCTGGACAGCACTGCAGAGATCATTGTGCCATTATCCATGTAGCTGAAAAATGTACTCTGAATGTGTCTCTAGGAAAATGCTTCAGGGGAAAACCGCAAACTCGACCAACCAGTATCATTACACTATAATCAGCACTCCTCAGCCTTTGGGCTGTTTCATTATCACCCATTGTTCCACACTGAGTCCAAAACAAACATATTGTGTCCTCCTCTCAACAGAGAAACTTTTTTTTTTTTTTTTAATTTTTTTGTTCCAGTTTTGTAGAGTAACAGGTTGCTCCTGTCTGAATCTGCATTGTCTTTTCTTTAATCTGAACAGGTTTCACAGCATCACCAGACAGGTTTTCCACAGAGCTCAGGCCTTTCTGCTGATGTATGACGTCACTTCCTCTCAAAGCTTTTCTGCAGTCAGCTACTGGGCGAGCTGTATCCAGGTATGATACTGTTGTCACCTCACACTTTAGATAGATAGATAGATAGATAGATAGATAGATAGATAGATAGATAGATAGATAGATAGATAGATAGATAGATAGATAGATAGATAGATAGATAGATAGATAGATAGATAGATAGATAGATAGATAGATAGATAGATAGATAGATAGATAGATAGATAGATAGATAGATAGATAGATAGATAGATAGATAGATTTTTAATAAAAAACTTCCTCAGCATGACACTGTATGTTTATGTTTCTGCTGCTCTGTACTTCATCATATGCTGCATTAACTTGATTGGTTGTAGGTCTGTACAATTGCTTCCAATGTCACTTTGGCATTCATTGCTAACACCTCCCAGCCCACTGAGGATGGAATTTAGACGTTGCTCTTTAACCCATTATTCGATAACTATTTATTTCAAGAAGCAACTCTGAGTTGCATAACTGATCTGCAAATACTTAACCAAAATATTAATGATAGCCGTTGATCAATAAACAGTTAAACCTCTGTTAGTCTAAACTTGTTCTAAATTTAGACGTCTAAAAAACTTTCATTTTTAGACCTGTGGTAGCCTGATTGTAGACCAGTCATCTAGGCTACATTTAGACGTTTATTTGACCTCTTTCAGACCAAAAAATGCTCAGTGGGAGTAAAAAGGAATGAATTGGTTGAAAAATTTGCCAAAAAAAGCACCAATGTTAATTTTAGCCTGTTTCACAGCTAGTTAAAAACAAAATTTAGGTTAGACATAGTAAGGCTTTTGTAGGATATAAAAAATAAGGGACTAATCGTGACCCAGCCCGCACATTTACCCTGGAGCGTGTTTCTTTCAGGATGGGGCTGCAGAAGACGTGACTGTTTTACTTCTTGGAAATAAGAGTGACCACGTAGGACGCCGTGTTACAGCTCAGGCGGGGGAAAGTCTTGCTAAGGTAGGAATGTGTGGCACCTTCAGTTTTTTAGTTAGAGCTAGAATACGACTCAGTGATTCAAATTAAAAGCTGCTGTTTAACTTCCACAGGAGTACAACTTTGGATTCATGGAGTGCAGCGCTGCTACAGGAGAAAATGTGATCCACTCTTTGGAGACTATAGCCAGGTAACACACTCAGTGCTCACATCACCTGCATTTTGGTTGTCATTTTCTGAAGCGTGACCTTTAAAATCCTCTGTTTGTAACTCCCACAATTCACCGTGTTGATGTTTTGATTTTTTGCCAGGATGTTGGATCAAAAAGATGACACAAGAGAAGAGGCCTCGGTGCGCTTCGAAGAGCCGCAGAAGAAGAAATCATCAGGATGTTGCTGAACAGACATAAACAGAGAACAACTTGTTTTTTTAGAAAGTTTGTACAAATGTATATCATGACTTAAACTGCAGCTTAAACTAAAATCTACTTGTACAAATGATATTTAGAGGGGCAGGTGGATAAATTTAAATTTTTTCTTCATAATTACTCTAAATAATTGATTCTTAAATATCTACCAGACTTTATAAGCACTGTGAGTCATATCTGCTTTGGAAAAAAAAAAAAAAACTTCTATGCTGATTTTTTGTAGCTGCCTGAAAAATATACATAAAAACATTTTTTTCACTTGTTACTAAAAGTGAAGGAGGCATATACACTCACCGGCCACTTTATTAGGTACACCATGCTAGTAACGGGTTGGACCCCCTTTTGCCTTCAGAACTGCCTCAATTCTTCGTGGCATAGATTCAACAAGGTGCTGGAAGCATTCCTCAGAGAGCTTGGTCCATATTGACATGATGGCATCACACAGTTGCCGCAGATTTGTCAGCTGCACATCCATGATGCGAATCTCCCGTTCCACCACATCCCAAAGATGCTCTATTGGATTGAGATCTGGTGACTGTGGAGGCCATTTGAGTACAGTGAACTCATTGTCATGTTCAAGAAACCAGTCTGAGATGATTCCAGCTTTATGACATGGCGCATTATCCTGCTGAAAGTAGCCATCAGAAGTTGGGTACATTGTGGTCATAAAGGGATGGACATGGTCAGCAACAATACTCAGGTAGGCTGTGGCGTTGCAACGATGCTCAATTGGTACCAAGGGGCCCAAAGAGTGGCAAGAAAATATTCCCCACACCATGACACCACCACCACCAGCCTGAACCGTTGATACAAGGCAGGATGGATCCATGCTTTCATGTTGTTGACGCCAAATTCTGACCCTACCATCCGAATGTCGCAGCAGAAATCGAGACTCATCAGACCAGGCAACGTTTTTCCAATCTTCTATTGTCCAATTTCGATGAGCTTGTGCAAATTGTAGCCTCAGTTTCCTGTTCTTAGCTGAAAGGAGTGGCACCCGGCGTGGTCTTCTGCTGCTGTAGCCCATCTGCCTCAAAGTTCGACGTACTGTGCGTTCAGAGATGCTCTTCTGCCTACCTTGGTTGTAACGGGTGGTTATTTGAGTCACTGTTGCCTTTCTATCAGCTCGAACCAGTCTGGCCATTCTCCTCTGACCTCTGGCATCAACAAGGCATTTCCGCCCACAGAACTGCCGCTCACTGGATATTTTTTCTTTTTCGGACCATTCTCTGTAAACCCTAGAGATGGTTGTGCGTGAAAATCCCAGTAGATCAGCAGTTTCTGAAATACTCAGACCAGCCCTTCTGGCACCAACAACCATGCCACGTTCAAAGTCACTCAAATCACCTTTCTTCCCCATACTGATGCTCGGTTTGAACTGCAGGAGATTGTCTTGACCATGTCTACATGCCTAAATGCACTAAGTTGCCGCCATGTGATTGGCTGATTAGAAATTAAGTGTTAACGAGCAGTTGGACAGGTGTACCTAATAAAGTGGCCGGTGAGTGTATAGTTATATATATATAAAAAGATCTTGTTTAACTTTATTTATGTTGTACACTGTAAACTTTCTTGGTCAATAAGCGTTTGTCAGTGTAGGAGAAAATGCATCGTTCTGAACCGAACATGTTCACTTTTTCTGGAGTTGTTTTGCATTGTGGTTTCATCTTGATTGATTTTTCTCCCGGGGTAAGAAAGCCTGTTTCTCCTTTGAGAAATAACCACATTGATTCATTATTTGCTGTGTCTCGTTCCCGGTCCAAGAGAGTGTGATAAATGATCTTTCTGAGAAATGCCACACTCCATCTTAAAAAGTACTTTCTGTTCAGATTGGTTTGTCAGATCCTAAGTTCGGGAAAAAATGTTTTTTTGTGTTTTTGAAGGAATTGCCTCACAGTATTTTCTTCCACCCTCATCCTTTGGGTGTTATTTGGGAACTGTTTGTACCCTTACTGGAAAAATGTTTATTAAATGAATATATGTGTGCCTTCAATTTTCACAGCATCCACATATTAACAGGCAAATAACCTTTTAAAACACACTGAGATAATCACTGGTCCACTAGAATTTCAGATTTCAACACTTTGAAATGTTGCTTTTGAACTACATCTTATGTCTCCTGTAATGCACTTTGAATTGTCTTGTTGCCAAATGTAACCCCTAACAAGGTTTGCCTTTTTCTTTTAATGTGCAGCTTATGTGATTGTACTCACTGAAAATCAGCAATATTAATTTTAAAGTTGTTTATAAGTCAGAATTGTCATCCCTTCTTCTGTTATTTGGTGAATGATTGCCATGAAGTATATTATTGGTAAAGTTAAAGGCATGTGCTTGTACAATAATCTCACATTTTTATATATACAGGATAAAACTGAGCATTTTTATTTGAACTAGATGAATACCTGATATCACTCCCTGCTTATTAAACCTACTAATCATTGACTGCTCTGTCCTGTAATTAATTTGTCCTCTTGTGTTAGTTTTGTGCTCCAACACTGACAAAGACATTAGTGTTCCTGCTGAGTGACGTGTTTTTCACTGGAATGAAGTTCATGAAAACAATGGCACCACTGCGGTACTTTATCACATCCCAAAGGAGCTTTTGTGGGAAACAGAAACCCTGAGCCAGCATCTTCCAAAATCAACTGAGGACACAGACAGAGAGAGAGAGAGACAGAACATCAAATCTGATATTAGGGACTGGCTCTGGCTGCATTTACTCAGGAAGAAGTTATTTTGTTTTTGCCTTCAATTGATTAGATTAAGCCGTGTCAGGCTGGTACACTCTGTGAAACACCAAGCAGCAGACAACACAGCAAGACTTTCTCTAAAGAGTAAGTCATTTCAGAAGAACACATGACTGTTTTTGACTCGTTTCCAGCTCTTTTATATCAGTGAAAGCCAAGACCACACATACAGCTTTTTAGTCCGCTGGGATTTATCAGTGGGGCCTTTTCTCTTTTAGAGGACCTGATATTTTCACACATTAGAAGAGCTGATCAGCGTGTGTTTTTTCCATGACATCAGAGACACAAAAGCAGGGGATCAGATGGCTCTTTAAAAATTAACTGCACACATTCAGCAAGTCGAAACATTACAGCTGTCTTATCAACTAAAGAACCTCCAGGAAATTTGCTTTAGAGGGAAATAAAGTCAGTGCTAAACCTCATCTACAGTCCTTTTTAACAAGAGACTCATTTTTAAGCTCAAGGTGACACTAACTACGTTCTCCTCATGCATGATTAATTTGTGAAACAGTAGTACGCTTAAACTGCAGGAACCTTTTTTTCTGCAACTCATTTAAACACAACCTGATGAGTAAATCGGGAACATGTCAGTATAACCTTTTCAAAATTGAACAAAACTGAAAACATGTCCACATGTTCAAGCGACTGTCTTTGGAAAGTAAAAGTGAAGTTTGTTTATTAAATTATAAAGATTCAATGAACCTTTTCCTCCAGAACACAGGACTTCGGAGTGATGCAATGCGCAGGCTCTTTGGTATGAACGAGGACAGTGGTATGTTTGCACTGCTGCTGAAAGCCGTGAGTGATTTCATTTAGCCTGCAACTTCTTTGTTTCTGCTTGTTTCATTGTCACTTGATGTATCATCCTCTGATAGCGGCGGCTCCTTCTTCCTTGAGCGGAATAGTTTTTTGCCTTTCTTGGACGAGTGGTATTTTCTAATAGCCTGGTGAACATCCAAAGCAGTCCAATGGTGACGGGTCAAAGCGTCCTGCAGGGCGAAGGAGCCGTCTCTGGTCCGTCTGACTCCTTTACACACTGCTGTGCTGCGCAGCTCTAGTCCTATCTCGTGCACAACTTTGCGTAAATACTTCTGAGTTTCATTGAGACACTGCACTTCTGTGAACAGATAAGAAAGACACCGAACAACATTTGTGAGTATTTTGAAATTATGAAGGATCAAAATCATGAAAAGAAAAACCTGCTGGAGGTTAAATTTACCTAGAGTAAAGTTGGGTGGCTGAAAACGAATGCAACGCAAGCCTGTCAGGATAGGTGGTGATTTTCCGTCTGGACCAAGTAAACCTTGAACTGCCAACTCATAGGCCTCCTGTGAGTTCATGTCTATGTTGGAATACCTGCACAGAAGGATAATGAAAAAAACTCAAAACAGGTATTTTAATGTGCTAAGAATAATCATGGAGTATCTCTGTGAGGATGTGTTGGAAGCACTTTGTTGACTGGTGGATCATTTTTGCCTGGAGAAATATTGTGAAGTAAAGTACAAACAAAAAACAGACTGTACAGCAAGCAGTACTGATATGTTTATAAAATGTGAGCTAGATAAGACATGATAACTTACGTTAACAAAGCCTTCTGATTTGCTCCCTCCAGGGCTGCCAAAACTCTGTTCAGGTTGTCCTGGTTGATATGATCTGTTTAAAAAAGAAATAATAATATTAAGAACAGTCAAAGAATTGATTTACTGTGTAAAACTGGTGAATAATTAAGAGGATCCACTGTTTCAAATACTTCTTTACTTGATATAAAACAACTGGTGTGTGTACTGTCATTAAATTATAGTAGTTGGCAGATTTAAAAAATAAAATAAAAAATAAATAAATTTGGATACTAATACCAATCTTCAATGTCATAAACATGATGAAAAACTGATAGAATCATAGAATGTATATAGAATGGACATGGAACCAAGTTGTCCATAGTATATACAGTCTATGGATAGAACCAAACATGAAAACTGAACCTCCTACCATAAGTAGACCTTTCCACAACACGGCCTGTGTGAGAGAAATCCTCTGTTGCAGTCCCAAATTCTCCCTCAAGCGTATAATCCTGAAACCCATCAAAAAAGCACTTAACATTTCTTTATCACATCTTTTTTCCAACTAATGTAAAACACGCAGAGACCGAGAATTACCCTTGTGACTCGTGCCCTGTAGAAATCATTCAGGGTCCTGTTTCCATTCCCGACACCAAGTACTGAAATAAAAATATGCATCAAGAAAAATGATTATGCCAGATGAAACGGATGAGTGTTTTTATTCCATATGCTCTGAAAAACTCACCAAGAACACCAGAGGAAGGGGTGTCCAGGCAATGTCCTACTCCAACTTTGATGTGCCGAAATTCAGGTCCAGTCACTTCAGCAAAGACAAAATGGTTTACTCAAATAATACACAACTCACCTACTCTCTTCCAGCAGCCACTTGTTTGTAGAGACCTCGGGCCAGTCCATTATGGACTGTTGCGGGGTGACGCAGCTCAAGGAAGAACATTTATGATCATTTCAGACCGAGACGCTAAGGCAAAAGAACTACCGTGTCTGCAGTATAAAATGATTAATATGGTGATTATTATTTCACAGAAATGATAAAGAAATGATCACAAATGTTCTTTCTTAAAGTGCGTCACCCCGCAACAGTCCATAATGAACCAGCCTGAGGTCTCACTACAAACAAGTGGCTGCTGGAAGAGAGTAAGTGAGTTGTGTTTAGTCTCTTTGCTAAAGAAATCAGGCAAAGTTAAATAGATGTTTGGTGGCTAGTACTATGGCTAGGACCCTATATGTTCTGTTGATGAAGTTAGGTGCTGTTCTGAGCATTATTTGTGGCTATAGAGTGGTGTTTTGGTTGAGTGCAAGGCTCTCTGTATTGCTACCGTGCAGTCCTTACATAAGTTGGTATAACTAGAGAAGCAAGCGGTCGGCAACATTCTTCTCTAGAGGAGGTTTCTAATTCGGTGTGTTTGACCTTAAATTAATTTTACGCCAGAATATGCCTTTAATTAAAAAGATATTGTATTAAATTTATTAAAGTGGGTAATTGTAAAAAGAATCAATTGCACATTATAATATAGATGGTCACTTCTGAAGTATTGAAAGAACCTTTAGTTTATCCAGGTGTTTCTTGTGTAAGTAGAGGGTCCGGGTGTTTACACTCACCCAGAGGATGCTTGGACAGCACTGGGACAGAGACTGCGGTCAGTCTAAGTGCCTTGGGGGCTTCACTGTCGCTGCCTTCAAGAGCCAAGAAGCGGACCTCCCGAGGAAGAGGCAGTGACGGAGTAGAGTTCACTCCTATGAGGGGGGACATAGAGGTCAGCAGGTTCAGTAGAGGTCGCCCATATGTCTGTGCAAACTATCCTCACACTCACAACAGACGGTGTTATTTCCAGACCTAATGATCGTCTTTTTAAAATAGTCTTTAATCCCCTACCTTTAAGAAGATTCGTCTCGATGGTATCTCTCACGAGTTCCCAGTGGACACCTGAGGGTTTGTACACACAAAACAGACCCTCTAACCGCCGAAACATCCGTATAGCTGGAGTCGCCATTGTTCTGGTACCATTGAGTTATCCGTGCTTCCTAAAAATTCTGTAAATCCACATATCTTGTAACCTTTCCCCGATTAAAAGCGGTTTGTTTTGATTTCACTCAACTCCTCCGGACAGCGTGCGAATCCATGCGCATGCGCACAGTCATAAGATTTTAGCATCTCTTTCTGACACACTGCCCCCTGTTGTATCGGATGTATACGGGGTAAAGGGACATCGTAATATGCTTGTCGTAAATGTGTTCGGTCATTAATTGAACAAAAATTTGGCTGTATTGAATTAAGACAAAAAGGAGGTTAATTTTTGGGAGTGTGGACAAAAAAATCCGAGAGAAGAACAAACGATTAGAGAGCTAAGTGTCCAGCAGATGGTGCCAGCTGCCGTGAAACTCTCCAGCGAAGAAGTAAAAAATGGTCGCTTACTGACAGTCTGCTTTATGTCACTAAGAAAACCCAGGACTTGACTCTGGTAACGTGTTCAGCTTTTACTATTTATTTCTTCTCATATCTTTTCTGGAGTTGCTTTCTTACGCAGCGTCATATGGTAATTTAAATTAAAATCAACATTACCTGGTGCCAATGACAGGTGACTCTCATTGCGTGGTCAGTTTACGTCAACGTCCACACTGACGTACTTGTCACCGCTGTCACCTGTTTGGCAGAAACGTGCTTTTGTTTGCAGGGTGTTAACATTTACCTCACTGTCACGATAATCTATAACTTAGGGAAAGGGTTAACAGGTTCGTTTTCACAGTAGACACAGAAAGAGGACCCTCACAATTATCAGTGACACAACAATAGTGTGTTAAAGTGTGGGGAAGTGCATGCAAAACTTCCATCCAGACAATTTTCATTTGACAAAAAAGAGCAATACGACTTATTTGTAGAAGTCAATACAGAGATCCTTCAAACTCATTTTTTGTTCAGTTGCAGTTGTTGAAATTCAATGCATTTGTAGATTTCAGTATGTTGCAGATTATGTATAAAACTCATAGGAAAATTTTTACCAAAGCCAAGATTCAGAACTAAACTGAAAGAGCGCTGTGTTACAATAAGAGGAACAAGTTTGTGGAACAATCTGAACAAAGAAACTAAAGAAACAAAATTAGATTTTTATCTTTAAAAAAGTGTCAAAGCCAGTATGTTGAGTAAATACAGGGAAATATGTTCATCTCAGTCTTGGTGTGTTTGTTTTGTGAGTTAACGTGGTCTTTTCTGTTCATTTTGTAGGTTGTTTTTGAAAATAAGAAACGATGAACTGTAAAAAGGAATGTTTGCCTGCAGCTGTTTTTTATTTTTGTTATGTGTTTAGTTGATTAATATATTATGAAAGAAGGGTAGACTCTATAAGAGTCTTCTTTCTGCTCCGTTTCATTCACATGTTTGAGATTTTTCCTTGTTTGTACCGAATGTTTAAATATTAACTGAATGAAATAAAGTATGAAAATGAAAAGTTTCCAGATTGTCTGGAAAAATTCAAAGCTTGACGGATCTTTGACTAGTGATTCAAAATCTTGATTGCAATATAGCTCACTGTAAAGGGAGTAGTCAGTCGCCTCTTCGGCTTTTCTCTTTGTCTGAATACTCTCTTTATAACTTTTTGCTCCAAGATTCATCCGTCTTTCGCCTGTTGTTTCTCTGTAGAGTTGAAATGCGAGCTCCTCTGCGCTGGGTGCTGTGGGATGTGAAAGACACCCTCCTGAAGGTACGTTCCTCTGTGGGAGAGCAGTATTGCAAGGAAGCTAAACGAATGGGCTTGGACCTCAGTCCTGTGGAGGTTGAAGCTGCTTTCCGCCTCGCATATAAACACCAGTCCAGTAGATACCCAAACTACGGCGTCACTCAGGGCTTGAATGGCAAGTCTTGGTGGATGGAAGTGGTGCAGGGCACATTCTCCCGCTGCAGGGTACAGGATCCAGCCCTGCTGAACACCATGGCTCAGAACCTTTATCAAAACTTCTGTAATGCTGAGAACTGGGAGGTAAAGCAAGCACACACATAGAGCAAAAGTTTGCCTCAAATTTATAAAACCTGCTTTCAGATAAAACAAGAAAAACAGTCTTCTAAGACAAGTAAATGTTAAGCAGCATTATATCGTCACCATCAAAGATTTTTGTACTTTTCAGTGCGTTTGAAAAGTTCAGTTCAATTAAACATTTCCTCACATTAATATTTACATCTGTTAATTATTTTCTTGTAACCTGAAGCTGTACAATGTCTATATTTCTCAGGTATTTTCAGACTCAGAAAAGACCCTCCAGAGCTGTTCTTCTCTGGGACTGGAGCTTGGTGTGGTATCAAACTTTGATCGCCGCTTAGAAGAGATTTTACACGCCTGCGGCCTGCTGTCTCACTTCAGCTTTCTGATCACATCAGAGGAGGCTGGCATAGCAAAGCCGAGTCCTGTCATCTTTGATAAGGCGCTGCAGAAATGCGGCGTACCTGCTGCCTGTGTTGCCCACATCGGGGACCACTATGAGAAAGACTACCTCGCATCTCGCTCCGTGGGCATCCACGGCTTCCTGTTGGACAGACACAACATGTATAAACGCTTTGATGTTCCTCCAGAGCATCGGCTCAGCTCCCTGGAGGAGCTGCCGTCACGGCTTCAGCAGCACATGGACTAGAGCCAGGGATTCATGTGAAGGGTTACCCAGCCACACTGTGCTAAACATAAGGAACCAAACCTAGTACACGAACTGAGTCGACTCTGCCACTGTAGAATTTCACCTGTTTAACAAGGCAGTCATGAAGAAGATCACCATGGACAGTAATTTATAAATACTGTGATTATTGTGCAGTTTTACTGTTAATGAATTGGGATCAATAAATATTTATGAAATGTACATGATCTGAGAAAGATGCTGTTTTGTTCATACAAGGAAATTTAAGAACTAGAAAAGCACTCGGAGAGCGCAGACCTCCGCCAAGCAGCTCATGTCCCCCCTTAAACAAGAAATGCCCTGACCAGGATTCAAACCCAATACCTTCTGGTTTTGAGGCGACACTGCTAACCACTACACCACTGTGCCGCCCATTGGTTATCTTTCAGCATTGAAAATTCCAACAACACCCTTATTTTTGTGTGTTCTGGATCACAGTATCCAGAATTTTGTCCCGATCACTACCAAAATTTAATGTAATCTCTGTAAAGTTGCTAACAGACAAACGAACAAACCAACGCTACCGAAAACATAAACTCCTCGGCGGAGGTAATAAGAATAACTTTATTTTATCCCAGAAGAGAAATTCAATTGTCTGTCGTCTCATTTTTCATGTGTCAAAAAGTTATCTACAATTCACAGAAGACGAGTTGTAAAGTCTGATGGCTGTGTGTACAAAAGAGCTTCTGAATCTTTCTGTCCTGCAATGAAGAGAGAGAAGCCGTCCACCACCACTGACCCTTCAGTCCATCAAGGTGTTGTGAAATGGGTGATCCATGTTCTTTAGAATAGCCTCCACCTTCCTCAGTGTAGATTTGAGGTAGGTGGAGTATACATTTATACTGAGTTTACATTCACAAACACAGAAAAAGACTGCCATCATCTTCAGATTTTAAAATCTTAAACAAACGGAAATCCATACTTAAATATAAGTGCATTTGTATTTAGGAAAAAAGTTTGATCCTTTGTTCGCCTCTGACCCTGGTACTCTTCAAGTCAAATGAAAATCAGGCCTGTGCTATCGCAGTGATCCAGCTGACAAATGGCACCAAAATCACGAACATTTTAAGGAGTGTAATAATCAACACTGTGGAAACTATACATTTGCAGAAAGCACACAGAGCATCCCAGATACAACAAGATCACTGCAAGAAAAAATCCACTCAGTTGAGTTCAGATCTCTACAAGGTGAAGCTGGAAAGTAGTGACCCTTGTCCCTTTAGCGTTGAAATACTGTTCTGTATCATTTCTCCTGACTCTGTAAAGATCAAGACAAAACGTAACTTCTGAACATATAAAAATAAAAGATATCAGTTAGCTGTTAGTAATTAATACTCACAAAAATATGTATATCATATGTCAGTATCAGTCAACACAGACCTTTGGTGAGCAGGATAAGTTGCAGATTGGCAGAAACACCTCAGTCACTGAATACCTGATCGTCCTCTGCAGGAGAAAATGGAAACACTCAGAAAAAATGAACAAAACTGAAGCCTGGAGTAGGACTGTAGTGTTTTGTTCCTATTACTGGGATGGTGATCACACTGGGGGAGGAACTTTTAAAGCCTCCAATACTGTAACAACGATGCAAATGTCTCCTGTGACCTTTATGAATGGAGGAGAAAAAAGGGGCGTGGCTCAGATCGAAGTCAAATTTAGTAAACAAACAGATTTCATACATAAAGGAAGACACTGAAATATCATGATGTGTGGTTTGGTTCAAATCCTTTAACTCTGCGCTTTCATCATTCCTAATGATTTGTTGCAGAGCTTAGCCGAGATGAGAACAAGGCGAGGTTGCTTAACCCTAATACCTTTGTAAATACCCTTATTGTAAACCATCTGGTCAGAGGCAGATACTGAGAGTGTCTGGCTGAGGATCAAAAGCACACAAAGAGGAAGCAGACGCAAAAAAAGAGGGTAAAATGGTATCCAGTCTGAAGCAGAGCAGCAGCCTTTTATATGAAACAGGGGTTGATGTTTTGTCCAAATCAGATTTTAAAGGTTTTTTTCTGATGTGAAAGACCCGACCGCTTCCACTTGGTGTCACCAAATGTGTTAAGAGTCCGAAACAAGTTTGTATTTTCTGTGTTTGTTCTCTGATTTCCTTTGTTCTCATTCAGTTCCTTTGTATGTTAAAGGCTGTTGTGTGTCTTCAGGGATGCAACCACAAGAGCTACTTAATTCAAAGCTGGTTTAGTAGCTCAGCCAGACGGATCTAAAGGACTCCACAGAAATCCAATTGCAGACATAATGGGATTGTGAAACAAAACGAAGCTCCTCGTATGGGGGAAGAGAGAAAGGGAAGACCTCAGGAGATGCAGATGTAAAGAGGAAAGACGTTCACACAAAGACATATAATGGAAATAACACGGAAATGAACAGATGCCGCAGCATTAAGGGGTTTACATACCGTCAAGTTGAAAAGACACAAATAGGAAACACAATGGGGGGTACGGAAAATGGCTGAAACATTTCCTTCAGCTATAAAAGCACTCAAGAGTTCAGCTCTTTGTTCATTTGTGCCTGGGGTTCAGAGATTCATGTTTGCGTTTTCTGCTCCTGAAATATTCAGCAGAAGAGAAAAACAGAAGAGCAGAAAATCGGGTATTTAAAGAGAGGAAATGAAAGGAGCTTAAGGAGTGAAAAGAAGGTCATGTAATGTATCAAATGACAGACTCCAGAGACGGGGTATTAATAATGAGCACATACATTCACACACTTGCATTTTTAATTTATCGGAAAACAAACGCGTATAACAGAGGTCAGTACACGAAAGACTCCCCTTTGGAGGCAATTTATGTATTGACTTTGTACATACTGAATATTTACACTGAATATCCCTGTGTGGTTTTAATATTTGCATACCAATGTTGTAAAAACAAACATTTACACATATGCTTATTGTAAATATTATCACCTACTGTAAACAAAAACAAGCATTTCATACCCACAGAGTCTTTTGGCATAAAAATACCATCACATTCATTTTGAAGGAAGTCCCATCCTATCACAAGAATAGCAAACACACTCTATAGTCAATTTTTAGTGGATATTTTGAATTCCTTCACCAGTTATTATCCGAGTTATATAGACAAACCTTAAATATTTAGATTTAAATTTGCTCACTGAGGCTTTTCTCCCTTAAAAACGTGTTCAAATTTAACACAGAGGCAATGCTATAACCCAAAAAGCATGAAATAAAAAAGTATTTTTCTATAAAAAGTATAAACTGTGATTTAAGTGCATGCACGCTTCAGTGAATGTGTATGTGAACCGCGTGCCTCTCCCCTTTAGTGCTCATTCAGGCAAAGTTAGAAACAAGTGTATTTGGCATCTCTCATTAGGTGGACACAGTTTCCATGTGACTTCAGTGTACCGCGAGTGCAGGTGAACTTTTAAGAGCAGTGAGCAAAAGTGCAAGACTACTTTTCAGACACATGGGAACACATGGCCGTCCAGTGTGTTTGTGTGGATGTGTTTTTTAAGTTATAGCTCACAAAATAATCATGATAAAAAAAATCCTCTGATGCATGAACACATTCAAGTTCACCTCAGGAGTAAAACATAATAAACTGATAAATATCATAACTCCGATAAGATACTGGAGTCAAACTTACCTGTTCCGCATCATATTTGAAGATGCAAACTTTGTGAGTAATTACTGATTCGCATTCAGTCCTTTTCACAATTCCTCCTCCGGTCAAGTGAAGTGAGTTCCTTCTTAAAAAAAACAGACACTAAAATGTTTTTAAAGCATCAGTTTTCCCACCCTAAGTTCTTTAAAAAAGTCTTCTGTGATTCTGATGAAAAATGTGCAGCATTACTAAAAGACAAGAAGAGGAATCAGAGTCGTCTGACGTCAGCGAATGAATTATCGTTGCCCTGCTGATCGCAAGTAAACAACGTTTCTGTTCAAAAACCACCACAGGGTGATGAGCGGCCTTGTAGATCATTCCTTATGTCCTCTAGGCCGGTCATAAACAAGAATAAGGAAACACACAGCTCCTCCCCATGCAGGATTTGGCACCAGCTTCATCCTCAGAGCTTCAGACACGCTGATGCAGTTCTGTGTGTTTTTTCCCCCAGAGTTCAAGAGCAGTTGAGCTAATTCCCAAGACTCTGCAGGAAAGAAGTTGCAGCCGCTGAGAAAGAGAAGTCATGAATGTTCGACCTCTCGCGTCAAGCAGGTCTGTTGTGCTCAGTCAGAATTTGTAAATACCACTTTGGACAATCCTGAAGGTCTAGGCTGCACACACGAGCAAGTTGTCTTCTCAAACCACTAAAAGAAAAACAATAACAATTCTTAGTAAAACCCCCAAATCCTTTAAAAAGATCATAATACTAAAACATAACTTTGCTACACGTCAATTTTGATGACATGTAGCTTCGTCAACACAAAAACACGAGCTTTGATTCAGGTCAATCTCACATGTACAAAAATACAGACTAGTAAACAGAGATTCTGAAAATAGGCCCCAAACAATTCAGACTTTCTCCAACTTGAGTTTAACTGTGCTGAAATCTGCGGGACCAAGAGCAGTAAGCTTTTTGTTTGTTTGTTTTTTAAATTTCAGATCTCCTGTGTCTGTGTCAGATGTTTAACCTGTAAATATAGATCTCCATACTGCCATTTAAATATATATGAGATATTCAAAAACCAAATCCCATAAGAGTTGAGACATTGTGTAAAATGTTAGTAGAAACAGGACTTGACTGTTTGCAAATTGGTTGTTTCACGACAAAAAATAAAGCTCACTTTAAATTTGATGGAATACATTTCAAAACAACAAAATCATGTTTATCATTGTGTGGCTTCACATCTCCATTGGCCTCTGGAAACGTTTGGGCAACTTTTTGAAAGTTAAACATAAGTCCATACTTCTTTACAATAAAGGATCTCAGCAGCTCAACAGCTGGGGCCTCTCTTGTTCTCTTGTTGTATTTTCTGTGTCATGATGCATCAAAGATTTCAATAGGTAACAATCAGGACTGCATACATTCCCCCCAGACTGTTCTACCATGAAGCCATGCTGTTGCATGTCTGTAGTTTATGAATGGCAGCATAAAAAGCTCCAAAACCAGGACAAACTCCTCAGATGCTGCTTTTTGAACTGTGCCCGCTTGTTCCTCTCCTCTTGAGAGTGAAGGACATGTCCATGATTTCCAAAAAGGATGTCAAATTTTGATTGTAAGACCAATGGGAAGTTTTCCACTTCAGCTCAGTCCATCTTATGTCAGATACATCAGTGGCATTGTTTGTTTTCCACTACAGAGTCATGTCTGTTTTTAATGCAGCGTCATTCAGGGGGCCCAAAAATCAATCCAATCTAACTACTAGTCCCCCATGTGCAGAAATGTCTCCAGTTTCTCAGAGTCTTTCCATAAAATTATCTGCTGTAGACAATGAAACCCTCAAATTCTTTAAACCTTTTTCTTTTTCTTGTACTTTTTGTTTTTGCATTGACCAGCTTCATCAGTGTTTTGTTGTCCCTGTCACAGCTTTTTTCAAATGTTGTCAATGCACATTTTCAATTAAATATGTTTTTAAATGTTTATCAAACCATGAAAATCTGTTTTCATCAGAATTTATCCAACATCCCAAGTGTCTTTGGGGTTGTAAATTGTGGTGTTCCTCTCTTGTATCTCAAGTTCATACATTTGCATATTTAAAAACTGTTCAGTTGATAGTAATTCTATCTTAAAATAATCGTTAGACAAGAGAGATGAAAAGGTTACCACTCTCAGAAGGATAGAAGGATGCTCCGTGCTTCTCTGTGGCATAGTGATGTGCGCGGCTCCGCCTGCGACAGTCCTGCCTCCACCAGCAGCTGCACCCAGACAGATAAAACTATTCAACATCCTCCTGACATCATGTTTGTCAAATTCATTGCTTTGATGAAGTACAGCTCTGTTTTTCATCCAAAGCTCTGTGAAGTTTACCAGCTAAGCACTTTGGGTAAAATACAAGGACATGATTGTTATGACTTACTGTAGCAGTGTACACAGCACCATGATAAGAACACACCCGATTACACACAACACCAGCACTGTGGCGACAGTCTGCTGTCTGTGGTTAGTTGCTACGACAGCCAGCAGGTCAGCATGCTCGCACCTCATCCCAACGAAGCCGGGGTGACACCTGAAAGAGGGGAGCAAATTCAAGAGCAAAATCGTATTTTTTTAATCTCAAAATTTCGACTTTAATCTCCTTCCTGTAATTATTTTTTTTCTCTTCATGTGGCTCTGATCCTCTTCCGTACATGTAAGACTAAATGTAAATTCTTGTTGAAGAAAAGAAAAAAAAGGATGCTTCTACAGTATAATGTCTTTGATTGTTCTGGCACTTCCAGTCTACCAGCAGTTAAAGCAATTAAATATCTAATTTTGGTGATACACAAGTTTGCTTTTTCAGATCATAAAAAGACACAAGCCTTTGATTTTCAACAACGATTTCTCACAGGGACTCTAAATGTTATGTTCAGGAGACTCAAGAAAACACAAGTTCTTATTTTGGTAGTATAATTGACTCCTCACTGGACTACATTAATTTTACATTTTTGGAAATGTCCATTTGGAAGGCAGGCAGTATTTTACAGAAGATGTAGCCCAGAATCAGCCAAAGTGGGGACAAAGTGTTACATCCAGTACATGCACCTGCCCTACTGCAGCATTTATAGGTATTATAAGTAACAATATGGAAGTGGTCGATTACTTTTTGTCAATATTACTGGTATAGATCATGTAAAGGCATAACTTTTAATTTTAGGCTGTGTCATAACCAACTGAAAACTTCTAACAGATCTTCAAATAAAATAAAGATGGATTCAAAGACAGCCAAAGTGATTAAAAATTCAACAGCAGTTGTATGTCGGCCTTGAAGCAGCATCAACTTACACACACGCAGGCGTCTCCTCTAATATCAGGAAGCGGCATGTTCCATGGAAGCAAAAATGGCGGTGTGAGTCCGGACAGTCGTCAAAGTGAGACCGAACAGCTGCTGCCACAAACTCTGTGAGAGATGAAGATCAGAGTTGCAGTTGGGTGGGCATTTCTATAACAAGGCACAATAATGCGTCTGTTTTACGGTATAAAACCACACAGCATAAAGAGCACTGAAGGCATGAATTCTACCCTCAATAACATTATCAAATATAATACGAGTATTTCCAGCTCGATTCCAAAACTTGATACTGGTGAATATCATAAATCTAAAAATAGCTCAAGCCTGAGAAGACCTGAAACAACAACAACATGAACTACATCCTAAAGCTGACACCCACGTCACCAGACTGCAGCCTTTTGTTACCAGTTGCGTGTGGATTTGTACTGGCTTACATCTCTCACTGTACCTGGGAGGGATAATTAGAGTCAAGAAGAAGTCCCAGTGAGACACCGCAAACAAAAACCTCTGTCCGCCTGCTTGTGTCGAAGTCTCGGGAGAGTTCACAGATCTCGAACAGAAATTAAGCCTTTTTATCTCGCTGCTATCTTATTTTACCCTCAGAACAAAGATATCCTACTAAACAGGGGAAAAACAGGACATATCTTGCAGGTCAGCCGTACAGTCAGACAAATTCCTACATAGCTGAGTCAAAACAAAAGTCCCTGTTTCCCCAGAAGTCCAAACAGATGCACAGTGTGGTGTTCAGGGTGGGAAGGAGGATGAGTATGTAGACAGATATCTGCATTACAGCCTTCGTCACACACTCCATTCCATCGGTAAATGGGCTTTTGGATTGCAGCCTACATGTATTGTCTCCTTCATTCAGACTCTGTGAAAGCCCTCTGTTGTCCCTGAGGCATCTGCCTACCAACCCCACTCTCTTCCCATGTGATTTTGGCAGCCAGACAGGAGGAACGCTGAGATGGAAACCAGCGCTTTTAGGCACATTAAGGTGCTTTTTGACATCCTAATCATAATAATTCGACACTGTCTGCAGGTGCAGCTTCTGTGCTTCGGGTGAATGTCCTCGAGCTCATGAATGCTGCTCATAATCTTTAATTCATTAGAATAGCTGCCCTTGCGCATGCCAAGAGGATCAATTATCAGGGAGTGCCACACTGTCCACATGCACTGCAGCTCAATGGAAATCTTACAGTGTGGAAAAATCCGGCAAAGCAACACCGCAGTCAAGAATGGATCAGAAGCTACAATGGGGACACTTAGATCTTAGATTAAGTGTTTGTCTCCAGGAAATTAGCTGACTTCGAGCTTAGGTTTCTGTCTTAATCTGGACCAACAAAACCACACTGTGACTTACTTTTAACCAGAGCGACGTTAGTTGTAGTCCTTGCGGTTGTTGTGGTCGTTGTTTTTTGCCTGTTGGTTGTTTCAGAGCTGTTCGGGGCAGCAGTGGACGGTGTGTTGATTGAAATATCGGGTTCAGTGATTGTTGAATCTGCTCCTGGTGTATAGAGGGAACCTATGGAGGCAAAAATAACAAAATCTGAATCAAATTTGAAGCAGTCTGGATGTGTAAATATAAAGAAATGACAGCTAGAACTTTGTGAATCATGGGAGAAAGATTACAGTATTGCTATTTCTCTATTTTAAGTCTATAATACAACAAAGTTAGGCATACTCATGACTCCAGGATTGGGAGTGATTGTTGCAAAGGTTGTGGTCGTTGTGCTTCTGCTGCTGGTAATTTCAGAGCTGCTTCTTGTGTCGTTTAGAGATACAGTTGAGTTTGTGTTGATGGAAATGCTAGCTTCAATGATTGTCGAGTTGCCTGGTCCTGCGCCAAATGTAAAAAGAGAACCTGCAGAGACACAAATAACCGGCTTTAAACCTGGAATAAAGTCGTGATGTGAAAAAAAAAAATCACAGAATAACACAGACTTGTTTTATGACTATGGACGGCTCAAAGTACCATCAAGTAGATGTAAAAACGTGACTTTTTTAAAAAGAAATATTAAACTCATAAGATACAAAACCATGTGTCCTAAGCCGCACTATATGACATGTTAGTCCCAGTTGTCTCCTGATGCACAGATATGATCATGTGACCATGTTTTCAATGTGATATCAATGCTTCAATGAGTAACTAGTAGCCAACAATAGTAACAGGGTCAAGCAAGCACTTAAAGGATGAGACCAAAGCACTATAAATACAGCAGGTCCTGTCTGCGAGGACACGCAACCACACGCAAAGACTCAAAACAGCTCAGAGAGGCTGGATTGTTAAAAAAAAAAAAAGACATTTCCAATTTCATGATCAATTTCTCACTTTTTTTTTCTTTCCCATAAAGATCACATAAATGTGTCCAAATAACACACACACTCTTTGTCCTAAAAACAACATGTAGGTTAATAAAACAACTGATTATCCATATTGAATGCCAACAACAGCAGTCATTGCAATATAAGTTTAGTATTGACTCTTAGATTATTTAGTGTGTTGTTATGGATTATGGAGCATTTCTGGACAATATTTAATGAAATGGACACAGAAAAAAGCAGAATTAGCTACCAAAGAATCCACTCACCACTTATGAGAAAGAAAGTATCCCAGAAAATCCGAGTCATCATGACGACTTGAGGGTCTCAAACGGAAGAAGCGGGTTTTCACTTGGATCCGGGCGTGTATTCAGGAGCCACATTAGTCATTGGTGTTGGATTGGAGGCTGCAGGGCGGACAGCAGCAGCAGCAGCAGCAAAGACCATCAGCAGCAAACCAAACATTTAATCCAATGAGAGCAGAACAACAGACCTGATGTCGACTCGTGCCACTCAAACACATCTGATCTCCTGTCGCTTCACATGCACGAAGAGAAAAGAAAGCAGTGTCGAGATTGTTTGTTGTTGATCTTTTTTTAAATATATATTTATGTGTCAAAAGCAGGAGAGTGTCCTGCAGGATGTCTGCGCGTGTAACTTCTGTGTTCAATTGAGGAAACTCATGTTATTCTGTCAGAGGCTGACCAATTAGAGACAGAGAGGGAGAGAGAGGGGAGGAGTAACACATCGTCTCATCACATTTAGGCCTCCATTGTGATAAAATTAATATAATAATAAAATATGAAAAGGCTGCCCCAGTTCGTGCTTTGTTTTAATATGAATCAATATTTGAAGGACAATTTATTTGAGAAAATAGTATATCCTCACAAAAACAAGAGAAGAAAAGGGGAGACTGGGGTGAGATGAGCCAAAGGGTAAGTTGAGCCACCCCCTGTTGCCTGGAAATGGTAAAAGAAATTGATCATGTGACCAAATATTTAGGAGATGGGCATCAATTCATGGAGTCTGTGAAGGTTAGAAGCACATGGGTGAAGGGGTTAGACATTTATTTACAAAAAACATTTTTTCACTCTTGAAAGTGAATTTAGTGTGTCACAAGTTTTATTAGAATTGTGTTCAGACCAAAAAAGATCATTTTAAATTTGTTTTATTCATCAATTGTGGTATCTATGAGCTACAACATGAGGTCAAAAACCAAACATAAAAGTCCACCATTGTAGCTTAGAGGACTAATAAAGTCATAATAGTAGTTCTGGGGTAAGTTTGGCCAGCCCATTGAGCATTTTTTGGTCTAAAAGAGGTCTAATAGACGTCTAAATCCAGTCTAGATGACTGGTCTGAAATCAGGCTACCACAGGTCTAAAAATAGGTTTTTTAGACGTCTAAATTTAGACCAAATCTAAATCTGGGCTATATCTATTCTACACTGTATATTGCTCAACGGCAATCCTAATTATTTCGCTTAAGTACTTGGAGATCAGTTATGCAACTCACAGTTGCTTTTTGAAATAAATAGTTATCGAATAATGTGTTAAAGTGCAACATCTAAATTCCGTCTAAAAAAACAGAATCTAGATGGTTGAAATTAGGTCTAAAAGAAAACTAGACGTCTAATAGCCGTCTATTGCTCAGTGGGAGAAGTTAGTTGAGACAGTGGTTCAACTGAGAAAGTAAAGGAGTCTGATGAGAGGATCAGCGTTTTGATTCAGATTGTTGAAATGTGTTACTTTTTCTTTTCAAAAATACAGCTGTGAATGTTCTGAATCACTTAAAGACATTCTCAAATGTTTTTTCACAAAACAGCTTTTTAGCAGTTCTATGTGATAATAATAAAAAGAATTATTGTACCAGTTGAATAGCGTATAATAGATAAAAATACACATGAATGTGAAGAAGTGAGTGTTATTTAGGGAGAGAGAAGGTGAGGGAGGGCTGGAGTGGGATAGTAGGGCAAGACTCAACTTACCCCGCTCCTATGGTCAACTTAGGTTACACGGAGTAACAGGATTTTTTTTTTTTTTAAAGAACATCAAAAGTGAAGCAACAAATCATCAATTTAAGACGTTTTATTATCACCTAAATTAAATGTCCACCATAATAATGACCCAGGTACCAAGCGCTGGGTGACTGACAAAGAGCTGGAAACAAAATCCCAGAAGTAAAGCAGGACAGTGTGAGCCAGCTTCAGCTGGTGGACAGGTTGTGGGATTAGAGCCAAGCAGAAGCCAGATGACTTCGCTCTCACTCAGTAGAGAATGAGCCAAGTGAGGTATCACTAGCTGGTGGCGGAAAACTGAGTTTGTCATGCTCAGAGAATTGATTATTGATGGTAGAAACCCTGTTCGAAGAGTATGAGGTAAAGATTTCTGAAGTCTACATAGTGGAGGAGTTGAAGGGAGAGTGGATGTAAAAAAAATTCAGACCTAAAGAAATGAACCCTCTCTACTCCAGAGATAGAGGGCGTCATTTGTCATTTTAATCATTTCACACAGAAAATACGTCTCCTTCACTTCTCAATCTGTGGCTTTTCTCCCATCGTTTATAAACCATGGTTAATATGACAATCATTTCTAAACTTTACTGTTTTTTTGTTCAAAAAGTGACAGAGAGAAAGTGAGAACTGTCAAATGTCTTTCTATTTTTTTATTTATTTTTTGGTCCAGAACTCATGACATATTTTAAGACATTCAGTAGATAAAAACAAAAAAAGAAAGAATGTCATGTTAGCTTTACTTGAGCTGTGCTTTAATGGGCAGAAAAAGTCTCTTTTCATCTCTTCTTTGAATAACTTTGCCGACTATCTGCCTGTATGCAATTCAAAGCTGAAGTTTTTTTTACAACAAGGGAATATGATTTTCTTCTGTTTAAAACTTTAACTTGTTTGGTCTGGGGGGAAAAAAACGATCAGTGGATTGTAAACTAAAAGTTTCTCTTAGACATTTTAAAAGATGAAAATATTCATTCATTTCATCTCCCCTTAGTACATAAGTTTTTCTTGTTCCACCTTGACTTTTTCCATTCAGCCCAGAGACTTGTTTTGTACACATTGTTCTAAAGACTAGAGGTGAATAAAGAATGAATTAACCTGATTCTGATTCTGACAAATAGAGCAGCAAATGAACAATATGTCAATTGCTCCATCCGCTTGCATGAACAATCTGCTTTGATTTGAAATGTGTTTTGATCTTTATCTTTATCTTCATCATTTAAGTTACAACAATAGACAGTCTGCTTAAAATAATACTGCACAAAAATATTATGTTTTCATGTTTCGATTGAACACAACATGTAAACATTCACAGTGCAGGATGGAAAAAGTAGGTTAACCTCTAGGCTAATGACTTCTCCAAGAGCTAATTGGAGCGAGGAGTCAGCCAACCTGAAGTCTAATCAATATAATGAGATTGGATGTGTTGGTTAAAGCTGCCCTGCCTTTAAAAACACATTTTGAGTTTGCTGTTCTCAAGAAGAATTGCCTAATGTGAATCAAACTAGGGTGACCATATTCTAACTTCCCAAAAAGAGGACATGACTATAACGGGGCAGAGTCACGGAGTCGCACAAAGTTAATTTTTAGTTTTTCGTGTTGGATCGAGTGTCTTTTACGCGCTTCTACCTCAGTTAGTCCACGTGACACAAAATCGAAACTTACGTACAAAACCTCAGACATTTGAAGGATTAAACTTCCCCGGACAAAGCCAGGTAGCCTAGACAGAGGACGCATGGTCACCCTAATTAAACAGATCTCAGAAGATCTACGATCAACAATTTTTGACTTGCATGAAACTGGAATGTGTTACAAAAGTATCTCTGAAAACCTTGATGTTCATGTGTCCATGGTAAAGGACAGATTGTCAACAAATGGAGAAAGTTAGGTATTGTTGCTACTCTCCCCGAGTGTGGTCGTCCTGTAAAGATGACTGCAAGAGCACAGCGCAGAATGCTCAATGAGGTAAAGAAGACTCGTAGAGTGTCGGCTAAAGACTTACAGAAATCTCTGGCACATGCTTACATTTTTGTTGACCAATCTACAATAAGTAAAACATTAAACAAGAATGGAGTTCATGGGAGTCAAAAAAAACAAAAAACATTGCTGCATGTTTGAAGAGCACCTGGATGTTCCATAGTACTACAGGTAAAATATTCCATAGACAGATCTGAAATTAAGTTTTTTTGGAAGGAGCAATCAACGCAATGTGTGGAGAAAAAAAGGCACGATACACCAACGTCAGAACGTCTGTGAAGTATGCTGGAGTACAATAAAGGACTTAAATGTCAAATACCATACCTTGGCTCGGTACTGCAAAACATTCACCTCAGCCTAAATACAGAGTCAGACAGCTCTCCAAACTCCAGAGCATGTTGCATATTTTATGTTAACGTTCGTTCAATTACTTTTCCAGCTCAATGATAAACATTTTCTGTGCCTGACTTTGATGTTCACTTTAAACTAAAAAAAATAGGAACAACAATAATTTTTTCCTTGTTTTATAAGCTGCAAAATCCACTGTGACATCTTACCCCATGTAGTGAGACAACTTACCCAATGGTGGGGCAACATGTCACAGGTTCACACTCTCTATTTGATTGCTTATAACTCTGCACTGACACAAGATATGAAAATGACATGAATATGAAATATATACGTGAGACTTTGGTCTTTCATCTGGTACACATTTTGTTTATGTATGATGTGTTGATTCCAAGTAATATATAAGAGTGTAAAAAGTGTGACAACAAGCCCCGGTCTCCCCTATACCACCATAATCAACGAGATAGAGACACTGCTTCAAAAACTCCCCTCCAACAGGACAATGGAAAACTATATTGTAACCGCAAAACTAATGAGGTATGAACTGAAGTTGACGAAAGTCGACGCAAGTGATTTCTGTAAATAACTGAGATTTTTTCACAGTTATTCCCTAATCTTTGTTGACAAAATCCACTCCACGTGCCAGCATTCACCACCCTGCTGCTCCCTGAATCTCACTGTACAGCCTACATGCGTCACTTTTATCTCCTGGGACAATTATTCCCACCGAACTCTTAACTCTCTGAATAAATGAATAATTTCTGTAATAGTAAGACATTTTAGTGCGTCGACCGTCTTCGTTCAACTTCAGCCAATCAGGGAAAGCATAGCGTCACGGACACGCCCCTAGCACGTGCTTGAGTGTGTGTTGAAAGGCAGAGCATCATACAGAGAGGAGGAGGTGGGCTGACCTGAGTGCATTCACTCAACACTTCACACTTTACCGAGTCACTTTATTTTTTGTACTTTTTAACGTCTTTGGTTGAAAATGTCGCAAGCTGCTGTACAGAAGGTGAGTTTAATATTTAATTTAACTCTATATTTGCAATTTTATGCAGAAAATTCTTCTTTTAAAATACAATTGCTTCATAGGTGTGTAAGTCCTTGTCTAAATAAAAGTTAAAAAAATGAAGTTTGCTGTTTCCATCTATCTATGTGTTTCTGCATGAACAGGGTAGCTCCCTGACTCTGGTGTTGATGGTTGCATCTGCAGCCTTTGGAGGGACTCTTCAGTATGGTTATAACTTGGCAATAATGAACTCTCCTACAGTTGTAAGTTTATGTTTGTGTGTTCATGTTGAAGTAGATTTTCCAGTGTTGGCAATAAGTGTTGATCAATCAAGCAAGCATGGTTGCCAAGTGCTTGTTCACTGGTGGATTAATGTTGGGTCCCTAATCAGAATATATCAGAAAGTAGACGTGTGTGTAAAGTGTTATAAGATATGCATTGGTTTACCGAACAGCAAAAATACTTGTTTTTAGAACAAATAGTATATCGTCTTAATGATAAATTGATATTATCTTCTGATTATCTTCTCACTAATTTGTTTTATCTGCCTGATTCACATTTGGCCCAGAAATTTGGCTAAAACGAGATGTAACATGTCACCCCATGTCATGTGCAAATCACTCATGGAAAAGTGATTTTTAAAATCCAAATTGACAGCAAAATACTCAGTGTGTGCCCTCACCCTATGAAACAAAGGTGACATTTGATTTAAGTCATGAAAATGTAAACAGACTGAATAATTTGGGGTAATAATTGTCAGCTTTGACCTCTGTTTTGTTTACTCCAATGTTACTTTGGCGTCTTTGGTTTACTCAGTGACGCTTTAACATTCTTGTCTTTCCTCACAGTTTATTCAAACCTTTGTCAACAAGACCTTCCTAGAGCGCTGGGACATCCAGCTAGAAGATTACCAAGTGACTCTGGTCTGGACCATTATTGTCGCCATTTTTTCACTGGGGGGCTTTGCGGGGGCTCTGATTGCAGGACCAATGACGATACGGTTTGGGAGGTAATCAGTGCAGAAAATCACTAACTCAGATATTCAACGTGTAAATTATGTTCCTGTACAGATGTAAATACATGAACAACTTAAGTCAACATACATTTAACTGTCTAGACAAAATCTACTCATGCATATGATTCTCGATATGGTATTTCCAATTTCATACTCTTGGAAATAAAACTGACATAAACCCTAAACTGTACTTTACAAACCACCAACAGCTAAATTTACTATTTGTTATTTTTTAAAACAAAGGTGCTTTTTCAGCCACAAAAAGTTTGTCCCTGATGTTGTTGTTTTTTCTCAAGAGTGCACTTCCTTGGGGCTATTTTCACTCAGAGATGAACACATGTTTATCACTGAAGATTGTTTACTAAACTTACATTGCCATACTATTTCATAAATGGCGATACGTCTGTACCTTTCTGTTTAACTTTCACTTTCCAAGAGCATCTGTGGGTGTTTATGATTATGCTCATACTTGTGCCACAACCAAACAGAGCAACAAGAATGCTGAAAGTAGAAGGTGATGATATAAATTTTTTAGCGCTTATACCAATGCAGAATCTTAGACCCTCATGAGACTGATAACCAACACTTGGAATCAATATGCATTTAAAAGTAAAACTGAAAAACTTGATGTCAATATTGAGAGTTTGTAATATTATATCATCGTTTAAATGCCTTTAGCAAATGTTTGATCAAAACTGAAACTTTCAACGTCATATACAGGAGTTAACGGTTAACCCGTTACAGTAAGAGTACAGTTAGTTTCACAGTCGTGTGATGTCAAACTAATTAGACAATGTTGTGAGCTGGACATTAGGTAAAGATAGACTCAGAGGGAAAGACACATCAGGGGTGGAGCCAAAGTAACAAACTTTTTAATCAATGATCAGAAGGATAAACGCTTACACAGATTATCAGCTAAATGCCAAATATTGGCTCCAATAATCAGCCGGGGAGGATAATTGTTCTGCTTCTAGATAAAAGGCTTAATAGATACGTCCTTATCTATTATAAATGAACCATCTAGTTTTTGGAAACACAGATCAGGCATGTTTTCCTTTGTTTGCGATTTTTTGTCCAACTGGTGCACCTGTGCCATTCATTATATAAAACCACAAGTAGCCCCTTCATAGAAATACACTTGTGAGATTGGGACGGCCTGCATCAGGTGGACTGGATATCTGTCTTGACTGTAGGAGCCCAGAGGCATCTGCCAAAGCAAACAGAACTTGAACTTGCAGGTTGGTCTGGTTCCCCAGCAGGATGTTTTGAGTTGAGTCAACCCAAAATAAGAGACAGTGCTAAATGTTGTATCACTGTTAAGAAATATTTTACCGATCAACTTAGACAGGATTTAATTTTTTTAAAGTTCTATGGCACACTGAATGAAGACAACAGTCAGACTTTAAACTACTCACAAAGAAGAAAGAAAAAAAGAAAGGTTTTGACTGCTTGAGCTGTTGTTAACCTCCAAAACATACTCTCAGTATCTGCATTGTGTCCCCTTGTCTTTTAAAGAAAGAAATGCCTGCTGCTTAACAACATCTTTCTCCTGACGGGTGCCCTCTTCGCAGTCACCAGCAGAGCTGCCAAGTCTTTCGAGATGATCATCATCTCACGTATCCTGGTTGGAATAAATGCTGGTATGTAATTTCATGTCGATAAATATTTAATCTTTATACCTATGATGCAAATGTTCATCAGGAATACTGTCTTAAAGCATGTTTTTTTATAAGTGAGAGCTGATCTAAACTGAGACATTCAAGTAATAATCAAAGAAAGAGCAAAAAAAAAAAGGGGGAAATATTTCACAGATGTGTTTTGTTTTTCGTAGGAATCAGCATGAATGTGCAGCCCATGTATTTTGGAGAAAGTGCTCCAAAGCACTTGAGAGGAGCCATCTCTCTGTCCTCAGCTGTTTTTACAGCATTTGGTGTCGTGTTGGGACAGGTGGTCGGACTCAGGTATGGTTCTGTTTGTTTGTGTTTGTCGTTTAGACCAACCTTTCTTCAATTCTTGATAAAAAAGTGCCTTTCTGTTAAGTAATACTTTATGTTATTTACTTTTAAATTAAAGAGAAATTTTAGGAAGTGAGCCATATTGGGAGTACCTTCTTGCCAGTAATGCCATTCCCGGCATTGTTCAGCTCATGACTCTACCGTGGTTTCCAGAGAGCCCCAGATACCTGCTCATCGACAGGGGAGACAAGGAGGCTTGTATTGATGGTGGGTGTTGTTATAAGTCAGTCACTGCTCTACATATCAGTCAAGAATCAGAGACAATCATCGAGTGTGTTACTGGAGTATGACCGTTTTTCTCCAGGACATTAATCTCAGCACTCTGTTGAGATGCTGAGATTTATTGTGCTAGTTATAATATTCCTTGTGTTGCCATCCAAGCACATGAACTTGAATCATACATCCTACACATACACACATCTTATACACATATCTCATATCTGTGTTTTCGGCAGCGTTGAGGAGGCTGCGAGGCTGTGAGGTCCAGAGTGGCGAGCTTGAGGAGATCCTGCAGGAACAGGCTGAAACCAGAGGCATGAGGCCCTGCCGACCCTGGGAGCTTTTCACAGACCGCTCAGTGCGCTGGCAGCTCATCTCTGTCATGATCATCAGCAGCGCCATGCAGCTCTGTGGAAACGACTCGGTAAGAAGAGCCAGCTCGCCCCCTGATAACAATAGCATCAATGATATGATCAGAAAAGTTTTCTCAGAGCGTTGAAACATGGTTGGGTGTCCCTTTAGAAAAATTTGTTATGTAACCGACGTGCATCAGTGTTACTGATACAGAGTATCTCATGTTCTTTTGGCCGGTTTCCCTCTACTCTGTCGGGAGGTTGATTAGAAATTTGAGACCGTCCATCAGCGATGTCGTGTGCAGGTGTCTTTTACTTTCCTACGGGTCGTGTTAATAATGTAGACTCGGGGTGGATCATCAATGCTTAGTTTAGTGGAGAATGCTTATTGTGTTTGAATAGGGATGGAGCAAAATCAACATGCCACATACAGATCTGCAGTGGGGCTAAAGACAATAATCCTGTACTTCACCCTTTAGGAACATTTACAAGCCAGTCAGATTTCGTCTTACAATAAGTCTGTCATGTTATCATTATGTTGAGTATTATATAGTGTGGGAACATATTGTAACAAATTATATCATATAATTTGGATTGTATAATGTATCGTATCATATTCTGTGCTGTTATCGTGTTTTAATGCATCACATTATATTGCATGAAGTCATATTAAATCATATCATATTGTATCTTATCATGTCATTTAGTATCAGGAGGGACAAATACTTATTTTAATGAACATGTTGTAATGAATCACACCATACCATGTTGTATCAGTTCATATCATTTCAAATTGTATCATATCCAATCTATATCATATGGTATCAGGTCTGATAAATACCATTGTAACATATAATATCGTACTTTATCCTATTATTAATAATAATAATGCATCGGATCTCATATAGTGCTTTATCAGAGACCCTCAAAGCGCTTTACATTGGATACATCAGTCATTCGCTCACACAGTCACACTTTGGTGGTGGTAAACTACTTTAGTAGTCACAGCTGCCCTGGGGTAGACTGATGGAAACATGGCTGCAAGTTTGCGCCTACGGCCTCTCCGACCACCACCACACAACACTCACAATCATACACCAGTGGAGGACACACACTGGGAGCAAGTTGGTTTAAGTGTCTTGCCCAAGGACACAACGGACAGACTCGGGATAGGGGGGAATCGAACCGCCAACCTTCTAGTTATTGGACGACCACTCTACCTCCTGAGCCACTGCCGCCCAAGTTTATCCTATCATATGATATGGTGTGGTACAGAATCACATTGAATCGTACTGTATCATAACATACTGTATCTTATTGTATCACATCTTATTGAGTCGTATCTCATCATATGATATCAAATCGTGTCATACTGTACTCAACAGACTGTATGGTACCATGTCTATCATATCGTTTCGCAGCATATCATGTAATGTCCCATTGTACCCTATCCTATCCTTTCCGATAGTAAGTTACCCTGAGAATTATAATAGCATGCATGTACAAATCACTCCTAGGATATTTTTGTTTTTATTTATTTACTTTATACATTCTTTTTTTTTAACTCATAAGGTGTCAAAACTGATTTTAAGACCTCCCCATAGAAACTGCTGGTTAAGCACTCCTCTGTTTCAAGCTTTTGACCGCATGCTTGAAAGCTGTGGGAAGAGTTCAGGGTATTAACATAGTTGCTCTTTGTACAAAAAGCGGGCATACTCTAATCGGCTTATTTCAGCTGAAGCACTAAATGAGCACTCATATGTCTATTTTTATTTCTTCTTTGTCTTTCAGATTTACTTCTACGCATCGTATGTTTTCAAAGAAGCAGGAATATCGGCTGACAAAATCCAGTATATCACCATTGGCACTGGGACATGTGAATTCACAGCCTGTATAATGTGTGTGAGTACCTGTTATTGGATCATGTTATGTAACCGGCTAAAATTAAAGAGAGGATCGCTTGAATTCCTCGGGCTAAGGACTAATCACAGCCCTGAGTACTGGACATGAACCGGGCTCAGCATTTGATTTCACCACTGAGATTACTGTGACTCATAATGTGTTACACTAAATACAGTACAATACAAACACTTTAAAGTAAGATACAAACTGCAAATGTGAAAGAATCAGATCAGGGGTTAATATCTAATTCGAGAAGTCTGACTGACTCTGTTCTGTCTCATGTATATTTTGATATTTTCAGAACCTGCTGATCGAGCGTAAAGGTCGGCGGTTCATGCTGATGGGAGGGTTCATCCTCATGACTGTCTGGGCTGTTGTCTTTACCATCGCTCTGTCTTTTGAGGTAAAGAGTTTCAAAGTCTATATTACAGTGATTACCGTGTATGCAGATCCTGTGGTAGAGGACATAAGTCATAGGTAATAGTCTGAGAGAGAGCATAGTGCTGCTCTGTGTAAGAACTTGCCAACAAGTCAGTGTGGCAGTCAATCCACTAGAGGGCATCGTGAGCCAACATGTGATCAATTTCTGTGGAGAAAAACATGCAGTAGTTAAGTATAGAATTTAAAAAAACAAAAACAAATCAAGTCGTTTTACCGGATTTGTACAGCACCATTTTCATAACGAGGAGTTTCTGATATTGATCTGGTTCCCTTTCTTGCTTGCTGTGGATTTTTCACTCTCCACCCTGCATGGGAACAGCACTACATATCCTGGATGCCATACCTGAGCATGGGCTGCATCTTCACCTACATCCTCAGCTTTGGCATGGGACCAGGTCAGCCTAAATGTTTTGCATTTTTTTTTATTTTTGCATCAAAGAGACTCATGAAATGTGGTTCCAATGTGCATTACTAGAATACAAATCTTCACTCTATTGTCTCATCATCATGGACCAGTTTAAATCAGCTTTGTAAATGTGTGGGATTAACATTTCTTAAAACATGAACGTCTTTGAAACAGTTTTGATAATCTTCACCTGACAGCTTTTCTGCCACAGATAACTATAAAAATGTTAAATTTTGCTTCAGGAATGTCAAATTAGATGTTAATTGTGGTTTCAAATCCTAATGAGACATAAACACAGCTCCCCTCGCACATCTCAACAGATGGTAACATTTGCATAAACACTTATGTTGTCTCATCTCCTAAGAGCACATTAAGGTGATAAACACTTAGATCCAGTCTGAAGTGCCTCTGAGGGCCAGTTGTATAGATTCAAATCAAAATAAATTACTATATCAAAGGTATCATTAACATTTTATAATAATTTTTTAAAAAAGGCAAAAATGTAACAGACTAAAGAGGACATTTTGGATGATAAGGGGAATAAAGGGTCATTAATAAATCGTGTCACCCGGCCATGTAAATCTTATGAGAGTTATGCTAAGTTTAGGCAGACATAATAATAACCCAGACACAAGGAAATAGAAGCATGATCAGTTCTCTCTTCTACATTAAAGCTAAACTTGTTGCTAGGCTTTGACTGATATCTGTACTTTATCTCTGTTCTTATATTTTCCCTCAGCTGGTGTGACCGGCGTCCTCCCAACAGAGATCTTCAATCAGGCGGCTCGGCCGGCTGCCTACATGATCGCCGGCTCCATGATGTGGCTCAATCTTTTCATCATCGGAATGATCTTTCCTTTTCTCGTGGTCAGTGTGCCACATAATCCACACAACTGTCTGCCTCTGTGTTCGAATCCTTTCATCAGTACATCCCTTTGACTGTCGTGGTACACACAGTTTGTCTGAACTTTAAAAAAAAGTTTAAAAAAAAAGCTTCGGTGAGCTTTTCAATCTGAAAGAAAAACTTCAGCAGTGTTTGAAACTTTGCTTTTGCTGTCTGCAGACTGCTCATACCATCGCGACTACATTCATTTTCTTATCAAAACCTGCAGAAGCATCTATGTTAACACAGACCCTCACTCTTACAGGGTTCCTACACAGCTGGAATTTCCATAGTTTTCCATACCCTGCTTTTTAGAATTAATTTTGGAAATACCTACTTTTTCTTTTTTAGAAAACAGTATTCCAGAACTGTGGTAATAGTCTGGAAACATAAATATTTTTTCATAGTTTATTTTTTATTTTTCATACTTTTAACACCTGGAAATTTATCAAATATATTTCCATACTTGTATAGGAATCCTGCTCTTAGCACTCATTAAATGGCGGAAAATCACTGCACCACCTAATCTAAGACAGATTTTAGTTGGTCTATAGAGCAATCACCTTTTATAGACTCAGTAGAGCAACAACACACCACCTGTTTACCTGCCTAATTTTAAAGTCAGTAACATAAGTATCAACTTTATCTCAAGTTCTTCCTAAATCAGGATAAAATCACCAAATGAATAATTCACAGACCATGAAAATGCACCTTATACACTTAATCTTAGTCATAAAAATGAGGAAATATTTGAATTTTAGATTCACGTGTTTCTTCATTCATGCCAGTATTTATATTTTAATACTTTAATACAGCTAACACAGAGACTTAGACGGTTAAGACTGAGGAATTTATATCATGTCTGTCATTGGTACTAAAGTGTACTTTCCTTCTCTTCCACAGAGTGAGCTGAGTGAATACTGCTTTGTGCCTTTCGGTGCCGTCTGCCTGTTGTCTGCGCTGTACGTTGGCCTGTTTCTGCCTGAGACCAAAGGGAAGTCTCTATCTGCCATCACAAGTGAATTCCACAAGCTGAACTTCAAAGGCCTGGACAAAAAGTGTGCATCGCAAACTGAAGCTCAGTACCAGCTGGGCGAAGTGTGTCACTCTACAGCCCTGTAGACAGACAGACTGCATTTCTTCCAATACAAGAGTCCACCATGCTGCCTCACTTTGGTCCGATCTATTTGAGCGGGAGGAGTTCATACAGAGACTGACCAAAACTTTAAGTTTGGTTACATATCACTGAAATGTAAACTTTACGCACACCTATGTTTTTGCTACTGATACAAGACAGATCAAAAAGTAATGTTTATCCAGCTGACTGTGGCAGAAAAAAAATCCCTCCAACATAAGAGGAGAAGTATTTTTTAAATTCACATATATGTACGACTAGCATGGCACAAAGTGTGAAATAACTGGACAGTAAGCTTGAGATAAAAATACTTCACACGTTTATTTATCAAGTTTTTTCTAGGATTGTTTCATAGTTTTATTTGCATAGAGAATCAAGTTAATTGACATGTTGCGGTTAGTTTTTTCTTGTTTGTTTTTCATCTCATATACATTATAAACATTGTATGCTACACATAAGGACAACTTTATTTGGTATACGCTCAAAATATATTTTGATAGTCACAGAAATGCAAACTGCTCAGTCATGTTAGTGTTGAGCAGTCATCTTTTTAGTAAGGGCTTGAAATTTGTTCACGAGTGGAATATGTGCAATATATGTTTTTGTTTCACGTAATGAACCTTTAATGATGTTATCTATGGGATCAATAAAAAGGTGCCTTCCTCACATATAATTGGTAATAAAGTCACGTTGAGTTAAATACATTTTCAAGGGATTAAGAAGTTTTCTCTTCTAAAGTTATTACCCACATGACAAAATCAGATGTCATGGTTCCCAATCCATCCACAGGGGGCGCCAACATCGACCCTTCCAAGAACAACATCAGAGCTCATTCCCCTCTACCTCTCAGCCTTGCGTCTGCTTTTTGTGTGTTTGGATGAAAGAAAAGTGTTAAAGCAACACCACCCTTAAAATAAAGATTAGACATAGGCATGCTTCACACATAATGTCGTGAGAAATCCCCCAAAATGCCTTGCAGGTCGTAGTAGAATGGCTGCTTAACTCATCAACAAAACACCCAAATATATTTCCTTGGATTAGAAGAATTGAAAGTTACAATAAACATCATATTACCTTGTTTTGATGTTGTATTAATATTTTATGGTCTTGTTCCATAAATCCAGCAGAAGAAGTAGAAGATGCTGATGTCTTTAAAGCTAATAAATATTACTTTTTAAGATTATTTTGTGCATAATAGTCTTACGTTGTTAACTGTACTACCGGAAAACATTTTTCATGAGATTCCACACAAATGAATTCCCCTTTAGAGATCAATAATTCTCCACTTGAAGATCTACCTATTATAAATTTAATGGGAATCCAGCAGGGAAGTTGTACCGAGTTGCCGCCTCTGTTTACAAACAACCTTCAATGGAAATCGATCATCTCAAAGTTACGCTCAAATGACAGCACATTCCATGTAACGCAGTCTACAAAAGCTGTTCCTTATTGGTTATTACGTCACCCCTGAAGCCTCCAGAAGCACAGGAGTCACACTTTCATTGTTTACGAAGCAATTTTAATTTTGAAAACCAACAAAGGTTAGTTTTAAACAATGCCATTAGGATTTGTACAAATTTGATATCTGATTATATCTTCTCCAGACGCATCTAAGCTTCACTGGGGTTGTATTATGCTTTTACACATTTACAACAAAAACTGCAAATTTACAAAGTTTGGTGTCCAAACAAGTCATATGTGAAGTTTCAAATCACAAGGTAAATGTACGTTGTCATAATGTAAAAACTGCTTAAAACAGGACCCTGCAAGAAAATGTGGGACTCACTAAATTGCTTGTATTAGTGTTAAAGGCTCTCCTTACTAGTTCATCTGTTCTTCCAGCAGAGCCTAAAGAGAAAGTGTGATGAAGTGTTTTAGATGAAGGCTGAAATATTAGTGTTTTAATACACTAGAGTAAGAAACACAAGGCTTTTTTTTAAATATAAAAATCATAGTAAACTGCTTTAACTTGAGGTACAAAATTGGATTTTGTCTTATAGTGTGAATAAATCCAATAAAGCTCTGGCATCAAAGGCAGATCCAGTTTCTCAATGTTTGAAGTTTTTCAAGACAGTAAACTGCACTGAATCAGTGGAGTGGATAGAAATCTTTGGAATTTGCTCCTGTGGGACAATTAAAGAATTACCTTATCTTAAATCAAAGGAGGAGGGAAACAGGCAGAAAATGAATAACTAGACACCGGTCATGTTTTCTGTAATTCAATTAGAACTATGCTTAAACATTTTCTTTATATGACCAACATACCTTTGTAGTCTTAACACTCACCATTTGTCTCAGGTGAAATGTAGAGTGACCCAAAATAGAAGATTAGCTTGAATAACTTGTGTTTCATGAGGTAAGTTTTGGTAACAAGATGCAGATAAAACAAATTCAAGAAAGTCAACCCGCTAAGTGCAGGTTCTTTTAATACCAGGGAAAAAAAGGAAACGACATTGAGATTGAAAAAGAAAGACACAATTTGGAAAGATTTAAGAAATTAAGATTTAAATGGTCTCACCTTCAATCAGAAGATTTATTCTGACTAAAACTGTTGAAGGTATTGTGATGAAAATGAAATTAAGCCTTTTACAAACAATTCATTGACAGTTAATAACAATTTTAAAGAAAAGTTTGATGTATTTTATTCTGAAAGTTTACAGACCTGAGAGAGATGATGAAAATAACTGATCAGCAGTTGTTGAAATGATAAGAAATAATACGAAATATCTTCACTCTCAATCTTTGAAACAGTTGAAAGCTGCTGGACAGAGCTGCTCGAAGGTGTGACTCTACGCATTAGGACGCCTCCCCCCACAGAATAATATCTAACCTGCAACCGGAGGACACTGGCTACTACCATCATGAGAATCAACAAGCAGACCATGTCCAATCTGGTGCATCACCACCCACGTCAAAACATGAAGGTTGAGCTCTACCAACATAAATGGACAACTGAGGTCCATTGATGTGTAACTTCAGGTAGAAATCTGGATATATATATATAACTGTTTTCTGCATCCTCTTCAGTCTACATCCACAAAAGCGGTGCAGAAATGGACAATACATCAGGAAAGGTAAGATCAGACTTATTCAATATAGGGATAGTTCTGAATGTACCCCATGCACTATGACTATGTGGACCCTTTTTGTTGCTGTACGATGGCCAATTCACATTTAATGTTTTTTTACTGCGTTTTTTTCCCTTAAAATTTTCATGGCAAGTAAATCTTAGCAAAATATCTACAGTATATCCAATCAAACTCTCATGACAACTGTACATGAGAGACTGATTTAAGTTTGAAAAGAACTAAAGTAGCAAAGATAGAAATTTGATGTAAAAGAGATGGGTTATTATGGAGATAGTTATAGGATTAGACTACTTTGCAATACTTTTCTAGAGAAATTGGCCAATAGTGCAACAAAAACATAACTAAGACATTGTAACTTGATGTGGCATACCAGAGGCCATATCACTTGTGAAGATAAAGCCTAAAAATATTAGTTGCAAATGAAAAAAAATGCTTGAAAATCCCCCAAAGTGTAGAAAAAGTTACTTTCCCTACGTTATTAAACATCCCCAAACTTCCATATTTTTTATTCTCAGCTCAAAACTTATTTTTATTTTCATTTGTGTGGTCTCTAGTTGACTTTACTTTATTTTTTTACAGTCTTTGTACGTGTTTCACAGGCTTTCATTTGTTTGATGTGTTTTAAGATAAGATAAGATAAGATAAGAAGAACTTTATTGATCCCCAAAAGGGAAATTTAATCTTATTTGTTCTGTTTTCTCAATTATTTCTGTTTTTGTTCTTTGTGCAATAAGGTAAAATATTCTAGACAGGATATCGTGGTAAAAATAGTTTAAATAAATGCTCATAAAAGGACAAAATGTTGATTGTGGCTTAGACTGATTGGACTGGTTCTATAGGGTCCAGTTTAGTTAAGTGCCACTGGAGGAAGAAATCTCAAACTGGTAACTTTTGCACTTTGGGGCTCTGTAACATCTGCCTCAAGGTAACAGGTTGTAACAGGCTTTTTCGAGCTAATCTGACATCCATCCCTTTACTGCCCCAATGATTTCAGAGCCTTTACCCACTTATTAATTTTTGATTTGGTCTGAACTTTCTGGTGCTACAGAGTTAAATGTAACTATGATATTTAGATACACAGTGAACAGTCTCAGTCTATACGGAGAGTGAAGTCTTTGAGCCATCATGGTGCACACATAACCGACAGAGGAAGCCAAAACTGGCATCTATAACAGAGTAAAACAATGAGTAACTGTGGAATACACAGTCTGACGTAATAATAGCATCATAAAAGTTAATACATGTGTTAGTCTAGAACATTTATAATTATTAACATGTTTTGGCGCTCGTCTCCACTTTGGCAATACCTGCTTATCGTTTAGTCTATATGGCTGGTTACTGAATATATGATTTCCTCTTTACATCTCAGCTGCAGTACTGGAGGCTCTATCTGCTGGCGCTGGTGTTGGGAATTGGAGGATCCTTTCAGTATGGGATTCAAGTTTCTGTCATTGCTTCTCCAGCAGTGGTAAGATTTCTCGACTTATAACAAATGGATGCATTACACTCGGGCTTGGCGATATAGGAAAAAGTTTATCACAATATATTTTTTCCATATCAGTTGATATCGATATATATCATGATATAAAAAATGAAATTTAACAGTGTTTATTGGCAGCATGTCTTTTGCAATACAATAAGCTACTGCTTCTGTGAGGTCAAAGTGTCATTTCGACGTTTTGTCGTGAGGTGTTGCGCTAGAGAAAGCGGACTCAATGGTCAGCTGTTTCGGCTGCACAGGCGCCATGGGCTCCTGGCTCCACTCAGGGTTTGTAGTGCTGTGGGCTTCACGTGTTAAAGTGCTATGGTTGTGTGTAGCTGCAGCCTGCTACTACGCAGTTCAGCACATGATTGGTTCAGCTTGAAGTGGACCTGGAGCAACTCCCCTTTTCATTGGCTATTCATATAGTCTACTAAAACATGGCAGAATGCCGACTATCAAAAAGCATATTGACCATGTTTTATATTGATATTGAGGGAAAGTAATTTTTGATATATATCGTTATTGTTTTATCATCCAGCCCTTCATTACACTGATAATGACAAAATTACAGAGTAACACTGCAGTCACTGAGATGGAGTCGACTAAACTAAAGAGCAATAAATCACAAGATGTCTATTTTTAACATGTTTATCTCTTATATGTGAATTTTCTGAAGCATGTGCGGAGTTTTGTGAATGACACGTGGCTGTCACGATATGGAGTGCCAATAGAAGAGTCAACCAACCAACTCATCTGGTCCTTCATCGTGGCTGTGTTGAGTCTGGGGGCCTGGGCAGGGGCTGTCCACAGTGGCAGCCTTCCCGTCACTTACGGCCGGTGAGAGACAGAAAGCCAACTAAGCATATCTTAGTTATAGATTACAAAATAAACACGTGTTGGGTTAGGTGATAGGTTTGTTAATTAATAGTGGACACTGCACAAATTGCTGATTTATGTCTATGTTTTGCTTGTAGCTCCAACCATCTGTGGAGAAATCCAAAGAAATCATTACAATGTTTAGTATGCCAATAAACTTGTTGTGCTACTAAAAGAGGGAAAGTATAACAGGGTCCAAAAATAATGTCAAACCGTGTTCTTTTTTGCAGGAAAAAAGCTCTTTTGTTCAACAACGTTGTGGCAATCATCGCTGCTCTTCTCATGCTCTTCAGTCGCATGGCCGGATCTTTTGAGATGATCCTTCTGGGGAGATTTCTCTTCGGGTATAATGTCGGTATGTGCCAGTGTGTGTTGTGTGCAGTTTGTGTGTCTGTATGAATGTTGATTTGTTTTCCAGGTTTTCATCCTGTCTTCATCCTTTATTTCCCACAGGTCTTGGACTAAGTGTACACCTCATGTACATCGGGGAAAGTTCTCCAAAGAAATTCAGGGGTTTCCTCACTCTCACCTGTTCGATCTTCATTGGTTTTGGAAAAATTATGGGTCAGATAATTGCCATCAAGTAAGAACTGACTGCTGACACTCTAAAACAAAATCTCACTCATGTCCAATCCTACTTACCTGATTTAAATTTATACATATTAATCAATCATTTAACCACTCAATCAAGCAATCTTTACATTTAATTCTAATCCCTAACAACTGTAATCTCAGGATGCTTTACAAAAAGAGCCAGTCTGGACCATACCCTCTGTCTATATTATTCACAAAGACGTCACATCAGGATAATCTAGTCTTCTCCTTTTTTATGATCCAATCTTAATCCACCATGAACGGAGCTCGGTGAAACATTTAGTAAGGAAGTTGCAATGAGAAACTTCCAGAAAATCTCAAAAGCAGAACCAGACTCATGTTGAACGGTTACCGGCTGAGTCTCTAGTAGGATTGAGCGGGGATTGGGGGAGAAACAGTAAAAGAGAGAGCTAAAGAAAGACAAAACAACATCAACAACAATAACAGCTCATACAGACTTATGATTATACTGACAGCAGTAATGTAAAAGTGTGTTTACTTCAGTAAATTCAGGAAGTTAACAGCAAGCTAATAATTATGGACTAATCTTAATGTTTGTGGCAGTTAAAACCAAGAGGTTTCAGTGTGGTGTCTATAGTCATGATGTAGTAGTAGTATTGTCAGTAATAGTAATGTAAAAGTAACAGTAATGGTGAGACATATTAAAGCTCCTGTCGAGGGCTCCTGATTTGTGTCAATTTTGGCGCCCCCCTGTGGACAAAACAGTCTCTGAATTAGGAAATGGTATTAGGAAATACATGATAGTCCCTGTTTTGTTTTCTGCAATACATTTTTATTTGGGTGTTCAAAGAATTATTGATGAATTCTGATTAATTGAGAACTTGTGTTGGCCTCTGTATGCGTTTGATTGGTTGGTTAATAAAAGGAGCAGGTTTTTATGTTTGTGTGTATGTTTATGAGTTTGTAATGGACCCAGAAGAGTACAGTAGCCGAGCTTAAACTGGTGCTAATGGGGATCCTAATAAAGAGAGAAAGGATAATGGTCTTGTTTGCTTTTGGATAACGTAAAAAAGTGCCAACACAAATTTCAGCCTGCTTCATAGACATTAAAAAATGAAAATCCTCATAGGAGCTTTAAAAGTCATTGCAGTTGCATCTGTTTCCTCCTTCACTAATTGTTCATGTTTAATATTGTCAGGGAGATGATGGGGACTGAAGACATGTGGCCGTACCTCTTAGCCATAAGTGGCGTCCCTGCTGTCCTGCAGTTTGTGACACTACTTTTCTTTCCTGAGGCGCCTCGACACCTGTACATCGACAAAGGAGACACTGAAGGTGCAAAGAAAGGTAAGTGGATGCATACTACTTTACTCTGTGTATAACTTCCATTGCTTTTGCAGCCAACCTCAAGTGGACACACACTAGGGACTTTAGATTTCAGCACATCTACATCGGCTTCATTTCTCAAGACTGGAAGTTGATACTATCACCATTTCTCCTTCAGAGTATTCTTAGAGGATGAGATACTTAGTCCCCAGCACATTCCTCATCTCCATCAGTACACATTACATCTTTCCAGTCAGTCTTCTATTACTGATGAGCTTCCTCAATCTCAAGAACCTTACTCTGGAGCTTTTGAGCTGAGCCTTCTCAAAGAAGAGGACACTCTTCAACTTCTCTTCTTTTGAGGAGGCCTCAAGCGCTGCTACTTCCGGCAATTAACCATCCAATCATCATTTCAATCAGCACTCTTGTCTGTCTCAATAAGTCAGAGATTTGAGGACAAAAAGCTCATGGCTCTGTAGTTGAAGTCAAGTGTATGAAGGAGCAGGAGGATGAGTTGAACTTTCCTCAGGCAGTAGCTGTGGGAGAAGAAGCATGAATAGGAGAAGATGAAGACTTGAGTTCATCTCATCTCATCCAGAGGGACATGTTTGGTCTGAGCCACATCCAAGAGGCCTGTTAGGGCTACACATCTCCATCTGAAGATCATCTCTGTCATAGATCCACTGCTTGTTCTTCCTCTGTTCTTGAAGCTGTTTGAGTAAATTTGGAGGCAAATACAATTGGATACTATTTAATGTATTTTTTTGACGATGAGGTACAAATGTGGACGTCATTTCAACGTCTAGAAGAGGTCCAATAATGACGTCTAAATCTTGGATCCATTTTACACATTTATGCCGACGTCTGGATTTCGTCCTCAGATGACGTCCAAATTCTAAACGTCAGAGCGACATCTAATAAAGGTCCAATTTGGACGTCGAAATTTCTAACCTATTTTGCACGTCACACTGACGTCTAGATGTGGTCTTTGATGGACCGACCCAATACTGACTTGATCTGCACGTCTCTTCGACGTCCAATAGAGACTAACACTTGTTCCTGATGGGGCTGACTGTCTACCCGTTACTTTTAAAACTGGTGACGTTGCTTCAGGCAAACTAAAGACGCACAAACGACTCAAGAAATGCAACTATTTAGGGGGAAAGCAGACATTTTACAATGAATACTGTGACTCATAAACATACCAATTTGTGTGTGTGTTTGTGTGCAAAAGCCTTAGAGTGGCTGTGGCAGGACACCAACCTAAAGCAGGAGCTGGAGGACATGAAGAAAGAGAGAGACAGCACACAGGGAGAGAAGAAGAAGACAGTGAAGGACGTCCTCACCTCTCGCTGTGTAAGGTGGCAGCTGCTGACTCTCGTTATCCCCTGTGCTGGCGTTCAGTTCTGTGGCATCAATGCTGTAAGTTACCATCCATTTTCATTACACAACAATAAAGACTTTACATTGGACTCATGTTGAACATAACTGTCATTTTTTTGTCTCTGTTCCAGCTGTACTTTTACGCCTTCGACATTTTCCGTGAATCAGGAGTGCCAGCCAACCAGATGCATTACTTGGCCATCGGGATTGGAGCAACAGAGCTCATTACCGTGACACTGTGTGTATGTATCTCTGTGAAAAGCAGAAAACCAAAAGGCCTAATTCATCTAAACTGAAACAGCATGGAAAAAAATACTCAAAAACACTTGTGATCGATCTTCCTTATTGTCAGAAATTTGAGTTTTGAGAATGTATCAAAAAGGGGGACAGACACAGGGTTTAATAACTTTTTAATTCATTAAAAAAAAGAAGCGATAAATCTAATGTTGATGCAATAATCTTCAGAAGGCAGAAGAACTGTGCGACTGTACTTTCCTTTTCTCACGAGTTTGAATCTCTCCATCATTTTTGTGTCTCAGTCTTTCCTGATAGATCGAGCGGGCAGAAAGAAGCTGATGGGTTATGGCTATCTGTTGATGGGTGTCACCATGACTGTGCTCACTGTCATGCTGTCCATTAAGGTAAATACACTCTCAACTAAGGTCCCCCTTTCTCTACCTGTGCCTTGGGCGATAAGTTACAAATGCTTCTCTTTTTCATTCAGCACCTAAATCCATGGATCCCCTATGTGAACATCGCTCTGATCTTCTGTGTCATCTGTGTATATGGACTTGGACCTTGTAAGTTTGCTGTTGATTGTGAATTTATTTGAAGATATATATTTTTTTCGTCTAAATAACTAACATTTATGTGTTTGAAGCTGGAGTGTCCATGGCTCTTCCTGCGGACCTCTTCCTGCAAGCTTGGCGTCCTTCTGCTTATGTCATCAGTGGGACCATAAATTGGTTGGGCATGTTCCTGGTGGGGATGTCGTTCGGCTTCATTGTGGTGAGAATCCTGATGTAAATCCCATAATATCACATGAATCCACGTTTGAAATACACAAACTCATTCAACTTCTGTTTTTATGTTCATCTCAACAGGATGGACTCGGACAGTTCTGCTTCCTGATTTTTGTGGTGTACTCCGTTTTAAGTGCCGCTTTTTTGCTATTTTTTGTGCCAGAGACCAAAGGAAAGACAATGGTAGAGATTATGGAGGACTTTAACAAACTTAACTACAAGAACAGGACTGCTGATGTTGAAAAGACTGACATCAATCTTTCAACTAAAATGTAACTGTTTTTTGGCGATATTTCACCGGTCATAATCTTTAGAATTAAACTTTCAGTCCAAGTTTTTTAGAACAGTATAAGCTATTTAAATGTGTATCTCATTAAAAAAAAAAAAACTTTGTTTGATGCAGAAAAATGTATTGAATATTGTATTTAAATTTTAGAGTGCAGTAGTCATATAGGCGAGAAGAGTATGTATCCTGTGTATTTATCATAGTAAATAAACATTTGTTACTTATGAACTCTGTACTTGTTGTTTCATTGGTTTTATTTATTATACAGCTGTTAGTCCTAAGAAGTCTTGTGTCTTTCTTCACAGTCTATAATTGAACATGATCTGCTCATAATTAACGTCTTCAAGAGTGTTAAGAGAAAGGCAGGCCAGGCTATCGGGACTTAGAATGAAGGAAATGCTAATGTGTTTCACCTTAATGCAACACAAATGAAAAGTGCATACTGTTAAAATAAGGCTTTGAAACTTTGACTTAAAAAGAACAACAAATGTATCATCAAAAACAAAAAATATAAATCATGTTTGATTGTGCCATTTTGAACTGTAACTGGGACAAAAAAGTTACTTTCATGATTTTTTTATTTGCTCTAGTTAAATAAACAACCAAATATCTTTAATTTTTTTCATACATTTACTTTCAATTTCAACTTTTTAAATGTTGTCTTTGAACTTTTCTAAATTAACTATAGGGCCTAGATGGTATCCAAACTGTATTTTACAAAGTGCTCAAATTTTTGTGGAATTGGGGTAGCATGATGACTGAAATACAATATATCTGTTTGGCAGTATTTAGATTTTAAAAGGAGATTAAGTTTGTGTGGCTGTGTCTTGGTTAAACTGCAATATAACCACTAGTAGTATATGGTACTGGCCTGTAAATAGGACTGAAGGCTGGAGGTGCTAGCTCTGCTATTGTTAGCCATACTCAGCAAACCAATTTGACATCATTCACTCACAAATTCAGTGATCTGATTTATAGCAATACTAAATAAGTAAATGCCTGTTAAATATTAAGTGTGGACAAAGAGTGGACAGAGCAATTATACTTACTACAGCACAGCACAGATTCAAAGGTTTTAAAAAGCTGTAATTAGGGCTGGGTAATAAAACAATAATGATATATATCGAAAAATTACTTTCCCTCAACATATGAAGGACCAGTTGAGATGGTTGGTAGACTCTTCTATTGGCACTCCATATCGTGACAGCCACGTGTCGTTCACAAAACTCCGCACATGCTGCAGAAAATCCACATACAAGAGATAAACATGTTAAAAATAGACATATTGTGATTGATTGCTCTTTATGAATATAGCTGAATAAAACTGACTTTGCTTCTTCACTCGACTCCATCACAGTGACTGCAGTGTTACTCTGTAATTTTGTCATAATCAGTGTAATGTAGGGCTGGATGATAAAACAATAACAATATATATCAAAAATTACTTTCCCTCAATATCAATATAAAACATGGTCAAAATGCTTTTTGATAGTCGGCATTCTGCCATGTTTTGGTAGACTATAGGGATAGCCAATGAAAAGGGGAGTTGCTCCAGGTCCGCTTTGCGCTGAACCAATCATGTGTTGAATTACAACCAAGTAGCAAACAACTGCGTAGTGGCAGGCTGCAGCTACATACAACCATAGCACTTTAACACGTGAAGCCGACAGCACTACAAACCCCGAGCAGAGCAAGGAGCCCATGGCGCCTGTGCCGCCGAAACAGCCGACCATTCAGTCTGCTTTCTCGAGCCCAACACCTCACAAAGACCTCACAGATGCAGTAGCTTATTGTATTGCAAGACATGCTATCACTAAGCACTGTTAAATTTCATTTTTTATTTCGTGATATATATCGATGTCGACTGAAAAAAATGTACAGCGATAAACTTTTTCCCATATCGCCCAGCCCTAGCTGTCATGTTCAACTGATGTGATTTACATCCAACAAAAATGTAGCATCCAGTCAAGTCAGTGAAATTCAGTTAACAGACCATCAAAGTGCATAAAAGAAAAAAAAATCCACAAAAAAAAAAAAAACTAAAAAAAGTTAAAAGATTTTTCAATTGCGATTTATTAGATACTCATCTCTGTACCAACAAAAGAGATGAGACTCAATAACAGAGTACAAAAACAAATATCTATAGAAAAGTATGCTTATATTGAAATATGTCCAAAGACGTTATAACAAAACATGTAGCTCACAGGTTGTAGGAGCAATCTTGAGAGTATGATGATAAAATACCAAGTTAACATTTTGTACATTTTCTGTGTTTTTATACAAAAGTGTCAATGCGAGTCACTCTGTACAATTCTTACCCTTCAGAAGAGAGGACCTTTTTTAATCCACTGCTGTGCACAATCAGTATTTGGAAGGCACTTTGCAATAGACCAAAAGCTGAAAGCAAAAAATGTTTAGGCTTTGAAAACATCTTTTTACACCAAGTACCAACAGAAGTAGAACAAATAATACATCTCAGTGAAAATAAAACACACACATCTTCTTACAGCATCTTGCACTTGTTTGTCAAATCAACGATAACAAAATCAACCCCTATTTGTTTCAAACGAGTAAATACTAGTGCAGAGTGGATCAAAAAAGGGACAAAAACTTGGTCTAAGACGTGAGTCATGTGACAGCAAGGTGAACAGTGAAACTTTGAACTGCCACCAACCAGTGATCGACATTCAGTCCCCAGCTCAGCTCAGCTTGCATGCCACCACATGCAGGCCCCAGTCATAACTTAACATCCCTCCACACAATGGACAAGAACAAAAAAAATGCATATATGTACAAGACCACCACTGACAAACACTGATCGTAATGGTTGGGTCATATGTATTTATATATATATATATTTATATTAATAGATGTGTATATGAATGGTATATACACTTGTTACAATTAACACATAACCATAAATAATAAGAGGAATGTACTGAATAAACAGCCTAAAATACTCACAAATTATAACTCAAACAGAAAGCGGGACGCACAGATCAAACACAAACTCCTAAAAGGACACATACACACTCACACACACTTACCGCTAAAGCCCCTCTCTGCGTGCCATTGGTTTACTTTGCATCACGATACAGGTTTTAAAATGCGAGTTAAAAAATATGAGACCCTTAAGAGAGCTTTATAATCAACTGATGTGTGGTTTTCCTGGGTTTTACATGAGGATACTCTAAAAGTGTGGATCTGTTTACATGATTTGACACCAACCTTCAACAACCCAGTACATAAGAGGATCTTCATTTGCTTTGTTTTACCAGAGGATATCCAAACTGGACGAATAGGTCATTTTGCTATCTAATTGTTTAAAACAAATACCATTCGCTATGGCTTTAGAGATATAACACCAATTCAGAATCATACATTTTTTCAAACCTTAAAAGAAACAAAGCTGAAAAGTAGACGTGACACTCTTATTTAGTTTTGTTTTGAGGAACCATTGGATTAAGTTTGTCCTCAGCACAGGAATGTCTCAAGATTAAACACATTGTCAGGATAAGACACCCAGAAAAAAATCACATGTGCCGAAACCTAGCGGCCAGAAGTGCAAACATAGAAAATTCATCTACTAACAGCACAAGCGAATCTGAAAGGAGGTGCATGAGTAGAACAAGAGTAAATACAGAGGAAGGAGAGTATAAATAATCTTCATGACAGACTGACAGAAGCATCACGTTTGGTCAGTCCAGAGGCTAATGGATCAGGGTGGGACTTAGTAATCTGACCCCCTCGCTGTTATACACACACAAACACAATTAAGCAAACAAACTCATAATTTAGAAAGAACAATCATCAAAAATGAGCAAATCACAAGATACTCATTTTAAAAAAAATGTACACAAAACCAAGGGCATGAATAAGTTAATAAAATATATTCTACATTTCTCAAAATATATACTGAAAATATACCTGACCTTGGTCCCTGTTCAGTGAGATTCACCTCCGAAATAAGGGCTGGAAACCTCATCACTGTACTCATTCCTAACAAGCTCAAGGCGTGACTCAGGACACATTTTACAGATTGGAAATAACAACATGAAAGGATTTTTAACCAATATATTCCTGCATACAGTATGGGGCTTCTCATAATGGCTTTCCTCTTTTTGTTTCTGTGACATTTTGCACAAATAATTCATTGGACGTCAAAAAATCAAAACGATGCAACTTTTACATTCAATAGAGTGGAGAGAAAATTCAGCTGTCTGATACACAAATTCTAAAAGCTTGAGTTTAATTCTCTCTGTTTACTGACACTCTGCTTATTTCTAAGGGTTGGATGTATTGGTCAATTGCAGCGACTTATGCAGCTCTAATAAAGAATGAAATTCATGGTACGCACTGTATTGTACTGTCACTTTTCTGTGAGGTAGATTATCCTTTTTTTCGATCTAAAAATGATCACCTATTACAAAGCCGGATGAGGAATTACAGTGAGCTTTAAAATTCAAACTGTGATTGATTTTACAGTTATAGATTAAGGTTTTAAGACCGTGAAGCCAGAGAAATTCTCCCTATAAATGTGTCATGATATTTGCTGTGAGCTGTTAGGAATATTTTGTAACATAATTAACAGAATCAAGGAAAACATGCGTCAAAATAAAAAGTCAATGTTCCTTAAAAAAATTCCTTCTTAAAACACACAGGGAACATAAATATAGAATCCACAAAAAGAGACAATAATTAACTTGTTTTAAGGTTTTCCGTACATAACGCATAAAGAAAATGATTGTGCTAAGAAAGCTCATTACACTAAAGCAAAGTCAAATGAAAGCTTACGACAAACCTTCAACAGATCCATGTCAGATAAAGGAATTCAAACCTTCATGTCGTGTCATTTAAATGGAAACTCCGTACACTCACTTTTCATTTTCTGAAAAAGTAGAAAAGTAGGAATAATATGGCAGTCTGTGACAAAAACTTGTATATATATATTTATATATTAAGCAATGTAAGGAAACAGAAAAGTAGTCTTGAGGCAAAGGTATTCCCACATACAGTGCATCATCTGTGGGTGACCCGGCTGTGTCCAAAGAATGAAAGGCTTTGCTTCAACTAAAGCAAATCTGTCACTTCCCTCCAAAGTCGAGTCCACTCTGACCCACCTCAGCATCTACCAGTGAAGAGGCAAACGCAGACTGGACTATCTGAAAGCCAAAGGACTCAAGCAGAGACATGTTTTGTTGAGGGGAGAAGGGGGAGGTCAGGGAGGGGGCCAGCTCGTTCAAGCTCGACCCAGAGGCCCCCTGTGCCTTCTGGGTTTTGTGAACTCTGTGCTGGTGCTTGTTGAGGTAGGACTTGGTGCGGAAGGCTTGGCCGCAGATGGGACAGTTAAACTTCTTCTCAGGGTCTGTTGTCTTGGCTTTGGATCCTTCAGGAGACCCCATGCCCCCCGCAGAGGAGCCGTTACAAGCTAAGGAGGGCATCTCCAGCTCTGGTCCATCTGGTTTGTGTGGAGATTTAAGCTCGTCACCATTTGGCAACTCACCAAATGAAGGATCTGATTCTTCTGATTCTAGGTGAGGACATTTCCCGATGTTTTCCTGTCCATCTGTGGTAAACATAGGAGGACAGGGAGTGAGAAAGAGGGAAAAAGGGGGAATATAAAAGGAAAGGGATGTAGAAATTCGGGCACATTAATAAAAAAATATTTTTCAAATATAACTCTGGACAACACTCGCAGAAATTTAATTGAAAACTCTGGGGAGGGGCCTCAAGTACAAGCACAAAAATGGCGGGACTTAACAGGTTCATCATTCATGATAGTTTAAAACAGACACCCTCAGAGGAAATACATGAATAAATTGAAAAATGATCTCTGTTAGTCCATTTGCCTTGTATTCACTGAGAACCCTTCTCTCTGCACACACTGCCTGTGCTGTCACTGAGCCCCCCTCCCAACTCCTGCTTGGCTGTACTAACCTGTGACTGGCCCATGGACAGGGAAGCCAGGCAACCCGCCAGAGCGAACCTCCCAGAAATATGGAGCCCCACCTGCCTTCCCCATGAGCAGCTCAGGCTGCGGGCCCAAGGCTGGAGGGCCGGGCTGGGGAAGAGCTGGGTGTCCATGATAGCGACCCTCTGCCTCAGGCGAGGTGAGGAACAGCTGGCGACTGGCGCACAGGTCTACACAACACCCGGCCAGGGAAAAAGGAAGGGAAGGGAAGGAGGGGGGGGGCAGACATAACAGGCCGGCGAAAACCATGCGGACAGAGTTACCTTCATTTCATCACTGGTGTTTCAAATGCTGCCTGTAAATGCTACAGAGGTTTGAATGGATCTATGGTGAGTGAATCCCCATGTGAATCCCACCCCTCAAGCCATCACTGATGAACGAATTCACCTTTCACTCCTCGTAAATCATCATTATAATTAACAAGCTAGCATTACCAGGTGAAGTTAAATAAGCTGTACCACTCAAGCAGGGTCTTTCTTCACAGTGGAAAAGGTTATTTAAGTAATTTTGTGATAGCTCTGCTAACATATATCACATCACTGATGCACCTCAAAGAACAGACAGCCATCACCGATTTGAGTTTGCTTCACCTGTGCCTGCAGAATACTGTCCATGTAAGATTTCAACTCAGTCTTTACACAAACGATTACAGCATCTCTTTTGTTTTAAAGCTTTCTAGCAATGTATGATTTGAAGGGATGTCGTAAAATTAAGTTAGGGTCAAACACACCGTAACACTGAGTTAGACACCCCGTCGAGAGCTTAATGTCGCCAACCGCTTGCTTCTCTAGTTATACCAACTTTAGTAATGACCACACGATAGCAATATACAGCGGGCTCAGGAGCCACACGCTCAACCAAAACGCCACTCTATAGCCACAAATAGCACCTAACTTCATCAACAGTACATATAGGGTCCCAGCCACAGCACTAGCCATCAAACATCTTTTTAACTTTGTCTAATTTCTTTAGCAAAGAGACTAAACACAACTCACCAAAATGGACTGGCCTGAGAGCTCGCTACAAACAAGTGGCTGCTGGAAGAGAGTAGGTGAGTTGTGTTTAGTCTCTTTACTAAAGAAATTAGGCAAAGTTAAAAAGATGTTTGGTAGCTAGTGCTATGGCTAGGACCCTATATGTCCTGTTGATGAAGTTCGGTGCTGTTCTGAGCATTATTTGTGGCTATAGAGTGGCGTTTTGGTTGAGGTCTTTTTATGGCTCCATAGACTGCTGTGTATTGCTATTGCGCGGTCGTTTCTTAAGTTGGTAAAACTAGAGAAGCAATTAGTCAACAATATTCATCTCTCGACGGGGTGTCAAACTCTGTGTTATGGTTTGTTTGACCCTACCTTAATTTTACACCGGAATATCCCTTTAAAGCCATCCTCAGCAGCATTTGATAACTGCTATCAATCCAAATTGTCGTCCATAAAAACATTTTTACTACTGTGATAAGATCTCCTGTAATTCCATTACCCTTATGCCAACAGCAATGTAAGAAGTAATCATCACAGACTGACTGAACAACCAGTTTTGTTTTTCCTCTGACAAAAATTCATGTTTGATTTCAGGAACAGCAAAAACAGCAGGCAGCGAAAACTGAGAAACCGCATCAACACTGTAATACTGCCATAACTGTACACATAAAAACATGTCTAATCTGGATCATCTTAATATTATTACATCAGTCGTTGCTTAGTCCTGATGTAAAGTGACATGACATCGTGAAAATCCTATATTTACTTCAAGAGCTCATTAATCAACAGCAGCAGCAAACTTTTCCTCAGCTTGCTAAGACAATAAAACGATCAGCTGACTTATTATTTTCTGTACCAACAATGAAAAAAAATTTAAGAGGCTTATATATATATTTTTTTGTGATAATCTATTCCTAAGTGTTGAATATTGACATTGCATCATTGTGGCTCACAGTTCACTGTCTACTGTCTCGATGTTACTGCGTCTCCCATAAAAGAAGCACAACTTTTTAAAGTTTCAATGATTCCCAGGCGAATGGAGAACACATTAAGACACTCATGCAGCACTGTGCATTGTTATATAACTGCTGATGGACCAGCCAAGCAGAAACGGTTTGCCACGGCCATGCTGGACAAACACACAAACACACACCAATGGGAAAAATAAATAAATAAATGAAAGTAAAAGATAGCACTCCAGCTTCTAACATGGTCGTGAAAATGAACCAGCAACTCTCAAGCCTATCTAACTAGGGCTGGGGGATATGGCCTCAAATCAATATCACGATATATTGAGCAGTTCACCTTGATAACGATAAATAGATGATAACTACTCCACAAGCTGCTCACCCCCTCCCACATTAACTGCGTCGCTAGAACTTTTGAACTGTCCTCCATCTCCTCATATGTCTTTCCCTCTTTGTCACAGACTGGATGGGGTGGAGTCACGTCTCTGATGTATGACAGCATCTTAAAGGGACATGAGACCATAGCCTACCTACACACATCCAAAACCAACTTTTTATTTATTTTTTGACACCGAATATATTGACATGGGCCAAACAATGTTGGTTGTTGTCGTAAAGTTCAGTATCGGTAAATTTTCGGTTTATCGCCCTATATCTAACCCTCTCTTTTTAGCCATTATTGACAATGAAGGAGCGTCAAATGTACGTGCAGTATTCATAATTACAACTTCCAGTCTTATAGAGTTTCATCTCACTCTTGGTAACATTTTAATAGTTCAGGACATGAGTTCATAGTGTCAGGTTCCTGACAAGACGAACTACAGAAAAGGTGATTTACGTACGTTGTAACATGGTTTTTGTGCCCATTGATTTGTGAAACACGCAAACAGCTTATATTAAAAATACATTTCTCCAGCTGTTTCTGCAGCCTTGACGTTTGACATGAGTCAAACAAACTTCTGAGAACATACTGAGATTTCCAACCCGACAGCTGACCTTATTATTCTGATTAAGCTGCTGTTAACGACACAACTGTGGTAGCAGTTAAAGAGCTGTTTCCTTTCCACTTCAAGACTGCAGGATTCTCTAAACACTGTCCCCTCTTAAAGTTAAAGACAAACAGACAGTCACCATCAGAAAGACAACCAATGCATGAAAGTGCATGTTTGAGTGAAAAGCTTGGCAGCAGAGGTTGACGTATGCTTGTGTTTTCAAACATACACAAAGATGCAGGAGCATGTTTCTTTAAGAAGCAGCAAAGCACATCCAAGCCAGAAACACTGAAAGTTTGGGATGGGGCGGGCGGCTGCTTGCCTTCCACTGAGCACTGGCGTCCCATGTGGTAAGGGTTGCCGTTGTGCATCTGCAGCTCCCCCCTTGTCTCAGGGAAGGTGTGCATTGTGGTAGAAGGGGGCAGAGGAGAGCCATGGTGTGACTTTATATGCACCTTAAGGTAGGACGCAGTGGAGAAACCTGGGACCAGAAGAACAGAGAACAAGGCAGTTGTTTGACACACTCCAAGCCTTGACTATGAGGAGGACGGGGGGGCTTCCTTTTAGATGATGACAGGCTTACAGGTGACAGTAAACACAGAGATGCTATGAAGGGTTTGAGAAAATTTATCACACCTGCTCTAATCTCTCTGGACTGAGCATAAAAAAAAGCAAAATGCTGAATCCATGTTGGCTGCCAATAAACTGAAATAGACGAGGGAAAACATGTCCAAGACCTTATTACAGTATTTGTATCTTTGTTTGGCAATTTACATGTCACCCTGTGCATCTGTGTGGGGGCACAATTGGGCTGAAAAACCTCCATGAGCAGTTATAACCTAATCAAAACAAACTTCAATTTATACAAAAGAAACCGAGAATGCCAAAAGTAAGACTGTCTGCTGCCAAAAACCTATTTGTGATGTCTGAATCCTTAGGTGGGAATCAGTTGAGTTGTTAAGCTGCATTCAAAAAAACAATTTCCAGATATTTTGATGAGTGCTACATTTTATGGTCAATAACTCACAGGGGTGGGATTTTATGTGAGAAATCATGACTTACACATGTATGGATCAGATCAAGACTATCCAAGAAATCAAAGGTGCTGTTTTGTCCAAGTGGTGTGCCAAGACTGATACATTCTGAAAGTTCCTCCATGATTTGAATTTTCAGCCAAAACAGCATTAGAAATTAAGTAAGACTGCCTACACTGATGTCTTTCTCTCAAACTCCTTGAGGTCTGCTGATCAGCTCCAACTCGTCATCCCTAAAACTCGTTTGAAACCCCCTGGTGACCGAGCTTTCTTGGCTGCGGCTCCAAAATTGTGGGACTGATTCCCACTCAAGATCAAAACACCCCCCACTTTTTCTACTTTTAAATCACGTCTTAAAACAAATTTTTATTCCTTGGCTTTTAGCTCAGCATGAGAGTTGTGTGATCTCAGTCCTTTATGTCTTTTTATGGTCCTTTTATCACTTTTATGCTTTTGCGTTTTTATTTCATTTCTTTTATTTCATTTTTTTACCTGCTTTTATTTATTTCCTTGTTTTCTGTAGTGTTTGTTCTTTTAAATTTTACTGGGCAGCACTTTGGAAAACTTGAATATTTTTTAGAATGTGCTATATAAATAAAGTGGATTGGATTGGATTGAAACTCAGATCCTCCATCGTTTTTCATTCATTTGTTTCATGAATTCTGTCATGAAGCCTGTGGATTCATTATTTTAGTCACGTATTTGCAAACATCATATTGTTTGTTTGTGTTATATTTGTGGATATAAGATTCTATTGTCTTTTTTTCACTGGATTTCACTTCCAATTTGGATGAAGCACAGATTAACTAAAAAGACAGAAGTCCAACTGTCAGGTCCAAAAGAAGACAGCAGACTGTTGGCCAAATTGTGTGGCCAGTCTACCGCTTCAAAAACCATGGACTGACTCTTTCGTTTAGCATTAAGTGACAGATAAAGTTTAAAAATATGAGTAGTCCTTAAGAGCCAAATCAGTGCACTGTTACATGCCATCTGGGTGTGTGTGGAGCAAAACAGAAGCCAGATGGCAAAGCCAGAAAGGATGTCTCAATGCAAGCTGTCCCTGAGAGACTCCGTTCCTAGTCCAGATTAGTGTTGTCACAGTACCAGAATGTTAAACTTTGCTCGTACAAGTGAAAACCAAATGATAAAAACATATCCTCTGATTTATAAGACATAATGCGGACAGGGTGTGCATTAGTGTGTCTGCAGGAAGTCTGCTTTCTGTATGTTCTGAATTAATTGTCTTCTTGGTTTGGTCATTTCATTGATGTCACTTATTGTGCAGTGCTGAGAAGCTCATGTCAACGGTCCAAAGTTCAAGACCAAGAGAAAACATATAGGGACCAGGTTGTCTATTTTCTCTGTCAGTTTTCAACAGGCAAAAACACAACAAGTGTGTCTTACTATCACCAATGGGATCATAAAACATGATTACTTGTCAGCCTATGAGTGTGAAGACTTGGCAGCTAAGTGGCTGTGATGGATGCAGCAGAAGGAAGAAGCTGCTGCGAGAAAAGCCAACCCATGGAAAAAACTCCAGTTAATGTCAGGGGGCAGAAGACAATTGTTTTTTTACTGGGCATCATATTTGGGTTTTAGGAAAGAAATCGCCCACCTTACTTCAGACTGTGACACATTTTGCACATGGTCCTATGATAGAATAATAAAAACAAACAAATACAAAGAGAACCCCCTCAATCATTTCAGTGAGATCACTGCACTGACACGGCAGGGGTGCCACACACAGATTCCCAGTGCAAAAATGGACCCAGGAAGATCTAACCAAGAGCCAAGACCACATTACACCGAGCTCTGATTCTCTGAATGTGCATAACCTCCGCATCAGCTGGATATCTGTCTGCACACAAAACAAAAATTTTTCTCAGAGCAGTTTGTTTGTTTGTAGAGGTACTTTGAAGTATTACCTTTGTTGCAAATACCGCAGTAGTTGTGTGTTCCTTCACTGTGTTTCTTGAGATGGTCAGTCATGTAGGCAGCTCGCAGGAATTTGCCACAAACTTTGCAGGGGATTTTGTCTTCGTGGCAGGCGAGGTGTGATCGAAGGCGGTCTCTTGTAGCAAATGAGGCATTACATATCTGAAACACACACAGAGCAAAAACACTCATTTCAATATGTTGTCGTTTTCTAAAACTATCATGAGGTTTGACTTTTCACAACACTCAATGTCAGATCTGTAGATTCTAGGTGTTACCTGGCACTTGTGGGGTCTTTCTGTTGTGTGAACCTGTTTGATATGCCCATTCAGGTGGTCTGGTCTGGAAAGAGAACGCAAAGAAGAATTTGTGTTTGTTAGAAAAACCTGGCAAACTGCTGTTGTGGTATGATTTCCTCTCCTGTGTTCTTATTCTGCATGTGACAACTTATCAACTCAAACGTTTCTGTTGGACAGTATTCCTCTGAAATTAAATTAAGAAAGTGTAAAGGCATATATTAAAAATAACACCAACTAAACACAGGTATGTTTGCATAATCAAGTGAAACAGTGCAGTCAACTGGGGGTTAACTCTTCAATTTGGGTAAGTTTGTGCTGCTTTAACTCCAACTTAATTCCACTGCATTATCACTCTTTTCAGCTCACCGCTTAATTCTCGTCTCTGCTCAACATCTGCATGTATTTGAACCCCCACAACAGTAGGGGGTGGTGATGAGATTGTTATAGAGTATTAAAACACTCTTCTAGGGAAACTGTTTTGTGTGGTAAAAGCTTAAGAACACAGATGATGAGCCATACTGTTGCCAGCTCTGCACTTTTCTCACCAGGGAAACAGAAACCACATTTCGGAGTGTAGGGGTTTGAAAAAAAAGATAGACTATTTCTTTTAATTAGTGATAAAATGCATACTATTTCATACTTGTGTATTATCTCTATATGTTTACTTATTTTACTTATCTATTATGTATCTCCTCTTTTGCTGTATTTGCACTTGAGTACTATGACAAAGCAATTTCAGGGGATTATTAAAGTATTTCTTATTCTGTAATACTCCACCGTTCTTTGATTGCTGATTTATGTCAGTTCACAAGAGCAAGTAGTGACAATGCCAGACTTATTTTTACTGGATTTGGTCTCACTTTGAGATCATTGTTGTGTACTGAAAGTCTCTGTGTGTCTACATCTTTTGAGTGGATTGACATCTCAATTTAGACAATTTATACCTGGCTGCTCAGTTCTCAAAAAACTAATCTGACATCTGCTTGTATCAATGGTAAGAAATGTTGCTCTACATCACTGAACAACTAGTCAAATGCTGTCAGACATAGTGATGGATACCTTACCTTGAAAACCCTTTACCACAGCTTTGGCAAACATAAGGTTTGCCCACTGACCCGTCATGGGACCGCACATGGTATGACATCCTGTCCTTGCGTTTGAACCGGAGTCCACACACATGGCATGCATATGGCTTCTCCCCGGAGTGAGACAGCTTATGTCTGTTCAGGTGGTAAACATCGCGGAAAACTTTACCGCAAATGTCACAGCCGACATGCCGCCGTGTCCTTTCCCTTTTCCGACCATTATCCAGCGTCATCCCCCCGTTCTCCACCAGCCCGGGCTGCGATATCAAAGACATGCCCCCCGCTGATGACAGGCTGTCACCGGCATTGTGTACACCGCTGTGGTTAGCTCCGTGTTGCGCTTCGTGGTTCTTCAAGCGAGACGCCTCGGTGAAAGCTTTGCCGCATGTGCTACACGGGAACAACACGCTGTCTTTCAGCTGGCTGTTGTTAAAGTTTACAGTTTCCACAACCCCGTCGGGTTTCTTTGGTCTCCCCCTATTCCTCTTCGACCCCGGGGAGCCAGCGTCGTGTTGAAACGTGCTCCCCGATATCTCTGTTGTCGGGGAAACGGGCAGACCTTCCACAGGCTCTAACATCGGCACCGACGCCTCGCCGCCGTCCTCTAACAACACGGCCGCGGTGTCTTCCCTCCCGTCCGCGCCGCTCGAAAAGCCCTGACCGTTCACCAGAATCCCCGTTCCGTTGACAAAATCCTGCTGTGCCACCGGGAAGCCCAGCTCCGTGGCGGCCGCGGCCTGGAAGAGGCTGGCGTCTCCCCCTCTCGATGTCGGGACGAGTATCTGCACATTGGACTGTTTGATAACCTCCTGACAAATCTCAATAACCGACCGCATGAGCAGAAACTTGGCAGCTGTCATTAACTCCGGGAAACACTCCAGCCGCACCACAATCCTCGACGTATAGGCGAAGTCCAAAACGTCTTTAAAAACTTTTGGGCTGATGGTGTGCATCTCCAGCTCCTTGGCGTCGCTGTCACCCTCCGTCTGGCGGCTGAACACCGACTCGAAATACTCGCTGCACGCCGCCAGCACGGCTTTGTGAGCGGGAAAGCTTTCCTCGCCGACGCGTAAGACCACATCGCAGAACCTGCCTCCATCTTTCCTCTGAACGTTGAGGTTGTGTAGCATCTCCGCACTGTGCTTGCTCACCTGGTAGGTGTACGAAGAAGTCCAAGACGGCTCCGCTACCTTCTCCATGCCGAATTCATCAAATAACAATGGATGTTGACTGCGACGGTGACGGAGAAATTGATAATTATTTAACGCTCCTTTTTTTTTGAACACTTAGTGCCAGCTAGCTAACGTTACAGACTCCCTAAAAAAAAGAAACCATCCGCCCCTCCCCGTCGATTTAGCATCTAACGTTTAACGTTAGCAGTAGCACCAGCGAAAAATGGCAGCCCCCCAGCTTCCTGTGAACTTTGACCCTTGTTTCTTGAGGGATGGGGGTCGCTCATGTTTTGTGAATTAAATGTCTGGAAATCCGCCGTCGACGGGTGTGAATTGTGATAGTTCCTCCATTGTCATGACGGTTGCTGTGAGGAAGAGAGCCCCCATCACACTCACACGGGGTCTTTCACGTCCATAAGCAGAATGTGGACATGCATGTCTCTTCCTGCTTGGTATGATGGTAAAACCCCTCCCCCACCCACCACAAACAGAAAGAAGCCGATCCCCCAGTGCAAGAGCGCAGTCAGTACACCCATCCAAGATTAGGGGAGAGTGGGGTAAGATGAGCCATTTTTCATATTCCGGATCACTACATCAAGACAATGATAGTTTTGTCTCTAACCAGCGTATCTGCATACATTTTAAGATGTTGTGCATCCCTGCAAACCAACAGAATGGGTGTAAAAATAACTGTCTTGATAATATAGCATGCCAAAAAAAGTGGTCTCCTATGGTCAACTTACCCCGTGTATGAGGTAAGTTGAGCCGTATCCCTACAACCCCCCCACATCTCCACCCCAGCCCTCCCTCACCTTCTCCCTCCCTAAATAACAGTCACTTCTACACATTCATGTGTATTTTTATCTGTTATATGCTATTTAACTGGTCAAATAATTCTTTATCTTTGCATACACCTGCTAAAAAGCTGTTTGGTAAAAATAAATAAACATTTTAAGGTCCTTTCACACCAGGACCGTTTTTTTCGTGCGATTATTTCGGACGTCAATATTTTTTTCGAACCCGTATCCTGTCAATACAAGCGTTCACATCAGCGACGTTTTCCCGTCCTGCGATATTGCGATATATTTGTTTTTTCGGATCACGGTTAATTTTTCCAAAGTGATAGAGAATCGTTTTTAGTGCAGCTGATTTAAGACACGGGTCTAAACTGACCCGTTAACATAGTGAGTGCGTAGTAAAAGCTGACACAGGAGGAAGGTTAAGCGATTCAGAACAATTCAGATTCAGATTCAACAATCTGAACTGAAACTCTGATCCTCTCATCAGACTCCTTTACTTTCTCAGTTGAGCCACTGGCTCAACTTACCCCAGAACTACTATGATGACTTAATTCATCCTCTAAGCTAAAATGGTGGACTTTTATGTTAGGTTTTTGACCTCATGTTGTAGCTTATAGATACCACAATTGATGTAAAAAACAAATTTAAAATGATCTTTTTTATGGTCTGAAAAAAAAACCCATATATTTTAAATAAATGTCTAATCCCTTCACCCATGTACTTCTAACCTTCACAAACTCCATGATTTGATGTCCATCTCCTAAAGATTTGGTCACATGATCAATTTCTTTTACCATTTCCAAGCAACAGGGGGTGGCTCAACTTACCCTTTGTCTCAACCTACCCCACTCTCCCATACTGTAGAACACCATATTGTACAAGTCACTTAAATCGACCCTAACTTGATATTTACATAATAAACTCTCCTTTTGAAATTTAACACCACCAAACGAGAACAATGCAAAACAAAACACCCAGTGATACTAAAATATATCACCTACTAGTATGTGCTGGAATAAAATTCTCAGAGGCAAGGCTTTGGCATTAAAAGGGTTCAGTGATAAATGTCCATTCATAATACGATTTATGACAATCAATAGAAAACGAATTGCTACCATCTCCATAAACAAATATCTTCAATTATTAGTCCACCAAGAATTTTTTAACACTAAACCTCTCCTGCTTCGTAAATGTAAAAATATTTTAGAAAAAATGTCACTTTAGTTTATTAGTGTCTTAAGCTAATTTTATACCTGACTGGTGGAGAAATTCTGAAGCATGTCCACACTTTATAACCAAATTTGATTATGAAATACTGCGGTGATAATCTCTAAACAAAAAAAAAAAAAAATCACTTGGTTCAGTTTTCACGCCCCAATTACAACTAAGACGGGCATTTCAAAGTTGCTTATTTGGGACAATATTCCTAAAATGACCCCAAAAATTTAAAGCTCTTTTTGGAACTCTGCATTGAGACCCCCCTGAAGAACTTTGTCTTGCCTTTATTTAGTGAAATGTATCACTCACTGAATATTTGCATATTAAAAGTGTAAATCAGTCACTTCCTCATAGTTTTCCTGACATTTACCACTGTTGCATCATTCAGAGAGATTTAACAGACATAATTTCATATCTATATTATGACCAATCAAAAATTCACCAAAAAGGCTTTGATATTTTAGAGACTCTTTCAACAATCGGACCACTTATATGTCAAATCCAGGCAAGTAAACAGCAGATAAATCTGGCTCTACATTGCACTTTAGGACCCAGTATAATCGCCGAAGTTGCAACTGCAGGGTTTTGATAAATGCAACTGGTCTTTCTTACGTACATTTTCTAAGGAATTACAATGAAGGTACAAGTTAGTGTTTTCTCCTCACTATGTTTGTCAACAGTGAGCAAGTGGACCATGCTCCCACTTCCTGAGTTAGTGCAGACTGGGATTCTTTCAAAGTGACCCCTGTATTGGGATATGCATTTACTGTTAACTCTAATTTAAATCCATGAACCCAACTTTTTGATATAGAGAGGAGTTTGTGGTGCTGTACCAAACATTTCCTGTTCTCCCTTACATGACAAGACAGCAACATTTATCGCCAAAAGGCCAGTGCAATGCCATCCCAAAGCACTACCTCGATAACCATCAACATTTCTTTGGCAGTCATCAGACAAAGCTGTTCAAGTTGGCACTACATTTTTAAAATATGATGGGTTGTCAGATAAGAGATAATACTCAGGAATGTCAAAACATGTAAAACAAAAATAAAAAACAGTTTACTGAAGATTTTATTTATTTATTCTATTTGTGCTTTTTATAACTTAACAGCACATAAACAAACTGAACCCCAGTCACCCTTGAAAACTGACGTGAGCAGTGCTGCCCCCCCTAGTGACAGGTCGGATTGGAGAGGATACAGTTTTAAAAGGGGGGATGACAAAGAAAAGGCACAACCAGCATACGCTGCATCCCCTGGAGACATCACAAAATGACTCCAGCCTGTCACAGATACAGAAAAGGGCCACACAGGAAGGGGAGAGTATGCGCTAAAGCTACTCATCAATCCAACATTTCCCGCCAAAAGTAGCCCTTTCTTTTAGTGCACTTTTGGGGGTGGGGGTTGAGTTGGGATGTGACAAAGGGATGCTCTCAGTTTTACTTCCCATACCAAAAAAAAAGAAAAAAAGCTATATACAGGGAGAATAAGATTCATTCCCATGGTCTGTACAATTGGGCCTATACATTATTTACTGAGCACATCCTAACAAATAAAGAAAAAAACAAAAAAGTCACTCAGTCAACGAAACAAGTTGCCATAACGTGACTTCCAATTCTGTGGATAAGCCTCTTCAAAAAGCACTGACTTATGGTTGAAGACAAAGTATGGCATGGTTTCACTGTTCAGGTCTGTGCACCATCTTTGAAATTAAAGTTCACATTTTTATGGTGAAGGGGAGTTGAAGATGGGCAAAAAAAGGAAAACTGAATCCTGCCCTGCCGTTTTTCCCCCTCATGGCCTCAACTCCAACTCATCTACACTTATGACCTTGGCAGGCATGGAAGGAAGTGGCTGTTCTAGCACGTCTGATCCAAACCACTTGGCAAGGCCTAAGGGGGGGCCGTCCCCGTGTTGCTGGGGGCCGTTTGTCCGATGAGGGCCTTGGCTCTGTGACGGAGCGCCTGGGACACCTTGATGTACTGCAAGGAGACAAAAAAGGTTTAACAAAGAGCTAAGGCAACACAAAACAAGTTTTCATACATGAGGTCAAATTCTCTTACATATTTACTGTACGGTGAGGCATACTTGTTTAATGCCTTGTTAACTCATTCTCAACTGTCAATATTTGCACTCACTTGGTCTCTGTTGCTGAAGTTGCTGCTGCATTACTGCTAACTGCATTTGAGTGTTGGCTCGAGGAGGTAGAAGTGGATGCCCTGTAGTATTAAGAGGGTACAGTGGTTGTCCAAGCAAGGCAGGAGGCAAACCTTGAAGTTGAGCAAGGTCGACGTGTGGTGGGAATATACCTGATGTACGCAAGAAGTTTTGTTACAGACTGACGAGGAGCAAATAAGTATATGGACAATAGAGGACCAACACCTACCGGCTTGTACGAGAGCAGGTCCAAGCTGCTGGGGCTGGATACCCTGGGCCAGCATTCGTTGAACCACATTAGGGTGCAGTTGAGGCGGAGGCCGCACCATAGGTACATGGGATAGCAACGGTACTGGGTAGATAGGACGAGGGAAAGATGAGGAAGGTCCTGGATGTACCATGGTGGGTGTGTGGTGTCCAGCAGAGCCAGGCCTGAGACGATCCGGGTCTTTGTTTGGCAAGTTCTGGGAGTTGGCCTTCATTCCCCCAGACTGGACGGCATTTCCTTCCAGTGCCTCCAGATATAGATTTGGGGAGCCGTTTTCTGTAATATTTCCCAAATGAAAATCCAAAAGTTGTGATACTGAAGTACTTGAGCTGTAGCGAATGCTGCGTTCGAGTTACCTCGGAAGTCAGAAGTCCGAGCTGGAAATTACGTCACACAAGATGGCTACATCTACGAAGGTTAGTTTAGCGCTGGCCTTGTCCAAATGTAAGCAAGGACAAGGCAAGCGTTAAAATAACTTTCGTAGATGTAGCTATCTTGTTTCCGCCTCCAATTTTCCTTTGTTATGACTTGGTAACTGAAACGCTGGTAACTCGGGTGTGACGTCATTCCCAGCTTGGACATCTGATTTCCGAGGTAACTCAAACGCAGCACAAGATTAGGAAATTGTGAGTTATACGAATCTTGGTACCGTCTTGAGAATGCCCTGCTGCCTCCTCCTTGGAGTCGGAGCGGCCTGAAGGTTCATCCCTGCTTTTCTCTTTTGTGGCATACATTTTTCGGATCACAGACGTGGGTGTAAATGATGGAGACAACTGTAGCACAAAGTAAATCCCCAATAAAACGTGATATCGAAGTTAAGAACACTCAAGAACTTTATTTTTTAAATGAACACTAAAGGCTAGAGATGAAAGTGTTAATGCTCACCATGCTGGTGACAGGGTTGCCTGGAGAGTTTCTTCCAGCGGGCTGAGGACCTGGACCAGGGGAACGATTTACACGTTGCAGTCTGTGAAGCACAAGGATGTCAGCAGGACAAAACTAACATAAGGTAACAGATATTGTTTGTCTCTGTGCGTCATTGTTTTCATAGGACATATCTTCAGAGTATTTAAGTGGGTCAAAAGAAAAATCTCACCTGGTTCGATAAGATTTGTCCTGTTGTGGCTTGTAGCCAGACTGGAATGAGTGGTGGGCATGTAGAGCAAGATCTTGTTGGAATGCCAAAGCTTCTAGGTCAGCCTGATTAATTGGCATAGAGAGCGCCCTCATCTGGACAAACAGAATGCATACAACTTAAGAGACCATCTATTGATGTCTCAAAGAAAGAGGGGAAGGGACTTTCTTAAATAAAAATAAGTGTGTTCAAAAACCTCAACTACCAATACCCCTTTTTTTTCCTTTAAAAAAGATGAATTAATTCGCTAATTTAGAACAAATAGTAATTTAGTTTTACAATACCTGTTGTTGCGTGGCAGAGCGAGGGCTTATGGACCTGTGTACATCAGAAAACTGCTCTGGTAGCATGGGCTGAGGACCAACAGTAAAACCTTCAAGTATGAAAGAGAAGACAAAATATTGCAGCTTATCACCGGCTTCCTCGCCAATCAAGAGATTTGTGTTCTATACTTGATTCTGATTGGTCAAAACCCACTGACAACCATTATCAACACTGTGTAGCATGAGAATAGTCAGACAACCATATCACACGCCACATTGAATTAATATGTGAAAAAGAGTTCCTGATTGTTGACCGACACTTAGACAAAGCAGTTTTCGTGAGCATGCCGACTTTTTGGGGCTTATCAAAATGTGTGTTTTGATGTTGGATCCTGTCCTGGAATCCAGGCAATGGCAGCAGAGCTGGCGAGTTCCTATCTAGTCACTAGTCGCTACATAGAAACTTAAACCATAGGGGGTTGGTGATAATGGCGGCAGTGATCTAAGATGTGACTTTTGCCTCACTTATATTCAAAAATGTGTCCAACTGCAAAGCTCCAAGAAGAGGGAGAGCTGAATGAGGACAAAAGTCAACTTTCAAGTTCTTGCAGAAGACTCACCTTGTCTTACCATATCCTTCTCTTAAACTTGTGCTGCTACTTTCGTGTCATGGATTGCATTCCTGCCATCTGCTTGATGCTACAGTGATGTTTTGATAGACGATTACACTTTCTCTTGTTTGATACTTGACTGTTCTCGGGTGGACTGTCTTGTCAAGGGCTCCACCATGTACAGAAACACTCTCCTGTACAAATCAAAAGAGCTTACCCGCTGAAGGTTGCAACCGACTGCTGAAATAGTCAGGTGACGGTGCCCTCTGTGGAAAGAGAGGGGGTGAGGGGCCCTTGTGTAGTAAGCCATGAAGAGGGGCAGAGGTGGTCGGACCCTCAGAGCTGCCCAACAGATTGCCAAGTAGTGTAGGCGAGCCACTATGTGCCGGACCTCCCAAGAGCTCCTTCAAGACATGCACACAGGATACAACTGTTCTTACAATTGCAGTTTAGGTTCTAAACTAATATTTTACAGATGCAGTTTTAAAAAGACACCCTAAACATAGGTCAACTTATGCCAAAGAGGGGAAAAATTAAACATACCTGAAATATATTTTTCTGTTGTGCGGGCGCCTCAGACGCCGTCACCACAGCTTGATCTGAAGTTTGCTGTAGAGGGAGAGATTTTCGCAGGTGCAATCTCAGTAAACACATATTTAAAAACAAAAACCCATCCAGCTGAAAAAAGACCAGCTTTTCAGTCAGATGGATTTTCATGCGCAATTTTCAATTAAAATGTCCCCTGTGCAAGTCAAGTACGCCTTTGGAAATAAAAATAAAAATCACCAATTAAGTATCTGACTTGCATTAAAAAGGACACTTCACAAACTGCAAAACAACCATCCTAAACAAATTTGAAAAATTTATGCCCATCACTTTCTGGTTTGTACAATTTCTTTATCAGTTAAAATAAAATAAACATGCACATAGCATCATTTCAGGAAAATTTTTTGGGTACCATGATATACAATGGAATTGTTATGAATTCATTTTAGCCTGGATCAATGTAAATAAAAAAGTATTTAAATCCATAGGAGTACTTACATTGTTTGAATTTGTTTTGGGGTGAGTTGGCAGAGTTCCACTTGCCTTCATGCTGCTGACCAATTTATTAAAGGCTGACATGTCTGAGTCACGTGAGTGTGGACGGGCACTTGGGGCACCAGTCAGTGCCTCTTCTAAATGTTCCGCCATGAAAGGTGTGCCGTTTCCTCTCTGTGGAGGTGGCATCTTCCGTACCTGAGGTCCTGAGCTTAGCTTCATCCCCTTCATCTCTCCCTCCACTTCCTCCAGTGAAAGCACCGCACCACAGCTAGCTGAAGACAAAGATAATCAACTTGTTAAAGTGCTACTTAGATTAAAGACATGGACACAAAGCATAAGTATTAAAATTAGTCTAGCATATGTGGACCTACAAATAACTGGAGGAAAAAAAAAGCAGAACTCAGTGGATCTCTGCAGAAAATGTTTAATTTTTCAAAGATTGGAGACAAAAAAAGGAATTAACATGTTGAGGTGCATGAAGGAATTATACTGTTCACTTAAAATTCAATTACAAATGCCTGGCTGTTTTTGCATACATTATCTGTGGGTTACAAGTTAAAAAAGAAAGTGTATCAATAAAACACATCTTACTTCCAATTTTACAGATTGGATTGTTAGCGATTGCTATGGCAACGCAAGACTTAATAGTGCTTTATCACTAATTCCTGGCTGCAGTGACAAGAGAAAGGCTTTGGACAGGATTTAACCAACCGTTAACTCATTACTCAGCCAATCAATCTTTAACTCTATCACTACGCAAGCAGAGACAACATTCACAGTGCTGTCACACACCAAAAATGTTAGCCTGTCCATATTTGACAGGCCAATGACGGTTGTAATCAGATGTTCAAATGTGCCACTGTGTGCAAGCAAGCGATCTTTTACACTGTGTATCCATAGTGTAATAATCAGCTTAAGTGATGTAAAATGACAATGCAAGCAAATAAAATGAGCGAGCTCTTACTGCTTTCACGTAGCCTCGCCTTGTTGACGGACAGCGTGGAAAGGAGGGGCTTCAGGTCTATCTTAGCTTTGTGCAGGAGCTCCAGGATGTCCACATTCTCCTTGCACTCTGAAGATTGGATAGGCGTAAAATATGAGGCAGGGCCGCGGCTTGGGGAAGTACATCGGGGCTCAAGCCCTTTGGAGGAGCAAAAGGGTTCAAGATTTGAAAGCAAAGAATTTGGAGGATTATAAATTACAAAAGAAAGAATGTACTGTAAATGTCTGGCCGGGATTGGAATGGGTTCAGCTGAGCAGCAGTTTGTGGTTGAAAAAAGTTAAGATCTTAATACTATACACTCAGAGCGGGGTACGGCCTGGTCTGGTTCATGAGGCAAATTTAATGAATTATCTGGGCAAGTTCAGACTTCAACAGGCAATGTCCTGAAAACTTAAACATGTAAAATCATCTTTGAGGTACTCCTTAAACATACATAACTTTAAGGTTACTTTGAATAACTGTGAGCAACATGTTAAAAAGAGACTCTTTTCTTCAATCAATCATTTACCTGCCAGTTTTTCCAGCTCCTCGTGAGGAGTGGACCTCAGACTGCTGGACTGGCTGCCTGAAGGGCTCAGGTTACTGGAAAACCACTGACTGAAGCGGCTAGCTGATACAGGGCCCTCCCCTAGGACATCCTCTATCATCTGCAAGACATAGACAGGTGCATGTGAGAAACAGGGGGGGAAACGAAAACATAAATTAAAATCAGCCAACAAAAGGATACTAAGGACAAATGAGACACTTACGTTTCTGGTGTTATCCATTGAATTAGCACTTGTTAGGAGATGAAGGGCAGTGTCATTGAAGGCACTGCTGTTTGGCCTCGAGTTTATCTAATGCCTTTAACCAGGCAGTTCACGGCTTTTATTTAGTTTACAGTATTTGCTTGGTTGTCCAATTGGTAGCAGTTTAAATCTAGATATAATGATGGGCATAAATTTGGATGGTTTTCTTCCTTATTGTAACCCCATGCAGTTGCCCAATGACATAAAAACATTTAGAAAAAAGGCACCAGAGACAGTGACCCCTCACCACAGTTTCAGTTCAGTGAGATCAAGCCAGTGCAGCAGAGGCCATTTTTGAGTTTAATAAAACATTTATATGAAATGTGCTTTCCTCAACGAAGCCATTTCTAAGCTAGCTAAGCCACGATTGCATAAAATGAAAAACATGTGTTTCAACTTTGCGGGAAGGACCACTTAAACTCTGATGTTAGGCTTGCACTGATAGGAATACATCAACAATGCATAAAGACAAACTGAGATTTAAATGCCAACCCAACTGTGACGTGTAAACCTTTAAAAAACAAAACAAAAACACCAGCAGACTCACACAGTGCCCCCCAGCACTTACCGAAGCCAGTCCTGGCATGGTCTTCTCCAGATTGAAGAATTCATTAAAGTCAAAGTCACCAGTCGTCTGCTCAGGTAACACATCAGGGTGGGGAACCTCCTGATCAGCAGTGGACTGTAAAACCACCTGCTCTTCAGGCTGTCCACCATTACATTCCACCACTGCAAAACGTGCAACAACAGAAACAGCAATCTTCAGAATCCCTTACCAAGTTACCAGAATTGTGCAGTTTGTCAACACGACACCAGGAAAAACAGGTTAAAAAACACATTTGTGCAGAAATTCTTAAGAACAGGGCTGTGACGTGCCTTCTTTTACAGACTCCGCTCTCTTCCTCGAACGCTTGGACCTGCGCTTGTCGTCTTCCAGAATTTTGTCGTCAAATCCAATGAGCTCAATCGTCTCTGACTGGCTGGTGGGACCCCCAGAGAACCACTCTGGCTCCTCCTCAGCATAAGAGTCATTCCTTCTCCTTTCAGTGAACACACGTTTGTCACCGAAATCTCTCTGCAAGTGAGCATATGAAACAAATAACGATCCCTGTTTGCACTTTGTAAAAATTGTATACGGTTAACTTTAACATGAAATAACCACATTCTATGCCAAAGGGATGTGTGCCTTTAGATGACTTAACAATTACACAAGCTCTGTACAATTATGTGATCCCTCTTGTGCCGCTGCTAATACCCTTGGCTCCAGATAATGAACAATGCTAGAATGCTCTACAACTTTAATGTAAGCAAGCACAGATGACAGATAGCATCTCATAATGCAGTATTGTTTTAGAGCACTTTGATGGAGAAAATGGGGAGATACAGTTTCACGGCTTTGTCTGGTTAAACTGCTGTATAACTGTTTGACCAGAGAAAGGACTAACAACACGCTGAAGGGTGGTGGTGCTCTGCTAACAGTAGCCACACTTGGCAAACAGATTTGACATTGTTTACCTACAGATCTTGATGCCTTGCTCAGTCCTGTTTCATAAATTGTGCTCCATTTTGACTTTTCTTATCTTTCAACGAGCCAGTTAGTCAGAATTTATATTCCTATTTAAATAGTTAAATAGTTAAATAAGCAGTTTCAGCACATCCCTAAAAAAGTACTTTCTAATTCATACAGCACCTTCGCATGACTAGTGGAGGTGCTTATTACAAAAGGCAAACAACTGATAAACTTTTTTTTGACTTTCATATGAAATCAGAGACACTAGGCTGGAAAGCTCTCCTTTTCCAGTACTGTCCTGTTGAGCCTCTTTCTCAAAAGGTTTTATCTGACTAATTTATAACTATATACTGAATATATATGCAACATATAAAAGATGGGTCAGTACAAGGCACCAACCCTGAATCTTTTATCTTTGAAGTCCCTCTCCCGTTCCCGCTCCTTCTCTGCACGGGCTTCTCTCTCGAATGCCCGGGCAGCAATTATGCGACCACTTCCAATTCTGCGTGCCCCTCCCAGTCTGAGACTCTCATTCTCCTTATTTTCCAGGGGACTGATTGGACGACGGACATGGGGTGCAAGAGCTGCGACGCCTTGACATCCACCTCCAAAACTGCGTCGCTGTGGGCTCAGTATGACATCCAGATCATCTTCCTTTAACCGTTCACGAGGATCTTCATACAACAAGGAAAAAGGCTCAGTTTTCAAACAAACGGAAAAACTAATCAACACAACAAAACATCCATACTGAGCATTTCTTAAAGCAGACTCAAGAGCTGCTCAATGATCAAAGTTTCTGCCATAGAACAAGTCAACCTTTAAGAGGCTGATTTAATTTAAAACATAAACTGTTCGTCTGTTACCTGGGATTCTTCGCTTCAAAGGAACTCTATCATCAACATAGTCCTTCTTAAAGCCTTCCACTGGAGAGTTACGCTCTGAAGTGGGATATAATGAAGCATGCCACTTCTCAGGATCCCAAACACCATCACTGCATCAAAACACAATTTGAACCCTGTTAAAAGGACACTCCAAGACTGCTTGCTGTAGACAAAATACCAGTTTATCATCTCATTAGTGTGTCTTTGTGCTTTTGATCAGTAGGACGACAGCTTGACCGTCACTTGCTGTCAGCAAAGAATTATTTCAATCAGAAGATGTTTGCAGGGTAAAAACAAAGTTACTCAACAATCTGATCAAAACTCCTGCAGCAGACGCCCAAAGTGTCAAAGATGGCTTCTAAAACACTCTTTCAGATGTGAATAAATTTAGACCTTGATGTTTTGTTAAATTAGAAAAATAATAATAATAAATCAGGCCTACAAGGGCTTCATTTCTTTATTCAACATCCAACTCAAAGTTCAATAAAAAAAAAAACTCACTAACAAGTGTATTCTACAGAAGATACATCACATTGATTATAAATCTATTGATATATCTTATCCACTGTATGTGGTTCCCTCAAAGAATTTGGATGGATTTCACTCAACTTTAAGACTGAAAAGACAATAACGACCCGGAAGAGCCAAGATAAACTGATTATTTTGTTCATCAAAGTAAGAAAATTGTATTTTTGATAACCTTTTTTCAGCACATCAGCTGTGCCTCATAACCTGATAGATTTTAAGTATCATGTACTGAAATCTGTGACTGGATGCTTCACACTTCAATCTCTTTCTGCAATCAGACAAAGCGTTTTAACGCATACTTTGATCTCTGTGCTAGCATGTGAGGTCAAAGTGCTTTGTTCTGTAAACCTCAGTTCTTGAGGCTTTCAAACAAATCCCAGTTAGTTATGTGTTACAGAAATTAGAGGAAAAATCTAAAAGAAAAAGAATATGACAACTATCGGACTGGTGCTAAAAATGTCTGTCTCTCTGGAAAGCAAGGTTGAGGGGTAAAATGTTGCACCGATGAAAGGAGAATAATACTGGACTGTGTGTGGTTTACCTGTCGTATTTTTCAGAGAGACACTCCGGCCTTTCATTAGAGACTGGCAGTTCTTTTATTTCCAGAAGTTCCTCCTGTGTACAAAAGAATAATGCTGAATTTGATTTGAAAACAACTATGTATGACTGACGGATAAAGGAATATATTTATAATCACCTTGGTGTATCTGAAAGGAGTTGTGGTTACTGGCTGTTTGACGATATTTACAGCAGCATCACCATTCTTCTCCTCAACACAAGACTCGGTCTCCATAGCTCAAACAGACAGCTCCTTGCTGGGCAGTGACTTTTCTCCTGTTGGAAACAAAGTTAACACTTGATACTAGGGCTGAGTAATAAAACGATAACTATAGATATCGACAATTTATTTCCCTCAATATCAATATAAAACATTGTCAATATACTTTTCGATAGCCGGCATTCTGACATGTTTCCGTAGACTATACGAATAGGCAATAAAAAGAGGAGTTGCCCCGGGTCCGCTTCGCACTGAACCAATCATGTGCTGAATTAGAACCAAGTAGCAAACAACTGCGTAGTAGCAGGCTGCAGCTACACACAACCATAGCACTTTAAAAAAAAAGGTCCTTACACACCGGGAACGTTTTTGTGATGTGATTATTTCGGACGTCAATATTTTTTTTCGAACCGTATCCTGTCAATACAAGCATTCACATCAGCAACGTTTTCCTGTCCTGTGATATTGCGGCATTTATTTTTTCGGATCACAGTCGATTTTTTCAAAGTTTCCACTTCTGACCAATCAGATTGCGTGTTGTTGCTCCGTCTAATTTATCGGTATATCCAACATGGCCGACCGGCTGATTGTTTACGTGTGCTTTTTGATAAAAGACACAAACATTACAAAGATAACGACCTGAAGGACAACTTGTGGAGAGTCACATATGTCTCATATGACGATGGTTTGTGTGCGTTGACAGTTTGCTAAATGTCTTTGTTTTAACTTTCATCTGTGCTAAGTAACTTTAGCTCGTAAGCTAACCTGTTCAGATACAACATACCATATGTATTTTCACTGTCTCAAACTCAATTACAGCGTTGCTGTCATATCACCATTTGGTCTCGGTTGTTACCTTACATTTATGGATTATAGCTTAATGTGCTTATCTGGTACTGGCCCCGACTCAGTACATGCCATCATGACAGACAGACATCTCAACACTAGTGTCCAATCAGAACTGAAAAACAGTCAGTCTGGCATTGTGCCACCCGGGACACGTCTTTTTTTTAACCCCTGGAAAGTCGCAAAATCGCATCGGGCTTGATGTGTATAGTCAGGCGCGTCAAAATTCTCCTCTGAATATTTCGTAATTTCGCAGTCTATATTTGCATCTTTTTGAGGAGCATGGCACCTGTGCAGCCAAAACAGCCAACCATTTAGTCCACTTTCTCTAGCCTTACGACAAAACGTCGAGACACAAAGACCTCACAGATGCAGTTGCTTATTGTACTGAAAAAATCATAGTACAATTTAGCACTGTTAAATTTAATTTTTTATATCGTGATTTATATCGATATGGACTGATGTGAAAAAAATATATTGTGATAAAATGTTTCCCACATCACCCAGCCCTACTTGATACATCAAGTAGGACAGGGGCTGATCCATTGACTTGAGTTGATCAGCTTGGACAAAGTAACCAGAAGGTTAATTGAATGGTACCAATTAACGCGGGCGTCTTAAGTTGCGGTAACCTGGTACAATTCACTGAAGCTGTGTCGAAGTCCGGAACAAGAGTGTCTTTACCTTCAAAACAAAACCTCAGAAAGTAACCCGAAAGACAAATTAACATTCAAAAATCGCCTCATGTATGATAAAAGTACACAAAAATCTTCATCGAACATCGGGTTAACTTGTGCGTAGAGAGTGTCGACCAACGCTGCCAGTCAATTAACCGGTTAATTGACAACAGCCAGACATGAGACGTGTCAATCACAGTCATTAAGCCAGCGTCTGTGCTCGTCAATTAAGTATCCTAAACCGATGTCTTTTTGAACAAAAATCTCCTATCTCAACAGAACTATAACGTCTCTTATTGAATGTATCGCTGAGTAAATCCTTTTCACACCGAATTAAAACAAACTGGTACCGGTTATCGAACACTTCACCATTAGCAGGCTGGAGCAAACACACTGTTGGCTGTTAGAAGTCAAACTTTTGTATCTTCTGTTCACTTACATGAAACACAAACGGTCAACTTACTCAGTGAGTGATGCGGGGTAAACTGGTTGCTGGCGGCGAAGCGGCTGCAGTTCACGTTAGTTAGCTAGCTAGCAGATTTAGCACTTAGAGCTAGCTAGCTAACTAGCTGGGGGAATGGGGGATAATGCCCACCCAGCGAGCACCAAATCTTAAACCGGTTGAGTAGTCGCAGTAGGAAACACACACACCAAACTGGGGTAACTAAAGTGAATAACACAGATCCAAATATGAAGTTAATCCGTACAGAGACTGTGTAATCTTCAACTATTGTCTGCTCCTTCTCTGTTTTCTAAGTCGTAGCAGCAATTTTCCTCTGATCACCGCTTTAAGAAGGTCCTCGGAAAGATTACGGCGTGCGCGTGGCGCCTTTGTAGAATTTCAGTTAGTCTAGTGCACATCGGTGTAGTCATATCTTTTAATAGAACTCCTTATATGTAACTTTAATATATAACTATATGTACCTATTAAATTAACAAACTTGCCTTTTGAGTGAATAATTTGCATTACATCGAGACTTTTCAACGGGCACTATTTAGACAGCTACTCGTTGTCCTGAGGTATGCCTGATTTATTGTTTTTCGTAACCGTACGTGGGCATAGAATTGAATAGCAGTCACATCCCGCCCTCTTAGGCTGTGCAAGTCAGAAATATCGAGCATTACAACGCATCGGTGCATTTCTGGCTTCAGAACAGACCGCAGCACAGGGCGAGGATGTTCAAAATTAGTGCGTCTAGTAGTAAAATGATCCTGAAACAACGACATTTCATTTCTACTTCAATTAAAAATAATTTCATTCTTTGTTTTAAAAATATACTGTTTGGTTTCACTTCCTTTATACCCTCCAAAAACAAACATTATTATACAATTAACCTTATTATTTTGTTGGCTAAGTGGCATATCCATAAATGTAGATATATAAATAAAAATCCTTGCTTTATTTTTTTCAAAAATGAAACCAAGCTGTATATTAATACTATGAAAAATTCTACAAATAGCAAAGCTATCAAGACCATACATTTATGCACTCTCTTTAATGTTTTTTCTGTAAAGACTCCTGTTTTCCTATGTATGTGGGCCCCCTGGCAAAACAGACAAACAAAAAAAAAACTCCTTCTTGCTTGTGTGTTGAATTGTCCTGTTCTGATGCACCGGTGTTTTACGATCCAGGCACAGAAGATGACGGCGAGAAGACGAGCAAAGAAGTAAGTGGAAAGGTTATTGTTTAATTTCACTGCGTGTGCTTTTTAATGAGTCATTTGGTTAGGCCATGTCGAGTCGATATGAAGTTGAACTGAAGCTAATACTACACCAGCATCCTCCAGTTTAACTTCATATCGACTCAGGCGCTACATGGCCGGACCAAATAACACATTGAAAAGCACATGAAGCAAAATTAAACAATAACCTTTCAATAACCCTACTTCTTTGCTCGTCTTCTCGCCGTCTTCTGTGCCTAGATCGTAAAACACTGGTGCATCCTCATTATTGGTCCCCGACAGCTCACTTCCATTGTGGCGTTTTTATTTGCATCCTTTATTTGCGCAGTAAATACCTTTTTTTTTTTTTTTTTTTTTTTTTGCATCCCCACTTTTTTGCGCCTTTAAATTTCATTGCACCTTTTTATTTATTCATTTATTTGCAGCGGGCTTCAGTTTTTTTTCTGCATTGGAAACTTCTGTAGTGGCTTTTTTTTTTTTTTTTTGCATTCTTTTTTTATTTGCAGTGGTGGCGGTTCTTGGCCTCCGCAGCATCAGCAGGATATATTTTCCCTGTGTCACAGTCTACCTGACATATCTCTAGCATTACATGCTTTGCTACTATCATAGCTGAAAAACTACTCCAACAAAATCATCTCAGCTGGGCCCCTCTCCCCTTAAAAATGATTTTAAAAAGCGCCTTAAAAAGCGCAAGAGAGACTAATAAAGGCACCTTCAGCTTTCCATACATGTCACTTCCTTGTTCACGTGACAAGGCAAAACAAGCGCGCGCCACTTGGTTACCCAAACAACCCACCTAACCCTCATGGCTACAAGGACGCTCACTTGGTTAACTTGGAAGGATTTCTTCTTCTCAGCTTTGACTCCCAGTATAATGTCATCGTAAAGGTGTGTGCGGACCTTCCCCTGAGGCAGAATAATGCAAAACAACGCGAGAAAGCCTCACCCGGTTAAACCCCGACTGAGCAGTGTTAATAATGCCGGTGGTCCATCATCCAAACATGTCTGCAAACCTCAGAGCAGAAAAATTTCTTATCGAGTTGGATACAACTGGAATAGAGGTGGAAGACTCAAGGAGCTGAGAATAAGGTAAGAAGACTCTCAATGTGAATAAAAACAAACTCAAAACTTACATTTTTAGTCTTGCTTTTAACAAAATTTTATATCATTAACTTTACGTGTTTTAGCATTTATCTCTTTCTAGTTTTAATGACAGGATCGTCATTTATTGAGCTATTTTGGTGCTCTTATTTTAGTGTCTTTTACTGTTGTTTTTATTTCATTTTACAGCTAACTGAACAAAAACATGGCAGTCCAACAGTATCACCAAACTGTCATCCATGTGATCACACTCAATAGTAGATAACTTTTAGAGATGTGTCAAGTGAGACAAAAAGACAACTGAATTTCCCTTTGAGGATTGATAAAGTTATTCTTATTCTTATTTGTGTATGAAAAGTGCTATATAAATAAAGACTGATTGATTGATTGACTAAATGTAGACTTCTTAATTTCAGCTTCAAACTTAATCATTTATGACAAAAAATGTTCACTCACTGTAGGCATTTGGCAAGAAAGTTCTTGAAGATATGGATTCGGAGGACCTTTGGCCGTATTCTCCCCCATACAGCAAAGTAACTATACCTATAATTTTGGAAATACTGTTTGTATGCATGTCTGTCTATAGTTTGTTAGTTAGCAGGATCACAGTCTGTTTTCCCAGTTGTAAATGTCCTGCCTACCACAGTTTGGAAATCTATTGCGTGTTGCAGGTCCCACTATAACAATGTGGTCTTGAGACGAGCCTTTGCAGGATGGAGAGATGAGTGGTGGACATCCCAGAGGGAGTGGAGTCTAAGCATGCGAGCAGAGTGTCACTACAGGTCCACAGTGTGTTTTTCAGCCGGTCATAAAAATCAGATATACTGTAAATCACTAGTAACATATTTTTGTGTTGCAGGTATTATCTGTGTAACTTGGTGTTACGTCACTGGCAGATATTTGTGTCACTGCGGAGGGAGAAGAAGAGCAAACTTCAAAATGCTCAGCTGTTTGGTATGATTGCGGCTGATTAGAGGACATCATTTCATCCTAAAGCCTTGTGTGTTTTGTCTGAAATCACTTTGTTTCTTTTGCCAGCCGACAGAAAAAGAATGAGTCTGGTTTTGGACAGGTGGGAGGTTTTCGTTGACATGAAGCGCATCAAGAGAAAGATGCTCGAATCTGCCCTCGAGCTGAGACGACTCACAACTCTGCAGTAAGAACATTACATTTCATATCAAACCTACACTTATGATGTGTGGGCAACTGGTTTTAACACTTTTTTTGTTATATTTATGCAGTTCAGCTTGGAGGTTGTGGCAGGCTAGGCTGCAGCACTGTAAAGATTTGTACACTCTAGAGAGCCAAGCCTTAAAAGAGAAGGAGCTAACCTTACAACGCAGGGTAAGGACATTGTCTGGTGTGCTTTAGATTAAAAGAATGTTACAATCACATGCAAAAGATGACTGATTTCCTTCCTTTCAACTTTTCATGGTATTTCTACCAAAGGCCTGGTTTCAGTGGAAAGAAATGCACACAGCTGCTCTTTGTCAGAAAGAAAAGGAATCCAAAGCTGCACTTCACTTCATCCTCTGCCTTAAAAGAAAAACATTGCACCACTGGAAATGTGTTGTGCCATGTATGAAGAAGAAAAGAGAGTCAGAAGGTAGTTTCAAACACTATTGAGGACTTTTATTTGAGCACTTTAATAAGCTGCTAACTTCTTAACACTTTTGTTCAAATACTTACAGCTGCTGCCCAGCGTACCCGCCATCTTCGCCTGTTGGCGATGTGTTGGAGCCGATGGAAAAGCTCACTGCATCACAAATGGAACGAGGAGAATCGCCTGCAAGCTGCAGAGCGTTTCGCCATACAGAGCACCAAGCGCAGAACACTAGAGTGCTGGAAAGCTTGTATCCTAAAATTTATTCATAAAACGCATATTTATATTTTCATACCAAATATGTCACCATTTCCAGCCCAGTGAGGGTCAGCAGGAGGTCATATTTAATGGCACAGTTATTTTTCTTAAGCATTTCTGTAGATGTGATGCTGTGTAGGGAAGATGCTGATAAAGACAGGAATGCAACTCAACATCATTGCCATAATCTGCTGGTGAGATCCTGTTTGAAATAAAGCAGTTGCTCATAAACAGAGAGTTTGATAATGAATGTATTGATTGCTGTGTGTTCTTGTTGCAGCGTGCAGGTTTTATGGGACTTTCTCTGAATGTTCTTAGGAAAAAAACGCATCGACTGAACAAAATCATGGCAGTCCAACAGTATCACCAAACTGTGATTTTAAGCAGCACTACCATCATCCTCTTATTTTAAGTTTCACATACATGCCTGGAGTCAGGTTTCCAGGGATTCTTGACTTGATTTTTATGTTTTACAGATGAGAACAAAGTACTGGAGGTTGTGGCAGGACCGTCTGGAGGAGGCTGAAGACAAGAGCTTTAAACAGCTGGCAGAAACGGCTTCGACTAACTACAGGTGATTTTAATTTGTATTTCCTATTCTATACCACTTGACATTTTGATACCGTCGAGTAAAAGCTGTAAAGACTGCTGAACTCAAGGTAAAAATAAATGAACCATGAAGTTGGTGAATTTTTTGACTTGGATTGCTTTCCTCTCACAGCACATCCCTGCTCAGCCGCTGTTTTCAGCACTGGAGAGAAACACTTGCTCAGCAGAGACACATGCAGGTATGTTATGATCCAAGGTGTGATCGATGTAAACAGAGCATTGTTAGAGATTTCTATTGATATTCTGCAGAAGTGAACAGAAGGAAGGAATTTTATGACTGTTGAAACTATAAAGCACCCAAAAAGTAACCTCTACAAATTTTCGGTGGTTGTTTGAAATTAAAAACTGATATGAACTTAAGAGTATGAGCTGGTGTTTACAAAAGCTAAAGTTAGGGACACATAAAAAGCATAGTTGTGTTTCTGTGCAGGGGGTAAACGTGGAGCAATATCAATGCTTCAGTCAAAACTGTTACAGGATTTAACTCCTTTCTGTGTTTTTGCGGAATAAAATTGTTAAAACTAATGTTAGTAAACTCTTTATGCATGTATCTTTATTCATCTAAAACATGTTAATCCAGTTTTAAAAATTCATTCAAAACTTCAGTAAACATTAAGATAACTTTCTGACATGGTTTTCTACATAGTTTACCAAAAAAAAACATTTTCTGCAGGAATTGGAGCGTCATGCAGACATTTGGTTTGCTGAACGCATCCTGCCTCAGTGTTTTGACTCGTGGGCTGAGTTCACTCTGCAGAGAAAACTTAGTAAACAAAGGAAACACGAGGCAAACGTCTTCAATCAGTGAGTTACAACCTCCCTCATCCTCTTCCTAAATGTTCATTCAAACTGGAATTCATTCCCATTCATAAAAGAGCTTATTAGTGTCATGTTTGGACTTGATTTCTTGTGATCACTGTGTTTTCAGGCAGCACCAGTATACCTGGGTCTTTTACACCTGGTGGGGACGAGCAGAGCAGCACAAGGAGCAAAAGTTGTCAGAGAGGATGGTATGTTGCTGTAAACAAATTAAAATCAGTTTTATTTGCCAAGTTTTTACAGTTTTGGAAACAGACTCCTCTACACAAACATGTACAAACATTGGACAAGAAATATTACAAAAATACCGACAAGCTGATATATCGACATTTAACTTAAATATACAAGTTTGTTTTTGGCACTGTGTATTGTTTATTGGATGTGCAAAGTTGAGGATGACATGCTGACAGGCAACTTGCTGTTACTAGGCATTCCTTCATCATGAACGGAGCCACCTGCAGAGAGCCTGGAGTCGGTGGAGGCAGCGCACAGAGCAGCGGATCATTGAGGAGGAGAAACAGGAAGCGTCAGAGCATCTGTACAAACACCGACTGCTTCACAAGACAGTGATGCAGTGGAAGGACAACAGCACAGAGATGCGAGACAGGTGGAGAGACTAAAGGGTTGAACTAGAGGTTAGAAAGTGCTGCACGGTTGATCAACATGTTTTTGACTATAATTGTTTGCACATCAGGAGAAGTCGAGAGCAGCAAGCCTGTCGGCAGTGCAACCTGCACTGCATGAGGAGGGCTGTGGAAAAATGGAAAAAGGTGAGTCTTTGGTATTTTTGAAAAGCTTATTTCTCAGTTAAAAAAGTGACTTTATGGACCGAGATGTGAGTTCACAATGCCAAGAAACCGAGAAACAGAATCCAACACAAGTTAGACGTACAGTAGTCTTTTTCAGGTTCATTTTGTGTCTGTAAGTGTGTCAGTGACTTGTGTGTATGTGTGTGTGTATACTCAGTTTGTTCACAGGCAGCAGGTGAAAAAGAGCAAACTGCGGGAGATGCAGCGTTTTCATGAAGTCCAACTCTTAAAACACACATTTATGGCCTGGAAGGTAACATAAAAAATTTGTAATCAAATAGTATTTCTTAAAGCTTGTGATTATAAAGATGATATTAAGTCTGTTGCCCTCTGTGACCTGCTGTGTTCGCAGAAACACACTCTACAGACATCTCAGCTCTATAGTCATGCGGAGGAACTTTACAGACAACAACAGGAGAACCTGTGCAGGTATTGAAGTGATTTAGATATTTTTCTTAAAATATGATCCACCAGCTGCTTATTAATGCTACTGTCTGCTCCAATTCTCCTCTGTCTGAATCATACCCCACTCAGAAAAGTTGTATGCACTTGGAGAGGGAATGCTGCGCTACGAGCTGAGGTCAGGCTCATGAAGCAAGAAGCACAGACTCGCTATGACCATGTCCTTCAGCTTAAGGTTGTAAAACACTCTGGTGCCCTCAGTCTGTCGTTGTACTTCAACTGTAGAAGCCTTTTCTCATTGCTTGTACTGAATCATCAGGTGTTCCTTGCCTGGAGAGGAGTAACGCAACATGTAATGTCGAGACACCGCCAGCAGAGGGAGGCAGTCGGCACAGTTCAGAGGTCCATGAATGAAGGTGATGAGATAGGATTGAAGTCTATTTTAATTCCTGTTTTTCCCACAGCTTTATGTCAGGAGGCATTTTTCATTTCATGTAAATTGATATTTTTCTGCCTTTACTCACAGCTGACTGGCCAAAATCAGATTAGACAGAGATTAAAATCCATGTTGTGCCAGTATTTTACTTGCAGTAGAAGCGTTGTCTGCTTTTTAACATGACGTATCCTTTGTTTAGTGCAACTGCTGAGGTCTTTCAGACATTGGAGGAAGCAGACCAGAGCGGCTCGGAGAGAGAGGATTTGCATGGAAAAAGCCAGACAGCACCACGCGTCCAAACTTCTCTCTACAGCAATGAAAGCGTGGAACAAGCATCACTGCCAGTGTCGTAAAAACAAGGTGGCACCTTCACCAACAAGTAGCTGTTTTACAAACTTACAGCGCTGTTTCAACGCCGTAACGTGAAATAATATGATCATTCTACAGGTTGTGAAACGGCAGGGGATCCTGCTGCTCAGGCTGAAGATGTACCAGGTGTACTTTGAACAGTGGAGAGTAAAGGTTTGTTAATATCCTTTTAATAGACAAATAATTCAGCCTCTCTCTCAGAAGTCATTTACTCATTTAATTTACTTATGGAGCAGTTAAAGATTTGTTTAATGTCTTCAACAGCTCAGGAGGATTTTCTTAAAGCTGGAAGAAGAAAAATCTTTTACAAGATTCAGCTGTTATTTTTGGAATCACTTGAAAAAGAAATTGCATTCAGGGCAGCTTGATTATTCAGTCATAGTTATGAGGAATGTCCTCAAACCTGATGCTTAAAAAAGACACCAAAGTCGTGGAACAAACCTTCAAAAATGTTGATCTGAGCTCAAAAGAGACAGAAATCTAGAGAATTAGCTTTGTTTCATTTGCATAAAGCTTTCCTGCATAAATCTGTAGTATGATCAGACAGTCAGTCTGATGTATGTGGTTTGATTTAGAGCAGATGAACTCTTGACCGTGACTTTGGTTTCCTTCCTGCTCACAGCTGCAGCACAGACAGAGAGAGACTCAGCAGACGGAGCGAGCGCTCTGGCACTGGTCCCTCTCTCTCCAGGCCAAGGTAACACCTGTCGTCTACTACCTACAGGAGCACGAAACATGTAACCTTGGTTTATCCTGATGCTGTTTCTTGCTCCTGCAGGTGCTGTGTGGATGGCGGCTTTGGGTCACAGAGCAGCACTGGAAACGAGAGCAGGCAGCCAAAGCTGCAGAGGCCTACAGAGACCAGCTGCTGAAGGAGGGCGTGTCATGCATCCTCACATATGCTGCTCACATGAACGATCTCACAACGAACCTAACACAACAAAGCCAACCACAGGTTGGAATGCGTGTCAAGGTATTTGTATTATCTCAAACATTGAATTAGTTGATTCAGTCTCCTTGTGTCCTGCAGAGGTCTCGACGTCTGCAGAGAGTGGCGAAGCGCTGTGCTCTGCGATGGAAGCAGCGCGCTCTGTGTAAACCAGAGAGAAAGCAAGAGGTCAAAGGCCATCCACCAAAGAAGAGCGTGAGCTTCTGTTTGACTGGACTGAAGAGTGTCTCCCTGTTTGACTCAGAGGAGCCGGAAGCCGGAGAGCTTAGCAAGCTGTGAGTCCAAGCCCCTGACATGCTTTGAGTTAGTGAGCAACCATAGACTGTATATAGAATGGATGCCGTCTGCCTCCTCGCTGGGTGAAGCCACTGTGAGAAGAGCACCCTCTGTTGACGGGCTGCAGTATAGGTCATAAAGCCCGCCTCCTCCAGCAATCCCTATGGAGTTGTGGACAAACTTTAGAAATTTATCACACAGAATGTAAATTTTTCTCCCCCCTGCTTGTGATGTTGACATGTAGTTTCTGTAAGACTGGTTTGTGCTCAAGTCCTCTTTTTTCTGTACAGCTCCATTTTTAAAAGTTATTAGGGGTTCATGTTTTCTATGATTGACACCTGATACAGCCTATGGGCATACGAAGATTGAGTAGCTCACCCGAGCGTCATCACAGCGACTCTGGGTGACTCTTCCGCCGAATGCGTACAATGCTACTGCGCAATGTTTGTTTCAGGAAGTGGAGAAAATCCCGGAAATACTGAGAGCCTTTCAGCTTCAAATTCATATAATGACAGGAGGCGGAGCCAAGTTGTCTGTAATATAAACAGTCTATGTGTGCAACGAACGGAATCAGAATCACAGGAAGCTTCTCCTTTTTTTCAGACCGCCAAACCATTCACATCGACGCCAACCACGCCGCTGTGAGGAACTGTTTGAATCTCCAATAAAAACAAAGTACTGTCCTTTTTTCAACTAAAATGAAAGATGAGATTTCAAATTAATTATCTTCCTTAATTCACAATATGGAGTCTAAACTCCATCCCATGCTGACTAAAGCTTCTTTGATGTTTTTCAGCACTCATGACTATTCTGGCAACTCAAATGCTAAAGTGGCAACAAAGCCCTCCAAGCTCGGCCCAGAGGAGCACAGATATACGGTGTCCTCCTGTGTCCATCCAAGCATCATCATACCTAATGTGCCAGTCTCCGGGATCCATGTTTCGACCGCAGACCGTCCTCAGGAAAACCAAGATGTTCTTCTGCCCCCCTCTGCTTTCATGGCCACAGGAACGAAGAACATGGTAACAACCTGTTGGACTTATCAGAATCCTCTCAGTGTTAAATTCAGGAAAAATGGGTTCAGTTGTTGTTTGTTCTGTTTCAAGTGTGGGAAGATGTGTTCCACAAGCTCTGCAGATGGTCCATTTATCCCTCCTGGAGAACAACAATCATCAGCTGACCCAGGTATAGTTCCTGCACTTGTCTTCTTCGGTTTATATGAAGTTTGCATGATTATCCAGTTTGAACTATTAATATGCCAAAAAGTCTTTGAGCAAGTTGCTGTTTTGCTTCTTCAAGAGGTACATCTGAGAACATCTAGTGGAGAAACTCTGGAAGAATCAGCGGCTGATTTAACTTCAACTCTTACAAGTGAGCTTTCCCTGATTCAGCTCGACATGCAGACATACCAGCAGGACAGGAAACAGCTTCGGTGAGATACCTGCAGTAACAATTTTCCAAAACATACGACACTATATCCACCTCCTGACTGAATATTTGTGTGATTGTTTTGTCAGGGCTTGGCAAAAACTGAGGCAGGTGCTGCAAAGTTGGCTGCAGACCAGCGGTCAAGATGAACAAATGGAAAAGCGTGCTGTTTGTGAGGAGCTAAAGGAAGTAAGCGGATAATTTGTTGTTGTATTATGCTCCATCACTTTAAATAAGCATATCAGAGATGAGTCTACATCACTTATGTCAAACACAGTGGCTACTGAGACGTTTCAATCAATAAGGTCTACAGAGTTTCAAACACAAGTGTTGAATTAAGAGAATGATAATTTAGTATATCTGGGATTTCTTTTAATGTTAATGGAAGATGTGTGTGAACTAAAACGTGTGAACTTGAAAGACAAACACCTGAAGTGATAAGTATTCACCTTTAATGACTTTTTTTGTATTTAAATAAGGGAACTTATAAAATAGTGTCCTGGTTTCAGTAAATTAATTACAGAGAAAATAACACACACAGACACACACAGATGTCCTCTGTTACGGTCCTCCTGTAACTTTTCTGATTTAAGTCTCCGCTTTAAATCACCAGCTTTGATAAAGTCAGAGGTCACATGAGGGGAAACTGTATGTAATCACCGACACAGTTCTTCTATCTGAGTCACAGTTAATATTTTTCGTTGACAGCTGGAGGAGCGCATCGACCACCTCTCCACTGACCTGGAAAGAAGGAAAACTATGATGAAGCTTCATGCAGAGAGGATTCAGCATTTACGGACTGTCCTTAATTTATCTGGAGTTCCTCTTCTCCATCAGAAACCAGAGGATACTCTTTGTTTACAGCGTGACCTGACATGTGCTCACACACTCCAGAACTGATTTCACCTGTTGACTTTGGCGTGTTGTTCACCTGCTTTCATTTTCTTTCTTGAAGATGTTTTTTAAAATTTAATTTATAATTCTTCTACCAGCTGTTACATACTTTCCTACAAGCTTTCTCGTTGAATTTCACATTCCTGTGTCCTCTTCATTCCAAGTATGAGGAAAAATTAAGCTAATTCACCAGAAATGTTGTTCCTTCATGTTTAATATCCAGTGAAATTAAAACTGTCATATCGACAAACGCAAAGGGCAGATTCCTTTCACAGCTACATCTGCACCGCTGCTCCACAGTAACTTTGGTTAGGGGTCGCCCGTTTAACACACAGTGCTAAATATGATCCATATGTGGGAAAGAGTGACTGAACTGTTTTCAGAGGAGCTGCCCTTGCGTAATAGATTAGCTATTCATCCGTCAGTACTAGTGCCTCTAATACTCTGGGAGGTGTATTCACAGACCAACAGAAAGCACAGCTGTCTGTTGTTCTCTGCGGACTACAGTAGACAGAGTCGGTCCACAGCAGGCCAGAATGCAAGGACTTAAAGCCGTTTTACCCTTACTCATCTTTGTCTTCTGCGTCAGGGGTAAGTTTTGTTGATGAGCCACTGAACTAACTCATGGAGTCATTTTATCAATATATTCACTCACATGTTGTAAGATATTCTTTTGTTGATATGAGATTTTGCAGACACTATTATGTGCATTATGGGAATTCAATTATATGAAGTCCTAATTTTCAGTCTCTCAACCTGTAAAAGTTGAATACCTCCTATTTTTGGTTAATAAATGCACAGAAAAACAACTAAGATTCTCAAATCTTATGTCAGCACAACTCTACATCAAGCAAACAAATAAAAAATGTAGATCATACTGTATATTGATCTTGGGATTAATTCATACCAACTGTTTGACCCCTCATTGGCACGTCAGCTAAGAAGATGCGATGGTGCACAGTGTCTGATCCTGAGCACAAGAAGTGTGCAGAGCTCGCTAAAGCTCTGGTGGCCGTACTGCCACCCGCGGCTGTGGCAGCTTTTGCCAGACTGTCATGCATTCGAGCGTCCAGCACAACTGACTGTATTGAAAAGATCAGGGTGAGTCGACTTTTTCTGGCAATGTTATTTTTGTGACAAAAAAAAAAAGTGTGCAGAGGGTTACATTTGTACAGTAGTTCATTGTCTTGACTCATGGGTGTTTAAAATTAACTTTAATTACACATCTAAGTTGATGTTTATGGTGTTATATAACAGTAGCTCTTGAAGGTCAAAAGAAAGAAAAATTCTGCAACAGGATTATCTTTTGTATAGTCATTTTATTTGCTTGTAAACACTGCAACATCAGACAAAATGACAATTTACAGCATGCTCGAAAAACAACCCTAACTTGTCAATGATGCATCTTGCTGTTTAAAGGCAGAAGGATCAAACTCTTCATCAGAAAACATTTCTACACATGGAAAAGATAGAAGAAAGAAAAAATCTATTGTTTTATTAATGGGATAATTGTCTTGGAATTTCAAAGAGTTTTTATGAAAAAATAAAAATCTGCTCTGTTTTCCTGAATTAGAGACTGGGTTGGTAGCAATATGTTGGTTGCTATCCAGTATTTTTAGCAGTTGCCAGATTGTCACTTGAGTAACCAAGTAACCAGCTCCATCTTTTAGACAGGAAGCATGTCAAATATTAACATGACTGTGTTTTTTAAAGACACAAATATCCCGCAATACCTCTAGCCCAAACCAAAATAACACAGACAAAGCTCAGACAAATCCTCTGCAACTTTTAAGACACTTTTTTTTCCCTTCCAGCCATATTATTGAATTTCCCTTCGGGCATTAATAAAGTTCCTCTTATTCCTCTTCTTTATTACTATGCAGAAACTACAGGACAAGACAAAGCCACCGACATGTTGTGTTTTCCTTAAAACAGCTGTCATGATTGAATAAATGTGCTTCATTAAAATGTCTTGAGCTGATAGAGAACACTTTCTTGATTTAATTACATGTTTAGCATATGCAGCTGTGTTTATATGGCATTGTTACAGTGCTGCTCTAAATCGATGATTAAATATCAGTAACATGTGGGAAAATGAAAAGCTTTGAATTCCACCTGGATGAGTCATTATCGACTTGTAAATATAATCTGTCCTGGGGGAGTTTTTATGTGTCTTGAAAGATGTTTGAACCCTGAATACCAACATCATTAGAAAATTTCTGTCATTACCCTTTAGTTTTATGTTTCAGGCTAACCGCGCTGATATCGTGACATTAGATGCAGGAGAGATTTACTCCGCTGTGAAGCAGTTTGGCCTTGTTGTCGTCGCCAAAGAGATATACAGTGACGGTAGGTTGACTCCACATCTCTGAGGCTCTTCACCGTGTCTTTACAGAACTACTACTGTCTGTGTCCATGTGTCTCATCCTGCAGGAGGCTGTATTCTGTCAGTGGCTGTGGTGAGAAACAGCAGTGTGGATATTCGCTCTCTGCAGGGCCACAGGAGCTGTCACAGCGGGGCTCGGTGGACGGCTGGGTGGAGCCTTCCTCTAGGCTTCCTGCTGTCCCGCAACTACCTGAGCTGGTCAAAAGAGCAGCTGCTCAGTCAGGGTAATGAACAGTTTCTGCAGTGTGGAGGTTTCTTCTTTCTCTTTTGTCATTTCTTGCCTCTTGTTTTCCCCCTCTTGAGCAGACGTCAGTACCTTTTTCAGTGGCAGCTGTATTCCTGGAGCTGCTGCCATGGCTCCAGCTTTGTGTACTCTGTGCCAAGGCCAGAAGTCCTACATCCGGCAGAAGAATTACCATTGTGAAACATCTCATAGTGAGCCATTCTACAACAGCCAAGGGGCCCTCAGGTTAGGCACATCAGTAAGATATTAATATGTGATGCACATTTTCTGTGACTCCACCATATGAAGAGTCATAACAGCTCAGGCATTAAATTCACTTTTCCTCCGTGGCCTGCTCACAGATGCCTCAGGAGTGGGACAGGCGACGTCGCATTTGTGGATCATTTAGCTCTTGAGAGTATTGAAGGTAAACGATCTGTACCATCAGTACACGTTTATTAAGTTGTTTTTTTTTTTTACTGCATATTGTCTCTCATGTCTCTTGCTTTTTAATCCTCTCTCAGCTCTTCACTGTCTCACTTCACTATGAGTTTGAACATTAAATATCTTGTTTTTGTAGTGTATTCAATTGAATATAGGTTGAAAAGGATTTGCAAATTATTGTATTCTGTTTTTTATTTACGTTTATCACAATTTCCCAACTTCAATGGAATTGGGTTTTGTACTTTAAGAATTCACTGGTCAACAACACAAGTCACTCCTAATGGGTACCATCCTCTGTTCTCTCAGGCAGCGATAGAGACCAGTTCCGGTTACTGTGTACTGATGGCACTCAGGCTCCCATCAGCCACTACAGAACCTGTAACCTGGGTCGAGGTCCAGGAGCGGGCATGGTCACCAGAGCTAACTTTCGCAAGACTGCTCGCAAATTCCTAACAACAGCTCAAGTACACTTGCACACTCTGAGTCCCACACGTACCCCCGTTTTTTTGTCTTTTTAATCAGTATTAAAGGTTTTTCATTCTTGTTCAGACGCTTTTCGGCCCGCGAGGAAGAGAGAGGCAACGCTTCCAGCTCTTTAACTCGTCTTCTTTTGGAGAAAATGATCTTCTCTTTAAAGATGTGACAGATAAACTGTTTGTTTTGCCAGACGACATGGATGTCAGTCAGGTGCTGGGGCTGGATTATGTGGCTCTTCTTAAAGGTCTCGGACATGAAGGTAATACTTGGTAAAAACACTAATACTTGTATGTGGTTGTTTGTGATTTCACTGAGTTTTTTAACTTGTGTTTGTGTGTGTAGGAAGTTCCCTTGAGGACAGTGTTGTGCGGTGGTGCTGTATCAGCTACGCAGAGCAGAAGAAATGTGAGCAGTGGGCTCTCAGTATAAAGTCAGACCCACTGGTGTGTGTCAGAGCTGTCTCAATGCGTGAATGTATTGAGAAAATTAAGGTATGTCCTTCAAGTACTTTAAAAAAAACCAAATATTTGGGAATAAGTATTTTAAAAGACTAAAAAAAACAAAAATATATTTGATTTGTATCATTGCACATTTTACTGCAGAGAGATGAGGTAGATGCTGTCTCGCTGGATGCGACTCACACTTTCATCGCAGGGAGATGTGGTCTGGTTCCCGTCGTTACTGAATATTATGGTAAGACTTTTTCTCAATAAATACTCAGATTTCATATGCAGAAAAGAGACTAAATGTTGTTGAACCCTTTTTCTACTCTACTCTGTTACTTCCAAAAACAACTTTTGCACCGACCATATTTTTTTTAAATAAAGACAAATCAGTTCATAGGTGTAGAAATAATATAGTCATTGAAAAACTGGCCTGGATGCATTTCCACCTTATTAAAAAAAAACAAAAAAAACCTGGTCCATCATGACACTTTAATACAGCAAGAGGGACCCCTCGCTGTTGAGCAGCTGAAATCCGAAATCTGGCAATAACAGAGTGAAATTGTTCTTCATAACCTTCCTCTAATACAGGAAAGAACCTTCAGACTTACCAAGTTGATTCTGAACCAATATTTAGATTTTTTTTTAATTTCAAGTTATTTGTTAAAGATCGCCAGATGAATGATCACAATAGAAAAACACTGATCCTGTCGTGTTTCCTCTAAACTCTCAGAGAAAGAAAGAAAATGTGTTCCTGCTGAGGGATCGACTCACTTAGAGACAGATGGTAAGAGGCTGATGTCAACAACCAACAATCCTTGCATCTCATGTGATTATTACCTTTACATTCAAACTGTGTGTCTCACCTCAGTGCTGCCCTCTGTGGTGGCCGTGGCCGTGGCAAAGCGTTCTAGCAGGAGCATTTTTATCGGAAACCTGGGAGGGCGCCGCTCCTGTCATGGCCACATGTACAGTCCTGCAGGCTGGCTGCTGCCGTACAGACACACACTGAGTCTAGAGCACAACAGCAGCTCCCCCTGTGACCCAGACCAAGGTACTGTTGTAAGGGATTAAACTTTATATCCTCGTCTTTGTGACTTTTTGTGACCCCTCATGTTATCTGTCATTCTAAACTCAGCACATTATTTCAAGCAGCCTCTCTTTGTACCTTCAGTGTACAACAGTGTGTTTTGGAAAGGCTGTCTTCCCGGCTCTCAGGGGAACCTGTGTAAAGTATGTATGGGAGGCACAGGGGAGGCTGCCACCAAACGCTGCGCTGACAACCACAATGAGCGTTACTATGGCAACATGGGTGCTTTAAGGTAAGGCTTTTTGGTCATATGTGATTGCTGCTGCACAACATTTTGATAGCTGCTGTTCAGTTAAGTAATCCTTCCATTAGATCAGGGGTGTCAAACTCAATTGCACAGGGGGCCAAAATTCAAAACACACTTCAGGTCGCAGGCCGAGCAGAATAAACATTTGTTGAACACACTAAAACAAAATGTTTTTTTAACACAAATATGAAAACAAACAGACAGGAATTTTATTCTGGAATAAATAAACTTAAATTTAAAATAACTTAAAATGTCTTGCTCTCCATAAAAATATATCCAGTCAAAATTATATAAGTTATATAAATATATATAAATATAAAATAAATATGAACATGCTGCAAAAAAAATGCCTGAAAAAATAAAGAAAAATTGTTACAGTGCTTGTGCTTTAAGTAAAAAACGTCTGCTGAAATGTCAGCTTCTTCTTTAACTCTTCTACTTTCTGTATCTTCTGCTCTGCATTCAGGTCTTTCAGGTTATCCTGATGTTTTGTCTCATAGTGCCGTCTTAGATTAAACTCTTTAAGTACAGCCACATTAGCGCCACAAATGAGACAAACGGGCTTACCGGCAATGTCAGTGAACATATACTCAGCCTCCCGGCGATTATGAAAGGCTCTGTTTTCAGAATCAACTTTTCTCTTAGGCATCATGAGGGGCTAGCTTCGCAGTAACTAGCAGCAACAGGCACTTGAGCTGATTGACTCGGAAAGCGCTGGGCAAGGCAGCTGAAGCACTGCATTATGGGATCTGTAGTTTATTGTGTTACCAGCGCTTTATACCGTCGGGCCATTCGTAACAATAATATAAAATGATCTCGCGGGCCGGACATAATTGCATGCCGGGCCGGATGTGGCCCGCGGGCCTTGAGTTTGACATATATGCATTAGATGCTTGTTAGGCAGTGAGTAATCATTAACAGATAATAACTGCCGACAGTGCTGATAAAAGGGGTTGATGATGTGTCGTCAAATAATAGCTTATATACGCTCTAATTATATGCTTAAATATGCTAAACTTGGATGATGTTCAAAAATGTACTTGTTCAAGAATGTATGTGTGTAATAAACTTGGTTTTGTACGTGCTTGTTCATGTACTTTTTAAAGTATGTACTCTTTCAAGCATTAACTTGGTCAAGTATGTACTTGTTTAGGGAGTACACTTTTAAGTATTTACTCGGTCAAGAAAGTAATGGTTTAGGTATGTACTTGTTCAAGTATTTACTTGTTTAAGTAGGTACTCTTTCAAATATTTACCTGGTCAAGTATGTACTTGTTAAGGTATCTACTCTTTCAAATATTTACTTAGTCAAGTATTTACTTGGTCAAGAATATTCTTGGTCAAGAATATGCACAATATTCTTGGTCAAGTATGTACTTGGTCAAGTTTGCGCTTGTTAAAGTATGTACTCTTTCAAACTTGTTTAAGTATGTACCCTTTCAAATATATACTTAGTCAAGTATGTTCTTCTTTCAGTATGTACTTGTTTAGGAAGTACTCTTTCAAGTATTTACTTGGTCAAGTTTGTACTTGTTGAAGTGTGTACTCTTTCAAGTATTTACTTGGTCAAGTATGTACTTTTTTAAGGATGTACTTGGTCAAGCACATACTTGTTTAAGTATGCACTAGTTCAAGTATTTACTTGGTCAAGTATGTACTCGTTTAAAGTATGCACTTGGTCAAGTACATACTTGTTAAAGTATGTACTTGGTCAAGTATGTACTTGTTTAAGTTTGGACTTGGTCAAGTACGTACTTCTTAAAGTATGTACCCTCAAGTACATACTTGTTTAAGTATGCTCTAGTTCAAGTATTTACTTGGTCAAGTATGTACTCGTTTAAGTATGCACTTGGTCAAGTACATACTTGTTAAAGTATGTACTTGGTCAAGTATGTACTTTTTAAAGTATGTACTCTTTCAAGCATTAACTTGGTCAAGTATGTACTTGTTTAGGGAGTACACTTTTAAGTATTTACTCGGTCAAGAAAGTAATGGTTTAGGTATGTACTTGTTCAAGTATTTACTTGTTTAAGTAGGTACTCTTTCAAATATTTACCTGGTCAAGTATGTACTTGTTAAGGTATCTACTCTTTCAAATATTTACTTAGTCAAGTATTTACTTGGTCAAGAATATTCTTGGTCAAGAATATGCACAATATTCTTGGTCAAGTATGTACTTGGTCAAGTTTGCACTTGTTAAAGTATGTACTCTTTCAAACTTGTTTAAGTATGTACCCTTTCAAATAGGCCTGGACGATATAGAAAAAAAGCATATCGATAAAAAATAAATCATATTGATCGATATCGATAATTATCGATATAATTATTATAATTATTTAACATATATTTTAATTGCAGCCCTGGATGTTTTATGCTATTGCTTAATGACCTACTTTTAAAAAAGAACACACAAGCACTGAATTCAAATCTAAACCTTTATTCAACCACCTTTTTTTTTTTTTACCACAACTGAAAGTTTTTTAAGAAAGAACTTAAAAAAAAAAAGAAATCAACTTAAGTGGCCTGAGTGATGTCAGTAAATACTGACAAACATAAAGACTAAAGTGACCAGAAAATCTGATAAATAAATACTTAAATAGTCTTTTGATGAAAATAAACAAAACAAACAAATATATAAATAAACAGAATAGCCTTAGGTGGGAATAGCATACTACCAGTTTTAACTGTGTGGGAAACTGCCCACAGCCTGGTGTCTGAACACTGAAATATTTCTCCCGGGGTCGGGAGATTTATCTTTTTTAATTATCATGTGATTGACTTAATACACAAACTGAGCACGAGAAGCAGGACTTATCCACGCCGGTGTTCTGTCGTAGAATGCACCCCTGCCGAATGCCCCCCCTGCTAGTAGCCATGATCCAAATACTCGCGTCTTTGTAAAATATGAGCTCATTTTCTTCCACTTTAAGAAGCTAATGAGTGGACGGGATGCAGGGGTGCATTCTACGGAACAACACCGGAACGTATTTCCTCCGCACCCTTCTCAACTTTTCTACCCCTGACCCATTTTCATGCCTGAAGCGCTGTGTTTGAGAAATACTTGCGGCCGGGCACTTCATATCGCGGGTCAAGAGTGGCTGGAAGCTGTTTGCAGCCAGGCTTTTCAACGGTAGTTATTGGCAGTATGTCCCTCGCTATGGAGCATGTTACTGCATGGGTGATGTCCTTATGCCGCTTGGACGCTTTGTCGTATTTTGACAAGAAACGAAGTCCAGTTTGGTCTGCTTCACATGCTTTGTGCTGGTGCTGGCAGCGGTTCCAGAGGATTCCTCCGACGACGACGACGTGGAGCCGCGGCGCGGCCGACACTGCTCGTACTCCTGCGGCTGCGATCGGTTTAGATGGTAAAACAAGTTGGTTGTGTTACCAGACTTGGTTTTTACTAATTCTCTGCAAATTTTGCAAACGACCGCTGTTCGCTTTTTGTCAGACTTCCAAAAACCAAAACATTGCCATGCTGGTGAACTACTGAAACCTTTTCGGGACAATGTCCTCCGCTTCTCCTTGCTGTAACATTTTTTCTAATACACGTGCTGTCTGTTGTGGTTTGAGAGGGGCTGGGCTTGGTGCCGTAGCGTACCTGGGTCTGCGTTTGTGATTGGTTTGGAGGAAGTAATGACTGTAGTAACAGCTACATGATAGGCTATGATGAAAAAGAAAGGGAAACTGTGTTTCTCTATCGAACTTTTTATCGACCCGTTTTTTTTCTATCGCACCACACGTCTATCGATCGATATATATTGTTATCGAATTATCGTCCAGCACTACTTTCAAATATATACTTAGTCAAGTATGTTCTTCTTTCAGTATGTACTTGTTTAGGAAGTACTCTTTCAAGTATTTACTTGGTCAAGTTTGTACTTGTTGAAGTGTGTACTCTTTCAAGTATTTACTTGGTCAAGTATGTACTTTTTTAAGGATGTACTTGGTCAAGCACATACTTGTTTAAGTATGCACTAGTTCAAGTATTTACTTGGTCAAGTATGTACTCGTTTAAAGTATGCACTTGGTCAAGTACATACTTGTTAAAGTATGTACTTGGTCAAGTATGTACTTGTTTAAGTTTGGACTTGGTCAAGTACGTACTTCTTAAAGTATGTACCCTCAAGTACATACTTGTTTAAGTATGCACTAGTTCAAGTATTTACTTGGTCAAGTATGTACTCGTTTAAATATGCACTTGGTCAAGTACATACTTGTTAAAGTATGTACTTGGTCAAGTATGTACTTTTTCAAGTATGTACTTGTTTAAGTATGCACTTGGTCAAGTATGTACTTGTTAAAGTATGCACTTGGTCAAGTATGCACTTGTTGAAGTATGTACTTGTTAAAGGATGTACTTGGTCAAGTACGTACTTGTTTAAGTGTGCACTTGTGCAAGTATTTACTTGGTCAAGTTTGTACTTGTCTTAGTATGCACTTGGTCAAGTACGTACTTGTTAAAGTATGTACTCTCAAGTATTTACTTGGTCAGGTATGTACTTAGTTTAGAATGTACCTCTTTTTTAAGTATTAACTCAGTCAAGTATGTGCTTGTATGTTCCCATTTATCCCTAACTATTATTTCATTCTGACATTTATTACCAAAGGTGTCTAGTCGGAGATCCAAGTGGTAAAAGCTTTGGTGATGTTGCCTTTCTTGAGCAGCACAATCTTCAGGCCAACATTCTCAGTGAGATATTCAAGATGAAGATTTGACATGAACACACACATTGACACTGATTTCTACGATATTGTAATTTTACTGTGTCACAATATCTGGTTGTTCCTGGCCAGGTTTGAGCTCCACAGGTTGGGCAGATGGATGGACAGCTTCAGAGTTTGAGCTGCTGTGTGGCGATGGTCGGCGGGCTCCGCTGTCTGAGTGGGAAAGCTGTAACCTAGGAATCGTCCCACCAAACACCGTCATGACACGACCTGTGCTCACAGCCAGAGTGTACGACTTCCTGATGAAGTCACAGGTAAGCTCTTGAGATGGGTTTAAAATACGGTTTTCTTCTTTCCCACAAAAAGAAAACAAAATAGATTCACTGTCTTTTCACCTTAATAGAAGAGCCTCGGAACAGTCATTTTTTTATTGAATTGGTAACTATCTAATGTTGTATTTACTTCTTTGAAATGTTAAACATAAAGAGGTGTTAATGTTTAATTTCAATCATTCAGGAAACTTTGGCAGCCAACCCAAACACAGAGTTCAAGCTCTTTGAGTCTCAGCAGTATGGAGAAAGTGATCTACTGTTCAAAGACGCAACTCAGTGTTTTGTCCACACCAGCCACATGACTGCCCGCTCCATCCTCGGAGGCGAGTTCTACAGTCACATAGAAAGCGTTTTCAACTGCACACACTCTGGTAAGACTACAATCGTATGCCCATGCTTAATTGTCAGAATAATCAATCCAACAACTACATATTTAATAATGCTGATAATAACATGTTTTCATTTACCACAGATATCCTGGAGTTTTGTAATCAAGACATATGCAGCATATTCGAATAGACATCGTGGCAGTATTAGCCTCTGATGCAGTCCTCTATCCACAAACGTGTTTTCATTTTCACCAGACTAGTTCAGTCTACCACCTCAAAATAAACTGATTCAAATTACAGTTACAGACCAGACTGACTGACCTTTAAATAACCCTTATTTCTCTTCAGTCTTTCTGTTGTTTTCATCCATTTTTCTTGTGTCGAAAAGCCTAAATGAACTTGTTAAAAAACTCTCATCTTTTTAGACAAACTACAAATAAAGCCTGGTAGAAATTAACTGTGTTTTATAGATGACGGTGATACTAAAACACCAGACTGAACTTGTATGTATATGGGTGAATGGTGTAAATCAGTAAGTGTGAAATATTAAAGTTTTATCATTTAAAGATTTTACATGTGTGTGGCATCATCTGTAACATTCTGATTCACACAGTATAGTTTTGTATTTGATCATAGGTGTTAAAATGAATGAATAAAACGAGGGTTGGGACATTTAAGCTTTGGTTGTTACTGTTGTAAAATTGTTTTTAGGGTCTGTTAGACAAATAAGTCTCAACCCTGAATAATTAAAGTTTTGCAAATACTTTGAAAGGGCCTCCAGGATTGTAAACAGAAATTTTGTCATTAAAGCATTGGTTTGAAGAAAGTTATTCTGTCGTCTTGTTTTGTAGTAACTGCATGTAAACAAACCTTTTACTCGCGTTTATCTCAGAGTTTTGGAAATGATGTAAATTCAAGTTTAAATATTTTTATTATAACTTATAAAAGTCAACAACACAACTGATTATTTTTATCATGTAGTTTTTTCGTGACTAGCTCCTGAAAGGGGGGAGGTGTCTAACAGTTGACAGGCACTCGGCAAAGCTTCGGGACATCATCGGACTACAACTCCCAGAATACAGCGCGAACGTGTTTGGTGTAACTTTGAAACTGGCATTTCCTGTTCTGTTTCTGAAAAGGATAAGGTTCCCGTGTTATGTCAGCTATTTGACTTGTAATGACATTTAACATAACACATATAAGCTCCTGACACTGTGTTACAACCGACGGTTAAACTGTATTTGCCACTTTCCACTTTATTAAGGTAAAGAAGTAAGACAAACAAAGTTAGCTTGCTTGCTAGCTGCTATTGTTATGTCGGTATGCTGTTTGTTTACGTTACCGGTTCAAATGTATTCCCTCGGAAAGTTCTCATTTAAGTTTGTCTTGTTGTGTTTCGGCTATTTCCTGTCAGTAATATCCTTTTTTTCCCACGTTAACTCCTTTGAGCACATCGTAATGTTATTAAAAGCAGTGTTGGGCGAATAGGACAACATGACATTAGGACTCGGTCAGCTGATTGGAAATACACAGAGGTCTGTTATTGCCTCTCGTGTAGGGCTGGGCGACAAAACGATAACGATATGTATCGAAATTTAATTTCCCTCGATATCAATATAAAAGATGGTTGATATGCTTTTCGATAGTTGTCATTCTGCCATGTTTTGGTAGACTATACAATGAAAAGGGGAGTTGCCCCAGTTCCGCTTTGCGCAGAACTAATCGTGTTGAATTAGAACCAAGTAGCGAACAACTGCGTAGTAGCAGGCTGCAGCTACACGCAATCATAGCACTTTAACACATGAAGCCGACAGCACTGCAAACCCTGAGCGAAGCAAGGAGCCCATGGCACCTGTACAGCCGACCATTTAGTTCACTTTCTCTAGTGCAACGCCTCACGACAAAATGTCAAAGAGACATGAAGACTTGACAGATGCAGTAGCTTATTGTATTTCAAAAGACATGCTGCAATAAGCACTGTTAAATTTCACTTTTTATATTGTGATGTACATCGGTATTGACTGATATGAAAAAATATATACAGTATATTGTGATAAACTGTTTCCCATATCGCCCAGCCCTACTCTCAGGTGAAGAGAAGAGGTCACAAATAACTATCAGATTAATTTTGTTTAATAACATCAGTATCTTTGTGTTTGTTTCACTGTAGATGAGACTGCCTTGGCAGATCCTCTCCCTGCACTCAGCACCTGTGAGGTGGGCATCCTCAGTCCCTGCAGGTGTGGTGAGTTTCGTCCCAGTCTGCAGCTCCACTGACCCTCAGTCCAGAGAGCTGCTGCAGGATTTTGTGTCCAGATCCACTCGCCTGTTAGTCATCACAGGAGCAGGACTCTCCACAGAGTCAGGGATCCCAGATTACCGCTCAGAGGGCGTCGGGCTGTATGCCCGCACTGATAGGAGACCCATGCAGCATGTTGAGTTCCTCCGCAGCGCAAAGTCCCGTCAACGCTACTGGGCCAGAAACTTTGTCGGCTGGCCGCAGTTTTCCTCCCATCAGCCAAACTCTGCACACAGGGTCCTGCAGAGGTGGGAGGAAAGGGGCAAAGTACACTGGCTGGTCACACAGAATGTGGATGCTCTTCACTCAAAGGCAGGACAGAAAAAGCTGACGGAGCTCCACGGATGTGCCCACAGGTGAGAAAACATAGATACTAAAATCCCACAGGTGTTGTATACCTAGATTTTGTCCTGGGGTTGCTTTTTTGTCTAGCATGATGAACAATTTAAAAGAAAAACAAAATGATGTACAGTCACGTTTTTTGATTTAAAGGCATCATCATAAGATGATGCCTTTAAATCAGATCATAACAAATTTACAGTAGACCTACATGATTTAGTGACTAAAACCTCCTTTATTTTATTGGTTTGGCGTTTCTAACAAACGGACAGAGTTACTTGCTGTCTCCACTTGAGTGAGGCGACATCAGAAACTCATTTCCATCTACAGTCAGCGTTAGAGAACATTAATACATCAAACCGAAACTCTTAAAACCAAGTGTTAAAGACAACATGTTTTGTCATTTTGGTGAATTGCCTCTTTAAGTTACCGCTCAATGGCTGTCAACCAAATATATCAAAGATGGAAGTAAATGCTGACATTCCCCGTGTGTCTTCAGGGTGATGTGTTTAGGCTGCGGTGGCATCACAGCGAGGGAGGAGCTCCAGAAACGATTCATAGCTCTGAACCCAGACTGGAGTGTGCAGGCGGGTGGCGTGGCCCCTGACGGTGACGTCTTCTTAGAGGACGAGCAGGTCCTCCATTTCAGGGTCCCCTCATGTGAGGAATGTGGAGGAATACTAAAGCCTGAAGTCACATTTTTTGGGGACACAGTGAACAAAGCAACTGTACAGTTTGTGCACGATAGACTGGCAGAGTCGGATGCGGTGCTAGTGGTGGGGTCGTCGTTACAGGTAGGTTTGAAGGGAAAAAAAAAACTCAAGCGCATCATTCAAGATATGATCTTTTATTACAAAAGTATCCTTTATTTATGTATTTAGCTAGTTAGTTATTTTAATGGTGTCTGTCTCCTCTTTTCCCAAGGTTTATTCAGGATACCGGTTTTTACTGGCGGCAAATGACAGGAAAATGCCAGTTGCCATCTTGAACATTGGGTCGACGAGGGCAGACCACCTGGCTCAGCTGAAAGTGAGCGGCCGCTGTGGTGAGGTGCTGTCAGACATTCAGCCTCTCTGACCGTCATGGATATCCAGTTTGGATTTTCTGTTTTCGAGATGTTCAAAACTACCTCAGAGCAAGATTTATAAAAGGAGCTAAATCATCCCTGGGTGGATCTTGACTGCTCTGCCACATGTATTTTCAAAGCAGGACAAAAATAAACACTTCTTACACTACTTTATGCAGGATGATATCATTTTAAAATATGAGTTACACATTGAACTTGAACTATAAATGTTCAGGGGATTCCTATCCTGGTTCTTTCAGGAGACACTGAGAGATTTCAGCTAATTATACTGTATTTGGTATCTCAGATTATGTGCAGTACATGTTGCAGCGTATGTTGTTCACTGTCTGGAGGCTCTGAGTAGAAGATCAAGGTTAGTAGCAGTCGGTGTTGCTGTCAAATAATGGATTACCCTCATTAGAAATCTGATCATAGTCAGTAGAATTGGATCTTTTTTCCTTTAAATTGTTTATATTCAATATAGGCTTTCAGTGAAGCTGCAGATTGTGTTTTACCCGATTCAAATGTATATATTTAGTATATAATCTTGGAGAGTGAGAGTCTATAAGAAGGAGTGAGCTGTCTCAGACCATGAACAGAAAGTGACTGGATGAAATCTGATCAAATCTTACTACCTCCGATGTAATAAGACTGTACATGAGAGCGAATAAAGAATGACAAGACTGAATGAACCAGACTTTTTTTTTTAATTGAAGAAAACATCACTTATAAAAGTAAGAGTGGAAACTAATATAAAAATTTAAGCTGTCTGCAATTTGCTTCAAGGAGCACCTGGATTTTCTGTATCTCTTTAAGTGTGTTCTTTACCCGAACTCTGTTCAGTTTCCCCTGGATCAAGTGGAACCAAATACAAGGTTGAAACAAGAATCTAGAACAAGCTAAGAGCATAAAAAGGAGTACAGCCTGAGCCTTCAGAGCCCTCTTGCTGGTGATTGCTGTACAACAAATCTTAAAGCCTTTCTCCTCCATTATGACAGATGGGACACGGGTCTGTCTGGACAACTTTGATCACATCATATTCAAGTTTTCAAACATGTTTTTCTGTCATGAAGTTAGTTCCTACCCTGACACTAGAGTTGATCCACACCCTCCTTGGTCAACGTTTAAGTGTCCACAGGGTACCATAAGCCAGATTTTACAGATAAATAATTGTTGATGATGGATACGAAGAGAAACCCACAGGACCACGGTCCATGTTGATCAATAGAAGACTTTTAACTCTTATCTGTCTATAGATTATGATCTTGATACTCCTATAGATCTTACCTCGCATTTGTATCGTGGGTTGCACTAGTTGATGCAAGAATAAAGGTAGGATCATTCTCTTTTCCCCTGTTTCAATAAAATAGTTTAATGGGTAACACTTTATTTGACGCCTATCTCTATGAAGTATTGTAGATACACTCACCGGCCACTTTATTAGGTACACCTGTCCAACTGCTCGTTAACACTTAATTTCTAATCAGCCAATCACATGGCGGCAACTTAGTGCATTTAGGCATGTAGACATGGTCAAGACAATCTCCTGCAGTTCAAACCGAGCATCAGTATGGGGAAGAAAGGTGATTTGAGTGACTTTGAACGTGGCATGGTTGTTGGTGCCAGAAGGGCTGGTCTGAGTATTTCAGAAACTGCTGATCTACTGGGATTTTCACGCACAACCATCTCTAGGGTTTACAGAGAATGGTCTGAAAAAGAAAAAATATCCAGTGAGCGGCAGTTCTGTGGGCGGAAATGCCTTGTTGATGCCAGAGGTCAGAGGAGAATGGCCAGACTGGTTCGAGCTGATAGAAAGCCAACAGTGACTCAAATAACCACCCGTTACAACCAAGGTAGGCAGAAGAGCATCTCTGAACGCACAGTACGTCAAACTTTGAGGCAGATGGGCTACAGCAGCAGAAGACCACACCGGGTGCCACTCCTTTCAGCTAAGAACAGGAAACTGAGGCTACAATTTGCACAAGCTCATCGAAATTGGACAATAGAAGATTGGAAAAACGTTGCCTGGTCTGATGAGTCTCGATTTCTGCTGCGACATTTGGATGGTAGGGTCAGAATTTGGCGTCAACAACATGAAAGCATGGATCCATCCTGCCTTGTATCAACGGTTCAGGCTGGTGGTGGTGGTGTCATGGTGTGGGGAATATTTTCTTGGCACTCTTTGGGCCCCTTGGTACCAATTGAGCATCGTTGCAACGCCACAGCCTACCTGAGTATTGTTGCTGACCATGTCCATCCCTTTATGACCACAATGTACCCAACTTCTGATGGCTACTTTCAGCAGGATAATGCGCCATGTCATAAAGCTGGAATCATCTCAGACTGGTTTCTTGAACATGACAATGAGTTCACTGTACTCAAATGGCCTCCACAGTCACCAGATCTCAATCCAATAGAGCATCTTTGGGATGTGGTGGAACGGGAGATTCGCATCATGGATGTGCAGCTGACAAATCTGCGGCAACTGTGTGATGCCATCATGTCAATATGGACCAAGCTCTCTGAGGAATGCTTCCAGCACCTTGTTGAATCTATGCCACGAAGAATTGAGGCAGTTCTGAAGGCAAAAGGGGGTCCAACCCGTTACTAGCATGGTGTACCTAATAAAGTGGCCGGTGAGTGTATATGTATAATGCGTTATAATCACGTTATGGCAGTGTATAACTATAGTTATAAACACTCTTAACTGATCATAATGCTTTATAGCAATAATCATAACACATTTTTGTAGCAAAAGCAACTTTGTTCAAGTCAAACAAAACACACATTTTTTTTTATAGAGGTCTCTTTAATTAGATTTTATGTCATTACGTAGATTGCATGTGTCTGCCATGATCTGAATACCACTGCACATCCAGAAATAAACAGCTCATTAAATAAAGTTCAAAGAGGTAACAAAAAACTAACAGTTTAGTTCGTAGAAAACATGTTCGCATCACAAACAGACTGAGGGCAGAGTGACTGTGGACTGACAAACAGTGAGAGCCTTCAGGACATTTTGCTGCTGAAACTTCTCCTGTAAACAAAGCCTCCAGTTTTCCAGTTCTGACTGCAATTCTTCTAACAGATTAGTGGGAACGCTGAAGGAGTATAGACAACATCTGTGATCCAATGTACCCGCCTGCCATGTTGCTGATGCTGAAGTCACCGTCAGGGGAGTCATAGACAGACAGTTTTCGAAGCTTCTGGCCTGGTCAAACCAGTATGTGATGGGGTATCCCAATAAAAGACCAAACACCGTGCAGAGGTTCCATTCCTCTGATCTTTCTCCGACATAATGAGGTTTTTCAGCCTCTTTCAGGGTTTCGATCTCTTTGAGGAGAAGATGCAAACCCTCTGTCAAACTCCTCAGCTCTGCTCCGCAGGGGTCAGCGATGGTGGGCTTCTCCAGAGAGTGGCATACGTCAATCACAGACACATTTCTGTGACAGATCAGCTGCTCTACATTCAGTCTGGCTGAAACTGGATTTACAATGAGAGTGTTTCCATTTAAATCCAGTGTGATGAGTGATTTGGACAGAAGTTGGGAAGACTGCAAAGAGCTCAAATACTGCTGCAGCTGGTCTGCACTTGCACTATTGCTGTCATACAGTAAAGCAGGTTTCAACCCCAAATCTACGGCCAAGATCTGAGCAGCCAGGTCCAGACTCTGAGACACAGACAGGGATTTTCTACCAGCAGACAAGAATTTACGGGCTGCAGCAACAAAGAGCTCCTGAGTGGACATGGCAGTCACATTAAATGATGAAAGTTCCTCAAAAAAGATCTGGTTCGCAGCCTTCGTTTGGTTTTAGGATTTAAATCAAAGATATTTCAGAATCTATGGCTGACCAAAACATGAAAAAAGATGATGACTGAATATCAATATTTCTCTAGAGGCCGATTACAATGATGTCAAACAGGATATTTTACAGAGAAGTCAAACAACATGATTTCTTTTTAAGGTGTAAGTAGTCACATAAATCATGTCCTTTGCTTTGCTTTGTTGGTCCAAAACACCTGAAAGGACAAAAACAACATGTCAACAGTTGGAACAAGTGAATCCTAATCACAAAATAAAAGATGGGCTGGTGCATCACTTCAAAGTGAATTTAAGAAATGATGCGCTTACCGTCATCCCAGTGGTAGGTGGTGATGTGTTTTAACACGGCTATGTAACAGGCTGAGGAGACATCAGGTCAAAGTCTGAGAGATTTCTCGCAACCCAAACACCAGCTGCAAACAAACCCAGGTTGACCAGAAGATTCCTAAAGAGAAAACAAAAAGAGCATGGTGTCAGGAAAATAGTTAAACAGTAACAGTACGATCTAGAGCCCTCTCTAGCATTTTCTAACATGTATGACACTGCATTTTAAAGAAAACGGAACCTCACTAGGACAATACAGTCTGGATTAGAAAGGTCAAGTATCTAGATTCTAGATCCAATGTGGTCTACTCTTGATAGGAAAAGGCTGTAAAACTAATTTAATCAAAATGTTATACTAATCCACCCCATATGTTCATGCTAGGACTGGGCGATATATCGATATAAGAAATATATCGATATAAGAAATATATCGATATATTTTTAAATGAGATATTGAATTGGACCATATCGCATATATCAATCCACAGATATCAGATGCTGTTGTTGACAGGCTGGTGTTTCTCACACAAAATCTTTAAACAAAGAAGGACACACTTAGTAGAAGTAGAAGTAGAAGTAATCAGGGGAAGTAGAATGACCGAATGTGGAGCTAAACGCAGAGCTGAGGGCAGCAAAATACATGTCAGCCATGACTTTAAGTCATCCTCCAAAGATGTTATTGTTGAGAAGTTATTCAACGTCAGTTGTGTGGTGGTGGTTCAGGTATCTCCAAAGTGACGTCGGGCAATTAAGCCGATGTGTCAGGTATGTCGGCGGTCGGTGCCCTCAAAAACCAGCAACACATCAGATTTGTTTAATCATTTAAAGAAGTTCTTCCTGAGTGATTATGCGGAAAGCATGAAAATGCGAGCAGAGTCTGTACAGCCTGTTACTGCTGATGACACTAGTAGCATTAGCAGTTTAGCCACAACTACCAGTGCAGCTGCCAGATCAAATCAGCAATCAATCATATCATCTACGTTTACATTTTAAGGCATCTTCATTATCTCTAAAGGGGCAGTTTTGGGTCTTGCATACCTGTAAACTAATTCACTGTATTATTTAGTATTTATCTACATTTGTTTTACTGTTGAGTTAAAGTATATCTTATTTGATTTGCTTTGTTTACTTTGTATGTCAATAAAATGTTGAACTAATCTCTAGTGTCTTTAGTTTTTAGTACAGATGCTTTAAAACAGGCAGTTTAAAAAAAATCGTGACAATAATCAAGATCGGACGATATGACAAAATATATTGTGATCATTTTCTTTGCCAAATTGCCCAGGCCTACGCCCAGCCCTAGTCCATGCCATAACATCTCATCACAGAAGTGAAAAACCTGACTTGTTTTTTGAAACAGGGTCTCATTAAAGGCGGTCATCCAGAGTCTGGTATTAAGAAGGACCTACGAAGGTCATGGGTTTGAATCATTTAATGTGATGGTGCAGATCTGAGTGATTTAACTTCGAGTTTACCTAAACCTTATGTGCTCTCTGAAGTTCTACACTCTGTTTTGTTTCTTTAGTTTACAGTTTAATGCTAAAGCTGAAGGATGATGAGAATAAATACTTCATACACGAGACAAGCGGAACGAGGCGAGGCCAAATCCGCGTGGTGGTGGCGTGTTAGCTACAAGGACAACGACCACATCGTCCAGTTTATCACTTTATCCACAATAACTCACCTTCTGAAGTCGTTTCTGTCTGTCGCGAATCGACAAGCTGAACCGATCCAGTCCATCACGCCGGAGGAAGATCCCTTTTTACCGTCTGATCCGCTCATCTTTGCTAACGTGCGGAGAGACAACAACGAGGGGAACAAAAAAACACATGGAAGGGGAAGAGTTTTGATGTAACACGGGTACGGCGTGCGTTAAAGCTCAAAGTTAACGTCCTTCCCAGTGCGATATTTATTATATGTTCAAAGATGTCTGCCACCAGGTACCGCAGGTTTTTAAAGCTGTGCGAGGAATGGCCACGGGACGAGTCCAAGAAAGGCCGGGATTTGGGGACATTTCTGCGGCAGAGAGTGGCTTCAGCCTTCCGTGAGGGGGAAAACACACAGGTACGGTGCATTAACGGCTAATATTAGCAGACTGAGCTAATATAATCAGATTACTACTGCAGTGTGAGCGAGCAGACTCGACCTTGTCTGCTCGATTAATCACTAATATTGTTGTTTCGTGTTTTAAATGCCGAATTTTTGGGGTAATACGAAGTTTTTGCCTGTTTTGTACCCTTTTAATGCCCTCTGTGCAAACATTCAAACTTTAAGGCATCAATGTAAACAGTGAAAATGGGAGATTGCAGGGTAACCAATGATTCGATAACCGATTAACCGATCAAAAAATAATATCGAGGTTCTGGAATAACCTAATCAGATATTTATTCATCCAAATACCTGATTAATCCAAGATAACACAATGTCCCTTTAAGGTGAAGTTCATTATTATCATTAGTGCGACTACAGGAGGTCATGTTGTGATGCAGTGAACCGGATTAGAAAGGGACTCTGACTAGGGGTATGTGCTATTTTATATTATTGATTGAAACTTAATTTAGCCAGAAAAAAGTCATTGAGATTAAAAATCAGCGTCCTGATCAATCAATCAATCAAACTTTATTTTTAAAGCGCTTTTCCTACAGTAATGTGACTCAAAGTTGTTTACAATCAACTTAAAAACAAAAGCAAAAAACTATCCCAGATGCCCCCTTACCCCCCACCCACCCACCCACCCACACACACACCAACGCACCCGCACATACACACACTAAGAGAGTGGATGAGGCTGAGTGCAGATGAACCGGTTGAGAAGGCACCGTCAGAGGAGCCGTCAGCACCAGGAGCAGAGAGCCGCCTGCAGCAACAGGACACCGACACAGGGCCAGTGGAGGGAGGACAGCAACCTCCACCAGGAACCCCATGGGTTCCTGCAAACACAGCTGACCACTGCTCCCGGTGCTGAGGGCTCCCTCAGAGGAAACACTGGGGGTCCTAAAAATGACAAATGGATAAAAACATGTGGAAAAAATACCCTACTCTGTGGACTTCTTAAAATGTATCCACCTAGCTGTCTAAAACTAACTGTGAATTTCACATTATGATTAAGAAGATTTTTTTGAAAGTGTGTAATGTGCGGGATGTTATTTGCAATATATGGTAGGTTGTGGATGGTGGTGATCCGTCCACGGAGAGACACTAAACAACAAAACTTACAAACAAATAATGCCTGTATTTAAAGTTAAAGTTGCTGATAAGCTTTGTCAAGGACAAACTTGTTAATAATTATTCCAAATGCTTTTTTTATGGGGATTCAATGTAGTGATATCTTTAAGTGCTTTTTTTTAAAGCATCCTTTTTATAGAATGACTGAAGTTATTTATTTATTTATTTTTTTCATTTACCCAATGACTATTTTTCTTCTTTCCCATTAGATCTCAGATCCTGAGAAATGCGACCAGATGTACGAGAGCTTGGCTCGCATTAACACCAACGTATACAAACAACGGGTAAAGATATTATACAATCTTACAAATCTACTAAGAGCTAACTGACTGAAAACTGTTCTTGTCTTTGAGTTATATGTCCTAAAATGTCTTTTTCAATTTGTAAAATAAATTGTCTGCAAAAAAGGATGATTTGACATTTACCTTTTTTTTAACTTTCTCAAAATCTTTTACAATCAGAGTAAAGGTCTTTTTATTTAATCTTATTAACATCATAATCTCTTCTGACAGACAAATTAATCCTGTCACAGCTTCATACCTTCATGTTGAAATGCAGACAATGTTGATTGGTTGTTCTGCAAACAATGCATTTGTTCACCTTTTTTAACAAGTGTGTATTTAAGTGTAAAACAAACAAAAAACACTTGACTTCTTTTGTGTCTTTGTGTGTTTACAGTTTCCTCGTGTTAGAGACACAAGCTTTACTGGAGTTACAGTGGAAGAGTGCCGAGTGCTTTTGTCAGGCAAGGAACCACAAATACCTTAAAGATTAATGTCTCCAGTAATGAAACAGTGGGGCTTTAGTTCTTTCTTCTTTGTCTCTGTACAGGGAGTGTGCAACAGATGGATGAGGAGAAAAAGGGTTTGTGGAAGACATTAATGGAGAGATTCTCCAAATCCCCCGAAGACCCAGAGAAACCAGAGAAAGCCCCTGAAAAATGACCTTTCCCTTTCTGTTTTCTTTGCATGTATAAAAATAAAGTTTAATGTTGATATCTTTAGTAACAATTGAGATTTTTTGATGCATACAACATATGAAGCAGCATGATAACACAAGGGAGTGCTGAGTTTCCGATGTAATGAATTGATTCTGGACATGAATCGGATAGGAATCTTTATTTAATTGGGTCATAGCAGTATTTCAACACAACATTTCTTATAAATGCACTCAGGACAATCTCAGTATAAAAAGACAACAAATGCAGTTTTCAGTGAAAACAAATGTTTGTTTCTAAAATACAACCACATGATTAAATTTAAGAATAATTCCTTCCAAATAATGTAGAAACTGTATGTGCTATCAGCAGCTAGTAAGAGCCATGAGCGCATGCATTTTTGAGCCGGGTCGTCTTGAATTGAGCTAACTGTTTATCCAAAAAGTTGAATCAGCAAAGTTGCTAACAGTTAGACATTAAAGTTATCCTTTGCAGACAGTAACCCGTTGAACCAGGTATGATGCGCTGCTCTCTCAAGTGAAGACCGCAAACAAATGCTTAATGGAATTAATTGATCTTTAACGGTTAGCCTTTTGGCACATCAGTAGGATATAGAAACTCATATTAATGGTCAACAACTTTTCCTGCAGCCTTTTACTCTTCTTTTTCCTCAGGGTTGTCTCTCCATATGCAGTAGTTGAGGGAAGTGGCGAGGCACAGCCATGCCAGGTAGGGGGCCATCAGCAGTGTGGCAGTGCGGCTGATTGGGTGCCAGGATGCCATTGTGGCTCCAACAGTCCCAGTCAGGAACACAATCTCAATAAGAGCCTGAATAAGACAGAAATGTGTGTTTATTTATTAGAAAACACTGCAACATGTTATATCCATCGTAAACTCCCTCTACTGTCGACTGTAGAAATAATTAATTAATGTGTCAAACATACCAGTTTCAGCTTGTGTTTGCCAAAGAAGATGGGAGTCCAGGCCCAGTTCAGGGCTAACTGCAGCCCATAAAGTCCCAGTGGAACCACTGCTTTCTCAGTGAAACCTCCTAACTCTCTCCAAACCAGATAGGAACCGTACCTACAACAAAGACAAACACAGAAGGGTTATTTGGATAGGAGGGTTTCATTCGAACTACATGCAGCAGAACCCGGTCAGTATTAAACTTACCCCATGCCTGTATAGAGGCAAGTCCACACTATAGGGAATGCTGCATTGGGTGGTCGCCATGATGGTTTCTGCAGGGTTGGGTACCAGGTCTTCACCTCTTTGCGTGTTACATAACCACCGTAGAGCCCTCCCAGGTGTGGGAGGGCTGTCATTCCAAGCATAGGCAGCCACATTTTCTGTGACAAGATGAGAACACATCAGAGCAGCTCATGCTGGGACTGGGTTGGGGAGAGTGGGGTAAGATAAGCCATTTTTCATATTTAGGATCACTACATCAAAGCAATCATAGTTTTGTCTCTAACTAGTGAATCTGCATATATTTCAAGATGTTGTTCATCCCTGCAAACCAACAGAATGAGTGTAAACATAACTGTCTTGATAATATAGCATGCCGAAAAAAGTGGTCTCCTATGGTCAACTTACCCCATGCATGGGGTACATTGACCATAAGAGCGGTGTAAGTTGAGCCGTATCCCTACAACCCCCCCACTCTCCACCCCAGCCCTTCTTCACTGCTTCTTCACATTCATGTGTATTTTTATCTATTATACACTATTCAACTGGTACAATAATTATTATTTTTATTATTATTGTATAGAACTGCTAAAAAGCTGTTTTGTAAAAAGTCATTTTAACATGAGAAAGTGATTCAGAACATTCACAGCTGTATTTTTGAAAAGAAACAGTAAAACATTTCAATAATCTGAACTGAAACTCTGATCCTCTCATCAGACTTCTTTACTTTCTCAGTTGAGTCACTGGCTCAACTTACCCCAGAACTACTATGATGACTTTATTAGTCCTCTAAGCTAAAATGATGGACTTTTATGTTTTTGACCTCATGTTGTAGCTCATAGATACAATTGATGTATAAAACAAATTTAAAATGATCCTTTTTGGTCTGAACACAATTCTAATAAAACTATGACAGACTAAATTCACTTTCAAGAGTGAAATTTTTTTATTTGGAAATAAATGTCTAACCCCTTCACCCATGTGCTTCTAACCCTCACAGACTCCATGAATTGATGCCCATCTCCTAAATATTTGGTCACATGATCAATTTCTTTTACCATTTCCAGGCAGCAGGGGGTGGCTCAACTTACCCCACTCTCCCCTATTGAAACACAGAGCCTTTGGGGAGCAACATCAGGGACTAGGTGCACAATATCATACATTGCGTAAGGTTTTTTTTATTTTATTTTATAATTTATTGACAAAATTAAAAAAAAAATCCTCTAGTAGGAGTTTGAGGATTGTGTAAGATTGTTTTCGCGTTTTGTAACAGCAAAGCATTTGCAATGTTGACTAGAGTTCAAGTTATTCAGCTCAACATTTCCTCATATCGACGCTTCATCCATACTGGTCTCAAAACAAACCTGCCTCAACTGTCTCCATGTAAGGAAATACCACGGATCACTTATTTTTGGGGTTAAACACACAAACTTCGGTGGTCTTGTAACCTTGACTCGACACTTACCTCGGACTCAGAGGGGAAATCTTCTCCCGGATCAGCGCAATAACTCGTCTGCTCAGTCGGACTGTTTCCAGACAGCACACGGTCCTAAGGCATGCTGCTGTGTTGTGATATAAGCATGCCACAGTGTAATCTTATCTGTACGGTCAGTCAGTAACACACTCCTCTGACACTCCCACAGCACGAGAGCCAAACACTGTCAGCAACCTGACGTCGCGGCGTGGTTAGCAACGATTGGTCACCAGGATGGAGTCAAGTGGGGACAAGCGTTGAATGGGTTTTGGCAAAAAAAAAACCATTAAATATTGCTTTATATGTCCACAAAGGGTCTTCTAAGTCCAAAGTTCTCTAGATAGCACCGCTACCGTGTCCCAGTTTCTCGCGTGGTGTATTAAATATACTTCCGGTGTAGATTACAAAACACACAACTGGCAACGCAACTGGACAGACGACAGCAAAGATTATCTAACCGTCAAGATGTTTCACGCCCTGCTCTCTCAGTTCGTCTACTCTCTTTGTTGTCTGAAAAAAGAAGTTTATTCAATCCTGTGACCAGAAAAATAGTGACGTTCCTGTTTAAACTGTTGGCATTTTGGCAAAAAGCAAACTCACATGTGAATTTGGCTCAGTAAAAACCGCTGCATGTCCACTTTTTATTGGATCCTCTGCGTTAATAATATTGTATCTGATCATTTTTCAATAAAGAAATTCTGTATTTGACTTTCAACACTACTAGAAATCACGATTACTTAAAGAGATATTCCGGCGTAAAATTAATTTAGGGTCAAACTCACCATAACACCGAGTTAGACACCCCCTCAAGAGATGAATGTTGCCGACTGCTTGCTTCTCTAGTTTTACCAACTTTAGTAACAACCACAGACAGCAATACACAGCAGTCTGAGGAGCCATAAACAAACCTCAACCAAAACGCCACTCTATAGCCACAAATAATGCTCAGAACACCACCTAACTTCATCAACAGGGTCTCAGCCATAGCACTAGCCACCAAACATCTTTTTAACTTTGCCTGATTTCTTTAGCAAAGAGACTAAACACAACTCACCTACTCTCTTCCAGCAGCCGCATGTTTGTAGACCTCAGGCCAGTCCATCACAGACTACAGCGGGGTGACGCAGCTCAAGGAAGAACATTTATGATCATTTCTTCATGGAAATGCAATCAGACCGAGACGCTAAGGCAGAAGAACTACCACGTCTGCAGTGCAAAATGATTGATATGGTGATTATTACTTCAAGGAAATGATAAAGAAATGATCATAAATGTTCTTCTTTGAGCTGCGTCACCCCACAGCAGTCCGTAATGGACTCATCTGAGGTCTCGCTACAAGCAAGTGGCTGCTGGAAGAGAGAGGGTGAGTTGTGTTTAGTCTCTTTGCCAAAGAAATCATACAAAGTCAAAAAGATATTTGGTGGCTAGTGCTAGAGCAGTCAGCAACATTCATTTCTCAAAGGGGTGTCGGTGTCGGTCATAACTCGGTGTTATGGTGTGTTTGACCCTAAATCAATTTTACGCCCTTTAAATAGTTTATCTTAGAGTCCTGAATCAAGCCAGAAACAACTTAAATCAACAACCAAGGAAGTCTTCGGTGTCTCCACTAAGTAGAGTGGTGTTAGTTTATTGTTATTATTATTTTGTGTTGCCTTGAATTAATTGAATCCTAAATTAAAATTTTGACAGCAAACTTCGTCCTCTGAGATATCAATGAGGTTGGAAGGTTTCAAACGTTGCTTATTTGGCATCTCAGCTGCATTATCAAAAATGAAAAACGGTGGTGGTCCGACAGCAGGAATACTAACAATAACAATAATACCTTGGTTTTAGGCTACTTTTAAAGTATGCATTTATCCAGTTACAGTCCATGATGATGATAATGATGAGTCCATGGTTGCACATCAGAAATGGTGGGATCCAGCTCGCTGAAAACTCCCAACAGAGTCACACCATCAAACACAAACACACAAATGTCGAAACTGCATGTAGATATAAGACACATAGAATTTTTAGGTTTTAAACACATACAGGTCATATTAAGTCTATAAAGTCTGTTAAATCACAGGTCCAAAGGTATTCAAATAAAACAAAAAGTAGAGCAGACACAAAGCCTGTAGTCCCACACTTAGACCTATAATAAGGTCAGACATAGTCTATCTAGATAAAAGGTGATAGTTATGTGACGGCCTCATAAAGGTTTTATTGGGTCAAATACTCAGTGAGATAAGAGACCATCTGATGTTTGTATCTTGACACCAAAACCGATGCAGTTCTCAAAGAAGAAAACATTCCTAGTGAAAAGGATTTTTTTTTAGATTATTGTATGAAGTAGACTAATTTCAAGTTTCAACTGAAAACTCTGCTAAGAGGATTATAAAAAGTTAAATCATTAAAAAAGATTGATGACACTGTATCGAATACTGACCAACATTTGATTGGTTTCTCTTCTGTTCAATTGTTGAACACTACAGTAAGTTTTATGGGGCAGCCAGGCCTGTTGTGGGGATACAGGAGATCAAGGTTGGCCTTTTCACCCAGTTGGTCAGTCCAGTGACAGCGTTGAAATCCTGGTTTTACCTGGTCTTGTCAGAGGAACGACTCAATGAAATCAGTTACTGTACCCCTGTGGCAAAATGTTGCTCATAGATTTCCTTGCACTAAAATGAAGGACTTGCACTCAATTTAAATATCTAATTGGACTCACTTTGAGCATGAAGTGGTCAGCAACACTCTTCTTATCTCTTGCTCTTATTAACAGAAGATATTTACAAAGCGAGATAGAAACAAACTGTTCATAAAAAGAGATCAGTTAGTCATACAACAGTGGTGGAATGGTGTAAGACATTCAAAAAGTGAAGTGACAAGATAAACTGCCATTTTGAAAAAAATGTTACTGCTGCAAACAAGCACCAAATGTTAGGATAAGTGGCATCAAAACAGCAAAGGTTTTGATATGGGAATGTAAAGTTAGGCCCATGCAGCTGGAATTATAACACATAAGGATGGAACAAAAAATGTAACTTGAAATCAAGAATATATGATATAACCCCCAAAGCTGTGAGATTAATATAAACTGTATATATATATTTTTTTTCGTTTATATTTCCACAAGACAGAAGTTTATATGAGACCCAAACACAGGCTTTAAATCACGTCACATCTTGGTTAGTGGTCACCAGGGTGAAGTCGAGAGGGGACTGATGGTTGATGGAGTATTTAACATGCTAAACAAACATTGTTTTATAACGCTACTGTAGTTCTCAGAGTCCAAAGATCACAAGCTAACACGTCCTTATTTCCTGCTCAGCCACTTTTAACATATTTCCTCGTTGCTCACAAAACACACAGCTGGATACCTGATTTAAGGGGCGACAGCAAAGATTAAAAAGCGCTCAAGATCCTTCACACTCTAACTTATTCTCTGTATGGTCTGGAAAAGAAGCCAATTTGCAAAGACAAGACTCAGTCCTGGCCAGTATAACTGGACGCACCTGTTGAAACAGTTTGCATTTAGACAAGACAAGACGAGGCAAGATGTTTTAATTAGGCACCATTTTAAGCAAAGGGTAATGACGGGGCTTTAGCCTAAACAAACAGAGAAAAGAAAAGATTACTCAGCAACAAAAAGAAGAAACATGACACAAGCAAACTTAAGTATTACGTCTAAAAAAAAAAAATGGTCCTTTAGGTATCGAGTGTTTAAGTTTTGACTGACAAACCTTCCTCTGATTTCCATTGAACAATTTAATGAACTTGACTTTAACAAACATTTATCATATACACAATCAAACATGGTGTGATTGGTTAAATTTAAGTTTTAATCACAATGAAGTCATGTAAAACAGTAGATTTCAGTCATTGCTCAGTCAGTTGTATGAGTGAGAGGGATCAATTCTGACATACTGAGAAGTCAAACTATTTTTTCAACTGGTTCTGCAAAATCCCCCAAATAACCTCCAAATGATCACACAACTTCAGTTTGTATTGCACAAACAGGATCTTACAGGTTACATGGAAGTTGTAAATCTCAATGACAAGTTTCAAGAGAGCGGTTTAACCTTGTTCCAAAATTTTCAGTCAGTTCATGTCGAGCTCAAATAAGCTTTAACACCGTGAAAAGATGAATTTAGGAAATATCCTTGAAACTTCTTTAGGGAACTTTTGGTTTGTGTTTATTTTAGAACTCTCAATCACTTTGCTGATGCTGTCTTTTCCTGTAGTGATTTCTGACAAAATAGCCTCGTCTGCTCTCCTTTAATGAATAAATGTACCAAATAACTGTCATGAATCAGGAGAGGAAAGGCTGTGACACCTGCCCCTACCAAAGTGTCAAAAACTGTAAAAGAATTGTCTATTTTCTTTTTAATGCTCGTATAGGACGTAATGGTCCATAAATACTCATTTCAGTTTGTTTCACAACCAGCTATAAAACTCCTCACCAGAGCTTTGATATGGTGGCCGAGAACCGCCACTGCTGCAAATAAAAAAGAATGCAAAAAAAAAAAAAAAAAAAAAAAAAAAAAAAACAAAGCCACAACGGTAGTTAATAACGCAAAAAAAAAAGAAACTAAAGTCCACTGCAAATAAAAAAAGAAACATTGCAGATGAAAAAAAAGCCAAAACCTAAGTTAACAACGCAAAATAAGTGGCAATGGAAAAAAATAAAGTTACTGCGTAAATAAAAGGATGCAAATAAAAAAAGCCACAACGGATGTGAGCTGCCGGGGACCAATGATGATGATGCACCAGAGTTTTACGATCTAGGCACAGGTGGCGAGTAGACAAGCAGAGAAGTAAGTGGAAAGGTTATTGTTTAATTTCACTTCTTGTACTTTTCAATGTGTCATTTGGTTAGGTCATGTTGCACCTGAGTCGATATGAAGTTGAACTGGAGGATGCCGGTGTAGTGTTAGCTTCAGTTCAATTTGAAGCGAAAGTTGAACGAAAGTCATGAAGCGAAATTAAACAATAATCTTTTCACTTACTTCTTTGCTTGTCTTCTTGCCGTCGTCTTCTGTGCCTAATTAGTCAAACACCGGCAGCTCACATCCGTTGTCAAGAATCTTACACAGTTTATCTATTTATGTTCTGAGCTATCTCTAGATTGCCAAAATCAAACTTTGACACTTAAAGTACAGTGGCTGAAAACCGCCACTGCTGCAAATAAAAAAGAATGCAAATAAAAGAAGTCACAACGGCAGGTACTGATGCAGAAAAAAAGAAACTGAATCCCGCTGCAAATTAAAAAAAAAAAAGGAATGGTGCAGATAAACAAAAAATAAAAAAACAAATAAAAAATAATTTAGAAAAAAGCCACAATGGAAGTTAATGATGCAAAAAAGAAAAAAAAAGTTACTGTAAAGTAAGTAAGGTAATTGCGAAAAAAATTAGTGTCAAAAATAATAAATGTGTGCTTGAAATTTGATGGTTTTGAAATCAAAAGTCTGATTTTGATACAAAAAAAATTCAGCTTTAGAAATTGAAATTCAAAATCAAATGGCACAGATTTACTTCCATAGCTTAATCACTGGAATTACTAATAAATAAATAAACGCAGCCATCAAAACCAAACTTTACTGTGTGATGATGAGCGGATATTCACCCCCCTCAGATCAATGGGTTATTTCGCCCCTCCTCTTGTCTGTCAGGCAGGCACACCTTTCCTCCCCGGTCCTCCAGCGTTTCTTACCTTCTTGACGCCTCTTTCAGCTTCGTTGTCTGGCGGTGAACTCTCACCCCAGCTGCTTGGGAAATGTCATACAGGCAGAGGCCCGTGCTGCAGTAGGGGGGCGTAATAGGAGGAAAAAATAACATTTTCACTGCTCTCACTGCATCTTTTCTTCGCCTCTCTGCCGTGCAAATGCCACATCCCACTCCAAGCAGCAGCGGCCGTCACCGATACCCACTCGCTGTCTAAATGCTTATTTCGCATTAGAGCCTAAAAAAAAATCCGTGCCAGACATGTGAGTAGCAAAACCATCGCTGTCGTTCTCCACTTACCCATTGACTGCTATGTACTCACGCTTTTGTATCCTCACACCAAAGGGAACAAATGGTCATTGAACCGCGTCGTTGTGCATTTTAGTGTCAGTCTGCTGCTTCATGGTAGCATGGTAGTGCCGGGGAGTCTGTGCACATTGATGGGGCTGATGAAGCCTGGCTGTCGGCTTGTTTTGGAGCCCTGCGTCGGCTTGGCTAATTGGGCGAGAAAAAAAAGGCTGTGATTTTCTGCTGTAAAAAAGCTCGAGTGGAGGGGGAAGCCCATTCAATCACTGGTTGTTGACAGTGGTGTATCATAGTCAGGCATTTTTGATCCTGGGGGAAGCTGTGGCGGTGGGGATTTGTGTGCTGTGTGTGCGAGGAGTCCAGCCTGGCATCTCCAGTCAGATGTGGAGGCCCAGGTTAGGGCTCACATAATGCGGCGGTGTTGATCTGAAATCTGTCTGTAGGGCTGTGTGAGGTCGACAGAGAGCAGGAATCATCATCACAGGGTTATTTCTGGTGCAGATTTTTATGACTTGTTGATGTTTGGTGTCTCAGGCAACATTCAGGCTGGAGCTCTGATCAAACATGGTCCTGTGTCTTTGTGTTTTTATCTTTCCCTCCTGATTTTGAGATCCACAGCAGGACTGTTGATGTGAAGTTTACTAATTAAAAACAACATTGAATGTTAATTACTTTAAAAGATGGTTCATCATTTTAAAAACGGTTTTAATTGTTTGATTAAATGTTTTTTACTCAATATATTTTCAATATCATCGCTAAAAACAGAGTTTGACCATCCAAGTCATTGTATTTGACTAAGTGTGGGATTAAAACTCAGTTGTCAGCCAAAGGTGAATTAAATGTAGGGATGCACCGATCTGATATGTGGATCAGATATTGGCTTCGATATTGACAAATTAACCGGATCGGGTATCTGATGAATGGTGCCGATCTAGTGTTCCGATCCAGTGTTTTTCTTTTCTTTTGATTAATATCATACACAGCGATTCTGTTCGCTCTGTATTCTATGTCTGTGTCCGAAATGAGTCACTCAATACCTAACCCCTAACCCCCATATGGGGTTTTACTATATAGTTGACTATGTAGTGAACTCAATCACCGGAGGTTTCGGACACTACATGGCATCACAGGATGCCCACCACCAGTGAGTGACCATCGGATGGTCACTACATTTTGCAATGCTTTATGGTAAAATTTGAGTCGCCTATATAGGGCACTGGAATTGATCACTGAGGTTTCGGACACCCCTCAAAATGGCTCTAACCCCCATGTAGTCGCCTACATAGGGGTTAGGGATCCATTTCGGACACAGCCTATGACTGTCTAGTGTTTTGCACTAAATGTTAACATGGAAGTCTAACTTCTTTTTGTGCAATTTGTAAATAAATAATATTAAGTAAATTTATATCTGTGTTAATTTGTTACCTGTCTTTCTTAACAAGGCAAATGTCAAGCCTGATGCCTTCACTCACAGGGCAAGGTATACAGTTCATTCATTCAACAGTAGTATTGGATCGGTATTGGATATCGGGCGATACGCTCAGCCCAGGTATCGATATCGGATTGGATCGGAAAAAAATGGATCGGTGCATCTCTAATTAAATGAAGTGATTTTGGTATGAACCAAACAAAAAAATATGACGGTCTGAGTGATTAAAGTTAGAAGAGTAACAAATAATTCAGTATTTACACACAAAACCGGTGTATCTTTACGGTATTACTCCATTGTCTTTCACAGCCGGGTGATATTAGTTGAATTTAATGTGGGATTCAACACATATGTAGTAGGGCTGGGATGATATGCTTTTCTCCCGATCCGATTCTTCTACGATTTTTTTTGGATGCCAATTCTATTTAAATTGCGATTCTATGATATTGTTGATTTTCTTGATATTCAGTCTGCATTTTTAACACCAGTGAAACAGTTGAATGATTATGATTGTCTACTGACTATTCCAGGAACCATATTTTTTTCTCCCACCCCTTGTATGTAGACTGTAGTTTGTTTTAAAGCTTTTCTCTAATATCTGTTTAAAGAATCATAAATGAGGTATTAAGAGATGACACCTATGTAACACGTTCAGCATCTTACAGAAGGTCTTGTCCACCTCCTAAAATCAAACAAAGCTCTTTTTTTTCTAGGACTGCAGGTGAAATTCATTTACTCTGTGTTAATCTGTGTCTGTGTCCATGGATTTAGGGAGATGAACATCATGCATCTCTTGGAGATGTCAGTCCAGCAAACTAACTGGCTTGTGACAACACTGCCCAGTCGAGGATCCTGGGATTGAGTTGGACATCCCCTCACACTGATGGCCTGGACTGAGTAAGAAGTTTGTGTGCGCCTGTTCCTCACTGTAGATGTCAGGTTTTGCTTTGCCTGAAGTTGGGTTTTGATGTTTGCTCACTGTGGTTTCAGGTTTCAGCTGGCCTGCTGAAGCTATGGGGAGCTGTTGGAGCTGTCTGTCCAGAGACCCCATCAGAGACAACCATCTCACCAAATTTAAGGTCAGTAAGAACAAGATAAAGTCGTCTTTTTCCGAACACCTCTGATAAATATTCTGCACTTACATTTCTGTCTCCTCCTCCTTCTCCCAGGTCACTAATGTGGACGATGAGGGCAACGAGCTCGGCTCTGGGATCATGGAGCTCACCCAGACTGAGCTCATTCTTCACACACGAAAAAGGGACGCGATTAGGTGGCCGTACCTATGCCTGCGCCGCTATGGCTACGACTCCAACCTGTTTTCTTTTGAGAGCGGCCGTCGTTGTCAGACTGGGCAGGGTAAACAACATTTCTCTGCTTTATTGAAAAAGACTGTAAAAGCAATTATATTTTCAACTTATATTCGCTTTTCAAACAATTCTAGCATGTTGGTTACAAGGCTTTATTTTAACTTAAAATTTACTTCTGTCGTAAGGTAATTTAGCAAATTAACATACCAGCCATTTTCCCCTGACATGGCAGACAGGATGGGAAGCTCAAATAATGTTATGAGACAGTTGAAAAGGGAACCTGATAATTATTAATTCATGTCTTAAATCACAGTTTTTCAATTGATAAGCAGATTAAGTGGAAAAAATCAGGCAACAAATAATTTACTAGACAACAGCTAACTTTAGTATATATTACCATGAACATGATATTACTGTGAGTTTACTGCCTTTATATAATATTCTGTAACACAATCAACTGTTGGACATAAGAACAACAATTTTAACTTGATCATCCACATATGTGTGTCCTCTGCACCAATACTATGAACACTTGATCTCTTTTTATAAATGTCTCAATCTGCAAAGTAATGAAGGATAGTTCCAGGTTAAGTTTCTTTTATAATCATTAGGGTTGGGAATCACTAGTGGCCCCATGATACGATATTATCACAATACTTGGGCCACGATACAATATTATTGCGATTCTTAACATTTTGCAATACAGTGAGTATTGTGATACAATATATACGCGATTCATTCAACTTTTCAACTGTTTAGCTAATTTAGCATTTGTCTGTCCTTTATATTTGTCTTATTCACGCTGTATTTTATTTTCATGTCGCACATCTTGCAAACCTTATATATATATATTTGTTGCACTAACTTTCTCCTGCTCTGTAATGTCACCTCTGCCAACCTCACTGGACAAACAGTTGATGTTATTTTTCCATTTTCATAGATTTGACTTCGTATTAGCTATTAATTTAAAAAATCGATATTGGTAAATGAGACGATACGATATATGACCAGACAAAATATCACGATACTATGCTGTATTGATTTTTTTCTCCCACCCCTAATGATCATGTATCCAGCCTTTGTATATATTGCTTTCGTTGACTCAAACTAAACATGGAACAAGTTGTGAGGGCTCTGCTTGCAGGATGGGGAATCTGGTTTGAAGAGACGGAAGAAAGCTTCATAGTAAAAATTAAATCTTGTAATGTTAACTGTATGCACTCTCAGGTTTCAATTAAATATTTGGTCATAGGCTGTTTTATGTGGCATTATGTCCAGCATTGTAAGTTGGTGTTAATAACTGGCAGTTTCTCACACAGGTACTTTAGTGTTTTAGTGATAAACAATCTTCCTAAAATGATTTTCTTCTTCTTCTTGTTTTAATCAGGAATCTTTGCATTCAAGTGTTCCCGGGCAGAAGAGATTTTCAATCTGCTCCAGGAGCTGATGCAATGTAACAGCATTAACGTGGTGGAGGAGTCAATGATGATGAGTCGCAGTGGTCACACACCAGAGATGGAGATGTCTCGCACGCCACAGACTCCCAACAGTGAGTCACACCACCAAACACTCTCTCACAGACTCACAAAAACACACACACACATACACACGAGTCTTGCTAATAACAAACTCAGAGTAATTGGAGAACATGCACACAGTGGTGATGGAGCAGATAAACTGTAAACTATTAATACACACAGGTTAAATAATGCCTCTTTAGTTAGTCGTCCAAAGGTATTTAAATAAAACAATAAGCAGTAAGAGGACATATCCTACTTCGTCTCAATGAGGATTTTTTAGATCATATTAGGAGTAATGTATAGTGAGCAGGTTGTTATGTTAATCAGAATCACAACAGAGGGGCTCACTATGTCCCGCTAAATACCCGATTTCCATCTAAAGACATAAGTAAACTGACAGTAATGGCAAGGTTCTTAGTCGTCTGCCTGCAGGACAATTAAACAATAAAAATGATGATTTCAGATAAAGGTAGAGTTAAAATATTCACCTGATTATTTGGTATACATTACATTCACCTGAAGCTAACAAGAGGACATGGTTAACAGGACTTCTGCAGGGATACTTGTGTTATAATCTGTTCTCTTTCTTGCCTGATTTTTCCACATTTTTTCCACATCCTGAAACACAAATGTCACTGTTGCAATTGTCATCTCTGCTTATGGTTTAAGCCACTTTTTAGCAGTCTTAGTGATACACTCACCAGCAGTGCTGCTGTTGCCTTGATTGCAGTTGGTTGGTTGGGGCCTGGTAGCTCCTCAGGAGTCTTACCTGTTCCCCGTAATTGTCACTTTTACCTGTCCCTCAAGAGCAGAACCAATATTTTTGTCACACTGCTTACATTGGGAACAGAGATGAGCATTTTTGCCATAGAGTCAACAGGCAGAGGTGAAAACTGCAGACTACTTTCTGCAAATTGATTTCATATAAAATGTGTTATCAGGTTGCTCCTGGCCTCACTTTTGCAGCTGCTGACTAACCAGAGTCAAGTACTAATGCAGCGTAATAACATTTGTTGTCGAGGAGTTGTGACGGTTCTCTGCTACATGTTTTGACTATGTGTGCTGGACAAATGTTCAAGCTTGAAGGCCTTTTAAGATGTATGTTTTTAAGTGAAACATAAAAAAAAGGTAAATAAAAAATAAAACGTGATAATGTTTCTACCAGGATAGTGATATAATCAGAAATTACTAATCTAAGTTTTTACTACATTTTCTGCAGTCTGTCTGTGGACTGCAGAGAAACTCCACAGCTCAAGCTGACATCCAAACACAAACACCTGCACAGAAATATACACACAGTTTCACCATGCTCCACTGTGTTTAATACACAGGGCATCAGCTCCCCCTGCTGAAACCAGGTCCTGCAAGACACTAGAGAAGTGCTCTGTCCCAAGAGATGGACACACACTGATGGTCACAGACCACCACTGTTTGATTTCACAGCACAAAACTGATCACAGGTGAAAAATAATCAAAACTCATCATACCTTTAGTTGTGATTTGTTCAGAAAGTTGCCGTGCTTCAAATTCTCAAGTAGCCTACAGGACAGGCGATGCTGTGTGTGGACTGTGCTCCTGTTTTCTGGTCCATATTGGAGATCTTGGACTTGAATAGGCTGTAGTTTTGTACATATTCAGATCAGTTCACATCTGCACCAAACAAAAACGTCTGTATTTAGGTGGTTCAGTGTGAATATTTGCAACTTTAGTTTTTGATATGACAGGCCTAAATGAGCTCAGTAGACTCCAAATTAAGCGATATGTGTAGCCTATACATGCCTATACATACTAAATTTAAGAAAAGAATAAGAATAACTTTATTGATCCCCGTAGGGAAATATAATTGTCTGTCGTCTCAGTTGTCATGTTTCAAAAAGTCATCTACTATTTACAGAAGGGTTGTAAAGTCTGATGGCTGTGTCTCATTTACTATGAATACTTTTGCACAACAGACATCAAGCACTTTTAAAGGGGTATGCATTTAAATTTCCTGTTCTGTCATCATGCAAAAGACATTAAAGCGTATTTGCAATGCAGCCTGTTGCCATCGATGTAGAAGTGAACGTGCACAGAAAATTTAGAATTAGAAAATAATATTTGTGAGTATCTGTTGATAACTTTTGATAGATAATACAGCATGACCGAATGTACACATGAACTGATTTTTTTCATCACCTCATTGTGGTTACTGAAGAACATACTGCGAAAGATTCACACTCCCTACAGTCTATAGTTTCTCATTAATCACTTTGAGTACCAAGCTGGATGACATTGTACTTTTTTTGTGTTTTACGGAATAAAAGAGATGACCGGAGTTACTTTTAGTGTTGTAACTTGATGTGATATCCTCCGGTTTTTGGATCACTCAGGCTTAATGTAATACAGACAGCAGCCAGTGGGTGTCAGTGTGTCAGTATTTAGCAGCTCGCTTAGACAGCCAAGTGTTGAGGAGATCTGCTGCTGATCACTGTTGTTGATGTTGTTGGTGTTCATGTAGGTGGTTATTGCTCTCAAAAGGGTTGTTTTGTACAGATATGTAACTTTTATGTTTGGTATCAGAACCTCTTCTTACGGTAGTCGATGAAAACATGGAGAGAAAATAAAATACATAGAATGACAATGATGTAAACTCATCTACAGCAAAATTAGTGTATCAAACACACAGAGTTACTCTCTAACTTTAAGTTTGAGCACATCACTCCTGTCCTTAGCTCCCTTCATTGGCTTCCCGTCTCCTATAGGATTGATTTTAAACGTTTAATGTTTGTTTTTAAGCTCTTAACGGCCTCACCCTCATCTATTTAACTGAGCTTTTAACCGTTTTGAAGCCGGGTAGAGCTCTGAGGTCGTCAAACCAACTTCTGCTGGAAGTGCCCAGATCAAAACACAAACACTGGGGTGACCGAGCCTTTTCAGTTGTTGTGTCCCAGGCTCCAGAACTAACTCCCCACCGAAATGAGACTTACTTCTGCCCTGGGCCTTTTTAAAACTCGATTGAAAACATATTTATTTATGCTTGCTTTTAACACCCTGTAGCGTGGTGACACTTTATTTTATAGCATTGTATCTTATTCTTTTTTTATTGTTTTTTTTTATTCATTTTTACTATATATTGTAAAGCACTTTGGTTCACTGAAAGGGTTGTTGTAAAGGGCTGTATAAATAAAGAACATTTACATTTTATAATCTCTAACCTTCTGCAGGTTGGCAGGTTTGGTAGATTCAGGCTCCATCATCATGTTTGGTATTTTGCGTATCTTTTTCTGTATATATAAACGGTCACACAAATGTGTGTGCAGCCCCGGGGTTCCCCGTCCAGGCTTTTCCAAACGGATATCCTGGTTACCCAATCAGAGGTGACTCCTCTCAGCCCTCTCTCGCTGATGATCATGGACACAGCCTCATGGGTTTAGAAGACCAGGTAAGACCCGTCTCTGCTGTTTGCATTTAAGTGTGTCTGCAGTTTGTTTCTGACATTGAATTGATTTTATTTTTCCCCACAGACCCACACCTACGTAAACACTGTAAGCATGGAAGGGGATCTCTCCATGCGTCACTGTGTGCACACTCTGCCTGAGGTGCGGCCCACCACCTTCCCAGACACCACACGAGGATCCATGCCTGTAGGGGGCCAAGGGAACCTGCAGTCCAACCTGCGGCGCTGTCCCCTGGAGGAGCACAACGATCCTCAGGTGTTCTTACAGCCGTCCTCGCAGGAGGTTAAGTTCATGCTGGGCCCGACGCCGGCGCAGCGCCATCTGCTGGAGAGAGAGAGGGAGAGGCATGGTCTCAATCCTCACAGTCTTCAGTCAGTAGAGGGTGCAACAGGCTCAGAGACGGAGGGGGATGAGCCCTCTATGCACTTGTGCAACTCTCACTCCTATCATCATCATTTTCATCACCACGGGCACCGACACCCAGGTCTGGAGCATCCGGACAGCTGCCAGAGTGGAGAGCTCACCTACGAAAACATCAACGGGTTGAGGAGCGGCAGGAAGCAGCGGCTGAGTCCGAGCAGCGTGTCGCAGTCTGTTGGTTCCAGCAGCAGCAGCAGTACAGGGGACAGCCACACCCACTCCCTTCTGCACCCACACCTCCACGGCCCCTCGTCTCTGCCACCTCAAGGCTACCCCTGTGAAAGGGGCATGAGTGGGGGTCACCGTCGAACAGCTTTGCTCAACTATGAGAACCTGCCCTCGCTGCCGCCAGTGTGGGAGTACAGCGCCTTGCAGCGGGACGAGGACCAGGAGGAGGATGATGATGAGCAGGATGAGGATGAGTATGAGGAGGAAGAAGAAGACTTTGATGAGTATGAGTTCTCGGAAGGTCCTGGGACACCAAACGGGTACCACCAGGATGGGCGGGGCATCCACAGGGATGCCCTACAGAACTATGTCAACACAGAGCAGGTCCAGCCGCCCCGGCTCCGACACGCCTGCCCCCCACATCCTCGGCCGTGTCAGCCTGACCGAGGGGGGCGAATATTTAGCTTTGACTTCCGCAGACGATCGAGGTCAGGGGTCGTAGGCTGTGAGCACAGCCACATGCCTCCGTCACGGCAGCTGAACTACATCCAGGTGGACCTAGATGGAGAACCCCCCTGCCAAGCCCTCAGTGGTGGGGGTGCCCAGAACCAGCCACAACACCAGCGCCTACCACCCAAAAAATGTGGCCCACAGGCACCCCGGCGCAGCGAATGCTACGCAGTCATTGACCTAAAGAAGACCGCTGCCATGTCCAACCTGCAGAAAGCTCTGCCCAGGGATGATGGGACTTCCAGAAAGACTCGCCACAACAGCACAGACCTGCCTCTGTAGACGGTGTTCAGACTGAAGAGGAGCGATGAAGACAGGTGAAGGCTTATTGTCATCTTAGCACACTGGACCCTTCACTGTCATTCATCCATTCAACTGTCGGGCTGACTGACACAGTACAGGTACCTAATTAGAAACTTACTGAAGCCGATCTGTGCATAGAAGAGGAAAAGGAAATCTCTGAGGAGAATTTGCCATTTTATTCTGTGTTATTTATTAGATATGTGTTGTGAAGCTCTCTCAAGAAATTTGCGGTTTTTACTGCAAATACTGTTTGCTGGATGAATAATATATAGATATATAAGAATAAAATCATATATATATATGATTTTATACTTAGCTACGACTATGAGCAGAGACCTCAGTTTTCAGTGGAAGCAGTCATTGCCATACCTTTTGAGCTAATTCCTCTTCTTAAATCCATCTTGTACCTATCCTTTAGATTTTTATTTTAATTTTTACATCAATACGGTTCCTTTTGAAAGAATACTGTGAGAGTAAAAATCCTGCTTACTGAGAGAGAACAGTTATGGTAAACATGAGGATAAAGTACGGTTCCTCCATGATACTGGCCAATATTCATACCTCATCACAAGCATTGAAGTCTAACATTGTGGCTAGTACAAGAGAGCATTATTTCTTATGATATGACTACAGAGCATTTTGCACACAATCCTATGGAATTGTATTTTATTGTATTGTAGGAACGGTGTTGTCCAATCCGAGAAAAGAGGAAAAAAAAAAAAGAAATTAAAAGAACAGATAGAGAATTATTCTAAACTGAATTATGGTAAAAGTAGCACACATGGTTTACAAGGAGCTCCCTTCTGTCCTCATGCAGCAAATAAGAAAAGTAGCATATCATCTTCAAACACTCCTGCACTTCACTGCAGACCTGCAGGAGGTCCACACGGTTTACGCTTGTCACGATGCACTTTTGACCCGGGGGTCTACGAAGCGCTCTTTGTTCTCTACTCCCCACAGGGCTCAACCGTGTCCTTTTACCAAAAGCAGGGGGCCAAATATTTCATTCCTACTCAGCATTGTAGATAGATTTGATTAACATGTTTTTGTTTCGAGACATCAACAACCTCAAATAGTGGCATTAAGCTATAACCTCACAGAAAAAAACGTGCTGAATCTTTGTTCGTTATCAGGTGTGAATGATCTCTTTTAAAGGGTTAATCGAAGTTTCTCGCAAAGTCATGCCGTGAATATTTTTGTGGGGCTATTTATCAACCTCATTAGGTCGATGTTTATTTATTTGATTATTTATTTATTTATTACCTTTTTCATTTTTTTTTTTTTAAATTGTAATAATTTTGTTGTCCTTGTAATGACCAGCGTTTTGTAATCCAGTTGGTAATACGGAGACCAAAGTTTCACCTCAAATTATCACTGGTCACTGGTGTTTTACTGTTGTTACTGTGCTGAGTTATATTTAAAAAAAAAAAGAAAGACTGTATGTGTATTTAAAGTGCCAAATCTGAATTGCAAACTGTACTGATGAATAAAATCAAACACGCTCATAGGTTTCTTGGACAACTGCGGGACAGAAAAGCATAAGGTTACAGCGATCAGGAGACAAACTTCAAAAAGTATTCAGAAAAAAAGCAGAAATACAAAAAACCTGCATATCCCTGCTCACCTTCATGACAGCCATCTTTGAACGAGATATAAGATTGGAAACCTTGTAGTCTGTCAATCATGCAAAGGTGGTTTGATGCTGCTACATGTACATTCTGAATAGTGGCCTGAGTAAGCTACAGGCTTGTGTAAAAATGAAACATTTGTGTTCAAACCTATAAGATGTCAAATCTTTGCCATGTCATACATTGCTGATAGAAGTAGCATTGTTGTGTTTCTAGGATTATTTCCCAGCAGGAAGAAATACCAGTGAATGTGTCATTTGGCCAATGTTAAGTTTTGTCGAGTTACTTTCCCGTCAAATTGGTTGTCTGATAGAAATACTGGAAGCACAGGCCCACCGACACTCCCATCTTTTTGTAGACGCTCATATGAAGTTGATATTTTCAGTCAATAGAAGAGGGCCACATTTTTTAAGACGCAGGTGTGTTGCGTAATTTGACTTAAATTGATTTTTTTTCCAAACAGGGTTCATTAAGTACAGAAAGTGAGACACAAATACAAACTCTCATCTGTCGAGATGGAGAAAGTTTTCGGCTTCTGTGCAACACAAGTTTGCAGTGGTGCTCTAATAACAACATCCAACCATGAGCTAGTGACATGATAACAGAGGAAAAGAAGAAAAAGTCAGCTAAATTTAGTAGTTGTAGTAGTAGAAGTCGTTTGTTCAGTCATGACAACACCAAATATTGCACACAATATTGACATTTCACACAAAATCACTAAATCAAGAATCATGTGTTGAATATTGACTGAAAAGGCACAGGCAGAAGGCACTTTGCCAGAAAACAAAGAAACCACAACAACAGAGAATTAATCGCACTTATAAGCTTCAAAAATAGCTTTACAAACCATTTTCTTAAAAACCAAAACAGAATGACATGTTTTTAGATTTATGTTGGCATTATTCCAGAATTTAACTCCAATAATGAACAATAATGTACAGTAAAATTGCGAGCACCTCTGGGATTATACCGACTGTCCTGAATTGAAAAGAACCTCTGTATTTAAAATTAAAACAAGTTTTCTCTTTAAAATTATCAAATATCAATATTTAAACCCATCACTTTTTTAGTCTTTGAAGGGATAGCATCTTAATTTCTAAAAACAACCTCAACAGCAAATGTGGAGACGTGCTTGATGTTGATCAAACTAACATTGGTGGTTTTCAAATGATTAAATCCCTTCATTGATTTAAGCTCAAAAGCAACTCATCAAAAACTCATCTAATTTTCTGCTTGATTCCAATAGCACATTTAAAAAAAAAGATGGAGCAAGAGCGATAGCACATCGAAAAAGGCTGTTGATAAGTGACAAAAGATGCAACATAATAGTAAATATGTCCTATTCCAACTTTCTTTTAAATTTGTTTCAGGCATCAGATTTCAAATCAGCACTTACAGTGTTTTCCTTAAGATGGAAAAAATCTTTCAGATATAACATTTTATTTCATTTTGGCATAGGGGATCAATGATTTGCAAAATATTTAACTTTTTTTTTTCATTTCCATTCTACAAAGTGTTACGACTTTATTGGAAATCCCACTGTTACCTTCAGCGTAAATATATGAACTTAAATACTGATCAGATTTTCCTGGAGAATTATGTCATCTTTAAACTTTTTGTACCTCTGACAAACAATCCCATCTGAATCTATTGACCTGAAGAGTAAAAAAACAAAAATAAATACACATAAAAACAGTCAATGTTCTTTTTTTTTACCTGTTAATAAGCGCTCAATGTTAAAGTAATGTCATGGAAAAGAGGTCAAAGTAAATGTGAATTTCTGACGCATACTTGGACCACAGAAGCCTCAAGTTTCCCCAAATCAAACAATGACAGTTTGTATTTTTTTGAAAGAAAAATTTCCAAATGAAACTTAAGAAGTACTCTAAGCTGTCTTTTAGACCAATATATTAATGCTTTGTGAGGATGTAAACATTTTTGCAATAATAGGTGAATTATTGTTTTGTCTGTTGAAACCAGGCCGGTGTGTGAAGTGTGCAGTTTGACTAGCAGCCTATGGAGCTGTTAACTAAACGTATTTACTTGCCTGTTCTTCTATGAAGCAGCATTTTGTTTTGATTTCAGGATGTTTCCCTTTCAATCCTCACAGTTCCAACTAAACTAAAGAGAAAGAGGATAAAGAAAAAAAGAGATGTCTGTTTTAAAGGTGGTCAGACATTGCGTTTGCTCAACTCACATTATCAGTGCCAAACTTAAGGTAGAGATTCCAGTCGATTAAACTTTCTAGACGATTGGCAGTGGATCACATGAAAAGTGCTAAATCTAAATTCTCAGATTATTGTTACGTGTGGTTTTACCGTCATTAAAAATACATGTCAAAATACGTCAACTCTCTTTGTTATAACGCGATTACCTCATCACCACTTGAACCTGTCAACAGTGATTGCAGCATAAAAACCACATAAACCTAGAAGACTAATATTCAAATCTGTGGGTATGATCTGCACAAAAAACCACTCCTATGTTTGAGTTCAAACGGAGTGCAGCTTCTGACTCATATCTTATTGTGATTGGCAGGCACGTGTGTTGATTTAATCTCAAACATTTCTTTTTCATAACCCTCAGTGACTTCACTCTGAGCGGAATTCACATGTCAGAGAAATCATTATCGCTGCTCTTTTGTGTAACTCCGTTCTGCTTGTGTAATCTGCGGGGCAAAGAGCTACTAGGTGGGATAGCTACTTGTTGTCATCAAGTTCCCCAAACTGGATTTATTGTACACTTGGTTTAACCAAAAGGGCTTGCTCTGTGTTTACTGTACAAACATGAACATTGAAGTCGATTTAAAGAAATTTCTCACTGTGCCTTTCATGTTCATTCCAGAAACATCCTCATTCCTGTTTAGGGGGCGGCCTGTTGATAATGAGATCTGAGAGAGAAATTCATAAACTTTTATGACCGATGAGGTTGAAAGGGGTTTAAATCAAAGTGGTTTCATTCCTCTCTCTCTTTTTTTTTTTAATAACTGGTCATATTTCAAGAAGAAAAGTGCCAACTCCTGTTTGTTTTTCAATGTACTGTATTTGAAAGTTGTCTGTTGATAATTATATTTTGAAATATTTCCATTATATGCTAGTTTGCTCTCTTGCAAATTACCTGGTTGGTGCCATGCTCAAGTTTGTAGACTAAAACTTAAGGCGTCCAGCAGACTGCTATCTTTACTTTACTTTTAAGGGGGAACAGCTAGCCTGAGTAAAAAAATCTGCTCACCAGCAACCTGTAAACCACAAATAAAACACATAGGAAACATGTATCTTGACTGATAAGTGTAGGCTGTATTTTTTTTTTTTTTTTTTTTACACCAAATTGGATCACAAAATTAATGCCACCCACATATTAAGTACGGTCCGACTGATATGGATATTTTGGGGCCAATGCCGATGCTGATTATTAGGGGGGAGGGGGTCAGATTACTGATTAATTGGCCGATTTTTACAATGTTTTATGAATTTATAAAAAATAAATACATAAGTATATATATATATATATATATATATATTAACCCCCCCTCGCGCCGCCTATCGGTGCCTCCGCGTCTTAACTTGCGTTACTCATTTCCAGTCCATTACTAGCACGGCTAACGGTGTAGCAAGGCTAATAGCAGATGGCTAACTCTAACTTTAGCTTGCATATTACATGGTGCTTCACCGTTAACTCGGTGTGACCGAGACCAGCACAGCAGGGAACATCGTGAAGTGGGTTGAACTGAAACTTGTTGACTTGTGTACTTCACAAACTGCTTTACACCGTTGAGGCGGACCCTGAGTTGCCTGCTTCAGATCCGTCACTCTGCTGTACTGTGAGGTAGTTCGTGGATGAAGATTTTCATGAGGTCGCTGCGCCATCTACAGGATTAGTCGGGGAATTTTTTAAATGGCGGAACGTTTTCGAAGTGAAACCGCATCTTATTCTCCGCATTTTACTTGTGAAAATATCAGCGAAAATCTGCGCGTTTTGGCCAATTACAAATTAGTCTCACACGGTCTAAAATTGGCCAATTTAATGGACTCGCCGATAAATCGGTCGGGCCCTAATATTTAGGCTTAATATGAGCGTGAAACTACTCTAACGTTAGCTTAGCTTAACAGAAACACTGCTTGCCTCAGTCAAAGGACACCTACCAGCATGCTTTAATCCTCAAGTTACTCTTTTTATTCTGTTTAAACATCCTCCAAAGTCTGAGGATAGATTGTTAGAAGTGATAGATGTTTCCAGGCAACCAGCAGAAGCCCCCACAGGTCACCACCCCTGGCCATGAAATAGTTTGGCACGCCCCTGTGAATAGTATCAAGTGTCATTTGCAGGAAAGCAAATCAAAAACTTTTTTTTTTCTCTCTAAGGGTTTTAAAAACTAATTGAGAAAATGAGCGATAAAACCTTTATCTGTTGAATGAGAAATAGCCAAACTGAATGAGACTGAAAAGAGACAAAATCATGATGTGAATGTTCTGTAACACAAGAGTTACTATGAGGAAAAAAAGATTTTGTTGTTTTTGTCATATTAATGTAAGATGGCTATGGTGCACTGCATAACTCTGATTTATCATCAGCAGCATTTCTTCTCATAGTGCTGAAGAAAGTAAAAACTCCTTTTGGACGTCATGTTTTTTAAACTCTTTTTTTTTTAACCCCATTTCCATCTAAAATGTGTGACAGAAGTCTCAGTGAACATGAATGTTGAAAGAAAAGAAGCCAGCAACACGGTTTGCACCAAAGTGCGACACATCATCTCCATCAGAGGTTTCATTATCATCTCTTAATAAGAGTCCCCGGGGACCATCACAAACAAATCTGCTAGACTGTAAAACACCCCCCTCTTGTCCGTGATATGAGATGAGTCTCTGTCGAAATACTGAAAGTATCAGAAAACTGTAATATCTCTTCATATTATTCTAAATGTGAATTTTTTAGATCTTTTTTTTTTTTTTTTTTTTTGTCTGCTACGAGGGTGAGATCACCACCAGAGGGTGATGTACATGTACGGGTCTGAACTGTACATTTTTGTGATGGATTTGTGTATTTACTTACAGGTTGCATTGGCCTAACTTTGTGACTATTTAACAATTTATGAATCGAATGAGTGCCAAATATGCTTGAGCATGACAAAATCTGGGACCTACAAGAAACTGCAGGTACTCTCTGTCTCACCAGTGAGACTCCAGTGACTCACTACTGTTGTAGACTCTACTTGTGATACGAATGCTCACCTGAAGGTTTAACCATGCGATATATTTTTGCCGAAAGAGGGGGAAACTTTTTTCGTTTCTGTCTCAGTTTGAAACTTGTTTCTTCAGATATTTGTTGTATGTTTCTGTGTCCATCCATGGCTTATATAAATGAGTATGCAGTGATGGTCGTAACATGCTTCCATTAGAGGTGAATTTCAAAAGCTGATTTGCTCAATTTGTCGGACTGTCAAAAGAAACGTTGGGTCATTTTTATTCTTTAATCATTCCATACAGAGACTTGTTGTGTGTTATCTGACGACCTCCTCATCCCAGTCAGTCCCAAAACAAAGTGAGCCTGACATTGAATTTTATCAATTATACAGTGTGGATTTGTCCAAAATGTAAAAGTAAATGTAATTCTAACATTAAAATGAATCTATGAAAATACCCCTGTGCATTGAACAGTGTCTATTTTTGCTCTAACTGTATCTTTAAGTGTCTTAAAGAATCAGGAATTATTTTCAGCTCATATCCTGTATGATTTCTAACACCGCAATGTTTACAAGACATAACCTGAATACTTTAAAAGCAGAACTGTTTACAGTCACTTCAATGCAACACGTCTCAAGAAAAGGGGGGATGGTTTCCTGGGTAAGAAGGCAGGATTCTTTTGTGAGCAGACCCTCACAGTCTTGGAGAAAAGATACTTTGTTTGCACTGGTCCATTTATTATTTCTAAAGACACATTCAAGTCAGAGCCCAACTGACCTGTTTATGTGTGTAATACAATACAAAAACCACTGAGGGGATAATCACTCGTCCTCTAGGCCAGCAGCAGAAAAAAAAAGCTGTGCTCTGTGTGAAAAAAAAAAAAAGTTAACTGTGTGAACCACCACCCACAGAAGATTTCATTGTACAGCTGTCTGCAGCTCAGCAACCTGCCCAGGATTCATTCATTATTGTCCCTGAGGACACAGTCATATTCAATAGTGGTGCTTTAAACTGAAATTTAATCATGATTTTATTTTGAAGTTGTTTTGCAGCTTAAAATACTAAACTGTAAACTGCCTGTGAGTAAACAATCTAAATAATCTGATACACAGAGCATGGTCCTTGTTGAGTCTGGAGATTACAGGAAACTGTGAGTATCTGCTTAAAATAGTGTCTGTCTTGTGTTAATCTGTCCTTTTTTGTTTTATGGTTATTGAATAATTGTATCCAAAGAGGAGCCTCAAAGATAAAACAGGGCTGCTGTTGTTTGTAGTCTCCTCTACGTTGCTGATGTAAAGTCTGGAGGGTTTAAGTTGATTAAAGGACTCAATAATTTACTTTGTTGTAACAGAACACAGGTAGACAGACAATGCCTCCGTGTGGCGTCATGAAACTGGCTCTAGACTTTGTTGAGAGTTGAATTTCTGTCTGAACACCAAATGTACCTGAAATATGATCAGCTGAAATTTCCAGTCTCTCAGTGGAGTTTTTACTACAAACAGTCCACTGTGTAACAAACAGAGAGTTTTGCATGAGAGCTGCCGTGTGACAGGAAGTTTTGGTCGGGCTGCACATGTACAGGAAAATGAAATTGAAGACAAAAAAAAAGAGAGAAAGAAAAAAAACTTCCTCTGTTGTGTAGAGGAGCAGTTGAAACAAGCGGTGGAAAAACTTGACTGTCAGTCCTTCTGAAGCAAATTCTGAAGTTTGTGGTTTAGGGGGCGGGGTTTCTGTGAGTACTATACAAGAGTATAGTAACAAATCCTAACAACCAATATGTACGAATTATTGCAGAAAACTAGTTTACAGTCTGATTTAGATTGAGCTAAAACGTGACTATTCCTAAATACTAAAATACTTACAGAAGGCAAACACATAGTTAAAATTACAGACTTTTTTTTTTTACAGGTATCAGCAGTTTACCTCAGCCCAACATGCACGCTAACCTCATGCCGACTTTCACTTCTCTAAACCGTAACTTTATTGTTTAGCTGCTCCCTTAGCCCTCGCTTTGACCTTTTTTTTTTCATTTGGCACTCAGCTACGGAAACGTTTTGCATCCACTTGAGGATTTTTGTTTCTAATCCATTGCTCTGTTCTTCAGAATTAACAATACTGGTGCCTCAAAACCCAAACTCCTTGAGTGTTCAGTTTAATCCAGTTTTGATTTGGGTTTAAGGCACTGGGGGATACGCATGTCTCATAGTAACATGGTATTGTTCATGTTTAAAGCTCCAGTAAGGAGTTTTTTCATAGGTTATAAAACAGACTGAAATGAACAGTGATATGTCCCTATGATGTATAAAAACAAAGAAAACTATTGGTGTTAAGACTGGAAATTTAATTAGGATAAAATTTAGAGCCTGGATCCGCTATGACAGGGTAGGTACACTGACAAAAACTGCCTTTCCTAGTTTTCCTGCAGGGAATCCTCTCAGTGGGTGATACTCTTCACTGTAAAAAGACAGCAGAAGGAGATTTTTGTCAATTAACAGTACTTTACAAGGACAAGACAAAATTAGTAATGTCCACAGAGGGCACCAAACTCAACACAGATGAAAAGTATGAGGTTGTAAATGTTGCACAGGTGTGTTGGGGCCTCCCCGCACCCTAACAGCAGAATAAAACTAAACAGACATTTAAACATTTACAGCCCCCACCTCAGTGTTCAATATCAGTAAAAGAAGAGAACATATAAACTGATAGGTTCAGATAAGTTTTGACCTGATGAGGACTTAAGAAGTTGTAGTGGATCAACAAATAATTACATCCTGTTACTAAACTTTGTTAGATCAAAAAATGCTCAGTGGGATTTGATTCAGAGGTCTAATAGACGTCTAAATGTAGCCTAGACGACTGGTCTAAAATCAGGCTACCACAGGTCAAAAACGAAACGTTTTTTAGATGTCCAAATTTAGTCTAAGTCTAAATCTGGGCTATATTTATACTATACTGTATTTTGCTAAACGGCTATCACAATTATTTTGGTTAAATACTTGGAAATCAGTTATGCAACTCATGGTTGCTTTTTGAGAAATAAATAGTTATTGAATAATGGGTTAAAGTGCAACATCTAAATTCCGACTAAAAATATACAGAATTTAGACCGTTGAAATTTGGTCTAAAAGAAAACTAGACTAGTCTAATAGTCTATTGCTCAGTGGGATGTAACTCCAAATACTAAAAATATACACTTTACTTAAAGCATCACTGCCAACCTGCATGTCCACAAGAAGAAGAGTATACTATGCTGGTGCCAAATTATCTTTTAGTGTGAAACTTAATAAACTTAAAGCCTTTGTTTATCTATTAAGGTGAGGTATCTGGAAAAAAAACAACAACAACAAAAACCTGCAGGGACTGTGATGTCATGCATCTCTGGGGTTTCTGAGATAATTACTTGTTATACTTCCAGCCACCACTCCTGTTATTTAATGTTGGCCTGGAACTCCACTTTCTTTGTCATTGCTCGAACTGCAAACTCTTGCCCACTACGCACCAGGAACAAAATCCTGAAATGCAGCTAAAACGATCTTTGGATAAGGAAACATTAATGACTGGACTTTCTGACTTGTTTAAATCCGAGCGTACAGCTTGTGCCGGGTACACATAATGTCGGGGTGCAAGGCCTAGCCAGCAGCCAATTTCAGGAATGTGTCTTGGTTTATGGGCACTGGCGGTTTGGCTCTCTGGGTAGGAACACTCAAAATCCTGGAAAAAATAATATACCGAGGAAATGGGATTGAATCATATGACTACATTTGCCACCACCAATTATCGGCTGCTTTTAGAGACTATGGACTGCATATTTCTCATATGATTTAAGCTCCTCAGTTACACATTTAAATGAAACGTGAATCTTTATTGTCAATGCATGTCTGCCAGGGGAACACACCTCAATATACACAAAAGCGGTTTTATGGTTGAAACCAGTATTTCTGGCTGGCCCACCTGCTCGCCATCGTTACTGGAGATCATCTATTGACAGCTGTTCAGGGGGGGTTGCTCACACAGGCTTGTTTCAGATCACTGGAGGTGGTGGATTCTGTGCTGCTTTATGACAACCGTTATTTAGCCATGTCTCAGGACACTCTATTTGTGCTGCTCATCTTGCCAAAGTAACCCGTTTTTCCCATGTGGAGGTTGTCTGTTCCTGTCCAGAGTCAGCATCAGATTTGGTGAGTAGCGTGTCTTTTCTTCTCAGTTTTTAAATCTGATATCTGCATGTTTGTTAAGACGGACGTATAACTATCCAACTTTCTCTATCCATCTCATTCCCACATATCAAATATGCTCTATCATCTCTACGCTATTTGTAAAACTGTTTGCTCAGTCTGTTTGCCGACTCCTAACTTGTGCTGTAATTGATACTCCTGAAACCTGCATCCCTCTGTATTGTTTTTCAGTGTAAATAACTTTTTCTTTTATTATTTTTAACTGTTATCTGTACTCAAAATATGATCAGTTTCCTTTCATATTTTCATCCCTGCTGAAAAGAGCTGACTATGATTCTGGCAAAGTCTTCGAAGTGCAGTTATCCTGCTTTGAGGACCATCCATATTAAATAAGGGGACAAACAGGAGTGTAACACTGATACATAGACGTACGAGAAACGGCATTTAACAAAACTTTTTACTCACCAGTCCCTATTTAGTCTTTTTAAAGTGAATTTTTCAGATAAGATATTCCTTTATTAGTCCCAAAGGGGGAAATTCCAGATTACAGCAGCATAAATACAAGTACAAAAAGAGAAATTAAAGGATAAAGAAACTTAAGAGTTAAAAAATATATATATACATGAGTCTTATTTAGATTTTAACATTATTATAAAGTACTGGATTAGATTCTTCATCCATCTACTAAAGCACAGTGAAATAGTTTCGGTTGCACATTCGAGACTTCATAACAGAAGCTAGTTAAACACTGAGATAAGAAAAAGATAAACTTCATTGTTGCAACAGTGATAAATCTTCTCGGAGAGCGACAATAAAATCAATGGCTGTAAAACAAGAAGAGGGAAGTGAGGGAAACAAAACATCGAAATACTAACTCATTAATGTTCAGTAGAAGTAAAGTGTGATAAGCCTGTTGTAGATAAGTGATAAAGCGAACAATAAAGATCAAGAAGATAAGATTATCTTTGAAATTTATTACCGTAAGGAGTGAGAAAGCGGACGATGATAATGCATTTAAATAAAGTTCAAAGATTTCACACAGTTTTTAAAAAGCAGAGAAGTCAAGTTCACTTTGTGGGAGAACCTGCAGATGATGGTTTACATCACTGCTTCCTCTTATTATTGTTTTTCAATGATTTACCACTTAAGCTGCAAAATCCCAACAGGCAGATAACTGGAGCCTGAGTACAGCCACTGACACAACAGAGACGGCTCAGCTGATTTGGTTTAGTTGTTAGCAACTGAGCTAATCTCAGTGAGTCAAGCTGCCATGTCTCAGTGGAAAAATACAGCAGGGAAGTGGTTGTATACCCTGGAACGTTGTCAAATCCCAACACTTTGTCAACTCAGACGGCATGGTGTGCACACCAGATCGACCAATAATTAGGTCATAGAGGAGCCAGAGGAAACCATAGCTACTTTGTTTCTCACTCTGGCTCTGCTCATGACATGTTGTTTGTGTAGAGATCCTGCCGTACGCCCAGCTGAGAGGAATACTGATCAGTTTGTTGTTGCTGGGAGCAACTCTTGGGGGAGGGGGCTTTGTGATGGAGGGGTAAGTAACTCACTATGTTTTTTTGTTTTACACTAGGCTGCTTAATGCATCGTTTAGATTCTGAATTATGCTCTGAAAAAGAACAGCTTTTCTGACAAACACCTGCCAGTGAAAACTTTCCATTCCTGGTAATCCTGCCAGCTTAAACAAATAAATAAAGCTTATGAGAAATGCCAAAGAATCAGCTGAGTGGGTCTGTCTAAAAGCCCAGAGCGACAAAGGTTTGACAGTTTGTGTCTTAAAAAGGTAGTGGAGGTGAAAGGACATTTCGGGTCAGATTCTGAAGCTTTGGGTTTTTATTTTGCTATTGCTCCCAACCATGTCAAGGGAATTCCTGAAAGGGAACAGCCTTGAGACTCCTGGTCAAGAAAACAGTCTGGTTAAGAAGACTCAGCTGCTGGATCGGGGCCAATGGGCAAATAAGTTGGAGTTCTTGCTGGCTGTTGCAGGAACCCTGGTTGGGCTGGGAAACCTTTGGCGGTTCCCCTATCTATGCTACAAAAATGGGGGAGGTAAGTATGCAAGAATTTGTATATGAATCATTCAACACTTTCCACTTTCCACTGCACAAAGTCAAACAACTTAGCTGAATCAGAGCAGAAAGGTTACTAAGTAATGAAGAAAATAACCTTGGCACGTTCAGGAAATCAGATGATAAGGATGTGTCATGGACTGTGCTCAAAGCTGCTATTTGTTAGGAGAGACACTTTAGTCTTTGTCATGACAACCAAAGAACAGAGGTGTGCATTGTCTTAATCTCTTCCTGAGAGAATGTAAAATTCTGGCTGTGGACAACAGTATTGTTTGTAGATGAAACATAGTTGGCATGTCATTTAAACAAGAACAGGAATGGCAGTGTTAAACCTCTTTATGATTAGAGAGAGCGGTATTTCCCCTGCTCACTCCTGACACGTTTCTCCAAGGTGCGTTTTTGGTTCCATACGTCCTGTTTCTGCTCTCCTGTGGTATCCCGATGTTCCTCCTGGAGACGGCCATGGGGCAGTTCACATCTCAGGGATGCATCACCTGCTGGAGGCATTTCTGCCCCTTGTTTGAAGGTCAGGATTTAAACAGACCTGCATGATGTGATCTGTTCTTTCCTGTTTTTTTAAAATACAAACATGCATACTTACTCTTTATGGCTTTCTTATACGATGCAGCATTTTTTTTCAATGAGTTTGCAAAGAAAAGACTACAAATAAGCCTGATTCAGTAGCATCAACTTTGCTTTTTCTCTTTAACTTCTGAACATGATGACTAAAACCATGATCTTGGACATTAAAGGTACTGTGAGCAGTTTTTAACTTGCTGAGAAAGAGACTGAAACTGATACTGATGCCTCTTTACGTCCTTCAAAGGCAAACAAGACCATCAGCGACAAGGCTGATCATTTCTCTGTTTTAAATTTTAATGCCCTGAACCACTGTGAGGGGGTAGGTGTCACATCAGATGATTGGCAGCAGTCGGTTTCTAATTTTCCTACGGCTAATACAGGTAGTGAGTGATTTATTTCCTTTTAAATGAAAAAAAAACAGGAGTAGTTTTTTTTTTTAAAGATCTACTTTCACGTGTACTGAGCAGAACTAACACAAACAAGAAGTTCCCCCCTCATAGCAGCTTTAAAGGAACAGATACATTACACATTATTTAACGCAGAAACACAAACTGCTGGTGTGAAACAGCATTTGGATCACTACGAGTCAGTGTTTTATTTTTTTTAATGTCAACAAATCCTGTGGTAAGACTACAATCAAGTTGATTAAGTCTGTCTCTGACTTTCCTACCCTCTCTGTTATAAATTTTACTCATAAGCTGCTTACAAATATAGAATTTAATTTCTAGAATGGCTTAATATTTACCTTAAACAGCTTAGCATTGTGGCTTTGACCAAAGTTTGTTTGAACTATTGTAAATAATGCATTTCCCAATTTTTTCATCCATGTATTAATGCACATTTAAGGCTCCAGTGAGTCAAGGTCCATGTCTATCATGATATTGAAAAAAGTCCTGAAACAACAGATCGGTTCAATTTGGAATACTTGTTCGTCCTAGATCTTTAATGAGCTTCTAGTGTAGTAGTTTTGTAGTTTGAGCATCCAGGAGACAGCTCTCAACTTCATTTTCTATTTTTTTCTTTTTGCCAAGTTCACTAACTTAGACAAGTCACCTGTTAGTTAACCTTGGTCATGGCAGCTGTGTCTGAGAACAAATGGTGAGAAACTCTACACCAGTAATCAGTGCTAGTAGAGGACTGATCCATGCCGCCCTCCAGCAAGCGTGCCTGCCCTGAGCTGAATCACCATCACCCCAGAACAGCTGAGGTTTTGTTTCTGCTCCTCAGCGCAAAGTCAGCTCACTTATCCTAACCTAGTAGTTTTGTACCTGTACTTAAGATTTTACCATCTGTTAAAACAGTTTATAGCATTTTTTTGGTCTAAAGGAGGTCTAAATGTAGACTAGACGACTGGTCTAAAATCAGGCTACCACAGGTCTAAAAGTGAACGTTTTTTAGATGTCTAAATTTAGACCGAGTTTAGACTAGCCGGCTAACAGAGGTCTAAATGTATATTGCTTCACAGCTATCATAACTATTTCGCTTAAGTACTTGGAGATCAGTTATGCAACTCACAGTTGCTTTTTGAAATAAATAGTTATCGAATAATGGGTTAAAGTGCAACATTGAAATTTCGTCTAAAAATACACAGAATCTAGATGGTTAAAATTAGGTCTAAAAAAGACTAGACGTGTTATAGCATCTATTGCTCAGTGGGTTTTGAGCACAAAAAGTCATTTCTTGGAAAGAGATGTTTTGGGCTAACATAGGGTTAGCATTGACGGTTAATAAGGCTGTGACTTCTCACTCATCTCCCAGTTTTGTCAAGTGTTTGTGGCATGGATCCTAACAATTTTCAAATCTGTCCAAAGAGAGGACAAGAAAAAGTTGATATAGCATGTCTTTTCCTCTCCTTAGATGGCTATGACTGTCACTGTGTATTTTGAGGCACAAAAGACTGCTGCCTGCACAATGTTACACCACCAACAATGAGCATAAGCCATCAGATAGAACCTGCCGCCCCCTTTTATATAGAAATGCGTACAAAAAACCTGCTGAAAAACACAAAAACAAGATTTCCCTCATGAACTTTAAAAATGTAAGCTATGTAACAAATGCACACTGTCACATGAGGATGTATCTTTCTATGGAGGGTTCCTGCAGCGCATGACCAACACTTCACAACAAACAGGAAGCGTGAGTTTTCGTAACAAACACATATAACGGAGCGCTCTTTATGACAGAGTTTAACTCATAAGGTCGAGTTTACAGCTACAGACCGCAGCAGGCTTTGGGATAACGTCACCAACATAAAGCCACTAATTGTTGTCACACGCAACCCCCAGATGATGTGTGTTTGCTTATACTCACACAAAACTGCAGAGACAGTGAAAATGGGAGGAGGAAAATTGAAGCGTAACTCAAAATAGCCTCGAACGATAAAACATCAACACTGAACAATTACTTTCTTTGTGAAGGTTGGCATGAAACCATGAATCAGCAGTGGCCCCATCAAAGTACTGATGTCTCAACACAATGTTATTTGGTTTTCGCCTTAAACTGAGCATGGGAATATAAAGTGCATCATGATTATTTGATTCATTTTTTTTTTCAAATAAGGAAAATTTCTCAGGCTGCTCATCTTACTTCAGTCATTTCAGTTACCAAACAATGGAAGTAAAGCACAAGCAAGTGTTTGTCAGGCATGAAAACGCTGTGGGAAAATCCTTCAATAGTTTGCATACACCTGCTGCCCTGGTTTGTAAATGCTCTTTCACCCCTCTCACCACTTCTGTCCTAAACCGCCTGTACAGTCAGTACAGAATGCCGCTGTAAGATTACTATAGGTCACTCCCACACTGATTTCTCTTCATATGGCGTCCTGTGGTTTATAGGATCAAGTTTAAAACTCTCCCTCCTACTTTTAGAGTCCTCCTCGGTCAGAACTCTCTACACCTGCTGTTTATCCCTCCAACATGCCTTCAGACTCATGGAGATAGTGCCTCTTTTTTACAGTCTGTTGAATCTTTTAGAAAGGGGTTAAAGGCATGTCCGTTCCAAAATGTTTCTCCAATGTGCTGTTCAAGTCTGGAGAGTGTAAAACAGCAGCTGCCAGTCATCTGCTGCATATTAAACTGTAAAAGTCACATATTAATGTACTTGTGATTTCCACACATTGGACGTTGAAGGGAATCCTTCCAGCGACCGGAGTGCTAACAGCATCTCTATCAGCATGGAGTCAATGCCAGGGACACATGAGCAGGGAGTCCCTGTGATACCTGGCGGCCATTATTCAACAGTTGCCACATGAAATATTGTGATATGTTAAGATTTTTGGGTCGTGTATAGTAATAATAATATCCATCCATCCATCCATCTATCTTCCACCGCTTATCTGAGATCGGGTCGTGGGGGCAGCAGCCTGAGCAGAGAAGCCCAGACTTCCCTCTCCCTAGCCACTTCTTCCAGCTCTTGGGGGATCCTGAGGCGTTCCTAGGCCAGCTGACAGACATAGTCTCTCCAGTGTGACCTGGGTCTTCCCCGTGGTCTCCTACCAGTGGGACGTGCCCTGAATGCCTCACCAGCAAGGCGTCAGGGAGGCATCCTGATTACATGCCCAAGCCACCTCTTATGACTCCTTTCAATGCAGAGGAGCAGCAGCCCTCCTCCAGGGCCCTCCCGAATGACCGAGCTTCTCACCCTATCGCTAAAGGAGAGCCCAGCCACCCTGCGGAGGAAACTCATTTCGGCCTCTTGTACTCCAATCTTGTTCTTTCACTTCGTCACTACCCACAGCTCGTGACCATAGCTGAGGGTAGGAACGTAGATCGACCAGTATTTCGAGAGCCTTTTAGCTCAGCTCCCTCTTTACTATGACAGATCTGTGCAGCGTCCACATGACCAGGTTTAAATCGGCGAGCTTTCAGCGCACTTTACACGCCGGCTGCGAGCACAAAATGTCACTGTGCCAGCTGATTCTGTCGACACCTCCCCCTGTCACGCCACTACGCCCAGCTTGGCGGACCTTGGTGCGCCTCAGTCCACAAAAATACCAAACTAGCTGTACGCCGGGCTGCGCCAGACGAAAATACCACTGTGCGGGGTCCACCACCCTCCGCCGCGTCCCCGGCGGACACGAAAATAGAGCCCATAGTGTCAAACTGGAGTTTTGGATTGCACCGACTATTTGAAACAAGGTTAGAGAAATATGAAAAAAAATCTCTCAGAAGTTCTCTTAAATAGTCATTTTACACAAGCAGATGTGTGTAGTACAACATAGAGCAAGAACACGAGAGAGACTGAAGGGTTAAATATCATGAAAAGTTTTTGCAAAATCTGTTTTACCATTTGGCATCAGTTAACAGCTGATTGAGATCTGTGTTTTAAACATGCCCACCAACCCAAACCCCTTCATATGATTGGTTCATGTTGTTTCAGAATATTGGTGTGTCCTGCATAATTATCTCAACCTTGTTTTTGTAAATTGACCGACCTCTGTGTGTCTCCTCAGGGATCGGTTATGCTACTCAGGTTGTGATTGCATACGCTGCTGTGTCGTATATCGTCATCCAGGCGTGGGCTTTCTTCTACCTCTTTTCCTCCTTCAGGGCTGAGGTTCCATGGGCCAGCTGCAGGAATGCCTGGAATACGGGTAAACACGCAAACCAATTCAGCAATTAGATCTGTGTAACAGTGTGTGAGTCATTTCAGTCTTTTATGTTACAGCCTCTGAAAAAGCAGGAACAGTGACCATGCGATGGGTTTATCAGCAGCTTTGCAGCTTAAAAGTTAAACATTAAAACTAAAAGTTGTTGACTGGAGATATTTTTTGCGAAATGTAGAAAATCAGTCACATATCATAAAATAAAGTTCAAGGATGACTTTTATAATCAAAAAGAACTGTATCTGTCTGCTTGGATGTGTTGATAATACTATCACCTCCCGTTTTCCCTTTTATTTATCTTAGAGTCTTGCGTTGAATTTGATCGGAGGAATGTATCATCCAACTGGACAGCAGCTGCGAACGCAACAACACCAGCAACAGAATTCTGGGAGTGAGTGTGATACCAACTCTCTTTCTTTACTCTTACTTTACTGTCTCTTGCCAAAAACATTTCAAATTAACTCTGCAAATTCTCTGAAGACCATGAATGTGGCATAGCCTCAGTTTTTTTCATCTTAGCATGCTATATTTCTGATTTCCATGAAATGCCATTATGTCTGGTTAATAAATGGATAAGAATAATGATAATGATTAATCTTCTTTCGCAGAAACTTTTCCCAAGTTCTTTCAGTGATTTCCAAAAAAACAAGCCCAGTTCCATCAATCTAGTTAGCTGACCTTTAGGGGTTTTCATGAAAAAGTTAAGCATTTCACTTAAAGTTCTGATTTTTGGGGATGCATTTATGACTGTATGTTATCTACTTTTTCACCATAGAGATTACAGGTATCCAGTATCCTGGATTAGATTTCTTCCCCTCAGATAGTTAGTCCTCTTACTTTGGCCCAAAAACAAACAAAGAGGTCTTGTTTTTTTTTGTTTCACACACTGGCTGACCAACTTCACAGAGACCAAAGTGACAAATCCATCTTTTTCCAATGTCACATGCTGAGCTAAAAATGTAACTGAATGAGTAACAAAAAAATGTTAGGCTCTTTGAGGACAAAAGTTGTGCTCAGTAATGTTCCACTGCTCCAAAGCGGCACTTGAATAACTATTTCCATTTTGGACTTCGGCTATTTAAGTATTGACTTCCACAAGAAATTAAAAACCACCTGTTGAAGGGACAAAAACACTTGCTTATTTCAACACAAATGAGGTGCAACATAATGTAATAAGTCAACCATTATGCCCATTACCATCATAGAAAATTGTTTGATTAGTAGAAGCCTAAGTACCAACTTTTTTCCCTCCAGTTACTGTTACTCAGGTTATATGATATATCTTGGCACAGGAGGCGAGTCCTGGGCATATCTGGAGGCATTGACGAAGTCGGGAGTCTGAGGTGGGAGTTGGCTTTGTGTCTTTTACTGGCCTGGATTCTGTGCTACTTCTGTGTTTGGAAAGGAGTGAGATCCACCGGAAAGGTAGAAACCATTACTTGAAGAATGACACTGGATTGTGTGAATGTGAATGTCTGTCTCAGTTGAAGTACAGCATCTAAGAATGAAATCACATAAAAAAAGTACGAAAAAAAACAGCATGTATTTGATGGCAGCTTTATGTGTACAAAAAGGTTGGACAGGAACAACATAACACTGAAAAAGTTGTTTATTGCATCTCCCAGCTAATGAGGATAATGTGTACAAAGTTGATAACATGACCTGAAGTAAAACGGGTTTACCACCCTGTGACGAGACTGGGTAAGCAAATAGTTCAGCACTTACAGGATAATGTTCCTCGGTATAATCTCAATAAGCATTTTTTGGTCTAAAAGAGGTCTATCAGACGTCTAAATGTAGCCTAGACGACTGGTCTATAACCAGGCTACCACAGGTCTAAAATTGAACACTTTTTAGACGTCTTAATTTAGACCAAGTTTAGACTAAATCTAAATCTAAATCTGGGTTATATCTATACTACACTCTGTATTGTTAAACGGCTATTTTATTTAAGTACTTGGAGATCAGTTATGCAACTCACAGTTGCTTTTTGAAATAAATAGTTATCGAATAATGGGTTAAAGCTCAACGTCTAAATTATGTCAAAAAATATACAGAATCTAGACGGTTGAAATTAGGTCTAAAAAAAAAAAAAAACTAGACGTCCAATAGCCGTCTATTGCTCACTGTGAAATCTCAATGCATTTATGGATTACATGGCTTACAGTATGAAATGTTAGAAAAAGATTTAGAAAATCTGCAGAAGTGTCCGTATTAAAGGGTAGACTAAAACCCAACAGTGGATGGCTCTAATCTTCTGGACTTCTGTTGGCATTAAGTTAAAAGTTAACACTTCTCTCAGGCTGAAATCACTGCAATGGTTCAGAATCACTCCCCTAACAGTGTAAACACATATGTATAAACATGACTTAGAAACACTTGCAAATTCTCGGGGCTACTTTGGTTCAGGATGAAGGCAGAGAAGGAAAGGAAGGCAAAGACGAAAACTTTCCTGTGGTCTGATGAATCAAAATTTGACATTATTTTTGGAAATCATGGACGCCTCCATCTACACTCTCCTGAAGACCACTGGCTTGTAATCAGCATGCAGTTCAAAAGCCAGTTTAGTGATGGTGTAGAGATGCATAAGTGCCCATATAAGACACCAATAATTCTGAACAATACAGGCTTCGGAGCAACATTTTGCCGTCGCCTGTACTACGCCTTTTTCTCATGGTTAGACCTTGCATATTTCAGCAAAACAATATTAAACAACTGCACAGCTCCAAAACAGAAGAGTGCAGGTGCTTAACAGGCCTGCCTGCAGTGCTGACTTGTAACCCACTGAAAACATTTGGCGCACTATGAAATCAAAAGTACAACAAAGAGACCCCAAACTGTAGAGCAGCTGTGTGGAAAGGTTTTCTCCATGATGTTTCACATAGTCCACATTCCACTACAGCTGTGAGATTGAACCGAGGCCATCTGTGGCTCCCTGGGCAGTGGGGTGATCTGAATTAGTGCACTGATTGTGTCGCAACAAACAGTATGACACAGAGACTGACTTTAGTTTTGTTTTGTGTTATGAATTCGAGGTGATGCAACTGGACTTCCCATTTTGAAATAGATTTATTATGTCATGCTTAAGTTTTGTTTTATCTTTTTGGTTCCTATGACTCCCAATAGTTAGTTCCAACTAAAACATATAAATCAGAGGAAAATAAAAACTGGAAAAAAATAGTAATAATAATAATTTGAAAGATTTTTTCCGGATGATTGAACACATTTTTAACTAGAAAAGCACTCGGAGAGCGCAGACCTCCGCCATGCAGCTCATGTCCCCCCTTATATTGTGATTCACACCAAAACTTTTACTGTTACGTGTCTTTTATTAACTTTTATTTGTGTTTAAACTGGTATGTTCACTGTTCATAATGTTCCTAAAACTAGAAATTCCCTGACCCGGATTCGAACCCAGGACCGTCTTGCTGTGAGGCAGCAGTGCTAACCACTACACCACCGTGCCGCCCATTGGTTACCTTTCAGCATTGAAAATTCCAACGACACCCTTATTTTTGTGTGTTCTGGGTCACGGTATCCAGAATTTTGTCTGGATCAGGATCAACCTTTGACACCTCATAAAACTCATTGAGATCCTTTTGTGTAATTTTTTTACTAAAGACTCTGGACATTTTTATAGAGTTAAATGCAAAAATTCCAAAATTTGCCCTATCTCACAATGATAAAGAATCCTTCAAAAAATTCCTGGATCCACAAGGCGATCCGAATCACCACCAAAATGTAATGGGATCCGTCTGTTACTTTCTCCGTAAAGTTGCAAACAGACAAACAAACCAACAAACAAACAAACAAACCAACAAACAAAGGCTACCAAAAACATAACCTTCTTGGCGGAGGTAATCAATAAAACCACCACTTACCTCAGAATGACTGCTGTCGTCAGGCATTCGTTGGCACTCAACTCACGCTGTGCTTACACCTTTGCCTTACAACAACACCAAAATCACTGTTATTGGTAGGTTTACAGCTCACAATGCTAAAAGGTGGACTCCTTCATCAGACAAAGTGGGAAAACTTCACTTTCAAAACTTCAGAACCCAAACCGAACTCTCTTTGGTCCCCAAAAATTTACAGAGTGCAATTAAGAGATGATGTTAACATGCCCAATCCCAACTTTGAAACATAACACTGCATCAAATTTTCATAAAACTGTCATTTCTCACTTTGATATTTGCCCTATTTCTAATTTTATATGTGATCTAAATAAATTGAAAATCATCAAAATCTGTTTTTATTCATATTTTAAACTATATTCAACTTTTGTTAAACTGGGTTTGACTAACTGAAGAAAAAAAAAACACCCTTTCTCTTTTCATTCTGTGAAAAACAATGAAATAAATTCAACTGAGGTTTCTTTTTCTTTTTTTTTTGCAAAGACAGATCATATATTTTGTAAATACACAAGTAAGCACTGGGAAACCGAGGTGGCACTGATAATAATAGTGTAGGTAAATCACTGATAGTCTGTGCAAAACAAGGTTTTATAGATTTGAAGTCCACCCAAGAACCATAAATAAGAATTTCCCTGACACTTAATTTATTACCCAGTTATATTAAAAAGCATAATAAATCGTCTAAGTGACTAATGATGGGTGACGGTGTACTTATGCATGCCATAGAAGTAACATTTTACAATGTCTCCTTGTTTTGTTTATGTATTTCCAGATTGTGACTGTAAAATCACATTGTTAAAGCAGTAAAATTAGAAGCTTAAACCCGCCTTCATTTCTTGTTGACAGGTAGTTTACTTTACAGCCACTTTCCCCTATGTGATGCTCATTGTTTTGTTGGCGCGTGGACTCACTTTACCGGGAGCTATGGACGGCTTAGCTTTCTACCTGTATCCTGACCCCACAAGGTTGGTGGACCCTCAAGTAAGTGATCATTTCAGATGTTCAGTTTCTATATAAAGACAAGCTGCCAGCACAAAAGCCTCCTCCTGGAAGCCAATATACTTTAAAAGCTGTACAATGATAAATAACTGAGCAGCAGTCTACACTCTTCTGGTAGTTTAGCTTTTGGAGGTTTACTAACATTTGGCATCTGCTTAGGTTTGGATGGATGCAGGTGCACAAGTTCTTTTCTCTTTTGGGATTTGTCAGGGGAGTTTGACAGCTCTGGGCAGTTACAATCAATATAACAATGATTGTTACAAGTAAGTGCTTTCTGCTTTCTTTTTTGTTTTCCTCATGAAATCCATCACTAAAAACATCTGTAGGTGTTAGTCGAAGATTTGACATAGTAGTTTACGTAATCTTCACATTTAGAGAACATAGACCAAATAATGTTTGGCTTATTTGTTTAAAGGTCTCCTATTATGGCATTTTCATCAAGTTTTAATCGTCCACAGAGGTCCCTTAATAGTAAATTTGAAGTTTGTTGTCTAAAACACCAGTTTATTTGTGGATATCAGCCAGTCTGTACCGCCCTCTTTTAGAGCTCCACTGAGAACGGGCTGATTCTGCGCCTGTACTTCAATGATAATGAGCTGTGTGTAACCACGCTCTTCCGCCCCAAGGCCACTCTGGGCTGCCGTCACTGCCGCGATGGTCCAGGAGCAGTGGTCTGGAGATCTTCTGAGGATCTCTTCAGAGGACCTCCAGACCACCGTGGCTGGAAACACCAGCCTGCCTCCGCACCCCCGGGGAACACCCACTGCTCACGAGAATAAACGTAAATAGAAGCGAGTCCGAAGACGAATACCAACGATGGTATCTCTCTAGGTCGTTCTTAGACGAGCTTCCATCGGAGTCTCCAATCCTCCTGATTCTCCATACACCCGGCCAGCTCCGAAGAGCTTTCAGCTCCCGCATCCTTCTTCAGGACATCCACATATGTTAGCGCTGAACGTCCTTGCGAACGGCGCCCATGTGTTGGTTCCCATAGGACCAGCCTGCTGGCCAGGAGCTCCTGATGTCTATGGCAGTGGCCGGCCAGCCTCGTCCTCCTAGATGCTACCTTCTTGCTGAGCCTCGGCAGTTGCCCGTACAGGTCCTTGTTGGTAATGTGGATGTCCTGGTCCACATTCAGAACAGCTCGTAGCATTCTGGTGTAGCACCCATCCAGGGACTTCTGCAGGGTGGGTGTAAGGGTCCAGCTTTCGCAGCCATACAGGAGGATGGACTCCACAGTGGTGTGGAATAGGTTCAGCTTTATGTGTCTGGAGAGATTCGATCACCACACTCATGACATACCGTTCAGGGCCCCCCACACGAGTGCTATCCTGACCTTAAGGTCCTGTTCTGTGGGGTTCACCCAGGAACCCAAGTATTTGAAGTCATTGACCTCTCGCAGAGCGTTGCCATCTGATGTTGTAATCGGCGGATGGTCCACGTGGGAGTTATAGGTGATTACTTCAGTCTTCTTCACATTCAGTCTGAGGCCAACCATAGCACATTTCACCTCCACTCTGGTCAGTAGTTCCTGTGCCTGCTCCACGCAGTCAGACACCAGGCAGATGTCATCTGTGTAGTCCAGGTCTGCCAGGGCTACAGCCGGGTAAACACATGCGATTGCAGCCAAAGCACTAGTCATACCGGGCGGAGGTAGAGCAACATAAAATGGTGAAACTTACAGCTTCAACATTTAAAGTTGGGTCCCTGACACGGACAGGTTTCATCTTCAGCTTCTTAGTGAATCCTGCTTTGAACTGCCCCTCGTTGGTAAAACAGTCCATGATAAAATGGTTAGCACACATATACAACATTTTCAGAGTTGTTGTGGGTACATTTCCATCAAAAATAAAATAGACAAAAAGAAGGAGGGGCCTATGTGGTTATGTTGTCATAACCGCACAGCTTTTCCATTCGCCCGTTTGTGCTCATGTTTTCAGAAAGGAGGGGAAAGCCAGAGAGGGAGAGAATGAAAATTTTTCATGTCGGGGAGGGTTGTCGGCTTTGAGGGGATGCATATTATTGGTAGAAACCCACCCAAAATGGGATTTTTCATAATAGGGGACCTTTAAAGTAGCTTAAAAGTACAGTCAGCAGGTAAGTAGTAATGCTTGGTTTAAATCAAGTGAATTCAATGGAAGCGACATTGGAGACTGTGAATAAATCACTAAGAATGAGTGAGTGGGATCACCGATGTATTAAGTACTGAGGTTAAAAGAAAACCAACCTTTTTTTTTTTTTTTTTAAAATCAGTGGACTTGTCCCTTGCAGCCGATTACAAAGAATGCAGGCTTTACCAACCAGACCCTGAGATGTTATCTGAGACAATATGTTCCTCTATTATGGAGGGAAAAAAAGTTCATTGTAATATCTTCTTTTAATATCTTGTTATGTGTTCCTGTTTGTGGGCCAGGTCATTTTGTGATTTTACTGTGGAGCCAAAGACAATTGTGCACATTGTGAAAAAACAGAGTCCATTCATTCATTTATCCTACTTTATCCCTAGATAATCCGCTGAAAGAAAGTTTAAAACTTTCATCTTTTGTATGGATGGATGTCTCACAGGTCACAACATATTGATATTTATTTGTGCTGAGTACTTTCTCCCTGTAGTGGAAAATCTGAAAAAACAAGCAGGACACTATAAGCAGGAGAAAAACCATTGTGATAAAGAAGTAGCATACAGTCAGGGCTTTCTCTTATTTACACATGGGCATATCCAGGCTGGCTTACAAAGGTCTAAATGTGTATGTGTATGCTGGGTTAAAAATCATTGCAAATCCTCAGATCTGAACAAACAGGAGAACAGTGTAAACACAATGAAAGGAGAGTAACTTCCCACTTCACTTCTGCAACATTTCATCTTCAATGGGCAAACCCCCCTGAGGGTTCACCCTACCATTGACCACACATCTGTCTTCTCATGCAGCCACCCAAATGAGAGAAAATAAATGATTAAAAAAACAAAAACAAAAAAAAAACACATATTCAATCATTTGCTAAATACTCTGTTTCTACAGGGATACATTTGTTCTGTGCTTGGTGAATGGTGGGTCCAGCTTTGTTGCCGGGTTTGCTATCTTCTCAGTTTTGGGCTTTATGTCATATGAACAAGGACTGCCAATATCTGAAGTGGCTGCTTCTGGTAAGTCCAATACTTAATTATTAATACTTAATTAAACTAGTATCATTGTTAGTGTGTGTGCTGTAATTTTTGGACTGCTAAGTGCTCTTTGGTTACCATAATGCCTGATTGCTCTGTTAATTCAACTTTCATGGCTTCACTCCTTTTGTAATAATTGTGGGTAGTAGGCTAATCTGAAGCTGGTTTTCTTTTGGGCATCAACTCATTTATGGGCCAATTGAACAAATACTAAAATTAAGTTATAATCACTATTTATGTTGTTTCACTTTGTCAAGCCATTGTGAATTAGAAACTTAAAGTATAAATGATAAAACTATCGGATCTATTCTAACAATGGATCTTGTTTGTTTTCACCAAAAACATTCACATTGTTGTTAAATAATCTACACTTCTTTGTAAGTAAGTGTGCTAAATTTAAAGAAATGTTTAATTTTAGGCATGGGAATGTAGCATTCAGAGACCAGCTTCCGATAATCCTTTTCTGGACTAATGCACAGCTAATATAGAGCTAAACTTTTCTTCTTTGACACGGTTTTATATTAAGTTTCATGTTAGCAATCAGTGATGCTTTCCCTTCCCTCCAGGCCTCTGTCTTCTGAGCTGCTGCATGTTTGAGACAAACTGTAGATTCAGTTGAATACATGGCAAGAGAAGATATTTCATGTTCAGACTCATAAAGTTTTTTTTTTTTAAATATTCACTCATGCAGCATGTATCAAAAAACCCTGGGACAGGAGCATGTTTACCCATGTGTTACACCACCTTTCCTTGTCTGGGCTCTCTGTCATCATATGTTGTGCTTCATAACTCTTCAAAGGTTTTCAGTGGGAGACAGGACTGAGCTGCAGGCAGAACAGTCAAGTACCTGCACTCTTTCACTTAGCAGTCACGTTGTTGTAACACAAGCAGAATGTAATTAGATGATGTTCATTATGTCTTCAGTTTCTCAGACATGTTATCATTTTCACGTACCATGACAGGTTTCGGCAGAAACTTCCATCCTTCTCAGAAGTGTCACTTAGTGTCAGGTGTGACACATCATATCAGCAGGTGTTATGGAGGAATCACAATTTTTTGACAGGATGGTAATGCCTCCGTTGATATGATATGACGTGTCACCTGTCATTACAAGGTTAACCAGTAAACATGTGTTTAAAAAGAAAGTATACAAATGTCTTACGACCCAGACTCACTGAAATAAGAAACAGAACATCTAGACTAGGCTGTGACACCACACAATACATGCCAATGAGATTTTGATTACTAGTACATTTATCTTGGCCTTTATTGGTGTCTATTGTAATTGGAAATCTAATGTCATCATAATTCTTGTTTTAGTTAAGATTTTAACATCTTGTATAATTCTCCTGTTTGGACTTTTACCATTTTAATCTATACAAATGTTTACTGTCTTCTTGGGGATCCCCAGAGTAAAGTTAACTGCTCCTTAGGTAGTAACTAATGGGGATCCAAATAAATAAATAAATAGATAAAAACACTTCTGAGGAAGGCAGAAGTTTGCACTGAAACATGTCAAGGTGCGTGAAAAGATGACATGTCTGAGATAAAGGAAAAATTAAAAAAGAAAAAGTAAATATTTATGAGCAGAATGTGTCTTGGCATTGTCTTGTTGAAATAAACAGGGACGTCCCTGAAAAAGACATGGCTTGGATGGCAGCATATGTTGCTCTAAAACCTTTTAGCATCAATGAAGCCTTTACAGATATAACAGTTAGCCATGTCACGAGCACTAACACACCCGCACCATCATAGATGCTGGCTTTTAAACTCTGTCCTGGTAAGAATCTGGAGGGTCCTTTTCCTCTTCAGTCTGGAGGATATTAAGTCCACAATTTCAAAAACAGTGTGAAATGTGGACTCATCAGACCACAGCACACTTTAGACTTTGCATCAGTCCATCTCAGACCAGAGGAGTTAACTGACAATGGTTTTCTTAAGTGTTCTTGAGCACACCCCCAAATCTGTTGCAATTGTACATTGAGAAACACTCTTTAACTGCTGGATTATTACTCACGCAGTTGTTGACAAAGTGGTGAACTTCTCCCTATCCTTGCTTGTAAATGACTAAACCTTTCAGGGATGCTTCCAATCATGACACTCATCTGTTTCCAATGAGCCTGTTAACCTGTGAAATGATCCAAACAGGTGCTTTTGGAGCAATCCTCAATTTTCCCGGTCTTTTGTTGTCTCAGCCTTTTTTGAACATGTTGCAGACATCAAATTAAAAGAGTGAATATTTGCAAAAAAAACCCCCAAAAGTTTATTCGTATGTCTTGTCTTCGTCTTGTATTTAATTAGATATAGTTAGAAGGATTCGCAAATCATTGTGTTCTGTTTTTATTTATGCTTTACACAACAACCCAACTTTGTTAGAATTGGAGTTTGTACATTTGAAGTTGTCCAACCCTCATAGCGTCTTATTGATTGTTGATAAACAGTAACATTTGGTATTCTGAAGGTTCCCTTTACATTATTGTGTTTTACCGTGTATTTCAAGTTATAAAAGTTTACACTACTTTAGACACCCTTTGATATTCCAACCCTGAAAAAGTATTTGAATGCTTGCTTTTCTTAATAATTAATACTCTTTGCATTCATGGTATTTTCCACCAAAGAAAATCTATATGTAATATATTACGAAACAGATGAAAATACTTCTCATATTACTCAAAACCACTGCTGACTGTCTACACACCCATACAAGCACCGACAACGACAGATAAGAAAAGCCTTTGTTTGTCACACCTGCAACGCTCCAGGCCTGATCCTGATCCAGACACACTCTCTCCTTTGCATTGTAAAACACCACCTGTCAGAGGCAGGATCGTAAGTAATCTAAGTAATCAGTCAAAAATATACGACTTTTCTCAAATGCAGGGCCTGGCTTGGCTTTCATCGCCTATCCACGTGCTGTAGCCATGATGCCTCTACCGCAGTTATGGGCCATCTGTTTTTTCATCATGGTCATCTTGCTCGGTGCAGATACACAGGTGAGCACAAAAGAATCCTTCCTTTAGTTTCATTATTGATCGCAGATTATTACATTTTGTTAATTCTGCTTTGCATCCCTGACAGTTTGTGAGTTTAGAGTGCCTCATGACGTCAGTGACAGACATGTTCCCCACCGTGTTTCGGAGAGCTTATCGCCGGGAACTGCTGCTGCTCTGTCTCTGCTCTGTCTGTTTCTTTCTCGGCCTTCTTCTTGTTACAGAGGTGAGAACTTGCCTTGGTTGCTCATCCTTTTGTTCAGCTCAAAATTAATATTTGAATGAGATAGTTTTCAATAGTTCATGTATTAGAAACAGGGGATTATGGTTAGCAACGCCTCCTTGTGTAACCTGAACAGAAGCTCAGCTATCAATCGCACTCTCGATATCAGCCCTTTACTTTGCCTCCAGAAAGCCCATTCATTTTTTATTTTATGTTCTCTGCCTGCAGTGCACTGATCAGCGAATAGAGTCAATAATAGATGGTGAATTTTGATATTTTTGCGTCTCAGTTAGACATAATTTTAAGCACCAAATGCACAAAGATTATCCAGCAAACACAGTAACAACACATTTTTCTTTGTAGCGCTTAAGAGCATAAAAGAAATCGTGTGTTTGCCCTCCTCATTATCGAGAACTGTTCATATCATGACATAAAAGATTGAAGTTTACAGTCATGGATCACTGCAAAGTGACAAGTGTCACGGTTGGAGTTAAAGCAAAGCAGGAGAACTCGTGCTAACAATCTGGAGTTTATTTAACAGAGATTAGAAAGCAAACAACCAATATTGACTTTGGAAAACGTCCACAAAAACCGCAAAAAGTCACACAGTAAACCACAAGGAGGGGTTGACATGATCTGTAATAGGAAACACAGGTGAGACAACAAGGCACAGGTGCAGACAGTGAAGGCACACAATTCACAAGGGAGGGGAACACTTATGGAGAAAAGAACTACAAATAAAACAGGAAATACTAAAACTAGACTACATGGGAGCGCACAAGGTATACAAGAGGATCTGGAAGAATGACAAACTCAAAAAATAATTATACAACAAAAGTCAAACAGCAGAAGCCGAACAAGACTGGCCATCATTTCGATAGCTAGTAGTTTTTTGCTGCAGGCAGAAGATCACACATGTGCTTGGAGTTTGTTGAAATCCGTAAAATTACGCTGTGGAGGTGACCCTGCTTGTAGAGGCTGATAGCTTCAATCGTGTTCTGGTTCACCAGACAGTTTCTTGGTAAAAGGGAAGAGCTGACCTACATCCCCTGTGGCAAATACTCTTAATATTGACTGTAAAAAAACATGGACTATCCCTTTAAATTAAGCAGGTGTTCAGTCTGGAAATGGGCCTGAGTGGATTAAATCTTTATCATTTTTTAAAATTACAATCTGCCCAAAATATGTATTCACCTGAGTGGCCATATCTAGTTTTTTGTTGAGTAGGATCTATATTTTACAAAAGTGTGCATTGTTGTTGTTTTTTGTGTGTGTATACAACTTGTTAAAATGTATCCTTTGTCTCTCCACAGGGAGGCTTGTATTTTCTTCAACTTTTTGATCACTATGTGTGCAGTGGGAACAATCTTCTACTTCTTTCTGTGTGTCAGTCGATAGCAATCGGATGGATATACGGTAAGTATATGGAGGGGGGATGTCTGATACTTGTTTTGACTTTTCCTCTCCTGAGAAAATGATCAGAAGTTATTCAAGTGCTTTGAGGAGATTTAAGGGAATCTTTGATATCAGTGACATCAGTTGCTGTGAACTGAACCACAGACATGATCACATTACCCACACTTATAGAAATTGCAGGGGCTGACATTCAGCTAAATGTACAATCGGCCCAGAAGCATCACTTTTCATTCAGAATTTTCTCTGGAAATGTACAAAATGATCTGATTTGATGTAAAAGTAATTTATCTAGTGAACTCTGTCTAATTCAATTCATTTTTCCTCCATCTCCTCTTCAGTTAGTTGATTCTGACGTATCATGTTTTTTCTGTTTGCCTATAATCATCAGCAGGTTTTCATCACGGTTGGGTAACCCGTAAACCCTGTGTTGGGATTGTGCTAATATTGTTATCATAGACAGCATTCATGCTGCGGTTAGTCACTTTTACTGTCGGCTGTGTTGGCAGATCTCCGGATTAGTGTTCACTTTAGAGGAGAACAAGACATTCCGACAACACCAGAGCAAAACTGCTTTACCTTTTAGTACTCAACTTGTTCACACATGTTGGCATTAAACAGCAGATTCAACGTAAGACTGGATTTTTCTGTAACCCCTTCTCACCAGTGTGCCTAAAACTATCGCTCCCTTCTGATCTCATACTTCTTGTCACTTTCCTTTGACTATTTTAGAGATTTTTGGGTACTTTAGGTCAGGGACTGGTGGTTTTAAAAACATTTTAACTTGGAAGAAAACTTTACAATCAGTGTCCAAGTGTCCACCTTAAATTAAGTAAAAATGCTTGCAAGAGTGACAGCAGTGAAGCTTCTTTTAACTCTTGGCGCAAGGGAAGGGGCTTATGAAATGTTGGTGCTGTAACAGTAACGAATGAGATGACAAGAAATCACTGACAAAACTCCAATGTCACAATGTGAAAGCATGTGACATGATCTCATAAGCAGCATGATCTTTTATTTTAACTGGCCTGAGCGGGTCAGTAAAATACACAAGCAGCAAGTCCAGAGTCTGTCATTCATGCATCAAGGCCGGCAAGGCGGTCAATGTCAAACCCAGTGATGTCTGAAACACAGACAGGATACTAGAACTGTTTCATGAGCCACAAGTTGACTTTAATACGATGTGGCTCCTTTTTTCAAACCTGATGGTCAGTGCTTGCATATGCGTACAAGCAAGTTGAGTACGTATTTACTGAAATTAATGCTATTTATCAGAAGTCAGGCCAAACTGTCGTCTCTTCCCAAAACATTTGGACATTTGGACATTAATCTGATCCATTTAAATAATGAAATTATTTAGTAATATTTATACAATTTCTCCATGAAAAGTTATCCTTTGAAATTTAAAAAGGGGTTGTTAGTTTTGCAAGCATAAAAATCACAAAGAGCGGGAAGTGTGTCCTGGCAAATTCAATGGCTTCAACCAAATAGAAAATAGTGTCTGAGCCAAACTGCCTGGGGCTTAGTCAAACTCTTTTCATTACCCTTCTGGTGTCAACCTGAAAAAACAATTACATCTAGTTGTTGGGGCTAATAGCATGACAAAAATGACTTTGCAATAAAGACGTAAACAAGAGATGTCCACTTCCGAATATCACATATGGAAGTAGAGCCGATCTAGGCTTTTTTTCTATCCTGTATCAACCATCACTGAGCACCATTTTTGCAGCACGTATATACAGTATGTGTAGTGTAACCATGTATTCTTGGTTGCCTCACTGTACTTGAAAAGAAACTTACAGTAACACTTTATTTGACACCAATCTTTAAAACACATCATAAATATATGTTTGATGCATTATAATCACGTTATAGCGCTGTATTACTATAGTTATAAACACTCATACATGATCATAATTCTTTATAACAATAATCATAACACATTATAAAGTATGTTATCATGACTTACTTACAAGGTCAGGTGTTATAATGTGTTATGCTTATTGTTATAAAGCCTTATGATAATTAATGAGTGTTTGCAATGATAGTTAGATATGTTTATAAGCAATCTATGTGGGCATTGTCAGTGAGTTGTTAACAGTTATAACACATTATAATGCCTGACCTTGTAAGTCATGATAAAATGCTTAATAATGTTGAATTATGATCATTTATGAGTGTTTATAACTATAGTTATACAGTGCTATTATGTGATTATAACACATTATACATCTATTTATAATGCGTTATAGAGATAGGCGCCAAGTAAAGTATGACCAAACTGGTAGATGGGACATTCATGGGTAACTCTAGCCATGGTGTCAACTTCTACATATTTAATACATATTTGCAAGTGAAATACTGTTGTATCATGTGATGGTACCACAACACATCCCTGTTCACTGTCCAAAAGAGTCTACATAGAAATCAGCCGCAAAGCAATAATAAAGATAGGTTTTGTTTCAGTTATTAAGTCTCAATCTGTTGTTATATTGGTTAGATTATTACACTGACATCACTTCACATGATCCTGGGAACTTTTGTGCGGTTCGGTTCAAAGATTTTTGATAAAAACCCAAGAAAGGTCATTTAATTACTGACTTAAAAGCCCTTTTATTCAAGGCTTTTAATGGGCTTAAATAAGGTCAGACAAATTTGTGAATATTGAAGCACAGACCACACAGGCTTAAGGAAGGATTATTTGGCAGTCATTAGATGAAGTGTTGCTCCAGTTCAGACTGGTTCATGTGTAAATTGAAATAATCTGAAACACCTGGGTACTCACATGTCCTAAGAAAGTAAACATAAATACTCTTACTGTTTGTTAAGACACTTTTTCTAGTACTACAAGGTGAGTTGATGTAGTGGACACTTTGTTCTTACTTTTATTCATGAGTCCTCTTTTCCACCTGGCTTTGTTTTCTCTGTTTCAGCTCATTTAAGCTTGATGGACATTCAGTCCTCTTGTGAAGGGGCGTCTGCTCTTTTTCTCTCTCTTTTTACTGACTGTGAATGAAAACAAAAGCTTCTACAAAGCTCTGTAGATTCACTCTTTAAAGGATTTTCTGCCAACTCTGAAAAGGGATTTAAGTACTAAGAGGGGTGACAAAAACTGTAGAAACATACATATACAATGGTTACTTTTTAATCCCAATATTATTTGCTGGAATTTTTAGCGCCAATATTCCAGTTTTGTTATAACCTTTATATGAAGAATATTATATATGCTCCAAAATTTTAGTAGCACTTCAGGGGTGTAACTCACTATTGGGATGAACAAAGATACGAGAGGCTTGGCTCGTACCTTTCTGGCCTCCTTCACATCAGCACCCCCTCTCGCACTCTCAGGTCCTCTTCCTCTCTTTACCTCACTGTCCAACCCTCCCGCTTGACCACCATGGGCTCCAGAGCCTTCAGTCACTCTGCTCCCCGACTCTAGAACTCCCACTGTCCGGACATCCTTCATATTAACTCTCTCCCCTTTTTCAAATCCCATCTTTCAAACTGTCTGACTGATTTTTTTCCATCGACCTCCACTGTTTCATTCATTATTTTAACTTATTTTGTTTTTCTTGTTTTAACCTCTCTCGTTAGGCAACCTTAAGTGCTTTGAAAGGCGCATTATGATAATAATAATAATAATAATAATAATAATAATAATAATAATAATAATAATTATTATTATTATTATTATTATTACTATTATTATTATTATTATGGTTGTAATAATAATAATAATAATAATAATAATAATAATAATAATAATTATTATTATTATTATTATTATTATTATTATTATTATTATTATTATTGTGGTTGTTGTTGTTGTTGTTGTTGTTGTTATAATCATCATTATTATTGTCATTGTTATATAATGACTTATAACTCTTTGATTATGAGCCAGCAAAGCCCATCATAGTAACACTGAACATATAGATACACTGCATATTGTTAATCTCTGTAACCTGTTTCTAAATGTTTTATCAAGCTGCCAAGTCTGTATTTCCACTAACTTTTTGCCCTTTAAATCTAAGGTTTAATCATCCAGTTATTTTCGTTGTTTTCCCAGGAGCGGATCGTCTGTATGACAACATTGAAGACATGATAGGTTATCGTCCATGGCCACTCATGAAGTACTGCTGGCTTTACATCACCCCCACTATTTGTCTGGTTAGTGAAAGATAGTTTCTTCTATTTCCACTGACTGTGCAAAGAAAACTTGTTGAGATAAAGTTGAGAAAAGTTATTAACAAATAAAATTGTGCACATAATCATATATAGTACATATGAGGGATGGGGATAAGAATAACAAAGTTAATGAAAGAGTAAAACAACACACCAGCTGGTACATTTCGACCTGGATTTACACTGTTCAAAGGGCAGCAATCTAAACAAGAAATGCCGATATTGTTCTTGTGAACAAAGCCCGCTTGTTGCATTGGATATGCGAGACGTAGGACTTTGACATACATTATATAGTCTCAGTTTTGGCCTCCATCTGGTAGGGTTGCATGAATCTCAACAAGGTCAGCCCATGACGTTTGCCTGACCATAGCCTTCAGACAAGTCTCAAGGTGCCTCTAAAGAAGAAAAAAGAAAAACAAAAAGCCTGTTTAGAATATACAATTTAGATTACATAAGTATATCTCCAAAGTCCAATCACAGAACCCTCTGGTTATCACCTAAAGAGTGATAGCCAACCAACCGAGGCTTCCTGTGTTGGCAGCAGTGAGCGCTGAAAGCTAAATTGTTGTCAGATAACTATATATTTAAGAGTGGCATTAAAGTCAATGAAATATGCTTTTTTTCTCTGTCTTGCCCTCTACATGGCCTCTTTTTAAGCACACAGCCAAAAAAAGCAGATGATTCGACTCCGACCAGAACGATTCTGACTTGACATAAACCTGTCACTTGTGGGGATTCGAGAAAATTTTTAATGGGGATGATTTAAAGACAAACTATAACTTTGATATACAGTTTTATTGATCAAGCCCCCAGGCCTGTGTGCAGGCTAGAGCAGTGATTCTCTCATATCCCGAATACTGTGAGGGTTTTGTTTAACGACTCTCAAAAGGTTATTGTCATGTTGAAACAGGAGACAGATTTCATCTCCTTTGACCTCAAGACATTACTGACCCTGGGTCAATCCATGCTTGTGTATTCATACATGTAAGAAGTATTATTTGTATTGTCTTTTTAACTGTCTTATTCATTTTTATATGTTTTTAGGGTACCTTCATCTTTTCTGTAGTGAAATACAAGCCTCTCAAGTTCAACAAAACCTACATCTACCCGACGTGGGCTTACGCTTTGGGCTGGTCCCTTGGACTGTTCTGTGTTCTCCTCGTCCCTCTGTGGATGATCTTTAAAGTGACTCAGATGAAAGGGACGGTGGGTCAGGTATGTGCACATAAACACATGTTCAAAGTACGACAGGATTAACAGCAATACTGATCAATCAATGTTCAGAAAGCTAATGGACAACTTATCTGCTAATCACTTTATTTTAATATATAAATTGGACATTAAGAAGTTATGGCCTGAATCCTAGTTTTCGTACTCTTGACTGTTAATTGACTAAATATCTTTGGGATTGGGTGCCCTGGGAAATTTTGAGGCATCCTCTCATCTTTTTTAGACATTTCTCATAATCATAGGATGAATCAATTTTAAACTTATCTGCACAAGCATTTATACCATGACTCCAAAGTTACTTATCATAAAGTTTCTGTGCATGTAACACAAGAAAGTGAACTGAAACCAAACAAACAAAACCAATGAGAATATTCAAAACAACAACAATAACAATAAGAAATACTAATCATAATAATATGAACCCGACATGTTCGAAAAGGAGTCAGATGACGCATTATGTTTTTTTAATCCTTCTCCTTCTCCGCTACTCAATAAACAGAAAATAGACTACTAACAAAAAATAGAACATAAATAGAGTAAATAAGTACATAAATCATTTATTAAACACCAGATGGTTAAATCCCTTCTTCCTCCCTGTACCTGGTAAGAACCATGTGTCTGTACCCCTTTTTAAACTGGGTCGTGCTTGGACATTGCTTGAGCTCCACACCTAATCTGTTCCTCAACCTTACTCCACGAACAAAAACACAAATATATTTTTAATGTTGTACGCACCCGCTGATGCTTTAAGTTTAAGTCCCCCCTCAGGTTATATAAGTATGCAGACCTAATGTTCTTGTACACAGAACATCAACTTTGCAAGCTGTCAAAGAGGGAGTATAACACTTTTTCATTTTTTACGATCATCTTTTAAGATTAAATTTTTAAAAGTCAGTTCTAAATATGGACAAAGGTGTTGGAGCAATTCCAGGATGAGACTACGAGGGGCACAAGATTTACTTCATATCAGGGATAATAAATTCAACACTTACCAAACAGACATGCCCTGCTCGGTTCAATTTGTTTAAGTGTTTCTTGTCCCTTTTTAAACTTTAAGGGTCAGATTTGGGATCAAAAACATATGTCAATACTTCATCATTTGTCATTTAAATTAAGGAACACCAGTTCATTTGTGACAACATTATAGCATAGCTGTAGGGCTGCTGCTACTGTCCCTGATCAGCAATACTACTTTTGAACCAGATGGTGGAAACATCTCTCTCCTAAACGGTGCTCTGCTGCCTGAGATGCAGAGGTGTGCTGGGATTAAAAAGAGGATTACGAGCAGGTCCCACACTTCTATGTTTTCAAGCCGACCGCACATTGAGTCCTGCAAACTCTGCGCCTACAGCGGTATAATATTGCTGTCTCAGTGTGTAAGTTCACATTACTTTTACAGCATTGTAAATGCATGGGATGTAGGACATGTAGACACATAGCAGGGGAGCCACATATCGCAGAGACAGTATACTGTAACAGGAGAGTGAATATCCTGCTATGCACTGTAGGCAACTCCTGACCGAGTGGAAATTTCATGATATCCCATGACTTACTACAAATAAAGATAAGTTAAACATAAGTCTTATGTAGGTTGAGGGGCATTTAAAGTAGAGGCAAGGGAGATGAGAAGTAAAGGATGCAAATTAATAACTCAATATGTAACTCAAACTTTTTAACTTTTTATATGTATCTCAAATCTGAATTACACCAAACTCAGTCCAACATTTAGAAGACAATAGATTAAATGTTTCTTTTACACTTGACCTATTTTGACAAGGCCAGTAATGCTTGTCAAGGATGCTCTACTGAAATATTCTTAGAAGCAATATCATGTCTGAGAAAAGACCTTCAGTGTGGGAGACCTAGATTGACCTAGATATAAATGGACTCATGATAAGTAGGCTTATAATATTGACTAATGCATTGTCTCAGTAAATAAACTAAAGCATGGAGCTTTCATGAAAACATTTAAGCATGTCTGTGGAAAAGTACTTAGAAAAGTGTGTGTTCAATTGCTCTACCACACCAAATGAAAATTCCTGGTAGACCACTCTGAACTCTGTTGTTCTTATTCAAGGCAAAACAGCCTGGAAAACATGTTAATCCATAAAAGTGAGGCAAACACTGACTTGAGTTATTTCAATGTATCCTAAGGGGGAAAGCGTGATTTTGTGTACTAGAGATGTCACAGAGCTAATAATTTCCTCCTCATTTAAACAGAAATTTAAATTCTAGTAAACCAGCTATGATTTAAAGCTGGTTATTGTTGTATTTATTTGTTATTGTTTTGTTATTTATTTTTTATTGTTTTGTTGTCTGATTTTGTATTATTATTAATATTCTTATTCTTATTCTTATTATTGTTGTTGTTGTTGTTGTTGTTGTTGTTGTTGTTGTTATTATTATTGTTTTTGTTGTTGTTGTTGTCATTGTTGTCATTATTATACTTGTTGTTATTGTTATTAATAATGATATTAATATTGTTATTATCAATATTGTTATACAGGACTATTCTATTTGCCGAGAGTCGCTGTGATGACGCTCGGCTCAAACAGCGTATCCCCCGGGAGACTGACTCAATCCCTGAATGCCCATAGGCTGTATCAGGTGTCAATCATAGAAAACATAAACCCCCTCATAATTTTTAAAAATGGAGCTGTACAGAAAAAAGAGGACTTGAGCACAAACCAGTTTTACTGTAACTACATGTCAACATCACAAACAGGGGGGAGAAAATTTTCTGTTTGTCCACAGCCTCATAAGCTTTGCTGGCGGAGGCAGGATTTATGACCTATACTGCAGTCCGTCACCAGAGGGTGCTGTTCTCGCGGTGGCTTCACCCAGCGAGGAGGCAGACTCTGTCCATTCTTTATACAGTCTATCATCTGTGCATGTTTACATCCGGAGAGAGCAACAAATGGCCGTGCTACAGCTGAGACTGAACATGTAGCCCACATCTCAGGCCTATAAAAATAAAAACATTAATAACCTGTTTAGCCAACTAGAGAGGAGACTGTTTCACCAAAGACGAACATCTCTAATATGATTCAATTTTGTAGACCTCATGGTGGCAGGAGAGTCCAAGTATGGGGATCAAATCAGTGATTGTTACTGCTGTGGTTGACTATTTCTTCTCTATTTTGAAACATTTGTACAATACGAAATAAACTCATGTTGTTTGTGTTGCCTGGTTTTGACTGTATTAATATTTTGACTAACATGGACTTCTTTTACTGTCATCCCCTTTTCCTTCAGAACCTCCGGCAACTTTGTCACCCTGAAAACAAGACAGATAGCACAGCGAAGCAACCTGAGCAGTGTCCTTTGAACCCGGACAACACACTCACTCCTGCTGCCAATGATTACAAGGCAAGTGGTGGAGCTGAGATGGAGATGCAAATGTGAGACCCTTTTGATAAATGTTTGTATATGGGATTTTTTTTTTTTTTTTAAACTTAACAGGTTTTACAAGCTAATTATTTTTAGGTACATATTACAAGCAATAAATCCAGAAGAAGTCTAGCTTCAACAGGTTACCAAATCAGGTATCCAGAACAATAAGCAGTGAGTTTTGTGTCACTATTAGATGTCTAAGCTCTACAGTTATTTAGTAAAAAAAAAAAAAAATCAAACAAACAAAAAAACAGTATTGAATCCTCTAAAGTCTTAAAACATATTTTCTGTTTGTGATTAAGATGGTTTCATGTTGCAGTATGCTGTCTTCATAGAGGATCGTGAGTAGCCTCACATCCTCAGATCTGGAACCTCTCAGGTCATTTTTGGGTGTTTCCCAAGGTGTTTGTTATCAATAGGTAAAAGAACAAAATGCCTCTGGATGCCTTCCAGTAGATCCACAAACAATGAAAGCTGTGATGGCGTGGCACTGATACGTATGTGAAGGAATGCTGCTGCTTTTTAACATCAGAAAGTGGATATTCAAGTTTTGAAATAAACAAGGGCAAAAAAGCTGCAACGACTTACCAGGGGCCTGTTCTACGAACCAAGCCCGACCTAGCGAGGTAGCCTTGGAGCTGCCTCATTCAACTTAGCGCGGTAGCTAGTGGTCTCACTAAATGGTCTTACGACGCTGGTTATCAACCTCGTAAGTGGATCCAGCTTTGCTATGAGCGCATACACGCATGTAAGGCGGGGCCCGCCGCATCTGACCAATCGCGAATATGGACCAGTCTGGAGTGTCAGAGCAGGCCGGAGAGTGAAGGACCGCGGACTTTACAGACGAGGAGCAGGAGACGATCATGAGAAAGTATGAAGAATTCAAATCTATCATAAACCTAAAAAGCAACACCGTCGCCGCTGCAAAAGCACGGAAGGAATGCTGGCAGAAAATTGCAGACAGTCTCAATGCGTAAATATAGTTCGCAAAAGATCTTTGATGCCATTATCACCCTGAAATAGCTGTAACTGTTCAACATGCGCTTTTAACATGCACCAGACATGTCTAATTCATTTCCAAGATGAATTCATTCATTTATTCATTCCTATCGTTTTTACATTTTCTGTGTGATATGTCGGCCATATGAGCCTTTCAAAAAGGTGGTCATCCGGAAAAGTAAGTGGGTCCGTGCGGTCCCTGAAAACTCTCGCACGCCGGAGTGCTCCTCGGACAATGCGAGCACCGAGGTCTATAGGATCCTCCAAGAATGGACAAGCCATTTTTCGAGAGAGCTCATTGGTCAGTGGGCGGGGTTTTTATACAATCTGGAACCTAACCTGCCCCAGTGCAGGTTAGCCGTTCAGCGTACGTTACCATTGAGACTCGCCTCGCTAAGAAGTGAACCCGCGTCGTAGAAAAGGAAACCCCGAACTTACCCTCGAAGTTACCTCGCTAAGCAGTAATCCTGCTTCGTAGAACAGGCCCCCGGTCTTCATTTGGAAAACAGGCTTGAATCTTGGAATAAAGTCCATCATATGCAATAATTAAAAAACAAAAAACAAAACAGAAACATGATTCTAATGACTTAACTTTAGATAGTCCACGTATTTGCAGCATCTTTGCAGTCAATACGTTTTTTTTTAACATCAGAAAGTGGATATTCAAGTTTTGAAATATACTCTGGCCTACAAGGGCAAAAATGCTGCAACGACTTACCTGGTCTGTCTTTGGAAAACAGGCTTGAATCTTGGAATTAATTCAGATTCATATGCAATAATTAAAAAATAAAGATGATTCTAATGACTTAACTTTGGTTAGTCCATGTATTTGCAGCATTTTTACAGCAAGTTTTCCAACAACAGCATCTTTCAGTTGTTGTATTTACTTTTAAACTAATACATTTGTTTTGGATCTTTCATTGGTTCTGAATTTACACACACTTTCTACTAAAAGAAAACCTTTGGGTTCAATGCAGTATGTTTGCCCTCACTTGCAAACAAAGATATTCGTCACTCCATTAACAAAAAATCCAAGTGCGGTTGTTTTGTTTATTTTCCTCTCTGAAACATAGACTGTTTTTGTTTAGCACTGACTCTGCCATGGATTAGTCATAGTTATCCACATCAGCAGCTGGCTGATGATGGCTGTTAGCAATATTCCACCATATCCTCTTCCTCTAGTTACTCATCTCATCAAACCAGCCCACTCTTGGTAATTGGTTGTAGTTTATTTTTGATCACTCCCAGGTTGGCTGCCTATCTGGAATGTTGGCCAGGCACATCTGCCAGAGCAAATAAAACATGCATTGGTGATTGTTTGGTTCCCAGGCTTTAAGATCAGGAGATGCCAGTCTTGATTTCCATTTTTGCACTGATTTTAAGCACTCTTATCTAAAGAAAACGACAAAATAAAACACATTTTTGGAAGATACAAGCAGATTTCTTTAACCCATTTATGCAGTCATTTACTTTTCACAAATGTATCACGATATTCTGGTCCTATTAGCTGTGGGTGTGGTATGTTTTTATGTTGTAAAACTTACATGTTGTTCTTGCTCATTACATATAAAGCTTACAAAACTCTTACAAAACAGAGAGGACCATGGGGTGTGGTATCAAGCACAAACTATTTGTGATATGTCAGCCTACATTTTGCTCTTCTGTGTTAAAGTTGAATACCACTATGCAGTCAGTTTAAACCATTAGTAGATTAGAACATTTTCATCAGTTTAACTCCTACAGAGAGGTAATTTAGCACATGTATAATTCAGGACACTTGCACTGGAGAGCAAGGGATCCAGCAGTTTAACCCCTGACAGATTTGATATTAGTAAGTGTCTAAATGAATGTGTGATTACCTGAATATAAACACTGTTTTGTTTTTGTTCATGTTGAATGAGCCTCTTATATCCACATAGGAGCAGGTCCCCTTCCACAGAGGCCACCATCATGATTCTATAGTAGCACTAGTAACATATACAGATTTTTATATCTATTGAGCGGCCGTTTGAAAAGCACAAGTTGGACGATGAGGAGTGGTTGTCGTTGAGCGCAAAGCTTTAACATACAAAGATGTTTTCATGGTAAAAACTTGACAAATGGAGGATCGTACTTGTAATGCATCACAGGAGCAGAGGAGTGTTTCAATATATCATCTGACCACTAGATATTGCTAATTCCTAATTCCTTATTTTCTTTAAACCCTAGACTCTCTACTCAGTGTCAGGATTAGATCAATTCTTACTAAAATTTTTCAGTTAAAGTATTCACACCTAATAAGACCGAGATTGAACGTGTGTTTCAGTCATAATTTCAACAACACCCTGTTAATTCCAACTAAATAGGCTTTGCTGTGCACTTTTCACTTTGCCAGATTTTGATGCTAAGCCTCCAAATTTGTTGTAATGACTGTAATTTGTCCTATTCTCTGAATTAATCCATATCTCTGTCTCTGTTTGCACTGTAAGCGTGTCAGCCTAGTAAAACCACTGAATGGCTCCAAGTTGAAGTCACACACCAGCCTTTGAGATTTTTTAAAGCACATGTTTATAAGTCACACAACAGCAGTGTTTGAACTCATTGTTATCACAAAAGCATCAATTTTAATTATTTGTAATCACAAATTTAATTTGACTAATTTTAAGACTCTAGTTTATCTGTTTCAAAAAGTTCAAATGAAAGATGATGTTTAATTCTGAGCTAACTAGGAGTTGCAGCGTGTTTCACTTCATCACATTACGCACACTAATTTTACAGTGGACTCTAACTTATGGCCACGTCTGTATTTCTTTTGCTGAAGTCGTACAAGCCTGTGATAGCCAGTGGAGGAACAGAGTTATCTTGAAGTTAGGGGTGTGATGGGAGGACAATGAAATGTAATTTTCTGGAGAGACTATTTTGTGTTACATAGAGTTTAAAATGTGCTAACCACATCGTACCTGATGCACAAATCATACAATGTAGGACCTGTTTCAGGTAAGGCTTTTGAATGTCTTTCTAGTCTTATTGTTTGTCTTAAAATCACTTTCATTTGCTTATTTTTGCATTATAACATTTTATGCTGTTGCCAGAACAGGCCAATCACAGAAGTGCACTTTGTCAGGTTACTTATTGTTGACTTTATATAAGCTTTGATGAACAATTTTTTTTTTCTGAAATTGTACTCATGCTACAAGAAATCAATAAACTTTGTTTCATATAGTAATGTTTTGAATTTTCCTTCATGGCCTTATACACTTTATACTGAATTCATACATTAACTAAATAATTATAATGCAGATCAGGGCCAAAATAAACATCATTTTAGAAAGCTTGTTTATTCTTTGGTTCACCGTGCTTTTGAGTGTCACATGTCCCTCAGGTTAAAAGCAACATGTTTTAAACAGAATTAAGCTGTCACCAAAGTGCTGAGGTTGAGCAACACTGGATATTGAATTTCCCTTCAGGGATCGATAAAGTTCTTCTTGTTCACATTCTTCTTCTTCTTTTTCTTTTTCTTCTTGTTCATGTTTTTCTTTTTCTTCTGCTTATTCTTCTTGTTTTTCAATTTCTTCTTCTTCATGTTCTCATTCTTCATGTTCTTCTTCAACTTATTCTTCTTTTTCTTCTTCTTCTTAATGTTTTTCTTCTTTAACTTTTTCTTCTTCATATTCCTCCTAAACTTCTTCTTCTTCTTCTTCATGTTCTTCTTTATGTTCTTCTTTTTGTTTTTCTTCTTTTTGTTCTTCTTGTTTATGTTCTTCTTCATGTTTTTCTTGTGCATGTTCTTCTACTTGTTTTTCTTGTTTTTCTGTTCTTACTCTTTTTGTTCATTTTTTCCTTCTTGTTCACGTTCTTCTTCTTCTCCATGTTCTTCTTTTTCTTCTTCAACAACTTTGAGCTAAGCATGCAGGTTCAGACACTAGGAGTAACATCAGCAGGCAAAGCCACCAGAGAAGTATTTTGAAGCCTTTAAACTTCCTCAGACTGTAGCTTGAATCTGAGGGATGTTCTCAGGTGGAGACTGGTCACTTGCCTCACTTTCTTAGGGATCAATAGTTTCATGCATACAAGACTTGGTTGAAACAGGAGAAGCAACCAAATCGGAAGTCCTTAAAATGCAAACGCTGGTGCGTTAACCCAAGATAGCTGCATGTAAGTGAGTCATCAAAATTATTTCAGGATGACTGCAGACCATATTGACAATTATTGTACTGTCTTGATGGGTAACAACATTAACGCCTGATGAAAAAATAAAAATTATATTTCACTGAATAAGCATGAAGAATCTTAGTCGTGAGATTAGACATCACTGGTGTTGCAAACTTTATTTTGATAATGAATCATAAAGTTAGGGTTAGAGTTAGGACCATTAAGTCCTAAAATTAGAGTAGGATTGACAGTAGTAAAAGGTAACTGAATACATTTATTTACATCTATTTGACTCCAATTAAGATGCTGCTTATTTTCACCCTTAACACGTCAGAGAGAAATGTCAGGATTTAACAGCTATTAGAGTATGTCAAACTGTGGCATTGCTTCTCTGAGTTAGGTAAGAGATCTCAAAAAGTTCTTTCAGCACTAGTGATTGAGTGTGACTATGAAATTTGGCTGGAATAATATGAAAGCTAAAACCCAGCATCAGCAGCCAACAAGCCATGTTAAGCTGCTTGAAGTGTCACTGCAATCGGACCGGGCGAGGGGACTACAGTTCAAGTAGAGCCCCCTGCTGTGACCTTTAAATACTGAGCTGCACAGAAATAATCCTTGGAACTGGAAAGGTGGGAAAGCAGTGCTTTGAGATGCAGGCAGCTGCGTTAGATAAAGTGCTACTAAGAGGAGAAGTACACTTAAGTATTAGTTCGAATGGGAAATATCAGCGTGGATACATCTAGAAAAACATCACTGTGAAGATTGAGTAGATCAAGAATTTAATAAACTCCTTGCTGACATTAATTATCTCAAAGACACCCATGACAAGACATTACCCAAAACCTAGAGTCTGACAATTTTATTCTGTTACCTTACTGGCTGTCTGCCATCTTTCCTCAAGTGTCCCTGCTGATAGTTTGCATCTGCCACAAATTTATGTCTCCAAATCATTTGTCTCCATCGTGAACAAGCATCAACATTCTCAAAAAGTGTGTGTTCACTCTCTGCCTCTGTCTCCCACTCTCTCTTAACCTCTACTTTGCTGAGCCAAATATTAATATTACCATTTCTTCCAACTATCAAAAGTATATGAATCTTCTCAACGTCCAATAGTTAAGGACAATTCAAAGTTTTGAACTCAGTGGTAGTTTTAAAACTTAAGTGTAAGTTTACTCAAAAGTGATGCAACACAGAGTACTATACATCACATTATAGACCCTCCATAAAATCTAACTTAAGGCTGTCAAATATCTAAGAGATCAACCATGGTTTATCAATTAAAACCATGAAAATCTTTGTATTTGAACTTGAACTTTATCCAAAAGAAAAATAGAAATAAATCAGCACGTTATGTGTCCTGTCCCAGATGTAAATGACTCTACATTAGACAAAAACCACAAACTGACATTTTCACAGGTTAACACCAGGGGTCCGTTTCACGTAGGTGGTTCAACAAACTCTGAAACAAATCCTTAACTCTGAGTTGATCTTCTCTGAGATAGGAAACTCTGAGTTTCCGGTTTCACAACACCTGATTTGAGACAGTTTTAGCAACTCCGAGTAGTTTGACTCGAGCTGCGTCCGAATTGCCAAGTAGTAGTCGAAGTAGTATCTAGCATGTCCGAATTGGCCACCGGAGCGAGTAGCATGCTACTTCAGATACGACTTCAGATACTAGACACGCCCACATTGTAGGTTGCTCTCAGTGCATCCTGCGGGCATGCTACTGACCCAAAATGCACCGCGGGCTTCTTCTTCGTCCTCTCAAAAGTTGTAGAAGCGCATGTGATGCTAGCGCCACCAGCTGCTCTGCCTATTTAAATGTGTCGCGAACGCCGGCTGGCCACAGCAGCGCGCACCATGCCGGAGCAGCAGCAGGCGGGACCGCAGCAGTACAGATGTACGTTTCATGTAGCTTCACACACTGTCCTAAAAAATGTGCGGTTGTATCTCTTTGTCATGTCATAGTGTCATATTTGCCCAAGTAAAGCTCACTTATTCCATCATTAAACTGCACAGCTGCAGTAATCAGGCAGGTCTCATTGAACAAACCATCACCACGTGAGTGAATGAAGGCTAAAAGTAATGGAAAAGCTACTTTGTGAATTTCTAAAGCAGTGGAGGAATATAATACAGCAGCATCTATCACTTGCACAATTACCATTCAGTCTAAAACGGCGCAGTACCTACTCTCTGCCTGCAGGGTTTGTCTTTCCCCACTGCTCGTCTAGTGTGTCCGAATTGGGCCAACGTGTTTAGTATGTAGGAGTAGGATCTAGCAGTAGTATGTAGCAGTAGCATGTAGTATCCGAGCGGGCAATTCGGACGCAGCACTAGTCTTGTGCAATCACAATGACAGACTGTTGCAGTTGAAACTGCGTGCATGGAGCAAATTATTTTATGTAGGTGCAATCCAGCGGGTCAAAAACGCACTTGGCAGCAGCTGAAAATTAAATATAAAAACATTGTGCAAACAGGTGAGACATCGGCATTTTCTCATTTTGATCATGTTTTACATTGTCAAGTAAGTATTAAGTGGCAGTTTGATCTTTTAACAAAATGCTCTTTTCACACTCAAAAATGAATTCTACTCTCTTATTATGTTCCGTTTAATGATTAGGAATATTAAACTAACACAGACTTTCACTCAGCAAACAGAAAGAGGGCAGATGCCAGAAAAACGGGTTTAACGGAGGCAGAGCATATCCCCTCCTGTGGTGCGCCAGCGATCGCCTCGTTTGCATAACAAACTGAGTGTTACAGGTGATTTAGTACTGGCTAAAGCTGGTCCTTCTAGTCCTTCTTGTTAAGTCTTGCCTTGGTTAATCTCTGGCTTTCTGCCGTTTCGCTTCAAGTGTCTTTCTAGTACTCAGAGCTGACATACTCTCAAAAAAACATCAATCTGCCAGTTTGGATCCTAAATAAAAAGAAATATTTTTGGAGATTCCATCATGAACAAGCTCCCACATGTCAAACCAGTGCGTTGACTTTCTTTTATTCGCTCACTCTTTCATGCTCAGTTTGCTGCCCCAAAACCCAAATTTCGGTCTAAATTTTATTTTAAAATTAAAAATATCCAAATGTTATCAGAAGTGAATGGTTAAACACTTATTTATTAATTTGTATTATAAGGCATTATAGTGTTTCAACTTGAACTCAATTTGAGAAAGTGTAAGCCCTCGGAAATGCAATTCATTAAAAATATGTATTCTATAGTCCTTTGGCAAAATCTTACTTTGGGTCTGAAATAACAGAAAATGTTTACCTGGCTTACTTGAGTTGAGCTGACAGGCGTTACAGGGTTATATGTATTAGTTTGTGTCAAACTTTTACTTCCAAAGACTTCAGTGCAAAAAAGAAATCAGTTACACAAATCCATCATGCTTATGTGAGTCATTTATATGCTGGGCGGGTGCTTTGTGTTGTGCTTCAAGAGGTCCCCCTTGTGGCTAAAATACCTTGCAGTCTCACAATTAGGTAAGTCCATTCAAATCTGCCTCAGACAGCCCCTAGGCAGTGCTGAAACTCAAGGATCTATGCCAGTGTTACCATTAGACTATCTCTCTCTGAGCAGCATGGCAGACTCTCTGCACAGCCTGTGTCATCTCCCTCCCAAGACCACCTCACAAACAATCAAGGACCGAGGCAAGTGGGCAAGCAAAAAAGAGTTCATCCTATCCGTGGCTGGTGCTATAATTGGACTCGGAAATGTGTGGAGATTTCCATATCTTTGCTACAAGAATGGTGGTGGTAAGTGGAACTGTTTATAACTGTTTATTTTTAGTGTCATTTTAGTATCTCCTTAAAACCTTTTTAAAAAAGTGAAGTTTAATGTGATCGAACTGCTTACCAAACTTTTTCAAACTTTTCCAGTTGATGTTGAGTGAAATTAGGAAATTGGTGGTGCTTGGATTTTTTAAAATTGGTATCATTTCATTACAAAAGCCTCTGATTTTTTCTTTCTTTGTTGTTAACTATTGAAATAGTTGCTGTTTAGTATCAAAAGACTGGTGACAGAAAATCGAAAGACAGAATTGTGAGAAATTTTAGATTTATACTTATATGCGTGATGAATGGAAGGATTTCTTAGAATTTGATCACACTAGCTTGGTTTTTTAAATGTCTGTGTGCTGTTAAAACCCATTAATTTTCCCTGTGTCTCCCCTTTGCTTCACATCTGATGACTAAGGATCTGACAGGCTACAAAAGGCTATGACAATAACTTAATACCCATGTTTATGCAAGAAGGAGCGTCACATTGTTTAGTGAATTCCTCACACATACAAATCCCCATTGTCTCGAGAGAGGTCACATTGCTAAAATTTCTGCTGTTTTACAAACTCAATAGATTTTACTAAAGTGATGTTGATAGCGTAGTTTGAATAAGTATGGATTAAATCACAAATGTAATTTTATGATTATAGTGGAATCTTTCCCAGGCTGGGGAAGATTCTGGTCATTTCACATGTAATACGATCAATCGGAAGTTATTTTGAAGAAATTCTACGCTGGTTCTGTTTGTTTCTTACATCAAGAGTAAAGAGCATAGACAAGTTTCACTTGAGTAATTACACAAACTTTCTATTTCTACTCCACCACAGCACATGCAAATATTGTACTTTTCATGGTTTTAAAGAGAGTAATCAAATGTTTCTTACTGGTTTAAAATAATGTCTCTTTCATAAAGCAATGTACTGTTTCTATGTTACTCACATTACTCGAAAATGAAATCCCAAAAAACAGATTTTCAAAGCTTCTGTAACCAAACCACAGAGATGACGAGCCTCGCCCATACAATGATACGCCTTACTGTATGGGCACATTGCAAATTAAACTCCTTAACTGTAAATAGGATAAACAAAAGAAGCAAAAGTTTAACATGTAGCAAAACAAAAGTTGATCTGCAGCCACATCCTCCCTTTTGCATCAAAAAACTACAAGTTTTGGCCTCGCTTTTAGGAAACTGTTGTTTTGTCCATCATTTTACACAGTCTATGAACTCTTATAAAAACATTATTTGTCGAATTCAGCAACCATAAAATAAAAAATAAAAAAAAACCCTCAACAGTAGAACAAACCACACAACGGAGCCAAATAGCAAACCTGACATGTTGGTACATGGCACAAACATCTTTGCCAAATTATCTCCCTCTTTCATAAGCTCCTTCCACATTTTTAAGTCATAAATTGACAACTCACTAACAAAAATTTGGGGGTGGAGCTTTAAAGGTACAGTGTGCAGTGTTTGGAAACATTTTGCTGCCAGACTTGGCAGAAACTTAATTTGCCAAAGTATTTTTAAATTAGTAATTCCTCTGAATGAATGCAAAATTCAATTTGTTTTTGGCAACTTAGATTGCACCATCTTGCACTGCCATTTTCTATTATAGCATAGAATGCCACGTGTTTATTTTTTCATTTATTTATTTATTTTTTGTATCTAGCAGGTGGTCTTAAAATGTACTAGTTGGGAAGTGAAGAAGAAATGTAAGAGAAGTTGTTGTTTCCAGTAGAAAAAATTGGATCCACAGACATTTCTGATGTTATGAAACTAGGGAGCCACACTTACCAAGCAGGAACTTTTTTGTCCTGGAGGGAAACTGTATGTGTAAACTACAAACATTTCAATCTTCAAATATAACCAGAAGTTTTCACAAGATATTCCCATTTTTACTCACTGTACCTTTAAAGGGGTTATACCAGAAAGATTGTATTTGTTTTGCTTGGAAACCCTAATTCAGATTCACACAGCACATATAATGTAGCTCCTCTGAATATTTTCATAAATGACTCATCTTGATTGAAACCAACTCTGTTAAAACTGGCCATTCACCAACCGGTATGTTTGTGATAAATTAAGCTCAACTGCGACTTTTTGTAACTTTTGTATAAATTTATTTTCAAAGATTTCTTAAGATGCACAACTCTGGACAAATAACATTAATAACTTTATTTTTCCGTTTTTGTTTTTTTTTTTTTTTTGTGTCTCTTATATTGTTTTGTTTTTTGATTTTTGACATAAAAGTTAAAATTGCAGTTGCATTTTGTTTTATTCAGCTTATGTAAGATCCGCTCCAATACAAACATACAGTTAGTTGAATGTTGATCATCAGAACACCCTTTCACCACTTCTGTCACTCACTTTAACATGCGCATTTTTAAAGTATATCCAAAGTTGTACAGTATGTCTGAGAGTGATCTCTAAATATACGGCCTGTCCTCAGTAAAGGTCATGTACTATATTTATGTTTTCACAATCACATGTGGCTTTAGGATCTGGTTTCAGTAAAAATTTATTTATGGATTTCAAGTATTGCAATAAATGCATTCTCATACTTACTTAAAGTCCCAAGGGTCAGATCATGTCAATTCAACACCTGCTTTAAAATAATGCCAGATACAGTTGCTCTGTTGATGCGGCGCACACGCCACAGATTAAAACACCAATCCATATCCAAAGTGAAGACAAACAGATATAAACTATTGGAATCTCTGTGAGTGCAAGTTAAACATATTGTAGCTTATAAATGCAAGAGCTTTAAGAATTTCAACATATGACATTTTAAGGTTGTAGGAGTACAAATGTTAAGGCCAAGTTTTATGCATCATTCAGTGGCCGTCTTCTGTAAAGCAGACATAGAGACCGATATTTGCACCAGGGCCGAGTTATATCACATCAAGGACTCAAAAGGCCATTTTATGCTGGAGGAAGAATCCACTATCATATTTATGTTGACCCAAGATATATTTCTGTGGACCCAAACTATATAAGATAAAGAAGTGTAGATTTTCTAGACCATAATGATTAGTGTTACAGTTTTATAGGGGTATTGATGGACTAGTCAGGCTTCATTTGATAGTACAAATCTATAATGGGAGCTAAATACTCTTCAACTGCATTAATAATTATCAACCACCCAAACCAAACTAGCCCAGACCCTGAAACTACAAATCAGTGTGTAGGCTAAGCCACTGTGTTGATCCTGCTCCAAGTAGCATAAGTAATCTCCTCTGCTCAGTTACTGCCAACAGTAATTAAAACCTATGCTTAATTGATAGACACCTCTCCAAACAGTGTTAGTTTATGTCGCCTGACAATGGTTGCCCCCCCTTGACTAATTACTGTGCCAAAATGTACATGCTTCATCAGAGCAACTACTTCACAACCTTAGTTGTTAACCTTAGCTCACCTGAGTGTCTGCCTGAGTTTGCGGCATAAAGCAATCACTACAAAATGAGTAAGTATTCGAAGAACTATGAGGCCGGAGCGATACAAGGAAATTAGATGGGCATTAGTGTTGATTGATATGATATCAGTACATCAAATTTAGCTTAATGATGTGTGAGATCCATTGTCTGAGATAGTTAAGACAGTCTGATCCATCTTTTGTCTGTTCTGTGACATTTTGTTTTAAAAGTCCCACAACACCCGAAAAAGCACCACCTCCATCTTTACTTACACATCATTTTCCAAGCAATTTCACTTCATGTACCCTAGAATGAGGGAATTTTTCCATAGTGACAGAAATAATATTATGGTTTTTATGAATTTATTTTCTGATCTCAGTCTCTCTATTTGCTGATATTCTGGGATATTTTATGGTTTGGTCAGGACAGGTATGAATAAGCCTTTGGGCCTCAGTCTGCTCCTTTTTGGGTAATGGTTGTGTGGAGGATATTGTGTAAAATCATAAAGAACATACACATTATTCTGTTTTTGGTAGTTTTAGATTCACACAAATTGTAATGCTTTGTCGACATAACATAATGTAAAAAAAAATAATTTTAATCATTCATTCATTCATTTTTTAATTTACACTTTTCTTAATCTTAATTAATTAGGAAATGGCCAGTTTGAGTGGAATAAAAGGAGTAAATAATGTCAATTCTCAGCTTTTGGAGAACGTCTGAGAAGCACATGAACCTATTGCTGGAAAAACATTCTCATGAATAAAAAACAAAGAGGGAAACTTTTGGAGAGCCTTTTTCAGTTTCATAAGTGATTTCTATGAGAGTGGCCAAAACCAGCAAAACCTTTGGACAAATTTGAGTCAGAGACAGTCAAAGGATTCAGAAGGGAACTTAGTGAAAAAACACAGGGTATTCAGAAGGGATTTGCAAATTAGTTTAATTATCTTGATGAATCGGAGCTTAGATGGGCAACCTATGAAAAGACTTCTGAAAGATTAACTTGACAAAAATCCCCACACCCACAACACTCGAAAAGGTTAAAACATCAGCTTGTTTAAATGGTTTTCCCATCATATCCTGAAACATTTTGGACAAACTGGCTCCCATCCCGACTGCTGTACTTGAAGGAATGTTCTCACAAGGGGAACTGCCAGAAACACTTTATGATGCTCTTATCTCCCAAGGTGTTATAAAAGACAAAGACTGGTGATTGAAGGTCAGTTTGATTTATGTGGGCTGCAGAATTATGAGTAACATTCTCATAATGAGGCAAAAAAAAAAGTGTTTTACCACACTTAAGGGCACATTTTGAAATTAAGGATTGGGATCTTGCCAAGTTTGACACAATTCTCCGTTTTAAAATCTCCCTTTCACTTTCCTCTAAGATCCTGCTTATGTCTCATAATCCTCCTTCATCTCTGCATGACCTGCAATGTTCAATCTGCCCGCTAGATGTCCGCTGACTTTCCCTCCTTTACATCACTTGACCCCACCCAGTCACACACCTGTTACCACTCCTCTTCAGCCCCGTCTCATGTGCTTCCACCTCTGTCATCACTCTGCCTCCGCTCAGCATACCAGTGCACTTAGTTAGATCACGGCCAGATATATAACTGTTTTTGAACTCTCAGAGGCATCATTGCAAACAAGTACTTTAGTGTACGGCTGTAGAGGATCGTCTCACCTTGCATTTCTTCTTCGGCATTTGAAAATAATTATTTAGCTGATAAATGTTGCGTGAATACTATCCAGGGACCAGAAGGTGAGAGTTACACCTTATATTGTGTAACATTTTATACAAAGTTAAAATAAAGTTTTTGCTCATTCACTGTGACCTTGTGTTGACACTCTCTAGCATGCAACGTTGCATCACGTCTAACCAATGGAGTGAAAGCAGTTTGGGATATTGGAGTGTGCGTGATTCTAGTGTTGATTGGCATTTCTATATTGATACATCATTTAATGAGACACTCAACTGAATGAGACATGATTAAGTGCCAGCACTGCGGTGTTTCAATTCCGCTGAAACCTGTTTTTGAAGACAGTTAAGCAACTATTTGACCCATGACCCAGTTAATGAATATAAAATGGCCCAGTGTAAATTTAGCTGTGTAATGTATTAATATTAACATGCTGTTCCTAAAAACCGGTCTCTGGTGGAAAACACTTCCTCCAACCCTTGGCATAATGACCATCCAAGTCAGGCTTCTTCAAAATGGGTCAACTACAAACAGTAGAGAAAAACAGTCGCTCAAATCAAAGTGCAAAAATTAGATCATAGGCTGATTCAGCTTCTGCCAAGATCCTTAAGACAATTCAGAATGTGGCTCAGTGCCGTTTGCGGCCTTCAAGTGCCATACACACTTCTGAATGGTCCTTGGTGCCTAAACAGTCTTTAGAGCAACATGGCAGCATTGGATGCAACGTTACATGATGTCCCAAAGGGGCTGGATTGGATTCAGGTCTGGGGAATGGACTGGCCAGTCAACAGCATCAATGCCTTTATCCTCCAGGAACTGCTGCTGACACAATCCCGCCACACGAGGCCGGGCAATGTCATGCACCAGAAGGAACCCAGGGCACCAGTATATGTTTTGACAATGGGTCCAAGGATCTCATCACAGTACAAAACAGCAGTAAAGGTACTTCTGGCTAGCACATTATGGTCTGTGTGGCCCTCCAAAGAAACGCCTTCCCTGACCATTGCTGAACCACCGTCAAACTGGTCATGCTAGAGCAGCAAAATGTTTTTTCACGGCATCTCCAGACTCTCTCAATCTGAACCTGCTCCTCTCTTCTGGGAAGAGAACACGGTGCCAATTCTGGTGTTCCTTAGCAAATGCTTAACAGGCTGCGCGGTGCCAAGCTGTGAGAACAGAGTCCACTTGTGAACATCAGGCCCTCATGCTACCCTCATGGGGTTTCCAACAGTTTGGTCAGAAACCTGCACACAAGTGGACTGCTAAAGGTCGTTTTGTTGGGGGTTGGCAGTGCCCCTTCTGTTTCTCCTTGCTTAAAGAAGCAGATGGCTGTCCTGCTGCTGGGTTGTCCCCCTCCCCTGGTGTACTCCTTCACACTCTTGACAGTGTGGTGGGTAACAACAAACCCTTTGGCCGTGGCATGTGTGGATGTGGCCCTCTGGAGGAGCTGCACTACCTGGGCAACTTCTGCTGACACCACCTAATGCTAATACTTGGTCATGAAAACAGTGGTCCAGTCCCTGGTTTTGACATACCTGGAGTACTGCTCAGTCCTTTGGTCCAGTGCTGGACAGGGGCACTTGAAAAAACTGCAGCTTGCCCAGAATAGAGCTGCCAGGGTAGCCCTTGGTTGTTCTTATAGAACGAATGTGAATGAGATGCACACCGTCTCAGGGTGGTTAAAGGTACAGAACAGGCTGAATATGAATATTCTTTGCCATATACAAACTGTCATATTCAAAGTGTATCCAACTTCCTTTGTGGACAAATTGGTGTACAGTGGCTATCAACATGTCACTTGGCAGGTTAGCTCTGGTCATTTATTTGTTCCATTCTCCAAGTCTAATTGTTTGAAGAGGAGAACAGTGTTATTTAGATCTTTGGAAATGTGGAATCAATTGCCTGGGAGCACACAGCAAATAAGCAGTAGGTATTATTTTAAAAGGACTTTAAAACAAAACAAAACAAAACTGGAGACCAGCAACCATTTTGTGGAAGCCAAAAGGGTTCCAAACAAACAAATAAACTCGTAGCAATGGCGCTTGAAAATGCAAAACTTGCTTAGAAGCAGCTAGAGAGGATAGGCGAGGTCTTAATTTTTTTAGAAGTGTACATTTCACCATTGCCAGATAATCTTCCTTCTTTGATACGACTGTAAGCAGTTGTTAGGATGAGTTTCTTTAGCCAGTCTTGTCAGCCTTGAGAGCGGTGGAGCTGTCATTCAAATACCTCAGATACTTCAGTGTTAGATTGCTGGAGCCGGGGGCCTCCAACAACCATCTTCAATTGTACCCATATTTTACATCACACAGGTCCCCAAAATATGTTCTGTCATGGTATTTCCTTCTATGGACCCGCCATATGTTCACCTAAAGCTCCTTAAAATATGTTGTCCTTTGTTGTTACCGTACATGGATTTTTCTTAGGGTCAACTAAATGTCAGCAGTATGTTTAGAAATGTGGACAACTATATATACTTGAACGGCCTCAGACGAAACTATGGTTACGCTTCTGTTATGCTTCTGTTACGCTTTGCTAGACTTTGTTACACTTGCTGTAACCAGGATCTGTAACCAGTAAAGCTTGTCGAAATGATCATTCATGTGGACCTTCCAGTTTTTATAGTGTGAACATGGGCTAGGCATCCTTACAGCAGTGAACCCAGAAAGTCACCAAGTTGCCATCAAAACAGGAAATAAAATGTGCGGTTTACTTTGCATGTTTAAAGTGCTTTACTCACACTTGCAGGTGCATTCCTCATTCCTTATACCCTCTTCCTCATCACCTGCGGCATTCCTCTGTTCATACTGGAGACAGCACTGGGCCAGTACACCAGTCAGGGAGGAATCATGTGCTGGAGGAAGATCTGCCCCTTGTTTGAAGGTGAGTAATACCTGCTAGGATGTACAGGTCAGAATTTAGCAAATTAAGGAAGAATTGCAGAGTATTAGAATTCGGATATTTTCCTCTGTTTCCAGGCTTGGGATATGCAAGTCAACTCATTATTTTTTACGGCTCAATCAGCTACATGGTGATTTTAGCCTGGGCATTTTTCTACTTCTTTTCATCCTTCGCCAGCAGCCTGCCATGGGCCAGCTGTAACAACACATGGAATACAAGTAAATTAACTCTCATCTCATTTATTTATATATTTATTTATTTAATTTTTTGTTATGTAGATATAATGAAAATGAGAGTTTTATCAATGGTTCAAGTCCATTTTGATTTTAAACTAACGAGGTAAAGGCCGCTATTGTATTGGGTTTTGTAATACTAGTTTGTCTGGTAGTAGTTATTTGTCTTGACTCTAGTACTATTGATAATTGAACAAGTAGTATTGATTTAATAATGCATTAATTGAGTAGGCACTGTCAGTTTTAACTGTGTTTGTCAAAACTCTGCTACATCACAGATTCTTGTGTGGTACTGAACACCTTTAATGCCTCTGCCAACGGGACCTTCCCTGTGAATGCATCATCATCCATAATGGAGTTTTGGCAGTAAGTTTTTTTTATCATAGACTGTATATAGAATGGACGCCGTCTGCCTCCTCGCTGGGTGAAGCAACCCCGAGAACAGCACCCTCTGGTGACGGGCTGCAGTATAGGTCATAAATCCCGCCTCTTCCAGCAATCCCTATGGAGCTGTGGACAAACTTTAAACATTTATCATACAGAATATAAATTTTTCTCCCCACTGCTTGTGATGTTGACATGTAGTTACTGTAAGACTGGTTTGTGCTTAAGTCCTCTTTTATCTGTAGAGCTCAATTTTTAGTTATTCAGGGGTTCATGTTTTCTATGATTGACACCTGATACAGCCTATGGGTGTACAAGGATTGCATAGATCACCCAGGGGGATACACTGTTTGAGCTGAGCGTCAACACAGCGACTCTTGGCGACTCTCCCGCCGAATGCGTACAATGCTACTGCAGAAGTGGAGAAGTGCGTACAACGCTACTGCGCAATGTTGGTTTCAGGAAATGAAGAAAAATCGTGGAAATACAGAGAGCTTTTCGGCTTCAAATCTGTAAACTGGTGGAAGGCGGAACTAAGTTGTCCATAGTATATACAGTCTATGGTTTTTATCTACTAAATTGAACATTAATTTGTAAATTGTCAAATAAATTTGTCAATAGCAGGGACAAGAGGAGCAAGAATTGTGTTTGAAAATTTTCAGTTTTGTTTAATTGGGTGCAAATCCTAAGATACGTAGCTGGCACACTCAGAAGCTGGAAAACGCCAGATCTGTTATGACAGAAATAGTCAGCAAATCTGAAGTTACATATGAATTTCCCGCTGACACACATAATCTCAATTATTGCCTGGCACAGGTTGGGCGTGTTTGAACTTTTCTCAAGTTACTGACATAACTGTTAATGTTGTTGTGCATGTACAGGCAGGATGACTTCCAAGTTTACAGGTTTTATAATTACGTTTTATGGCCTTGGGTAACCCCTGACGTAACTGCGACTAATGGCCTAATCAGCCAGGATAACAAAAATGCCTGGGTGTGATCAATTATGAAAACTTTCAAACAACTTTTATGAAATAATCCATTTCATCCTTTGGTGTGTTCAAGGTCATCTCATGTCTACAACAGCGGAGGAAGCACAAATCAGGCTTATCCTCCATCTAAATAGTGAACACATATTTAAAACAGCCTCTGTTTTCCTCATACCATGTTGTTTTCATTTTATGTGAGCATGTTACAAATTGAATTTTTCAACGATTCATTCAACCTCAATCAGTCAGTTGTTCAATTAATTATAATTTGAAACTGTGTTTATGTTAAAGTCAAACGAGCACCAGAATCAGCCTGCTGTATGATTGATCAACCATACACTTGGAATACAAATATGTACATGTGGATTGGATTAAAATTGTTTAGATGTAACATGCATCACAATAGATATTTCAAATAATTGTTAAAATCATAAAATTTACAGATAAGTTGCTCTGGTATATATTTTTACTTTGGAGAGAAAAAAAAATATTAAGCTGTAATTATGTATATTGCTTAAGAATGTGTGACAGAGTTCAAACATCATAAATCAGAGAAATTGTTTGTCTTTTCTTGGGTGGGACACTTTCACAGCCACAAACCTCTAATGTAGCTAACGTATGATTCCACTGCTCACCATAACACTTGTCCTGATCAGCCAGAATAATTGAATAACCTGTGTGCTGAAGCTGAAGATGGCTTTATTATAAGAGCATGTAAAATCATGAAGAGATTGCTCATCTTGGCTCTTATTAAACCTATCATGATAGACTAATTGACTTGTCAGTCACTGATGTAACTGATAACTCAAATTATGTCGGCTTTTGCTAGGGCGGGGCTCTGGCATGTCTTTGAGCACTGATTTTTCTCAAACATAATCAAGTGGATTTAAAAATTTGTATGTTTATTGTGCTCAGTTTGCTCACTTAACAATAAGAAAACAGGAAGCCTGATACACAGGCAGCAAGGCCAGAAAATCAAAACATAGAAATGGAAGGTATTTTGCCTCATAAACTTGTAGGATGGCTCTGTTGCCCAAGAACAATTCAGCAAATGACAGCAGGAGCTGGGACCAAACTGCCAACCTTTTTGTTATTAGGAGATGACCAACTCAACCACTGAGTCGCTGCCTCATGCTTTTATTTTTAACTGGGGGTGTTAGATGTGGTCGAGTCTTATACTGTTGTACACTCTGTAGCTTCATTTTTGGCAAACTAAAATGCATATTCCTCAATAATTACCCGACGTTATCTTGTTTCTTTCAGACGAAGGGTGTTGAGTATCTCATCCGGCATTGACGTCTTTGGGCACATACAGTGGGACCTTTCTTTGTGCCTCCTTGTGGCCTGGATCATCTGCTACTTCTGTGTATGGAAAGGAGTGAGATCCACAGGAAAGGTGTGACTGCAGAACAGATTTTTACTCAAACTTGCAAAGTTTCACTTTGATTTCTCAGCAATAGTCCACACTTTTTAATGTACAAGAGGTCACACACAGGGATACATAACAGTCTGCATTGTTGACATCTTTATTTCAATCATCCAAACAACCAGGAGAGGTATTAGGAAATCTTTTATGATGCCAGTTTCGAAGACTCACGTGTCCTCTACGACAATTACATGTCAACTGACAACAGAGGCAGGTGTTCAAACTTGTAATGGCATTATTAACTCGTAATTTTTTCAAGCACGTGTTGGTTCAGTCAACAGTATGTTGCACCATTTGCTGAGATAACAGACAATACAGTCTTTTAAAATATGCAAACCTGTGTTTTTTTCCCCCTCTTGACGACCTTATTTGCAATCAAATGCTGTGTTAGGTAAACACATTCAATAGTAAGAGCATGTTATAGCTGTTAGTAACTTGAAACCGTTTCACAACCCGGTCTGTAACTGTCTGTCTGGCTCCTCCTGTGCCCAGTGAGCAGGGCAAGACGTCAGTGGTTATAAAAAAATAATACCAAGGCCAAAATAAGCATGCATATGCAGGTTCTTTTGACTTGAAGGGTGCTTTTACCTGCCAAGACACCTGTCTTCACTTGTGTACGCATGCTCTGCCTAATTGCACCAAAATGCTTCTTTGTCTTACATGACTTAAGAAGGATAATGGTGTCCTGACAATGTTTCAATTCAATCAAGTAGTTATCAAACACATACATAAAGCTATTTGAAGCAGACTGATTATGAAACAACAAAGAACGCTGTAGATGCTAGCTGTACTACTCTCCTCTATTATCTGTAAAATAGATCTGTGTTTCTTAAAAAAAACGAATCTTGCACCTGTGGTTGCTGTTGACCTGCTGCCACTTGTAATCCACTCTCATACGCCTATCACTTTCAAGCCTAAGGTGTATATGTTAAATCATTGTGACGGATTTTTCTCAGGTCAAAACTGGCCAGAAGCCAAATCTGTCATTTGTGTGCAGCCCTAAGGTTAAGCCAGAATGGTGTGAAGTCTGTGTTTGAGGTTGTGTGATTTTGTAGCGCTCACTGTAAGACTGTTACATGACAGAGACGTTTGTAATAGATCTGCTCATCTATCACCCATGGTTCCAGTAATCACTCCCTTCTGCTGTTTTTTTTCCCCTTATATGCCTCAAGCTCAACTTGTACAAGTAGATCTCCTTATTTGACTGGTTCTTCGACAGGTTCACAGGCACTGTACATCCAGAGAAACCTGATATGGTTCAACTTACTGCTCTGAAAGAAGCAATAGAGTCCTGGGTCACATAAGAGATGAAATGTTTTACAACTTGCGCAGCTGCATCAAGGGGTAGTGGAAAAGTCACTGTCCTGGCAACACCGCTGGGTTGTGTAATGGCAAGTTGTGTAATGTGGTGATGCAGTGTTACAAAACGACAATATTATAGGAAAAATTGAATCTTCACTAACACATATAAGCTTTATTTAGCAAGTATGTGTGCTAAAACAATTGACTCTGAATTGAATTTGACTCCGGTAACTTTCAAAATATGTACAAGCTTTTTCTTATCCTATTCCAAACTTCAAAACGTGCAGTTTGATCAGGATCAGTGTGCTATTACTTTTCTCTATTGTATAGGAATTTTGGCTAATGTTAGTTGTGAAAAACTGCAGAATGATTTTGCATTAAAGTCAATGGGACAAGTGAAGAGAGCAACTATTTGAATTTTTAAATGTTTACCGCTTTTTGAGAAATTTTGAGATTATAATGGGTGTGTATTGCGTGGAATCTAATGCTGTGTTCAAGTTACCTCGGAAGTCAGATGTCGGAGCTGAAAATGACATCACACCTGAGTTACCAGCATTGAAAAAAAAAAATCGGATGCGGAAACAAGATGGCTACATCTGCGAAAGTTATTTTAGCGCTTGCCTTGTCCGAATATAAGGCAAGCGCTAAAATAACTTTCGTAGATGTAGCTATCTTGTTTCCATGTCTGATTTTGCTTTTTCCGACTTGGTAACTAAAACGCTGGTAACTCGGGTGTGACGTCATTTTCAGCTCCAACATCTGACTTCTGAGGTAACTCGAACGCAGCATTAGTGCCAGAGTGGGGGATATCATCGGCTAGAGTGAGAGAAGTTGCGTTGGTTTAGGATTTTCTTTATTGTAGATTAGTTTTATATCACAAAAAACTATGGAAAAAATTTGCATTGAAGTCAACAGGTCAAGCCAAAAAAATAGAGCAATTATTGGAATTTTAAAAAAGCCTACTACCTTGGCTCCATTTTTTGTCTGTTGTATAAATAAATACTCGAAGACAGAAAGTTTAATGTCAGTGTGCTCCTTGTAGCTAATATAACAATGCTACTGGTATTATTTATTTGAAATCTCTGAAGAATCTCATCGTAATGGACACACCCCAGCAGTAGCCCCTGTGGCCCTCTCAAAATTTCCCACAAGGAATTTTTTAGTTGATATCTAACTATTTGTGGCTGTTCATGCTGTCAGTGGAAAGCACCTATCTGTCAAGGCAGAAAGTGCTATGGATATAGAGAACTATTGTACTGTATCAATAACATGCATCATAGCAAACTCATGTTAAATTGAGGTATTTTCTGTTGAAATTCAGGCTACCTACTTCACCGCCACATTTCCTCTGGTAATGCTCGTAGTGCTGTTTTTCCGAGGAATGACCCTTCCTGGAGCCCTCCTTGGCATCAAGTACTACCTGTACCCCAATCCTGCGAGGCTTGCTGACCCCCAGGTAACACCTTAATTGCAATAACTGTTTCACTATTTGATAGCAAAAGGAAAGTTTTGGTGAAATGATATATCTTTGGCTAACAGGTTTGGATGGATGCTGGAACACAAATATTTTATTCCTATGCCATATGTTTGGGATGTCTCACAACACTTGGGAGCTACAACAAGTACAACAACAACTGTTACAGGTGACCGCCCGATGACAGTTGTGGGGGGAAAGATTTTAAATGGGAGTGGGGCTAGGTGATTAAAAGCAGGTGGTAATGATTACTTATGCAAAAAAATTAACAATGAAAATTAAGAGAAAGTTATTCTAAAAAAGCATATAGAGTTATCAAATAGATTTAATTATTCTGAATTGGTTGAAAAGCATTTTACTAAGTAATGGCATTTATCAGCACATGTACTTGCAGCTATTGAGACGGTACACAATAAACACAGACATTAAGACGGTCCTGACCATAAACAGATACTATTTGTGAGTCTAAAATATCCTGTGAACCAAAAGGATATTTGTATTTGTAGCTTTATTTTTGGTATGGCTAACATTAAGATGAGAAATATTGCATCATTAGCTGAATTCAGCTCACAACACTCACAGTTGTACAGCATGTTTTCACCACTGACATCCGGGGTTTTCATTGCCTTCTTGTTCGCTGTGTCGTTCCCATCCATAAGTACATTTTGCTGGACTCGGTCACCAAAATTACTTTAGTGCCAAAGCGTTTAATGTTAAGACGATTAGTTTCGACAAACTCTAAAGCTTTATATTCCTGATTGTGATAGCTGCTGAAATAAAACATATGTGTGTTTATGTCATGTGTTTGGACCATAGACTGTATATAGAACGGACAGCGTCTGCCTTCTTGCTGGGCGAAGCCACCCCGAGAACAGCACCCTCTGGTGACGGACTGCAGTATAGGTCATAAATCCCGCCTCCACCAGCGAAGCTTATGGGACTTTGGACAAACTTTAGAAATTTATCCGCGCAACCCCATTTTTAAAATTTATTAGGGGGTTCATGTTTTCTTTGATTGACACCTGATACAGCCTATTTGCATTCAGGGATTGTGTAGTTCACCCAGGGGATACGCTGTTTGAGCCGAGCGTCATCACAGTGACTCTCCCGCTGAATGCGCACATCGCTACTGTGCAGCGCTGGTTTCAGGAAATGAAGAAAAATCACGGAAATATCGAGAGCTATTTGGCTTCAAATCCGTTTACAGGCGGGAGGTGGAGCCAAGTTGTCCATAGTATATACAGTCTATGGTTTGGACCAGTTTGAAACAACCAATCAAAGCAGAGATTGAGCAGCACCAACAGTCATCACCACAAACTTGATCAAATTTTTCTGCTTCTTTGATAATATGACAAATTATGAAGTTTAAATAATTCTCATTGTATTTATATTAAGCCATCACCAAAATGTTGCTACTGTATGTGTAATTCTTGTAAGTAAAACACCATAAATGTCATAAAGTCAACTTCACTTATTTTCCATTCACCCATTTACCTTTGTTTTCTGATCTGATTCCATTGTTAAAACCTAAAAATATCTGTATTTTTGTTTTTCAATTTAATTTACTTAGAGAATCGTGGTAATATAGCAGTACCTGGATACCAATAAACGAGTGATGACTATTTTTTTTCTGGATTTGCAGAGACTCCTTCTTTCTTTGCCTGCTGAACAGTGGAACAAGCTTCATGTCTGGCTTTGCAATTTTTTCTGTCCTGGGCTACATGTCACAAACCCAAGGTGTTGAAATTTCCACAGTAGCAGAGTCAGGTATGCAAGTTAAAAATACTTGGCAGCCAGAATATATAGTTGTGTCCCACATTTTTCCCTTGAAAATATGTATAAATGTGAATTTTAATTAGCATTTCTCTTTCCTTAATCAGTGTTGTTTCCTATCTGCAGGACCCGGCCTTGTGTTTATCGTCTACCCACAAGCTGTGACCCTTCTTCCATGGTCTCAGGCATGGTCCATATGCTTCTTCGCCATGATTATCTTGTTAGGGATAGACGGACAGGTCAGTTGCAGTTATCTTTGAGTCCCTCAAACATATCATGCAAATAACTCTTTCTGTCAACTCTGAAGTAACCATTTTTTGTTGTTGTTATTTTCCAGTTTGCTGGCCTTGAGAGCATCATGACATCTCTTGCAGATATCTACCCAACCCAGATTAGACAGGGGTGTCGTAGAGAGCTTCTTCTATTGCTGATATGTGTTGTTAGCTATTGCCTCAGCCTGTCACTAGTTTCAGAGGTGAGCTCTTTAAAGTACACATATTAGTAGTCACACAAAAGCACATAATTATGTTTGAAATACTTGCTGTCTAAAGGATAAACATCGAGTACTGGGAGTGATTTCCATTTTTATTTATTGTTGTTTCATCTGTAGGCAGGTGCATACATTCTGCAGATCTTTGACCACTATGTGTGTAGTGGTCCCGCTCTTCTGTTGATGGCAATCCTGCAGTCGGTGATTATTGGATGGATATATGGTAAGATATTTTTCAGTCAGGAGTCAGTCTTTGGGATTTTGGTACATGCCAAAATGTAAAAGATTCTCCATTTAGCATTGATTATAAACACATGAAATGTGTAACATATTTATTTATGAAATCACACTTTTATGATGTATACTGGGTCAAGACTGCTCAATGTTTAAGAGTCCATCTCTGGTGAAGGTTACCATAAAGGAAGAGCAGAAAACCAAATAAATCACAAAACCACGAAAAGTATGATTACCAATCTCAGTAATCATAAATGCTGTTGCCATTCACTTAATTAAAAACTGAAATGAAGCACAATAACTTTTACTGGGTTCACAGTTAATATAATGTGGTCAATGTGTTTGTCTCTATTGTAGGTGCTGAACGCTTCAGTGATAACATAGAGGACATGATTGGCTACAAGCCTCTTTCCGTGTTTAAGTACTGCTGGATGTTTGGCACCCCTGCTATCTGCTCCGTAAGTTTTTTAGACCATCAAAAACAAATTAGCCATTCATTTATGCTATGTTACAATGTTTGATTTTTTTTTTTTGTCTGGCAAAGGGCACCCTTATATTTTTGCTACTACGATACACCCCAATGAGGTTCAACAATTACTACGTTTATCCCTGGTGGGCGTACTGCATCGGCTGGTTTCTGGCCATGTCATCGCTTGTTCTGATCCCAACGATCATGATCTGCAAGCTGGCCAAAGGCAAAGGGAGCCTTTGGCAGGTGAATGCTGGCTGTTGGTTGGTTTTAAAGGGAGCATTTAAGTTTGGTAACCTAGATTGTTTGTTGAGTATGTGTTTTGTTTAACTGCATGTGTGTAATGTTATGGCCTTTAACAGTATCATTACCTCTCCCCAGCGTCTGAAGCAAAGCTGTAAAGCGGCAGATGACCTTCCACTGATGGCAAAGGACATGGCAAGCTTGAGTGTTCCACTTCGTGTCCGTGATAATGGTAAAAATGAAAAACTGTAATGAATGACCTAGTCATGCTTACAAAAGTCTCATTGAGGCTTTTACTTGTCTAAACAAATACTAGGGTTTACTACTTTGTATAACTTAATTTCCCACCCTCTCTCTCTCTGTCTGTCCTTCACACATTGCGCATGTCTATATATATATATATATATATATATATATATGTATATAGATATACAGTATAAATTATAAATATATACACACACAAACACACACATATGTATTTATTTACAAATATACAGAGTATTTGCAGCAATACATATATTTAAATATATACATGTATGTATTTATATTTATATATGTATGTATATATATATATATATATATATATATATATATATATATATATATATATAAACACATACACATGTATATCAGTAGGGCTGTCAATTAGTTTATTTAATTGATCATTTTTAGATAAAAATATATCAGTATGTTATCACATTTTCGATCCTATTAAATTAAATTCCCATGGTATGCATAATAATACCTCCTCTTAGAACCACATTAGTTCATATTAAAAATGTAAAGCTATTACTACTGCAATGAAATGTACTTAATATCTTGACTTTTTTGGATTAATTTTTAAATGAGTGCTGCTACACCAGTGTGTTCTAAAATCATGACCGAAACTATGCATTTAATGATGCTGACTTCAGCCGATTAACTGCACCTGTATGCTTCACGCATAGATTTAAGTTCAAACTCAAAGTAACATTTTTAAAGTCGTTTTTTATGATGGATTTTTTGGCTTTCAATGGCCTTCATTGACAGAGGTAAGGACAGTTGATAGAGCAGGAAACAGGGGAGCGGGGGATGGTATGCAGGAAAGATGCCACAGGGGGAATTAAACCTGTGCTGCCTGTGTTGGTGGGGGGCGCATGCGCCTAAATTGCTAAGCTTACTATGCCCCAATATCTTTTGATGCTAAAGCTATGTCCACACAGAGGTCAGATTTTAACACATAAGTGTTTTGTCGTTCTGATATTTTGTCTACATGGACCCAGCCTTTTGGGAACCTAAATACGCTAATTTACAAGTCCCAAAGTGAACAAATCTAAAGATGCCACCTATGCTCATGTTATACTGATGAAACCAGATGTTGTTCTTCATGTGATTGTTTACATCACACAAGTTTGATGCACATCCTCCATGTCTTATTCTCTGATGTTGTTGTATTTCTGTGGCAGCATTACAGCATCACTTACAGGTCTGGTGTATAAACAACAGCATTTTTATTGGTTTTGATGTGGACACAGATTTCACAAGAGGATTCTATTTTACGTAAACCTTTTATAAAACTAAAAAGAAAAAAAATCTGTCTCTGCTTGGACATAGCCCAAGTTAATATTACCTTTGTCACCTTAGTGGTCTGACACCTTTTAAAAGTCAATCGTGTCGTTCAGAAGTGCAGTAGTGAGAGGAGGCTGTGGTAAAATGTACTTAGAGGTTGAGTTATGATTTCCTGGACGTGACAAAGCAGCATGTGAACCAAAAAAAAAAAAAAGTATTATTTTCTAGTTTTATAGTATTGATGTTAACATCTGTCATATTAATACTGACAGCCTATATTTATGTTAACTGTGTGTTTGGGTGTGGGTGAGTATATATGTGTATATAGGCTACACACATTATTTTATAGAGAGGGCTATTTACTATGAACATGGTGGTAGTATTAATTCACAGGTAAATATAAGGTGAGGTTACTTATGGTTTGTTGAGTGTTTAGTGTTTGCTCAGAGATGCTTTAACATGACATTTATAAAGGAACGCACAATGAGTTATGCAAGGATACAATGGAGTTATTGCGTCCTGAGTTAAAAGAAGTCACATTCCCTTCCTGTGTGTGTTGCTGTCTGAGCTTTTCTCCTCTTAGCCTATCTACACCTAGAATCAAAATGCTGTCCGATGACTGGACCACAAGACAACCTGAGACAAAAGTGTCACTTGTGATGCATGCAGATTCAGTCACTCAAGCCTCACACAGAGGTGGTCTGGGGCATATTTGTCCACAGGCATCTTGCAGCGGGTATGCAGATGTGTACTCGGCCACTTTGATGGGTTGAATGGATGAGGACAGAGATATGATCAGTGAGCATTTACATCACAGTGTTTGGACAGAGGGTTGAAATTTGACAACCCTTACAGAAAATTGTTTTGAAGATAAATCTGCTTTTTGATTCAAAAAAGAAGTTTAAGGGGTTGGGATAGGCGGGGCTGACGTTCTGATCTGTCCAGCTTGAGATGCTTGTGCTCTATGCACCATCATGTGACAGTAAATATTGTACATATGATCTCAAAGTAAAATTTTATCTGTTAAGGAAACTAAATTTCTCAGTGTAGTAATGTATCAAGTCAAAATCCATTTTTTTAATAGATCTCAACTACCAAAAATCCTCAAGGACAACTGTGATGTCTCTGAATGTTTGAGGCACACATTGTTATTGCCGTCTATAGGCAGGGCATTACTACAGTTTCACACTGTACAAGTAATAACTGTTTACACATACAGACTGTTTAAACCACATTCAATAAGCTGAACATGGTGACATTGAATAAAACATGAATTAAAAGAGAATACAATGATCTGCAAATACTTTTCATCCTATAGTCAACAGACGCACTACAAAGACAAGGTATCAAACTGATAGACTATATTGTGTGCAACATGTTTCAAAAATCCCGGAACAGGAGCATGTTTACCACTGTGTTACATCCTTTTAGCAACACTCAGTAAACATTTGGGAACTGAGGACACCAATCTTTGAAGCTTTGCAGATAGATGTATTGATGTATGACTTAAGTTGCTCAACAGTCTGGGGTCTCCAGTGTCATATTTTGTGCCTCGTAGCTCTTCACACATTTTCAGTGGGAGACAGGACTGAGCTGTGTTGTGGAAAATCCAGCATGAACTCCAGCACAGGAGACAGGATGAGATCTGAAGAACAGCCTGGGCGTCTTTTATTGTACAGATGTAGAAATCAGTACAGATGACAAACAGAGTCTCGACCAAGACCGAGGGAAGCCTCCTCAGCTTTTTCTTCTGCTCCCTTTTATGCTGTTAGTTGTGTGTGTGTGTGCTCTGGCAGAGATTAAATGTTCCAACAGACAGAGAGTTCTGGTCCCTGCAAGACAGCCTTGCTTACAACCTCAGGGTCATGAGGCAGCATAAGCACGCCAACCTAGATTATTTGTAACTTCTTACTAAAAGATTATTACTCTATATTTCGTAACCTAAATTCTACTACAGCTGCAGGCAGAAAAGTCCAGTACCTGCACTCTTACTTTGAAGTCACATTGTTATAGCACATGCAGAATGTGTCTTGACCAGGGGTCGGCAACCCGCGGCTCTGGAGCCGCATGCCGCTCTTTCTTCCCTAAGCTGCGGCTCCCAATGGATTTGGAAAATAAATGATAAATACTTAATTGCATTTTATTTTATTTTATTATTATTATTATTTTTTGTAATTCTAAATTCAAAGATTATAATGCTCTTGTAACATTAAATAAACTATTAAGGCTGCAACAACGAATTGATTAAGTAGATTCGTCGTGACGAAAAAATCCGTTGCCAACAAATTCTGTAATCGATTCGTCGGGTCTTTATATATGTCCATGGACACCGGCGTGTAAACATCAGCAAGACGCACAGAAAAGAAACAGTCATGGCCGAGGCAGCGGCTGAGAAAAACATGGACACAACCCAACCCAAATCCCGACCTAAAACATCAGTGGTGTGGGAAAACTTCACCAAGACTGAAAAGGAAGGCGTTCAGTGCAACATTTGCAAAGACCGTTTTGCATGGCTCGGGAGTACATCGATGATGCGTGAGCACAGGGCTCTCAAGTCTCACGCATTCAGCGTATGACACACGCATTCCCACTCGTTCACACGCTCACACACCACACATTGTATTTCTCACGCATTTAAATGAACACGGTGATGTCCACCAAGTTGCACTTCATCAACTATGGAACTGGGGGAAATCAACTGAGTTCCTCCGAGAGTTCAGAAGCTGCGTGCCACGCACAAGCCAATCAAATAAAGTATATCTACTGAACAGCCAATCAAAAAGCAGCATTGCTGTATCCGGGTAGATTTTGATATCTTGCGGTTTAACTACAGAAGAAGACAGACACTCGCCGAAATAGTTCATTTATTTCATAAATGCAACTCGCTACAGTTTTTTATATACTTTGTATAAAGGTAAAAAAAAAAGATATATGCAATGTTATCTTCATTTTAGATGTCAAAGAGGTTTTGTGGCTCCCTGTGTTTTCTTTTCTGTGGGAAACTGGTCCAAGTGGCTCTTTGAGTGTTTAAGGTTGCCGACCCCTGGTCTTGACTGTCTTGCTGAAAAAAAAAACAGGGTTGTCCCTGAAAAACGAGAGAATATTTGCAGAGAAAACAAAAAAGAAAAAAACAAGTTTATTGGTATGAGCATTTGATATCTTGTCTCCGTATTATATTTCATTCAATATCGGTAGAAAAGGATTTGCAAATCATTGTGTTCTGTTTTTATTCATGTTTTACACAAAGTCCTAACTTTATTAGAATTGGGGTTTGTACATTTGAAGTTGGCCAACCCTGATAGCATCTTTTTGATTGAAGATAAACAGAAACGTTTGGTATTCTGAAGGTTTCCTCTACATTGTTGTGTTTTACCGTTTATTTCTTACAAGACATAGGATCATAGTGAGTTTACACTGCTTTCGACACCCTTTGATAGTGGTTTTTAAGTCTTTTGGGGATTCTCCTATCCAATCATGACCCTCACCTGTTATACAAACAGATGCTATTGGAGCATTCCTCAACTTTCACGGACTTTTGTTGACCCTGTTGAAGGCATCAAATTAAAAAAGTTAATATAAGCTAAAAAAAAATAAAACTGTCAAAAAACAATTAAGTTTGTTGGTTTGAACATTTAAAATGTTGTCTTTGTAGTGTATTGGGCTGAATATAGATCAAAAAGTTTGCAAATTATTTACTCTGTATTTATTCACATTTTATACAAAGTCTCAACTTCATAGGAATCGGGGTTTGCACGTACAGAAATGTAAGCTGTTCAATGGAGTAATCAGCTAGGAGCTGAGATTATTCCAGCTGCTAACCACAAGCACATTTCCCAGAATGTCAAACTTTTTTTTAAATCCTTTACATTAATTTATGGTTTGTTTGGGTTTTTTTTCTCGAAATAGGTAAATAAGTGGAACAAGGGAGTAATTTTTTAACTTTGGGAACAGTATTTTGGGACACTTGAAGTGAACTATCTTCTTTAATCTTTTACCTTAAATAACCAGAATGACATATAAACTTTCCACTTTTGATATTAGAATCGAAACAGACCAAAACATTGCTGTCTGTGACCTTCGACTCGAGTTCTCAATGATCCACACCCATAGCTGTAACCTTTGACCTCTGAAGCTCACCTCCCCTTTGTTTCTCACCCCTCCAATCCAGTCTCACTGAACAGACTTGTAGTTATTGTGTAGTAGTTATGTTATCATGACAGACGTTTTATATGTCTGAACATTACCGAGCTGAGCTGTATGTCAGAAAGAAAATGTTAAAATCAGTTAAACAGCAAAGTAAATGGACTAAAATCTGAAAGCTTCCTGGTATTAAGTTCATGTGATGTCTTACTGAACGTATCTAATTTCTCCACACATTAAATTAAGTTTATGTGTTAAAAATAAAAAGGTATGTCACTCACATGTACCCATCAGTAAAAATATCTGTTGGCTAGTTCACACAGCATTCCTGAATGGTGCCTGTCAGTTACAAAACTTCCTATTTTCATTTTCATATTTACAAGCGACAGCAGTCACACTGCCAGCAAACTGCACCGGTGCGGTGCCAAAAAGCTTGAACAGGAGGCTTGTCAAGTTTTGTGATGAGTGGAGCGTGGCTCAAAATAGGTTTTTAGAGTTTTGTCAAAAATGAGATGTACATTTACAGAATTTTTGCTGAAACAAATTAAGCATGGCAGCTGTTGCGCACTGCTCAGGCATGCTGTGTGAACTAATGCTAAAGGTCCAGATCATAGACTGTATATACTATGGACAACTTGGTTCCGCCCCCCGCCTGTATACGGATTTGAAGCCAAAAAGCTCTCGATATTTCTGGGTTTTTTCTTTATTTCCTGAAACCAGAGCTGCGCAGTAGCATTGTGCGCATTCGGCCGCGCAGTTGCAGAGAGTTGCTGTGATGACGCTCGGCTCAAACAGCGTATCCCCCGGGAGAGCTACGCAATCCCTGAACGCCCATAGGCTGTATCAGGTGTCAATCATAGAAAACATGAACCTCCTAATAACTTTTAAAAACAGAGCTTCACAGAAAAAAAGAGGACTTGACCAGTCTTACAGTAACTACATGTCAACATCACAAGCAGGGGGAGAAAAATGTATGTTCTGTGAAATTAATTTCTAAAGTTTGTCCACAGTCCCATAAGGTTTGCTGGCAGAGACAGGATTTGTGGCCTGTACTGCAGCCCGTCACCAGAGGGTGCTGTTCTCGAAGTGGCTTCACCCAGTGAGGAGGCAGACGCTGTCCATTCTTTATACAGTCTATGGTCCAGATACAGTGTCAGTGTGACGTGTTGTAGAGCTGTTCGGTTTCTCATCTTTTCCAAATATGACCTCAAACCAAAACAATCTAAACTGGACAAAACACTGGTTTGGTGCTATTTTTTATTGCACAACTTATTTGATTTCTTACTTTTTCTCTGACTGGCATTGACTTTATAGGGAGAATGCAAATATTTTTCCACTGTTTTGTGTAAAGACTATATATTTTACTCTTTTTTTTTTCATATTTTATATCAAGTAGAAGCTGGTATTTTTTTGCCAAATAAATATACTCCCTCAGGCTGGTCAATATAAGTATTAAGCAATACCTGCTGCTTGATTTTTAAGCAACCAACACTGCCTTCAACACAACATTCACTTTTTTAAGTATATGGCTTCCCCATGGATAAGTGTATTGAGTTTTTTATATGAATACACATAACCTTTGTCTTTATATACAGCTTATTTGTTGTTGAATTTGAATAATAAAATACTCAAAGGTGCACCCTGACTGGCTCATTTTGCATTGATTTAGTTATATACAGCTGCGTGTGAGTGAGTTCACAGCGATGAAGAATGATCCATATGTGCAGGAAACAGTTTTAAAAAGTTTTATTAGGATAGCAATGTAAACATTTAATCTTTTGCACATATGAAATGGCCAGGGCACAGAGTCAATTCCTATTTTTTTTTTTTTTTATTAAAATGAAAGTTGTGCAAGATAGTTGATTCCAGTGACGTCTTCAAATGTCTGTTGATTTAACCAAAGGGATCAAATCTTGCTATATTAAATCAGTTGTAGGGACCAAACACAATACAAAATTGTATTTAAAAAGGTCTAATAGTCATTATTTGATAGTGATATATCACATTTATATTGACCCATTGAAAGTTGCTTATATAAGTGAATATTAAGAATGAACTGAGTGTATCAAACTAAAATCCTACAAATAGTTGTAAGTAACTACCACAGCTTTATTAAATGACAGACCATAACTTTATTCAGTTAAAATATCATCACAGCTCTATTTCATGGTAATACATGAGTGGTTTTGAGGTTTGGTCTTTCAACTGATGATCTCATACAATTAAAAAAAATTGTACACCTTCGACTTTAAACATTTTATTGAAAAACATCAGTATAAAAAAAAGAAAAGATTTGTTTAACCTGCTACATGAGTTCTGATGATTTTGATATCATCAACTGGCCGATCTTGACCACTTGTCTCCACCATCCCAATTCGGTTCAGCACTCCCATCCCTTGATAGACTCTCCCAAAAATACTGTGCTTTCCATCTAACCACTGTGTGGGTGCCAAAGTGAGGAAGAACTGGCTGCCATTCGTGTCGGGTCCTGCGTTGGCCATCGCCAGAATACCAGCACCTTACGGACAGAAAATTAAAGGAGGAGTTGAAAACTTGATGACCTTTGATGAACCTCTCAGTGATAGACAGGATGTTGAATGTAAGGCTACGTTCACACTGCAGGTTATGAGGCACAATTCGGGTTTTTTGTTAAATCCAATCTTTTTGTGCGGTTGTTCACATTACAACAATGAATGCGGCATCTAATGTGAACGGAATGCGTCCGCGAAGTGACCTGCATGCGCACAAAGCACAAATTGCTTTCCGCGCCTGTTTGTGTTGTCGAACAATGCAGACGTTTGTTGCATAGTGATGATAGGTATAGGTCGGATGAACGCGCCTGAGCATCCACACTGCAGTCACATCGGATACATATCTGATTTATATCCACATACAAATGAGGCCTGGGTCAGATTTGAAAAAATCAGAATTGTACTGTTCACACTCACATGAAAAAATCTGATATGTGTCACATATGGTTAAAAAAATCAGAATTGACCTGCAGTGTGAATATAGCCTTAGTAATAGGTAACAACTATTAAGTTTTACTTTAGATCTGGCATAAAAACTTTAAGATATTGACCTGTGCACATAAACAAATCCACTCCGTAGTCGAATAATTATGATCTTGTAGCATGAACTAATACTGATTAATTTTGCTGTCTTATTTTCAATCTAACCAAAATACTATTTATAACTTAGTGCTGATACACATATTAACACACCAATTGTGTAGAAGACTTTTACTTAATTACCAACCAACACTCTCCTCCTCCACATCTACCTCCTCGTTTTCAATTGAAGTTCTGGCCCACTGGTTATTACCTGTGAATTTCAGTTCCAGGTTCAGTTCATCTTCAAACTGTTTGCCAAATATGGAAGCCCCACCGCGACCTGACAGGAGGACAAAGACAATTTAACTTCAGTACAACTATCAGATTAACCAAGAGTAAAAATGTAAAAAGGGTTGGATGATGCTGTGAGGTTACTCTCTGAATTTCCTCCTTATTGAAACCTAAGATTCACCGTGGATTAATATATTGCCGGGCTTATTAAGTAAAGTGAAGATGATAGATACTGAAAATTAAAGTATGAAGAACATGAGCTAGATATGTGTGAAATGGAAAACAACTGAAAATTTTGATATGAAAATGTTAATACTCAAAAGAAAACAATAGAACACACTCATGGATGAAAATAAAACTAACATGTAAAGCTAATACACTGGAGATTAATCATTTGTGGTGTCTTCTTTGGCACTGCTCAAGTTAAAGTGTGTTTTTGTCATTGTAAGAAATGTGCCAAACATAAAGCTCCTTTTCCCATTAACTGTAGGTTAAAATAATTAATTTTGGGGCCCGACTGATTTATCGGCAAGCCGATTAAATCTGCCAATTTTAGCCCGTTTGAGACTAATCGGTAATCAGCCAAAACTCGCCAATTTTCGCAGATATTTTCAGAAATAAAATGCGTAGTTCAAAACGAGTCCGAGTCTGATTCATGATAAATACGTGGAATATTACTGAGATGATCAGTCGGTCTTCCTGTCAGCATGAAGAGCTACATTTTTTTATGATATACGTGAGTTAGCTTTATTTTTATTTATATAGGCTATTTATTTTAGAGGATGACGAGTGTGCGACTTAAACAAGACGGAGGTTGACAAAATAATCACTCACACCCACTACAGTCTGAATAATAAGCTGAAAAGAATTAGTTTATCATCTTGAAAACAGTTATAATAAAAAGCCAGGGGTTGTTTTAGCAATAAAAAGGATTTGAATTTAGAAAATTTTAAAACCTCATAAAAATTTTTTAAAAAATCGTCCGATTAATCGGTAATCGGACCCCCCCCCCCCCCCTGAAATGGAAAACAACTGAAAATTTTGATATGAAAATGTTAATACTCAAAAGAAAACAATAGAACACACTCATGGATGAAAATAAAACTAACATGTAAAGCTAATACACTGGAGATTAATCATTTGTGGTGTCTTCTTTGGCACTGCTCAAGTTAAAGTGTGTTTTTGTCATTGTAAGAAATGTGCCAAACATAAAGCACCTTTTCCCATTAACTGTAGGTTAAAATAATTAATTTTGGGGCCCGACTGATTTATCGGCAAGCCGATTAAATCTGCCAATTTTAGCCTGTTTGAGACTAATCGGTAATCAGCCAAAACTCGCCAATTTTCGCAGATATTTTCAGAAATAAAATGCGTAGTTCAAAACGAGTCCGAGTCTGATTCATGATAAATACGTGGAATATTACTGAGATGATCAGTCGGTCTTCCTGTCAGCATGAAGAGCTACATTTTTTTATGATATACGTGAGTTAGCTTTATTTTTATTTATATAGGCTATTTATTTTAGAGGATGACGAGTGTGCGACTTAAACAAGACGGAGGTTGACAAAATAATCACTCACACCCACTACAGTCTGAATAATAAGCTGAAAAGAATTAGTTTATCATCTTGAAAACAGTTATAATAAAAAGCCAGGGGTTGTTTTAGCAATAAAAAGGATTTGAATTTAGAAAATTTTAAAACCTCATAAAATTTTTTTTAAAAATCGTCCGATTAATCGGTAATCGGACCCCCCCCCCCCCCCCCCCCCCCCCCAATAATCGGCATCGGCCCCAAAAAATCCTTAAGTGAAATTAATCTATTATTAAGTTTATGTGTTTGATTGATCACAGTTTTACACATGACGACTTAAAAGTGTCAAACTCCACGTTTTGTTTCAGGAAACTTTCACTGACCGGAATAGAATAAAAACTGAAATGAATACATGATTCATTGAATCTGAGTGTAGTTGAGAAAATGGTCTGTTTTCTGTTCTCACCTGTTCCCGTGGGGTCTCCTCCCTGCACCATGAACTCTTTAATGACTCGATGAAACTTGGTGTTGGTGTAATAACCTCTTCTGGCCAGCTCTGCGAAGTTCTTGCAGGTCTTTGGTGCATGTCTCCAGTACAGCTCCACCACGACCGTCCCCATGCTGCAATACAATGTTGGGAGGGTTAAAGATTATCTGACATTGCAGCTGGCACATGATTTTGAGACAAAGAGAGGTTTTGGAGTTAAATGTTGTATCATGAGGCTTCATTGAAACCAGTTCGCTTACAAAGAACTACGGAAGAATATGTGAGTGAGCGTGTTTTCCTTTTTGACGCAGTATCCGTTTGTTTAATCATGTATGTAGGGTGATCACGTTTGGAAAAGTATACAAGATATTTCATATAAAATAACTGAGATAAATGTGTAAACCATACGCCGGTAAACATGGATAGGGTTAAGCTAACGGCTAACTAGCTGAGTTAGCATCGACGTCCACTCATTCAAACTTACGTCGTTTCCAGGGCAACAGTTGGCGGCTGCCACGTGTCTGGAGGTATTCCCGACATTTATCCTCGAAACGGAGCCTCTAAATAATCTAAGGCAGAGCTGTAGAGATGAAATAACCGGTAATATTACTACACTGCACGTTCACTCATTTCACGTTTTGAGGGCGTTCTTCTTCGAATTTCCCTCCTATTTTCAAATGACATGATCTGCACTTGACCGCCCCCTAGTGCACAACTCATGTACTGCACAACGCAAATAGGGGAGAGTGGGGTAAGATGAGCCATTTTTCATATTTCGGATCACTACATCAAGGCGATCATAGTTTTGTCTCTAACTAGTGTATCTGCATATATTTCAAGATGTTGTGCATCCCTGCAAACCAACAGAATGAGTGTAAACATAACTGTCTTTAAAATATATGCTAAAAAAAGTGGTCTTCTACGGTCAACTTACCCCATGATTGGGGTAAGGGGTAAGGAACGGGGTGAGTTGCGCCATCTCCCTACTACCTCCCCACTCTCCACCCCAACCCTCCCTCTTCTTCTCTCTCCCTAAATAACAGTCTCTTCTTCACATTCATGTGTATTTTTTATTCAGCTGGTACAATCATTTTTATTATAATTATCGCATATAACTGCTGAAAAGCTGTTTTTTATAAAGCCATTTTAACATAAGAATGTCTTTAAGTGATTCAGAACATTCACAGCTGTATTTTTGAAAAGAAAAAGTAACACATTTCAACAATCTGAACTGAAACTCTGATCCTCTCATCAGACTTCTTTACTTTCTCAGGCGATCCACTGGCTCAACTTACCCCAGAACTACTATTTTGACTTTATTAGTCCTCTAAGCTAAAAGGGTGGACTTTAATGCTATGTTTTTGACCTCATGTTGTAGCTCATAGATACCACAATTGATGTATAAAACAAATTTAAAATGATCTTTTCTGGTCTGAACACGATTCTAATAAAACCTTTATGAAATAAAATGTTTGTTATTTCTTTGGAAATAAATGTCTAACCCCTTCACTCATTCTAACCTTCACAGACTCCATGAATTGATGCCCATTTCCTAAATATTTGGTCACATGATCAATTTCTTTGACCATTTCCAGGAAACAGGAGGTGAATCAACTTACCCTCTGGCTCAACTTACCCCACTCTTCCCTACTGAGCTGTTGGAGTTCATTGTAGACTGCTGTAGTTAAAAGTTGTCACATATGCCAGTATTCACGCAAATAAACCCATTAAGTCCTTATTTTTCATGTATTTGTCCATCCCATTGAAAATTGAGGGCATTTTTGACTTCCTTAATATGACCGGCCAAAACCAACTATTTGTGTTTTACATAGAAAAGTGTGATAAAGCTGTTTCTGCGCAATCAGATGTGATGTATAGGCTGTGTTAAGCATAATTTATGAGGTGAAGTTAACAAACACAAGCTTCTGTTTGTGTACACAGTGGAGAAGTGGGGGCTATAGACACTGTCAGGAATGTTCACTGTTTTCAAGCAGTTTTTTTTTTTTAATGTCCAGACTTTAGGTTAACTGAGGTGATCAAACAAAGCAAGTGGAGGGACACTAAATTACACTGGGAGCCTTGAGATATATAAGTGTGTGAAGACTTGTTTATCTGCTGCTTTTAAAGCAAGTTATATGTGCCATAAAAGCGTGGGACATGGTGGACATGTGACCATCTTTGACCAAAGTGAAGCCAAACCTAATAAAGAACAAAATCTTACTGGGGCAGCAGAAAAACTCCAATCAGAATGAGATAAAGTTCAGGAGTTCACTCTGAGGACAAGGTACAATGATGTAAGGGAGATACACAACATCCTGCAGTGAGTCTGTCTTTATCTCAGGGGATCATGTAAATCTTGTTTGTACAGAGGCCTCCGGGCGAGTCCATCGACTGCTGCAGGGTGACGCAGCTCAAGGAAGAACATTTAGGACCATTACTTTATCACATCCTTGAAGTATTAACCATCACATTTATCATTTTGCACCGCAGACGCGGTAGTTCTTCTGTCTTAGCGTCTCTGTCTGATTGCAATTCCATGAAGTAATAATCACCATACAAGGTCTCTGTACAAACAAGCGGCTGCTGGAAGAGGGTAGGTGAGTTGTGTTAAGTCTCTTTGCTAAAGAAATTAGTCAAAGTTAAAAAGATGTTTGGTGGCTAGTACTATGACTGGGACCCTATACGTACTGTTGATGAAGTTAGGTGCTGTTCTGAGCATGATTTGTGGCTATATAGTGGCGTTTTGGTTGAACGCGTGGCTCTCTGTATGGCTACCTGCGGTTGTTACTGAAGTTGGTATAACGAAAGAAGCAAGCAGTCAGCAACATTCATCTCTTGAGGGGGTGTCTAACTCGGTGTTACTGTGTGTTTGACCATAAATCAATTTTACACCGGAATATCCCTTTAAGTTCAGGAAGTAGTGGAGCTTTGCACAGATCCCATTCCGTCAGCTTACTTCGATAAACTCCTGCAGTTCATATTTTAATCCACGGGGGGCAGCAAAACGCGAACGAGGCGCCAAGGGTGCCGCGAGAGAAGAGTAGAAGAAGAAGAAGCTCCGCCCCCATCCCCTGAACCCGGTAGCCTCACACACATCTTCTTGAACGGTCTCTTGCGGAAATCCAGCGCCCCAACCTGTCCACGGAGTTGACGTAACTTATCTTTGCAGCAAGGTAAAGATACTCGATTCCTCTGTCTCCAGCACTGATAACAGGGATATTTAGTTCCCTGTGTGTTTTTCTCACGGGTGTTTTCTGCAGCAGGTTTACTGTCATTTTACGTGCGACGTTAACCTTCAAGTGGAGCTAACCTGAGCTCGTTTAGCTGAGTAATGATGAGGCTCCTTAAAACAAACATTTTCACGGCGAATATTACCTGTTTTTCAGGTTTTAGAGTCTATTTTTAATTGATTTCTATTTTGTTTTTGTCTTGAAAATGTCATTTTATCAGGTGTGAGATGTTGCCAAACCCCAAAGAGTATAAACTCTGCTGTTGTTTCAAGGTTTAGAGTTTGACAAGTGTTACAGTAAGATAATCATGTTATCAGATCATTAAAACGAGTTTATTTTTGTGACTTACAAATTAACTTCAACCCGTTTTTAAAGGCTCGTTATAAACCGATCAGCCATATGGTCATGAACACGTGGGGGGTCTAATGTACTTCTCTGATCAAGTCAATTAAAGTTAAAGAAACTTTTTTTTTTTTTTTACATATTTAGTTTTTATTTCCATTTGCCACAGAGTACAACAATTTCATTTTCTGCATAAACATAAATTACACAAAATAATATACACAAAATCAGGGTCACACAAGGAGAAAAAAAAGAAAAAAAAAATGCAAAAAAACTAAACAAAATAAATATATAGCACCCAATGTTCACAGTATTGTGGCAGACTTGTGGGTGTTCTCCATCTCCAAAAATTTTCACACAATTTTTCCAATAATTTTTCTAATTCCTTTTTCAGATCTTTTAAAAACAGTAACGGAAATAAATTTCATACTGAAAATAGTAATATAATTCATTAGGCCCCTATTAAAGGTGGATATACAAATGAATTGTGGTTGTCCTGTTTACACAAATATCCAATCTCATTCAAACTCCAGTTCATAAATTCAGCTTTTCCATTTAGTTCATAAAAAAGTTGAAGAAACTTTTAAAAGTAGATTTTAGGGTAAATCTACTGTGTAGAGTTGCATTGATGTTTATATTATTTTAGTTGCCTGGCACATTTGTAATTTTACCCTCCTCTAGCATAACCAAATTCTGTACATTTTTCATAAAGTAACATTCATTATTTTCCTCTGAAACATTGAAGTGAATCAAATTTCTTGTTTTAAAATAAATAAATAAATAAAATCAGAAAAAAAACCAGATTTGCCCAAAAAATTGGATGTGAAATTTCTCAAAAAGTATCAAAACTAAAAGTATCTTTTAGTTTTGAGCCTCGACTTTGGAACGACCAGGAGGCCTTCGCCAGAGGATCTGAGGCTGCGAGTTTGCTCATAAGGTATTAAAAACTCTGAAATGTAGCTCGGAGCAAGTCCTTTGAGCGCTTTAAAAGTAATCAATAAAATCTTAAAATCAATTCTAAAACTGACAGGAAGCCACTGAATGGAGGCTAAAATTGGAGTGATGTGATGCCGTCGACTAAAACCAGTTTAAAGCCGAGCTGCTGCATTCTGAGCTAGCTGGAGGCGGGAGAGTGATTTCTTAAACCAGTAAACCAGTTCCTTGATGACCAGCAGAGTTATTTGTGTCATTTTGTCCTGAACTAGTTGAATTAATTACCTGTGGATGATGGAAAGGCAGTAACCTATTGAATGTTTATTTCAATAACTACAAATTTACAGGACCTTGAACTTCAAGCGATTTCAACCCTGTAATTAGGCAGTCATTGCCTTGATCAGTTCGTCTGTGAGCTGTCTGTTTTATGCTGTAACCAAGATTAGGTGTGTCTAAATTAGCCTGCCTTCTAATTGGCTGATTATTCTTTCCTGTAAAAATCAGAACAGGAACTGCAGGAATTCCTCCCAAGTTCACTTGTCTTATATGCTGCTAGTCTGCAGGATGAGTCTGTGTGTCAGTAAGTTAGCCTGCTAGTTTATCCCACAGGATAAGTGGAGGGATTATCGGGGATGTCGTGTCATGTGGTGACTGGTAGGGAATCCATTTTTATGAAGACAGCATTACAGTTGTGCCAAAATTTAGATTCATATTTCATTGCAGTGCAGTAGATGTTAAAAACTTGACCTTGCTCTGACTTGAGCAGAAATTGCCTCATCCTTACTGCCATGTGAATAATCAGATGAGAAAGTCAAATCCAATTAGGCTTGTAGCATGCCGGTTAGCAATCCTAAGCTGGCAGCCAGGTCAGGATATTTTCGTGAGTGAGCCACAAGGACAAAAGAGAGTAAAGCTACGACAATAGAAACTGAAAAATACACCAAATTGATTTTTTATCGCACTTTTTTTCTCCACTATCCAACCAGTGTTGTTACTGGCTGCTGCACAGAGCTCAGAAGATATCAGGATAATAAGCTTGTCTTCTTTTTTTCTCGCCTTAAGGTCCTACACCATGTCCATCCTCAGGATCCACGCCAGAGAGATCTTTGACTCTCGTGGAAACCCCACAGTGGAGGTTGATCTTTACACCGGGAGAGGTAAGCAACAATAAATGGCTGATTTAAAAGAAATCTCCTATTTTTTGTCTGTTTACCTCTATAATGAGTCTCTGTCTTCTTTCATCATTTCACAGGCTTGTTCAGGGCTGCTGTGCCAAGTGGTGCATCTACTGGGATCTATGAAGCCTTGGAGCTCCGGGACAATGACAAGTCTCGCTTCCTCGGAAAAGGTTGGGATACTCATTTTGTGACATTTTCATCATAAGCAAATCAGTCATACATCAGCAGCCGTGGTTTTACCTTGTTCACTACCAACTACACAACCATGCTGTACTGTTTCTGCTCTGAAGCTGGAAAAACAAACAAAAAAACCCTTTTCAGACTTTTCTAATGTTCTTTATTTTTCTGTCTCATCTTTACCCCACTCTCTCTGTCTTCCTCTCCCCCAGATGTGAAAGGGTTAGTGAGTTTCAATTGCCAGTCCCTTGTGGTTAAAACTAAGAATCAGCTTAACTAATTAAACCGTTTTAGCAGCTGATCACTGAATAATTAAGGCATCAACTAAAAATAATGTGCATGATGAATTGTCAGTAAAGCATGTTGTCACTGCAGTACTGATTTCAAGCCTGTGGACTGATTGAATGTAAAAAAAGAAAAACTGAATTGAAACATTCATTGATAGTAGCAATGTTTTTAAAAACTATAACCACTGGGTAAATAAAAAAATGTTGCATGCCTCACCACACTTTTAATCAAGAGGACAAAATTGTATGTTCCTCTAAATCTGTGTCTGTGGAATTGGATTCACACGATTTGCCCTCAATGTAATGAGAGAATGATGACACTAATCCGTCTTTTGCAGGAGTCACACAGGCTGTGGAAAACATAAATACAGTTATTGCACCTGCACTTGTTGGCCAGGTAAGGAGAGTATATTCTCTCTGTCAATCCTTGCTTTTTTTTTTATCTTCGTGGTTATTGTTTCAACATGAACTTGTTTTACTCATCTTGTCAGGATGTATCTGTGGTTGAGCAAGAGAGAATTGACCAGATAATGCTTGACCTGGATGGGACAGAAAATAAATGTAAGTTGCAATGATCATACTGCAATACGTTTGGCAGTAACTACATTAATGCTTAGGTCAACATTTCTGTCTTTCTTTTTACCTCTGCCAAATATAGGCAACATTACCTTAAAGTATCTCTTAAATTTTTAAATCTGCTTGAGTACATCAGCCAATAAACTGTCCAACTGATGCACACATGTGGAACTTACTTGATTGGCAAAACAGTTTTCCATTTTTGTCGAGTAAAATCAATGTGTGGTAAAAGCTGAGACCTAATTTAATTAACTATAACTTCAGCAGCTGTGAAACATCCTTGGCCTGCATAAATATTAGTAAATCGACAATGTACAATGACAAAAATCTGAAATTTAAACTATTTAAAAATTAAATGAATCAATGTTTTACTTTGCCCCAACAAGCCAAATTAGGAGCCAACGCCATCCTGGGTGTGTCTCTGGCTGTTTGCAAAGCCGGTGCAGCAGAGAAAGGTGTTCCTCTGTATCGCCATATTGCTGACCTTGCTGGAAACCCAGATGTTATTTTGCCCGTGCCGGTAAGAATCCATGTTTTGATTCACATACTTTTTTTTCCCCATGTCATTTATTTCCTCATAATTCATGCAACTTTGGTTTCATTGCAAAACGGCTTTCCTCATTTTCTCCCTTGAACCTCCATCAGGCCTTCAACGTGATCAACGGCGGCTCTCATGCAGGCAACAAGCTCGCAATGCAGGAGTTCATGATCCTGCCGACGGGAGCGAGCAGCTTCAAAGAGGCCATGCGTATCGGAGCCGAAGTCTACCACAATCTCAAGAATGTCATCAAGAAGAAATACGGTCAGGATGCCACCAATGTGGGCGATGAAGGTGGCTTTGCTCCAAACATCCTGGAGAACCAAGAAGGTATGCTAAAGAAAAGACCTAAGACCATAGATGTGTTCAGCTTTTATGTCTTTTACAAAGAAAACAATCGGTGTCAAATAAAGGTGGTTTTTATCCCAGAGAAGAAAATAATCATCAAAGTAGAATAATCTAAATGTTCTTGTTGGTTGGGGAAAAAAATTGGACAACATTGAAGTCAGTGCAATATTTTAGAAAACATATTTCTCAACGTCTTTGGGAAGGTTGACTTTTTAGTTCACATACCCATCAAGTTGTCTGCTAACGATTGATTTAAAGAAATGTTTACATTTTCACTGAGACTCCAAAGTTTTTTTGACTTGTATATAGCACACGTAGGACTCTGATTGGTTTTTATTAGACCACACTGAGGTGTTTTTGACCTTTGATCCACCTCATTTGCTTGCATAGGAGAATTCAAACAATAAAAATTGAAGTCCATAGGTTCAAACCAAAGAACCCAAAAGTACCATGTTACTTTGACAAGGCGGCTTTGAAACATTGGTAGTATTTTGAACAAGTCTATGTTGTTAGCATCACACTTTTCATTGATTTCTTGGTCTCTGACACCTTGTGTGTAGATTTCAAATGTCTCATTCAGGATTCATCACAGAAATATAACAAGGTTGCTGTTGTTTAACTCTGCAGCTCTGGAGTTGATAAAGGAGGCCATTTCCAAAGCGGGATACACAGATGAGGTTGTGATCGGTATGGATGTGGCAGCGTCCGAATTCTACAGAGACGGAAAATACGACCTGGACTTCAAGTCTCCTGACGACCCGAGCCGTTACATCACTCCTGATGAGCTGGCTGATCTTTACAGGAGCTTTGTGAAGGATTATCCAGGTAACCTCCTGACTTTTTATCTTTGTTCACATTACTGAGCAGGTGAGGCGCAGGGCACACACTAGGGCAATGGAGTCAGGATTTACGTAGCTGATCCGTGAAACCTCTCTGTGGTTTTGAAATACTTAGACTCTGTAGTACACAATCAGTTTGCCTGACCTCATCAGTCAGTGCTGGTTTATAGCTTCTTGTACCTGTGTCATCCTTGGACAACTGCTCTCTTATTTTGAAATGATACGAGACTTTCAATATAAGAGGAAAATACAAAAATCAGCTCAAAGCAAATACAATCTAGTGAAAGCACGTTCACTAAAACGTTGATGTCTGAAGTCTGTCTTTTTCTCTCACAGAGAGGCAGATTTTGTTCAAACAATATGTGCAGACAGATCATACATGCTTTTAATGGAGCCTGAGCATGGATACACACATCTAAACATAAACAACATATAGTTGATGGATGGTTCTCCTTATTTAATCTTGACATTGAATACACAGCATATTTACACGCATATGCAAAACAGCCTGATTGTGCCATCATGCTTATTTTTGTCTTAATGGGTATTGATGCCAAGATTTTCATCATAAGCCTCCTGTTTGAGCGCTGTTGATGCAACAAATGCTGATCGTGATTTGGGATAACTCTTCGCCTTGAGTGAGAAATCTGTGCGTGTTTTCAGTGGTTTCCATCGAGGATCCCTTTGACCAGGATGACTGGATGGCTTGGACCAACTTCACTGGCAGCACAGACATCCAGATTGTGGGAGACGATCTCACAGTAACCAATCCTAATCGCATCAGCAAGGCAGTGGAGGAAAAGGCCTGCAACTGTCTGCTGCTAAAGGTCAATCAGATTGGCACCGTCACTGAATCCATGAGAGCGTAAGTTAATAAAAACACTAAAGGTATCTTATTTACTACAACTGCAGTGTCAGTCTTTGTTTTAATCTGGCATGTCTGTGATTCTTTATTCCTGTGGTGGTCAGTTTAATTGGTCATCTCTAAGTACAAAGCCTCATTTTGATTCCCTCTTGTTTGTGTGTTCAAACTAACAGGATTATCCTGTTCAAAGAAAGACTTCTTGTTTTCTTTCCTGCTCTTTTTTTGCACAGATTCTCAGTTTTTCAGGAGGCTTTGATTGTAAAACATTTCTTGTGGTGTTTATTGTTGTGGCTACTGCCATCTGCTGGCATTAATATGTCAAAAAAAAACACAGCTTGGCATGTAACATGGCATAAAAGCCACAAAAATATCAAAAATTTTGTGAAATTTACTCAATTAAATGCTGTCAATCTGTAAAAAATATTTTAAAAGTGTCAGATTTTTTGTGGAAATACATGTCAACAATGATTAGTGATCTCTGGAGCTCTCAGCACGGTCTCATCTGTACTCCTCACAGCTGTAAGATGGCTCAGGAGAGCGGCTGGGGTGTGATGGTCAGCCATCGCTCTGGTGAAACTGAGGACACATTCATCGCAGATTTGGTGGTTGGCCTTTGCACTGGACAGGTAAAGACAGAAAATCCAAATATATGACTGTGTCTATTGAGAAATTCATAAATATATGTGTTCACCCTATTAATACAATCACCCTTAGTTTAAGGTTTTTGCATTATAGTCTTTACTTGTTATGTTGGCTCTCCATTTTCTTGTCCTTTTTTTCTTTAGTTTTTTCTTTTCAATTATGACCGTGGTCTGAATACATGATAGTGGAAAAAAAAAAAAAAAAGCCAGGAACCATAATGACATAACTTGGACAAAGATAACTCACATTACTCACTTTTAATACACTCCTAGATCAAAACTGGGGCCCCCTGTCGCTCTGAGCGTTTGGCCAAATACAACCAGATTCTCCGGTAAGTGAAAATCTTATTTAAACTTAAGAAATGAATCACACGGCTGTAATGCATGTGTTATTTAATATTTAAAACAAACGCAATTGCCAACCATACAGTTGAAACCAGAAGTTTACATACACTGTATAAAAGGCGCATAACCTTTTTTTCTAATATTAAATCAGAGTAAACTTTTCCTGTTTTTGGTCAATTAGGATTGCCAAAATTATTTTTATTTGCTAAATGCCAGAATAAGGAGAGAGAGAATTTTTTTGATGAAAATATGTGGGCAGAACTGAAAAGGCATGTTCGAGCAAGGTGACCTTTAAACTTGGCTCAGTTACACCAGTTCTGTCTGGAGAAATGGGCCAAAATTCCTGCAAACTATCGTGAGAAGCTTGTGGAAGCATATCAAAAACATTTGACCCAAGTCATACAATTAAAAGGCAGCTACCAAATACTAGAAAGAACTTTATTAATCCCCAAAGGGAAATTCAACATGAATATATGTAAACTTTTGACTGTTGATAAAAAAAATTGTCTAAAAATTTTTCTCTCTCATTATTCTGTCATTTAGCATAAAACACAATTTTGGCAATCCCAATTGACCAAAAGCAGGAAAAGTTTAATCTGATTTAATATTAGATGGTGAGGGAAAAAGATTATGTGCCTTTTTATATAGTGTATGTAAACTTCTGGTTTCAACTGTACATTGCTGCAGTATTATTAAAAAAAGTAACTCAAGCCTTGCTGAGAAGTTGTATAAATTCTCTAATGTTTATGTTTTGGTCGTATTATTGGAGGTTGTATCATTTCTGTACCTTTTTAAACAACCTTGTGTTTGTTTATTGCTGTTTCAAACCAATAAGAATTCACTTTGAGCAACTTTTTTCCATGTAGAATCGAAGAGGAGCTGGGAGATGAGGCTCGTTTTGCTGGAAAGAACTTCAGAAACCCACTGGCCTAGTAAAAGAAGAAAGCATTTTCTACATCCAAGTAAATGGATTTCTATGCACAAATTCGCAATAACACGCAGGAACAATCATTGTTAATGTAGAGCTACTCTTGCACTTGCTGTGGTTATGACTTAATGTTGTAGTGTCTAAACCTCCTACTGTATTTCACTTGTGATATTGGAGTAACAATAGAGCAGAAAAAAAACTTAATATAAAAAACTGTAATATTTAACCACAACATTCATACTGTAATTCAAAGAGTGCACTTAAAAGTTATTAAAAAATTCTTAGAGAACTGAATGCATCTTCATTTTTTGTCCCATGTTTTATTTTAATGTGCGAGTGTGATGTCTTTGGTTATATCAGAGTGAGTTGTTGTATTTTTATCGTTACAACAATCTAAATGGAAAAATGATGATAATGTAAATTCAAACTTTCAGCCTTTGCCACTACAATCAAACTTTAAAGTAAAATTGAAGAGGAAAAGTCTACTAATTCACCTCATTAATGTTCTTGTTTTTTTTTTCCACACCTTAGTAGTACAACAGTTTTTGACAAAATTGGATGTCGTTTGGTCTTTGGAAGGCACTTATTGAGGTTATTCCACATTTTCTGACAATTAAAAAGCAAACATTTTGAGCAAAAAATGTTTTTTTTTTTTCTCAATACTGGTGAGCAGGGGAAATGTGAAACGATGCATTGATTTTTTTTTTTTTGTCTGAAAACTTCACTAAATCATAAAGCACAGCTTGTTTCCAGGCACCTCAGCAAAACAAGTAGGGGAGAGTGGGGTAAGATGAGCCACTTTTCATATTTCAGATCTCTGCATCAAGATAATCATAGTTTTGTCTCTAACTAGTGTATCTGCATATATTTCAAGATGTTGTGCATCCCTGCAAACCAACGGAATGAGTGTAAACATAACTGTCTTGATAATATAGCATGCCAAAAAAAAGTGTTCTACTATGGTCAACTCACAAAAGTCACAATGGAAGTGAGCGGCCAGGGACCAATGATGATAATGCACCAGTGTTTTACGATCTAGCCACAGAAGACGACAGCGAGAAGACGAGCAAAGAAGTAAGTGGAAAGGTTATTGTTTAATTTCGCTTCGTATACTTTTTAATATGTCATTTGGTCAGGCCATGTTGTGCCTGAGTCGATATGAAGTTGAAGTGAAGCTAACACTACACCAGCATCAGTGTTGTTTTCGTTGAAGAAAATATTTCGTCAACGCCCCTTTTTTCCACGATGAAGACGTGACGAGCTAAAGTCTTGGATGACTAAAATGTGACGAGACGAGAGTAGACAAAAACGGTAGTGGTGGACGACGAACAGAGTTGCAAAATTCATGAGCATTTCGTCAGTCAAAAGCTTAACACATATTCTGCAGTGTTGTTTTCGTTGACGTTGACAAAAATCATCGTCAACGAAAACAACACTGGCCAACATCCTCCAGTTCAACTTCATATCGACTCAGGCCAAAACACCGGTGCATAATCATTATTGGTCCCTGGCAGCTCACTTCTTTTATTTTTTCGTAGTATGTTTTTTTTTTCCATCGCCACTTTATTTATTTATTTTTTTTTGTGTCGTTACCTTCCATTGTGGCTTTTTAAAATTTTTATCTGCGCTGTTTTTTTTATTTGCAGCGAGCTTTGGTTTCTTTTTTTTGCATCAGTAACTTCTGTTGTGACATGTTTTTTTTTTATTATTATTTTTTATTTGCATCAGTGGCAGTTTTCAGCCACTGTATATTTAGATTTTGCATTTGCTTTTAAAAATCTGCTGGGTCACTCAATTCAATCACAGCAACAGACAACACCCACGTTTGAAATATTTCGCAACATAATTAAGCTCTTTAAAAGGTTTTTTTTTTTTTTTGCTACCAAATTACCACAAAACCAGCACTGCTGTTGATAGAACACAACCATCTCTTCACACTGTGGTTTTTTTTTTTGGTACCACTTCTTTCCTTCAAGTGCCGACCTCCAACACTGAGTGGTTAATATGAGGGCTTACATAACAGTTTAATAACCACAGCAGCGCGCTCAACATGGTGTGTTGTTTGATTCATGGACGCCCGTGCTGAAGCAGCTGCTGAGCGGCCCCGGTGTCTCCTGCTGCCGCTGCTGCTGATGATGATCCGCGGCACATGCTCAGTTATGTACACCCAGACAACTTTGAAGGCTTAGCTGTGGCTGCTGAGGTCATTGCACTGGGAGAAAAAAAAACACACCGACTCCCTCTACAACACCGCCTCCATTTTGAATAGCCATGTAATAGGGGATTCGCATAGTTTGTGTGTATCGCCCACTGCGCTGCGTAGTGTCAACAAGGCACATCCAAACATCCTTCGACATGGACGACCTGTTCAGTCCGCGGAGGTAACTTCATTAACTTATTCTTTTTGTTATGTATATTTTTAGTTACGCTTTATTAAACGTGTCGATGAGTGGTTTTGTCGCGTTACTTTGAAAGCCGTTTGTTTGAAATAGCCGGAGTGTCAGTGGTCACGAAGTTCGTGTCTGGCTAACAAGCTAGCCAAATAACAGCGTAATGTTATAGTCTCGTTAGCAGCTAGCTGTTTTTCCCACTGTGGTTTTAGTGCAGATATTCTGCTCGATAATGTCAGCAAAGGAGATTAAACGAGTGCATCGGTGGCATACATGCTTAATAAATCTGATGTTATTCCCTGTGGGCTTGGCGTGCATTGACACGGATCATTATGAGCTTATATGAATGTCAGCGACATGTTGTGCATGCTAATATTTATATTTAATATGTTCATTGCACACTTTAGCTCACAGTTAGCAGGGTCAGGCAAATACATTATCAACCTGTTAAGAGCCTGTTAAGTAGCACACACTGTTCTTGTAATGGTGACCGTAAAAATTAGCAGCTCGTGTTATGATTGATTGACAGTCTTTAGCGGTAGCAAGCGTCGGATTTCATTCATGTAATATAAGGAAACGTCGCAGGTCACAGCTTACATTGGCTCATAGTGATGGAGGGGCGGGTTGTTTTTCCTACAGCTGAAATCACCGAGCAGAGGGAGGGAAGCAGCTCCGACAACAGCCAAGTTATTATACACGTATTGATCACACGTCTGTGTGCAAGCTGTGCAGCGTTAAGTACCCGATAATTTACATTTACCACACAGCACTCTGCATTACGGTGTCAACACCATTTTGATTTTCTTTACACTTAAACGCTTATTCAGACCAGACGATGGAATAAACATGCACATTATGAACAATGAGTGTTTTATTTCTTATTGTTTTATGTATTTCAGGAGCCTGAACAGCACACAGGGAGAGATCAGAGTTGGACCAAGCCATCAGGTAGACCCTGCTGCTACTCAACATTATATTAGAGATGTAACGTGAAAATTTAACATGATTATTGTGACTAAGATTATCACGGTTATCAATATTATCACGGTATTGTTGTGAAGTTGTGAGTTTTATTTTGTAAAAACAATCACACAGAATGAACTTTTCCTGAACCTTAAATAACAGAGGAACGATATCCTTACAAATTAAAGATGGGGCCTGAAAAGAGCCAGAGGTAATCAACACTAGTACTAGTAATAACAAAGTACAAAGTAATGTACCAGTGGCATAAACATTAACATAACAACAAATAAATAAAATTTAAATAAAATGACATTCCTTATTGTGCAAATTGTAAAAATCTTCAGTGCTCAAAAAGATCTACTCTTACAAATATAAAACCGAGCAACACTACTATATGAAACAATACAACCACATGTAAACAAATGTGTAGTGCAGGTATTTAAAATAACATCAAATATGTAAACAAATCAAATGAACCATGCCGATTGTCCGTTCTCTCCACCAAAGGTGCTGCTGCTGACTTTGTTCACTACTTAAGATTGAAATGTAAAAATGTCAGCAGATTTACTTTATCTGGTTTGTGATGTGCGAGGGGAAACGATGTGCCCGCTGGCACTGAATAGCCTCTCGGATGGCACTCTGGTTGCTGGGATGCACAAAAGCTTCCTGGCAACCCTCACAACCCTTTGTAGAAGCCGAAATAAACCCAGACTTCAGACTTTGTTTTCTTTGACAGCGGAAAAATCTCTGCAGAACTACCTGCAAAACTGCCCTCCGCCATGTTTACAAGTTGTATACCGCGCAATGCGCATGTGCGCTGCACACCTGTGTATGAAGGATTGTTCTTCTCAGCACTGAGCAGTCAGAGTGCGGCAATCAAACACGGTTTTAGCGGTAATTAAAATTTGAAACGGTAGTACTAACCATCAGATATTTTACAGCGGTTTATCATTTTACTGGTAATCGTTACATCCCTACATTATATACATTTCACTATCAACACATGACATGGAGTATTTCCTTGTTAGTTAATAAATCAAGATTTTTTTACTTGTTTACCCTCATTTTGAGATCAGACCGGTCTGTTTGGTGTACTTTGTTCTTTGCCTGTCATACTGTATTTATACAGTAAGCTATAATATTTGCATGTTATTCAAATTGTTTGCAGGTTTTTCACAGGCTGCATTCTTAAAACTTGATATTGATATCAAAAGGCACCACAACAGACCAACAACTCAATCAGTGTGATCAAGGCAAAAGAGTTTTATCCTTCTATTTCTTCAGATAAGTGTTTGGAAGTTAAAGAACTATTTCAATGTGATTGATTGTTTCTTCAAAGGGTTTTTGAAAACTTTGTCTTCCCACATGGTTGAATTGCATCTTAATATACCTAAATCTGAGCAGGTCGTTCAGTTTCTGTTCTTTAAGTCGCTTTTAATGTGTTTGCTGTTCTCGTCATCACTTTGGTGTCTTTGCAGGCCAAACTCCCAGAGCTACAGCCACGGCCTGCTCCAGGTTTACAGCCTCAGACAGAGAATGAGGAGCTGATGTGGACGCCCGGGGTCAATGACTGTGACCTTCTCATGTACCTCAGAGCTGCCAGGTCAGTGTTCACACCACACTGCAGAAAATCAGTGTTGATCAGATGATCTTGGCCAGTCTTGAATCAGGTGCAGTAAGTCTCAAAACACTCAGAAAAGTAAACTATTGATTTACATACAGCGATGTACTTATAGATCAACTACATAAAGAGAAGACACTGAGAACTAAATTAAACTACCGATCTTTTACATTCACGATTCAACATAAGAGTCCACATTCACTACACTGATGAAACTGAAAGGAAGGAACTTGATTCTTTAAACAAATATACCACACTAAAGGTAAATGCAAAATCAGTATTTACTATAAATCTTGAGGGGCTTTAGTCTAATAGGAATAAAAAAAAACATACTTGTGTTTTAGGGTTTTGCTCTTTCATTTGATATTGTGCAGTTGTACATTGCACAGCTTCTCGGTCACTTAATATGTAGAGTATTTTGCTTTGAAGGGACAAGTGTTGTGTTTGCTCTCTCCAGCAGCCTGGTTATTGTTTACTCTCTTTATTTACTGAATAATTTCAACGCTGAGCTAATCAAACAGGCAGTGTTAACATTTGCAAATAGATAACTGTAACATCACAAATTTTCCGCAGTATAATCTTCACTTGATAACAGAATCATGTGTATTGTTTTGCTCAAGGAGCATGGCGGCGTTTGCAGGGATGTGCGACGGAGGATCAACAGAGGACGGATGTTTAGCAGCCTCACGTGACGACACCACGCTCAACGCACTTAACATGGTGTGAAACTCAGCCCAAACCTGACCCAAACCCAAAAATGCATGCATACAAATTTGACATGTCCTTAATCATACATGTATCTCTCTGTTTTAGCTTCATGCGAGCCATTATGATGCAGCTAAAGCTCTTCAGCGACTAGTCAAGAAGCCTCTGCCGAAGCTGATTGAGAAATGCTGGTCTGAGGATGACGTGGTAAGACGTTTAGAGTCCCCTTCAAAGCTCTGTGCTCAAAAATTTTAAAGTAATTAAAAGATCACATAACTTTTTGCTGCATCACATATAGTTCTTGAAACTGCAGCTTCATCAGTGTCTTAGATACTACTCCACAGATGAAAGTTTAATACTTCGTTCTTTATGCTCGTATGCCAAATCAATTTATGATTTAGAACAGCTGATTACATTCAAATCATGTATTTATGATTATTTTTGAATAGAAAAAACAAATGATCCATTTTTATCTCCTATCAAGAATGGTCGGTGATTGAAGCCCTTCTGTTTGATTTTGTCATTTTGAGCCCATTTATTAGACATAAATCCACTATGGACTTATATCTAATTCTACTATATTGCTGCTTGAAAGCCTGAGATTACAGCCACCCAGTATCTTTTTCTACCTTCATATACCGACATCATTTTCTGCAAATGATGAAATCCTCAAAATTAACACCAAGGAACATTGTTTTTAAAGTGATTAACTGTTTGTTCAAGCAGTCTCTCTCATAGAGGTAAACCTAGTCCCATCTTTACTTCTGAAAGACTCTCTTTCTGGTATGTCACGTTTAGATGTTCCTCCAGGTGTTACTTTTATCAATACACAACTTTTTCAATGATACATTGTCCCTACTAAATAATAGTTATGATATAAGCCTAAAACAATTATGTTTTTTAAGATATTTAATGTAGTTAACCGCCCTCCCTCTTTTTCTTCCCCACAGAAACGCTTCATCAAAGGCCTGAGACAGTATGGAAAGAATTTCTTCCGCATTCGGAAGGACTTTCTGCCCAGCAAGAAGACTGTAATTCACACTTTCTTCTCATACAGAAAAATTAGCAATGCATGCATCAATTCTAGATGCTTATTTGTGATTTGACACATCACTTGGATTGTTCCTCACCTCTCGTGTTGTCACCTCAGGGAGAGCTGATCACTTTCTACTACCACTGGAAGAAAACTCCCGAAGCTGCAGGGACAAGAGCTTATCGGCAGCAGCGCCGGCAGCCGTCTTCACGCAAAGCAAAGACTCGCTCTGCAGCAGCTCCTGTCAGCACTCCTTCAAGAAATTACTCAGGTGAACACCTACTGCAGAAATGTTTTGTCATTTTGTGTCCCCATTTACCACCACAAGACTTTCTCATAGTTGTGAGCTAAATTAATGTCAAATCAATGAATCTTTTCCTTGCAGTTGATGCGAGTTCTGCCAGTGAGGAGGATCTTGACAGTGAAGACAGTGAACAGGAAATCAAAAGCTGCAGCCACTGTGGTACAACAAGTGAGTAAAACTCTCATATTGTGATGAAACATGTTGAGCAGCATTTTCCCTGTTTCTTTGTAAATCCTTTAAAAAAAATACATCCTGCCTTAACAGCCTCTAAGGATTGGCACCAAGGAGGAAGAGACAACCCTTTGCTCTGCACGAGTTGTCGCACCTATGAAAACAAACATGGCTGTCTGCCGTCTGCTCCAAAGTCTGGAGGAGCTTCATTCATGTTTAAACCTGTGAAAGAGGAAGAGGAGGTGAACAGCAAGCATGGCATGAGGACACGGCGGAGCAGAGCACCTGTAAGCCTGAGGCTGTCATAATTTATATCAGTGATGCACACCTACAAGAAGTGATGTGGTAGTTTTAGCTGTCGAAACGTGACAACATAATACAGAAGGAGTCAGGTTTTACAAGATTACAAATGTTGTTTTACCTCTCAGGTCTGAAGTATCTAGAGCATTTAGGGAAAACAAATCCATCCTGTATGTGTTTTAATGACATCAACTATTTTATCTGCTCATAAAGCAGGTCTCCTCTCTGAGAAGTGGCCACAGGAGGCTCACAGGCTCCCCCACCAGTGAGGATCCACAAACCGGCAGTCAGCCTGCTTTGAGTGGAGCGACATCTTCAAGATCCTCCGCAGCAGAAAACAAGAATGAGTCCAACAGGAAGACCAACAAGGTAAAAAAACCATTCACGCATTTTATACTCTGTAGAAGCCAGTCAACAAGTCACAGTCTGTTTTTGGAAGTCTCTCAGAGAGGGGAAAAGTTTCTGTTGCTAATTATTAGTTAAAGGGATATTCCGGAGTAAAATTAAGTCATGGTCAAACACACCGTAACACTGAGCTAGACACCCCCTCAAGAGATGAATGTTGCTGACTGCTTATATCTCTAGTTATACCAACCTTAGTAACGACCGCACAATAGCAATACACAGCGGTCTATGGACCCACGTGCAAATCTCAACCAAAACGTCACTCTATAGCCACAAATAATGCTCAGAACAGCACCTAACTTCATCAACAGTACATACAGGGTCCCAGCCACAGAACCAGCCACCAAACATCTTTTTAGCTTGGCAGGACTAAAGATAATTCACCTACCCTCTTCCAGCAGCTGCTTGTTTGTAGGGAGAGCTTGAACGAGTCCATCACTGACTGCAGCGGGGTTACACAGCTCAAGGAACAACATTTATAACCATTACTTTGTCACTTCCTTGAAGTAATAATCATCATAATAATCATTTTGCTCTGCAGATGCAGTAGTTCTTCTGCCTTAGCGTCTTGGTCTGATTGCATTTCCATAAAGTAATAAATATCCCTATCCGGACTATCCCTTTAAGATTGAAACAAAATGTTTTAGCACTCATTTGATTTTGCTTCATTTAAGCCTCATTTAAATCACAAGCGTCTTTGCTTTCCTACTTGGGGGGTGGGGGCGTGAAATATTTGAAGCAAAAAAAAAAAACAAAAAAAAAATTCTGTTTCACAAAGTCCAAAACAATCCAAACTAATTTTTCAATTAACTTTTGCAAAACAAAACAAACAAACAAAATTAAAGCCAAAAAAAAAAAAAAAAGAAATTCCCAAGAGACTTCAGCTGTTGGACATTTCCCGGTCAGTCAGAGAGATCCACATAACCTGCGCACGGTTATAGTATAATATAAAATCTGCCTTTGTAGAATAGTGCGACTCTGAGTTCCAGCGAGGAAACTTGACTGGAAAGTGGCTGAAATGAGCTCGTTTCATGTGCTGCCACAAAAACTGCTGCAACTAGACTGATCTCAACATCAAGAATACTCTTATTACAGTGTGTGTGTACAGTTTGATGAAATACATGCAGTTTTTTGGCAGAGAGCACCACAATTAATTTACTGTGATAGAGATTTTGACAATGTGATGGACAAAAGGATGAGATTTTGAGATATCTTTGTATCATTTTTATGTGCAGCTGGAGATAATTGCTTGTAGGATATCTGAGTTTTCTATTTCATTTCATCTGGCCTGTCTGTAAATCACACCACTTTGTAAATGTCCGCAGAAAATAAAAGAAGAGGTTACATCACCAAAGACGACTAAAAGAGTCAGGGAGAGTCCTGCCCAGGAGCCTGACGAGCCCGAAAAGGTTTCGAATAAGAGGCTGAAGACACAGGTGAGATAAATACTTCTCCACAGATGACACTCATGATTTTTAGTGCCTCAGAGGGACCCCTGCAGTGGGTTTGGAGCGCAGCTAACTTGGTTCACTGTTAGCTCAAGACTTGAAGGTGTAAATGTGGAACATTTTTTTCGTCAGGATCCACAGGGCTCCCGCTCAGAGGGAGAAGCTGAAGTGGAGGAGGAAAGCTCTTCTGAAAGCCGCAGTGCTCAGGATGATGGCAGCAGTGACACCAAAGACATTGATCAGGATAACCGCAGCTCCTCTCCCAGTATTCCCAGTCCTCAGCAAGGCAACGAGAGCGACTCTGACTCCTCTGCCCAGCCCACCGGCATCCTATCAGAGCCTGCTGTTCCCGCCCCTGTGCTGGCTGACACACCAGCCCCGCAGACCCTCGCCTCTCAGGTCCCTCTCATCACTTCTCAGCCAACCCAAAGCACCAACCCAGCTGATCCGGCTCAGAGCCCACTCCCTCCCTCTCCAGACCCTCCTCAGCCCGCTGCAGTGGGCCCAAACAGCCGACCACAGCCCCCTTCCCACTCTCTCCCTGGTCCACCAGCTCTTCCATCGCTGGGCCAGGACTCTCCTCTCTCTTCAGCATTTCCAGTCCCACCTGCTCTCAGCTCTGCTCAGCCCCACGGCTTGTCAAGTCAAGCCTCCCAGCGACCACCGCCTTTCTTTAGAGAGTCCCAGCTCCCACAGCCACCCCTCGCCGGCCCACAAATCAAACCACCCCCCACCACTCCAATTTCACCCTCACAAAAACAGATGCCACACCAGTCTGCTACACCTTTCCCACAGATGCCCTCCAATCTGCCCCCTCCCCCTGCTCTAAAGCCCCTTAATTCTCTGCCAAACCAGCATCCCCCTGGTGCCCCACCTCCCCCTCTTCAGCTCATGCCGCAGCCTTTACCGATGCCGCCACTTCCCACCCAACTGCCGGTCATTTCTCAGGTGCAGACCCACCCTGGGAAAACCATGACTTCTTCTCACCCTCCTGCTGCAGCCTCCCACCCAATCACTTCTGTCACTCCGTCTACAATCGGGCCGATCCCGAGCCTCCAACCGTCGATTCCTCCTCTTCCTCCGAGACCCTCGCCAAGCACAATCACAGGGGGGTCGCAAATTCAGATTAAAGAGGAGCCAGTGGATGAGATTGAGGAGGCCGAGAGCCCGCCATCTCCACCACGGAGCCCCTCACCTGAGCCGACCGTCATCAATATGGCGAGTCATGCCAGCCAGTCAGCACGGTATGTCTGGAAACACTTTTTCTGAAAAGATCCCTAATTTAAAAAAATATATATATAACGCCTGACCTTATGTCTCTTGTTTTGTTGTATAAGATTGATCATAGTGATTCCAGATTAAGAGCATGGAAGTAACTTAACATGTGCTCACACAAGCAAACATTTCTTCTTCTCAAATCCCCCCACTTGAAGCCAGCGATAACTGTCTTTTTTTGGACAATAAAGGCCTCTGCTTGTAGGTAATTTTTAGTCTTACAACCTCTAAAAATACTTGGCTAGTAGCTCAATTTTCCATCTCAAGTCTTAGGGCCAAAAACAACAAATTGAGATTTAAGCCGTTAATTTACGAGAAGTCATGACTAATAAGAATAAAGTCATAATAAAGTAATTACTTAAGAGAATAAAGTCGTAAAAAACTCATGATAATGTGGTGCTGATGTGCTGAAAAATGAAGTGTCTCCTTGTTTGAGAATCCGACATTGAAGTACATTTTCATGAAATGCTCCATGGCACTACGACTTTATTCTTGTTAGTAATGACTTTATTCTCGTAAATTAACAATTTTAATCTCAAAGCCCAAATATGCCATCATAATATTTACATAGGATTTACTGTTAAAAAAAAACTGTAAAAGTTGTTTTGAGATCTATTGAATTGAACAAAAATCACCAAACAGACCCCTGGGAAATGAACTGAGACAGTCGAGCCTGATTGAATGGTTGTAAATCTCACTGACTGCTTCTGATTTTAAGAAACAAATCCACTGTACAGAACCAGCATGTCTGAAAAACATGTACTGTAAAAGCTCTAAACCAGCTCTTTATACTATCACACGCTCATTTTACCCAGCAGCCTCAGCTCACTGGCTTTTTTTCTTTTTAAGAAATGTTTTGACATTTAGGGATTAGTGTCACCAAGCAAAGGTAAAGCTGAAAATCTTCAGCAGTTTATTTGGACGGGAGAAAACAGCAACAGCACGGCTGAGTTTCTCTACAAGTCAACAACATTTAAACATTAGACTAGTGTGAATGTTGTAACTTTTTAATTACAGCACACCACAGTTGTAGTTTCAGAGATCTATGCAGCAGTGACTCTGTCATTATGAGTCCTGAATCTGTGTCACAGCTCTTTAAACCAGTCTGACATCCTCTCCATGATTCTGTCATCACAACAGTTTTATAGGTACACTGCTCCTAATGCTGCCATCAGTCTGCCAGTATGTTTTGGATCGTAATTAGGTGATTCACATCCTTTACTTTAACTGTGGACTTGCTCATAAACGCCGTGAATCAGTTCCCACATCTTAGTCGTAAAGTTGGCGTTGGGTGTGAACTCCTTCAAGTCATCAAAGTGTCACGAACAATCAAGGACACATTAACACTGACATCCTGTTTCAACACCCACATACTTTATGCTTCACACACGATACGCAAAACCTTTTTGTAATCACCTTTTATTGGTATGTGTTACGTTTTATAATCATACTGGCATCTTTTATTGGTTTCAGGTTTATCAAACACTTGGATCGTGGTTACAACTCCTGTGCGAGAACAGATCTGTTCTTCACGCCGCTTTCATCCTCCAAGCTGGCCAGGAAGAGGGAGGAAGCTGTGGAAAAGTCCCGGAGGGAAGCGGAGCTCAACGCTAGACAAGAACGCGAACGAGAGAAAGACAGAGAAAGAGAGAGAGAACGGGAGGCTGATAGAAATGCTGTGAGTGCAAAATATTCTTCGTTCCTCTCTTACACATGCTCTCTGCTACAAAGTAAGTCTGAGTGATTGTGACTCTTTATCTTTGCCGACAGAGAGCCTCCAGCTCCTCCCACGACAGTCGGATGAGTGAGGCTCAGATGGCAGCTCAGGGACATGGACGTCCCTCCTTCGAGCAGCCACCCACCACTGTAGCTGCCGTTCCTCCTTACATAGGCCCCGATACTCCGGCACTTCGCACTCTGAGTGAATACGCCCGACCACATGTTATGTCCCCCACTAACCGCAACCACCCTTTCTATGTGTCACTGAGCCCTGGGGACCCTTTGCTGGCCTACCACATGCCCGGGCTGTACAGTGCTGAGCCCAGCCTCCGAGAGCGTGAACTGAGGAACCTCAGGGAGAGGGAGCTCCGTGAAAGGATGAAGCCTGGCTTTGAGATGAAGCCCCCTGACCTCGAAACTTTACACCCCTCCGCCAACCCAATGGAGCACTTTGCCAGACACGGGGCAATCGGTCTTCCCCACATTCCTGGGCCTCCCCACCCCTTTGCACCTTTCCATCCCGGATTGAACCACTTGGAGAGAGAGAGGATGGCGCTGGCAGGACCTCAGCTGCGTCCGGAGCTGAGTTATGCAGAGCGACTAACCGCAGAACGACTTCATGCAGAGAGGATGGCGTCTGTGGCGACTGACCCTGCTGCCAGACTGCAGATGCTCAATGTGACTCCACATCATCACCAACACTCTCACATCCACTCCCATCTCCACCTGCACCAGCAGGACCCCCTCGGTCAAGGTGAGGATGGCGTCATTCACTACAAGTGTGAAGTCAGGAAGTCAAAGATGATGTGGGTTTTTTTTTTTGGTGCTAAATTTAGATCATTTCTATTTTGACCCAGGTTCAAGTCCTCATCCTCTCGTGGACCCTCTGGCAACAGGACCGCGTTTGGCCCGATTTCCTTTCCCTGGTGGTCCGATCCCTAATCCTCTACTCAGTGATCTCCCTCATGATCATGAGATGCTTCGCCACCCTCTATTTGGTGTGTATACTGACCTTTTCCTGTTCTTCGGAGCCTATCTGCTCCTATTTTAGTTTCTGCATACTCTTTTAACATACATACTGGAACATAGTAATATATTTGATTCATCATTATTTGCACTCGTCACCATTGCACTATTGTCCTACATGCACTAAAGTTGCAAGTTGCAAGACATACGTAAGTCATACGGGGTGGCGGGAAATGGGCCAGCACTGTTTCCGGGGCTGGTAGAGATGCTTAAGCTAGCATCCACAAGAGAATGTGCAACATCTGCGTCTCCACGTACTGTCTTTTTGAAAAAAGCAGATATTTTCAGTTGGGATACTGAATGTTCGGAGACAGTTTGGTGCACCATGACCAATTTTTTAAATGGTTTTGTTGGCAGCAAACATGATGGTAAGGGGCCAAAACCCCGGGTTGTCAAAACTATCCTGTGCAAAACTGGCAGGGTATAAGCGGCAAGCGCTCACGACCAGAATACCATAATCAGATTTTAAATAGGCATATTTTTTTCATAAAAGAATAAAAGTGACAGTTTCAAATTTTGATTTTGTGGTAGTTATTTTAACAAAATACAGGCTTTAAATTATTTGCAAAACATCAAAATCTGTTTGGATCAACTTTTTACACAGTAGAGTGTCGTGTTTACAGTTTTATTATTTCACACAGAAAGCAAAGTTTACCAAAGTCTCACTCACACCAATAAAGCTGATTTTGATTCTGATGGCTGTGTTTTTCGTCAGGAGCAGCATATCCGCGTGAGCTCCAGGGTCCGATTCCTCAGATGTCAGCTGCCCACCAGCTCCAGGCCATGCATGCTCAATCTGCAGAACTGCAGAGGATGGCCATGGAGCAGCAGTGGCTGCATGGACATCACCTGCATGGAGGCCCCTTACCAAGTCAGGAAGATTATTACAGGTGAGCTTTTTTAAATATCCTGGCAAGTGAAAAGACTGAAACACTTACTGGAGAAATTAAATGTATTTGAACAAATATATACATTAAAAAATCAGTGTATTGTTATCGTAGGTGTGCTGCTTATTCCAAAATCATAAATCATAACACAGTTTACACAGTCCACACTGTTTACTGTATTTTTCATGGCCACATGCAGTCAGTGTTAATGTGTCTTTGGGTCTTCTCCACAGTCGTCTGAAGAAGGAAGGTGACAAGCCATCTTGAGTCTCAGGTGGTGCATGCCCTGAAAACCCCTATATTCATACTCAATACAATACTGTGTACTTCTAAGACCATAAGAGAATAATGTTGTCTGTTTATTGTTTTAATATATTTTAGAAGAAAACTTGTGGATCTGTATGTGCATTCCTTGTTAAGCACTTAATGGACTGTCAAAGTTTGTCTGGGATTTTCGTATCGACTAAGACTTTCTACCAGTTTTATTAACAAAGTAATGACAAATCTCATCCATCTATGTTAAGATGTTAGTTACAGTTTTTCTCTAACAACCCGTTCAACTGTTTCATACGCAGTGGGAAAAATTTGCTAAAATACACTCTTGTAAAGGATATGAAGACAGACAGACTTTGGTGTTAACGTTTGAATATCCCTATGATTTCTAAATGATTTTCCTTGTACAGAATGACATTTAAATCAGTGTTTGAATGATTGTAACGACCTAGCATGACTCAGTCTTCATTTTTCACCTAACTAGCGTAGCAAGTTGCATTGTGGTGTTTAGACTTCGGAAGCATAGTAGAGGTTGGTTTAAATCTTTAATCTGCTAAATATTTGTTTAAAACCTAAAGTTTTATATATCAAGATATCTTTCCACAATATAACCTAAGCTTTTATTCGCTCATTTTTGAGACTGTAAATACTACATGTTCACAATACTCTATATGAATAAGTACTATTGATTTAGCAGTAGAAGTTAACACTTGACCCCTGATTCAGCGAGATAGCATTAAATCATAAGCTAAAAAATACACATGGTATTATAAGTTAAGAAAACTCTAATTGGACTATGATCCGTAACGATATGGATTTTTTTATTTTGCATTGTTTTAATGTGGTCACTGAATTGGAGTTAAACTAAATTTTAGCATTTTAATGGAGAACTTTTTTTAAAAAAACGGCTTCTAAATTTAATATTTATGTGACAATATGAAAGTGTAATCGTTGCATATTTATTATTTCAATAAATATTTCTGCAATGACACCCGATTCTCTTTGCACTTGCAGTTCCTCTAACAGAAGGGAAAACAGTCATTTTTACACATTTTACACTTACCTGCCAGTTTATGAGGTACGCCAGGCACTAATGCAGTCTGAAACAAGAGATTAACACAACAAATCCTCTCTTTATGGAATGAAAACAGAACTTAGTGTGACCGTCACACAGAGAGGTTCTGTTGTTGAGCTTCTCTCACTGTTGGTAAAAGTTATCTAAAGCAGTTTAAGCAGTAACTGAACAAGACAGCTTTTTTGGAGGTTTTATTCATTCTTGGGCTGTTTTAACGGACTGCGGGGTATAGAAAATAAACTTTCAACTGTGTCCAGATACTTTAAAGACAAAAAAGTAATCCTTTGTTTTTGAACACACCAATTGAGACAAGCAGGAGTGTGGTGTATTGATTCCTTTATTGAGTGACATCATTTACTGCATATGTTAAAACTATATTTACACAGTCATGTTTGACTAAAACTATAAGGTAGTTCATTAACAGTGACAACAATATATAAATTGTGGTTAAAACACTGAAAGAAAATAACCCAACAGAAATGTTAATGTTTGTATAAGCTGTTCTAATAATGCAGCAACATGTAATTCTACATTGAGCAAATCGTCAAAAGAGAGAGGGCCAGATGAGACAGATATATGAAATGATATGAGTTGTTTTAGACCTCCCAAAATGTGACTATAGAATAAAATTCTGCACTTTTACCTCTACAGGCCGAGTTTGTCTATAATAAAGAAAGATACACTGGCAGAGAGTCTCATGGAAAAGATTACCCCGTGTCTTACATCTGATTCTTCAAACCCAGACCAAACAGTCACCTACTGTGTCCTTGCTTAACATTCACCAAAAACCAGACCAATGCCTACAACAAAAACTTTCTAAATAGATGCCCGACACATACCTGGAATCTGTTCAAAATCTCAAAAGAGCCACATGTTCGGCACAAACAGAACATTATCTTACATGGCATGGTTCAATCATTGAGCACAGACAAAAATGTCGTTAAGTGCTACAATCAATTAGTTTATTTTAACATGGATTATCAGGCTGCTAATCTCGGGAAGAAGATCCCAAATTTAACCTCTGTGCCTTCGTAGTGCGATGAAATTCTGATTTAGCAGCAACACTTCAAGCTCCTGTGAGGAGTGTTTCGATGTTTATGAAATAGACTAAAATTCATATTGATTTTGGATAAGAGGATGTGATTCTCCTGACCCAAACCAGGGGCACACACAATCTGCATGAACGGGACTGGGACCTCATACAACTGCCAGAGTGAATAAAACATAAAGCTCACAGATTTCTCCTGGTGGAACATCACCACCAGACCTCCTAACAGAGTCAAACAACTTTACATCAATCTTTTTACTCCGACTTTTACATCCTTTAACAAACAATTCAACAGAGGACATCTTTAATTGTTAGATATATACAGTATATTTACCAGAAATATGTTCATGGATGGACCCGAGTGAAAAAGGTTTGGAAATGACATCTCTTGTGGGCACATATCAGGGATCACCTTGCGAAGGATTCTTCTTTACATAATGCCGCAGGTACTGGATAGCTGACAGGGCACTGACATTCGCTAGCAGAGCTGAAGAGGATTTTAACAGAGGTTAGTTCTTCAAATTTGATATTGATACATTATTGCGAATAATAGATGCCATTAAAGTCTGATTGGTGCTCAAAATACCTGGCCAAGTATTTGTATTAAAACAACGAAATGTAAATTAGCAAATCAGATCGTACACTCACACCACACAGCTGAAGTATATCAGACATTTGGTTGTAGATTAAATCAGGTCAATGACCGTAACATCATGGCGAGATGTTACATACCTGCTTTCCAGGTATCAGCAGCCTCTGGATCAGATGATCTTAACACCCAGGAGGCAAACGCAATGCAGACCAAACACATGTCTGACTGCTTCAGTGCAGAGAAGATGCACTCTCGTCCTGTGAGGGAGACAAACAAACAAGTTGAATCTATCTTTGGATGTCTTTATTACTACTGCTGCATGGGAGACTGGACTTACTTGTTTGAATAGGTCCCAGAATCCTCTGCTGCACAGCTAGCTTTCTGAATAACCGAGCGGGAGTTTCAGGGACACTCCCCTCAGCAAACGCAGTCAGTGGTGGATCATCTCTCGTCATGGTATTGTCCGTTGCCTCGACAGGAAACACCCAGGTGCCAGAGCTGCCACACCAGATACTACCTTTGTTTGGAAAACAGATTTTCCTCATGGACAGCAAACTGGGAGAACCACTAAGGGCAAATGCAGATGTCCCAAAATGTCCTTTCTGAATGAAAGAGTGCAACACAACCCTGATTGGTGAGATATCGTTGGACTCTTTGTGTTCGGAGCTCGAGAATATGTAGTCGGGATTAGGGAATGTGAGTTCTCGGACTGTAGGATGAGAACAGGAGAAAATTGGGATGGGTTTGTCGCTGCACTGGAAGTCATGGCAGGAGGAGAGAGGTGTTTCATCCCTGAATGTACTGAGAATGCCGTCGAACGCAGTCGCCAATGGGAAACTTTCTGGGTGGTAGACAGTAACACAGCTGTCTCTCTTTGTTTGATCTTTAAAAAGGTTTTCAAACACTTCAGGGAAGGATATTTGAGAAATTTCATCGAGCACTTGTGTGTTGGAGAGGAAATCTGGGGGTAGTAGTATTCCCAGACTGTCACTTTCATCTAAAGCCACATCTCCTTCCAGAGATGGACAGCTGCTGAAAGAAAGATTGCTGTCATCATGACCGACTATCAACTGTAATGACGAATCCTCCATGGTGAGAGCGGGGACATCAAAAACACTTTTACTTTTGGGTATCTGCCGAGACCACACATGTTCACTTGAATTGAAGACTTTGGAGTCTTGATCCTCAAAGAGAGGCTCTACAAAGTTCTCTGCAGGAACAGGCGTCTCCTTTCCTTCAGAGCATGTGGACTCTTCTTCCTCAAAGTAAGGTGTGTCTCTTGTCCCTTGTTGGAATTTACTCTGAGGGTCAGGACTGGGGTTTCTACTGGCATCAAGAAACTGCCAGTACTCTTCCTCAAAATCAGAGGTGGAAAACTCGCAGCTTGAGCGATCTGGCTTGGATTCATCAACCTGTGTAAAGTAGTCCGAGTCTGCATTGTCAGGATCCGTTAACCCACCACTGCACAGACCGTACTCCATAGTTTCAGCTAAAGAGCTGGGGTTTGACGGGAAATCATCAACAATCTGCGTCACTGTTTCTTGCGTTTCCCGTGAAGGAGGGCTTCTCCCCATTCTGAGCTGCAAAATGTCATTTATGGTGAGCTTTTCCATTTCATCCCAAAAAGCTGAAATGGCGTACACAGGTCGAGTGTGCCCGGCAGCTTCAGCATATGTTTCAGGGCTGTCTGCCGCCGCACAGGGTGTCACTGTTAAATCAGGAACAGAGGAAAGGTTGTGCTGATTTCCTGAGGAGCAGGCAGATGCCGGAAGATTAATCTCATGCTTTTGGACTCCAGATGGGTCTGAGGATACACAGGGCATCGTGCTGAGACCGTCATTCACACACACTGAGTCTTCATCTGGCATTTTGTTAACACTTTGACCCACAGATTGAAACATCTGGGGAGGTTCAACATCGGCCCGATCGTGACCATCGGCGTTCGTAGCCGTTGGGTTGGATGATACAGTGCTGTCATTAAAAGGCATTTTTGTAACCTGTGTGTCATCAGCATTGGTATTTCCCATCAGTAAGAGGGGGCAGCTGTTTTGAGTTAGAGGCACCGAGCTTTGCAGGGACTGAAGATACCGAGGTTCGTCTATTGATTCAGCAGCTGACTGATAACTCTCAGAATCATAACTGTGAGTGGAGAAGAACTCAGCGCCATCCTCAGACTCAGCACTGTCCAACTGCGGAGGGCCTTTGAATGTAAATACATTATGTAATGTGGAATTTTCTTTGACGGAATGAAACAATTTTAATTTCTCTGATGGACTGTCCTCGTCACCAGATGTTGAAGACGCTTGGGATGAATCTGAGATGATTTTCGCTGTAATTCTTTCAGGGTTTTCTTTTAGAACTCGATAGCTGTCCGATATGTCACCTCCTCCCCCAGATTCATTACCATCCTTGTTTCCTTCCTGTTTAAAACTAATGTTATTACTATTTTCCTGCCTGCTCCCTCTGCACATGTGACCCTCCTTACAAGGTTTTTTTTGTCTGCGTTTTTTTTTGCTATGCACCCGCGGTCTTGCAGGACTGTCGTTTATTGTCACGAACCAGCGCTCCCTTTCAGCTCTTAAAGAGACACCGCTCACTTCCTCGCCCTCAGCTCTGTCTGTACTCTGTGGCTCATTCACAATTACTTCTGTTTGGTTGCACGAAAGTGGGTCAGGTTTCTGTATGGGTTTGAGTTCACAAGTGTCACTCTTTGTTTGCAATCCTCCATTGTCCTTTTTCAGCTCTACTGCCTCTCCATGCAAAGACTGAACATCCATTTGCTCAGTTCCCACTGCGGCTGCGATATCATCATGTGTATCCTCTGTGATGTGCTCTGCAGACCAAATCAAACGCACTTCCTCTATATTTGTGGAATTTCCTTCAGGGCAATCAAGGCCTATTTCACAGTTCACCCGTGTGTCACTGTCTTCCTCTGTTTTTGTGTTCAGATCATCTTCGTCTTTCCTTAAACTACTCAGATTGATCTGCACTTTTCCTGTGCACCACAGTGCCTTACTATCAGGTTTTTCACTGTTTTCATCACGGCTCTGACGGGGCTCCACTTGACCTTTGATGAAGACTGGACTTGACTTTCCTGAATCCTCTGAATCGCTGAGGGTGGAGTGATCAGGGCAGGCAAGCAAAGGCTGAAGCAGACCACACTCCTCACTGTCCACATAGAAGCTTGTCCAGTCATATTCTGCAATATGCATGCTGTGATCTAAATCATCCATTTTGATCCTCACATGCTCTTAAATCTGCAAAATAAGAAGAAACAGATTCCTATCAGGTAGATGTAGAGGTAGGTGTTCTGCATGGAAAAATAATGAAGGTCACCTGGTGGTGGAGTTTGTCAACCTCAGTGCCTCTGCTAGATTGTTGGGAATGTTACATCAACACATCTGAGTTAAATATAGAACGAATTTATCTGAAGCTTAGTCTAAAATCTAATCAGCTGTTATTAGGACTCTATTGTGCCAAAGGGTAACAAGCTCCTGTGTTAGTTTAAAGTTTGAGAGGTGATGACCTGAGAGAGCAGCAAAGCAATACCAGAGCACAGGCTCCATAACAGACCCCAAAATACTTTGAGTCATATGACCTGATATGAAAAATTCAGCTGCCCAATGTCAGGGTACAACGCACAGAATTAGCCCGACTAAAACACGAAGTGATAGTTCATGTACACAAAGTGAGGGTGAAATAACATGACATTAAAAATGTAGTCATACTGGAGAATGCTCCAACTTTAAAAAATACACAAAAGGTAACTTTTTGTTGAATTTGTCCAATAATATTTCTGTTTTATCATTTTTAAATAAAGGTGTGATTATTTCAGAGCATTCCTCCATTTTCACTCAAACTATCTTTGTCTGATCGGTCTAATCTTTGTCTTAAAGTCAAAGTCAACAAAGGGCTTCTCTGTAAACATTAGCAGCACAACCAACACAAACCAGCAGACAGTTTCAACATTTTCACACAAGAATCTTTCAGGAATAGATGGGTTCCTACCGACTGCAGAAGGACCAAATGTACACTTGGAAGGTGTCAGTACTTTCTGCCTGCAGGGACATTTCAGCTCTGATGTCCGTCTGTCCTTGCCTGTGTGGGACTGAGGCCTTGCTCTCAGCTGTTATAAATAGAGTAGTATGTCCAGTCACATGGAGCTGCTTCCAGTGTAAACGTCCGTCCCTCTATTACAAGAGGTGTGACATTTCAGCAGCCTTAAATACAAGCGCTCTTACTTTTACAAGAGGTGAAATCAACAATTGTTTCCCTTATTGACATGAAAGGATGTGATTTATTACCTAAAATGTAGTTAAAGCTCCTGTGAGGACTTTTTTAGCATTTATGAAAAAGACTTATGAAATAGACTATTTATAGGGATGCTTTTTTATGATATACAAAAGCAAACAATACTATCAGCAAAAAGAATAATGATTTTCATACTATAAATTTGAATGCCTGAAATCAGTGCGAGGGGGTAGGTGTCAGCTGAAGAAAATAACTGTTTTTTACACTTTCTGCATAAAATGGTCACAAAAAAAAATAAGTTTGACTCTCAAAAATCAGGAGAATGAGACTTATTGTCCAAAATTTCCAATCAAGCATATAGAGGACAAATTGAGCTTAGCCTGCTTTGTACACAAGAGGGCACTTAATTTGACACAAACAGAAACCTCCTCACAGGAGCTTTAATGCTGCATTAGACACCAAACACTAAATAGCTATCAAATCATTAATATGATGGAAGCTGTTTTAAAATAACACTTACTGTTATTCAAAACACTTTTTAATTTTCTCTTTATTCTATTTTCTTGACTATATGTTGAATTCCAGTTTTTCGCTCTAATTCCTGTTGTATTCTTACTCGCTGACTAAGTCTGTGTAGCTAAAATGATCACATTTTCCATCCGGGATCTTTAAAGTACCATCTATCTTAGTTGATTGTAACAGATGGCTTTGGAAATATTTTAACTCAAAGATGTTTTTCAAATCAAATGTTTCATTTTTTAAATTCTAATTAAAACATTTCACGCTGCAGAAGTTGTGGATTGTTGTAATGTAGGTGAACTAACAAAAGAAAAATAAATTCTGTAATTCCTGCAAACCTGTATGAGGAAAATAATTATCATTTTCAAAATCATGCTGCTAATTATGGAATCAATTTAGGTGTAAAACAGCTTTAAAGCTCTTATAAGGAACTTTTGATTTCTGTCAATTTGCCGCCCCCTGTGGACAAAGCAGTTTTTGCTTATCTTGTCCTCTACATACTTGAGAACCGTTTTCTACCAGAAAATCTGCCGATTCTTGAAAGTCATATATCATTTATTGTGAATATTTCATGTGTAAAATGTAAGAACAGGGCTGTTCCTGTATCTACCTGGATGCAACCTACCCTTCTGCACTGGTTTTTAGACATTAGAATTACTAAATAAATTCAGAAACGGTGTCACTGATGTCTTGTTTGCTTTCGGCCATAAAAAGGCATCAATATAAATTTCAATTTCATAGATATCAAAAAAGCTCCTCACAGTAATGTTGTTTGTAATACATTAGGTTTTACACATACTGTATGTCCCTAAGCTACTCACCAGAGTATTGGGTGTTAGGGTGCTATATTTTACAGTTTATTTTTAATGCGGTGTAAAAACTCATAGATTGACTTAAAGTAACCAGCAGAATAATAGTCAAGCTGTTCAAAAAATAGTTGTCCAACACACAATGAGGCATTGTTTATTATTAGCAGCAATGATAAAAAAAAGGAAAATACATTAAAAAAATTATTTAACTGAATCATTCAATAAAATGCTGTTTAGGATTACATGTGTCTATATAACTGCACAGAGGGAAACAGTAGTCATGTAAAGGTGCTTTATTTCTCCAACATTACACTCATCTTCGGAATAGTCTTTATGGCACTGATACTAGATTATATGTACATCAATACAAAACAAAACATCATTTGTATAAAACAATATATTCATGTATTCAGCTTATGCTTTTATGTACAAAGGCCAACACAAGAAACAAAAAGGAAATTTTCATGGAATGATTGCTGCCTTTTCTCTGGTTAACTTCATGTGGTTTCATGTACAGTTAACTGAAAATGGAAACTTTGTTTACCAAAGGTAGAAAGTGAATGAAAAAAACTGTGGCAAATCAGACTTGGTTTACTATCCTCATGTTGGACTCGTGTACAGTAAAGGCCACTCAATAAAAGTCAAAAAGCAGTTATTCACCTCTTCATCACGAAACATTTCCTACATGGGTTTAAAGCTCACAACGGCACTGTGCACTGTGGTTAACACAGTAATGGCGTACAGTAACAGACACTTTCTTCAGACAACATTTGGCAAAGTTAGATAGTCAAGTCATTTCAATAATGCAGCAATGATGTTCCCATAGATACATAAAGAAAACTTCAATCACACCAAATGGCAACACATTTTAAGTAGTTCTTTTCTAAAATAAGGATCCAATGTTTGTGACTCAGAGTAGTAAAGTGCAAGAGAATTCAGAAATTTTCCTTTATTTTCACGAGGGAAATTCACTTTATATTTTCTAGGAGCTTTATCTGAAATATCACAAATGTGGCTTTTTCGGTCCAGTGGGTCTGTTGTTAAATGTGTATACAGTGCATGATTTGTCATACGAGTGTGGTACATTCTCCATTATTTAGCTCACAAAAGTAATAAATATAAATATGAAAATAAACACCAAAAGGGCCCAAATTTCCATACAGCACCTTCGATCATTGGCTTTAAAACATCATTCTCCACCAGAAGAACCTTACTACTGTAGGTCACTTTGTTATCAGTGAAAGTCAGTGCACGGTTACAAAGTGCAAATAAATATCACAGACGTATAAAACACATTCTAGTACGCAAACTTAAAAAAATAAACTCCGGTAAAGCTTTCATAAAATGTCACTAAGCTGGCACTTTGTCCCACAAAAACCCAACTTGGTCACTGTCAACATTCAACTTGGCTTTTGAAGGAGGAGTTTCACATTTTGGCAAATGCTCTCTTGTGTTTCTTGCTGAGGCTTGGATGACAAAATCAAAGACATTCTGAGGTCTGCTGAAATCACATCAACTTGGTCAGCTTATTTTATCATGAGGACTAAAAACAGGGAGAAAAGTGATCATGGTGTCTTCATGAAATCTTGAACTTTTTCACTTTGTTTTCTGTCAATTTTCACAAAGTGCTAATTTGCAAGTTTAAAGGGCTTTTTCCAACCGTGAAGAGTAGAAGTAGGAGCATTTCCCAAAGTGCCAAACTATCCTCTTAACAGACATGTCCATACCTGTATTAAGTTCTTGAACACAAACTATCAAACAGCAGATTGAAATTATTAATTTAAAGTGTTTGGACTTAAAAATGAAAAGGTGCGGATCTTGTGAGAGTAAAAACCAGCCTGTGATGTTTAAAATTTACAGAAAAAAACCCAAAACTGTTTTCCATTTAAGTGAAAAACTAAAAGAATATAAGGTCAAAGTTGACAGTCTAGTGTCCAGTTATTTTGACCTTATTTTTTTTTTTATGATTATACTATAAATACAGAAAAAGTAGCAGCCCTAGCAATGTGAAGCAGCTACAATCAAATTTGGCCACCTATGCACAAGTCAGCTGGTCTCTCTGTGGCTTCTTCACATGATCAGAAAGTCTGACACCATTCCTGAGTGTCCTCTCCTACCTGCACCGGCACTCCCCACCCTCCTACACATTATAGTCTTCAGTGGTGGATGTGGTGGGCACAGTGGCGCTGTTCAGGGTGGATGTTGCGGAGGGCCGCTCCCTCCTGACATATCTTGGCTTCCTCACTGCACAGGAAACACAGAGAACATGTAATCAAGAGAAAACAGTTAGTACCATCTTTGTCCTAAGTTTTGTCATGTTTAAGACTAGGGAAAATTTGAACTTTTGCCAAGTACACCTGAGTAATAATTTGACTATTTTTCATTGCTCAACAGCTTCACAACCTGTTCCACAAGCCCTGAGAGTTACAGTTTTGACAGAGGTAGTAAACAATCTCAGACAGTGAAGTAATCTCACCTGACGAGGATGGGATCATGACAGCCTGGATAGAGAGAAAGAACAACTTAACACCATCCCTGTGAGATAAAAGGACTCACAAATACAAAAACTTAACTGAGGTTGTATTTTAAGTATCTGCACAAAGCTATAAATGTAGATGTGTGTGATAATAAGATGTAAAAACTGACTTACTGTTTCACTTGGCTGGAATATGAAGGCTGTAAAAAGAATTGAATAAAAGATTCAATTTACCCAAAACAGATCATGTCAAAACATCATTGTTGTGTTTTCCATATTCAAAAACAAGTCCATGTTTTACTATCAAGGATTTAATGGGTGTGGTACATCAACAGGAACGGTTGAGCCCCACAGCCATGTTTGTGTAACGACAGTCAGTGTGTCAGAGCCGTGCAGGTTTTACCCTTATTGCGACGATAAAAGATGCTCGGGAGTCGGTTGGAGCGTTTGAGGTAGAAAAAGGAGGCGACAGAGAGGATCAGGAACAGGCTGATCAACAGCGTTCCAAGAAGAAGAGAGGCGGCCACACCCGGCCCTCCTGCTCAAAGAAAAAGCAAGAAACAGGAGAAACACTTTGATCACACATGGGGCTAGTCTGGTTTCCATGTTTAATTGTGTAAAACATTTTTTTTCTGACTTAAATTTCAAAATCATCAAACATGAAAACCAGGGAAGACAGTTTGAAACAAATTTTCTTCGAATAGCTTAAATCTGAAAGTAGGAATAAAACTTACCAATTTTAGGAATGACAGTAGTTACAGTTGTGTGATTCTTCCTCTCAACTGTGTAGTCTAGTGAGGACAAAAAAAGGAAAAATTGTAGATAGAAACATGATTAAAATTTTCCACATTCAAACTGAAATACATTTTTAAAAACATTAACAGGTAGCTCAAAAATCTTACTGTAGGTGCAGACTGTTATGTTTTCCAAATCCACAGCTGTGGAGTCACAGAATATACAAACAGTGTTGCTGTTCTCAAGGATACGCATGAAGCATCCTGCAAAAAGCAAACTATTGTTAAGTGCCAAACACATGTTAAAGCCGGTGCATAGATTCCTCATAACTTAATAACTAGATTCCTCATGATCATAACTAGACATGCATGTTTTGTATATCTATATCACCTGGTTCACAGTGAGTATCATTTGAACATGAAGTGTTCCCTCGATGTTTCTCTCCACAGCACTCCAGTGAGTTTTGATGCAGGGCCTACAGACAGGACATGAGTCACATATTAACAACCCAACCCAAACAAATCACCCAAACAAAACACACAGTTTCATAGAGGTACCAATTAGTTATACCTTTGTAACTGGTGTTTCAGGTCTAATGAGGATCACAGTTGCAGCAAAGACCAGAAGGAAAGACAGAGCCATATTCAAACCCTGAAAGATCAATTAGGCATAAATTAAACACACATTAGTCACGCTGGCTAGGCCCACGTTTTGCACACACACCTTTACCTTTTAAAGAGTACAGGAAACAGGGATTAAAAAAACACATCGGACAGGGAGGATGCTTAGGTTAAATATGCTTCATCATAAGATAATTGGAGTGAAGTTACTTTCTGTAAGGTGAACTGGTCTCATTTTATGGTGTATGTTCTTGTATTGCCTGAGTTTCTTATGACAAATGAAAATGGCCTTCACTTCGGAGGCCTTGTTTTAACTGAGCTTTTGTTTTTTATTTGTTTTTATCTCCATGTACTGATGCTTTGCAACTGTTTGTCAAAGCACTTTGTAAACTTCTGTTTTTAAAAGTGCTATAAAAATATAGTTATTATTATTATAATGATGATGATGATTATTATTATTATTATTATTATTATTATTATTATTATTTTGGGTAAAAATCACCCAGCAATGATGATGATGTTACTAATTTTAGCGATAGTGTAGATAATGTAGAACTGTATAAATCTAGATCACAGTTTTATCGGTACTGTGATCGGTTAATCGGTTTACAAACAAAGTTAAAATACAAGTATGTTATTGGCCAGTGCTGCATCCACTCTATACAGATGAGTCACTCACAGACACTGGGCTTTAATATTCATGCAGGGGGGGCAGTCTTTGAAATAAAGGGCTCCATACTCAGCACACTTTCTTCCTCCTTTTTCTTTAAAGTTGGTGGTTTTAACTTCGTCGTAATCTCATTAGTTTGAAAGGATTATAATATGAAGCGTCAAGGAACAGGGATAACGTCAGACAAGTAAAACAGGAAACAGACAAGGTGTTTAGCTAGCTAGCACCTGTCACTAGGATGAACTTACCTCGTGACTGTGTTTGCACTCTGCGCAAATTAAAGACGGTTTTTACGTGTGGTCACATCTTTTTTCTTAAAACCATCTACTACAGGCACACACTGAGCAACAGCACGTTACTGGACAAAAACAAAGTTCACTCACCAGCCAAACACCACCAGGCTCGGGTTTCTCTAAAGCCTTCCGTGTGTTTTTTTATCAGCGTCAGATACCGTCCGCCGAACACCTATCACCACACGGTCATTTATAATGTTTGCAGCTTTGTCACAAACACAACGCTGCAATTCATCAACAGACTCTCCTCCTGGAGTGCGTAGCTCATTGCTACCTGTGTTGATTTAGCAAACACACTTCCGGGTGTGGTTTTCAAAATAAAAGCCCCACTCTGTATGAGCGTCATCGGCTCCATTTCATTTAATATTGTATGTCTTTTTACCATTTATGATGTTTAAAGACGATGATGATAACGATAAAAGCAAAAGCAAAAAAAAAAAAACAACAACAACAACAACAACAACAACAACAACAAAAAACAAGTTTCATCAGTGCAAATAGGCTTCAATAATTCATAGATTTATAGAATAATTATCACAAAAAAGGTTAAAAAATAGGTACAAAATATGTACGTGTTAAAAACTCTTTGGTTTATGCTATATTTAGAGTTAACAAAATTACAATTCCAAACATGGCAGAATCAGTTCAATACAGTTATTTCAATGGTGAAATAACATATCAGTGACAAATACTTAACAATATGGGAAAGCGACAATGCATGTTTAGACAGAAGGGCAATAAAATAAGGTAGATAATGAAGAACAACAAGCAAATAGAAGCATAACAGTAACTTAAAATAAATAAAATAATTTATGCTATTCAAAACTTTAACAGGGTTTTTCTTTCTTTTTTAAAAACATAGTTAGCTGTTCATATCAGTGGGAAAATTCGTTGAGTTATCAGATAACTTTTGTTCCTTCAAACCAGTTAACGTTATAAGAGATTTCAAATACATTTTAAATTCGTTTATGAAAACAATAAATCTTGGGGATGCGCTCATAACTTTATTCTTATGGACTCACGTAAATTTAACAGCTTGGTATCATTTAAATATAGTAATGCTTTAACTCTCATACTGCCATTTTGTATGGACATGTATAGTGCTGGATTGTACGAGCCGTTATTAAGTGGAAATACTAATTCAGAATTTCCACTTATCTTTATGTAGATTACTTCGCTCTAGAGAAAATTAACTGTTTAAAGATTAAAGAAGTCGCTTTTCGTAAAATAAATGATGCTTCATTAAATGACAATGACAAAAAATTTAATTTTGATATGTCCTTGTAGTACAGGAAACAAACAACGTTACGTATTTAAAATTCTCGGTAGTTTTTCGGTATCTGAACGGCAACAGTCAGCTAGAGTAGTAAATATGAAAAGATGAGTCAATTTCACGAATTCTTGAGATCTTTCCGCTGTGTGTTAAACATTTATTTCAGTTTGGGTCTGTCGATTTTCCGTTAAGCCCTGAACGCAGCTTTGAGGTCACATGGGAGATCTGAGAGGTCACATGGCGGGAAATTGAAACAGTCGCGAGCGCAGTTCCTGTGTACCTGAGCAAACGGTGAGTTAATTTTGATTTCCATGTCTCGATATTCAATCGGCGGTGAGCAGAGTTAGCTACCATACGAGACAATTTTCTTTCAGATTTATCGTTAAAGAGTCTCAGCGTTTAATCTCGATTGATATTTTGTTAAATGAAGTAAGCTAGCAAACCGTCGTTTCAGTCCGCATCGGTGTACAGTTGACTGAAGTAGCTTTAGCTGCTACATTACTACGTCCATAAAGGTGCTGCTTGTTTTAACTGTTAATGACTTGTTATCCTCACAAACAGGTAACCAGACGAAATGAGTCATATCAGGAACATAAAGGACATGCTCAACATTCAGACTGGAAGCAAATGGTCAGCGAAACTCTGTTACCGCAACTATCATTTCTGTCATACTTACAAAAGGGAGACTAGGGTAAGATGAGTCAAAGGATAAGTTGAGGTACCCCCTGTTTCTTGGAAATGGTCAAAGAAATTGATCACGTGACCAAATATTTAGGAGATGGGCATCAATTCATGGAGTCTGAAGGTTAGAAGCATTGAATCGGCATCCAAAAAATTATAGAAGAATCGAATCGGGAGAAAAACATATCGTCCCAGCCCTAGTAGTAGGGATACGGCTCAACTTAACCTGCTCCTATGGTCAAATTACCCCAAACACAGGGTTAGGAGACCACTTTTTTTGGCATGCTATATTATCAAGACAGTTGTGTTTACATTCATTCTGTTGGTTTGCAGGGATGAACAACATCTTGAAATATAAGCAGATACACTAGTTAGAGACAAAACTATGATTGCCTTGATGTAGTGATCCGAAATATAAAAAAATGGCTCATCTTACCCCACTCTCCCTTACTGTCATCAAGGCTGAATGACTCTCTTTAACATAGAGAACAACCACAGAGTAGACTTTTTGCTGCGTAAACAATGTATTTTGTGTTTTTTTTTTTAAACTCATCAAATCTTGTTGGAAAAAATCAACCAACAGGAATGGGGCTACCAGTGGATACAGCAGTTTTACAGACTCTCAGTTGTTTTTCGGGTCTCAGTTTTGGCCTGAAAATTCTCAAAATGCATCTCAAGAAATGAGTTTGGGTTCATCCAAGACTTCCCAACACAGTTCACAAGAGGTGAGATCAACCATTCTAACTTGAAATCGTCACATTACAGAGAGCTTTCAAACAATCCTTAGTCCCATAGAAAAGGCTGCAATAACCAAGTGCAGTTATACAGGAGGAGAGAAGTTGTTTTTTTGAGTGACTTAACATTTGCAGTCAAGTGGAAACTTCGACTGCAAACAGCATCAAGCATGAAGAGAATTGCTGATAATCAGATCTATGTATCATTTATATATATATATATATATATATAAAAAAAGTATCTCTCAACCTCTGTGATTTTTATCATTTAGGGGAGTGACCCAAAGTTTTTGAGCAGTTATCACGCCAGACCTCACCTCTTCGGAGACATTAAAGACAAAAGCAAAACCTTTGGACTACTTGATAAATTTGAGGAGGACAAGAAAAAGGCCAAGGAAAAAACTGACAGGTACTTTATAAAACATATGTCTTGTTTTAAATTTATGGCATGGTGGTGATAAATAGTAGAGTGAAGTCTCCTTAGAAGTTTTGGAATCTCTTTATTTTCTTTAACAGTGATAGTCTGACCAAGGAACTTCATTATATTCGAGAAACTCTAAGCAATGTAAGTTCAACAAAATCTCCATCCTTCCTTTTGAATTTGACAGACAATTTTGTATGTTTATAAAATATTGAAAGGCTGTATTTCCTTTTTTTTCCCCAGATCTATCAGCTGGTCAGCGGTACAGAGAAAAACACTGCTGTATGCCAAACCATCCTTGAAAATTTTGACAAGTTCGCATCAACACGTAAGCTACCCAATTTACTGATGTTTGATTGTCATTGAGATAACTGAGTGTGCATGTGCTCTTTATGAACAAACTTGGGAAAGGGTAAGCAGTTACTATCACCAGCAGATGGTGCCTTTTGCCCAGTGTTCAACATTAGCAACTTAAAATCTTTTATCTGTGCCAGTGCACTTTTTTTTTTTCCAACATATAAGGGATTGTGTCTCATTTTAGCGGCCCCTAAACTCTGGTAAACTGTCCCCCAAACATCAAGCCAGGACTATATTACATGACTTTTAAAAACACATTTTTACAATTTAGCATTTCTGTAAATTCAGTTTGTCTTGGTGTCTACCTGGTGCTGTGCATGACTGTGCTTTGTCAGATGCTGTCTGTTATGCTCTGTTAATTGTGCATGTATCTGTATTTGTGTATTTTCACGGCTTCTTTAATTTGCTTGTATGTTCTTAAAAGTTTCTATACTGATAAATTCATCACTATCAAGTGTCTGATACAGTCTATATGGGCTGTAAGTACAAGTTTTTGTTCAAATGCTTGAATCTTTTCATTTATTCATTTTAGTGCAGAACCACCTGAGCAGTCTGCAGAGTAACATTTCCCAGCAGTTTGAAACTTTACAAGATAAGGTGAACTCCCATGAGAAGAAAACAACTGAACTGGAGGAAAGGATGCTAAAGGTAACACGTTTACATGTAACTCCTGATCAGAAAGTACTTAAATCTGGGAATGATTATATCATTTTTATAATTTGTAGAGTGGAGAAAGTACAACAGAGCTTGGTTTGAACCTGCAAAGCTTAAAGAAAAGTCTGGAGTGTCTGAGAGTGGATCAGGAAAAAGAAAGAAATATGATGGAAGAGGCTCTGAAGCTGCTCAGTGCTTTAGTCGCTGAGCACTCAGCCAGACCCAGTACGGAAGGAGCAGTTGACAGTGCCATCCAGACATCTCCAGGGCTTGATCAGCAAGTCTCCATCAGCCTGCAGGAAAATAAGCTGGAAAACACACAGCTTTCATGCATGTCAAACAACTTTGATCACAGTCAGGCTGAAGTTTTGCCTCAGGTTCCTGGCCGCATCATAGGAAAGAGAAAATTCCTTCCCAGAGGCCATGGGAGACGCAAAAAGAGGCCGCTGGTCATCTCACAGAGAAGTAAACATGCTGTTACGGATGAAAACAGTCAGTCAAACATAAACTGCAACAAACAACAAAATATTTCTTTACCTCTCTGTGAGCGTTATGATACGAATAATATAAATAACCAGGACTGCCGCATTTCAGGCTGTCTGAAACCACTAAATAAAGAGCCGAGATCCAAAGCGTGGGGATGTGCCATCACCCCCTTCAGCTCCTGGTCTCAGGACAGCAGCAGCTCTGTGTGCCTCGTAGGAAATGAACCCTTGCTAGAGAAGCCCTCAGCAGAGTCCAAGACAGCAACCCCAGTGAAACTACAGAGCCTTTGGCAGTTGTTTGACATTGATTCAGATTCATTTTAGAGCATTAAAGGGCACAGAGAAGGTAGAAGAAACTGTCTTTCTATTTTATGTGTACAGGTAAATAAAAGACCAACATTTGTAAAATAATATTTATTACATCTGACACTTGTTCTGTTTGTTCCAGACTTCTTAATTTCATTTAGTTTTTGGATGAAAACCGGTTAAAAGAATAGCTCAAACTTAGCAGGAGGTTGGAAGAGTACAGGTGCACTAACTGAGTATATGAGTGAATGATTTGCATTAAAAATGTTCATTAATTTCTGTAGAAATTGATTTTTGAAAATATTTATTCTGCTGTCTTGAGAATGAAAATAAACTTAAAAGCTTCGTATCAAATCAGAGTACTCTGTTATTTCATTAGATACTAAAGATACATGTATAGCATATTTTCCTTTTCTCATGTTTGAATATGGATTTTGAAAGTCTTCATACTCAGATTGAGGTCCTGTGCGTTTGAGGTGTGCATTTTTACGAGTGTCTCCAATCACAACAACCTCACTTTGTTATATGGCTGAGGTGCATGTTAATTTGCCCAGCCCAAAAATGTTTTATTTTGCTTCTGCAACCATGCCACAAAAATACAAAATTATATACAATGAAAATAATAGCCTTTTAATATTTGCAAAGTCTGCCAGTGTCAGTGTAATTATTTGATTAGCTGCTTAGTAGACCTGCAAATATTAAAACTGCAGTTATTCCAGTGACTTTTAAATCATTTTAGTACTTTTTAAGCACATATAACAAACACAATATGGCTTTGGCTTAAACACTGATCGAAACTTACTTTTTTAATTTACCATTTGTCAAGAACAAAATCATTATCTCAAGGGTTTGTATTGTTCACCTCAAACAAAGTGAAACTGCTACCCTTGCCACTGACGATGATGGATATTTGTTCTTATTTTCAGAACAACTGATGTCCTTTTTTTTAACTTTTAGATAAACGATTTACCTGGTTTGCTTACAATGCAAAGTGTTGGATGGAGGTTTCAGTGCTGTATTTCTGCCGCTAAGCAATAAAACAAAAACAAATTTCTATTTACAAACTATTTACGCTCAATCTATAAATGTATGGATCACTGAGCAAGGCTCCAAAGCCTTTTCTGCCTTAAAGAATGAATGCTTTTGGCCCAGCAACATGTGCATTAATGACTTATTACTACTACTAGTTCACCCAAGCAGTCTTTGATCTGATCCGATAGGGGTGTCACTGAGTAACTAAGTCTGCAGGTGGGGACATGAGACCCCTTGGGTTAAGATTTGCCACTAAGCAGACATCATAGTTGTCATGCATCAGAGCGCGCCGAGACACCACCGTCCACCGGTTATCCCATGGATCCAGCTCCAAAATGTCTTTTGTTATGTTATCATGGCGACCTAAGGAGAGTTGACAAAGAGGAGTATGGAGTATTCACGTCAAAATCCTCTTGAGCAGTTCTTATTCAGTAGATATGGACATTCTTCTTACCTGCTCCCTTGTAGTATCCACACACATAAATTTTTCTCCCAACTACTCCTGCATTAGAGGCATTGGAGTGCAGTGTAAGCTGTGCACATGGGAGAGGAGGTCCATCCCGCCAGAAATCTCCATCTGGGCTGTAGATCTCCACAGCATTAAGGCATCGGCGTGATTGCCCACGGTCTGCTCCTTCACATCCAATACCACCTGCAAACATGTTTCATTACCAAGAATGATAATTTTTCAAACAAATTCTTGAAAAAACCAACAGAAATAAATTCACTTTGGAGGATCTATATTGTTTTAATTAGGCACACAGTCATTTAAATAACCAAATAGGCTATCTCATTAGTGTCAGTCTTACCCATCACGTAAATTTCCCCATTAAGTACAACAGCACTGCAGCGGTACTTGGAGTACCTCATGGGGTTTAGCTCCATCCACTTATTTGTGTTTGGATCATACTCCAGTAGGCGGTTACTGAGACGATCAGGCTCATCATCCATGCGGTATGACTGGACAGTCACAGTAGAAAAAAAGTAAAAACAGTAGAATGGGTGCTGTCTGTCAAGAGTTCATGATGAGTGTGTGAGAAGTCCCTTGACACTTACCTGTGGAGTTCGACCACCAATTACATAAAGGCGATCCTTCACTCTGACCACGCTGTGATAGGCTAAAGGCAGAGGCAGGGGTGCTGCACTGCGCCATGGTCCACCTTGCAGGGACCATCGCTCCACACAGTTAGTGATGAGGAGCTGGTTCTTCAGCTTCATTTGCCCGCCTAGGAGGTACAGTGTGTCACCCAGAGATCCTAGAGCATATGAATCACGATACTCGGCTGATGTCAGGTGCTCCCAGGTTCCTTGGGCCTCAACTTTGTACCTGGAAACCCAAGATAGCAACATAAGTGTTATCTGCATTGAAAGGACAGAGTTAACAAAACGTTACCTGATGAGTCTCTTACCTGAAAATCTCAACCTTCATGTCCTTCTGTCGGGATATTTTGCGTGCGCTTGCTTCTCCTGCTACTACAATGTTGTTTTCTTCAGTCACCACCCCAGCACAAACATGCCCTAAAGCCTCTCCGTAGCGAGGTGAAGTGATGTAGTAGATTCGGCTTGTGGACGGAGCAAAGCAGAAGCTGCGCTCGGAATAGTTGCCATATCTGGATCTTATCCCGTCTGTGTCATTTCCAACACAGAGCAGCAGATCCGTGGTCTCCATACCGTACCTCAGCTTTAGTTTGCGTGGCGTAGCTGAAGGATGCATCCCAGCAGCCCCCAGTGCTTCATTGATAATCTCCTGACATTCTGCATCAGACAGCAGGGCTGTGTTTCTCCTCATGACCTCACTCAAATAGTCAGGATTTATCAGTGGCAAGCGGACCTTCCTAAGCAGCTCTGGTAGGTGAAGGATCCGGTTCTCTCCATCCATCAAAGTGCTGTGTTTAGCCCAGCGAAGAACCACATCCAGGATGGTCTCTTCTCGTGAAACATTCAGGTCATCAGAGGTCAGAAGTTTCCCCAACTGATGGGCCTCTAACTCCAAGATTTCCTCGCTTTGGCAGACTTGGACAAAGTGCTGCCTCAGGTAGCGCTGAGCATGATCAGACAAATCCTCTGCACCAAGGTCACGGGCAAAGTAGTACACGCCAAGGCAGTTGGAAGCATCCATGTTCTCGGTCATGTGTATCTGACAGCGAGTGAAGACTTCATCCATCTGGAGGAGAAAAGCTGCGATGGAGATGCCTTGCACATTGTCATTAGTGAGAGGAAGATCTGAGCAGTACATGAAGTTCAAGAGGAGAGACAGGCTCTCTGCAGAGGTGTCACGCAGGACAATTTCTCTGTTGCTGCACTCACGCAGGCCACATGTGAACATAACCCGGAAGTACGGGCTGAAAGCAGCGAGAACAACCCGGTGACAGGGGAAGCTGATGCCTTCAGCAACCAACACCACATCTGTCAGATGCTCAGTCTCCCTCATCTTCCTCAGCTGGTCAAGCAGCGCCAGTCCATGTTTGGCTGTAAGATCCATTTTGTGGCAAACTTTGGCGTAACGATTATATATATAAAAAATAAAATTAAATAAATAAACGCTCTAGGTAGGAGGTTGTCTCTGAAAAACAAAAACAATAAAAAGACAAACTGTCACTAATACAGTAGCATTAATTAAACAATAGCTTAAATTTAATCAGTAATGCCAAAACTTGCGCAAGAGATAAGTTGATAATATATTACTGGATCAACAACAAAAGTCCATTTTTGATGTCCAAAATCCTGAGAGTTGAATGTTTAAAATATTGTATTATTGCAAACTTCCCAGGATCCCTAAATGGACCTCATAATGTGGCTGTCAGCAATGCCTTAAACAAAATAACTTTTTGTGCCAAGCTGCTACTTTTTACAGACCTTGCTCATACAAGTAGATTGGCAATACCGCTTGCCTACCACTCACACATTCAATGTTCTCATAGAAGTCTTACCAAAGTCATCAGCTCTTCTTGTCTGCTGTTGCTGTGGGTTTAAAAAGTCCAGCTAACGTCCATTTTTCGGCAACCGACGTGTGTTGTTGATGTTCAAAGTGTTGTGCAGGGGCTAAGAGAAGGATTGAGCAGTTGCAAGAGACAAAGATATGTCTCTTGACTACTGCTGAGGCCCTCTGAGCTACTAACCCAAAAATAGACTTTGTTGTGGAGCCAGCAAGTGGGTCAGAAGGGGGTTTCAGTGACCAGGGGAAAGGATGTTTTACACCCATGACACTGAAAACCATTGTTCTGTTATTTTAACATCCTTATCCAGCTTATTGGCATAATATTTAACTTTTTGGGGGTGTACACAGTTTGATTTCCTCGGTCACGTGTATGCATCTCTGGTATGACACATTGCTCCCAGTTCAGACTCAGATTTCATGACAGCGCTCTCTTAAAGGCCCAGTATGTTTTAAACACACTGTCAAAAAAACAGACCTCACCCTCACTCTTAAAATCTTCAGACTGTTGCAACCAAGCTACAGTTTGAAAAGTCACTGTACTTGATATTAAAAATACTGAATATACACTTCATTGTGAAAGCTGACTTCCCAGCTGATGCTAATTTATCTCTGACAACGTGTGGATTTTCCACTAGACAATCATTCGCCTGAAGTATTTTGTTGAGAAACAGTCCTTGCACAGGATGTTTGGCCTCTGTGGTTTGAGTTTTAGGTGCTATTTCATGCTTCATTAGCTTCACTTTTGCTTGTAAGTGGGGAAAATAGGAAGATGGAAACACACCAGTCTGGCAGTTGGTGAAATTTAACATACAGGGGTTAATTTTTTTCTGATTGAGACTATAATAACACTTTGTAATTCCTCCGGTCTGCCTTTTTTTTGTTCAAAAAAAGCTCTGCCCACATCCTGAAGATAGTTAAACATTATGCAAAATGATGTACATATGCAGATAGAGTACTTGTGACAGTGATAAAGTAGCATTAACTGTTGTTGGACACATTGCAGTAGGTAACTTTGCTGGAGTCATAAGAATAAAGCTCCTTTACTCCATATTTAAGAAGTTTTGTGTATTAAACCGAATGGATCATGCTCGGAGACCTGGGAAATACAGAGTGGAGCGGGAAGTGCTGGATGAGCAGAGACTGGAGGAGTTATCGCAGAGGAAAACCTACTCTGAGAGTCATCCATCTGTGTCTGAACAGCTAAAAGGTTCATTCAGGTAATGCCAATTTTATGTTTTTAACTCCTGCTTCCTGCTCTGTTGTGTTTTTGAATTTGTCCTTTAAAGCTCCTGTGAGGAACTTTCTGTTGTTTTTCTTACAGAGAAAATAATCACCCATTGAATACTTGCTGTGGAAAGGCTCTTCAGTAGACTTACCTCTTACAGCAGTTAATTACTACATAAAAACTGCCAATCTCTTCATTAGTGCTCTCATTTGCTTTACACTTCATAGAGATGCAGTCTGTGTCACAAAACCTCTTCACAGGAGCTTTAAAATAAGAACCAAATATTGTTTTTCAACTGTATTCTTGCAATCTTTTCTAGATGTTCGATACCCAAAGTGAAACGCTCTGTGCTGAGCAGCTTGCCTGTGCTATACTGGCTGCCCAAGTACTCAGTCTGGGACTACGGCATGCCAGACCTCATCTCTGGCATCAGTGTGGGGATAATGCATTTGCCACAGGGTATGACATTAGTTTATCACGGCCGAGTAAACAACAGCAGTGTTAGAGAAAGATGTCCTCTTTGTATACTCAAAATAAGAGCTCTCATTGTGCTGTTATGTAAAGTGACTTCCCTGCCTTCAGGGTTTGTATAAAAAAGAAAAACTCTTCCCCTGTCAGATATATTTTTTGTCACATACAAACAATTATTTGTACAAGATTTACAGATTGTTTAGTCTGCAAGTAATGCTGAAATTAAAACAGTGCAGCTTGATAAGAACATGTAAGTCTGTTTTATGATATTAAGTCTTTTATACTTAGACAGGTGTGATACTGTGCTTTTACAGGTATGGCATATGCTTTGTTGGCCTCTCTACCTCCTGTTTTTGGTCTCTACACATCCCTCTATCCAGCATTTATCTACATCTTTTTTGGAACTTCCCGTCATATCTCCATTGGTAAGTGAAGAAAAATTATTCAACAACTGCTGCAATATGTTTATAATAACATGTTCTGCCGTCTTCCCTTTGGGCTCAGGTACATTTACAGTGCTGAGTATCATGGTGGGAAGTGTGACAGAGCGACTTGCTCCTGACACGGATTTCCTCATAACAAATGGGACTAATATCACTGCAGAGGTGGATATAACTGCTCGGGATTCATACAGGGTTCAGGTGGCTGCTGCTACGACTGTTCTAGGGGGACTTATTCAGGTCTGAGCACCGCACAGCAATGTCGCATCAGCTTGGGATTATTGGCCAAACTATTTTTTATCTAAAACGGCTGTTTTACAGGTGGTTCTGGGTTTGGTGAAGTTTGGATTTGTGGGAACGTACCTGTCTGAACCTCTGGTGCGTGCGTACACAACAGCTGCTGCAGCTCATGCTGTTGTTGCACAGCTAAAGTACATATTTGGAGTTTCACCAACACGAGTCAGTGGTCCCCTGTCTCTCGTGTATGTGAGTACTGTCAATTATTTGGATCTAGGCTCTCTTTGAGTGACACAAGCACAAGATTTTAAACTACTCATAGTTTTTTATTCAGTCTCTTTCATGAAACCAAGAGTGGAAAATTTGAGCAAAGCATAACATTTACTCACTGTACTCCAACTATAAAGCTTTTAAGTGAACTTGGACTTTTTTGAGTAGTTTTTAAAGTCTGTACTTTTACTTCTACTCTTATCAAATTTCCCCTCAGGGGTAAATAAAGTTCACCTTATTTTGTCATATCTTATCTTAAACTTTCCTAAATTTTACAATGCATCTGTTACCAAGTAAAACAAATGCTAAAACCATACTATCTTTTCATCATTAGCATGACAGCCAGCTGGTCAGATAGTGTCTAAACTGCAAAAACCTTCTAGTTCCAATCAAAATATCTCTTTAGACTTAATTTAATCTACATTGACATGTCAGGTTTAAGTATAAAGCTTATTTCAAGATGTTTCAATCCAAATAAGTATTACATCTTGTTTCAAGAAACTTGTCAGAAGATAACTTTGTTCATATATATGTGTGTTTATATGTCTTGAGAAAAAAATTATGATGTAGAAGTTAATATGATATCTAAAAAAGTAATTGCAAATGAGTTATGAATGAATTTTAAGTGAAAATCTCGTCCTGTAATGTCTTAAAAAAGACTGAATGATCAAGTGTGCAGCTCAACATGTTCTATCAATGCATGCAATTAAATCCGTGACCATAACTCGCTTTACTGTCTTTATTTTCAGACTCTGAAGGATGTCTGCTCTTTGCTGCCTCACACTCATCTCCCCACACTGGTTGTCAGTGCCGTGTCCATGGTGTTTCTGATTGCAGCAAAGGAGCTCAACTCTTATCTCAGTCAAAAGCTGCCAGTGCCTGTCCCAGTGGAGCTCATCACAGTCAGTTAGCACGCACACACACACACACACACTCTCTCACACACCTCTGTGCACTCTCCTGTTGTTGCTGATGTTGCATGCAGCACTGAAAAAGCACATTCATAGTGGAACACAGCTGCTGAATCAGCAGTAGCTCTGGGACCTCTGATATGTGCAGTCTGCAGCAAAAAAGAGATATCTATGTCTAATAATTACTTCCACTTCTAGTAAATAAGTAACTCAAGCTTTTAATGATTTAAGTTTAAAGGTAATATGCTGTGTGTTTGTGTTTGTCTATATCATCTGTGTTTTCTGCTATGGCTTCAGATTATGGCAGGGACATTGATTTCATCCTACGCCAACTTGAATGGTAACTACACTGTTCCAATTGTTGGGGAAATTCCCAGCGGGTAAGCATCTTGATTTCAGGAACACCGGCATTGTTTGTGGCGTTAAATCTCCAGTTTGTATTGCACAAACCTCTATCTCATGTGCTCCACCTGTCCATTAGCCTACATCCTCCAAGTGTCCCGGATGTGAGTCTTTTTGGAGAAGTTATTGGCGATGCTTTTGCAATAGCCATTGTGGGATATGCCATATCGATTTCACTTGGAAAAACATTTGCACTGAAGCATGGATACAAGGTGGATAGTAACCAGGTAAACTAGAAGCCTTCTTTCTTTATTATTTTACAGATAATGTTCTTTTATTCATCTGTTTCTCCTGTATTTATTGATTTATTAAGCTTTTGGTTCTTCTGTCTTTTTTTTTTGCCTGGTTGCAGGAGTTGGTGGCGTTGGGTCTCAGTAACACAGTGGGAGGCTTTTTCCAGTGCTATGCTGTCTGCCCCTCCATGTCCAGAAGTCTCATCCAGGAGACTACTGGAGGGAAGACACAGGTGAGTAAGCATCAAAAGACATTATAAATACTGTGAAATCAGTAAGCGAGAGTGGTACGGTGAATATCTGACCTTAATCAGGATAAAAAAGAAGACATGGAATTCAAACTACCCACTGAGCATTTTTTGGTCTAAAAGAGGTAGCCTAGATGACTGGTCTAAAATCAGGCTACCACAGGTCTAAAAATGAACGTTTTTCAGGCATCTAAATTTAGACCAAGTTTAGACTGGCTGGGTAACAGAGGTCTAACTGTATTTTGCCCAACAGCTATCATAATAATTTTGGTTAAGTACTTGGAGATCAGTTATGTAACTCACAGTTGCTTTTTGAAATAAATAGTTATTGTATAATGGGTTAAAGTGCAACGTCTAAATTATGTCTAAAAATAAACAGAATCTAGACGGTTGAAATTTGGTCTAAAAAAAAAAATTAGACGTCTAATAGCCGTCTATTGCTCAGTGGGTTTGTTCAACTATGGTGAAATAATCAGCCTAGGTAGATAATTGGTCAACCCTATTATATTCTAATGTCCTTTTTTTAAGCAATGCTTGTGTCATTAGTGCTGGAGAAAGTTTGTTATACTCATAAGGGCACCTCTGAAAGATTTAAAAATTGAAAATTAACTTTCGTTTAGTCAAGCTGCTTGCCTATAACAGACTTCGTCCTCCAAGCTGAACTCAAATATTTAATTGAAACAATATCATTTGTGTTGTTCTTGCAGATGGCCGGAGTTGCCTCAGCGCTGGTCGTGTTGGTGACAATACTCAAACTGGGACCTCTATTCCAGGAGCTGCCAAAGGTTTGATAACTCTTCATCTGTCTTTGCTGTGGAATTACTCACAGTTATGAAATGAGATTTATTTTTTTGTTTGTGATAAAACATGTGTGCTTGGTTTAGGCTATCCTGGCAGTGATTGTCTTTGTGAACCTGAAGGGCATGTTCAAGCAGTACTCTGACATACCTGCACTGTGGAAAAGTAGCAAGATCGATCTGGTAGGTTTTAATCCCCAACCTAACAAGAAACTGTTAAACTGTCATTTTTATTTATCTGTCAATTTAAGAAAAGACATTTCTGTTTCCTGTTTCTCATTTCCCCCCAGGTGGTTTGGTTGGTCACTTGGGTGTCAACAATGCTGTTTAATCTGGATTTAGGTTTGGCTGCATCCATCACCTTTGCTCTGCTCACTGTAATTTTCAGAACTCAGATGTAAGAATCCTCTGAACCTTGTCATCGTCTACCTCTCATTAAAATAACATTTTAAACTAGGTCTGTAAGACTGGACGAATTACTGCACACAAACATTTTGCACCTGTAATCTTTTTTCTATTTCTGTTTTTGTAAACAGGCCAACATACTCTGTTCTGGGAAATGTTCCAGGAACAGAGCTGTATGTGGATATAAACACCCACAGAGAGGTAACAGTGAAAGATAAGAAGCCAAATTTAAATGGCTTTTGACTTTTATTTAAAACAAATAATGTTTTTTTTGCTGTTTTGCAGGCAAGAGAAATTCCAGGTGTAACTATATTTCGCTCATCTGCAACCGTTTATTTTGCAAATGCTGAGCTTTACCTCGAGGCTCTGAAAGACAAGGTTTGTCAACTTTCCTTTATACACTTTTAATTTTCTTAATTTTATACTTTTATCCACAATTATAACTTTATTTTAAATTTCTTTTCAGAGTGGGCTTGACATCAGTAAAATGATCATCTATAAGAGAAGACAGGAGGCCAAGCAGAAACGTAGAGAAAGGAGGGCACAGAGACGAGCAAAGAGGCAAGCTGAGAGAGAGGTAATGTGCTGGAAACAGACAAAACAACAAAAGCAGAATTTACCAAAGAAAGACTGCAGCTAATGTTTGGTTGTGGACCTCGATGCTCCTTACGTACCGAGTAAATAGAAATAGACACCAACTTCCTGAGTAAATATGAAGCTGAGTTATTTCTACTTTCACGCTGGACAGTGCAGGGTGATAAAAAAAAATAGAAAATACTCCAGTACTTTGCAGAAGTTGAATTGTTTCTTTATCTCACCACTCAGCTGAGACGAGCTCAGAAGGTGGCTAAAAAGCTCCCTGCAGCTCCAGTGTTCTCTGTGGAGGAGGAGGCCAAAACCTGGGGAGACATGGGTATGGGAGATGTGGAGGATGAGCAGGACTGGACTGAGAGGGAGAATGGGACAGTGTTTGTCATCCCAACTACTCCTCGAACACCAGATGGTCAGTGTAGATGGGAATACCTGAAAGGAGGAAACCCAGACTGCACCAGTTTAGGGTGGATGTCTGAGCAGGATGGGGACACCACCACTCTGGGCTCCAGCAGTGACGACACGTTGAGCCGGGACCTGGACCGGGTCTCTCTTGGGTCTCTGGGGAAGTGGACATGGGACATACACTCCATAATCATTGACCTCTCCACGGCTAACTTCATTGACACAGTGGCTTTAAAGACTATAAAAAATGTAAGTGATAAAGGGATAAGAAAAATGACTTTTCCTCAAATGAAGCTACTTACATTATTTTTACTTTAGGCTTAAAACACTGACATGTAGATAGTTTTTCTCTGACAGTTTCATTATCCCTGAAGGTTTAGTGCAAAGGAAATTATTGGGCTTATTTACTGTATGTTATAACCATCAGCTGAGTATGAAATGTGAAAAAAAAGACTTGCAAAATCAAAACAGCGGTTACAATAAGGAAGAACTCTCACATATATCCATTATATTGCCAGATTTTCCTGGATTTCAGTGAGATTGATGTAAATATTTACCTGGCTGGCTGTCAAGGTAAGTAAATACATTTTCATTTCCTTGAGGCTTGTAGGCTTTACAAACAGCCGGCTTCATCCTTGCTTCCTGTTTTCCCTCCAGCCTCTGTGGTGGAGCAGTTTGAGCGAGGAGACTTCTTCTCCGAGACAATAACAAAGAGACGCCTTTTTGCCTCAGTCCATGATGCTGTGCTGTACTGCCTGAACCACCATGGTGCCACGTTGTTCCCCAGATATGAGCCCACAGGGGTGAGTGTGTACTGTTCAGCCAACACTTCATTTGGTAGGAATAAACATGCCCCGTGTAGCTGCCTGTTTGTTCTCAGATAGATAATAGTCAGGTATGAAAAATCCAATCAAAAATGGGCTAATACAAGTCTAAAAGTACTCATGAATAAACTCCAAAATTGTCATTTAAGCTTAAAAAATGTCTAAAATCTTTTTGATTTTAGGACACAAACGACAGCACAAAACTTTAAAGGCTACAACTAACAGAAGATGGAGCTTTGAGGATGGAAAATCGCCAATTCTTCCAGGGGGATTATTCACATTTCACTGATCACATATTTCAGTATATTTCTCTGATTTTAATGTTGAGTTATGTGTTATTTATACATCTGTAGAAGGAGGATAAGGAAGACTAATTATCTTTAAATTTTATTAAGTGTAGGAGAGTGATACAGTGCAGCCTAAAGGAAAATCAATCAATCAATAAATAAAAGGAGACATTCCAATATCACCTTTTGAACAGCATTCTGTCATAAAATCATTATATAAATTCAAGGAACAACGACAAGGCAACATGCATCACACTGACGGTGTGTGAGCCTCTTTTTGGTCATGGTAGCAACAACAAAGAGAGACACTAAAATGATTACAGCAGCCATGTCCATTTTCAAGTGCAATTTTTGCTCAAAGCTTCAGCAAAACCTGTGAAGCTAATGCATGCAAAGGATTGTCTCAAGTCTTTCCATGAATTTCTAGTGCAACAATCCTTTGATGGGAAATTATTACAATTAGCAGACTAATGAAAAATAGACAGGATAACGATATTCAAGCTAAATTAAACAACAGCATCTCTTTACAGTTGCATAAATCCCCCGTGACCTCGTTCCCTGAATAAATCTTGTCTCTACATACTGGTCACAGGGGTGTTGGCAAAAAAGTTGTGCACAGGACTAAGGAATGCTAGGTAGATCTTTTTTTTATAAATATAAATTTGGTTTATGAGCTACAAGTCTTGATGGACATCAGAATTCTTGGTGTCTGGGTTCAGAGTAAGACCTTCGTCATCCTCTTCCTCCTCTTCAGGCTGCTGTGAAACCAACTGCTGGTAGTGAGCCTGTCGCTGGTAATCCGGATCGATGTTGATCCATTTATTGGCGACCCACTTAGTGCCATGTGTCACCACACAGCCTCCATGCAGGGCATATTCATCCTGCTCTCCCACCCAGCCTATGAGGGGAAACAAGAGCTCAGTGCTGTTGACCTCCACATCATTCTGTATTTTTAAAGCCTACAAGATGAGCTGAATTAGCAAAATAATCTGACTGTATTTATTTCTTTTCACCAGACTTGCAAAAAGCCCCTTGGGATGTTAAATTAGGTCCACCACATTGATACAAAGTAGACCATGGCTTCCCCATTCGCCTTTAGTGCCAGTAGCAAGCTCTGACATACTTATCTGCTCAAAGATAATGAATAAGCATTAGCCAGATGGGAGTGTTAACATGAGCATGGGTGCACCAATGTGCCAATGTCTAGCCTAACAGCTGCTAGTTTTGTTATAGCTGGGTTTATCTTTTTTCACACTGCTGTGATTTACATAATTTTTTACTCTTTGCATGTCACATTTTTTAAATTTCACATAAGCATCATATTTTAATAACACAAAAATGTGTTAAAGATGGGGTAGGCAGTTTTTGAGAGAAATCTTGAAAATAAACTCTACCCCTCCTAACCAGTTTTCCCCTCAGCTCCTCCTCTCCCCTCCCTCTCTGTTCCAGCAAGCCCCGCCCACAAACAGACACTCCTGCTCACTGCTATCGTTCCAATTAAATTCAGATATAATGCAGATAAATACTTCAGATAATTGCAAATGGGGCCCAGTCAATGTGAAAGTAAACAGCAGTGGTGCTAATGTAGATGCCAACAGACTACCAGCAAACACAATGTTTGCAGGACTTCTACAACTAGGATAAAGTGACATAGTCCAGGACCTGAGATAAGCGGTTTAGTGGCGCTACAACATGCAGCAGGTCCCGTTTGACAAGAAACACTTCTGTTACAGACACTTGACTTACTTTGTTAAAGCGGTTTACCTGTCCAGCATAAAGGCTACAGGATCCATAAGATCCTGAAGCTTCCCTATCGTTTGTTTCATTGATTATGACCAAGCTTTTTAGCTCTTGTCCGGTCTACCTCCATTTTAAGCACCTGTTAATCTGCCATGGTCTCTGGTATTTACTTTGTTTTCTTGCTTGTGTTGGCAGTCGTGGCCAAAGGAGGATTCAGACAATTTTCCGTACTTTCTGGTTGGTTTCAACTGTCCGATTAGCACGCTAACTTTGTTTGGGCTCGCTTTATTTGAGGACGTGGAGCGTGCCTCACAACTCGAGGGAGCAGCGTCTGCCTCACAACCAATCAAGTTGGGGGAGGTGGAGAATGGCTTTGCTTACGGTCAGAAAGAGCGGAGCGCTCAAAAATGTTAAAATGTTGACTACACAGACATAACAAAACACAGCGATATCGTTATATTACCAAATGTCATCAATGACTAATAGCTATTGACTGGTACTGACGCTTTTTTGTATATACACCACCAAATAGATGCTTCTTTAACTGAATCCCGTCTACCCACCTTTAAAAGTGTATGTTCTTTAATGGAGACACAGGTTATTAAATGAATAGTTGCTCATTTGCCTTTCTCTTGCAACCACGTGTTTAAACTGTTGTGTAGTTGAACTCCTACCTCTCCCATCAGACAGATAGTTGTACCAGAAAACAGCTGTTCCTTTGGTAGGCTTCACCCTCAGGTTACTCTTGTCACAATTCCTCCTGGTGTCCATCAGATCGATGTCGTTCTGTATGAGAGACTGAAACACACAACCGGTCTCAGTAACGCACTGTTTTTCGTCAGGCCCACATTCCAGCTGACAAAGACGTGAGTTAACACAGATATGAAAGACATGCACAGAGTGTACACAGTACTTTTACAGGGCTCCCTGCACACACTCCTAGACCCACACACAGTTACGCACCACTTCATCATAGGTCCTGTTGTCTGCCACAGGGAATGCGGTCTCCCCACCCCCCTCAACAGAGTTCAGGTAGAAGAGAACTGTGATGTACCTGGGTGTGCAACACAGATTTAAATTGACACACACACGTATGGTGCAAACACGAGAGGACACTTTGAATACAAGTGGCAAGCACACATATTCTTCAAAGTTCACGATGTGGAGTCACACAAACTAACATGCCAGCTGTCACAATGAAGTGTTAGGTTTAGTAATCACACAAAGAAAGGTGATTGAGCAGTCCTGTCTACATGAGCGCCGTGCGGCCACAGTTCCCTCACCTGCAGGATGTCTCAAAAGGGGTTGAGGTGTTCGCAGCGAGTCGTGTGTGTGTGCACGCTGTCTCGGGATACACTGGGCCACTGTCATGGTGGGCGTGGTAGTGTCCTCCTTCTTCATAGCGAACCACCTGAAGAGGCTCACTGAGGTCAACCAATGAGGGCGGAAGCCGAGTTAGGCGAGTCACCCTTTGTTAGAGAAAGGGAAAAGTTGGAGAACCCAGGGGAAAAATATTTCTTTTTTTTGTCTTTTCGTGTTAAAGGAAAATTCCGGTGTAATATTAATTTAGTAACAACCGCACGATAGCAATACACTTTATAATCATTACTATATCATAGTGCTGGACGATAATTCGATAACAATATATATCGATCGATAGACGTGTGGTGCGATAGAAAAAAAACGGGTCGATAAAAAGTTCGATAGAAAAACACAGTTTCCCTTTCTTTTTCATCATAGCCTATCATGTAGCTTTTACTACAGTCATTACTTCCTCCCAACCAATCACAAACGCAGACCCAGGTATGCTACGGCACCAAGCCCAGCCCTTACCAAACCACAACAGACAGCACGTGTATTAGAAAAAATGATACAGCAAGGAGAAGCGGAGGACAGTGTCCCGAAAAAAGGTTTCAGTAGTTCACCAGCATGGCAATGTTTTGGTTTTTAGAAGTCTGACAAAAAGCGAACAGCGGTCGTTTGCAAAATTTGCAGAGAATTAGTAAAAACCAAGTCTGGTAACACAACCGACTTGTTTTACCATCTAAACCGGTCGCACCCGCAGGAGTACGAGCTGTGTCGGCCGCGCCGCGGCTCCACGTCGTCGTCGGAGGAGGAATCCTCTGGAACCGCTGCCAGCACCAGCACAAAGCATGTGAAGCCGACCAAACTGGACTTCGTTTCTTGTCAAAATACGACAAAGCGTCCGAGCGGCATAAGGACATCACCCATGCAGTAACATGCTCCATAGCGAGGGACATACTGCCAATAACTACCGTTGAAAAGCCTGGCTTCGACCAGCTTCTAGCCACTCTCGACCCGCGATATGAAGTGCCCGGCCGCAAGTATTTCTCAAACACAGCGCTTCAGGCATGAAAATGGGTCAGGGGTTGAAAATGTGAGAAGGGTGCGGAGGAAATACGTTCAAATGAGCTCATATTTTACAAAGACGCGAGTATTTGGATCATGGCTACTAGCAGGGGGTGCATTCGGCAGGGGTGCATTCTACGACACAACACCGGCGTGGATAAGTCCTGCTTCTCGTGCTTAGTTTGTGTATTAAGTCAATCACATGATAATTAAAAAAAATAAATCTCCCGACCCCGGGAGAAATATTTCAGTGTTCAGACACCAGGCTGTGGGCAGTTTCTCACACAGTTAAAACTGGTAGTATGCTATTCCCACCTAAAGCTATTCTGTTTATTTATATATTTGTTTGTTTTGTTTATTTTCATCAAAAGACTATTTAAATATTTATTTATCAGATTTTCTGGTCACTTTAGTCTTTATGTTTGTCAGTATTTACTGACGTCACTCAGGCCACTTAAGTTGATTTTTTTTTTTTAGTTCCTTTTTAAAAAACTTTCAGTTGTGGTAAAATAAAAAAAGTGGTTGAATAAAGGTTGTGTGTTCTTTATTAAAAGTAGGTCATTAAGCAATAGCATAAAATATCCAGGGCTGCAATTAAAATATATGTTAAATAATTATAATAATTATATCGATAATTATCGATATCGATCAATATGATTTATTTTTTATCGATATGCTTTTTTTCTATATCGTCCAGGCCTACTATATCATTTCCTTAATCGTCATATTAATCATTTTGCACTGCAGACGCTGTAGTTCTTCTGCCTTAGCGTCTCGGTCTGATTGCATTTCCATTAAGAAATAATCCTAAATGTTCTTCCTTGAGCTGCGTCACCCCGCAGCAGTCCGTAATGGACTGGCCCGAGGTCTTGCTACAAACAAGCAGCTACTGGAAGAGAGTAGGTGAGCTCTGTTTAGTCTCTTTGCTAAAGAAATTAGACAAAGTTAAAAAGATGCTTGATGGCTATTTGATGAAGTTAGGTGCTGTTCTGAGCATTATTTGTGGCTATAGAGTGGCGTTTTGGTGGAGGTTTGTTTATGGCTCCTTAGACCACTGTGTATTGCAATCCTGCCGCCATACTCAAGTTGGTATAACTAGAGAAGCAAGCGGTCGGCAACATTCATGTCTCAACGGGTTGGCGAACTCTGTGTTACGGTGTGTTTGACCATAAATTAATTTTATGCCGGAATATCCCTTTAACGGCAAATCAGATTATACAGTTTAACTGTATTACCTGGTCTTTATGTCCTGGAGGACCTGGTGTGCTCCTTTGCCTTGGTACAGCCATGTGTGTCTGCTGTTTCTCACCAGCTGACTCCTTTTCACGCCTTGCTGCATCAGGAAGCGCTGGAAGGCATCACTGCTAAGAAGTCTGAACTCCTCAAGACTTAGCAAACCTGTCCAAAATATGAGCAGAGAAATGTTATACTACTAGTTATCTTAAAAGTAAACTCTTTAGCTCCTGCACAAAGTAGTTTTAGTTAAACCCTTTTAATGTGATGTTTTGCTTTTTCTTACCATTACCATCCTTGTCAGCTTTAAGCCCGGCATAGATTTCTCGCAGATTCTCCGGTGTGAGCCAGATGCCGTCCCTCACTCGAGAATGAGTCAGTATCTAGCCATAATAGTAAAATACAAGCATGAATTGACTAATTCTGACCAAAAATCAAAAAGGACGTGTAGACAAACACTTGAGCCTGTTTGCTCACAGTCCACAAACTGACATACACCTCATGAAGCTGCAACTGTCCATCCTGGTTGATATCCAGTAGGTTGAAGATCTCCTCTGGGCTCAGGTTGAGCTCCTTGGCCAGCTCTTCCTGTCCTTCTTGCACCATCAGCTGGCTCTCCATGAGACCTTTAAGCTGCGCAAGCTGCATCACAACACGACACTCATCCTCTGACAAAAAACCAGGAATCTCTGCAGAAAACAGAAATAGATGTTTACATTTCTCCTCTATCACAAGTCTATGTTCTCTACATTTCTACACTTGACCTTCAGCTGCTCTAGTTTTATGTTGACAAAAGCTTGTTAATGACTTTCCTGTACAATATCAGTAATAATTCACACATTTATGTAGGGCTGGTGATAAAACGATAAGGATATATATATAAAATTAATGCATTGCAAAAGACATGCTACCAATAAACATTGTTAAATTTAATTTTTTAATCAACTGATATGAAATTTTTTTTTTATAAACTTTTCCCCATATCGCCCAGCCCTACATTTATGTAAATAATCATTTTGAAAGAATTCCTCAGCATGATTTTATCACATTCACATACTGTATTATTAAATATGGAAACACATAGGTTATCACATCATCTCTTTTTGGACAATAAAACAGACCATAACAAACACCCACCTATACGCAGTCATATTTTTATTTCACTTGCACTAATGTTGAATTTTAGTTTGCAGACCCAATGCTGCCATGTGAAACCATTAATATTTACTGTGAATAATCCATACAAACTTGTTTTTCCTTGCACCAAACCTGCTAGAGTCTAAAGAGGGGGGTATATTTTAATTGCTTTTCCATATCAAAATGTTTGGTAGGGGAGACCTAGCCTGGCTGGGCCATCCTGTTGCGTGAGTCACTTGACGTTCCTTCCCACCACAGTCTGGACTTCGGCCCATTGGAAGCCCTGAAAGTGGGCGGGAGTACTTTCCTTGATAGACAGACCACTGTAACCAATCACCGTAACCAAGCATCTGACATCAGCACAGATGCTTGGTTACGGTGATTGGTTACAGTAGTACATGGACCAATCAGGGGCTGCCTTTCCCTGTTGTCCGGGTAACAGTGGAAACACGGTCTCTGATTGGCCCGGTTATTTTCTGATCGGGCATACACGCTCTCTATGGGCCGAAGTCCAGACTGTTGTGGGAAGGAACGTCAAGTGACTGACGCAACAGGATGGCCCAGCCAAGCTAGGGGAGACCGGGGCTTGTTGTCACACTTTTTACACTCTTGTATTTTTCTTGAAATTAATACATCAAATACAAACAAAATGTGTACAACATGAAAGACCAAAGTCTCAGGTTTATATTTCGTATTCATGTCATTTTCATATCTTGTGTCAGTGCAGAGTTATAAGCAATCAAATAGAGAGTGTGAACATGTGACATGTTGCCTCACCATCGGTTAAGTTGTCTCAGTACATGGGGTAAGATGTCACAGTTGATTTGCAGCTAATAAAACAAGGACAAAATTAGTGTTGTTCTCATTTTTTTACTTTAAAGTCAACATCAAAGTCAGGCACAGAAAATGTTTATCGTTGAGCTAGAAAAGTAATTTAACAAACGTTAACATAAAATATTATGCAACGTGCTCTGGAGTTTGGAGAGCTGTCTGACTCTGTATTTCAGCTGGGGTGAATGTTTTGCAGTACAGAGCTTACAAGGTATGGTAGTTGACATTAAAGTCCTTTATTGTCCTCCAGATTGATTTATTAGCTCGGGTCACCTGTCTGACTGCTCTCAGCATCACGTCAGGAACTGCACTGTCATGTTTAGTGTTTCTTTCATAAATCCTGACCATATCTTCTTGCTTTAAAGCACTCTTTTCTCTGTAAAAATAGAGTCAAAATTTCAATGTGACAACTGCTGATAAACAGACGATCGATGTTAATTTTAATCCCTTTTAAACATGTGACAATTCACCCCAAATAACATGTTGGCCCAAACTATCATGTCTGCTAATTCTAGCTCTAGTTTAAAATTATCTTAAACCAATGACTGAGGTATGACAGGATGCCTTAATCTCTCCTCTAACAATCCACATTTATCACTGCTGGGATTTTTATCTGGAAGAAGCTTATTTCAAAATATATTAAGTTATTTTTTTTACTTTGGGTTGTGCGAAATGCTTAATTGTTGCTCATCTCTGCTCACAATGTGCTCTTCTCTTCTCAGACAGGACACGACCCCTGACCATGTAAAGGAAGAAAACTAGTATTCCACTTTTTAGTTGCGCCCTCTGGTGGCAAAGATAACTGCAATGTGACAACAAGCCCCGGTCTCCCCTACCCTCTTTTGCACGTTTCATTGCATGTAATGACTAAATCTGTTTGCTGCATTTTAGTCAGTCAGCCCTTTAATTGGATGTGACATGCAGAGGGAGGCAGTTGCCCCAGGGCTTAAAGTAGTTTCATCAAATGTATTGCGTTTACACACACATGCACTATATGTTATGATGCAGTGGAAGTATAAGAATAAAGTGTAAGAGTGTAGGTATGTTTACATTTGTTGGATAAAGAAACCTGTTTGGCCACTAGAGGCTGGTGTGGGTGTGCTGCAGATTTGTTCAGTGGATCTTTGGTCTCTCACCAAACAGAAGAGGTTTCATACTCAGGGTCCGCATCTCGTGCACTTTCCCTGGCACTAGTGACAGCTTCTGCACGTGTCCCACCTGAAAAACACACAAGAGAATCGGTTTGTGTGTATGAGTGTGTGTGGGAGACAGACCGAGAAACAAATCACAGAGTAGGAGACGAGTATCATGATTCAACTCACTCGTATTCCTTCGACTCTTGTCAGGGAAACATCACGCAGAAAGTCCGTTTTTGATGGCGGACGTCCCGACTCGGTGCGCCGATGGTCACCGCGGGGTGCATCACGACTCCGGTTGTCATCTCCCTGCCCACTGCTGTAGTGCACGTAGAGTAGCAGCGCAATAACATTAATGATGTAGACGTGAAAAAACACCATCACCACCACGAAGTAGGAGCGGGAGCACACGCTGCTCTTATGGCAGGGGAGACGCTCGCAGGGCGGCCGGAGCGGCAAGGTCGCGCCCCCGGACGGACTATCCTCAGCATCAGGGGTTTCCTGGTTATCAGTCATTTTCCGACTCCCTCTCCTCCGCAGTAAAGTCCATTTGATTTAATACGCGCTGGGAGAAACACACATGCAAATCAAGAGGATTTTAAAGGAGGAGATCAAACCAGCTCCTCCACTCCATGGTGAGGGTAACTGCGCACGAACAAACCCATGGTGGATCCGTGATGAAACTATGCTCGTTGAAGGCGAAAAGTCAACTACCATTGGTACCACGCTGTTACGTTTTCGCCTACAAACAGCAGCGGCGCTGCAGCCTCGGACAGTCTTGTTTACACTGCAGCAGTCCCAGTTGGCAGCGGCTGCAGAGCGCACTGCGCATCCCAATCCACGGTGGGGGAACCCAGACCATAAACCCGACCCATCATGAGTGTCGACGGCTGAGAGCCATCATCAGCCTTTGAAAATGAATTCACCAGACCTGCAAAAACGATGAAGACAACGGTCTGTAGTACATGCTGCTGTTAACACGCCATGTTAAATGACAGACTCAGACCGCAGAGCGCACAATGCTGACCTCTGGTGACCCGAACTCATAACACAGTCCTGTCTTAATGCTATGAAGTCAAAAGCAGTGCAGCTGAATTTCTCCTGCATTTTTATTCTCTACAATGGACTGAGTAACAGTAACAGCCCACTCAGAGCAGACCCTGAGTCCAGAGAGTGTGCCCACACTCTTGCTGGTGAGCAGTGAGCTTCACTTGTGAATTTAGTCTTTTATTTTTCCTTTAAGCCAAAATGTTTTTAACTTTTATATCTGGTTATTATTTCATGTTTTTGCATGATGCTGGTACATTAGACAGTGACATCTTTTTGAACGGTTTTATGAACAGAAATATTGCTTGAATTTAACTGTCTTAAATTTTCTAAACTGTTTCATAAACTGGCAATTATTCAATAAATGGCTTTGTAAATAACCCTTTTCCCCTTTAAATCACCCCTAGAGTCAGTATTTATAAATAAGCTCTTTAAAAAATGTATTTCACAACTTTTTGTGTATCAGTTGTAGGGGAGAGTGGGGTAAGATGAGCCATTTTTCATATTTCAAGGCATATCATAGTTCTGTCTCTAACTGTATCTGCATATATTTCAAGATGTTGTTCATCCCTGCAAACCAACAGAATGAGTGTAAATATAACTGTCTTGATAATATTGCATGCCTCCCTCACTTCTCTCTCCATAAATAACAGTCACTTCTTCACATTCATGTTTATTTTTATCTATTATACGTGATTCAACTGGTACAATAATTCTTTTCATTATTATTGCATATAGCTGCTAAAAAGCTGTTTTGTAAAAAGCCATTTTAACATGAGAATGTCTTGAAGTGATTCAGAACATTCACAGCTGTATTTTAGAAAAGAAAAAGTAAAACATTTCAACAATCTGAACTGAAACTCTGATCCTCTCATCAGACTCCTTTACTTTCTCAGTTGAACCACTGGCTCAACTTACCCCAGAACTACTATGATGACTTTATTAGTTATTACTTTAACTCTAAAAGAAAACCAGAAAGCGTACTCTAGCGTAGGCTTTTCTTCAGTGAACATCAAGTTTTTCCAGTCGTAAGGTCAAGCCTGTTTGTCTCCTGCTGATCATCAGCACCTGAAGGGTTCAGTTTCCAGATCATCACACAGGGAAATGCAAATTTAAGCCCTCCAAGACTTTCAGATATTTCATGTTGCAAGCTTGCTATTCTAAAGTAAAAATACAGACACCATTTAGATGCTTTCAGCTGTCTACTTTTATTGAAAACCATACTTCACATGCTAGAGTGAACCAGTAACAAGAAGCTCATATTGTATGACTTCTAGTCACGAGTCCTCATGGATTTCTTCTTCACTCTTCTGCCTCCTTGACCTGAAAGACAAGAATGTTGACTTGTAAGAAATGTTCTCATTTGATCAATACTCTGAAGATGGATATCCAGAGTAAATCATTTCTACTACTTGTTTTCTCTAAGGTTTTCCCTTACCGTCACCTTGACGATTTCGCGACTCTTTGCCCTCAGTTTGTTGACCTGGGACTCAGCGATGTCAGCACGCTCCTGAGCTTCCTCCATCTCATGCTGCACCTTCCTGTACCTGGACAGGTGAGTGTTGGCCTGCTCCTCCTGTATGATAACCCACAAAGACGTGAAGACCCGCAGACTGATACAACAGAATATGTGTGATTTTGAGAATCGTTTGTACTTACGGATTCCTCGGCCTGCCTCTTGTAGGATTTGACTTTCAGCTGCAGCTTGTCAACCAGATCCTGAAGTCGGGCAATATTCTTCTTGTCCTCCTCAAACTGTCATGTTTCAGTGATGGTGGAAAATTTGAAAAAACAAACATAAGAGTACCTTAGAACTGTTTCCATCATCATAGACAGGTTTTTATTTCAGTAAATATTACATTAAGTAGCTTGAGTTTCAATTGGTTGGATAGAAGTTTACCTGATAGGTGAGCTCCTTCACTCTCCTCTCATATTTGCGCACTCCCTTGATTGCCTCAGCACTACGCCTCTGTTCAGAATCAACCTCAGCCTCCAATTCACGAACCTTGAAAGATGACAAAGCTTTCAGTTTGTTTACATTGCCAGGAAAAAAAGTCTTGCGATAAATCTGAAGAGGTACCAAACAACATTTACCCTGGCCTCCAGTTTCTGGAGCTGCTTCTTGCCTCCCTTCATAGCCAGATTCTCAGCTTCATCAAGGCGGTGCTGCAGATCCTTCACCGTCACCTCCAGATTCTTCTTCATCCTCTCCAAATGAGCACTAGTATCCTGCTCCTTCTTCAGCTCCTCTGCCATCATGGCGGCCTAAATGTTGAATTTTATATGAAAAGTTATGATAGTGTAATGGTTTTAGTAATCAAGCACAAAAAAACCCCATACAATTTGGCATGTCGACTGTTATCTGTCAATAAAGAAGAGAACTCACATCAGTGATGGCCTTCTTGGCCTTTTCTTCAGCGTTTCTTGCTTCCTGAACAGAATCTTCCACTTCACCCTGGACCTGGATGAGGTCAGCTTCCAACTTCTTCTTTGTGTTGATGAGGCTGGTGTTCTAAACCAATCACACCTTTGGTTACATGCATTGTTTTACAGTGATCAGGTGTTGATCACATCATTTCAATCCTCGATTACCTGAGAGTGCAGCAGCCCCACACGCTCGCTGGCATCTACCAGCTCCTGCTCAGCTATTTTGCGGCTCCTGTCGGTCTGCTCCAGAGCAGATCTCAGCTCCTCAATTTCAGCCAGCATCAGGTTGTTCCTGCGCTCCACCATGGCAACCTGCTCCCTCATTTCCTCCTGACCTCTGATAGCTTCATCAAGGTGCAGTTGGGCATCCTAAATAAATAATAAAACTCTCTTTGCAGTGCATTCTGAATGAAATCAACTTTGCCAGCTTGTGTTTTGTGTGACATGCTGCAATACCTTCAGCTGTCCTTGCACGTTCCTCAGCTGTTTCTGGGCCTCAGCAGCCTGACGGTTGGCATGGCTCAGCTGAATCTCCATCTCGTTGAGGTCTCCCTCCATCTTCTTTTTGATTCTCAGGGCATCATTTCTACTTCTGATCTCGGCATCCAAAGTGCTCTGCATGGTGTCAATCACTCTCTGGCTGTTCCTCTTGATCTGCTCCATCTCCTCGTCCTTCTCGGCAAGTTTTCTGTCAATTTCACTCTTGACTTGGGTGAGCTCAAGCTGAACACGAAGGATCTTGGACTCCTCATGTTCCAGGGTTGCCTTGAGAATAGAGAATAAACAAATGTTGTGGCTCCAGCATCACTTTAAATTCTCTTCGATTATCAACAGTTCATTGTCAAACAGTACCTCTGCCTCTTCAAGTGAAGTCTGGAGTTCCGTCTTCTCGATCTCTATGGTCTTCTTCGCCTTCTCCAGTTCATGGATAGTTTTCCCAGTCTCACCAATTTGTTCAGTTAGATCAGAAATCTCCTCTGTAAGGAATGATTATTGAAGAAGCTGAATCAATTTTCTAAATGTTAAACACTGAACTATGTATTAACACTTGCATACTCCTAAAGTGGTCTGCTATTTTAATGTGATGTTGGTTGGAAATGGAAACCCAAGAGAGGGTAAAACTGTTGACTCACTAGGGGGCACTATCGCTCTGTCCTACTTTTTCCAAGAGTGGGTCATTGAATGGTAATCAATTATAAATTCTAAAAAATCCTTCACAATTAAATTTCTGTCCATTCCTCTATTAGTTTTTTTATTTGAGATTTTGTAGTTTTAAAACTTTGCATACGTTGTAGATTTTTGTTCTCCCTCTTCAGGGTCTCCAGCTGGTCCAGAGCCTCTTCATATGAATTCTTCAGCTTGAACATCTCGGTGCTCAGAGAACGGGCTTCTTTTTGAGATCCCTCAAGCTCTGCTTGGCATTCCTCATACTTCTGTTTCCACTCTGCCAGAACCTAAAACATGAGAAGACCTCTGAGTGTTATTTAGCCATAATCCATCACTACTCAACGTATGAACTTGTTGCATCATTAACATCTGACCTTGTCAAAGTTCCTTTGCTTCTTGTCCAGACTTGCAGCCAGAGCGTTGGCTCTCTCTACATCAATCATGAGATCCTCCACCTCACCATGAAGTCTCTGCTTAGTTTTTTCCAGAGAGGCACATTTTGCATTTACAGCCTCAATGGATTCCTCTGCATCCTGAAGACGCTGGGCGAGCTTCTTCCTGTTAATAACACATGATACGTTGACAGTGTAACATTTATTTCCTTCAGCAGAGGTGGTTGACAGGATTGAAAATTTTTAATGGCTTACTTTGCCTCCTCCAGCTCCTCAGTGCGCTGAATGGCATCAGTCTCATATTTTGCCCTCCACTGAGCCACTTCACTGTTAGCCTTGGACATTGCGCGCTGCAGCTCAGCTTTGGCCTCCTGCTCCTCCTCATACTGCTCTCTGAGCAGATCACAGTCATGGCGAGATGACTGAACAGCATGAGCCAGGGCATTCTTGGCCTTTCAAAGAAATAAAGACAGTGTTTTTAATGTTCATTCACCTTAACCATAACCGTTGAACCCAAGAGTGTAATAAGATCTGCAGTTCTGTCAGTGTCTGTAGTGTGAACCTACTTTAACTTCCTCTTCAATGTGCCTCCTGAGCTCCTCGGTCTGCTGGGTAAAAGCCTGCTTGCTTCGTGTCAGCTGAGAGATGAGGGCTTCTTTTTCCTCCAGCTGGCGAGAGATTTCACCTTGAAAGAGAAATCAAGTTTGATATGTGCTTCATATTGTAAAGAAGATAATAAAATTTTACAAGAATCAAAGTAAGAGTCATCTCAAATATATGTTTTCAGTACCATTCTCAGTCTGTAGTCTTGCCCTTTGTACTCCAACGTCATTCAGCTGTCGCACATGCTCATCATTTTTAGTCTTCAGTTCGCTCAGTTGATCCTCAAGTGTTCGACACATTTTTTCCAGATTGGTCTGAAATGAACAAAATTTGCATTGATCCCAATTAATGCAATATATAGTCTTATTCATGAGAATGAGACCAAGAATTTTTCAATTTTGATCTTCTGCTCAAGCAAGTGAACCATACTTCACCTTGGCTTTGGCCACAGCCTCCATGTTGCTCGTAAGGTCATCAATCTCCATCCTGTATTCACTCTTCTCTTTCTCCAGCTTCTGTTTGACTCTCTGGAGGTTATCGATCTGTTCTCCCAGCTCTGCCACGCTGTCGGCCTGCTTCTTGCGGAGGGCGGCAGCAGTGGCCTCATGCTGCAGGGTGGACTCTTCCAGGTCACGGCGCAGCTTCTGAAACTCGGCCTCACGCTTCTTGTTCATCTCAATCTGCACCGATGTTGCTCCACCAGCTTCCTCAAGCCTCTCGCTGATCTCCTCAAGTTCCCTGGAGAGATCAGACCTCTGCTTCTCTACTTTGGCCCGAGCAGCACGCTCAGCTTCGATCTCCTCTTCCAGCTCCTCAATACGAGCCTGAAATTCACAAAGTTAGGTTAAAGTTGTTCATGATTCTTTTATGTTCCAACTGCCTCTGAGTAACACCTAGAAATCACACCTGAAGCTCCTTTATCTTTTTCTGGAGCTGGATACTAAGACTCTGCTCATCTTCAATCTTGCTAAGAAGTTGGCTTGTTTCAAAGTCCTTCCTGTGAAGAGGCAAAATTTCAAAAGCATTATTTCCAGCATTGATTTAATCTCAAAGTAAGCAAAGGCAATGGTTGTATTTCCTGAAGGTCTATGATTACTAAAGGTACATTTTAACACAAAGAACCAGTTCTAGTGTTTTAAAACATCTTTGTTGAAGGTCTCCACAATTTTCACAATCAAGTATGCTCCTCGGCAAGAAGAAATCTGGATACTGTATGCTAAAAGAATAAATTTTAGTCCAATATTTGCTGATTTGAATTACACTCACTTCTTTAATTTCTCCTCAGCCTGCTGCTTGTCATTCTCTAGATCCATGATGGTTTCCTGGGCCAGTTTGAGATCTCCTTCAAGCTTTCTTTTAGCTCGCTCAAGGTCCATACGGAGCTTCTTTTCTTGTTCCAGGGAACCTTCAAGCTGTAAAAACCCACATGAGGTGTCATAAGTTGTTCTTAACTTTCAAAGGAACTGAAAAGTTCTTTGCAGTGACCACTCACGTCATCCACTTGTTGCTCCAGCTTAGTCTTAGCCTTGGTCAGAGTGTTGACTTTGTCTTCCTCTGCCTGGAGATCATCAAGGGTCTGCTGATGGGCCTCTTGGAGGGCTTTCTTCTCTTTGGACAACTTGGCGATGGTCTCATCTTGAGAGGCCATTTCTTCCACTAGGTTTTTAACCTTAATAATTGGATTAGGACAGTTATTTAAAAGTTGATCAAAGTAATTTCCTACAAAAACACAATCCAAAATAATGGGATGTGAACCTTGTTCTCAGTGGCATGTTTCTCCTTTTCCACTTTTGCCAGGGTGAGCTCCAAATCATCGATGTCTTTCTTCAACTCAGAGCACTCGTCCTCCAGCTTCCTCTTCTTTGCCGTCAGCTCAGCATTTATTTCCTCCTCATCCTCCAGTCTCTCAGCTGTCTCTTTGACTTTGGCCTCGAGATGGATTTTGGCTTTGATGAGCCCCTCACATCTTTCCTCTGCATCACTGAGAGTTTCCATTTCCTACATTTGATAAGAGATAGCAGTAACATTTACCAAATTGAAAATACTGCACCCCTGCAAAAGGAGTTCCATCTTAGCTGGATACGTACAGATGCAATTTGCAGCTGCAAATCATTTTTCTCCTGAAGGAGAGTAACCATCTTCTCCTCCAGTTCTTTCTTCTTGGCCAAGGCCTTTGCGAGATCCTCTTTGGTCTTTTCGAAGTCCTCTTTCATCTGTGCCATCTCTTTCTCAGTCTCTGCACTCTTCAGCAGAGGCTTAATCTTAAAGTAGAGCTTCATCCATGGCCATGTTTTGACATTCATGAATGAGCGGATGTTGTATTGGATGGAGTAGATGGCCTCCCTTGGATGAACATCAAAGTTGACGTGTATTTAAGTTAACAAACAGCTTTTGTTTTTACATAAATGGTTGCACAATATGAGATTTGTCTGCATTACCTTCTCTCCATCATCTTGACAAACTCTGTTCTCATGAGGAAACCTCTGCAGAGAGCCTGAGTCATTGTGACCAGCTCCGCCAGTTTCTCATCTCTCATCTCCTCAAGAGTACCCAGCAGACCGGCTTTAAAGAACACCTGAAACAAAGAGTTTCTTAACATGATTTGTTACAGGTACTTGTAAATGAAGGGGTAAAAAAACAACAAAGCAGCAATACCTTTGTGTGTCCAAACTTGTACTGAGTGTGGTCAATGCTAATAGAGCCCAAGAGTTTCTCAGAGGCCTTCTTGTTGTCGATGAACTGTCCCTCAGGGATGACGCTGGCATTCAATACTTTGTATCTGGTCAGAAAGAAATTAATTAACAATCCAATAAGTCATCGCAAATGATCAGAGTATATCGGAGTGTATTCGGTAATCGGTAAATACCTCTGCTTGAAGTCACCGTAGAGGATTCTGCTGGGGAAACCTTTCCTGCAGATCCTGATTCCTTCCAGCACTCCGTTACACCTCAGCTGGTGGATGACCAGGAAGTTCTCCATGAGACCTAAAGGACATGCTGAAGTTAGCATCACGTTGAGTCATATTCACATGCATAAATTACTTCTGATATCAAGCTTACCTGGTGTCTTAGATTCATTTGGGATCAGGCAGCGCACAAAATGAGGATGAGTGCTCCTCAAGTTGGTCATCAGCTTGCCCAAATTCTCCTATAAAAGAAATAGATCCATGTTTTGTAATTATGTCAGATTTTTTCTTATACATGATTAAGAAATTGTCCAAATGCTACTGAAGTCATAAGCTTGCCAGTTATTTGTGATGCTCACCCTAAACAAAGCGGATACGGTCTGGAATGACCCACCCTTCTTCTTGCCGGCCTTCTTGCCACCACCACCCTCAGCTGTACCACAAAAATAGATATGAACAGATCAAATACGCAATAGTTCAAACTTTTCTTTTCTATATCTTCGCCACAGTCAAAGTAGTGTGTTTGAGTGAATGGCAAATAAAGCGAAGAAAAATCATCTCCATGTTGTTCTTAGAAACATGATTCTTACCATCTGTTGCAGCATGTGATGCATACAGCAAGGCCAAGAGTTTGGCTGAAGACTTCTGGTAGAGCTGAACAACTGAGTCGTTCAGAGGGTCTTTGTTCTTATCAAGCCAGCCAGTGACATTGTAGTCAACAGTGCCAGCATAATGTACCAGGGAGAAATGAGCCTCAGCTTTGCCTTTGGCCGGTTTGGGTTTCTGGAAGGGAGCACTTTTCCCGATATGCTGGTCGTACATTTTGTTCTTGAAGGTCATGTCTGTTGCCTTGGGGAACATGCACTCCTCTTCAAGGATGGAGAAGATGCCCATCGGCTGTCGTAATGAGATGATTATTTGAAACTAAAATTTTGAAGTCATCGCAGAGTTATCAGGGTTTAAGAACATCAAAAATATCACCCACCTTCTCGATCAGCTCAATGCAGGCAGCCAAATCCATACCGAAGTCAATGAACTCCCATTCAATTCCCTCTTTCTTATACTCCTCTTGCTCCAGCACAAACATGTGGTGGTTGAAAAACTGTTGCAGTTTCTCATTAGTAAAGTTGATGCACAGCTGCTCCAAGCTGTTGTACTAAATCGATAAGAAATCAAAAGTCAGTAAAGGCTTTAAGTGACATGGATTGATGTTGACCTTTTTTATATCAGGCGACAAAAGATGATTCAATAACAGTGAAGCACACTTACATCAAAGATTTCAAACCCAGCAATATCCAGGACACCAATGAAGTAGCTTCTGGGCTGCTTGGTATCCAACATCTCATTAATTCTGACCACCATCCACAAGAACATTTTCTCATAGACAGACTTGCAGAGAGCCATCACCGCGTTGTTGACCTGAGTTTGCAGAAATAATGGTAGATGTTAGTTCTTGCTGTCAGGTGATCATCAGGCTACAGAATGATGAGTCACAGGATTATACAAGTTTTCATAATCTACCTGAGGTACAGTCTGGCCTTTGGTCACATACTCATTCCCCACTTTCACACGTGGGTAACACAGCGCCTTCAACAGGTCAGCTGAGTTCAGACCCATGAGGTAGGCGATTTTATCAGCCACTGAAACAACAAAAATGATCAACTTTAGAACTCTTGCAAACATAACTTGATGACTTGTAAATGAATTTCTAAACTACAGGTACCATCAGGCACCAAACACATTATCATGAGGTTAGAGTTTTATAGTAGTCGTATACCCTCAGTGCCATCAGGCTCAGCCTGCTCTTCACGCTGCTTCTGCTTGAACTTCATGTTTCCGTGATGCATCACAGCTCCAGTCAGCTTGTACATGCTAACTTTCTCCTCTGCAGTGAAGCCCAGAATATCAATAGCAGTCTGTGGAATAAGGGGACGGATTAAAACACATAATGCAAACATCTTTAACGTAATTGTAATGCAGTTCACTACCAAAGCAATAGAAAGAGAGATATTATTTCTATAGTTCAACAAAGCAGTAAATCAAAGCCTTGTTATCAATCCCTCAAAGACAAAGAAAGAACTTAAAAGTGATTAACTTTGAAAGTAGCAGAGACACAATCACTCTGTAACACCCTAATTATTCATTTTCAAAGTACAAAAGTGGACAGAAATGCGTCGTGGCTGTACAGAAATCAGCTAAATGAAAGTGAAATTACATCAGTTGCGACGAATTCTTCAATGTCATCAATACTTTTGACGCTGATTTCACCCTGACTGATCATGTGATAATCGTAGGGATTGGTGGTGATGAGGAGAGCCTCTGGAGAAAAAGACAGAAGGAAGAAGAATTGAAAAGAGTTTTCTTCCACCATTAACCAACCATTGTTGTGCAGTATTGCCAGCTAATAGCAAATATAATTTCTTCGGTTTCATACCTATCAGCTCTGGTTTGTGGCCTGTCATGAGCTGATAGAAGATGTGGTAGCTTCTCTCAGCAGACAGCTGGAAGGTGACTCGAGACTTCTCCAGCAGATCTGGATGGAGCAAAATTTGATAAAATGTCCTTTAAAAAAGCAAAAATCACCCCAGACATCCTGAGTGAACAAAACTAGAAGATTTTTCTGTTCACTCTGATTATAAAAAAGAAATTCCCTTCAGGCGTCAATAAAGTTCTTCTTATTTGATTTATACAATATACTGACCATTGGCTACTTATTCACCATTACTAGCAAATAATTCAGACTCTAATGGCAAAATGCAGTGTCACATCAATAAACACAAAGATTATCCTTGTAAAACTATTTAATCCAAACAGCTTTCACAGATTTTAAAAAATGTTCTTGGGAAAAAATGGTGGAAACTAAGTCAACATTACAGGAAAGAAAACACTAAATGATTAGACTGAAGATTTGCATCGTTGAGTATCTCTTCTTTTTGCCTCTCAGGGTTTCTATCTTAAGCTTCTTTTAGTGCAAACTGATAATTGTCAATGATTTTCAATTCTTACATGTTTCAATATCTGCTGAAGCCAGCTTTCCTGTAGTCCCAAAGTGGATTCTGATGAATTTTCCCTGTGTGAGTAGAGATTCAGAGCAGAATAAGTGTGTTGTCATTGCACACGAGAGTTCAGAGTACTGATTATTGAGCACCAACAGTCAGAAATTTGCCTCTGTGATAGGTTGATGTCACAATCAGCCAAAGTTTTTAAGAGTAATGCCTTTCCCTTCCCTTTAAATAAAGCAAATAAACAAAAACAACTTACAAAACGGGAAGAGTTGTCATTCCTCACAGTCTTGGCATTACCATAAGCTTCCAACAGTGGGTTTGCTGCAATGATTTGATCTTCCAGTGACCCCTAGAAGTGAAGTCAATTAAAAAATGGTCATTTAAAGTCATTTCTTGTTACTTAAGTTTGTTTTCAGCATTCATCAACTCCATCTACCTGCATTTTGCCAGGAGTGTGCTCTTGCTTCTTTCCACTAGCCACTGCAATTGTTGCAAAGTACTGGATGACACGTTTGGTGTTGACAGTCTTTCCAGCACCAGATTCTCCACTAGTTTGAGGAATGTGTTCATATGTATTATTTTTCAATAGCATAGGACACAATATCATATTGTATATATGTGTGCATATACAGTACCCAGCATAAGTCAGTACACCCCCTATTAAAAGTAATGTATTACTCAATATCTAGATGAGCGAAAGTACAATTTCCAAAGTTTTCACAGAGCTGATTTTAACATAACATTTTATTTTCCATGAGATGAAAATAAGGGTGATATGGTAACTATAATTTAACTTTGCTCCCAGAACTTTGATTGGGGTGCACTCATTTTTGCATTCTGATTTTAAATTGAAAAAAAAAACAACTTTTTTTGTATGCAACTAAAAAAATCTTGTTTGCAATCAATGGCCTACATTCGTGGGAGTATTTTGTTGTACAGTCTGACATAGAAAATATTGATTTTGAAAGCAAACTGAAGGTTTTCTGACAACTCTGAAAGGGTGTGCTCATTTATGCTGAGCACTGTACATGTATACTGCACCACTAATAATCAATACTTACGTGATCAGGATGGACTGGTTTTCTCTATCTGCAAGACATCAAAATGGTGCACAACAGTCAAGTTTAACTGTGTACTTTAACATCAAAAAACAAACTATCCCACATGCAATGCAAAAAAAAATCAACCTTTAGTTCATTAACATATGGGGATACCTTGCAGCATGAACTGATAGGCATTGTCTGAGATAGAGAAGATGTGGGGTGGAGCCTCAATCCTCTTCTTCCCTCTGTATCCTGCCACAACAACTGCATCGTACACTGGGAGCCACTTATAGGGGTTCACGGTGACGCAGAACAGCCCAGAGTAGGTCTGCAGTGGTGTGAAAACGCGAGAGTGTAACTTTTATACAAACACGTACACATGTACACTATTCAGGTTCTCTTTCCCTTTACAAAACTCACGTAGATCATCCATGCTGCGTAACGCTCTTTGAGGTTATACAGCACAGAGGGTTCACTGAGGTGGGTCATCATGGCCATGTCCTCGATTTTATCAAACTTGGGAGGGTTCATGGGAAAGACTTCATCCTCCTTCACCGTTATAGACTGTCAAAAATAGAGGGGGAACAGACACAAACATTTAAAACAACAGGAGCTGTTGGCTGAGGCCCTCTTGTGGAGATTCTCTACATGGCTTTATAGGGGCCCCAACATAAGAGTGTAACACCTTCATAGTCCTTGCAGTTAAGCACTTGAACTGAGGGGTAACTTTTCCCCTTCCCCTTTACCAAGAGTGCAATACATAGTGAATGTATGCATGTAAATAACAATATCATAGCACAATGTTCAACTAAACCACTGTTACTACATCTAATCCTCACTTATTACTGTTCTTGTATTAGATGCACACATAAGTTTGATTCCATATGTGCTTTTGTATGAGTGTGACTGACTGTATAGTAACATTCTGCCATGGTGTGGAGTACCATCATTAGGTCCGCTGACTATGGTAAAATGTCTTCAATTGATGCTAATATATTTTCAGATTGGATGGTTATGAAAATCTTGGCTTATGTTTTATAATATGAACCTTTTTTTGTGGCAGATTTTATCTACAAAGCCGAGGAGGAGAAAAGACAGGATACAAAGTTCAAGGTGGATCTGTAAAGAGGAACAAGCAACTTTGACCGCTGGACCACTGCAGCTGTTATTCTGGTGTCTTGTTAACCTTTGAAGGCTGGGTACTTTTGTGTGCATGTCACATAAATATAAGTAAAGTCAATCAATTTATCGATCAATCCATCCATCAGTCTCATTTGGAAATGTCTTAATGTCAGACATAATGATAACCAAATTATTCCTCAGTCTGTCCCAAAGTCATCTAGGATTGATTTTCTTTTACTTCTTTTCATTTCTTTTGTTAATTCTGAGTAACACCTCTAATGTAACCATGTTTCCATGCCACCACAACAGACTTGAATCTCTATGAAAAATCTCCAGCACTGATAAACTTAAACTCTCACCTTTCCGCCAAGAGTCTCCACCGTGGCTTTGCCACCCTCCCTCTTCACAAGTTTCCCCTTCAGGTACATCTCTGCGGGCTCCGTCACGAAGTAAGCTGTCTTAGCATCAAAAGGGGAGTTTTGTGCTTCAATCCTCTCTTTTTCCGGTTTCCGGAGGTAGGCGGCCGCCGGGCCGAAGCATTCCATTTCAGGATCCGGCATGATGGCCCTTTACTGTAAGAGAGTGAGTAAGACAACAATGATGACCTCTGCAATATCTTTTACTTGTGTACTCTTTAACACTGACTACAATTTTATAAGTTACTCTCCAGGACAACTTTTTATGTATTTTTTTTACCTTGGTTGATACTACGCAGAGGGTTCTGGAAGAATTCAAAGCAGACTTCTGAGGAAGGAAGCAAAATGTAAAGTTCTCAAAGGATGCCACAGAGAGTTCACATCAGCACATTCTGTATTATGCCATCAGAGTAAAAAGAGATATAACGGAATCTGATACGACTCTTTGTCACAATAGTATCTGCTCAATCATTAAACAGAACTTAATTCCTAATACTATTGGAGTATAAAAGTTCTAAGTACATCAGCCAACAAGACACTCACCTTTGCTGGGTGCCTCTCCTTGCTGGGCGTTCTCTGTGCCCTTTATATATATACAGAGTGATGGGAGCCTGTCACATGTGGTTCGCTGTATTTGGTCATGTCATCTGGTTGTATTGCTTGGGTGATGTTTTTTTTTTCCTTTGGCTGTCACACTACACAGAGTGAGATATGAGATAATTGACAGGCTAAGAATTTGTGAGGAATGGGATGTTTTCGTGTCTAAAAATGCTCCTATCACTGTTGTTATTTGTAAATCACTGCATAGCCTTTGATAAATGTTGATGTCTCACATTTTGAAGATGGTTGGGACATTTTGGAAGAATAATGTCACATTTATTTCTCTTTACTTGATGTTGATTTCTGCATGCTCATGTAGCGTGAAGTTGTGGCGTTTGTTCTGCTTGTGGATATTACTGTGTTTGAAGATAAGATACAGATGTGAGGTCGGTTCAGTTCTTCTTGCACATGGAAAAGTCAGTATTTACAGGCGGTCCAAAGGTGTGACTAATGTGTCTTCTAAATGCTCCCTGGCTCAACAGGAGCCCCTTGCCATACTTCAGAGGAGGTTTAAAAAGTCACTGATATATTGTTTCAGAGTCCAAACAAGTCAGACATTATTAAAAAAAAAAAGAAGCGAGTGCCTAAGAGCTTTAAAGAAAAGGAGAGATTGCCAAGGGATTATTTCTCAGAACAGAGCCAACAGCTGTTTCTTTCTCCTGAGGGACCCACAAGGGAGACTGAGACAGTTCCTAAATGTAGAGCCTATTGAGTGATGGATTCCAGCTCTATTTTCACTCGTGTTTGACAAACCACCCACCATGAGTTGAGTCTTTTCCTCCTTTTTTTTTTTTTTTTTTTCCATCGTAAAGTTGAAAATGTGTCTTGGAAAAGAAGATGGTACCAAAGATGGTAGGCGCAGTTGTGGCCAAACATTTCTACCATGATCTTGGCACGGGGCTTGCAAAATTTGAAAGTATGGGTAGACAGCCAATCGGCCCTGTTTCCAACAGCAGCGGTGTCTCCTTACAACAGTGAATAGGAAGAAGAAATACTAAAGTGGTTACCAACAGGATATAATGAGCCTCTGTCTTCAGTGTTACATGATATCAGCTTGGTAATCTTCTGTCTTATTAGGGCAAAACTCAAATATAGCATCAGGCTTATGGGGATGCTCAAGCCAAATGCCAAATACTCAAGTGGCTTATTGTATTTGCGTGGCCTTTGATCCACGTCTGACAGCTTCTTCATTTGTCAAGCAGCAACAACTGGACTCAAGAAAACAAACCTAAGGTGAGCGGTGAGTAGCATTCCAGTCTACAGGCTGACCACAAAGGGGATGGATATACATTTACAGTAACAGTGCATCCATGTTTAACTTTGTAAGTACATCTAATTTTATTCACTTCAAGTAATTTAAGTTGACTCGCGAATGTGTCTGTTTTGATATAAAGCTTTGTAAAGATTTCACAGACGGGTGTTTGTTTGTTTGTGTCTTTAACCTTCCTGTGGAAACTAACTCACCATCAGTGCACTGCTTTGTCATGTGGCTGTAAGATGACTTTGGGTTGTCACATTTGGCTTGTACTTTTAGTTTTTAAATTGGAAAACGAGCATATTTAAAAAACTTTCAGTACCTAACCTTATTTTAAGTATTGAGATGTACATGAAAATCCTCTCTTGTAGTCTTTCAAAGCATGTTCGATTAAGTTTTTCTCCTCAGAATACCGTCCAAACGTCACGTTTTGGAACAGTGTTATGATCTGCTGTTTAAAATTAGGTGTCAGTGCTGGATTTTGACCGCTGCTCCTACACCTTCTTAGTAGATCTCCTGGGATTAGGTTGTGAGGAGGCGAGAAGTGTGAGTGGGTTGTAGAGTGCGTGTGGGCCCACACTGCTGTCAGTTTCTTGTGGTGCTAATGACTGTCAAAAGTCGCAAGGATGTGTGTGTACTAATGTTGGGTTGTGGGGGTCACTGCCAACTTATAAACACCAAAGGGAGCCTCATGTTGCGAGGGTGCAAACATGCTGCTTATGTTACCAGCTTCTCCATCATCACCACCTTCTGGTCTTTTCACTCACATCAACAACTCAAACTCTGGGGCATGACAGGAACTGTGAGTTTTATAGTCTTGTTATCAGGAAGTGTAAAAACTCACCAGACAAAGAGCCCACTTGTTTTCACTTTACTTTGTTCTCACAGAGTCACGGAGGCATGTTTGAATCCAACCCACCACGCCTTGGACGGGGAGCACGCCAAATGTGGTATGACTCCAGATCTAGATTTCAGGGAAGAAATCCTGATTTATGATTTGAAATTAAAGTACCAGCATGTTACTACCTTTATAAAATATATAATGTCACATAATTATTCATTCATTTGGTGTTGTTCAGTATTCTGTCCAATAGAAATGAATTACAGCAGCTCACAGTGAACTGAAATCTAAGCTTGTTTAATTGAATACCGTTCGCCTCTTGTATCACCTTTCAATATTGTGACTTAATAAACATTCACAATACACGGCTGCTTAGTGAGTCATGACAGACAGTAATGTGTCACCTTATATATACAGCTCATGTAATGCACTCAGTGCACGCAGACATTGAATTTATTAACCCTCCTCCTGTGTTAGGGTCTGCACCGACCCGTTTTTGATTTTAAATGCTTAAAAGAACCACTTAGATTCGCTTTTGTGCATCAAGACTTTTTGACTTTGTCAGGAACCTCTATTTCAACAAAAGAAAAAATATATATAAAAAAATTAATTCGCTAAATTATAAAATGCTCTTTTTAAAATTACGGCACTTGTGGTGTTAGGGTCGCTGTTGACCCGGTTAGATCAATATCTAATAATCACAAGTGCACTGTCAGGCACCACATTGACAGTCAGATCCTCGTCCAATCATGTGAGATTTAGGAAATTCTAATTTTGCCTGGTTTTTCCCTGTATAAAAAAACTACTTTGGGCATGTCCAGACATGTGAGATCAGTTCAGTATAGATGTCTGTATGAGGGGTATACTGACAAAGAAAGACTCATAGGTCCACTATAAAAACTGTTTAAGCAATATTTTCATGGATAATGAAGCCTAACAAGGTAACCTAGAGATGAGAACTAAATCGGATGATAGAGAATTGTTTTTAGTGTAATTTAAGACACAGGTCAAAAATGACCGTTAACATGGTGGGTGTGTGGTGAAAGCTGGAAGGAGGAAGGTTAACTTAGTCAACCCAAGGGGCCATTCTGAGAAAAATAAGGACGTGTCTGATGAGGGGTTTCCTTGGCAACAAGCGTCACACTTTGAAAGTCTGGAAACTGAGAAAAAAACTTAAGTTAGAGAAAGAAATCTCTGTAACCCTGACCAAGAAAGTTCTTGGACCACCCTAAGTTCCCACTGAAACAGCTGCATGTACTCAAATTTTCCCTCCTGATCACATTAGTCATGGAGAGACCAGTGAGGAAATAGCTTCATGAGTGATTTCGAGTTATGATGACTGAAACCTTTTTTTTTTTTTTTACCTAAATGTCTCACATGCTTTTACATGTTTTGTGACCAAAATGTCATGTAAATATATCGCACGTTATAAAACTTTGTCATTAAGGTTAATCAAAGAAAACTTAAATGTTCAGTAAACTTTTTTTGTGGGTCAATTTAGCTTCTAAAAGTTTGTGTTACATGCAAACTTTTCTCATCAGGACACAAATTATCTGAAACTGAAAGAAAGTTATTTACTGAATCATGAACCTGACGTTTTATCACCTTTTATCCACAGCGCACAGGAAGTGGGGCAAAAAGAAGAAAGGAGATCGAGTGAGACCTGAGACACAACACTGGGTAGAAATGTGATCAAGTCATCTGAGATATTTAAGGCTAAAAGGTACAGTGTGTGGAAATATTTAGCAACATCTAGCAGTCAGATCCGAGATTGAAATGCTCCTCTGTCACCCCTCCCATTAGTAAAACAAGAGTGGCCTTTAAGAAGAAGAAGAAACTAGCATGATTCATAAGTATGAGCCTCTATTTGTCAAGTTTTTAAAACATGAATCAGTGCAAATTCTTACAGACACAGCTGTTTGGGTTTTTTATGTGAGCTGCTGGTATTTTTTGACAAATGGAGACAAACATGTAGAAAAACAAATTAAAGGAAGATTAATGACTTTTCAATTTATATCCAGTCACAAACCTGATCAGTGTTTACGCTTACAGAAGTAGTGCTGCATTACATGATAAAAAAACACAACAATATTTTGTACTTTCAAAAAAATTTTCTTATTTTATTCTTAGATTCTTATTTTACCACACCCCACAGGAAATAAATACGAGGAAAATATCATCTTACCATTGTTGTCATCCTCAGTCTGTCAATGGGAAGAATATCACATATGTTAAGTCAACACATAACAGATTTTGTAAGAAATTTGCATTCACATGTAATACCCCAACTCAGAACGCACCAACACAAAAAAAGCCATAACAGCTACATGAAAATCATCCTGGTGTATCTATTTATTACATGTGTTTAACTTTCCTGCATCTATAAAACATCTGAACATATATTTATATCAGCTGTGTATCTCTATCAGACTGTACAGATCTGTTGCAATAAATTCTCATAAGTGAACCGATTTTAAAAAAACAGAGCATCTCAGATAGTCGAGAAAACTGTTTACCTTTTTGTTATTTGTGGTTCATTTTTCACAGCCAATCGCATCCCTCGGTCCTTCATTAATTTTGTTCTTTACTTTTTATTTTAGGCCTTTCCCTGTTCACTCCACAGTAAATGTCTCCTCCTCCTTAGTCTTACACAGAATAACCACACTTTTACAGCCCCCTTCTTACACGGCACAATATAATCTATCTCACACAGCTAACAAATGATAAGGCATCAGCTAAAAAAATAATTATTAAACATGAACCTTGTTTGTGTTTCATCTTTTGGTGTTAACTTGTAGGAACATAACATTTGCCAAAAAAAGTCGTCACTGATATTTGCACAGCTCATTAGCTCATCTTCACCATCATCTGTCACTGCTGGCAAACAACACACTGCTCTCACTTTACAAACACTTAAGATAGGCTAATTACTTTTCCTTTCTATACATAGAGAGTTACTTAATTTGAGAGAATGTAACGCTCACTGAGACACATCTTTTCCCAGCCTGTCTAAAGAGTATTGTAAATAAATAAACCCTGAAAAATTGCAAGATATGAAGCAGAATTTAAAAATCCTAATTCATAGAAGCTGGTACACGGTGTATGATTATGATTATACCCCATGAATTTACTAATAATGGTTTGCAAATCATTTGAATCACATATTGAAAACAAGAAAATATGGGGGGGGGGGGGGGAATAAAAAGTTGATCACTGCTAAAACAAAAACACCTGTAAGAAGATCTTCCAACTAATCATGTTAATTTGCAACAGATTAGTAACATGCCCAGGTGTTCAGCAAACTGACTACCTCATAGTAAAATAGCAAATACTTCCTGAGATTTTATCCTTAACAGAGCATAATTTTTAAGCCCAAAAACAAGACAGGATGGTTCAGAATGATAATAACCAATTGTTTGTGAAAACACAGTGTCACTTCATACACAAATTCTAGTTCAAACTGTATCATGCAAGGAGGAAACCAAGCATGATCCAGAAACGTCAACAACTTTTCATCAAGTTTTGACACGGACAAACATTTGAGGGATCAAGAAATTGAAAATACAACCCCACGCTGTTGAGTTTAGCTAAAATCACATTTTAGGTTGGACAACATTTCAATTTCCAAACCACAGAAACTGATCTTCTTGGTTTCCAAACTTTTACAGAGTGTTGAAAAAGTGATGCAACTTAAAGTGAATCATGCATCACGTAACAACATTTTTAAAACTGGCATCAAACGAGAAACTGTCTTTGCACTACTTTTAATCAAATACTGAATTTCCAAACCATCAAAATCTGTTTTTATCAAAATTTTACACAGACTTGGGGTTGTTGAAGTTGAATCATCTTCAGCAGTTCTTACTTATCATTTATTATTTACTTTGAATATGATCTTATCCTCTTCACTTGTCTTCTGCCAAAATAACCCAAACTTGCACCACTTCATCCCATCATATAGTGACAACAGTGTTATTATATATTTTCAGCAACCACTTCAGACTAACAAAATCATGATATTTCTGTAACCCTAACTATAGCACATCAGTCGCCTACAGCTTCCCACATACCAGAGTAGGGCATGAACCCTTGACTCCGCCACGACCGTGCTTTCACTATGTAAGTCTGTTTATCTAAACCAGCCAACCCCATCGCAGCTTCAGCAAAGCAGTGTTTAAATGAAGCTCAAGAATTGCCATGATCTTAATCCGGACAGCGATTACGTTGTCACTACTGCGCAATTAGGAAAACAGTTAAGCAAAAGAATTTAAAGGAGACGGAGTAAGAAATGCCAGAGCCATGCACCAGTCAAACACGCCAAACGACTCAAGAACAGAGGCGACGACGAGATTTTACAGATCTGTACTTACCATAAAACACAACCTCACTTACTTGACTTTGATGAGTTAATGCACCAGCCACATTACTGATACCAAGACTAAGGAGCCTCAGAGCCTAAGGGTCCCCAGTAACAGGATGCTGAAATACATCTGACATGTAATTAACAGAAGCTCTTGCATTTGTCAACAATTAAAGAAGAAAAGAGCCAGACTGCTCATGAGCTAGAGTCTATATTTGCTTGAGTCCAAACAAGACTATTTGGAAAGACCAGACGTATTGCATATCACCTTTTATCGTACTGCAATTACACCACAAGAGAATACTTTCACAGTGTCTTGGGTGTCGAATTTCTGTGGAGAAAAACTTTCCAGGATAATGGATGATAAAGGGATCCGAATTTAGCTACAACAACACCGTCCTCTTGTGTAGACATGTCTAAAATAACGTCACCGCCAAATAGTTGTCGAGCAATGTAACAGTCTCATGTAAGTATACGCTAATTGGACACTTCATTCTGTAAATGAAAAAACAAAACCTACACACATTTTAGTAGCAACATTATCTCTAATTTTAATAAATACGACAAAAACATCCGTTAGTAACAGAGAAAACAAACGTGTTTGTGAAAAGTATCAGATATTAAAGTGATGACACGCACAGTTGTAACCATTAGTTGGATTTGGCAGTAATCAGCAGTTTCAATCGGGTGTTTCATTAGATGTTTTTATTTCACAGGGTAACATGACAGCAGTCGAGGGAATGAGTTTAAGAGTCCATGACATCACTCTCCAGAGACAGGTCTGATGCCCTTAACAGGAGTGAAGCTGCATGCCGTCCAGAGATTTCAGTATAAAGAGGCACTCGCAGGCTTGTCAGAAGTTTTGGACTGGTAGGCTGCCCAAGGAGGAGGTGAGTCATCTTTTTTTCACTCTGTGCTGTGATTTTACAAATTAAGCTTTTCTAAAGTTTTTCTGTAGGATGACAAGAAATCGCTGGTTTATGTGTTGTACAAATTTCTCTGTTTTCTGATTTGATTTTGACTTTTTTGTAGTTTCCACAAAACAACTGAAACACTGCCAACAAAAAGGTAAATGAGGTTCATTCAGCCAGTCAGTAAAGAACTGAAAGATAAGCCAGTGAACAATGAAATCTTATTTAAGCAAAATGACCCCTTTTGAACTGTGCTTATTTATCTCTACAGAAGGAGCCATGAGTGGGGACGCAGAAATGGAGTGTTTTGGCAAAGCTGCCTTATACCTCCGGAAACCTGAAAAGGAGAGAATAGAGGCTCAAAACACCCCCTTTGACGCAAAAACTGCGTATTTTGCGACAGAGCCCAAAGAAATGTACCTGAAAGGGAAACTGGTGAAGAAGGAAGGTGGCAAAGCCACAGTTGAGGTTGCAGGTGGAAAGGTATGTCAACATGTATTGAGTAAAATGATTTGACAGTTTGTGCAGGAATCAGTAGCATTATCTTCATTAAATTATGCTGTATGGTCTTTGAGCTCTTTCTTGATTGTTTTGGTTTAGACCCTCACAGTCAAAGACGATGAGATCTTCCCCATGAACCCTCCAAAGTTCGATAAAATCGAGGACATGGCCATGATGACCCACCTCAGTGAACCCTCTGTGCTCTATAACCTCAAAGAGCGTTATGCAGCATGGATGATCTACGTAAGGCTCGTCAATCACACTATGTAAAGTTTATAATGCAAGTCTGGAAATTTATTTAGATTTTTATATCCCCTCCTCCAACCAGACCTACTCTGGGCTGTTCTGCGTCACTGTGAACCCCTACAAGTGGCTCCCAGTGTACGACGCAATTGTTGTGGCAGGATACAGAGGGAAGAAGAGGATTGAGGCTCCGCCCCATATTTTCTCCATCTCTGATAATGCCTATCAGTTCATGCTCCAAGGTATCAGCTTCAGAGATACAGACTGGTCTCTTTATAAGGAGCCAGGCTCTCTTTTTTTTTTTTTTCATATTTTTCCTTATGTTCCTATCGCTAACACTGCATTTTAGCGTTATTCTGTGACTGGTTTTGAACTTTAAAAGAGTATTGTTATTTGAAATATGTCACTGCTACAATAATGCATTATGTGTGATGAACTTCTCCCTACAGATCGTGAGAACCAGTCAATTCTGATCACGTAAGTCAGCACTGAAGAGGACTGATATAACTCAACATGACACCCTCTGTATTGTGTTATGTCTAAATTACAAGTGTTCTGTGTTAAACTGTATTTTAGCGGAGAATCTGGTGCAGGAAAGACTGTCAACACCAAACGTGTCATCCAGTACTTTGCGTTAGTCGCAGTGTCTGGAAAGAAGCAGGAGCCGACTCCTGGAAAAATGCAGGTAGATGGTGTAATAAACTTTAAAAGTTTGTGCTATCAAGAGAAATAAAAATTTTTGAAAATGTTTTGCAACACTGTCTCTAGGGATCACTGGAAGATCAAATCATTGCAGCTAATCCCCTACTGGAAGCTTACGGTAACGCCAAAACTGTGAGGAATGACAACTCATCCCGCTTTGTAAGTATTTGTTCACAAAGTTATTTAGTGAATGTGAGACCGTCACAAATACGCCCATTATTCACATGACTGAATTCTCCTTCAGGGCAAATTCATTCGAATCCACTTTGGATCGACTGGAAAGCTGGCCTCAGCTGATATTGAAACATGTAAGCCTCCGGCCTTTTTCTTACCCTGGAGATTTAAAGAGTGGGAAAACTGTGAACGATCTTATTTCTTTGTTTGTTAGATCTGCTGGAGAAGTCCCGAGTGACGTTCCAGCTGTCTGCTGAGCGGAGCTACCACATCTTCTATCAGCTCATGACAGGCCACAAACCTGAGCTGATAGGTGAGCAACGAGACATGTACTGCTGTATACATCATTCTAATATTTTTACACACTATACCAAACAATACAACAAATCTTTTTCAGATGGTCTTCTCATAACCAAAAACCCGTACGACTTTCCCATGATCAGTCAGGGTGAAATCAGCGTCAAAAGTATCGATGATGTTGAAGAATTCATCGCAACTGATGTGAGGACGCAATCTGTGGAGTTCAGACTCTCTTACTGTAAGGTTCCTCAGGTGACATCTGTTATTTCCTTCTCTAGACTGCCATTGACATCCTGGGCTTCACTGCAGAGGAGAAGATGGGGATTTACAAGCTGACTGGAGCTGTGATGCATCATGGAAACATGAAGTTCAAGCAGAAGCAGCGTGAAGAGCAGGCTGAGCCTGATGGCACTGAAGGTAGCTGCTGGAGTTACATTTCTGGATATCATAGAAATGCATTCAGTGTTGTAGCTGCACAACTTTAAGTTTTTCCTTTTTTCTAAACATAGCTCATCTATGAAAGAGGATTAGGGCCACAAGAAGAGAAAAAAATAACTACAGGAGGGAGAGTTTTTAAATTTGCATTTTGAGGTTAAAGTCAAAATTTTGACATTAAAAAAATAAAATGTTGAGATTAAAGTTGAAATTTCGAGATTAAAGTCGAAATTTAAAAATGTCAAAATTCCGACTTTATTCATGTCGACTTTAATCTCGAAATTTCAACTTTAATCTCAACATTTTATTTTTTTAATGTCAAAATTTTGACTTTATTCATGACATTTTGTAATCTCGAAATTTTGACTTTAATCTTGAAATTTTAAATTTTAATCTCGAAATTTGGACTTCACTCTCAAAATATTCTGTAATTATTATTTTTTTCTTCATGTGGCCATAATCCCCTTTTGTACTCATCTGTTACATTTGTTTATTAGACAATACTCTCTGTGTTTGAGAATAGTTGCTCTGTAAAAGTATGCCTGTTTTGGCCGAACCTAATCTACAGTAAAGAGTCCTGAGAGCTGGAGGATGGTTAGAGTTTCTACCTGTGGTTAAGGGATTAAGAAAGAATGTGAGAATATGTTTAAACACATCTGATTTGGGGTAGACTCTTTCCAGAGTCTCGACCCAGACGATGCAAGACTGTTTGGAGCTTTAAGAATTTCACAGAGGGAACTTAAAGGCCTGTGTGGAAAAAAAAAGTATCTAGGGTTATAGGCAAGCCTGCTGTCATAGCATCTAATAAATCTAACTTATAGCACAGGATGATTGTTCTTTTTTTTGTGTAGTTTCTGTAATAATTTCAGTATCGGTTTATTTACTGATGATTTTGGTATGTGCTTTTTTTAGAGGCTGACAAAATCGCCTACCTCATGGGCCTGAACTCTGCTGACATGCTCAAGGCTTTATGTTACCCAAGAGTGAAGGTTGGCAATGAGATGGTGGTGAAAGGTCAAACTGTGGCACAGGTAACCTACATAGTTGATAAACATATATATCTATACAGCAGTGAAACTATACCTCTTGTTTCACGTAGCCTTTCTTTCTATTTGTAGGTGAACAACGCGGTGATGGCTCTCTGCAAGTCTGTCTATGAGAAAATGTTCTTGTGGATGGTGGTCAGAATTAATGAGATGTTGGATACCAAGCAGCCCAGGAACTTCTTCATCGGTGTCCTGGATATTGCTGGGTTTGAAATCTTTGATGTAAGTTTATAAAAAGTTGCATTTGTGTTTTCTCAAAGGAACCAGCAGCAATAAATGTTTCAATCTACTTTCTCTCCCTGTAGTACAACAGCTTGGAGCAGCTGTGCATCAACTTTACTAATGAGAAACTGCAACAGTTTTTCAACCACCACATGTTTGTGCTGGAGCAAGAGGAGTATAAGAAAGAGGGAATTGAATGGGAGTTCATTGACTTCGGTATGGATTTGGCTGCCTGCATTGAGCTGATCGAGAAGGTGGGTGATATTTTTGATGTTCTTAAACCCTGATAACTCTGCGATGACTTCAAAATTTTAGTTTCAAATAATCATCTCATTACGACAGCCGATGGGCATCTTCTCCATCCTTGAAGAGGAGTGCATGTTCCCCAAGGCAACAGACATGACCTTCAAGAACAAAATGTTCGACCAGCATATCGGGAAAAGTGCTCCCTTCCAGAAACCCAAACCAGCCAAAGGCAAAGCTGAGGCTCATTTCTCCCTGGTGCATTATGCTGGCACTGTTGACTACAATGTCACTGGCTGGCTTGATAAGAACAAAGACCCTCTGAACGACTCAGTTGTTCAGCTCTACCAGAAGTCTTCAATGAAGTTGCTGGCTAACCTCTATGCATCACATGCTGCAACAGATGGTAGGTAGTTTTTGAACGTTTCATCCTCAAGCCGCCAGACAACAAACAATATGGAGGGAAAATTTCCAGAGAAGTGTAATTAAATAAATTGTTAGTTGAGTTTTTTTCTTCAGAAACAAACAGGAGAAGCTAACGAGATTTGTACACGGACAGTGCCAAATAATCAGCATCAAATATTATTTTAATCGCAAACAAGAATGTCAATCTGTTTCACAGATAGTAAAGGTGGTGGAAAGAAGGGAGGCAAAAAGAAGGGTGGCTCCTTCCAGACTGTCTCAGCTCTTTTCAGGGTAATTTAGTTTTTCATACAAAGATTTCAAAGACTCTTTCACCTGATGTATCAGTGAAAATTGAGGTCAAACAAATGCTATCTTCTTCAACAGGAAAACTTGGGCAAGCTGATGACCAACTTGAGGAGCACTCATCCACACTTTGTGCGATGTCTGATTCCCAATGAATCAAAAACACCAGGTAACTGAGGCTTTTGTGTTTGTCATCACTACTGAGCGTGTAAATCCCTTGGATTAGGTTACAGTCACTTTGTAAAGCCTGCACCTAGAACCTTAAATTGTACAAAGAAGTCATGTCGCTCATGTGAAGTTTTTTTTCTTCTGTCTTAGGTCTCATGGAGAACTTCCTGGTCATCCACCAGCTGAGGTGTAACGGAGTCCTGGAGGGAATCAGGATCTGCAGGAAAGGTTTCCCCAGCAGAATCCTCTATGGTGACTTCAAGCAGAGGTACAGTAGCTGTTGCTTCACCTGTTAGTTTAGATGTGTTTATTCTGTTCTGTTGATGATCCGACTGAATCGATTCCTTTTAGATACAAAGTACTGAATGCTAGTGTCATCCCCGAGGGGCAGTTCATCGACAACAAGAAGGCCTCAGAGAAACTGCTGGAATCCATAAATGTGGACAAATCACAGTATAAATTTGGCCACACCAAGGTAAATACACAGATGTACTGCATTATAAAACGGTATCACAGTGTTACTTAATGAAGACAAAGAGGTTTGTTTGTTTAAGAATGTGTTTTTCTGTTTTAGGTGTTCTTCAAGGCCGGACTGTTGGGCACACTTGAGGAGATGAGAGATGAGAAGCTGGTTGAACTGGTGATGATGACTCAGGCTCTCTTCAGAGGTTACCTCATGAGACGAGAGTTTGTCAAAATGATGCAAAGAAGGTGAGATTTTATTTACTTTTTTTTGTTTTGTTTAATTTGGGGACCTTCTTTTCCCTCTAGGTAGGAAAGGGGGATGAACAGTGCTCTGCATAAATAAGTACACCCCTTCAAAGTTGTCAGAAAACCTTTAGTTTCCTTTCAAAATCATCATTTCGTATGTCAGACTGTACAACAAAATACTCCCCCAAATGTAGGCCATTAATTGCTATTTTTTTTCAGGATGCAAAAATGAGTACAACCAAATCAAAGTTCTGGGAGCAAAGCTAAATTTCAGTCACCATATCACCCTTATTTTCATCTTATGGTAAATAAAATGTTATGTCCAACTCAGCTTTGTCAAAATTTTGGAAATTGTACTTTTGCTCATCTAGATATTGAGTAATACATTACTTTTAATAGGGGGTGTACTGACTCATGCTGGGCGCTGTAAATGTTGCAAAGAGCAGCAAGTTTCGTTTGAATCTGGGCCGCCCACTTCAGAGCAATAGCCTCTGTACACAGAACAAGGGATTCAGCAGCAAGACAAATCAGTGCTCTAGTGGGCTCATTATTTTTGCATTCATTAGTGCGTATCGCTAACATTGTTGTTTTTCGTTTCATATCTTTATCAACAAACTATTTCATTCTGCTTTATATTGAGGTAGAAGATACTGGGCAGACAAGAGCTTTCCCTGTGGTAAGGGGAGGCTTCAACATTTGTGACCTTTTCATAGTTTGACTTCTTTCATGCAGAGATGAGGCGCAGTATATTGACAGCTGTTAGACATCAGGAAATGAACAGAAGAGATTTTTTCGTCTTGATTAATCTGCGTATGTTGTGGGCAGCGTTTTCTATAGTGATGGCCAGGAAATGCACATTTACAGCTATGAATACTGTCACACATTGTCTCTCCCTTTTTTCAAGGAAAGCAGACTAAAGCAGACTGCCCTAGCTTGTTAGCCGACATATTGAAAAAAATAACATTCATGCTTTTTACTGTCTTGTATTTTCAGAGAGGCCATCTACTCCATCCAATACAACATCCGCTCATTCATGAATGTCAAAACGTGGCCATGGATGAAGCTCTACTTTAAGATTAAGCCTCTGCTGAAGAGCGCAGAGACTGAGAAAGAGATGGCGCAGATGAAAGAGGACTTTGAAAAAACTAAAGAGGAGCTAGCAAAGGCTCTAGCGAAGAAAAAGGAGCTGGAGGAAAAGATGGTTACTCTCGTTCAGGAGAAGAATGACTTGCAGCTGCAAATTCAATCCGTACGTAAAAAGCATGAGAAGGTTTCTTCACACCAGAGGATCTGATGTGTACACATAATACAATGTCCTTTCAAATGTAGGAAATGGAAACTCTCAGTGATGCAGAGGAAAGATGCGAGGGGCTCATCAAAGCCAAAATCCAGCTCGAGGCCAAAGTCAAAGAGGTAGCTGAGAGACTGGAGGATGAGGAGGAAATAAATGCTGAGCTGACGGCAAAGAAGAGGAAGCTGGAGGACGAGTGCTCTGAGTTGAAGAAAGACATCGATGATTTGGAGCTCACCCTGGCGAAAGTGGAAAAGGAGAAACATGCCACTGAGAACAAGGTTCACATCCCTTCATTTATAATTCTTAAACTGCACTGATTAGATAACAACTGTGATCAAATACTTATATTAATTCTGCCGTTAAGGTTAAAAACCTTCTGGAAGAAATGACAGCTCAGGATGAGACCATCGCCAAGTTGACCAAAGAAAAGAAAGCCCTCCAAGAGGTCCATCAGCAGATCCTAGATGATCTCCAGGCAGAGGAAGACAAAGTCAACACTCTGACCAAGGCTAAGACCAAGCTGGAGCAACAAGTGGATGACGTAAGCTGCTGCTTTTTTAATCGAGTACAAATAATTTAATTCTTCTTTACCTATAGGCGCTTGTCACACTTAATGTTCATGTACTAGCTTGAAGGTTCTTTGGAGCAAGAGAGGAAACTCCGCATGGATCTTGAGCGATCCAAAAGGAAGCTCGAGGGGGATCTGAAACTGGCCCATGAATCCATAATGGATCTGGAGAACGACAAGCAGCAGTCTGAGGAGAAAATCAAGAAGTAGGTAGAAGGAAAAAACTTTTTTTAATCACCACACAGATCCAAATTTTCAGGGAAAATCTAACATTTGTTTTTATTTTTGCAAACAAAGGAGGGACTTTGAGATAAGCCAGCTTCTCGGCAGGATAGAGGATGAACAGGCAGTCGATGCTCAACTTCAAAAGAAGATCAAGGAACTGCAGGTAATGTGTTTGGGCCATGTGTATGTTAGTTTCATGGGATGTGACATATATATATATCATAAATCTTAAAAGAAAAAGTGAGAGGTTACCAGAGTTCGATTATGTATCTTATTTTGTTTCACAGGCTCGTATTGAGGAGCTGGAGGAGGAGATCGAAGCTGAGCGTGCTGCTCGGGCCAAAGTAGAGAAGCAGAGGTCGGATCTCTCCAGGGAACTTGAAGAGATCAGCGAGAGGCTCGAAGAAGCAGGTGGAGCAACATCGGTGCAGATCGAGATGAACAAGAAGCGCGAGGCCGAGTTTCAGAAGCTGCGCCGTGACCTTGAAGAGTCTACCCTGCAGCATGAGGCCACTGCCGCCGCCCTCCGCAAGAAGCAGGCCGACAGCGTGGCAGAGCTGGGAGAACAGATCGATAACCTCCAGAGAGTCAAACAGAAGCTGGAGAAAGAGAAGAGTGAATGCAAGATGGAGATTGATGACCTCAGTAGCAATATGGAGTCCATCGCCAAATCCAAAGTAAAAAAAGCTTTTGTTTTTTGATGATGTTGTGTCAACTATGGAAACATTACTATTAAATTAAAAACATGTAATTGATCCAAAGGTCAACATGGAGAAAATGTGTCGCTCACTTGAGGATCAACTAAGTGAACTCAAGACCAAGAACGATGAGCATGTGCGTCAGTTAAACGATATTAATGTTCAAAGATCAAGACTGATGACTGAAAATGGTGAGTGTAGCGTCTCAGATGAGATTGATAAAAGAAAAAAACACACAACAATGCATGTTTGCACTTGTTCTTAATCATAGGTAATGATTTATTCTTCTGTATCTGTAATCAGGGGAATATAGTCGTCAACTGGAGGAAAAGGAGTCTCTTGTCTCTCAGCTGACAAGAGGAAAACAAGGTTTTATTCACCAAATTGAAGAGCTCAAAAGACAGCTTGAGGAAGAAATGAAGGTACTGCTCAATGGATTTTAAAATCTGAAAACATAAAAACGATGTCATTTATTCCCAATCACGGTGAAACTGACCACGAGGATTTCATTGGTAGGCCAAGAGCGCCCTGGCTCATGCTGTTCAGTCATCTCGCCATGACTGTGATCTGCTCAGAGAGCAGTTTGAGGAGGAGCAGGAGGCCAAAGCTGAGCTTCAGCGTTCAATGTCCAGGGCTAACAGTGAGGTGGCTCAGTGGAGAACAAAATATGAGACTGATGCCATTCAGCGCACTGAGGAGCTGGAGGAGGCAAAGTAATGAACAGTCCTGGAATCTCTCAGGTTTTCTTCAGCACGTGTTCTTTAAATCATGTTAAAATCCTGTTCTCTGCACGTTTTATTAGGAAAAAACTCGCCCAGCGTCTTCAGGATGCAGAGGAATCCATCGAGGCTGTAAATGCAAAATGTTCCTCCCTGGAGAAGACCAAACAGAGACTGCAGGGTGAGGTGGAGGATCTAATGATTGACGTGGAGAGAGCCAACGCTCTGGCTGCCACCCTTGACAAGAAACAAAGGAACTTTGACAAGGTTTGATATTTCTGCAGCAGATAGGCTCAGCTGGTTCACAGGAGGTTACAGATAACACTCACTTTTCTTGTTCAGGTTCTTGCTGAATGGAAGCAGAAGTATGAGGAGAGTCAGGCAGAGCTTGAGGGATCTCAGAAAGAGGCTCGCTCATTGAGCACAGAGATGTTTAAACTGAAAAACTCCTATGAAGAAGCTCTGGACCATCTGGAAAACCTGAAGAGGGAGAACAAGAATCTGCAACGTAAGAAAAGAAACCCTGCATAACATTTAAACAAATATACCCTAAATGAAATGATTTAAAGAGTTACCGAAACTTCTATTTAAGAGTTTTAATCTTAGATTTATGATGCATGTTGGATAATTTGTGGGTTTCTTCTTTAAACAGAGGAAGTTACTGATCTGACTGAACACATCGCTGAAACGGGAAAGACAATTCATGAACTGGAGAAGGCGAAGAAGACAGCAGAAATTGAGAAAGCAGAAATTCAAACTGCTTTGGAGGAGGCAGAGGTATTCAATATGACTTATCTGCAAAAGAAATAATCAACCAAAGAATTTCCAGAGGTCTTAGGTTAACAATTCATTTTTCAGGCCACACTGGAACACGAAGAGTCAAAGATGATCCGTGTCCAGCTGGAGCTCACCCAGGTGAAAAATGAGGTCGACAGAAAACTTGCTGAGAAGGACGAGGAGATTGAGCAGATCAAGAGGAACAGCCAGAGAGTGATCGACACCATGCAGAGCACTTTGGATGCCGAGATCAGGAGTAGAAATGAAGCCCTGAGAATCAAAAAGAAGATGGAGGGAGACCTCAACGAGATGGAGATTCAGCTGAGCCACGCCAACCGGCAGGCAGCTGAGGCCCAGAAACAGCTGAGGAACGTGCAAGGACAGCTGAAGGTATCATGGTGTATCAAACAAAAAAGCTGGTGTAGCTTTAGTCTTTATTTGGCCTGCACTGAAGATGAGTATTTCATTTTTCATTTAGGATGCCCAACTGCACCTTGATGAAGCTCTCAGAGGTCAGGCTGACCTGAAGGAGCAGGTTGCCATAGTGGAGCGCAGAAACAACCTGATGCTGGCTGAAATTGAGGAGCTGAGAGTTGCTCTGGAGCAGACCGACAGGAGCCGCAAAATAGCTGAGCAGGAGCAGGTAGACGCCAGCGAGCGTGTGGGGCTGCTGCACTCTCAGGTATAACTGCTGTGTTCAGTAAGTCCCTGCTATGTGAAAGTTCAGTAATTTAGAAAGTAATGAGATTAGAAACACATTTTTTTGCCCTCAGAACACCAGCCTCATCAACACGAAGAGGAAACTGGAGGCTGATCTCGCCCAGGTCCAGGGTGAAGTGGAAGATGCTGTTCAAGAAGCAAGAAACGCTGAAGAAAAGGCCAAGAAGGCCATCACTGATGTGAGCTCTGTCAAGTTATAATGTATATGCTGCTTTAACAATAATAATAATAATAATAATAATAATAATAATAATAATAATAATAATAATAATAATAATAATAATAATAATAACAATATTAATAATGATAACTTTTTTTTTTTTTAGCACTTTAAAAAAAAGAAGTTTCCATGTGCTTTGAAAAATAGTCATAAAGCACATGGAAACAAAGAAAAATAAAAACAAAAAAAGTCAGTTAAAACGGAATTAAAGGCCATTTTCATATGTCATAAGGAACTGAGACAATACAAGAACCATGCATCATAAAATGAGACCATGAGGACCAAAATATAAACATAAAATAGGTGAGAAAAAGAAAATGCAATAAAAAGGGGGGTTGAAAGCAGAAAACAGGAGAGTAAATATAAAAGACAATATTGATTATGATAATAAAATAATAACAAAATAATAATGATAATAATAGTAATGATAAAATAGAAGAACAGAAATGAGCAAGAGATAAAATAATAAAAAGGCCCCTAACAGTTGGTCAGAGACTGGGACTCACAGTTACCAACTCAAGACACATAATCAGGGACTGTGGAGCAGCTGATTATGGCATGAAATTTAATTAGAAATCGTTATCATGTAAACACTTACCTTTTTATTGGAATATAATAACAGATAAATAATAAAAAAATAAATAATGAAAAAAATAAAAAAGCAGAAAGACACAAAGAAGATGTTTAGCTTGTATTGGATACCATGAACAAAACAGTGTAATATACTCTGTATATATGGTGGATGCAGATGTCAGCTGAACAAAGGCAGATATTAAGTTGATACTTGATTATTGACCAATTTTTAAAGAGTTTTTCTCCCAAAGGGAACATGGGAAATTATTTAAATGACTAAACATGTGCGTCACAGGAGACATTATGACATTTGTTTCATTTACGTCACAGTTTCATTCATTTATTGTTACGGCTGAACATAGCGCTCTAACAACTGACAACTTTGTTTTAGATTTGACTTGTAGATGAGGTCTATTTTTTCCTGACCATTTTACTGAAAGATAGCTACAGACATGAAGACTTTTTGTCTATTAAAACTATTTATTCTGTAAGAAACAGCCTTTTCTAAAACACAGAGAGCTTCAAAAGTCTCAAGTGCAGCCTCTACCGGGTCTTCTTACTACTTCTTACTGTTTAGGCTGCCATGATGGCTGAAGAGTTGAAGAAGGAGCAGGACACCAGCGCCCATTTGGAACGAATGAAGAAGAATATGGAGGTGACAGTGAAGGACCTGCAGCACCGCCTGGATGAAGCTGAGAGTCTGGCTTTGAAGGGAGGCAAGAAGCAGATCCAGAAACTGGAGGCCAGGGTAAATTCCCCTCCTAAATGAAACATTTGCAATCATGGTGTTGATATTTTGTGTATGATATATCTTGTCAAAAATCATAAAAACCTCAATTCTTATCATTAAGGTCCGAGAGCTTGAGTCTGAGTTTGATGCTGAGCAGAGACGTGGAGCTGAAGCTGTGAAAAGTGTCCGCAAATATGAGCGCAAAGTGAAGGAGCTGACCTACCAGGTACAGACAACATGAAGTTACATCTCTAACTTAACATCTATGAAACTCATATTGTGCTCTGCTGTATTTCTATCATTCATACTGTAAATCTAAACTGCATGTAAAGAATACATGTAGAGTATATTTCATACCCCTAGAGGGCATGAATCACCATCAAATGCCTGAGGCTCCAACAGAGCTCGACATACTGAGGTGCTACAGAACAGACTGCGGCTAATAATAGACATTCTAGTGTACAGACACATCCATAAATACCTGCGGTTATGTGTTTACAGTAATGTGACTGCTAGTGTGACATTTATAGAGATGCTTCACAAGTTTTCACCATGAAAAACTGCACAGAAGGGGAGCTGACTCTCAAACACTCGTGCAGCTTCACTCTGCAGCACTGATTGAAGATAACTCTCAAGATGACGATATCTAAATGTGTCCACTGTGCCGCATTATTTCATGTCTTACGCACTTGTTGCATTATCCGGATGTACAAACTCTTATCAGTGTGACTTCATTGTGCCGTACTGATGTGCTGTGTGCTCGTTTGTGGGTTTGTGGTGATGGTGTTTGCTTTAGTGTGGGTTTCAATCAGATTCTTCTGTATGCCGCCTCTAGACTGAGGAGGACAGGAAGAACGTTACCCGCCTTCAGGATCTGGTGGACAAGCTGCAGCTGAAAGTGAAATCCTACAAGAGGCAGGCCGAGGACGCTGTGAGTGTGAAATATTCAACACATGCAGCGCAAATAAGCGTCATGCCAATAACACTTTTTTTATTTTTGAAGCAGTAGAAGACTGACAGCACAGTGCAGAGTGATTTACTGACTTTAGCTTTAATTTTGTACGACTAAGATTGTCCAAAATATCTAACTTTGAGTGTTAATGTTGTCTTCCTGTAGGAGGAGCAGGCTAACACTCACCTGTCCAGGTACAGGAAGGTCACACATGAGATGGAAGAAGCTCAGGAGCGTGCTGACATCGCCGAGTCCCAGGTCAACAAGCTGAGAGCCAAAAGCCGTGAAATCGTCAGGGTACATTCGTTTTTATTTCCTTTTGAGCTCAAAATGTCTGCTCCATGACGGATCAATTCGTCTTTAACGCTGAATATTTCTGTGTCGATTTTTAGGTGAAAGAAACCCAAGAGTGAACATCAGTGCTGACAAGACACGATGCAAGAAATCATACAATATGATGTTTTTGTTTGGTGTGTCGTGAGTGATTAGAAATAAATAAGCAAGCAATCGAGTACCAGTCTGTACTTAACCAGAAGGTTAACTGAACCAATATGAGGTTATTTATATACTGATTTTACATGCAGCAAACTTTGAAGTAACATAACTTCACTCAGAGAATTTAATATTTTAAGTGTCTCAACTATAGGAGTGTATCTGTTTGACAGGTTAGTCACACAACGCTTTATAAAACCAACAAAGCAAAACACTTCTTCTTCACTAATCAGTCACATCGATCTCAGCCATTCATTTGACTTTCACTAGATCATAACTCTTTAAACAGCTGTGATTTAAAGTCATGGTCAAATCATGTGGGCACTATATCTTCATCATGTAAAATATCCTGGTATCCATCTGTCCTCGGGACCACGTGTGGGTTCTTTAGGTTATGATAACTGCAAATCTGCACCTTGTAGTGATAATATTACGGACAGTCTGGTGGCCCCACAGTTTTTTTTTCGTACACGCTAACATATGTCTCACCCTGTTAAGTTGTGATCCTGTGATGAAAATAGACCCAACTGTGAACCATCACACCCACTGATACTTGAGCTCAGCCAGAAACATCAAATATAACTAATGATTTCTCTGCATTTGTAAATGTGCAAGTTTGAACAAAATGGTTCATCTTGTCAAATATCAAAAATGCAGCATTGTGTATATCAGTATACAGACGATAATGAAGAAACAACTTTGACACGAATTCTGACTAAAACCTGGTGCACTTGATCCACAGCACATACAAACAACTTCATGTTCTATTCATTTCAAAACAATCACAGTGTAAATTTTAAATCACATAGTATCCTTATTTACAGAATGAATCTAGTCTGCAGTTATGTGGTGATATTTTAACTTGAATTTATGAAATTATCAAACAAAACTTGAACATATTGATTAGAGGTTTGAATGTACGGCTTCACTTTGCTGTCATTCAAACTTATATTATTCTATATACAAGAGTTTTAACCCCTTCTGTGATTTACTAAACAGTACGCTCGAGTATCTCATTGAGATAGAGTGAGGTGGAATAAATCACAATAGATTAGGACGGTCAAACACACAAATACAAATGCTTTCATGTAACACGATTAAACTATGAGAAGACTGAAGGTCAGTTAGTGTGTGAGTATACTGTATGTCTGGATGTGTTTCCTGGACAATCATGTCACATAGCGGAGGTGCTAAGCTGATCACTTCAACTATTTATTCATAGTAACCTGTAAATATTTCCCACCCTTGACATACATACACAATTTTAATTTTTCTTATTATTCTTGCTTTTTACCTGGTTGTGAGTAGATTAAGGTAGTTTTTAAAATCTTCCTTTATAACTTGGTCCAAATGTTTGTGTTTGAGTCTAATCTGGAACCACTGACTATTTAACATGGACAATGTGTCTTCACTTTGCCCACTGTGAAATATAAAACCAAAAGACTTCCTTCTTTGGTGCTGACATGTTGTAGCCAAGGTACGTGCAGAAGCAGCTCTGCAAGCCGAGAGACTGACATCATCCCCTTTCTGCTAACCAGAGTTAATTTAGGCAGCTACTTTAGATTTAGTCTTAGTCTTGAGACTAGAATGCCTTCTTCTTCTTCTTGTAGTTTTGCTCATGTTTTAGTCATTTTGCCTTAAACAGTTTTAATCAATAAGAAGTTCAAATATTTTTAATTAGTACTGTAAGTCGAAGCCTTTTCTGTCTTCAAAAAACAGATTCTCTACCTTAGTTTGATTATTAAGATTAGGCTCTCCCACCTTTGTGATTCTGCTGTGCTGTCCCTGCTGATCTACTTCGGTACTGCAGAGAAATTATCCAAGTAGATTGTTCTTTCTGTTGCTGTTGTGGATTTATCTAATTTCTTTGTCTTTTTTGGCTCTGCCCCTTGTGTCCTTAGGTCCAAGAAACACCCCTGGACAGACACTCAGTTAACTGCTCTCTTAACTGCATCTTAATTGTTAATGATTCATAGTTTATCATTTCTACCAAACCTCAACATAAACGGCAAACACAATAAACACTTTGACATAGATCAGCATGAACATACTATACTGACTGAAACCATGTTCAAGAATAATTTATTTGGCATTTCTTTCATTTGATAGTGTAAACTATGTTTCACCTGTTAGCATGGGGGAGGTAGGGTTTATGACCCAAACCGCAGTCTGTCAGCTCGTGGAAACTCCAAATCTTTTTGCTTCACAGTCAGCGAACATTTTTTAAGTCCATTTTCACACACAAAACACTCTATTTCTGTAACCTGTCTCAAATTTGAGACAGATCTGTTGCTAAGCTAATCAACATTTGTCTCATGTAAAATATCTTCTTGTGTTGGACCTTTGTGGCTAAATATGGAACAAGGTTAACTCTTCAGTTGTGCATTAATTTCTAGCTATTTTTAGGTTTTATTTCTTAGCTATCTATAAAAGGACTTCCTGGAAAAGTTTATGTCTTTATTGCTGTGTTAAATCACCTCCGCTATGACAAATGATCTCACCTCCATCAAATTACAACTTTGTTCTACTTTTAGCCACTGGAGAGGACATCATAAACCTGACATTGCCCCACCATTTATTCCCTTTATATAAGAATTACGACTCTTTAGGGTCTAAAGCTTGTTCCGTTTAACCAGATATTAATCTTTTTATATTGCGTTTATTAATCTGGATGCAAATGTCAACCAGAGCTTGTGGTTGCTGCTACAACTCCGTCAGATTCAATTGTTTATACAGATAGATTCAACTAACTATGCAAACATGAATCTGACTTTTTGCTATATTTAGATGTTAATTTAAAAGCAGCTTTCTCATTCAAAGGCTGGGAATCACAGTTGCCCTTCAGTTGGACAGAAGACTGATAACCAGCCAAGGAAGCAAGTGTTTTATATCAAAGGTTATTCACAGTAAGACTTGAGGCTGTGACAAATGGTTGAGCCCTGAGAGCATTGCTGAGGAGACAGCTATATTTGTATTTCTACCAAATAAGCACACCCAGGAGCACAAGAGATCAAGTTTCACATTTTTATTGAATATATAGTCCTATTTTGTCTGGTGTGAAGTCCTCAGTATTTATCTTCTAATGCCCTCGCCCCGTCTTTGCCAGTTCAGTGTCATCTTTCAACAAGGAAAGAATGCAAACTACCACACTTCATATAACATGATCCCCTCCTTGCCCCATATGGGGAACAAACACTTGCCTTAAGGGAAGGTCAAGCTGCATGCCCGGCCTTGTCTTCACATCATCTGTCAGGGCGCGCACTACAACAGGACCATTTAAAGAAAGGGTTTAAAAATACATCTGCACCCTTGAGACAACGCAAGTGCCTGTTCAGAACAACCTGGAGACACAAATCTAATCACCTGTTCGGCAGAGATTCCACAAGGGAGATTTGAGCTATGAACAACCGTAACAGAATTTACTGTGACAAATAAAACAAGTCACATGATGACAGAAGACTCATGAGACTTGAAACAATCTGGTAGCAGAGTCACGGTATAGGTGGTAGAAAAAAGGTCACGAACAGCAGGCATTGGTGGTCCGACCTTAGGGTAAAGCTGTCAGTCGTGTTTAAACCTTTGACTTTTAGCAGTACAGAGTGGGAAATTAGAGGGTCAAGGTCTTTGCCCCGGCACTGGCGGGTTCTTCAGTGAGAAAGCATTTGGATACTTGAAAGTAAAAGTGACAGAATGAGCTTTAAGTTTTAGAACTGGAGGGATTGTTTAGGTAGATTTTTTTTGGTAACACTTTACAATAACCATAATTTATAAATGGTGAATAGAGAGTTTATTAATGTTTGATCACCACTTAAAAAGAGCATATAGACCAATTATAAATGGCAAATAGATAGTTTATTAATGTAAGTTAATAGTAACTTTAACATTGACAAGCAATGAAATTATGATTAATAATTTTTTTATAAATCATTAATGGACTATTTATTAAAGTTTTATATAGGGTTTTAATATTGGTTGTAAAACATCTAGATTAAAATGTGTGTCAGTAGCACTTTGTAAATGGTTAATATTTGGTTTTTAAACCATCTATAAACATTACTCAGATGGTTATTGTAAAATTGCAACTGATGTCTGTAATACTTGTAAATGATTAATAAGTGGTTTATAAATCATCTATAAACATTACTTAAATGGTTATTGTAAAGTTAGGGTTGGGATTTTAAAATTGTAAAATTTAGAATTTATTAATGGTCTATATGCTATTTATAAATGATGATTAAACATTAATAAACTATCTGCTTGCCATTTAAAAATTGTCTATTTACCATTTATAAGTTATGGTTATTATAAAGGGTTATCCACTTTTATAGGGGATTTGGGAAAAGAAAAACTGCTCAATTATTTTTTATTGTAACAAATCAAATCCCCCCCCAAAATGGAATAATTTCAAAGTTAAAACTGAAGTGAGTGATTATAATGAGAAACAAAAGGAAGTGACTAACCTGTGTTGCAAGACTGTCTCTTTTCCTTACAAATTAGAGACCCTGATGCCAAATTATCAACATTTTTGCCACCAGGTTTTTCTCGTATACGCATCATATTTGATTTAACAGGTATGGATTTTTAACCATGAAATCAAATTTAATTTGCACTATCCTTTTTACATGTTCATGTAATATTGGAATAAGCTGTGCCAGAAGAAGTGCCACTTACATCGTCATTTACTCACTCATACATAGCAGAAGAGAAAATAGATGATGGCAAATGACCTGAACATGATGTAAGGAGTCCAATCCTCTTGTAACTTGATTCAAACAGCACAATACAGCTCGCTGGAACCTTATAGAGGTTCACTCAGTCGTCTGAATGAAACAGATGTCTCATAGTAGGTTTGTTGACACCTCTTCGGTTTGCAAACACGGACAGTGTGTTTTGAAACTGAATCAGTGATTTGACATTTGTAATCGGAGTCATACTCAGTCGCTGAAAATTAATGTGATCAAAGAGGATCAGTGTGGACCTTTACCATAGCTCCTCTTTTAAAGTATTCTCATTACTTTGTCTAATGAGGACCCCATGGTGTGAAAATGTCCATAATATCATGTTTCAGAGACGGTCCCTAGAAAGCTTGCGCCCTCTGACCTGCACTCGCCCGAGCCAGACGACCCCTTTTAGGATGGCCGTGGCTGCGCGAGTTTGAGGATTATCACACCCTTATAAACCATGTCAAAAATCAGACGTCTGAGCACGTAGACTGCTAAATATTTGTCATTCATGAAAGCGAATTTTTAGAGTCAATCGTGGGTCAAATCTGTAAAAAACCAAGCCCTCAAACTGGGCCTGAGGTCTGCCAGTGGGAGATTATTGGAAACCTGATACCATCACCCCTCCAGGCAGCCCTCTGGAAGTCATGAAGGCTAAAATCAGTGAAAGGAGAGCATGAAAAAACAGTTTTAACTTTGTTCCCTCTTTAGCTGACTGATAATAATCATTGTCAAGTTTATTAATGTACAAGAACTTCAAACAATAAAAAGTACATTTAGTAAAAATTAGACAGAGGTTACAATACTTACAAAAGTCATCTATTCGATAAATAACCATTTAAGACACTTGAATTAAAATAAGAAAAACAGCACAAGGATCCCCTGGGACTGTATTCATCTTAATGATGAGCCAAATACAGATGTGGAGCTCAGAGTGATTCCTCAATAATCATATCATGCTGTCCAGCCCCTTCAGATTAAAATCGAATAATCAAAATATGTTAAAATTAATCTGGATATTTAGATAAACTTTGAGCATTCTTCTCAATATTCATAATAAAAGATATCAAAAATATTCAAATGTAGCCATGAGACACGATCAGTACTTCAGTCTTAACCTTTGAAGACATATTACTTAGTCTGTTTATGCAGTGGTTAACTGGACGAGTAATACTTGTTGACATATGCGTCATCTGTAGTTTCTTATGTCATTGTCGACACTTGTAATGATCTAAGACATACAATATTACTTGTAACCCAAAGAGCATGTCACCCATGTTATTGTGTGTGTAATACTATCACCTCAACTCACACACAGGCCCCTGCACCCCGATTGCCACCTTAAGTTGTCCTAACGAGATAATTAGACCTTTTGGCAGGTAGCTTTATCATTAAAAGAGGTGTAGGGATCTCAGGTTGAGAGGCTCATGTCAAGAATTTATAGATTAAAATAGATATTAGGATACTTGTGCAAAAAAGCTGTGTTTTTTATGTCATGTTATTACCATGATGTTGCATGTATTTGCATCATGGGAACTGGTTGAGAAGCAGATGCCATGACCATATGTTTGACAAGTTATTTTCACAGGATGCGTATGTCATGTTTCCTAAACACGTGTGAACCCACAGAGGAAATTAGAGCGCTATAAATACAAGTATTGTTCTTCTTTCTATTGTCCTTTCCCCTCGTACAGAACAAATCTAATTTACTCCGGGATTGTATAAAAGGCAGACCTCAGGGAGTGTTTCTGTTATCTTGAGGTATCATCATTTCCACAGGTTCTTAGATTAGCAGCTGTTAGGCTCTATTCTGCTCCTTTGTCACAGCGAAGACTTGCGAGGCTTCGGCAACAGAATACCAGCGACATATGAGAGCTTCTCCACGGCTAAAGTCAGATCCCCTGCAGTGCCAAGGTGCATTAAAGAGATTATTGTAAAGACCAAAACAATGTCTGAACTTCAGTGACCAATACACCGCCCAGAACAATATTTACACAAGGTTAAAAATGCTGCATTGTAAGAGCATTGTAAGGTCTATATATACACTTTAAAACTCAGTCTCTATAGCTTGACTGTGCCTTTTGTTTGGCACCACTGCCGTGCCAGTGACATTGTTTACAATGAGACAAATGTTTGAAGTGCTCCCTTATGCCATGTGTTCAAGCCCTGAGGGACACAATGTCTTCTATTTAATACAACTCATACCAAGTTATAATCTTATGAGTGATTAAGAAAACACTGCAGTAACATTTTCTTTATGTGTGTTTATGTTGGAATTAATCTGGTGATGACACAAATGAGGATGTACTCACTAATGATTCATAATCATTAACATACTTTGTATTTACTCTCAATTTAGATTCTTATCATTGGGAAAGAAAGTGGTAAGAGTTTAATCTTTGATAAACTGTCGGTGTTGTATGGTGACAAAAGACGGCACATATCCAATAAGACAAAAAATACACAAGCATGAGAGCTTTTAAGTACATGACCAAATAAAGCAAGTCGCTCTGCTGACTGAACACTGATCTCTCTATATAAGAAGGAGGCTGGACCCCCCCGTGGACTGACAGGCAACCAGTCAAGGTGAGTGGGATACAGTCTTTTATTAGCAGGAGGAAAACCAGCAGCTTAATGAACAATGCTGAGCATGACCACTTGCTGCCAGACACTTCAAGTGCATTCAGAGCTGATGGGTTAACGTTCGGATTTTAATGTACAGTGAGCTTTGTTTTATTGTGAAAGGGTTCAATCACCGTTATCGAGATTTCTTTTTTTTTCTTTTTTCTCCAGAATCCTCATTAAACCATCAACAGCTGTTCTTCTGAGGGAAAGGGTGAAGGTAATAGACTGTTTTAAGACTTCTTAATCGTCACAAGTACCAAGTGTGTGCAGCAGTAAATCATGTTTAACTTCACTTAGTGTTCAATAGTGAACAAATCAATTAACAAAGCTGTGGATGTACATCTCCATTCACGCTCTACTGATGTATCATTTAATTGGAGTGAATTCGAGTGTCTGATACTTAATGTACTATACTGTACTGTAAGAAGTCAAAGCTTTCCCATTGAGTTAATACAATTATTGAAAAATTTTACATCGAAGCAATTTCATCATTGCAAATAGTTTATATAGCTATTGTAATAATTGTCCAATTCTGATCCAGTCTGATTAGCATGCAAAAGTAACACCTCTTTGAATTTTGCAATGTTAAAAAGAGCAATATTAAACATATGAGTTTTTACTTACTTGCAGTAAAGGGGCACCATGAGTGGGGACGCAGAAATGGAGTGTTTTGGCGCGGCAGCGCCATACCTCCGCAAGCCAGAAAAAGAGAGGATAGAGGCACAAAACAGCCCTTTTGATGCTAAAACTGCATATTTTGTGACTGAGCCCGCGGAGATGTACCTGAAAGGAAAACTCATAAGCAGAGAGGGTGGTAAAGCCACCGTGGAGACACTCTGTGGAAAGGTGAGTGGGGGTCAAGATTGCTCTTTGTGAAAGTTGCTTTAAATTGGTGTTGTTAAAAAAGAGATGTCAACTATTTGTCTTTGTGATGGTACCTCTTGCAACAAAAACACAATGCTATTACAATCTTGAATAACTAAGCCACCAACTAACTGATCTTGGTTTAAAATAAAAAATCAAATTAAAATTCTTTGTAAAAAGTTTTACTGTCGATAACCTGTCTGTAATAGCAATAGAAATGAATTCTGATCAGCTTGCTCTAATCACTTCTGTCACTGTTACAGACCATTACTGTAAAAGATACGGAAGTCTTCCCCATGAACCCTCCAAAGTTCGATAAAATCGAGGACATGGCCATGATGACCCACCTCAGTGAACCCTCTGTGCTGTATAACCTCAAAGAGCGTTATGCGGCATGGATGATCTACGTGAGTGGACCGGAGTATCACAGTGATAGATGAAAGCTGTCTCTGTGAGGAAGTGTGTCAATAAAAGTCCTCTCTGTTTCCCTGCAGACCTACTCTGGGCTGTTCTGCGTCACTGTGAACCCCTACAAGTGGCTCCCAGTGTATGACTCAGGGGTTGTAGCAGGATACAGAGGGAAGAAGAGGATTGAGGCTCCACCTCATATTTTCTCCATCTCTGATAATGCCTATCAGTTCATGCTCACCGGTGTGTATGAAACATGCAAAGATTGGATAATGTACACAAGACTAGCATGAAACTTTAAAATGATCTGAAAAGCATTTTAAAAAATTCTCCCTTTTTTTTTTTTTTTTACAGACCGTGAGAATCAGTCTATTCTTATCACGTAAGTTCAATCTTTTGTTTTGTAATTTTTCACCTAACAGTGAATCAATCTTAAAGCATGAAAGAAAAGCCTTGGCACACAATACCTTATAGCATAATCTAAACACCATGCCCAAATGTTTGTGTGAGAATGCACTAAACAAACTGACTCTGATTTACCTTTTTTGTGCCGAAAAGTGGAGAATCTGGTGCAGGAAAGACTGTCAACACCAAACGTGTCATCCAGTACTTTGCAACAATTGCAGTGTCTGGAAAGAAGCAAGAGCACACTCCTGGCAAAATGCAGGTAAATAAACAACAACAAAAACAAGCAGATTTTTTGACAGTCACTAAAAGCACTGTTTTCTGTTTTCCTACGTACTCGTTCACAAAATACTAGGGCTCACTTGAAGATCAAATCATCGCAGCTAATCCCCTACTGGAGGCTTATGGTAACGCCAAAACAGTGAGGAATGACAACTCATCCCGCTTTGTAAGTGTCTTATTTATATAAACATATTCTTTATATTTCATTTATTTTTACCTCTGTCAGAGGGCAACAAGATTCAATTCTTGAAAATTCTCCTTACCCAGGGTAAATTCATCAGAATTCATTTTGCAACATCTGGGAAACTGGCCTCAGCAGATATTGAAACATGTAAGACAAGAAGCCAATCCTTTGTCTTTGTGCCATCGGCTCTGTGAACAGAACTGATCAGCACCTAACTGTGTACTTGACAGATCTGCTGGAGAAGTCCCGAGTCACCTTCCAGCTGTCTGCTGAGAGAAGCTACCACATCTTCTATCAGCTCATGACAGGCCACAAACCAGAGCTGATAGGTAAGACATTTTTGATTTGAAAGGCTATTGACTGGTAGTTCTATTGTTTATCTCATACACAATAGATTTATCAGATTTAATCTCATACATGATTCTTTCATGTCAGAGGCTCTCCTCATCACCACCAATCCCTACGACTATCACATGATCAGTCAGGGTGAAATCAGCGTCAAAAGTATTGATGACATTGAAGAATTCATTGCCACTGATGTAAGGAAATTTTATGAAATTCACACCCTAAAAAACATGGATGTGTGTTTGAATTTATAACCTTGCTTCCTAAAAATAAAACTTTGAACCTCACTTTCTTTGAATACTTGCAGACAGCAATTGACATCCTGGGCTTCACTGCAGAGGAGAAAGTTAGCATGTACAAGCTGACTGGAGCTGTGATGCAACATGGAAACATGAAGTTCAAGCAGAAGCAGCGTGAAGAGCAGGCTGAGCCTGATGGCACTGAGGGTGTGTTGACAGACTTTTTTTTCCCTTCCTGACAGCAGAAGTCTCGAGTAAGCCTCCATAAAGTGACATTTGGATCCTAATGTTTTGTTTTTTTAGTTGCTGACAAAATCTCATACCTCATGGGTCTGAACTCAGCTGACCTGTTGAAGGCATTGTGTTACCCGAGGGTGAAAGTCGGGAATGAGTTAGTAACCAAGGGTCAGACTGTTCCTCAGGTAAAATGTTCTCTTTCAATATAACCCTGTGAATCATCCCTCTGTAGCCCATAGAACACCTGAAAACAATGACTTAGATTATTCACCCTCAGAATCTTCTGTCATATTAACCATTATTTCTGCAAACTCAGGTCAACAACGCGGTGATGGCTCTCTGCAAGTCTGTCTATGAGAAAATGTTCTTGTGGATGGTGGTCAGAATTAATGAGATGTTGGATACCAAGCAGCCCAGAAGCTTCTTCATTGGTGTCCTGGATATTGCTGGGTTTGAAATCTTTGATGTAAGTGTGCTTAACAGCTAGTGAATAATCTTTTGTCGCCTGATATAAAAAAGGTCAACATCAATCCATGTCACTTAAAGCCTTTACTGACTTTTGATTTCTTATCAATTTAGTACAACAGCTTGGAGCAGCTATGCATCAACTTTACTAATGAGAAACTGCAACAGTTTTTCAACCACCACATGTTTGTGCTGGAGCAAGAGGAGTATAAGAAAGAGGGAATTGAATGGGAGTTCATTGACTTCGGTATGGATTTGGCTGCCTGCATTGAGCTGATCGAGAAGGTGGGTGATATTTTTGATGTTCTTAAACCCTGATAACTCTGCGATGACTTCAAAATTTTAGTTTCAAATAATCATCTCATTATGACAGCCAATGGGCATCTTCTCCATCCTTGAAGAGGAGTGCATGTTCCCCAAGGCAACAGACATGACCTTCAAGAACAAACTGTATGACCAGCATCTCGGGAAAACCAAGTCCTTTGAGAAGCCAAAACCAGCCAAAGGCAAAGCTGAGGCCCACTTTGCTCTGGTGCACTATGCTGGCACTGTTGATTACAACATAACTGGATGGCTCGACAAAAACAAGGACCCTCTGAATGACTCAGTCGTTCAGCTCTACCAGAAGTCTTCAACTAAACTGCTGGCCTACCTATATGCATCACATGCTGCAGCAGATGGTAAATGCTCTTACCTTGATGTTGATATTTTGAATTCAATAATCCTCTTAACATCGATGTAATGCTAATATTTTTCCTCTTACAGCTGAAGCTAGTGGCAAGAAGGCTGGCAAGAAGAAGGGTGGCTCCTTTCAGACAGTGTCTGCACTGTTCAGAGTAAGAAACTGTCTGAATAAGGCGGCTTAGCTTTAGGTTTATACTTTTTCTAAATTTAATGTCCTTTAAATCCACAGGAGAACTTGGGCAAGCTGATGACCAACTTGAGGAGCACTCATCCTCATTTTGTGCGCTGCCTGATCCCAAATGAATCTAAGACACCAGGTAAGCTTGATATCAGAAGTAATTTATGCATGTGAATATGACTCAACGTGATGCTAACTTCAGCATGTCCTTTAGGTCTCATGGAGAACTTCCTGGTCATCCACCAGCTGAGGTGTAACGGAGTGCTGGAAGGAATCAGGATCTGCAGGAAAGGCTTCCCCAGCAGAATCCTCTACGGTGACTTCAAGCAGAGGTAGCAGAAATATGAACTGGCAAATTTTGAAACTGTTTTACTTATCTCAGTGTCTACTGTGTGTCTAACTGAGGGAATTATTCACTTTTAGATACAAAGTATTGAATGCTAGTGTCATCCCAGAGGGCCAATTCATCGACAACAAGAAGGCCTCTGAGAAACTGTTGGGATCCATTGATGTGGACCACACACAGTACAAGTTTGGCCACACTAAGGTAAAGTGAAACTCATCCCTTGAAAGGAGGATTCCCTGAAATGTTTCAGATGCCATCATTGATTAATACTTTTTAAGAGAATTTCATTTGTTTACTTGCAGGTGTTCTTTAAAGCTGGTCTGCTGGGCACACTTGAGGAGATGAGAGATGAGAAACTGGCGGAGCTGGTCACAATGACTCAGGCTCTCTGCAGAGGTTTCCTCATGAGAACAGAGTTTGTCAAGATGATGGAGAGAAGGTAATGTTTCTGTTTGATAATCCCCTTTAAATATAAATTCATATTTTGGAGTAAACATCTTTTTATACTAAATAATTTAACGGAATTCTCTTCACTAATTTCTGTTTTGTATTTTCAGAGAGGCCATCTTCTCAATCCAATACAACGTCCGCTCATTCATGAATGTCAAAACATGGCCATGGATGAAGCTCTACTTTAAGATTAAGCCTCTGCTGAAGAGCGCAGAGACTGAAAAGGAGATGGCACAGATGAAAGTGGACTTTGAAAAGACCAAAGAGGACCTTACAAAGGCCCTAACTAAGAAGAAAGAACTGGAGGAGAAGATGGTTTCCTTGATACAGGAGAAAAATGACCTTCTGTTGCAAGTGCAATCTGTAAGTCTGACTATGACACAGAATAGTGTTGCTTGTCGCTTAAAATCCTTCATGAGATGACTAATTTGGCAACGACATGCTCCTGCTTGCACTGACTTTTAGGAAAGTGAAAACCTCAGTGATGCAGAGGAAAGATGCGAGGGGCTCATCAAAGCCAAAATCCAGCTCGAGGCTAAGCTCAAAGAGACGAGTGAGAGACTGGAGGATGAGGAGGAAATGAACTCTGAGCTGACGGCAAAGAAGAGGAAGCTGGAGGACGAGTGCTCTGAGTTGAAGAAAGACATCGATGATTTGGAGCTCACTCTGGCAAAAGTGGAAAAGGAGAAACATGCCACTGAGAACAAGGTTACAAAAAGGCCTCTCTAATCATAATCATAATCAAAAGTTAAAACTGTTTCTTCTTGATAATAATTTATGTTCACTTTAACAGGTCAAAAACCTCACAGAGGAAATGGCCTCTCAAGATGAGACCATTGCCAAGTTGTCCAAAGAAAAGAAAGCCCTCCAAGAGGCCCATCAGCAGACCCTTGATGATCTCCAGGCAGAGGAAGACAAAGTCAACACTCTGAGCAAGGCTAAGACCAAGTTGGAGCAACAAGTGGATGATGTGAGTCGTCAGCATTGAAAATATCTTTTTATATAAGTAAGCCAGGATTTCATTCCTGGTTGGTTTGCCTGCGGTTGGCATGGTAACAGCAAACGTTGGTAGATACCAGAGTTTTCAGGGGCAACAAAGGCATCAGAGGCAGTCAAAAACAATTTGTTCAAGACCCACTCCAATGAAAATACTACTTATGATATGAGCTTGCATTGTGTCCCTAAAGACATTAGTGTCCGAGAGCTGAATAGCTCCTATGTTACCTGCCACTTCTGCTGCACAGGCAATGTTAGGCTACAAGCTAACGTGAAGCCGAGTGTGCGGAGCAGCGCTGTCTCCGCCCAGCAGCGAATTGCTAATGATCTACTAGAGCTCTGTAGAAGAAAAGACCTTGAAAATTACTCAGGTAATGCAATTTTTGGTAAAAACGTCAATCACAATTTAAAGACCACTTGGAACACTTTAAGTAGAAAAAAAAAAACGATCGGAGTGGAACTTTTTGACTGCAGGCAAACAAACTCACTCAGTAATGCAAGAACTGTTTCAATTGTCCTAATATCAACATTGTGACTTAAAATTTATGGAATATTACTTTCCCCTGACAGCTTGAAGGTTCTTTGGAACAAGAAAAGAAGCTTCGTATGGATCTTGAGAGAGCCAAAAGGAAGCTTGAAGGCGATCTTAAATTGGCCCAAGAGTCCATAATGGATCTGGAGAACGATAAGCAGCAGTCTGAGGAAAAAATAAAGAAGTAAAGATGAATTAATACCATACATAAATTTTGCCTACTTTTTCTTTAGACTATTTTGCAAGTGGAGCTGATTAAAGTTAACTCTTCAAACTTCAATCAATTTTGTCCCATACAGGAAGGACTTTGAGACAAGCCAACTCCTTAGTAAAATTGAGGATGAGCAGAGTCTTGGAATCCAGCTCCAGAAAAAGATAAAGGAACTTCAGGTATTTTTACAAGGCAGTCAGACATACAAAATAAAAAAAATAATAAAAAACATTCACAAGTTTTCACTGAATGTGTGTTTCAGGCTCGTATTGAGGAGCTAGAAGAAGAGATTGAAGCTGAGCGTGCTGCTCGGGCCAAAGTAGAGAAGCAGAGGTCTGATCTAGCCAGAGAACTTGAAGAGATCAGCGAGAGGCTTGAAGAGGCTGGTGGAGCAACAGCAGCTCAAATTGAGATGAACAAGAAGCGTGAGGCCGAGTTTCAGAAGCTGCGCCGTGACTTGGAAGAGTCCACCCTGCAGCATGAGGCCACTGCTGCCGCCCTCCGCAAGAAGCAAGCCGACAGCGTGGCAGAGCTGGGAGAACAGATCGATAACCTCCAGAGAGTCAAACAGAAGCTGGAGAAAGAGAAGAGTGAATACAGGATGGAGATTGATGACCTCAGTAGCAATATGGAGTCCATCGCCAAATCCAAGGTGAGGCTCAGAGATGCCACACAGCAAGAAAAACATCTCAGAGACATGTCTGTACAAACTGATGCCTTTTTTTTCTACCAGGCAAACCTTGAGAAGATGTGCAGGACATTAGAAGATCAGCTGAGTGAGCTCAAATCGAAGAACGATGAAAATGTCCGTCAGCTGAATGACATAAGTGCCCAGAAAGCAAGACTCCAGACTGAAAATGGTAATGAAAGGAGTTAATTGTCATGATACTATGTATCAGTTCAGAAGTTATCCACTCGTTACTTTTTTATTTAGACATACACTTTCTCACAGTTTGGTTTATCAGATTTTGTAGCATCATTGCTTTGAACAACAAAAGATGATTTTAGTGTGTATATTAATGATTATCCCAAAGAAACTGACATCGATCTTTACCAAAGTAAACTTTGGATTTCTAACAACTGTGCTCTAGCCCCTAAATCTTTCACTTTATTTATCTACATTTTGTTGCACATGTTTGCCTTTTACACATAGTAACAAATTAACTAGAAATCCTCTCTTAAACAATAAGTATACCAGTTGGAATTCCTGATTTTACTGTAAATCAAATATAACCTTTGGTTAGGTGAATATACACGCCAGGTGGAGGAAAAGGAAGCCCTCGTCTCTCAGCTGACTAGAGGAAAGCAGGCCTTCACTCAGCAGATTGAAGAGCTGAAGAGACACATTGAAGAAGAGGTTAAGGTAGGTGAATAATAACTGAGAAAAGAGCTTCCAGACAATTGTAAAGGATTAGTTTGGTGCAGTGTTATATATGTGCTGGTTTGTATCATAGGCCAAGAATGCCCTGGCACATGCTGTTCAGTCATCTCGCCATGACTGTGATCTGCTCAGAGAGCAGTTTGAGGAGGAGCAGGAGGCCAAAGCTGAGCTTCAGCGTTCAATGTCCAAGTGTAACAGTGAGGTGGCTCAGTGGAGAACCAAATATGAGACTGATGCCATTCAGCGCACTGAGGAGCTGGAAGAGGCAAAGTAATGAACGGTCCTGGAATCTATCAGGTTTTCTTCAGCGCGTGTTCTTTAAATCATGTTAAAATCCTGTTCTCTGCACATTTTATTAGGAAAAAACTTGCCCAGCGTCTTCAGGATGCAGAGGAATCAATTGAGGCTGTAAATGCAAAATGTGCCTCCCTGGAGAAGACCAAACAGAGACTGCAGGGTGAGGTGGAGGATCTAATGATCGACGTGGAGAGAGCCAACGCTATGGCTGCTAGCCTTGACAAGAAACAAAGGAACTTTGACAAGGTTTGATATTTTCCACATAACATTGTTGAGACTGTAATAAGAGGTGAGAAAACACTCCAATGTTTGTTGTACTTTAAAGATTCTTGCAGAGTGGAAACAGAAGTATGAGGAGAGCCAGTCAGAGCTCGAGGGAGCTCAGAAGGAGGCTCGCTCATTGAGCACAGAGCTTTTCAAAATGAAGAATTCATACGAAGAAGCTCTGGACCAACTGGAGACCATGAAGAGAGAGAACAAGAACCTGCAACGTAATTCATTCTTACTTCCAGATTTATACCAACAATATGAAGTCAATATATCAAGATTATTGTCATCGCTGCACATTATCGGTAACTTTTTTATTTTTAAATAAAGTTTTATCAATATACCCCAACAGAGGAGATCTCTGACTTGACTGAACAACTTGGTGAGACCGGTAAGGCAATTCATGAGCTTGAGAAAGGAAAGAAGACGGTGGAAAGTGAGAAGACGGAGATCCAGACTGCTTTAGAGGAGGCAGAGGTAAATCTGAATCATCATTTTAACAGTTGAAGCTCACCAGCACATTAGCAGGACAACTTTCATGGACAAACCACTTAGCTGTTGTGCAAGGCAGGGGGAAGGATAAGGCTTATTTTTATAGTAAATTAATCATATATTTACTCACATTTAAAATCTGAAAGCGCACTTTATCAGTTTGTATTCTGCTGTGGTTTTAAGACTGCTCTCAATATTGAGCAAGTTTCAGTGCCCACCTATATCTGAACTATAGTATCTTGTAAAGGTGTTTAGTTTGTGCACCTTTTTCACAGTGACTCGATTTCTTACTTTTCAATCAAGAAACTGTATGTGCTCTAGTTGTTTAAGCTTACACTTGTTTACAGGCAACCCTGGAGCACGAAGAGTCCAAGATTCTACGTGTTCAGCTGGAGCTCACCCAAGTCAAGGGGGAAATTGACAGAAAACTTGCTGAGAAGGACGAGGAGATTGAGCAGATCAAGAGGAACAGCCAGAGAGTGATAGAGTCAATGCAGAGCACTTTGGATTCTGAGGTCAGGAGTAGAAATGATGCCCTGAGAATTAAAAAGAAGATGGAGGGAGACCTCAACGAGATGGAGGTTCAGCTGAGCCATGCGAACCGGCAAGCGGCTGAGGCCCAGAAACAGCTGAGGAACGTGCAAGGACAGCTGAAGGTACAGCTAAGGAATACTAGGGGAACATCTAGTTTATGTATCTCAGAGTGTTTGTTAATATATCTATTAATACTTTAAAATTAAGGATGCCCAGCTGCATCTTGATGAAGCTATCAGAGGTCAGGAGGACATGAAGGAGCAGGTTGCCATGGTGGAGCGCAGAAACAACCTGATGCAGGCTGAGATCGAGGAGCTGAGAGCTGCTCTGGAGCAGACTGAGAGAAGCCGCAAAATAGCTGAACAGGAGCTGGTAGATGCCAGTGAGCGTGTGGGGCTGCTGCACTCTCAGGTACTGTAAAAAACAAAAACTGCACCACAAACAATTTGGTTGATGAAAGGAAAGATGGGAAACTATGATTGTTTTTTTTTTCTTTAGAACACCAGCCTCATCAACACTAAGAAGAAGTTGGAGTCAGATTTTGTCGCAGTTCAAAGTGAAGTGGAAGATGCTGTTCAAGAAGCAAGAAATGCTGAAGAAAAGGCCAAGAAGGCCATCACTGATGTGAGTAAGCTTGTACTGTGTAATCAAACACAAGGTTTGATACATAACATGATTAAGGCTATTTCATCTCTGTGTGTTGTGTTTATAGTGTACACTTCAAAAAACCACCTGAGACTACTTTTTTCAACATTTCAGGCTGCCATGATGGCTGAGGAGCTGAAGAAGGAGCAGGATACCAGTGCTCATTTGGAGAGGATGAAGAAGAATCTGGAGGTGACAGTAAAGGATCTGCAGCACCGCCTTGATGAAGCTGAGAATCTGGCTATGAAGGGAGGCAAGAAGCAGCTCCAGAAACTGGAGTCTAGGGTAAAGATGAATTTGATACTCAGGTAAATATTTTATCAAATTTTGTCCTTCTGTACAAAAGCAGATCTTGTTCTTGTTTAAAAGGTGCGTGAGCTTGAAGTCGAGGTTGAAGCTGAGCAGAGACGAGGAGCAGATGCCATCAAAGGTGTTCGTAAATATGAGAGAAGAGTGAAGGAGCTCACCTATCAGGTTACCAAATATTTTCTTCCCTATTATTTTGTTAAATTTATTGGGTTGAACAGATGTGCAAATTCATCAATAATCCTGAATTCTTGTGGACCGCAGACTGAAGAGGACAAGAAGAATGTCGTCAGACTTCAGGATCTGGTGGACAAGCTGCAGCTGAAAGTGAAGGCCTACAAGAGACAAGCTGAGGAGGCTGTAAGTAACAAACATGTTACAACTTTCACTGAATTCATTCAAATACATTTACTTGCACTACACTTGTTCCTTTAATACAACAACACTCTGTCTCTATGAGTGTAAATGTCTTGACAGCAAAAATGTTGACATCTTACTGAATTCTCTCACAGGAGGAGCAGGCCAACACTCATCTGTCCAGGTACAGGAAGGTGCAGCATGAGATGGAGGAAGCTCAGGAGCGTGCTGACATCGCTGAGTCCCAGGTCAACAAACTGAGGGCAAAGAGCCGTGACATTGGAAAAGTAAGTAGTACATAGGAAAGAGAGGCAATGAGCTGCAACAGCAGTTTGATTGGTTACCAACAGTCTTACAGTAAAGGAACTAAATTGATGAAATATACGTAGCTTGACTAGTATGCTTAAGAATGCTTCTGTAAACATATTTAGTGTCTTTATTTAATTTATGAATAGGTAAATTTAAAGCTACATCCTTGTTACTAATTTGTCCTTTTTTCTGCCCACTTTAGGGAAAGGACAGTGAAGAATAAGAAATAAACTTTTTGAGAGTCACCATGAAAATCATAAAATATGAATTTTCATCAAACCACTCTCATCTTAAATTGTAGATTCATATTAAATAAACTTCATGGCCAGTCTTTTGTCTTTGAAACTTTTGTTCACCCCACAAACACATCTGCCTACAACTGGGTTTGAGACAAATGGGAAGAAATCAATCCTCTTCTAAGTAAAAAACAAACAGTACTTTGTTGATCATATTGATTTGATAGATGCAGTAGCGGTTCTAGGCACGGGCGAACAGGGCAGCCGCCCGGGGCGGCATTTGTGTCGTGACTCATGGGGGGCGGCACGAGCACTTCCAAAAAAATAAAATAAAAGATAATAATAATAAATCTTAACCGCAAAGCGGTTTTGTATTAACTCTTGTTGTCAAATTGGCGCCCCCCGCTGCTGTAGGCGCCCCTGCTTGCTCCGGAGGTGCTGCACAGAGGCTGACAGACTGTATGAGACGAGGCGGGGAGAGAGTCGCGGGGGGACTGCTCTGCTCTGTGTACGCATGTCAGCATATCAGCGGGAGCGCGGATACGTCATTTTGTAGTTTTTTAATCATTTCTGGAGTCGTGGTGAATGAAATCACCGTACCCGTCTGCCTCTGATAGACGAATAAAGCGCTCGGGTTCATGCTCGGATCTTGCTACGTGCTTGATGAGCTTCATGAGTAAAGTAAACAATGATGGAGGCAGAGAGCAGCTTCAGAGGAGAAACATCCAGCAGTGTGAACAACCTCTTCATATGGAGTGCTGTGGCTTTGGAGGGGTGCTCGCCCGGGGAGTAATTTGGTCTAGAACCGCCACTGGATAGATGTATATAAAGGTATGTATCAAATACGATACAAAAGGCAATAAAGGGATAAGGAGTTTCCTTTGTTGTTAGTATGGTATGCAGTTTATTGCTCTTATTCTTTTTTAACCTGGAATATGAAGTCATAAGTCTTTTTTTTCCCAACATCAAATGGGACATAATGTAGAAAAACTAACCTTACAGAGGTTCTGGGTATCCAAAGTATCTAACGACCCATAAAATGAGACTGACAGCAGGAGCCCTGTCAGCTTTGCTTTAGTGGTATCTTGTATAGCAGCATTACATTTAAGTATCACATAGATTTAAATGGTAGCGACATTTTTATGACACTCACATAATCGGTATAGACCACTGTTTTCTCTCGACATTTCACAAAATCAGCGATTCAAGGCAGCGAGTGTCGCTCTTAGCTAGGTAGGCTAATTACTGAAATTTTGTTTGGTCCAAAGTTCAGAGTTCAAAGTCCGTGACCATTTCAGACCGCCGTCCACCAACAATTAGCAGTTTGACTGTGCCCGCTACCATGAAGGAAGGAAGTGTTGAGTCGCTATTAAAGTTATCATCTGTCAAACAGAAAAGAAACCTTGCCACCAGCACCGCTAAAGCTAGCTAAATACCATGGCTAGTAGTTTGGGGTTGCCAAGCAACCGGCAGAGACTCCAGGCTTTTGAACTGTAAAAACCGTAATAGACCCTTTTCACAGTACGCGGGAGTTAGCATCCACGATATTAACAAGCTCGCGACTCGTTTTTTTTTAAAGGTAATGTAAAATGTTATGCTTTGTGCTATTTTTGTTAACTCTTGTTCATAATACTGTCCGGATTTGGTACTTTTCGGGAATTATGTTTAATCGGTCATTACTGAAGAGCAATGGTTACCATCATCAGAAATTTTCCAGACCTATTAAACATAATTCCCGAAAAGTAAAGTAAAAGATCCGGACAGTATTATGAAGAACATGAGTTAGTAAAACAGCACAAAGCATAAAATTTTACATTACCTTTCAAAAAATATCGTGAAAAATGAATGGCCGTCTATGGGCGATGCTAAGTGGCTCCGCACGCTAACACCGGAAGTGAGCGGAATGCTAACTTCCGCGTACTGTGAAAAAGGTCTATTTCCAAAAATATTGTTCAAGACAGAGACAAATACCTGCGAATTCAATTCGGGACAAAGGCATATTGTTTCCTTTATCTTTATCTCTCTGTTTTTAATATTCTTATTATGCTGTTTCGGATCTATGGGTTTGATATGATGTCAACAGTTTATGGTTATACATTTTGCATAAACTCATTCTTTCGCCATGGTAGCTACCAAGTATGTCTTCTTTTCCTCCTCCTCCTTGACGACTAATGCAGGCAGCCTGTCATGTTCACATTACAAAAAACAGCACACAATTTAACAATTTAACATTACAGCCAGTGCCAATAGCCAAGGTGCCAACATATTTTATGCCGTTGATGGGGAAAATAGGTTCAAAAATGGAAGGTGTTATTATCCATGTCTCTGCAGAGATTATATTAAGGTCGACAAACCTGGTGGGGATGAAGTTACCACCCAATATATTTTGCTTCCTCTTTGGGGAGCCATTTCATTGTGTCAATTGACAGCTGCTTTTCACTCATCTCTGAATCTTATTGCACCTGTCTGCTCTTGAATCTGTGGCACCAGGCCAGACTTTATAGTACTGTTATTGTTGGAGAGGTCTGTCTTTAAAAGGAGATGAAAGGAAATTCAAATGAGTATTCGTACCAAATTTAGCTCAGTACTGTGGTCATTTAAAAGATGGATATATCAAACATTTTAAAAAGTTCTATTTTTCAAGTAAACAAATCAAGGAGTATCTAACCAAGTGCATATTTTAAATGTTGATTTTGGTACAGTCAGGTTTTTTGTCCACTAGATACTTAATCATTAACCATCCAAGTTTACATCTATTTACTGCCTCCACTCATAAAGTGCAAAATTACTAATAATACTGAAACTCACCATCTTCTTACTCATAAAAGGTAACATGCGCTCTCAATCCTAAATGATACATTGGTTCAGTAAAGTTCAGTTTGGTTTAGGAAGAAAAAGTAAACACTTGAAGCAACAGCAGATTATTTGTGATAGAAAACAGTTTTACCTGACGACAAATCAAGTTCTGTTGCAGACCTACCAGCCCTCGTTTCTCCTGAAAGGTTCATGTGTTCTGTGTCTGAACAGTTCAGTTTCTGAGAGAAGAGCCTCTGAGCTCTGCTGCTTATACTATATATGTGGGATTAAAATGACAAAACGGCTCAGACTGCTTTGCCAGACACTAATAGTCTGATTTCATTGCTAAATCAGACTATGTATTTCTCTTTGAGCCACACAACAAGATACCCTGCTTGCAGGAGAGTGGGTATCACTAATCCAAACAAGATTACAGAGAGCAGCTGGCCTGCAGCAGTGTTGTGTATCGGTGTAGCCAAAACATCCCAAAACCTCCATCCTGAGCTCTTAGTGTCAGTGGAAGTGGCCAGCAGCTTATCATGTTCCCCCTGTGAAGCCCAGCTCACCACTTGGTATCTTTACTGAGTGACATACTGAGCAAATGCAAACAATGACTCACACATGCTGTTGGACTCTTTCTTTTCTGGTCCTCACCAAGCCCCCTTAAACTGTAAAATGTTTAATCCTTGACAGGTGACACACAAACACAGTCTCCCCTCAGCATTAAATAGATGAAGTTTACAGGAGTTTGTGCATTGTAAAACTGCAGTTTACAACCAGTGCCAGATTGTCTGGCAAATTCCTGAGGAGGATATGAAAATTGGGAAACCTGAGGGCCAACAGATAGTTTTTCAAGGGGTCACCTTTGGTTGTAAAAATACCTTTTTGTTTTTTTATGCAGCCAAAAGCACCATGAACCATCTGGGTGTTAGTTTAAATTCTGTTACGAACAATAAGGACTCAAAGCTGAAGTGAAAAATATTAATAGCATTTAATCACCAAAGATATAAACATTTATATATTTGTAATATGACTGACAAAATCTTTACAAAGTTAGCCTTCATGGTCTGCTGACTGCATCACATCTTCTGTACAAAAATGAGGTGGCATTGTAATCTGGCACAAAGAGAGGAAACTGTAAACAACGTCAGCAAAATGAAAAGCAAAGATACAGCCAAACCTTAACCATCTCAGTATTTGATACTTATAGTAAATAAAATGACAAGGACATAGAGAATTCTTGTTTTCATGTCAGTTTCTCAGTTTTCTTGTAAACTGCTTAATGCATCCACGCAAGCTCCAAACACATTCAGCTTCTTTCTGGTCAACACAAATACTCAACACAATACCAAAGTAAATAAAGGATTACACAATGAAATTAAATGAGCAACTCATGAATCATTTTTATAAACAAAGTTACTCTATAAAAGGGTGTCCTCACACATGCCACTACCTTTTTTGTGTTAATAGAGCCTTTAATTGCATGAGCCATTTCCAGCATTTTTTGTCATGTTGTTTTTTTTTTTTCTGAATGACAGTAGTCTGATCAGGCAGTTTGTTGCTCTTAACTCTCCTCTGTGCTCTTATTTGCTGCAAAAGACCTAAAATGCAAATACTGACGGTAATAGGCTTCACTGAAGTCAAACTTTCAGCTTTTCTTGATAACATTTGAGCGCTGAGGCCTTGGCCGCACTACCCAGAAATATCCACAGAGGGCGTCCTCACTCATCGCCACAGCAGTGGAGAGCTGAATGTAGAGAGGAATGTAAAATATCCATCATACTATGTACACAAATCTGTAAACTGTTCAAAACATCATGCAAATAAATACCAGTAATTTAAAATGAAACTACAACACTGACCTCAAGAGTAGTATTATGCTGTCTGCTATGAAGAGTCTCACAAAATGTCTCTCCTTCAATGTACAACACTATCTTCTGAATACTGCAACATAACCTGAAGTCAATACTGCAGGTCTCAGAGTAAAAGCTTGTTTTTTTTGTTGTTGTTGTTGTCTTATTTTTCAAAGCATTGATCCTATTGAGGTCTCCGAACAGTGTTGAGATTGAAATCTCCCTCTCTGAGTCCCCACCATGCTCAGGGACTGCAGAGATGCACAACAGTAGGTTTACTGTATATAAACATTCTCTCATTTCAGTCGGTCCTAATGGAAAATTACATTTCCAACAAGCTTCAAATATAAGATATACAGTGCAGATGGGGGAAAATATGAAAACGGACGATGTCTGTGCTTTGATTCAAGGCTGAACCACAGTGTAGAGATAAACAACACAAAGCAGATGGGCAGCAAGGTTAGAAGTCAACGCTTTGACACACATCTGTCCATGAGAAGGCAGGAGGGGAGGCCAGCTGTTCAACACACCTCTGTTGTGCTCTTCGGCAGCTGAGCTGTGCTCCTTTTAAAATGTTTATTTAAGTCCATGAAGAGCATCTCTTCTTTGTTCCTGACTGAGAAGTCCATTTAGAGTTGAACCCTACGAACCTTTCGCTCAGCCAACAAAATGAATGTCCACGGGTGTAGATCCAAAGGTTCCTGCTTTCAAAAACAAGTGCACCAAGGCACTGCAAGGTGGAACGCTAGGCAGACTGAGAGAAACGACATTTTACAAAGATTTGACTTTTCAAAACATTTTAAAAATATCCTGTTAACTCTTTGATTGGTAACACAAACAGTAACACAAAAAGACAGCAGCAGATGGATCACTGTGGTAAAATGTTTCTTGTATTTTATCAAACAGATCTTCTAGTTAAAGATTGATGGTAAATTCAGTTTAAAGAGAAACAGCTGACTGTAAATCTACCTAACAGGTGTAACCTGGATTATCTCAAAACTACAGGAGTGCACAAAACTTAAAGATCAATTCATCAATAAGCCAGCTGGCAAATAAGTGTGTAATAATAATTACATTTTTTTGAAGTGTTTGTCTGCTGAATAGAGAAAATAAACATTTTAAAGCTTTTAGCTGGCACTCTGGGAAACTCTTGATCTCAACTTTCTAAACTTTCATATCATTTTTTCTTGTTTTGACAGAATATCTAATTATATCTATGCATGTACAACACACCACACAGAAAGGAGTTGTAACTATGAAAAAAGATTGCTATGTTGTATATCATTACAGTTTTGTGAAAGGTTGACTTTGCCATAACTGTCACGACGAGGTATGCATGATAAAATTTCAAAACTCTTCCACAGCGATTCATCACGTGCAGTGAGACATCGGTTCAATCTCAGTAGAGAGTCAAAAGCATCACATACTCATAACATATTTATAACACTGAAAGCTGTTTAAAAACTACATTCCCCATACAGAAGCATACATAAGTGCATAAATTCAAGCTGGACAATAGTGGCGATACAACGTAGAAAAAAGAGCCTCCTTTTGAAATATGTCAGCCACACTGACATCCACTTAATATATAATGTGCTATAATATACATGTCATTAATTATGTAACTTTAATGACATATTAATGTTCATGATCATTTGTGCTAGAGTAAATTATCCAATTATCACAGCAGCACTTTGCTAAACCATGCAATGGTCTCTAAGATTCACCTCTATATTTTCAAACTTAATCTGTGTAAACATTAGATCGTTTTGGTCAATTTTATGATATATGTTTTATATTCTTCAACCATCCATTGGAAGCACTTCAAGGTCACACCAAGGAAGCATTTGGACAAATCAAACTTCCACTTTTACGATCCTTTTTAGGAATGAAACTGCACAGATGTTTCATCACTGATAAGTGAAATCACTGATCCCACTGGAGATCTTATTCTGTTATTTCCATCACAACTTGGTCTTCAAAACTTTTGACAGTCAAAGTGCTTGAAGAAAATATTTAAGGGGAAAAATACTTTCTATCTATGGAATATTTCGATTTTAAGATTTAAGAGGCAGGATGTAGGATGTATTGGTGACGGCAGAGGAAAATCATTCTGGGTCATTGTGTCATATATGAGACCATTTTTAGTACAGTAACTCTCTTGGAAAAGGTCTGGATGAGGACTGAAGGACACTGAAGTAAGAGTAGAGTTAAGGCTCAGATCCACTCTCATGTTAAAGAGTAACTGCTGAAAGTGCAGGATTTCCTTTGTGTGCAAAGACTTTTTCTAGGACCTGACAGGCAGAGAAGACCTGGTGTGAATCATTTTTGTATAATTTCACAAAGCCATCAAAAGTAGGATTTCCAGAAGCTGCAGCATTTCAGCTGCGGGGAGGATGGATTCTGTTCTATGTAGGTATACAGATTCTGTTGTGGTACAATGTCATGCAGAAGCTGTCAGTCTGATGTGTGTCGACAGGGTAAAACTGTCAGATGTGCTAAAGACTTGATAGCTATACCAAACTTAAAATCCAAATGTAAAGTTAATCACTAAGTTTGGTTTAGAGCTACAAGGAAAACAAAAAGTTTGCAGAACTTCTCATCTGTGTTTTGATCGCTGGGTCACTACAGATTAAACAACACAGGGCTGCATATGCAGGGTTGATGTGGTTCACAGGAAAGACTAATATGGATATTAACTAAGTTGTGTCATCATAAAAAAAGCTTGTTCTTTTAAAGAGCAGAAGAAATAATTTGTCAGAACTTTTAGATCTCAAGAACTAATGGTTGCTATGAAAGGCAGACTGGAAATAGGGCTCAGAGTGTTTTTGATAATTGTTTCATACATTGTGGGGGGATATATCATGCATTTTAAACCACTAAATGGCAGGTGTAGCTTTTTTCCTCTTAATGTGTTTCAATCAGTGTCAGCGGGACCACTGAATGTCTTGAAATTGAGGTTCTTAAATGTAAACATACCAGCAATAATTCTCTGTTGTTATGATGCACTGAGATTGGTCCAGTCTTTACAAACTTTATCTTTAAAACTATTGGTACTTTAAGTGTAAATAATTGTCGACCTCAGTCAAATCACTGCAAGTTGACAGGAGTCAGACTAGATAATGAACAGTCCACTGAACAAGCAGCCTTCCTTGTCATTTTCAACAACACATTTTTGCAACATCTGATGCATTTGACCATTCCAAAAAAAGCAAGATGAGTTTGTTTTGTTTTTGTTTTTTTTCATAGAAAATACTACCTTGACATGTTCAGGACAAGATCATCTAGTTCAGTGATAAAATGTACTCTATTGCCCTCAGAAGGTGCTAAACTCAGCATAAACCAAAGGTTACTCACTGCAGCTTTAAATAAAATACCGAAGGCTAGCTTGTTAGTCATACTGCTGTAGTTTGGCATTTCAACTTCACATAAGTAAACGATCTAAATACTCCCCTCGCAAAACACGTGTTCACTTAAAAGTTATTTAATCAGAGTTTTCAGATCCTGCTTTCCTCAGAATCCGACATCAAGCTTAAACTGACATTTGTCCCAGCTGGGTTATTATTTATTGGTCCATTAAAAGTACATTACAGCTGCCTCCCTGACTTTGTTGTTTGTCTGGCTAAATTTGTGAGCTAAAATCTGAAACATGCTTGTCCTAGTTTAAGTTGCGTGCTCACCCAACACATTCTCTGCCTCGATTTTTTTTAACTCAAGACACACCAACAAATGCATACGCGATAAGGCAAAAGCACTAAGGGGCTGATCCACATCCTTTTTTTCCCAGCACAAATGCTATTCTGGGCCGTTTGTAGATCAAAAGAAGAATTATACAATTACTGTTTGGTATGACCTTCAGTAGATCTGAGCCTAAACCCAAAGAGATGTAAGATGTCAGTGTGAGTGTTTGTACGTGTCAGAGATGAAAAAGAGGCAGAATCAGCTGAATGAAGAGAAGAACTCCTATAGAGGATTGGAGAGCATGACCCCGTCCACACTCTGACGTGTTTTCCTGCAATGAGAATCGACAGTCAAGCTCTTATTCCACAGAGACGATTAATCAGGTCTTGTATGATGTGAAGGTTGTGTTTGCTTTACAAATGAAATCTGAGTCTCATTTTGAAGTGTGACATGACATTTTGGGCACACAACTGATGCTTTGAAAGCCAACTCATTACATTTTGATGAGGCGTTATTATACACAGACGGGAGTTTAATTTGAGAACATTTTCATTCAAACAGCAATAACCCCTCTCACTAAATTTTCAACACTTCTCAGTATGCAACATTTCAAGCCAATAGGAAATTATTGTGTGTTGTAAATGTTTAAATGTATTGTCTCCTTTCTTACAGGGTCCACTTCTACCCAAGACTACATGTAGCCTATACAGTGTGTTTACTGACATTGTCACAAATCACAAGTGTTGGTAGTTCCAAATTAAAATATAAGGATACTGATTGTCAAATGGGAATGGGATGGGGGACAAAAAAAGATCAGAAAGTTAGAAAATTATCAGACAATACCCTAATCCAAATTTCAGCAGTGGGAATATGTATAAGGGTGCCTTTTAGTTAGCTATTGCTAACAGCTACTAGCTATTTTTAGCTATCATTAGCCAAACTGTTTAGACAGAGTAAGAGAGCAGTTTAAATCATTAAAGAACTTACTTGTTGTCTCATAAAAGCTTCTAAAAAAACAGTCAGGATTTGCTGACTGACTTTACTAGCTCTTTGAGTGAGAAGTTGGTTGAGTTGCTATAGAAGCTGGGCATCAGCTAAGCTAGCTTGTCAGCAAGTTTGAAAAAAATCAAGCTACCCACCAAACATCCGACGTCAAAGAGACGTGCAGATCAAGTCAGTATTGGGTCAGTCTGTCAAAGACCACATCTAGACGTCGTTGCGACGTGCAAAATAGATTAGAAATTTCGACGTCCAAATTTGACCTTTTTTAGACGTCGCTCTGACGTTTAGAATTTGGACGTCACCTGACGACCGAATCTAGACGTCGGCACAACGTGCAAAATGGATCCAAGATTTGGACGTCATTATTGGACCTCTTTTAGACATTGAAATGACGTCCACATTTGTACCTCATTGTCGAAAAAAATACATTAAAGAGATGTCATTTCGACGTTGCATTGCGCAGTGGGTAGTGTTGAAGTCATTTTTATAAAACGGCCTTTGAAATTAGACTAATCAGTGACACAGATCAATGTTTAAAGAGCTACATCAATTAATACTATATTTCATATTGATTTCAACTGAACCTTTGTTTAGCAAGCATGTTAATTATTAGTGTATACATAGGCCTGGCTGGCAGTGATTGATCAGCTAGCAAACAAGTTATCTAGGTAGCATCTAACAGGTAGGATTTATTCTCTGGAGAATAAATAAAGGTTATAAAAATTTAGTTAGCCTAGATATAACACTTTTCTTTAAAAAATAAGTTAATTTTCTCCCTAAAGTGTAGTTTATCAGCTTACAAGATTGTTTTGTGCCCAAAATGTTTTATGAGAGTCTTAGTTTTAAAACAGGAAGTCATATAGCTGATGTACTTACTAAGGCACTGTAGTCAAAGCAGGAGGTTGGGCCTTTGCGATACCGTGCGTTGCTTAAGACCTCACAAGGATTCTCTTCTTGAACTGGTATTTTTCAGATAAGGTTAAGTTACAGACTTACCTGCCACATATGTTTGATGAGATTCCTACTTTCAACACAAACAAAAGCAGAGCTTAAAAAAAGGATACACTCCGTCCTGACCTGTGTAAGTCTCTCGATCTCACATGAGCTGCAGGGTAGCGTCTCAGCCACTACAAACAGGAGGTTTGTGCTTTCTATCCGCTTGGCGTGGAACAGCCTGTGGGAGACAGTGATGGATGTTGGGAAGACTTCATACAGTGTGTACAGTCCAGGTATGGCAGTACAAACACGCTGCAAAAAAAACATTCTGCTGATTCTCTCTGGAAAAAGAAAACTCTACCTTGAGCAGTTTCCACAGTCCTGCAGCACATTGTAGGAGTTGGTGGTGTTCGTGAAGTAAAACTGGCTTTGGATGGTCACACAGCTGCTCTCCTTGGTTTCAAAACCCTCCACCAGGACATCATCTATATTCATACAGATAATGTCATTGATATCGCTGTTAAAACTATTTTTTAAAAACTCAGATGGATGAATTCAGAATGATTGGTACAGCCTCTAAATAAAGTCATACAAAGGAATCAGACATCTATTAAAATACAATCAAACTGCTATAATGATTTGTGTAAGTGTAATTTTGTAATTGTAATGACACAATTATTGGGGCTCCTTTATATGTTAACTTATGTAGGTATCTATTGTATGTGTGCACAAAGATTTAAAATGTACCTCGATAGAGCCAGCTGTTGTATGCCAGTCCATACAGAAGCTGCTGGGCCACAGACCTGTAAAAGAATTCGTACCACACTTCATGGTCATGGTGTACAGATAAATAACAGTGAACATATGTCACCACATCAGTGACATTGAGCTGAAAATAACCTGGGGTTGAATTGGCAGCTATCCAGCACGAAAGAAAAAAAGTTTCTCTGTGGTTGAAAAGTCACAGCTAAGATACTTTTGATGTCTCACATGCTGCTGGTGTCATTTAGTTTCTCAAAGTCTCACCATGCCACTGAGGACGTCCACCAGGCCAAGCTGAGGATGTCAGCGATGGACGGCTGCAGAAACACAGAGAAGTTTCACATGAGAGAGTTTTATCATTTTTAGTCTTGTTGAAAAATGTTCAAGGAGTCATGAGATCTGCAGGTGGCCTCTCACCACAAAGATGCCTCTGGGTGCGGCTCCAGTGTGGCTGCTGGTGATGGGCTCACATGCAGACTGGTAGTGGAAAGACTGACGCCGATTAAAGATCGAGTTGTTGTAGAGTGCGTGCATCAGATAAGGATCGACATCCCCAAAGAAAAGGCCGATCTGTCATACAAAGAAAGGAAAGATAAAAAACAGAGGTAAACAGTGCCACACGGTGGGCTAACATGAACTTCATTTAAGTTTTCCAAATGTTTCCCTCACATCTCTCTGTGGTACTCTTTATTAATTTATTTAGTGCTACAGCTGGGCTGGCAGAAACAGCAGCAAAATGCACTAAATCAAATTGAAATGAAAAATGATCAGCATTAAAACTTTTCTTGAAGTTGTGATCAAACAAAAAGTTGAAGGTCATTTAAAGGTTCAGTAACATTATCATCATTTTTTTTCCTTGGGGTACACAATAGCGATAATATAATTTTGTAGTTTTTAAAGAGACCAGGCCAACAAAAAAGCACCTTTTTCCAGTGATCTCTCTGATTGGACATTACCAGGAATCCACCATCATCGATAAGATAGCACAAGAGGTCCTTCAGATGAACAGAGAAAATGTCATTAAATGTCTTTCCACGGATCAAAGTGCATTTCAATACAGACCATTCACCACAACTCACATCTATCAGGATCTAATGTTTGCTAATTCACAGACGCACTTATACACAGACTGCAGAGCTTTGAAGGGCAGCAGCCTCCGCAATGGTAAATCAGATCACCTGAACAGAGCTGCAGTCTTTGTCTTTATTACTAAACGGGACATTTAGGATGTCATAGACTTCAACTTATTAGAGCTATCAGGCAAGAGTGCAAAACTAAAATGAAAAGAAGTAAGCCATAATATTTCTTTATACGTGTCATAGTAGAGGGTTTGAATTTCATCTCAAAATATAATACAATGCAAGAGAATGTTCCCACGAGATATTTCATCCTAGATTATCTATCTGAAAAGGATCTTCTGAAACAAAAAAATAAAAAAAAATGTACATTTTTTTAACCATCAAAAGTCACGCCAAATCTGGGAGTCGCATCTGAAGCCGAGCTAAACCAATGCCCTATGAGGGTTGAATTTTTGAGTACATTACTCATCATGGGATTGATTTTTTAAAGTGTGTTATAACAGACAGAAAAAGATGAACTCCCAACCCAAAGCCCCCTCTTATTAATTTTAATTACACGTAACAGGCAGCTCTTTGCCTTTTGTTCATTAAACAAGCCCGTGAGCTATTACAGGTCCTATTTTCAAAGGGGTTGATTGAACGTGTTGGTTATGAGTAGTGACAGAGTAATCTCATAATCACACCAGTATCAAGAGCACATTTAACCTCAGAAGACTGTGTTCACAGAACTGATGACACTTTCTGTCTGAAGTGGTTTTGTCAAAGTAAAGAGGAAATAGAAAACGCTCTTACGTCAGTGTTCACTTCACAGTCCATCTCACAGCTTCTGGACGGTCCACACTAACGACAAAATGAGAAATGAGACAACTATGTTACTATCGTTGGCATTCGTATTTAGTGTTTCAAGTAAGTGTTTGTCGGCGTTTTGCTGTACCTTGTGTGAGCCCTGGCGACCATCTGACACGTTGCTGGCCAGGATCTTGAACTTGTCCACCCACGCCTCCAAGTCCAGCTTCACTCCAACCACTGGGTGAAGAGAATTTAAGAAAAGGATGGAAGAAGCAGCAGAAAAAGGAACGTGTGAATGTGTGAACAATAATAGATTAATAAAAATATCTGAAAATCTAATAAGACAAAATAAACCAAATGTTTACTTTTTCTCACCTGAAGGTTTGAGTAGTTTTCCTCCTAAATTCACCTCAACAGCTGAACTGACCAGAATTCCAACAGTGCCATTTTCCACACTGATGGGGTCATCTAAAGCTGTTCACAAACAAATATTGTTATTTAAAGACATTACTGCAGATTAAAATATAATGTTCCTTATGTATGAATATTAAATTTGAAATTTTAACTTTTTAATGTTGACCATCTAATGACTTAGTTGACCCTAGGAGTCAAAATTTGATCTAATCGTGACAGTGTGCCAACAGGTATGATCTTTGACTTAAAGACTGTTTAAAGCTAAATTATATTATATCACCTATTAATATAACCAATATCACCTATATTATCATTTGCAGATCAAGACTGAGATTTTTTTTTCACATATTCATCCTGACATCTAACACCTTGAAAATAATCATTAAATAAATAAGATAAGATAAGATACTCCTTTATTAGTCCCACAAGGGGAAAATTCATTTACAGTTCATCCTTTCCAAGAAACATCCAGTAGACAGATGCATACAGGGTGACAGGAACAGGAGAACTGTAGGATCTCCGGCCTGACTGACATATCAAATATATAAAATCGTTAGGTCATGGCTCTTCTAAGACAGAGTCACTCACAAGATCTGGACGGCGCTCTGAACATGTAGCCTCTGTTGTCGAGACTGCGTCTGTAGTAATTTGAATTAAAGGGCTCAGGATCCTCATCCCAGGCCTCAGCAGCTCTGTACAAACACAGCACATTTCATTTAATGCTTAGGTTTTTTTCTGGACAGATTATTGAATCAACTTTTTCTGAATCAGTGTCTTCATCTTGTTGTTAATCCTACTCACATATTTGGGAAAACTCGTGTTATTCCTCCATCAGTGGAGGCAAACACAGCCAGGAAGCCATACCTGAGAAAGTCAGAAGCTCTTACTTAGTTTATTTACCTCAGATATCATTAAACCAGATGGTCTTTCGTTTGCATAGATCATCAAAGTGACTCACGAATTCAAGTCCTTGTTTTTCCAAACTCGAGAAGCCAGCTGCCCGATAATCCGAGAATCCAAAATGAGGTTGTGGATGAGGCCTTGGTCACCTGAGACAAAAGCAGTCTGTTATCTCATCTGTGTGTGTCTGCAGCAGTGTCTGATACTGTGATCTACAAAAGTTATCAGACATGCTCACATTCGTCAGATTCGGGGGAAATGTCCAGCATGAGGGAGAGGAAGTTCTGCAAAAACTGGGTATTGTTATCAGAGATTTGCAGACGTTTGCAGTACTCCCTGGAGAAACGGAGATCAGAATAAATATCAACAGACAAAAATTGAGTGAAAGATGGAGAGCAGAAAGCAAAAAGAGGCAGTGGTCACCTTGGAGCCAGAAACACGTGCCCTGCAGACTCAAAGGAGCTGGGCAGCAGCGACTGCATATCTGTGTCAGAGACAGAGGGTGATGTTAGTATGTTCATCTCATCTTTGTGTTGCATCTTGATCAAAGAGAATTTTTAATGCTCTGCCTCTTTGTACTCACACTGAAGCTGCAGCATCACATCACTCAGGTCTGCCTGGATGAAGTATTCATTGTAAGGAGGTAATACCAGACCAAGACTACAGGGGACAGAGAGGTAGAGTGAATCCAGCCCTCATTAACTCACAGCTGCTTGTTTATTCATTGTGGTTAATGACATTGTAACAGCTCACCTGTAATCTGTGCCGTTGATCGGGGTCCAGGTGTAACCCCTGAACACCTCATCGATGTATTGCTGCAGTCAAGGAGACATTTAAGAACACTTCTGACAAACTCAAGTAACATCAAACTGCTGACCTGCTTTTACTTAATGCAGACTGAATGTAATGAGGCTTAGCAAAGGCAAAAAATGAGAATCAGAGCCTCGGTGTGCTAGTCATGTTGGCTGTTGCTGTGATGGTACTGCTTTTAAAGCTTCCTGAAGTCCTTGAGAGCTGGTATACGTTAAAAGGTCTATAACTTATTCAGGTAATCAGCCGACAAAGCTGAGCGGCATGAATCCCTGCTATTATGTGTGTCCTCGTCTGAAATCTGGACAATGCACCAGATGACTAAGTTCAAAGCAGCTGCCTCATTACTTACACCTCAGTGCTTTTGCTACAATTTGCTCACAGAAATAAGCTCTGAAGTATATCAGTGAAGTTGTGCATTCATTCTGCTCAGACTGTTTATCAAACGTGTGAGAAAATGGACTTGCCTCATCAATCGACTTGATCAAAGTTCTGATCTGCATTTCACCTGGTCTCCCATCAATCATTTGTCTCCGAATCTGCAGAGAAGGAAGTCTGTCAAGTCCAACATGTTTCTTATATCTTCAAATACCAGCACAGGGTGATGATGATGGGCGGGCAGGTTGTCATGATGCAGATCATGTAATTCACAGACTTTCAACATGAAATCTCAAGGAACAGTAGTTTTCTGAAAACTTGCCAGTTACATTTTGCAAAGAAGAGAAAAAAAAAGGCTCACCTCTTCCTTGTTGCTGTCCTCAACCTCTGCATCAAGAAAATCCAGAGTCACAGGTTCAGGAAGATTCACGAGCTACAGGGAATCAAGTTAAAAAAAACAGGATATGAAACTCAAAAGAAGCTGTGTTTGACTCATATACCCACCTATCTACTCTCACATATGTATGATGAATTACCTTTGGCTGAAGATTAGGGTGAAGAAGAAGATATCCATTTGGGTCGATGGCAAATATATATCCATTGGCTCCAAGCTGTTGGAAAAGCAGTGATGAGTCTGTCTGCATCTCCGTAACAATTAAAGATGAAGAAATACGACTCACTGAAGTGCTCATGTCATTATACTTACATTATATCGTGGTGTAAGTCGTTTTATCTCATCAAGATGCACGTCAACTCCCATGACGCCTAATATCAGCTGATTCTGCACACACCAAAACAAACGAAAAATGTTGCGAGTTAGAAAAGACAACCGATACCATGTCTGTTTAAAAAACATTTAGCTGAGTAAGCTTAGTGCCAAGTTGTCACTGCATCCTGCAAGGAAGAAGTCAAGACACTGATCCCGCCGAAAAACTGTGGCATTGATTTCACACTTTCAATTTTTATTATATTTAAGAAAGTAAGCCCAGGACTGGCATGAAATGGAAATTGTTGGAAATTGTACTTTTCTGGAGTTTTTTTTTTTTTTGTGTGTGTGTCCGCTACTTTTACTTTTACTTGACTACATTTCTAAAAATAAAGTACACTTTTACTCCACTCAATTTCACAGAGGCATCTTCGCTACTACTATTTTTATTTTGTTACTATGACAGCGGGTAGGAGGAAAAAACTTTTTTCCCCCTTTACTTATTATTTTATTTGCAAAGTGTCAGTAGCACTTTGTAAATGATTAATAAGTGGTTTATAAACCATTTATAAACATGACTTAGATGGTTATTGTAAAGTTGGGGTTAGGTTTAGGTTTTTGAAATTGTAAAATTTACAATTTATCAATGGCCTATATGCTATTTATAAATGATGATTAAACATTAATAAACTATCTGCTTACCACTTATAAATGGTCTATTTACCATTTATAAGTTACGGTTATTGTAAAGTGTAACCACTTTTACTTTGACTTGAGTCATTTTCTGGTACGGTAAAAACTTCGACTTTAGTATATTTGTTAAGTACTTCATACAACACTGGGATGAATTCGAGTGGGTGTTTGCAATCTTAATGCTAAACTAAGCTCTCTTCAGACGTTTGGGTAACATAGATTTAAGAGGCATGAAAGTGGTATTCACCTTTGTATAGCTCTTAAGCTCTGGCTTTAGAAAACAAGCATTTTTTTCCCAAAATATCAAAATATTTCTTAAATGTTACCTGTGAGTTTCCATCCATGGTGAGATTAAATACTGGCAAAGTCCCGGTTACCACCATACCGAGACCCTATAGAGTTTGAAGACAAAGTCCAAAAGACTGTCCATCAAAAGCTGCTTCAGTCAGTGTTTGTGTGTGAGTGATTGTGTATTTACTACACCGGTTTACATACAGCCAGCAGGGCCATGCAGCCTCACCAGAGCATCCTGATACACGTTGGTCCACTGAACCTGTTTGGCGTCGCTGCCTGCCAGAACCATGGGGCGCCCCAGTACATCGAGGTACTCCTGACAAAATTAAGGAGAAGCTTTATTGGCAGCAATTTCAAAACAATCTGCAACATCCAGTCACAAGGGGGAAAGGGTATGCAAACAAACCGAAGTAGATGTTTTTACAGTGTATATGAGGGGAATCAGAAAGAGCGAATGGGGGATCAGCTGTGTCAGAGGCACTAGACAAACCCACCTGGGTGTTAATCCTTATAGCACAGATGGAACGGATCTCAAAATAGTAACCTGGCAAGCGACAGAGAAAAAAAAGAGAAACAGAGAGAGAGGAGGGGGGAGGAGCATGTGTGAGAACTGCTTAAAAGAGAAAAACACACACATACAGACACGCAGTGCAAAAAAGAATTTGAGATTTTACCGCTATGCTCGTAGACCGATGACTCAGACACTTGACTCCCACAGAAAAGGCGGCTCTAAGAGGAATACCTCTAAGCTTTAAAACTACGGTATCACCTTTTAACTGGTGGGATCTAAAAATTTATGTCCTATCAGAATCTGCTGCACAGAAAAATATGTCTAACTTTATTTTCGAGCTGGTTTCCAAATACTTTATTGAGAAAAAAAAACCCTGTTATCTGTGATTGTTCATCATCAGTTTAACCCCAGTGAGAATATAACCATCTGTTAATAATTCTGTCCATGTAGTGGATGTAAACATCATCCGTACACAGATCATCAAAACAAACAATCTGGATCTCGCAGATCAGTTTACGGTTAATTGGTTATTTCTTTCATCCCTGCATGTCAAAAGCAGTGACTTTTGCATTTACTTAAAGTGAGCAGATATGGTCTGACAAGTCGCTAAAATAACGAGGCTGTAATTTCCAGAGGTCACTGAAAATTAATGTGATTCATGCATTTTATAAACACAACAAGTCATTCCTTGTCACAGACGGCATGTGTCATCGTCATCATCATCTGTAAAGCTGGCTTACACAAGGCAGATCTGGGACATCTTGTGTTGTTGTGTAAAAATATCATTCAAAGTGTGTAATCAGATGGCCATTTAAGTTTCCTCTTTAACTCATCAAAGGCTGTTCGCTTCTGAAGACATCCCCCTCTCCAGCTTGAATCGAACTTGTCATGCCGGGATGACGACAAAAGTTGCAAGTCTTGCACAAGTACTCTGACTGGCACTGAGTCACTGCGCTGAGTCCTGCTTGACACAAAGCCTCCTCGCAAACAAGGAGAAGTTCTCCTGGAAAGATCAATGTCAGCTCCCAGCAGACTGCAAATCTGATCCATGAGAGGCAAACTGACCTCTGTGTGAGCAAACAGAGTAACTTCTGAGAAGCAGCGCAGGTTTACTCACAGAGCTGGAGCAGACCCATTAGCAGGGTCAGAGCACTGACGGCACATTAGGCTCAGTGATTTATTCATTAGTTCTTTTGTCTGAGCATGGATTAATAAATACACAGCAGACCATTTCTCTAAAACATGGTCTGATACGATCTATTATGGCAATAAAAGCTTTATCTGCTAAGATAAAAATATGCTCACTCAATTTACTGTTGATGCTTTTTACATCGCAGAAGAGCACGCCCATTATTAACGAATAATTTCTAATCCATAACACTGATCCTTTAGGAGACAGCACAAAAAAGTAGGGGCCCATCCTGCAGGCTGTTGAATTGAATTTTGAAAACCTCCTTTGGCATCTTTCTAGATGAAGTTATAATCATACATATGTTTGATTTTTGATTCATTTTTCTTAAAGGGATATTCCAGCATAAAATAAATTTAGGGTCAAACACACCGTAACACCGTGTTACACACCCCCTCGAGAGATTAATGTTGCAGACTGCTTGCTTCTCTAGTTATACCAACTTTAGTAAAGACCGCACGATAGCAATACAGAGAGCCACGCGCTCAACCAAAAAGCCACTCTATAGCCACTCTATAGCCACTCTCTTCCAGCAGCTGCTTGTTTGTATGGAGACCTCAGGCGAGTCCATTACCATTGTGGGGTGACGCAGCTCAAGGAAGAACATTTATGATTATTACTTTATGGAGATGCAATCAAGGAAATGATCATAAATGTTCTTCCCTGAGCTGCGTCACCCCGGTGATAGACTCGCCTGAGGTCTCCGTACAAACAAGCGGCTGCTGGAAGAGAGTGGGTGAGTTGTGTTTAGTCTCTTTGCTAAAGAAATCAGGCAAAGCTAAAAAGATGTTTGGTGGCTAGTGCTATGGCTAGAACCCTGTATGTACTGTTGATGAAGTTAGGTGCTGTTCTGAGCATTATTTGTGGCTATAGAGTGGAGTTTTGGTTGAGGTTTGTTTATGGCTCTTGAAATCACTGTGTATTGCTATCATGTGGTCATTACTAAAGTTGGTATAACTAGAGAAGCAAGCAGTCGGCAACATTCATTTCTTGAGGGGGTGTCTTACTCGGTGTTATGGTGTTTGACACTAAATCAATTTTATGCCGGAATATCCCTTTAGGTTATTATCATACTTATGTTTGATTTTTGATTTACTTCTCTTCAGCAGCGTTTTATGACTGAAACCACAGCAGGTGCTTGCTTAAGCAGAGCTAAAAAAATGCAGTAGTCTGATTACAAGATTCATATTCACACAAACTAGCGGGAAGAAAAAAAACATCACACAAAATTATAAATCAGAATTTGTATAATAACCAGCTGGTGCATGAAATCTATCTGCAATTTATAAGAGAGACTAAAAAAGTAAACCTGGGATAATCTGAACCCTTGCTCTGCAGCGTGGGTGTGTTAACAGATACAATGAAGGAATCACACACAAGCTCTGCTCACCTTTATTGGTGCACGCAATCCACTGCAAAGGTGTGACATCGTAGTTGTGTTGACCCACAGAAAAGGTGAAAACTCGCACCTTAAAAGGGAAAAGTAAACAGCAAAGGTTTGACGTTTAGACATCTCACAGCATCCTTATGATTAAATTCTGAATGTGACCTCGAGGTGTCTTGTATGGTGAGAAGATCGGAACCTAACTGTTTTGTTAGGCCAGTTGTATTGCATAAAGACGTCTTGAGCTCTGTCCTCCCCTCCGTCAGTAAACAGCATGATTATTTTATTGCAGTTAGCCCGGGGGACATTAGTTTTCTGTAAAACACATTCAAAGGGAGATGGATGAGGTGAACAGCAGGGTTGGTCAATACAGTTAAACTGTGTGTAATCCCCCGCTGAATTAAATCAATATGTGGCTTACATTTAACAGCTGGTTGAAGGCAAAATGAAATCCAGACTTGTAGTCAGTGGTGCCTTTCGCCTGCATCTGCTGCACTGCATCCTTGAAGATCTTTTTGTTGCGCACATTCGCCTGGACCAGATGCTTGAAGCAGGGAACCACTGCCTCGGCCTTCTCATTGAACTGAGACAGCAGGAGACATAGCTTGGGGTTAGATATGACACTACTGGAATAAGGAGTACAGAACAACAGAGTGGAGAAGGAGAAATGAAGAATAAGTGGGTGAAGAGGAGACTAACCCTGGCCACGTTGACATAGTCATCGTCGGACAAAGTGTCGAGCATTTCCATCACAGACGCTTTGATGAGTTTCAGGGTGAGTCCACTGACACTGCCACTCCTGAGGAAACAAAAACAAGTAAGTACCGTCACATTAAAAAAAGAATTGAGATACATGCCAAAAAAAACAAACAAACACTTGAACAGACATTTGTAAAGGTGTGCTAAATACTTGAGAGCTGCTGGAGAGACTCATTTAATGCTGCTGTTGAGCTGTTTCAACCCACATCAGAGAATACACTAAGAATATGAGCTAAAAATGGATCAGAGGCTGAAATGTTACATCTTCAAATGGATGAAAAAGATTTTTGATCCATTTATAAACCTTTTTTTTTACAGCTATAATGAAAATCCATGAGGTCAAAGAAGTTCAGCTACATTACTTGCACGAGTAACAGCGTCCTCTCTGAGAGCCGGACACATGCACACATGCTTTCGCCAGATGTTCAATCAAAGACACGTGAGCCCCTGCTGCAGTGATTAACCAGCATTAATGAGTCCTTTCAGAGGAATACTTGTTTCTGTCACCATTCAGTGATGGTCTGCTATCCTCGACCCAAAAACATTTCACAGCTGTGCAGCTAAAAGAGTAAAGGCACACTAAACTTTACTGGAAACTGTGACAGTGTGGAAACACAAAACAGTGCTTCCTGTCAGTAAAACCCAATACTGTAGAAATAGATGGCTGACATGAACACTGCCCAAAAATGAAGCCAAAACCTGCTTACTTAAAGCCCTCCTTCTCTGTCAGATCTTTTTTTTTTTGTAGGATTGACACTTAATTAAAATCAGCATCACTCCATATAAAAATATTGCTCCTGTGTGCACTTTACCAGATTAAAAAACAAAATACAACTAACACAGGAGTCATTGAACTTTCCATAACCGCGAGTGTGCGCTTCAAACCAACACAAAAATCCGTTCTGCTTTAACCAAGTGACCTGAAGGATCTTCGTTCTCTCATCTGTCAATGAAACTTGTACTTTAGTTACAGTTGAGAATGAACGTTAATTCTGCTGATTCACAAGCGAGGCTTCAAAACTCACTACACTTCCTATTCTGTCGACCACTACAAATACTGCAAAAAACATTGGTCTGTTTATGTTCAGGCTTAAGGTTTGGGAAGAGTAGGACACAAAGAGATCTTTTTATTTGATTTCCGACAGAGAGACGAAAGATCGATGCCACTGTCATTTCTTGACATCCAACTTAGCTGTTAGCATCTTGTTAGCCTAGCTTAGTTTAGCACAGAATAGTTTAGTTTTAAGACTTTAAGTATGATTCAAAACAATATATTAAGATACAGTATGGTATGGTACAGTACAGTATGCTAAGTACAGTATGATATGATATGAAAGACATGACATGATATGATATAATATGATATATGATATGATATGATATGATAAACTATATTTTCAACTTAGGGAATTGACAGCCTCGACATGAGTACCGATTACTGAAACAAAACTCCTTAAAACCAACAATTAACCCATGAAAACAGAGAAGCACATACTAAATAAGTAGCAGTAGTCTTTTGTTATTAACGGATCCGTCAGGATGAAAACTGTCTGTTTTACAAAAGGAGAGGAACAGGCTATGAATTGGACAACTTTAGCTTTGAGTAGTAACTTTATGGCTCATCTTATACTAGCTGGCTGAAGGTAGTCTCATATTTTACAGACACACTCAGTTTGGTATGAATGTCCTTATGGGCTTTAGTGTTTTTCCATAAATGACAAACAATTTCTCCTGCTTGTTCTAATTTTTATGAAAGGTAATTTTCTTTTTAATTTTATGTTTTAGGTATTCGACCATAGAGACTACTAAAATATTTTGTTCTTGTGTCTGAGTCATCTCTATGGTAAGTTTTAGGCTGCTGCACATAATATGAGCTGCAGGTTCAGCTGTTTTATATTGTGCAGAGTCAGTGCCAGGTGCACCTTTTTTCCCCAACACCATATATAATGTAGCTTTCTTTCCTCTTTAGTTTAGTTCTCTGCATAAAAAAGCTGCCTACTTATGTGAAATTACAACATATTTGGAGTATAAACTTCACTTGTGAGTGAGAGAGAGGTGCAAGAAAGGTCCAGACAAACTTCACAGATAGATTTTAACACCAGTTAATTATCCAAAACTGAGAGGAAAGAGACACCGTTTGCTTTTTTAAGTCACAAAAACACTGGCTGCAGTTTGTGTAAAAAATAATATATGTTATTGACATTTACATGAAACCCTTAAAAATTCTGAACAAGACTCTTATACTTACACATCAACAAGAATGACCATATCTTTCGGGGATGAAGCTCCTTGGATATACCTGTGACAAAAGGATAGAGAGGAGGAAATATTTCAGCCCTGTAAATATGACAGGTGACATGTGGAGTTCTAATCTAAGAAGTGTACTGTACCAGGGCCTCCGCCTGACGTCATACAGATCGATTTTATCAGGAGCTTTCCAAGGTGAAGCTGAAAATATGAAAAGATGCATTCCTTAAACTGTTCGGTCCATCAGAATCACACACAAAACATCTGTTTTTTGGGGATTAGCTAGATAAAGATGGTTGATAAAACATACCTGGATAGTATCGTGTGACACCTGTGGCACTCCCGAAAGCTTGCCAGAGGAGCGACGGGTCCTCCTGACTATTCTCCATGAACACTTTCTCCAGCGCCTGCGTCCAGTTCAGCTCATTCAGAATGACTGGAGCTGATGGGGATAAAAACATCTTAGTAAATGTGTATTTTCCTTTAAGAGTAAAAACCGTCACACCTTTCTGTGCTCTCATGTATTTGAAGTGAGCTCTTACCTCCTTTGTAAATATCCGTGGGGATCTGAACGGCTGTGTAAGAGTAGTTTACATTGTTTTTGAAGTTTGGGTCGTACACAAACTCCAGCTTGATGTGGGAAGGATTCTCCACTTCTCCTTCTCCATCCATTGAGTACTGCAAGAACGAGAGCAAGGACAGATTTCAACAAGCTTCAATCTTTTCACCTGCATGAATAAAACCATTTCTTTACGCTTTTCTGCTCTGCTTTGTCTCAGACAGATTTCATTCACAACAAGTGTAGGAATTTGTATTAGTCAGATGACCTCAGTGAACAAGACGGATCTTTTGCTTTGTCCCTTACTCACATAATCCAGGTCAGCCTTTGAGTCATAATACGCCATGTCCAGCTCCTAGAGGAAAACACATCAGACATTAGAAAACTGCAGTTTTGAGAAACACGACACAATACAAATATGAATTCTCAGAACACATGACCAGCGTTGGGACCAACACGTTATTAAGTAATGCGTTACAGTAACTACGTTGCTTTTGCGGTAAAACGTACTGTAACTAATTACTTTGTCAAAATCAGTAACGTGTTTATCATTACTGGGATTTAAACAGGCTCGTTACTCGTGTGTATAACTGTGTATAACTCAGAACTACAGTTTCCGTGGTGACGCACACATGACGCAGTGAGGTGCAAGTGAATGAATGAAAACAAAAATGGTAGCAATCAACGACAGTCCATGTGTGGGATTTATCTCAAAATATGCACATCATTTTTCCTTTCTGACGGTAAAAGACAAGAGGAGGAATATTGTAGTGACATGTAATCTGTGTGGAGGTTCAAAAAATCTATCCACATTAAGGACGAGCAATTCTGATCTGATGAAACATCTTCAGAAAATACAGGCATCTACCGAGCGAGTTGAAAAAGACCCTGAAGGAATGTAAGCAAGCCAGAGGACTGGCAGCCTCCCTGGTTATCCAGTTAGGGAGGCAACACATAAATAAGAGAATTTAGAGTAAAAAGAAATGGTTACTTTTCCCAGTAACCAGTTACCTTGAAAGTAATGAGTAACTTAAAGTAACTTAAAGCAACTCGTAACTGTAACTAAGTTACTTGCCCAACACTGCAAATGACACATAATTAAACTGATTTGACTATACAGCTAAATATTTTTGATACTTATCTTCATTACTTAATTATCATATCAATACTTGGAAGCTTATACCTTACGACTTCAATGCATAAAGCAGCTCCTTACAGGATACTTGCAAAAAACAATCTGCAGTTTTCTAGGCTGACAAATTTCATCAGTGTCCTGCTTCCCTGCGTATCTGTTACCACAGAGTCCAGAAGGACAGTCAAAAGAGAATCTAGTTTTCTGGCCTATCAGTCTGTGAGCACCATGTACCAAAAGTCTATTCAGTTCATGCATTTACTTCAGTTCTTGTTCTGTTTTTTTTTAACCCATCAGAGAAAAGCGACAAATCTTTGGGAGATTTGTGAGTTTGTATCCGTCAAATGTTTTCTATTGTTTTCTGCGCTCCACAGCCACATTATGAATCAGCAGACAAGCTGTCAGGCTTTGGTGGAGCATCGCCATCTGCTCTACTTAGTTTCTAAAGACTTAATATACTTCGGAATAAGCGTGACATCTACTCAGGGGCTGCTATGCTTCTATTTTTGGAACGTTCTGGTTACCAAATCTCAACTCTAAAGAGCGCTTTAATCTATATTTCAACCCAGCTTAATATGACAAGTCTGAAGCTGGTTGTCTTACTGCTGCTCGTAAACAATCTCTTGTTCTCAGAGGAGATTTACTCAGAAATCATCCAACCATGGTCAGCTAGTGCTCTCTTTCAGTCAGTCTAAAGAAGAGAAAATGCCCAAAAAAGGATTAAAACGGTCATACAGAAAAGATATGATTGGCCTTGTGTAAATATCGAAACAGCAATTGTTATAGGCTGGGGATGTGTATGTGTGCGGGACTGTTTTTTGGTTTGGCGCACTGATTTTCCACGAATAAATTTAAAGGCGCTGAGAGGCAGATTTTTTTCTCCATCTGTAGCTGTTGTCTTCTGGCTACAGTATTTATGTAAAGCTTAGCAAGGCTAGAAGGGTTTATGGTTTTTTTTGTTGAAATTTTCTCTCCAGCTGTTCTCAACATTTATGGATCTTTATTTATCATATACTGTACATACTATGGACAACTTGGTTCTGCCTTTCACCAGTATATGGATTCAGATTCAGATTCAGAAAACTTTATTGATCCCAAAAGGGCAATATATTTGCAGCATTTCAAGAGCAGCTCATCCATACATAATATCACGTCAGTCCATTCCAGTCACAGTGGAACCCAGATCGAACCCTTAAAAAATATAACACACTACGAGATCGAAAGATGCCTCCCCTAGAATTCAATAATTTAATGGCGGAGGGCACAAAGGTGTTCATAAACCGGTTAGTTATCCTAGCCGGAGCATAAAACCAGCGCCCCGAGGGCATCAGGACAAACCCTGGAGTCAGAGGATGGAGCGGTTGAGCCAGGAGACACTTTGCTTTACTCAACACCTGCTGCTCCCAGCGAGAATGCAAGTCCTGCAATTTGAAGCCAAAAAGCTCTCGGCATTTCCGCAGTTTTTCTTCATTTCCTGAAACCAACATTGCACAGTAGCATTGTATGCATTCAGCGGGAGAGTCGCTGAGAGTCACTGTTATGACGCTTGGCTCAAACAACAACACAACTCCATAAGGATTGCTGAAGGAGGCGGGATTTATGACCTATACTGCAGCCTGTCACCAGAGGGCGCTGTTCTCGAGGTGGCTTTACCCAGCGAGAAGGGAGATGGCGTCCATTCTACATACAGTCTATGGTATTTATCTTTTGTTCATACGTTTATGTGACTAATTTAATTATTTCATACAGATTATATCTACATTCTCTGTTACTTTTATTTTCTATCTGGTTTTATGTTTTGCAACTGTTTTTTGTTAAAAGTGAAAAGTTAATAAAAATATTAAACAGAAAGCTTGTAATACTGTTTGCATGTGGTCCAGTAGACCATCTTAAGTATGCAGATGACCCGGTTGTTTCCAGTCCAAGTAGTGCTGGTCTCTAGTAGCTCCTGACTGTACACTCTGTACATGGTCCAGAACATGAAATCTAATTTTATGTCAGTAAGAGTTCTGCGCAGAGGTGTCAGACTAAAGAGGATCAGACTCTGAACTTTCCTGTCTTGAGCTGGAGCTGAAGACTGTCATAGGGTCAAATATCTTGGTCACTTCATTATAATAAAAATGATTAATGACTATGCTATCTATAGGTAATGCCATGCATTGCGCAAACATGCTCTCACGCAGGTCTGGTGTGTGTTCAGATAAAGTGAAGGTGTCTGTATACTGAACACTTGTGGAAAAACTGTAAGACATCGAGCTCTCAGCAGAGATTGTAGGTCATCTGGCTGCTTTTGGAGAAATGCTGAAGAGACCTAGATAGTGTGGTGCAAGTGAAATGTTTGTAACTGCTGGAGTCTGCACTCTCCAAGCTGTCTCGAGAAGTCTTAAGCATTAATTTATTTGTCGACTGAATGCATCAGGACTGAGATCATCTTTATCCTGTTTAACTTCAAATACAGGAAGATACCGCTCCCAGATATGGAGTCACTGGTATAAGTTTCTCCTTTTAAAATGACAGTTTTGATTGATCTTATTTACTGTGTGAAAATTATAGACTTTTACAATTTGTACTGTTGTCTTTATCAGAACATTAAGTCCACCTACATATTTAGATTTAAACTGAATTCAATTATTAGTATTTTAGAGCCAGATAAATATTAATCATCGTATCGATTCCCTGAAAGACTGTAAACGATGATTCACTGTGAGATATCTTGAGGCTTGTGGCCTGCTGTAGAATCATTTTTTCGGTGAGGGGGAGGTTGCACCGTCACCGATAAAGGGGTTCGAACATGTAAAACCACCCGCACCTTTGAAAGTGACAGAGGGATTCAGAGCCTCAGCGACGGACACAAGACGCTGAGGTTAACCCGGTCTTATGCAGCTGAGCACATGGAGCAGATCAAGTGGAAATGTGGTGCGCCGGTATGTGTGGGACTCAACAGAAGCGCTCGCCTGAGTACGCTCAGAGCCAGCTGAGCGCTCCATGAGATTTCCACTCAGCTGACGAGTGAAAATGTAATTTTTTTTTTCCCAGGTCACCTCATTCAGAGTCACAGTGCTCTGAGACATGTCCATCTGCTCCAGATTACATCAGTGGCTCCATGTAAATGACATTTCTGCTATTTGAGTTCTGTTGTATAATTTTCCGGTGTTGCACATGCATTCAAAACTGACCGGGTCTTCCCTATTACAGTTAATTTTCAACACGGTTTACTTTTCTGATTGTAAAACTTTTAACAAACTATGTATTTGAACTTCTATGACACAATCACTCACAGCTAAACAAACTGTGCGACTGTAGAACTGCAGAGGGAGAAAAATCCACAGCAGACAAAAAAAAAACACTTTTCAGGAAAAGAAATAGAGCTTCACTTTCGGTGGATTTTCAGAGCTGTCTGTGTGTGTCTGTGCCATGGAGTCGGTTCAGAGCAGAAGGACTGACAAGTGAACATAATCCACTGAAGGCTTGAGGGTGTTCCTGCCTCTGCAAACCAAACTGTGTGTGAGTTTTGACTTATTTTTATCTTTTATTTATATCCTTCTTCAAATGTGCAGCCTGATATATGCCTCTTCAAATGTGCAGCCTTAAAGGACCCATGGACTCCATTTCACCTTAAGTAAAGCCATCAGCCTGGACCACATTATAGGTGAGGTAGCTCTGACCTTATACTCTAATAGGTCTCCAAGTTAGAGACGATCACAGCTAACAAATATTTGATGTAAACACTTTAGGGGCAGATAAATGTAAACTGAGAACTGGCGCAGTTATGCTCCTGTAATTGAAAACAGAGAAAACAAAGACCTCACATGGGTAGACTTTTTATCAAATGTGTTTTACAGCATCTGTTTTTTTGTTCTTTTTTGTTAAAAGAATATATTAATAAGCTGGCATGCACAAAAAACATTATTCTTTGATAAATGTAAACATCAACAGGGAGATAAAATTGCTTTGGCAGGAGAGAGAACGCTTCATTAAAAATGTTTGACAGATGTTTCATTTCAGATCACATTCCCAGGACAGCTGCTGACATTCAGAACCGAAGTGTACATTTTTTTTCAGCCTTTTTGTTTTGTAATTACGAAATAGGCGAAAAAAAACTTGTGCCAGTGGAAACTGCATGAGAGTTGTGTTCACCTGAGCCCTGTTTTTGTGTCTATAGTTTATAAAGCCCTAGGGGTCCTTTTTTGGAGGGGTGCCTGAACACGCGAGAAAGCTGCGTATAAAGGGATGTGAATTAAATAAATCAGGTAGAATACTGTGTTACATATCAACACTTGATGATTACACCTAGAAAGCTGTGATAATCACTTATATATATATTCTAGTCTATATTCTAACAAAAAAGTAAAGTTTTTCTTGGACTAGATATTTCAGTTTGGGAAGCTTAAGGTGTTTCTGTCATTATCGTGATACTAGAGCACCTCTCATTTTTATGTGTTATCACCATAGACTGTATATAGAATGGACGCCGTCTGCCTCCTCGCTGGGTGAAGACACCCCGAGAACAGCACCCTCTGGTGACAGGCTGCAGTACAGGTCATAAATCCCACCTCCACCAGCAATCCCTATGGAGCTGTGGACAAACTTTAGAAATTTATTACACAAAATATAAATTTTTCTCCTCCCTGGTTGTGATGTTGACATGTAGTTACTGTAAGACTAGTTTGTGCTCAAGTCCTCTTTTTTCTGTACAGCTCCATTTTTAAACGTTATTAGGGGGTTCATGTTTTCTATGATTGACACCTGATACAGCCTATGGGCGTATGAAGATTACGCAGCCAAGCCAGGGGATACGCTGTTTGAGCCAAGTGTCATCACAGCGACTCTCGGCAACTCTCCCGCCGAATGCGTACAACACTACTGTGCAATGTTGGTTTTAGGAAGTGAAGAAAAAACGCAGAATTACCGAGAGCTTTTCGGCTTCATATCCATATACAGGTGAAGGCAAAACCAAGTTGTCCATAGTATATACAGTCCATGGGTATCACACAGCAGACATGTCACTGTTTAATGTTTGAAGTTTTACCTTGATACCATCCTGCCAAAGATGCTCTCGCTGGAGCCGTTCCGCTTCACTCGCTAACCTCTGAATGTGAAAAACGCAGAGAAACAATCACAATAGAGTAAAAAAATCATTAAATATACACATTTCATTCACAAATAAGGCATCTCTGCATACCATAAGAAAATATGCATTCAGTTAAACAGATTTCTGTAAATAATATAGTTTTTAAAGTTCTAACAACAGCTGTCTTATAGCCAGTGTGCTCTTAGCCATCCATTAAAACAACATAAAAGAATATCTGCATGCTAAAGTCAACCTGCAGATGAGCCTTAAATTTAAAGAGATAAACAACACAAGCAGATCTTTGATACTGTATAAATAAATGTTGGCAAGCTCTATGTAAATCCTCTGGCCCTGTCTCCTTAAACCTTAAATGCAAGTGTTGCAGGAAGTGTTTGCTTTGTCAGCAAAGTTTTTTTTTTTTTCAGTCCTGAAGATGAAACAAACCAAATTGTCAGAGTCACCCAATGGATCTCAATCACATCTGAAAAATACAACAAAAATACAGCTGGTAGACTACACTCTAAATTAAACGTAAGAATAAAATGTCTCCAGTAATTAAGTTTAGTAGTAAATCTTCTCTGAAAAATAACTATGATTAAAAACTGCACACCTCATATCGTTTTATTTTTGCATTCCTTTATAATATTTGATGGTAAATGGCAAAAGGGGAAAACTGGAGGGGTAATAACTCGTCTCTGTCAGTCATGTCCGTAAAGCGTTTCATATTTCCCTTACTGGAGTACACTCACATCAAGTGCTTTGCGTTTCTTGGCCAGAAGTTTCTCTATATCTGCGGCCACTTTCTCCACAATCTTCCGCGGCTGATTCTTCACCAGACTGAACCGTCTCCTCTCCTCGTTGTAGATCTGTTAATTTTTTATGGACAAAGAGGAAAATGTCAAGGGTGTTAACAGCTGCACCATCATTCTATTAAGTCTATTTCTGCTGACCTCACATCCTGCTATTGACTTACTGTAACCTTTCACATATTGTCTTAGCTGACTTAACACAAATCGGCATTACCATTAGTGTAGCAGATCTGTGTGGGTAGTTGTAGCTGCGTGGTTTCCTGTGATGTTTGAAGACAATCATTTTCAAATCTGTACTTTTTAAAAATGGATTTCTTCTGCTGACAAAATTGAATAAGTAAAGCTCCTGAATTTGTAAAGCCAATCTTTGTTTGCAGCTTTAGATAGTAAGAACGCAGGGTTACATTTCTTCTTCTACATGAGTCTTACATCCAAACCTAGACGGTATAATATTAATGCAATTTACTCACATAGAAATGTATTATGATTCTGAAATGAGTTTCTCAAAGACATAAACAAAACCTTGGCATTTACTCTCTCAGCCGAGGAAAGATAGCAGTCATATTCATGGGTATGTTACTATCATCTTCTTGTTTACCTCCATACAAAGACATAGCAACAAGATAGATTGTGAAAGAAAAATGAATGACAGTGCTTTCAAAACATATAATGAAACATTTAACACCCAGTAACTCCAGGAATGAAAAGACTACAATCGAAGATCTGAATGCGTACAGCAGAGAGCTACAATCTGCGAAGACAGAGAATTAAAATAAACACTGTGTTGCAAAGGAGGGATGGTAACTGTCAAAACGAAGCCGTGTCTGTTTCCATATGCTCACATTGCGTCTGTCTTCAAGTCGAAGGACAGAGAAAATGTCACGGCCTCACGTGCGACATTCAGAAACAGTCGGGAACCTTTTGTTATATGATGTACTCTCACTACATAAATATACCGGCTGTATATTACTGCATGCAGACACTATGGGGATTGGGAGTTCAAGAGGTTCATAATCATCAGATATACACAGGCCAAGGCACCAACAGTATCTCGATATAAGCTGTGTGGTGTGTGTTTTCAGGGCATCACCCTCTCCTCGTGAAGTACAGAGAGAAACACGACAGAAAAGGAGACAGTGACCTACGTGAATGTGTTTTATGACCTGTGTATTTACTGTATGACAGCCTCTCTTCATACATCAACTTCTGTAAATGAACTACGTACATGGCGTTCCTAAAATGATGCCCTGAGCAGATGCTTTATAGACATGCAGTAAAGACAGGAGTGTTTCTGTGAAGTGTGTGCTGACTGATAAGTGCTGATAAGTACCTGTCTGGAATAAACGAAATTCTTTCTGAAATAAAGCAGCTTCCATATAATAATCATCCTCTCCTCCAACTTCAAGGCTGGGTGCAGAGCATAGCGCTTCATGCAGAGGTTTAACTTTGAATTTTGGCTCTTTTGTTTGGACATGAAATACAAGCTGCTGTTAGTTTCTAACATTTTGTTACAGAGAAGTAGAAAGTCGAGTTTCTTTCTGTAGTCTACTTACACAATCAACAGTATTAGCTATAGTCAGCTAGAAATGGATTTGGTTAGCGTTGAGAACAACACTCTTTAAAGACCCACTCTGATGAAAATCATGTTTTTCTTGTCTACATGTTCATATGGCATTTTTCTGATGCTACAGGACACATCATGAGAAAACTTAGAGCAAAGTTGCATTTCTGAATATTTCTGCATTCAAATTGCTGTGAACCTCTGGCAGACTTTAACAGCAGGTTCAGACACAGTAGGATTTTCTATGTCACAAATCCAAGCTCCGCCCCCTGGCACCCTGCTCTGCCAGGGGGCGGAGCTTAACCCAGAAAGGTAGAGTGATTGTGGCTAAAAACGTCGTTATCACAATTTAAAGACCACAGATAACACTTTAAGTCATGAAAAGAAAACAATCAGAGTGGGTGTTCAAAACCCACTCTGATCCAAGATGGCGCCGGTGTGTGTGGCCTGCCGTCTCTCGCTGTCAGCGCTGTTTGTGTTTGTGCTGCTGTTTGTGTCTACCGTCATAAATAATGTCAGCTCACTGTTTGTGTACGACCGCCAAACCCTGCTGGATCTTCGCCCCTCTGCCAAGGATTCGGTGAAATTAGATCCTGATCACTGCGGTCACACGACTTTTAAACTGTTTCAACTCCCCGGGATACCTGCTCACCTTCGCCGCACCCTCGCTCCACTTCCCCGGCGTAAACGCCGGCGCCGCCGTGGCAAACGCAGCGGCCAGCTGGTGAAAGTTAAGGCTCTCTTGGCTCGATCTTCCGCTGTTCCCCTGAGGAGAAATGGAGTGGGATCTGGTCTCTTTTTTCATCTACGTTCGCTGGACCCTGTCGACTCCTGGCTGGTACCTGTCGTCGGTTCGGGTGAGGTAACCCGTCCCCGCGGCCCCTGCTCTCCTCGTCCTCGCCGGCGTGAGGTGAATCCCCGCCATCTACGGGCCCTGTGTCGGGCTCCACGATCAGCCGATGCCTCGGGCGTGCCGATTTCTACCAGGTTCGGCCTTGTCAATGCCAGATCACTGGCAAACAAAACTTTTATTCTGAAGGATTTCTTCATGTCCCGTGGATTGGATTTTCTCTGTGTAACTGAGACATGGTTGAGTACCGGTGAGTCCAGCCCTTTTATTGAACTCTGTCCACCGGATTGCTGCTATTTTAATTCCCCGCGGTCGTCTGGTCGAAAAGGAGGTGGAATAGCAGTTATTTTTAAAAGCAACTTTAAATGCCGGCAGATCAGCCTGAAATTCTCCTTTGCAAGTTTTGAAATGAGCTTGTTTGAACTGGGCCGCTCTCATGTTGTCCTGTGCGCCGTCATTTATCGACCACCCAAGTACAATAAGGATTTTATAAGTGACTTTTCTGAATTTCTGGCCGAAATTCTGCCGAAATACGACCGTGTCCTTATTGTTGGTGATTTTAATATTCACACTTGTTGCCCTGAAGAGCCGGTCTCCAGGAGCTTTTTAAATCTCATTGACTCTTTTAACTTCGTGCAGTCTGTGTCCGGTTCTACACATAATCTCGGGCACACACTAGACCTGGTGCTCTCGCATGGTCTGTGTGTGTCTAACCTTGTCATTTGTGACGCTGTTTTCTCGGACCATATGCCGATTTTATTTGACATCCCCACTCAGTGTCCGGTTAAACTGCGCGCTCCACCTAAACCGCGTCGCATGTTTAACTCTTCCTCGCCTGCTCTGTTCTCTTCCACCTACGTTGGTCTCTGCGAGGATGACTCTGCAGCCCCTGTGTGTTTGGATACTGAGGAACTGGTACTGAGATTTCACTCCACCTGTCTACAAACACTGGACACGATCACTCCTCTGAAGACCCGGCGCACCAAACCTACACCCGAGCCCTGGTTGAACGACGTCACTCGTGCAGCCAGGCGTGAGTGCAGGAGGGCGGAGCGCAGGTGGAAAAATGACAGACTGCACGTGTCTCTTGGCATCCTTAAAGATAGTCTGAGGAATTATCAGAGGATTGTAAAAGCCGAGAAGAATAAATACTTCTCAGAATTAATTGCTTTTAACTGTAACAACCCCAGAGCTCTGTTCAAAACCATAAACACTGTCCTTGAGGCTCCCAAGTCTCTTGGTTTTGATTCCTCCACTGAAATCTGTGAAAAATTCCTCCACTTCTTCACTGATAAAATTATGTCAACCAGAGCCTGTATCTCTCAACCTTCATATGACCTTTCTGCCCCTCTGCACCCCACATCTGTCTTTGCCAAATTTGAGTCTGTGTCCCTCTCTATTTTAAAGGACATAGTCGGCCATATGAAGCCTTCTGGTTCCCCTGCTGATGCCATCCCCCCTCGCTTGTTTAAAGAGGTACTTGCTACTATTGGACCAAGTGTCCTTAATATTGTTAACAGTAGCCTCTCCTCTGGTACAGTACCTAAGGATTTTAAACATGCTGTAGTACGGCCTCTACTTAAAAAAACCGGCCTTGACCCATCCCTCTGTGCCAGTTTCAGACCCATCTCAAATCTTCCATATCTGTCCAAGATTTTAGAGAAGGTGGTCTACAATCAATTGTTACCATTTTTGGAAGATAATGGTATCACAGAGTTGTTCCAGTCTGGTTTTAAAGCTCTCCACAGCACAGAGTCAGCACTTTTAAAGGTTTCAAACGATATTCTAATGACAACAGACTCTGGAAAGTTTGTTGTCCTTGTGCTCTTAGATCTGTCTGCTGCATTTGACACTGTTGACCACAGCATTTTAATCTCTCGCCTGGAGCACTGTGTGGGCATTAAGGGTGTTGCCCTGGACTGGTTCCGGTCTTATTTAAGGGACAGAAGTTTCTGCGTTAAACTTGACAACTCTGTGTCGTCAACAGCTCCCCTCCCACATGGGGTCCCCCAAGGCTCAATCCTTGGCCCTCTTTTGTTTGCCTTTTATTTACTCCCCCTTGGTTCTGTTTTTAGGAAACATGGCATCTCCTTTCATTTTTACGCTGATGATTGTCAGATCTATGTTCCACTTGCACAGAACAACTCCAACTCAGTCCAGCAACTCACCAACTGTCTTAAGGACATTAAAGCCTGGCTTTCTTTTAACTTTCTCAGTCTAAATGAGAACAAGACCGAGGTAATGATGTTTGGACCAAGTGGAGGCCACCCCCCCAACATCGACCTAGGCTCCCTCTCACCCTACCTTAAAGAGGTCGTCACTAACCTGGGAGTTAAGTTTGACCCTGATTTTAAATTTGAGAAACAGATCAGCGGGGTGGTACAAAAAAGTTTTTATCAGCTACGTCAAATAGCCAAGGTGAAGCCTATTTTATCAAGACCTGACCTGGAAAAATTAATCCATGCTTTTATAACTACCCGTCTTGACTACTGTAACTCTCTGTATGTAGGGATTAGCCAGGCTTCCCTTGCCCGCCTGCAGCTTGTGCAGAACTCTGCTGCACGTCTCCTCACCCAGACCCGCAGGCGTGAGCACATCACCCCCATCCTGGCATCCTTACACTGGCTCCCTGTACAGTACAGAATTCATTTTAAGCTTTTAATATTTGTTTTTAAAAGCCTGAACAATCTTGCTCCACCTTACATTTCTGAAATGCTCCAGCCTTACTGCCCACCCCGACCCTTAAGATCAGCCGATCAGCTGCTACTGACGGTCCCATATACAAGGCTGAAGCTCAGAGGGGACAGAGCGTTTGCTGCTGCTGCCCCGAAGCTCTGGAACGAGTTGCCCTTGAATATTAGACAGGCCTCCTCATTTCCTGTTTTTAAATCCCTTTTAAAAACACACTTTTACTCCTTGGCTTTTGATACTTTTTAGTGTTACTTTGTTTTTTATCATTTTAGCACCTGCCGTGAGCCTGCTTATTTATTTTACTTATTTATCCCCTTGCATTAATGTATTTCTGCTCACTTTATCTTGCTCTTTGTGTTATTTGTTTTATGTATCATTGTACAGCACTTTGACTACCCTTGTGGTAATTTTTAAAATGTGCTATAGAAATAACGTTGATTGATTGATTGATTGATTCAAGAATGACTACTTTGGTGGCACTACTCTCTCTGCAGGGAAACTATGGCAGAGCTTGTTCTGATGTTCTGTGATCCTGTGATCGCAGCCTACTGGAATTCCCATTAGCCCAATCTTCAGGGTAATATTTTGTTTTTGAACAAATGAGCATCATTACCGATGAGATAGAGAACCGGCTAAACTCAAAAGAAATACAGCACACACAGTACAGCCAAATGATATGAAAGTAATAGCTGTCTAAAGAGCTTAAAACTGTAAATTCATGCTTTCTTACAGGTTGAGGATGACTACCACTCAATTCAAATGACTTGTTTCTTTAACAAGGGTAAACTGCACTGAGCGATTTCTTTCCCAGATCCCACCGCATTTCAGGAGGATGGAGGGATTAATGTAGAGGGAATGAATAAGTGAGTATCACATGAAGGCATGTGTGCAGGCTGCAGGCTGACCATCTGCTCAGCTGTGACACAAACAGAGAGGACACAAGCGACAGCTCTCTGCTGAGGGAAGACCCCCACACTACCTCTCTCAGAGCGGGCCTCTCTTGCCCCCTACAGATGAACTCTGGTCCTGTTTCTTGGCATTTGCCTTTTCAGGGACAACCCTTCACGATGACAAGCCACCTGTTACAGCCAGGAAGCACAATAGTCTTGATCGTGTTTTGGATTTGAGAAGAGAATTGTTTAAGTGGATCAGTTTGAAAATCACATCAGATGAACCCAAAACTCAGGTGTACAGAAAGATCAATCCAGTTTCACGTTTTTGTATTTAATGATTGTAATCAACTATTTTTTACATAAACAACAATTACGCCAAGAAATTTCTGAACTGGTCACTGAGTATTTTTCTCCAACTCAAAACTTGGTTGAAATGCCTTTAACAGATTTTCTTATCAAAACTGAACTGTCAAAATGATACACTTAACAGTTTGGTAAAGTCACAGTCATATGCCATCAAGTCAATTAGATAGAGTCATGGGTAGGACATTTGGAAAGGCAGAGTGGTGAGCAAAAGCACACCCAGGAGATACAACACTCTTGCATCAGAGCTTAAATGGTAGTTGATTAATTCTACTGACCACCTTTAGGGTCAAATGCAAATGCTGAATATCGTCAAAGGATGATCATCAGTCTACACTTCAACAGGAGAGTTTCGGAGAAGAGGTCCTCAGGTCTCAGGGTCAGTTAAGACTGCCAACAGAAAAATACAAATATTTAGACTTTATGGTAAATAAATATTTTGACGTTCATGTGATTATTACAGTAAAGCAGGATTATGTTGAGACTGTCACTGTTCAGTTTAATTTGAATTTGATGATATGATCTGATGGACCTTTCATTAACCGTACATTTAAATACAAGTTTAATTAATGAAACATGTTGAGATTCATACTTTGTATCAACTTGTTTGTATCTTCAGTTGGTAGCCAGGTAGTAAGTAGTGTATATAATGTATAGTGAGCAGGTGGAGATCCTGCTTTGTTTCTGGGTTTTGTCTCATCCTGTCTGGGTTCTATTTCACATAACCACCAGCTCAGTATAAATTAAACCTCATTAAAATGTTCGTCTTTCTTTTTATAATCCATATTCTCCACTGGAATTAGTTTACACTGAGCTTAATCTCACAGGAAACTAAGAAAGTAAGGTAGGGTGACCATATGTCCTCTTTTACCCGGACATGTCCCCTTTTTGGGGGGCTGTCCGAGCTGTCCAGGTTTGTCCGGGGAGGTTTATAAGGTCCTTCAAATGTCTGCGGCTTTGTGTGTAAGTTTCGAGTTTGTGTTACGTGGACTTACTGAGTTAGAAGCGTGTAAAGGACACTCCATCAGACCCGAAAAACTCTCAAAATTAACTTCATTGACACTGTGACTCCGCCCCTGTATCGTCCTGTTCTCTTTTTGGAAAGTCAGAATATGGTCACCCTAAGTAAGGTGTCCAGGTTTCTCATTTGCAGGATCTATCAGCGAATTAAACAAATCAGGCAACCTTTGTGAAATGACCTTTGTGTGATTAGAAAATACGTGACAATGTAAAAATGTATCACATCACTAAAACAGAAGCATATCCGGTTATCTTATGAAATATTTGAATTAGTATTCATGGATGTAGGTGTTATTAGGCTCATGACTTTAGGAAACATGATGCCAGATTTTCTAAATGTAACCGCAGTAGGCGTGTGTTCAGGCGTATGTGACGCTTTGTAGGAATCATACAATGTGTGCGAGATTGATAATTACTGCAAACACTACAAAAGGTGCCAGAAAAAAAACTTGGCGAGGCATCTGAAGAACTGAGTATATGTTCGGTAAAGTGATAAAATTAAGAGGTACAACAGAGACTTTTATATCTGTCTAGAGGGAACAAAGTCGTGTTTATCAGCCCCAGAAATAGCATCATGTTTTTTCTTTTTTCCTTCTTAATGCAGCTGCTTAGCTTTGGCTGATAAACTTGATGGATTAAAAGCATTTTTGCGCACTAAGCTCTCCGCTCATTGCATGTTTTTATTTTTTTATTTTATTAATGCAGCGCTCCGATGAGTAAGACTTGTATACTATAAAAAGAGAGAGCAACACACTCACCCCTTTCAACTGCTGAGCTCCAGTGATGTGCTGAAACACTCTGTCAATCTCCTGCTCGATGCGCCGGGCCCAGTGCATTATCCTGTGGAGAGACATCACAGACTGACTGTCACACAAGCACAAACAAAGGAAAAAGATATGTGTGTGTGTGTGTGTGTGTGTGTGTGAGAGAGCGAGTGTTTGTTTTCAAAGGAAGCTGTGATGATGCAACATAAACACTGTCTATTAAATACCCGAGAAATAAAGGAATAAAAACATGCTTCGATTTATTAACGAAAAGACATTAACTTGACTTATTCTCGGATGTACATTCATTATCTTAAAACCCACATCTTTATAAAACCAAGTATCATTTATCTGCTGGGATTTAGTATGATTCAGAATTGTGTACAATATTCAGCAAATGACAACCAGGATTGCAAAAAAAAGCAGCAGACAACACCTGAGAGAGAGAGAGAGAGAGAGAGAGAGAGAGAGCCAGTGAATGTGAGCAAAGCCAGGTAATCAGCTTTGTACACTCATCATCATAATTCTGTCAGAGGATAACTCCAAAGCAAAGACTAACACACAGATCTCTCCTGCATTATTCTCTACGTACATAAATAGCTTTTAAACCTCGTGCGGCTGCCAGGATGGCTTGATGCGAATACAATTTCTTGCTGAGGTCCAAATTTAGAGAAACTAATGAGGCAGGAGAAACAAAGCATCCACCGTGCTGTGGGAGTTAAGGCCTTCAATTAAGGGGCATTTTAGAGCAGAGGTGTCACATGTGGCCCCAAAGCTGCTTAATTTAACCTCTAGGCTTTTCAAATCCGCGATAAAAACGTTCTTCCCTAAGAGACTCTCACAGATATTTTTGTAGAGCCGGAACTGTTTCTCTCACGGTAAGACGCCTGAATATTTCGTCTTTTAGAGCTGGTCTTCAGACAATAACAAACATTCACAGACCACAGATCTCAAGTGGATGTGGATCCTGTATTTGTCAAACCACAGACTGTGAGTCTATTATTCACAATCTTTTTCAGGTCTACCGCATTGTTAATTAAATCCATCGACTCCAATGACTTTTTAAGATCAATTGTGTCTTAAAATATACAGATACAGTTGTTGAAAACAGAAAAATAAAAAAATGACAAGCTGGTGAAAGAGTATTGCCTTATAACTTCTGCTAACCCAGGGGTGAAAGCTAAGCCAGTACGCAGCTGTACGCCGTACCGGGAAGACATATACAGCAATTTACAACCGGTGCACAGCGGTACCCAAACTTTCACCCCTGCAATATATGTAGGCTACATTTGCTAACTTTGTTTCCATGAGTCAGTCTGCACTCTGCATTCTAACCGTAGTAATCCAATAGGATTATGCTGCTTGCGAGTGAGTTGTATTTGCTTCTCCAAACAAACAAACTCCAGAGGTGGGAGCACTCAGTGCGCACTTTTGGACGCTGGTTGCCTAGGCGCTGGGGACCGCCTCCCGCCTTTTGCGGAAGGAGGGAACTTTTAAAGAGACAGCTGCTTTAATCTTAATGCAGAAATAAAACAAAATGCAGAGAAAGAGTACCTGCTAGAGCCTTATCCTACTTCCACCCCCTGTGATAATCATGTTAGCCAACTGCATTATGATATCTCTTACTTGAAGTTATCCCAATGACCTCTTGAATGAATGTTTTAGTCGAAGTTTAGTCTCTTTGCCTCATTTTCTGTCAGCTGTGACTAGCTAGTTGCTAACTGTGTTTGTTTCCTCTGTGGTGTGAAGCTAAAAGCTGTGCAGTGGGGATTTTAGGTCTTTATACCTGTTTCTATCAAAGAAGTAATATTTATTTACTTTAGAGCCCAACTATGAATATGTTTCCAACAAAGGTAAAAAGATATGGAGGGAGTTTTGGTGGATTTTATTTCAGGTTTACTCAAGCACAAAAAAAATATCAAATGAGCAAAATATAAACAACCAAACAAAGGTGAAAGCACATAATTGCTTGTTACCTCTTGGAACCTGATTTAGGGGGGTCATATTTGAGCCAAATACCGGTGACCAGTACCTCTTAGCATCGACATAAAGGAAAGAAACATCAACTTTTTACTTTTTGATAACAAGGACAGGAAATCTGTCAGTTGTGGCCATCTTTCTTCACAGTCACCTCCACTGATTATTTTTATTTCCCTCACATCTCCTCTCAATGTTCTGACATCTACTCTATATCTGGGCTCGCACACACACAAAAATAAAATAAATATTTAAAATATTGCTGAATAAATTCTCCAGCTTTGTTTCTGCTGTGAATGTCAACTCCAACACAAAACTCCCATCAGCCACTGGCTGCACACCAAAATGCACAAACTACCAACAACCAGCATTGTATAAGCGCACGTGATTTCATGAGTTAAGTCCCTCACAGCCCACACACACACACAACATCCTGGCAATGAGCACAAAGAACTAAAGATGCAAGATTCAGAAAGGTCCTCCATTACAAGACGAGGCAGAAGAAAAAGCAAGTCCATCCATAGAAGATGTAAAGTAGCTTTCAACACCTTGAAATTTGGACCCGTCTGAATATGTCAAAATAAATTTAATGAGCCTTTTAAATCCAAATTTACTCACTTTCTCCTCTTCATTTAATGGTCAGTTTTACTATTTCTAGCACATGATCAAACAGAAAGCCGTTTCAAATAGACAGGATATAAGACACAAACTCACAAAATTTCAGACACCATCTGCATCATCGTCAAGGAAACAGAAACGTCTTGTTTTGATAAGACTGCAGATGTTATTTTTACCCCCAAATAGAAAACTGTCAAGACCATACTGCTGCGTTTGCTACTTAAAGCTTTCATGACTGTCTGACCTTGGTTTAACACATAGGTGGAGGTCAATGGAAGTGAGTAGACTGGGTGTTTTAGCTTTTTTAAAATATGGTGCGGCTCACAAAAGTAATTAAGTTACTAAAGATTATTTCAGTGCTAGATTAGTAACAGAATAAAAGCACATACGGACGCAAAATCTTCTCTTTAATACAGTTTCTATTTAACAGTATTATTATTTTTAAACTAATAATAATGCATCAGATTTCATACAGCGCTTTATCAGAGACCCTCAAAGTGCTTTACATTGGATACATCATTCATTCGCTCACACAGTCACACTTTGGTGGTGGTAAACTACCTTAGTAGTCACAGTGGCCGCCATTTTGCGCCTACGGCCTCTCCGACCACCACCACACAACACTCACAATCATACACCAGTGGAGGACACATACTGGGAGTAAGGTGGGTTAAGTGTCTTGCCCAAGGACACAACAGACAGACTTGGGATAGGGGGGAATCGAACCGCCAACCTTCCAGTTATTGGACGACTGCTCTACCTCCTGAGCTACTGCCGCCCGACTATAAACTATTGGGGAATGTTCTCAAACAGATCTATATTTTTAAAATGCAAGAGACACATGATACAAAGACTGGTCAAAACTGAAGCAGCAAAGACTGTGAGAAAACCGTAAATCTTTCACATCCCGTAATGAAACTACATAGCATCTTTCATCAGAGCTCCTCAGCTCCCTGCCTCCTAAATCCCCCCTGTCTTTCAAATTTAACAGCCCAGGGTTTGTAACGCAGGCTACATCAATGACTTAAGGCCAAGTCAGAAAAAAAAAACCTGATAACGTCTCTATGGCATCATCGAGGTTATTTTCTCACACTTTGGAAAGCTCCCTTATGAGCCACAGACATTACAGATGTTCTCTCTGGATGAGTTGATGTCTGCTTAAAGAAACCAAAGGTCCTGTGATAAGGTTCAGCAGATCAAAGCAGAAAAATACACTCGAGTGAACAAAACTAACATTTTATGTTCAAGGTTTAAACTGATGCAAACAGGAGAGGAGGATGTTAAATTTTTGCTTTTTTGCTGCTAACATATTCAATAGATAGGTAGCTTGAGACCTTGTATAGTGTTTGCAATGTTAACCACAACATTCAGTTCATTCCCACCAATTAATCTAATGAGCATGCATCCTACCATGACTGCTGGTGCAAAGTTCAGCATCCCTGGGACTTTATCCTGTGTGCTCGGTCTTTCTTTAGATTAACGAATCTCGTTTCCTCATAGTCTGTTTAAACCCGTGGACAGCTCATCAGCTACCCGGAGTGAACCCCCCAGAGAATGGCTGGTCTTTAGGTCAGCCTTCTCCAGTAGAGTAATTCTAATGTTCATGATAGTTAGGTTCATGTCATGCAGATTTATATGTAAGTGTCCCTATCTTGGAGAGGTCAGGGCTTAATTAGCTATGTATGGGATGATGTATAGCTAGCTCCACATCAGGTCCTTGTGTCACCACATCCTGACTTACCATATATTACCGTTTTTATTACTGGGCCAGTGGTCCACCAGTCACAGCTTTCTGTGGGTCAATGCAGATTGACAATATGCAAGGCCAATATCACAGTTTTGTTGTTGTTGTTTTGCATTTGACAAATAGGAGTCGGCACAGATTCATTATTCCATGTACTTTTAACTATAAAATACATAATTATCTTACCCACAAATACGTTACAGATGGAATAATCATCGGTCTTTATCTACTGGATACCAACCAAAGATAGAATCAAGTAGACACTAATTGATGCAAAGATTTTTTTCTTGCTTTAAAACTGAATTATTCTTTCATACAGTTAACATAATTTCTATTCATGGCAAAGTCTAAACATTAGCCTGCCTCAGTATTACGAATCACATTGAAGACCCACTCCGATGAAAATCATGTTTTTTATATGTTCATATGACATTTTTCTGACGCTACAGGACATATCATGAAAAAACTAAATGTGAAATAGCTTCTCTGAGTATTTCTTCAATCAAATCGCTGTGAATCTCTGGCAGACCCAAAGGGCAGGGCCAGAAACAGTGAGATTTCATATGTAACCAATCCAAGCTCCGCCCCGCCATGCAGGCCAGGCTCAGAGAAATACAGAGGATGATCACGGAACAAGCGTTTGCGTAATGCTCGTAAGAAAGCAAATTATGATTTTAGCTTTCATTGTGTCCCTAAAGACATTAGTGTCTGAGTGCTGAATTGCTCCTATGTTACCTGCCACTTCTACTACACCAGTAATGTTAGGCTGCAAGCTAACGTGAAGACGAGTGTGCGAAGCAGCGCTGACTACACCCACGACTCAGAGGCGAATTGCTAATGAGCTACTGGAGCTGTGCAGAAGAAAAGTCCTTGAAAATAACACAGGTAACACGATTTTTGGTAAAAGCTTCATAATCACAATTTAAAGACCACTGAGAACACTTAAGTTAAAAAAAATTATCTGAATGGGACATTAAACTCCACGTCTTACTTTCAAGTCCAACCATTCTGTTTTCCACCAGCTCATCACCCTTTTTTTTTGCCATTAACTGGTCAGCGATAAACCAGAAATTCTGAGTTTGGTGCTCTCCCAATTAATTGAGACTTGAAAAAATCCTCAATGCTGTTCCTGGTGCCATCAGAAAGTGATATTTTTGTCAGATTTAATTCATAAACACTAGATTTAGATTTTTGTTTAGATTTAGAAGATCTTTTGTACCAACAGCCCAGTGGCGGCTGCTGGTCTTTCAAGGAGGGGAAGCTCATTTTTCTGGCCTACATCATAATTGTATTTGTTTATTAGTATGTAACAGGACAGAGTCGCCAAACACAACGGCAGTCGTTTTTAACAAAGACAAAAGTTGCTGAGGATCGGTTAAGTCTCTGGAGCAGTTAAGAACAACGGAATGAATAACTTGGAAAATGCTCTGGCAGATGTTTTATTCTTCAAGATCGCTGATTCGCTTGTTTAGCTGTCAATCAAAAAAGGATTTCGCCTCAGACAGCTCATCCAATCATGGATGCAGAAGCTTGGAGTCCGGGAGAAAGTCGGGACCGCCCTCTCGCCATAGAACTCCAGTGAAGCTGGGCTTCCATTGGGCGGGACAAAGTCCAGCATTTATCCAATGAGCGTCTAGTTTCGCTGCTGGAACAACCCACTTTAAGCTTCCACATTGAAGTCAGCAGAAGCCCAGCGTCCGGCTGTGTGAAGCGCTGAGGCGCTGGGAGGATGAATGAGAACGAAGTTATGCCGGTTACCTGTGATTATCAGCTTCTTATCACAGTGTCTGAACAAAAGTTGAAGGCTTTCTAGTGCGTATTTAGTTAATGAAATGTACACACAGCCGTACGTATTTCACCACTTTTTCTTTTTTTTGGGGGGTGACATTTTAAGGGAAGCCGAGCTTCCCTTGCAGTCTTAGAGCAATCGCCACTGCAACAGCCATCCGGCTTTATAACTCTTATGTAAATAATAGATAACTTTTAGACATATTACTTGAGACAACGGACAATTGAATTTTCCTTTGGGGATCAATAAAGTTCTTATCCTTTCTTATTGTAGATGTGCTGTAGACCTTTCTGCTGATTGGTTTACAACCACTGTCAAAGGGTTTTGACCAATCAGATTCAAGCATTTCACAACATTGGGTGATTTGTGAGAAAGCCAAGGAGAAAAAAGCAAAATAAGTGACTCGATAATTAAAACATAACGTGATAAATTTCTTCTGTAACAACATAGTAAACCTTTAATTGAAGTGTAAGCCTCACAACATGTGCTGTATGTGCTCTGTATGACTTCATTCCAATGTGTTTTCTATGACATACAATATAATCTCATCCCAAACAGCAATTTGAAAGCAGCACTAACAACCCCACACTGACTGCCTGCATAAAAGCAGAGTCCTGCAGCAAAAGAGCAGGAGTCTTTCATGTTCGGTGCATCAATGCCATGTTGAAGCTTGTGCCATCAGCCACAGGGAAGACGAAAATATCTTTCATGAGTCTAAGGGGTGTAGTAAATACTACAGGATTTGTGCCATAGAGTCCCTGTTAGGTTAGACCCTGCTACCCATCTTCAGAAACCCTGAATGAATACCTCTATGATCTGTGAATGAATACAGGCTCAATTAAGACTTACATTTCCCTCCATCACCTGCCTCATTTCACTGCTTCAACCCTCATTCACTGGCTCAATATGTAAGGCTGCTGTTCAGCCCGAACAACTGGATTAGAGTCGACTTAATGCTTTTATTTGAGCTTCCTTCCTAATTTGCTTCAACCAGGAGATAAATCTTCAGACCCAGAAAAACACCCCAAATCCTGTAGGTGCCAAGAGAGTCAATACTTTATTAGTCAGACAGCTCCCAGCAGAGTTACAAGACAACATGGCAGATTAAAGTCTTGTTGGACTTGTTTCTTCTGTGTCTGAGGAGGCACAAATCTCCACTTACTGTCCACATCCACAGAGAGATACAAGGAGAGATAAGGACCAAACCTTATTTCTCCCCAAGCTTTTTCATTTCATTTCATTTTGAGATGATTTTTAGACCAGATCATGAACATGAAGCCAATGACAGACACCCAGGCTTTTCCAAATACAGGTTTATGACGATCACAGAGAAAGATTAAATTACAGGAACATGTTTTTAGGATGTTTTTTTTTTGTTTTGTTTTTTTGGCCTGCTACATCAATTATCACTCTAGAAGGCCTATTTAAGATATAAATGAATACTTGACAAAGAGTCCCTGACAAGCATGACCAGATTTAAAAGTGAAATTATTTTCAGCTCCAGGCAGTGGAGGCAGCTGCAGAAAAAAAGCGAATAGTACTTTGAGGGGGGGAGAAAGCAGCTGATCCTGACAACCGTGAACATAGTAACCATCATAAAAATGTGTAATTTTTTAATAACCCCTTATTAAAGGATATTTTGGTTGACATTTGGTGTAATTCCCCAGAAATTTGATCACAAGCCAGCATGTAAGAGCTATCACTGCAGCTCTGAAACCCACAGCACCTCAGCTGATCAAGCAGTTATTTCTTGCTGTAGAGATTTCCAAATATAAAACCTTACGTACGGTGAGTCAGCATCTTATGACTCACACAAATCTTATATGTGTGCCAGATATATAATGTATAGAATATAAATAGTATTAAGCAAAAAATATTTTACAATAAATGTGATGAACTTAGGCCTGAAATGTAAACTTTCAGTTCTAGATCTCCTTAAATTTCTTCATTCTGTCATGACAGTTTTTAAAGGGTTTCTCTCAAGAGGTGCAACCTTGGTGAGTATAAATGTAGAGGGATATTGTGTGCTCTGGTTCAATAAAAGGCCAAAACCTTAAAGTTTTGAGTCACTTGAGTGTTTATGAAGGGTGTTTGCAGCGCTTCCTGTTCATGGGCAATACCATTAGTGTTCAAAGAGTGTTTCATGTTATTCAGACTATCCTTGATGGTTCTCATTAAATATTTGTTAATTTCTCTTTCAGTCTGTCAGATAACAGTGTCAGGGAATTTCATTTGCTTTAAAAGCCTGAGAAATTGTCGAGATATGCTTTAAATTTTTGATAACTTGATAACTTTTTGATAACTTTTGAGCAAAAGCACATCATCAACTTGTAAAATTCAGCTACATCACTTGATTATTCTAAAAGGCAGAAGAGCATCAATTTGTCTGCACACACACAGAGCTCAAACTGCTGTATTTACTTGACAATTCTGTGTAACTTAATACTGAACCCTGATTTTTAAATTTAATTTTTTTTATTTATTTTAGGATTTAGATGAGATCACAAAGTTCTAGTTTTTGGTTCCAAATTTTGGAAAAGATCAGTTTTGACTCAAGCAGTCTTGAGTGAAGCGAAGCGATGGTGTGTTTAATTCATGTTTTTGATTTATATACATATTTTCTTTTTAAAAAATCACCCTGTTTTCCTTATTACGTGCAACTTGACTCTAAGACAACATTAATTCAAGCGGGTTTAGAAGTCATCCACCAGATTTCAATGCCACCATTAGTCCCACTGAGCAATAGACAGGTTAGATGTCTAGTTTTTTTGTAATCCTAATTTCAACCGTCTAGATTCTGTATATTTTCAGACGGAATTTAGACGTTGCACTTTAACCCATTATTGATGACTATTTATTTCAAAAAGCCACTTTGAGTTGCATAACTGATCTCCAAGTACTTAACCAAAAAAATTATGATAGCTGTTTAGCAACATACAGTGTAGTATAGATATAGCCCAGATTTAGATTTAGTCTAAACTTGGTCTAAATTTAGACGTCTGTAGTAGCCTGATTTTAGACCAGTCGTCTAGGCTACATTTAGACGTCTATTAGACCTCTTTTAGACCAAAAAATGCTCAGTGGGGTCCTTCAAGAGGTGATGCTCACATGAATATTTACATAAATTTTATGTAAGTTACGCTGTTTTTCCAATTTTCTCAGCAGGAGAACTGAACAGCCAATGGCCCAAGTTTATGGCATTTGGTAGGAACTAGGGCAAAAACAGCCGACAGAGTAGATCTGGTTCACTTCAAAGCAGAAGGATCTAACTCATAAACTAGAAGTTTCTCCCTACATTAAGTTTTCTTCAACCAGTGTTTTTCAGAGTGAACTGAAATAGATAAATAAGATAAGATAAAGTCTCCTCTGTTTTCATGTATGCATGTTTACTGTGAAAATGATTTCTGAATTTTAAAATACTGTATATCTCTATAATAAAGGGGTCTGCACTCCTCTAAACGGTGTCCCCTGCTTTTTCAGTCAGTTTCGTTCGTCAGTTTCATCAAGTTTAGCTAAATATTAATGACCTTCATGTCAAACGCAAATATCTGACCCTGTATAAATCAAGCTGTTTTTTTTTTTTATGAGTAAAACCCACAAGGCTGCAGATCAGTTTTCTCTGTGTGACTCAGAAGAGCTGAGGTTCAGTCCTAACTTTTTCACTGTGCGCTCCATTTCCTCTCCTCTCAGTCCTTTGGGAAGAGGCACAACTCCAGATCGCAGGCACGCTGAACTTGAGCCTCTTCTCTGTTACCTGCTTTACTCACACACCCCTGAGACGGGAGACAGAGAAGGACTGCGAGATGTGACCCACATTCACTTACAGCGGAGAGCGGGAGTCAGAGGTGGAAAGGGTGGAGCAGGAGGGCGAGAGAGGTGGAGCGTGAGGAGCAGATGGAGTAGAAAGCCATAGCTCTGTGTAACTGGCTATCAATCTATCAAGTGTATCCTTCCATCCTTACTGTTTTCTATCTATCTATCTCAGACTCAGTCTCTGTGTCAGAGTGTCTTTTACGGTAAATCATCACAGCAGCTCTGCAGTCTCTTCCACTTACATCATAACACAAATCATTTTGATGGTAAATGTGTTTTAGGAAACACAGTGTTGTCTAAATGACATTTTATATCATGAAACCAGAGAGGTTTCAGGGATGGCAGTGTCGGCCTGTCGTCCAGACTGATATATCCCCACACCCCTGGATGGAGTTGGGTTTTTAAATGTACAAGCAGTACCAAGACAACTGGTGGCTAAAATGGCGAGAAAAACAACAAGAAATGGATCGACAACAAACTAACAAATGAAACTTTGAGTCGATTAAGGGGCAAAGTTACAAAATGTTAATTGATTTCAAGTGGATTTGAGTTCCTTAGAGGAAAAATCGTTCCCTGGAGGCTCTTAAAACTTGTGATCAGTGGCTTTTAAGTGTTTTATAAAAAATGGATCCCATGCTTAAAAACTTTGCAGCAATGCAGGTCTTTCTTTTTTTTCCTTGGCAAGCAGAACTTAGCAAATCTAAGCCGCCTAGATTTGTTTATGTTACTTGATCCAATGTGATTTGGTGCATGAACTGAGAGAGTTCCTTAATGTGGGTTTCTGTCCGTTTACTGCTGCGTTCACTTAGCATGAGCAGCTTCTTCCCTTCTATGTTTTAATGCCACGCTGTGCATTACCATGTTGTTTTGTCGCATAAAATCTATGCTACAAATGTGAATACAGGCACAATAAACAGTGGAACATTGATGATATCTATCTATCTATCTATCTATCTATCTATCTGCAGAGATGCAGACGGAGTCAGTACAGTAGGGGCCGGAGAGAAAGAGTGAGGGAATAAATCCTGGCTGCTGCAGTATTAATTCTTAATTGGAATGAGATGCTGTTCTTCGGCGTAGCGGTTCTGCTTCATTTAGCTTACATGAAGAGACCCAGGGCAGAGGGCTGTGTAGCTGTTTCAGAGCACTCAGCAGAAAAATAAGAAGAAAGGAGGAGGAGGAGGAGAAGGAGAAGAAGGAGGCGGCAGCGGCTATACCCTACTTGAAATAACCTAATTCATCATAAAACACACACACATGCACATCCACACCCCCACTGATTTACAGACCCCTTTCCTAATTGGTAAATACACCTCGGCTCTCCAGTTGTGATTGGACAGAAATCCCTCACTGTGAGCCCTGAAGATGAGTGGACCATCTGGCCTGTTCCTCCCTCCAGAGCCGCCTGATTACAGAGCCTGGAGACGGGCCCAGAGAACTGGAGACTCGAGTTAAGAGCCAGCTGTACTTAACAGTAACAGGTTAAAGGTCAGGAATTTAACAAGTAAGCACAAGATCTATTTAAATTGAAGAGAAAATGAAATCTCTCTTGTTGTGCTTTGGTGGAAATCGCAGCTGAATCACCCTTCTTTTCTCTCCTTACAAACACAGCCTGTCCCTCTTGTAGTCAACAAAAAGCAATCTTTCTTCAACTTGAGAAATGTTTTGCTCTTTCCTTGGAAGTCTGCATGGACACATCTGGTGTAAGGAAAGATGTGGAAATATATATTTTGAGTTTCACAATAACTACACAGACTTTATGTGCCTGTCCACCCCAACTTCACTTCCACTGCTTCAAAAACTTCTCCTTCAATATGCTTGACATTTGCACTGATGCAGAATTTACTGTCTCCTAGAAAAGACAGAAGCAGAGGTTTGGTTTCATGTTTTCACACATGGAAAGATGATTAGAGAATTAAGGCTGGAACTATAGCAATGAGCACAGGCTGAATCATTGTCCAAATGCTGCACATATCTCCTATGAAGGCAAGTTTCATTTTAACCTCCACTTTACAGATCTTCAGTTTTATTAAGACACTGAAATGTGATGTAAATAAATTGCACAGCTTTCCAATGGTTGCTCTGTCATACTGTGAGCTGCACCTTACAGAGCTCTCAGCTTTAAACACCCAGTCTTTACATTGATGCATCGCCAACTATCAGAAATTACATAAGAGCAGAAAATAAACCAGAGTGATTGAAGTATCTTGAAAACCAGAAGTGCCTGCACGAGCCCAAACTTGTCCCCCATCAGAACCCCTCAATGGTCTCTGTTACTTACGTGTATTGCTGCGGGAACGTGAGACCCCCAGCTCCAGGCCACGATGCGCTGAAAATCAAGATAATCTGGATAGATACCAAGCAGACGATGCTGCAAGAGCTTCTGCCTATCGCCATTTTCCATTAACAATTCTCGTCACGGGCTTTCGGTGCGTGAATGAAGCGCTCGGGACCGTCTCCGGGGGCATAAATAGATACCGAGCTGATAGTGCGGACGTCCGGCTCAGTTTCCCAACGAGTTCATGTCGGTTATCTTCTGTCAAGTGCACGCGGAGGAGGCAGGCATTGGCCGTGAAGGCATCGCGGACGGTGGGAGATGCACTAATGCAGCTGCCAAGACACTGCAGAGTCTCTCCTCCTGCTCCCACATACACCAACACTAATACCAACACCGACACCAACACCACACAGGGCCGGCGCGTTCACGACAGACCTCTCTCTCTCTCTTTCTCTCTCTCATCAGAAGCGCGCAAAGCAAAGCGCGTTCACGCTTACCAGGCAACAGAGGAGCAGGAGATGAATCTGGTTTTTATCCATCTTTGCAGGGGCCACGTGGGATTTGTCATCGGCATAGATTTAGTTGTTTTTCTAAGACTGACCACTGCTCCTCTGTGTGTGTGTGTGTGTGTGTGTGTGTGTGTGTGTGTGTGTGTGTGTGTGTGTGTGTGTGTGTGTGCTACTGTAAACCATTATCATGAACCAATCAGCCAACAGAAAGGTTCCTGAATGCAACAAAACTGAATTGTATATTTCAAAATAGGACAATACATGACCAATTAAAGTAGTTTTCTTTTATTTTTAACTGTGCAATGTCCAAAGAGAGGGTAAAAAGTGCCATGAGGGGACCATATAAAAATTCAACAAAATAACTGAAATTCGACATTCATGAACAAAAAATTCCTCAAATAATATATAGAGAGAAATTGTAAACTTAGTTTCTTTCCACCCATTCCTGGGGGAATAGGAGTCTTCCCAGTTGAAAACTCAGGGTCATAGACTGTATATATTATGGACAACTTGGTCCTGCCTTCCGCCAGTATACGGATTTGAAACCAAAAAGCTCCAATTCCGCAGTACCATTGTACGCACTGCACCATTGCGCAGCTGCATTGTGCGCATTCGAGAGTCACTCAAAAGCTCTCTGTAATTGCAAGTTTTCTCTCCATTTCCTGAAACCAAGATAGCACAGTACAGTTGTAAGCACTCCACCATTGCGCAGTAGCACTGTGCAGATTCGAAAGTCGCTCGAAAGCTCTCGGTAATTCTGTGTTTATTCTCCGTTTCCCGAAACCAACATTGCGTAGTACCGTTGTACGCACTCCACCACTTGCGCAGTAGCATTGTACCCTGTGATGACGCTCGGCTCAAACAGCGTACCCCCCGGGTGCGATACCTTTTTTTGTTGGGCGGTAGGGGAAAGTCCCGCCTCCTTCGCCTCTGATTGGCTAGAAAAGCTGGAAACATCATCACATGCTTAAGCCAAATGTGGGCTGTCGCCCCCAGTTGAGCTACGCAGTTTTCGTACACCTGTAGGGTGTATCAAGGGTCAGTCGTAGAAAACATGAACCCCCAAATAACTTTTAAAAATGGAGCTTCACAGAAAAAAGAGGACTTGAGCACAAACCAGTCTTACTGTAACTACATGTCAACAACATCGCAAGCAGGGGGGAGAAAAATGTATATTCCATTTCTAAATAAAGCTCTAAAGTTTGTCCAACAGCTCCATAAGCTTTGCTGGCGGAGGTGGGATTTATGACCTATACTGCAGCCCGTCACCAGAGGGTGCTGTTCTCGGAATGGCTTCACCCAGTGAGGAGGCAGATGACGTCCATTCTATTTACAGTCTATACACAGGGTCCTTGGCACAGTAACAGCTGCAGGAGAGAGAACCAAAATATGGCATATTTTGAGTGAGTAAAAATGACCAGCTCTCTAAAATATTTCTTATCACCATATGAATTCCCTTGAAAATCACTACTTTGTGATAGTTATTCATAACCACTGTGCTAAATAAAGATAGCATGCAAATGCACGGACCACTCTTACTGACTTTATTCCCTACATTACCCTCTATCACTATAAACTCATCCGAACATGTGCCTGTAGGAAAAAGTGGGTTTCCGATTAGGGAAACAAATATGCCTTCAAAGATGTCAAAGGCAATGCTGAAGCTACCCAGGGACCCATGATACTCAGACAAACGCAACATAATGAAAATCACGTACACATGTTTGGTCGGGTGAAAATCACCCGGCGATAGTGTTCTAGGGTTGATAGTCATTGCACTTATACTGGGCTGCAAACCTCATGAGGCCCAGAAGTCACCTGATTTAGGCTATTGAACTGATGACGTGAATAGTTCCTGTTCACATTATGTCTGCACGACCAAAGCGGATTGATATCTACATGACAATAAATTTTAAAATTCTGCAACAATGCAGTAAATGCCCTTTAACTCTGTGCTGTAAATAAAATAATAGGCTTTGTGTAGTCAGGGACCCTTGTCATGTGTCAGATGTCTGGCTTGAAAGGGCTTATGTGGGCCAAAGCCTTGGTCTGTTTGAAGGCACTGCTTTGACGTGTCCTGTTTGAAAGTCACAGAGTTCAGAGAGTCTTTGATTCTCAGTATCTGCCAGTCAAATCCAATACATCCTCCTATTTTTCATCCTCCACATTTTGTTCCTGCAGCAGTCAATGATAAGAGCAGAAATACAGTTATAACAGGAACTGACATCAGTTCAGGGCAAAATATCAAAAGCATGTTATTATATTTTATTTTGTGTTTTTCCCTTTTTTTTCCGCTTGCTCTTCACTAAGGAGCGCACTTTTGTTGTAAGTAGGAAGATTTGGACAGGAGCCAGGTGCCCTTTTCTCATCTCAACTGTGAGTGAACCAAGAAGCAAAAAACAGAAAACCATCAAGGCTAAAAACCATGCAACTGTCCATGAATGCAACTCAAGGAACACAAAGAGAAAACTGTTCAGATACTGAGTTTTACCCTGGGGCTCAGAAACTCTGTGGCCCAAAACATCTGCATGGAGTCTCAGAATTTGCCGAATGAGGTAAGAGGAACAGGGACTTCTTTCTGCACAGCTTGATAATTAAATAAGGGAAGTGGGAAACTGCACACTTCAAAGGAAACCAAAAGTTTCACCACATAATTGGATTATATTTAATTTGTATCAATGGACTACAATTGTCACAGCTAATCATATTTCACAGCAATTTTAAGTAGGTTTCAGTAGATAACTGGGTTGAAACTGTGACAACACAAGGTCAGCTATTCTGTGTTGCTTTATTATCACAAAACTATTAATAAAATGAGTTCGGGGCATAGAGGGGGGTCAACTTTTACTCATGGGTTGTATTTTTTTTTACTTATAATGATTCATCTTCTCCATATACATTTACCTGTAGTTAGAAAAACACCAGGTTCATGGCACTTCTATACTATTCAGTGGACAGTCATTAAGACAGAAGCTCTTTTCCTTCAACAGATGTACGACAAACAAATCAGAAGTCTACTTTTAAAAGTAAACTCAAGACCTTTTTAGTCTGTCTTTAAGTTGAATTTTGTTTGAATCTTTTAATCTGAATTATGTGATTTTACCCTATTTTAGTCCTAGAGTGACTATTTTTTGTTTTATTACCTCTTTTTTAACTTACTTTCAATTATTGTTTGATTTTAAGACAGTTTTACTAAGTTAACTTTTAACGCTTTATCACCTTTATTATATTTTATCATGGTTTTATCGTTTTAGTCCTAGATCCAGTGTTTCCTCATTTCTTTTAACTCAAGATAGCGTTTCCTCAGTCATCTGTGGCAAGTTGAAGAGTCCTCACCTGGTCTTTTGTGTATGCATCTGTGTGTGTAAGCATGTGAGAGCTGTATGTGTTGAATGGGGGTTGGTAGGGTGAGTGGGGTTTGGTATTTATATTTTCATTTATTATATCTCATTGTTTTTAATATCCTGCTTGAATGGACAGCACTCTGCGCTACATTCTATATACAAAAAGTGCTTAAAGAATAATGTTTGATTGATTGATTGATACTGTCTAAACCTTCAGCTATAGATTTGAAACTGTGGGTAAAAGTCAGGGAGCTGTCCACTTCAGTCAAACAGTATTTTTTCTCTCTCTCTGCAGCTCTTTCACATGTGCTCCCATGAGACGAGCCTTTAAAGCCACATGAAATGATAAACATGTCAAATAAACCATGAAATTTTCAGTGCATGGACATAACACTTCTGGGTGCATATGAATCTGTTATCCTGACTCTGGGCAAGCTATAAGATGGGATGTGCATCCAACTACCTTTCCCCCTTATTAAATATAGATATGTGATAAAATGTGTTACATAATTTAAGGAATTTAAACATTAAAGTGATCTGACAGAAAAAATACATAAACAGTTCGGTCAGAGGCTGAAGATGTCACATTTGCTTCTTCAATAAAAATTTACTTTCTGTACTTAAAGGGGTGTTTTTTTCTCTCCCATTCGCCTCTTTCTGTGTGTTTATTGATTTCATTCATACATCAAACATTTCTTCCCTCTTCAATCGTCACCCAGAGCTCTGACTTTTAGGTTTTAAATGTTCAAAAGATATCAGTGTAACAGGACAATGAAATAACCTGACCGCTGTATGGTGAGGGTGGAACTGCAAAATCTGACGGACTACAATTAATTCCCAGCTAAGAGTAGACCTCACGCCCAACACATCAGGGCATAGCTGTAATTAGATACAGAGAACAGTTGTAGCTGCACGTCAGGAGAGAAATGCAGAAAGCAGAGAGAAAAAATACAGTCCAGCTGCAAGATTTACTATACAGGGGCTCTGTCATACCCTGCAGCATCTCTGAATATTAACAACTCTCCCCTGATGCAAGAAAACTAGAGAGCAAAGACCCAATACTGGGATGCTGAAGATATCAAAAATGAAACTGAATTAGGATTTGAAAATCTGTCTTGACTTTTCCTCTCCACAGACACAGTGTTGATCTGGTTTATTTCACAGTTTGGGTCTCGATCTCCTAGGTTTGCCACTGATGTAATCCATTTACAGGTCACTGTCATTATCGGCGAAAGTTAGCCCTCTGGTTGGAATGTTTTATGACGTGTTCGTGTACTAAAATATTAATGCTGAGAAGACCACAGCAGGGTGTGTGAAGAGACCATAGGAGTCATATTAAATCTCCTCATGTGGGTAAGCTTCCTGCCCAGGTGTCCTTGACCAGGACTTGAATCCTCATCTCATCTCTCCCTAGAGTTTCTGTTTCTGATCACGATTTCTGATAAGAGGAGTAAGAGCAGAAAGGAGTAAATGACATGCTTGTAAAGTACTTTTGCCTCAAGATAGAAGAGGCTGGAAGTCCACAGTGTAGATTCTGCAAAAGCAGTCAAATATGGATTCCTTCTTTTACAAACTGGTAAAATAGACTCATGTCTTTTCTTTGCCAGACGTTCATGTCCTCGAAAGCTCACCCAACAGCATGACTGCACCAATTCCAAGCCCTTCTGGGAGGAAGGATGTGGGATCAGCTTTCTAGCCATCTCCCTGACGGCTCCATGTGCTAATACTGCTGTCATGTCCTGGGGAGAGAGAAGACTAATTACTGACTGCACAGTCTTCCTGCCAGTCCCCCTTGGAGATCCATGCACTGTTAATTGGACTACATCTCCAAAGGGAGCTGAACCATAGATGAGGCCGACCTTTACCTCCAGTAAACAGCATATGAAGCAAAAGCATTTTTAATCTCTTTTATCCTTTAAATTGCACGTATGTTACACAATACTGATAAACACAACAACCATCAACTTTGAGTCTATTGTGTGAGCTGAGTAGATGTTAATAACCTGTTGTTTCTGTGACACTCATTAAAAGCTAGTTTGGTAAGCAGTGATGGTAACTGTGTTCTTACACCCAAGTTTGTTTTATTCTTATTTATTAAATACAATTTTATGCCTTCATGCCATCAAAGTATTATCTAAGATATGTTATTCAACTGATACTGGATTTTCAAATCAGGAGTCCCACTGAGCAATAGACGGCTATTAGATGTCTAGTTTGTTTTTTAAAAGACCAAATTTCAACCGTCTAGGTTCTGTATTTTCTTAGACAAGAACTTTAATCCATTATTCGATAACTATTTATTTCAAAAAGCAACTGTGAGTTTCATAACTGATCTCCAAGTACTAAACCAAAATAATTATGATTGCCATTGAGCAAAATACAGTATAGATACAGCCCAGATTTAGACTTGGTCTAAACTTTGGTCTAAATTTAGACGTCTAAAAAACTTTCATTTTTAGACCTGTGGTAGCCTGATTTTAGACAAGTTGTCTAGGCTACATTTAGATGTCTATTAGACCTCTTTTAGACCAAAAATGTTCAGTGGGGTGTTTCCATAGAGGTGGCTGTGGCCCGTGGTGCAATGCCCCCTTCTTGAAACCAGATTAGTCATCCTTGTAGCCACTGCAAAATCTGAAACAATGATTGGCTTTTTGCTTGGTCAGAAAAGCTTACATTTGCAGAAATGTGTTCAACTCATGTATTTCATAACACAGATGTGTAGGAAAGGAAATATTCTATCAAAAAGTGCGAGGAAAAAAGCATTGTCAAAGTCATTTATGCACTCATCTCCTCCAGGCTTGCTCACTGTAACTCTCTCCTCTAAGGTATCATGCACAAAGCTCTCTCTCGCCTCCAACAGGACCAAAACACAGCAGCTAAGCTTCTCACTGGCTCTAAAAGACGAGTGAGAATGAGAGTGAAGATCTGTCTTAATATGATGTAATCTATAATGAAAAAAACAAAACATGTTACCTGCACAATCAAGTCAAGCTCAACTCCTCGTCCTCTTCCAAGTTTCCGATGCGCTGATGATTGGTATTTTCCAACGACTTTACGTATACTCCAGGCTTGATGTGAGATTTAAGTTGTACCTTCAAGCTAGTTTGGACTTTAACACAGCTGACGCAACCTGTTGACTGATTCATGAAGCTACACTGCCATCCATAGAAATCCAATTGATATTACTTTACAGTTTTTCTGCTTTCTTTAGCCAGAAATTCACTTGGGAAAAACTCGACCCTATCACATCCTAACGATGGCTTTAGGAAGCTACTTAGTTCTTAGGGACCATTTAAAATCTGCACCAACACACATACACAAATACAGAGGTATAACTGATTTACAATTCCTATGTGTAATTTTATGTTGAACGTCCTTGAAGCACACTGTTATTTGAATTGTATGTCGGAGGCAGAAACTGACTCACAGCACGGCTCTAAAGCTGCTGCTTAATCATTTGGGCTTTAAAATGCTCATTAATGGAGCTCTTGACAACAACCTCTCACTTGTTCAAGTACAATCATGAATGTAATGACTCTGTAATCACATATTTATTCAATTCAAGTTTATTAAATAGAATTTTATGTGTGAAATGATAGTTAAAATCAAGCGGACTCTAAAAAAGTAATCAAGTAAAAGCTGATTGATCAGTTATCAATCAGTCATCTTCACATTATAGTTCACTGATTTTTTTTTAGTACTATCACAGTTCTCACAACTGCTGATATTTCTTTAAGACTGCATATGCACAGGCACGCTCCAACATTACTGACACACAGTAAGTGTTTTGTTTAAAAGAAACTGATGTGATACCGAGTCATGAAATCAAGTTAAATCCTGAGAATTATAAAAACGAACCAGTCGTATCAAAAGCTAAGTGCTCAGTTTTGGCTTATGATCGACTGTGCGTGTTATTATTCTTTGGTAATCTCTGCAAATATATCAAGTTGAATAATCACTTCATCAGTAAAATGTGTCGTAGAGGGGATTAAATACGCAGACTTGTCTAAGCCTCATTGGGACGGGCAGGAACACCGGCGAGAGCTGGGATGAGCCTCTCAAACACGCTGATGCCTTTCAGGAAGACTTGCTCGTTCAGGAACTCGTTGTGATCGTGGAGCAGGATCGGTGTCTTATTCATAGGAGAGAAGCCGATAGCAGGAATACCAACCTGGATTTTAAAACAGAGAAAACTAGGCTAGCTTTCACCGAGCAACGTCAAACATCAAAATAGGGTTAGTGTGTTTTTTTTTCAGCTGTCACATCCTGCTCTCATACTCACTGCCCGGATAAAACGGCTGTCAGTTGCTGCTGGAAATATCTCCTTTTCCAGAGTCATATTCCTACAGCGAAAGAAAATGACTCAGTTAATTTTCATGACAAAAGACAGACACTCATACTCTCTGATTATGACTCCAGCATGAGACAGGATAGACAATGCTGTTCTTTATAGCCATGAGGAAAAGGACCGTGGGAGTTGTGTGAATATTTGCAGCTAAGGTGTGAAGAGCTCATGAGTAAATGCATTAGAAGGATTGTTTGAGCAAAATTAGAGGATAAAATCTTATTCTGATTCATTCAACCTGCAGACAAAGTTTTGATTGCTCATATTTGTTCAACTCGGGCGTATATTGAACTCACATCGCCTTGCAGGTGGTGCTAAAGGCGTTCCACCAAGGATCACTTTCCTCCGTTGAAGTCACGTTCTGGTTCATATGTTTCTGAAATGAAGGGCAGTGAACTTCTTTATCTCTTTGACAACAAAAAGGAACCAGCAGCACTCTCATGTTGAGTACAATATGTGAATAAACTGACCTGAGCGAATTTGTACGTGACATCTTCTCCAGCTTCTCTGCACCACTCTTTGATCTGCCTTTCAAAGTCCTGGGGAAAAATTGGAATAATAAGGAGGATGTAAAGCTCACACTGGGCCAGAGGACATGTAACACCTGATGTATCTGTCTGTGGATCGGATGTCTGCTAAAGTTTGGGTCACACATGAAAGCAGTATGCAGTATACTCATTCAGACACATGCGAGCACCCCACCTGCAGATTGACTGTGGGTGGTATCCTTAGGTCAAAGCTGACGTCCATTTCAGCTGGAATGACATTGTAGGCCACGCCTCCTTTGACCATGGTCATATTCACTGTGGTGACATCACCGAGTGTGAAACACTCACTGGTATTTAGCCTGCAACACAAACATGGTGGCAAGGAAATGATCAGATCAGATCTTAATTCTTGCTCATTGTTTAGCTCATATTTATGCACGTCACAAACACACACATCCATTTGTAACAGCATTTAAAATGAGTCGGGGGCATAGTCATGAAATCTATCACAAACTGTCTTTAAAATTCACTGGTGAGAATGGTGCACAAAGGGGCTAAAACATAGACTGTATATAGAAATGGACGCCGTCTGCCTCCTCGCTGGGTGAAGCCACTCCAAGAACAGCACCCTCTAGTGACGGGCTGCAGTATAGGTGATAAAACCCGCCTCCTCCAGCAATCCCTATGGAGCTGTGGACAAACTTTAGAAATTTATTACACAGAATTTAAAATTTTCTCCCCCCTGGTTGTGATGTTGACATGTAGTTATTGTAAGACTGGTTTGTGCTCAAGTCCTCTTTTTTTCTGTGCAGCTCCGTTTTTAAAAGTTATTAGGGGGTTCATGTTTTCTATGATTGACACTTGATACAGCCTATGGGCGTACAAAGATTGCGTAGCTCACCCGGGGGACACACTGTTTAAGCCGCTTGTCATTACAGTGACTCTCTGCGACTCTCCCGCTGAATGCGCACAATGCTACTGCGCAATGTTGGTTTCAGAAAGTGGAGGAAAAAAAACGGAAATACAGAGAGCTATTTGGCTACAAATCCGTATGTTGGCAGAAGGCAGAACCATGTTGTCCATAGTATATACAGTCTATGGGCTAAACTAGTTTAGTTTTATGTGGTTTAGATTTCAATGAGATTTCTGTATCAGTACAAGGACGACTAAAGACGATAGAGCCTTCAGGACAACTGAACCCTCTTCTTTCTCTTATTATTTCATAGTGCAGAAACAGGCTTTCCTCCAGATGGCTGTTGTTCTTTAATTTGGCTCTCTTTATTTCTGTCAAATAGGTTTCAGACAAAGTGATAGATTATTACTAAACAGCCAAGTCCAGCTCAGGCTTCTTGCATTCTTCATTTTGACTTCACATGTTTTGGTAACCAGCCTTTGGCACACTCACACGTCATTAAGAGCGACTCCTACACGGAGAGTGAATGTAAATTAAGACGCTCTCAGCACATTGTTTGTGCCTATTGAATGCAAAGCAGCAGAGAGGGGGAACTTAATCGTTGGGATTTCCTGTTGGGGCTCAAGGCTTAGGGCTCCAATTTGGCAAAAAGTAGATCAAGTATTGTGTTATGAATGTGAAGTGATTCAAACTCATCTTTAAAAACTTAGTAATACAAATGAGGAACTCAGTCTCTGCTGCATCAATGTGAAAAAAATCAAAAGCCAATTGCATGTTAACCTCACCTGTGCTTTTCTTTCTCTCTGAAGTCCAGGAAGGAGTTAATGACATGCCGCTGACAGGAACAAACAAAAACAGTCAGCGAGACCGTCCCTCTCAGTGCTTGTGACATCCTTTACAGTTTCATAGTTGTATTGCCTGGTTACAAGACTTTGACCCCTACCAGCTTCTCAGCAGCTGTGTTCTCCACAAACCTGGAGCCATGACCTGGACTCCCCGGGCAGTGGACTGTGATCCCTGCGAGAGGAAGATATTCTGCTTGATCTAGGATGATTGCTATCGTCCGTAAAATTCATGAAAAAGTGGAAATCTTTTGCTGTGTGTTTTTTTAAACTTACACCAGGGGTTCCTTTCACCGTAGAAAACAGTGAAGGCCTCACCAGGGTTGGCCAAACCTGAGGAACAAATGCAGGAAAATAAGAGACTTGAAAACCTCTACAACATTTGATAAAAAAACATAAAAGAAAAAACGAAATAAAACAAAAGCCAGACACTTATGAGGAGCAACAAAACCACATGAACCCCCAGTCACTGAGTAGAGTAAGTGATAGAATTGTTATTGTGGCCCTGATAACATCATAATAAATCAAACTGCAGCACTGTGTCAGACATCACTATGTAGGCAGGATCATTTTGGACCTGAAAATCTAAACTTATAGATTTTCCTCAGAGTAATTTCTACCGACACAGCTCATTTCAAAAGAACAGCAACACAAAAGCCCAACCATCCAATCGCTTCCCAGTAATGTGTTCCACTTGTCATGTTGTATTTGAAAAACATCAACACTGAAAATACGCAGTAACCATTTGTGTTAAAGGTATCATGGGATTCACTCTGGGTCATGATGTTGGCCATGAGCCGTGATTATTATCAATTCTAAGAAGACGTACTGTGACTAAATAAACCAGAGTTACAAGAAGATAAATGTGTGAAAAGGCCCAGAAAAAAAGAAGAAGAAATGATTGAAAATGTTATAATATGAGGATTAGATGGAGGCAGAGGATGTCACAATGTTAAGTGGTGCCTCACTCTAACTCTTTCAATCAACCTTAATGGTAATGTAGCATGAAGTAGATGGATGTTGCTATGGTAACATGAAGTATAATATACTGTGTGTGGTACAATGATTATACAACTGGCAGGAATGTTGGCCAAATAGTTTAATCAGAAAACTACAAATAGAGAAATTCATTTTTCTTTCTTGATGTCACTAACTGAATCCAGTTTTTTTTTCTTTAGTTTACTGAGTGTCCGTGTTTGAGAAGATGGTTCAACTAATTATTTATTTACCTTCATCCAGCGCAAAGCCAATGTTTAACTTTTGGAACTCTGGATGCTTCACAAATGTTTCCATTCCTTTGTAACCTCCGACTTCTTCATCTAAAAAACAGAAAAAAAACAGATGTCATTTCTTTTCCTATGCCAACATATTCAAATCTGGCCAAATAGTTAATCACCTGCTAATCAAGCGTGTGTAAATCACAGCAAACACTGATTTAAAGGATTTCCACAACCACATAAGTGTTTTCAAGCAATCGAGCTGCTCAGACATCTGCTTAGCAGGATTGGCAAATGATCAAGAATGAACACATTTAGTCTTGACTTTCAGTGGGAAAACTTTAATTAAAAACTGTCTGTTGTAAAAAGATTAAATGCAATACCAATCTCCTTTATTTGATTCCCCAAAAACATTGTGCTGTTCAAATAGAAACTGTAGTGCTATACCTGCAGACTCACACATCACTTTAAGCTATTTTTTGCTTTAAGCTAACGCACATGCTCCTTCTCAAAGCTGGGATTTGTTACCCTCAAGACAATACATCAAATACGGTCTTACTAAACATAATTGCATCATTTGTTACATCTCGGCTGGATTACTGTAATGCACTTTACTTTGGAGTCAGCCAGTCCTCCCTCTCACGTCTCCAGTTAGTACAAAACGCAGCCGCCCGGCTCTTAACTGGAGTACGTAAGAGGGAGCGCATTACTCCCATCCTGGCCTCCCTCCACTGGTTACCCGTGCATTTTAGAGTTCATTTTAAGATTCTTTTATTTGTTTTTAAATCTTTAAATGGTCTGGCTCCATCTTACCTCTCTGAGCTTCTCCACCCCTACACCCCTGCTCGCTCTGTGCCGAGGTACCGAGGTCCAAACTGAAGCTCAGAGGGGATAGATCCTTCTCTGAGCTACCCCTCCAAATCAGACAAGCCCCCTCACTGTCCATTTTCAAAACTCGTCTTAAAACCCATTTTTATTCATTGGCTTTCAACCCTGCACGAGACTCGGCTTCTGTTTCAGTGTTTTATGGTTTGTTTTAAGTTATTTGTTTCTATTGTTTTTAAAATAGTTTTTAAAAACACTGAAACTATATTTTACTTTTTAATAACTGCTTTTATTTAACCCATTGTTTTAATTGTTTTTTGATTGTCTTTTATGTCTGCGTTGTTTTGTCTATTTATGTACAGCACTTTGTTCAGCTGTGATTGTTTTAAAGTGCTTTACAAATCAAGTTAAGTTGAGTTGAGTTGAGTTATGCCTGTCACTTCTTTGTATCACAAATGCCATGACAAAGGAACCATGCCTCTGTTTTGTTAGCTTTGGAAATAAAACAATTTACATTTATCTGTCAGCAGAAGGAGGCAGGTGTCAATAAACACACTTTTACTTAAGAAGAGTTCTAGTTAGGTCCAATTATATTATATTAAGTTATAGGGAGGATAAGGGGGGAGTGAACAAATATGCCACCTGGAACAGACATCAAGTGTACAGTGCGCAGCAGTTTCCGTCCCTCTGCCTTCAGTCTTCTGACTGCTTGGATGTATCTGCAAAGAAAAGAAGAAGACACAAACGAGATATGACAGATGTAAGAAATGTAGTCGGTTCTGACAGTATGCTGGCTAAGAGAAGGTTGTTAAAACAGGAAGGTCACAACATCACTAGAGCACAAATCCTGCTCAATAACAAGTCATCAATGCAGTTTATACCCACTGTATAGTTACACATTTCATGTCCTGTGATCCCCGGGCATAAATGTTGCCCTCTGCATCTTTGAAAGCACTGAAAGCATCGTATTTCCAGTGTTCCTGGAGAAGAGATTCATATCAAATCCATTTTTTTCATGTCTAATTAAGATAAAATCAGGATTCTAAACTATAAACAGAGGAAGATATCAAACCTGAAAAACAGGCACAACGTCTGTGTGGGAATTCAGTAAGATGGATTTCAGGGTGGGGTCTGTCCCTTCCCATGTCATGATGGACACGACTCTGCCTGGAAAAACCTTAAAGCAAGGCCAACAGACAGGATTATTGACTTTCTATATGGAGAGAGTGCAAATGTCTGCCATGTTTTGCTATATGGATTATGTTGCAACTACAGACACACACCTCTATCTTTTTAATGGGTAGCCCAAGCTCCTCTGCAATCCTGTCTAGAAACCTCAGAGCAGCATCTGTAAATGAATAAACAAAGAGCAGGAAAGTTTGGTTTAGTATTATAAATCATACTCTAAATGTTCACAACCTTCTGTTTTGAGTTGAGTTGCTTTACCAGTAAGTCAACTTTCAGCTACTCGGCCTGAGGAGGTGACAAAAGTGGCCCAAGGGTCCTTTACTTGTATTTTTCTCATTGAATATCTTAAAGAGGAGGGCCAGTCATCCTCATTTAAATTCCTTTCAATTGTTTTGGTCAGAGTAATCATTTTCTTCCTCTTTATTACGGGCAAGGGCCTTTCATACCAGCTCAGCTTCCTCTATACTAAGACCACAATCTTCTTATGTAACCTCAACTATCTACTGTCTAACAGAGGCTGATAAGAGACGGACTTTGTCAAATCACATCTTCGTTACCACCAATAAAACAGGCAAACAAATGTCACAGATGAGATGGTTAACTCTTTAACTTAGGGGAGAGTGGGGTAAGATCAGCCATTTTTCATATTTCAGACCACCAAATCAAGACAATCATAGTTTTGTCTCTAACTAGTGTATCTGCATATATTTCAAAATGTTGTTGTTCATCCCTGCAAATCAACAGAATGAGTGTAAACATAACTGTCTTGATAATATAGCATCCCAAAAAAAAGTGGTCTCCTATGGTCAACTTACCCCGAGTATGGGGTAAGTTGAGCCATATCCCTACTAAATATATAACCCCTTCACCCATGTGCTTCTAACCTTCATAGACTCCATGAATTGATGCCCATCTCCTAAATATTTGGTCACATGATCAATTTCTTTTACCATTTCCAAGCAACAAGGGGTGGCTCAACCTACCCCACTCTCCCCTATCTGTTTTTGACTCTAGGTCTGAAGAGTGGCAGCTGACCCTTGACAGCAATAAAAGAAAGAAGTCTATACAGCACATATTCTCTGCAGCTTTGACCCTGTGTATTTAAGGTCAATAAGAACAGAGAAATCTCACCATAGTCGGGCTCTGGGTGGACAGTTTTGAGGCGGAGGTACTCTCTGAACAGACTCACAGAGGGATCCTCTCCTTCAGGAGGACTCTGTCCGCCTCCCACATCGATACCATCTTTATCAGGCAGCATGGTGGGGTTTATTTACACCTCTGTGGACACCAAGATGATAATATCCTTTACAGAAAAACACAGCAGCACTGCACAATCGAGCATTATAACTAAAACATGCCAGAACGAGCTAAAAAAGTACACTGCCTTGTCTTTATCGAAGCTGTTTATCTTGACCAAAAGACCGAAGCATAGATAAACACAGCTCTAAATCCTGTTAGCTGTTTTTACACCTTTAAGTACCGGGCCTGTCACATCTCTGTCAGCAGTGGTCAAAACAACTCACTGCTAGCTAGCAAATAACTCTACGTATTACTCTCAAGCTAGCCGCGGCAAAAGCTACAGACACCCTGTAACCGTAATGAACAAACCAGTAAGGACTGGAGGTGGTAAACCCGGAAGAGATGGTTTCTTTACTCAAGAAACAGGTTACACTCAGTTATAGTTACCATATGGTGATAGCTCACAACACTCACCCCGTGCAGCCAAGTTGCGTATCAGGTGTGCAGCTTCCCTCTGTTAGCAGAGAAACAGCTGACTGCCTTTCAAAATAAAAGACTTCATCCAGGGGAAAAATGCCAATGTAACACTCGTGTACTCTGGCTTTTTTTGTGCTTGTGGTCTGGCTATGTACGGTGGCCGAGAACCGTCACTGCTGCAAATAAAAAAGAATGCAAAAAAAAAAAAGAACTCCAATGCTGCAAATAAAAAGAATGCAAAAAAGAACTCAACTGCTGTAAATAAAAAGAATGCAAAAAAAAGAACGACACTGCTGCAAATAAAAAAATATGCAAGTAAAAAAGAACTCCACTACTGCAAATAAAAAAAAGAATGCAAAAAAAGAACTCCACTGCTGCAAATAATAATGAATGCAAAAAAAAAAAAAGAATGCCACTGCTTCTGTGTCTACATCGTAAAACACTGATGCATCATTATTATGGGTCCCCGGCAGCTCACTTCCGTTGTGGCTTTTTTTATTTGCATATTTGCATTATTTAATTTTCACAGTAAGTAACTTTTTTTTCCCACTACCATTTTTTTTTTGTGTCATTAACATCAGTTGTGGCAGATTTTTTTAATCTGCACCATTTCTTTTTTTATTAGCAGCGGGCTTCGGTTTCTTTTCTTTTTACATCAGTAACTTCTGTTGTGAGAATTTTTTTTTACATTTCTTTTTTATTTGCAGCGGTGGCAGTTCTTGGCCACCGTAGCTACACAGTTGACAACAGAAAAAGGCTGACCACTGTGAATAAAAAATAAAATGAAATAATTCACAACACCTCCTGCCATGGACGACACTGTACTCATCAATGAAAACGCCAACAAATTAAACAACTTCTTTTTTATTTTTAGCTATGCATATATCTTATTTTAAGTTTGTTCTTTGCATGATTGTCCAAACTTATTGCAAATATATTACATTTTTTTTAATCTCCATTATATACATACATGTGAGTTTTTGAATCTTTTTACATGGTTTGTGTGGTACATTTTTCAGTTCTGCTTGCTCTTGTTAAGGACAGCATGAATTTTATCTAAAGCTAGAATGGTAAATTCACAGATCAGCTATAACATTATGAACATCTGAAAAATGGGATACAACCCACTGTGACAGATTTTCCAGAAATTCTACTTCCAGGAAGCTTCTAAATATTCAGTTCTTAAAGTCTATTACTGAAGATGTAGGGGGTGTTGCTGGTGCACCAGATTGTGTTATATTGAAAGGTGTTTGTTATACTTTGTCCATTTCATTAGCAGACATGACAGGAACGAGAAAAAGAAACACCTTACAATATAACATCTTTCTGTACACCACCAACATCCCACATGTACCACCTAATCATGTCGACAAAACTGAAAATCTAGTAATTTGTGGAAAAATTGTTGTATTGTGTTGCATTAGATTAACCGATTGTTAATAATGTTATGGCTGGTTGGTGTAGATCTTAATATAAAAATCTGTTTTTCAAATGGGAAGCAAAGAGAGCTACTCACATAGACACCTGCTACATTTGCATATTTACAGTGACCTACATGTCAACTACATAAATGGCAACAGTGAAGCAAACACCATGTTTTAACATGCAAAGACAGACATGAAACACAAGAAACTAAACTCCCCACTGTACAATTTTTAAGCTACTTTAAAAACAAACAGAGCTGAGCTAGTGTCATATTTCTAGGAGAAAGTATGGGAAGCTGTAAAACAAATCACTTTAATAACGGAAACATCATGAATGGTGATGTATTATTATCACAACAAGTTTGACATGCCATTTTCCATGTTGTAAAACCTGCCCCCATGCTAAAATTCTCTGCTTCAGGTGATGTTATAAGCACAACACAGAAACTTAGTGCTGTAAATAAATCAACACTTAGTAAATGTGTTAATCTAATATTTTTTGTTTTTTTATCTTCTTCCCATCGTTTAACTTCCTTTTCCTCAGCTGAATATTTCACTTCAGTTTGGTGAGGAAGTCGATCAATCCTTGGTGAAACTCTCTGGGTTTGTCCATGTAGCAGGCGTGGCGGGCTCCTTCTAACTTAAGCACAAAGTGATTCGGAAGCTGTATGAGATTCTTGTGGGACTGGGCACCAAGGTTTGTGTCCAGGGCTCCAAAGACAATCAGAGTGGGGGTCTTGAAAAGATCACAGGGGGGAGAAGACAGTGAGGCAGTGTCAAAGTGGTCATTCTTACAGAGTAAAATACCAGCTAACAGCTCAGTAGAGATTCACCGAGTCATTCAGTCATGTAGGATCCTAATTAGTTGTTGTTACCATGGTAACAACCGTTTTTTATGGGCTCTTTTGATGAAACACATATGGCAAATCTACTGTTTAATGTCTCATGGTTAATGGTCCTTGTATAACACAAAACATAAATACTGACAGTGGTGATGGGAATGTGGAAAAGTACATACTGCACAGATACCATAATAAATCCACAAAACACTGCATTGACTAATTTTCAAATACAACAACTTCTAACTTTAGTTTCAGTTATTTATTTTTCTTTTGGGGAATCTGTAATTCAGTTCAAATTTTAGTTTACAATTTAAAGTCAGAAAAGGGCAAAGAAACTGAGAACCAGTGCAATAATTCACATTTTTCACATGTTGTTTTTCCACTGGTGGCAAGATATAAACCTCTCCAGCCCCACCTGCTGGATAGACAGGGAAATTTTCCTACTTTGTTCTTGGATCTGCCCACCCTGACTCCATGTGCAGATTTTACCAGAGGCCTGGCAGGAGTATTTTTGGGGTAAAGCCAATGTGTATTTTGGCTGATTCTGTTCACACATGTGGCCAACTCCATGAACTCGGAGACATTTTCAGAGTTTTTTTTGTCAATGTGAATCCATCTACACATTAAACCCTGTACTTTGGGTTCATAGAGAATCACAAAACATCAGGCCAAATATAAGATAGACAGCAGCTAAATAGGGATCTATAGCCCATTCAAGCCCCATGATACTTACCTGAATACTTTGGTACTGTTGTGGAGTGTAACTTCGGGTACCAACTGGTGCTATGGGAATGAAGCCATGCAGCTGAGCGTTGTTCTTTATGAGGAAGGGGATGGAGTAGTGTCCACTCATGGAGGGGCTTAAAAGCACGGGTGCCCTGACACCCAAGGACTCCATGAACCTTGAAAGGAGGTCTACACGATTTTGGTCTGTCTTCAACGCCTCTGAATCTGGTGATTTTCCATAACCTTGAGAGAAAGACATAAACTCTTATTGAACTGAAATAGTGCTGGGGATCTTGAAAAATATACACCATTAAAAATAGTATCAATAAGAAAAAATCCCTGAACACAGACAAACATTTGAAATACTGTTGATAGTGATGAAAGGTGAAAAACCGACATCTTGAGAAAAAACAAAACAAAACAATAAATGCGTAAATATAAAATTAGATATGAAAAAAGCATTTTCATGTGCCTACCTGGCAGATCCATTGCTATGGCCTGATATCCTTTAGTTGCCAAAAGGGCCATGGTGCCGAGTTCTTCCCAGGTTTTGGATGTGAAGGCCTGGCCATGTAGAAGGACGACTTGCAGCCTACCACACACAAAAAGATTTTAAAGATGTCTTTTTAAAAACTAATTTTCCTCTAGAGTTGTCAAAACGTAAGTCCGTGTAAAGTGGAAAAATTTATGTGCTCTGAGGTTGTCACAACACAGAAAAATGTGTTATTCACCAAAAGCCAAAATTGAATGATGAACAACATTTGCCAAGTAAATGAAATAAGGGGCTCTATTTTCGTGCCTCGACAGCAGCATGGCAGAGGAACGGACAGCATAAGTCAGTTCCGCCGGCTGACAAGGCGTGCCCAAGCACATTTTGGTATTTTGGTGAGCGGCGCAGCCCGGTGTAAGTATCCCCCCTCCCTAACTCTGCTCCTCCCAGTGGCGTAAGTCATAGAGAGGGAGGAGAGAGGGCGTGGAGTGAGTTTAACACAGCTGAGACCCTTCTATGTTATAAGCTGTATGTTTTCTTTTTTTGTTACTGCCATCTGTTGTCTATTATTGTAATAGCAACCTGTGCACTCTAGCAAAATTACTCTGGCTGTCCTGTATGTAGTAACTGAAGACCAAGCAGGCAAACCACCAAGGATTATGAAAGCTCTGTACCATTACACTGTAAGAGGTGGGGTTAAGGAAAGGAAAACAAGCAACTGACAATTTTCAGAGTTTCTCCTCCTGGGATAACTGATTGGGATTTCAGAATCACAAAAACCAAAAACACTTTATCTCCAAATAAAATTCAGGCATATCGGCTCACCTCGGCAATATCTGCCGTCCAGCTCCGTCCACAGGTAAGGCCTCTCTGAAGAACAGTGGAGGGTCTCCAGGTAGCTGTCCGGTGCGGATAGATACGTTGATGGTGGAGAGTGGTGCAGGTGCAGTGGACATCAACCCCATTCTTTGAGCATCAAGAGATGGCTCCATGCTGCCCTGGCGGATGGACGGCAGCAGCAGGTACAGTAGTAATGTGGCCAACAACACCAGGCCCAGAACAACAAGACGATTACGCAAAAAATTCATGTCTTCTTGATGAAAAATATCTAGGAAAAGCAATAGATGGCAAACGGTCATAGACAACATCACATGGGTCCTATTCATTGTGTTTGGTATAGGGGAGAGTGGGGTAAGTTGAGCCACCCCCTGTTCATTCAATCAATCAAACAAATTTTATTTATGTAGCGCCAATTCACAACAGCCACCATCCCGAGACGCTTTCCAAAGATAAAGAGCAGGTCTAGACCACGCTCATTGTTTGATGAATTATCAAGACCCAACCTAAGATGGGACAGATTTGGACCATCTCATCTAACATGAGTGACAGTAGCAAGGGAAAACTTCCTTTTAACAGGCAGAAACCTTGAGCAGGACCAGACTCATGCTAGAGAGCCACCAGGCCGCTACTGGGTTGGGGAGGAATACAGAGAGATAGGGGGAGAGAGAGAGAACAAGATAAAGGGAAGGAGAGAGAATAGGTAAGGGAGAGGGAGGAAGAGAGAGTAGAGAACGAGGGTGAGAGAGAGAGAGACAGGGGACAGCTGCAACATTAAAACAACAGCAACAACATTTCCTGTTACTTGGAAATGGCAGAAGAAATTGATCACGTGACCAAATATTTAGGAGAGGGACATCAATTCATGGAGTCTGTGAAGGTTAGAAGCACATGAGTGAAGGGGTTAGAGATTTATTTAAAAAAAAAAAAAAAAAATTTCACTCTTGAAAGTGAATTTAGTCTGTCATAAGTTTTATTAGAATTGTGTTCAAACCAAAAAAGATCATTTTAAATTTGTTTTATACATTAATTGTGGTATCTATGAGCTACAACATGAGGTTAAAAACCTAACATAAAAGTCCTCCATTTTAGCTTAGAGCACTAATAAAGTCATAATAGTAGTTCTGGGGTAAGTTGAGTCAGTGGCTTAACTGAGAAAGTAAAGAAGTCTGATGAGAGGATCAGAGTTTCAGTTCAGATTGTTGAAATGTGTTACTTTTTCTTTTCAAAAATACAGCTGTGAATGTTCTGAATCACTTCAAGACATTCTCATGTTAAAATGGCTTTTTACAAAACAGCTTTTTATCAGTTATATGCAATGATAATAAAAATAATTATTGTACCAGTTGAATAGTGTATAATAGATAAAAATACACATGAATGTGAAGAAGTGACTGTTATTTAGGGAGAGAGAAGGTGAGGGAGGGCTGGAGTGGAGAGTGGGGGGTAGTAGGGATACGGCTCAACTTACCCCACTCCTATGGTCAACTTACCCCATACACGGGGTAAGTTGACCATAGGAGACCGCTTTTTTTGGCATGCTATATTATCAAGACAGTCATGTTTACACTCATTCTGTTGGTTTGCAGGGATGCACAACATCTTGAAATATATGGAGATTCACTAGTTAGAGACAAAACTATGATTGCCTTGATATAGTGATCCTAAATATGAAAAAAGGCTCATCTTACCCCACTCTCCCCTTCTAAATACAACACTCAGTTAAAGTTGCACTAACACATGCTCACAGTAAGATAAATATGACATAATTTTGACATGAGGTGATATTTACCAGCTAGGTTTAAGATGAAGAGGTATAAGGAGAAGCAGAGACGCAAAATAAAGCCCCATGATTTAATCCGTTAAATCCTCCCGTTAGGAGAGGAGACATATGCAGTAAACCAGCGACAAGCAGAACATTTACTCATATAGTTTGGCCGAAAATCTGCAATAAAGCTAACATTAGCTGCTTGTTTGGCTCTTGTGTTAGCTAGCGTTGACTGCATTGACTGAACATGAGTTGACTCTGGAGGAGACAAGCTGCCGAGAGGATGATGGACATACCGACACAGAAGAGACAGCTGGACACGTTCACAGATAGGAGGGTGAGGGTCGTTGTTTTATCCTCATCACTCCCACATGTCTGTCTGGATGAAGTTTGTCGCTGTAATTCTTCGTTTAAACACTGGAATCAGCTCGCTTCTTTAAACAGACTGATATAAATGCTCAGCCTGATCCTCGTAAAGTGAGCATTTTTTCTAACCAACAAGGAAATTCCATTTTAAAAGCCTTTTCATTTTGGTTTCATCAAATACAAATAAAAATGCAAAGTTATCGTGACAAAAGGAAGCCGGTGAATAAAAATATTATATTAATATTTCCACGGATATTATCCACCGCGATTCACATCTCTTGTTTTAGCCGGACCGCATTGGAGGCTGCACACAACAACGCAGAAAGCCAAACCGTCACTTCCGTAATGAGCAGTTGGAAAATAAAAACATTAAAATTGCACTGAAAATATTAAAACACAGCTTGTTGTTTATTTTTTAAGTTTTCAGATGTGTATGTGAGGAAAATGCTTTTCTAAATGTGTGTACATTAAGTGTGTACAAGTAAATGTGCTTCATATTGTGATGCTTTGACTTTACCACTATACACATTTAGCCACTTTAAAACTCAAAACATCGGTGAAAACTTCGCTGAACTCTTGTCATGATGAGATGTTGCTGTTTTATGTTTTGTTACTGTAAATTTAATTTTAATTATCATGACTTCTTTGTAAAAAAAAATTGTAAAAAAAAAAAAAAAAAAAAAACATTTGACACAAGTTTTCAGTATATTTTGTACAGAAATATGACTTCACACATAATTTTTGGAATATTTTTAATGTTTTTGAACAAAGAGTAAGTTTTACCCTACATGGGTGAAATTTTAGACTATAGTCTCAAGAAAAAAAAGACAGAAAAAAAGAGGTCAGATTCAAATAAGTCAATATCTTCTGTAAAAGGTAATTATAAAATGCTTGAAATACAAAACCCTTTTTTCAAACCTGGTTTAAAGCAACATTACATTAAGGCATAATAAGGCATGTCAATCAAAGTCATTTTTACTTCTTGAATACAAAGGCTTTTTTATATTCAAATCACAGAGTGGTCGAAGGTAAGTTTGTAAGATTATGTAATATAATAAAAATCACAAATTCGTAGATTAAAGTTTTTGAACATTTTTCTTTTTCAGTCAATGCTGCATAAAGAGGTCCAGCACAGCCGACTTTGGTTTGATACTGAACCAACCCCCTTTAAAAGCAAGATCTTCTCTCTCCTATAATAAGTTTAAAATTTACATTGATATTTATGTTGTTGTGCAACTAATGAAATCACAGCTAAAAAGAAGAAAATCAACACAGAAAAATGTAAACTATTGTGAAATCCTTTTAAAAATTGTTGGCATAGCATGTTAAAACATAAAATATGCAATATGCGCAGGTGACATTTTGTCACTCCGCCATTCAAGTGTTCCTGCATCTGATTAACATGTTCATTAGTTTGTTCTTACACAAAATGTCAGATTTAGAGATAATTAAAAATAAAACCTTGTCTTAAAATTTAACTGAGATGAAAAGCAAGGAAGGAATAACAATCACAGAGGCACTCATTTCCTCGAGACAAGATTCACAGTGACATGAAAAATACATGAATATTAAAATCAAAAACTGCATTGTACTGTAATGCACTGACAATAAAACTTAGTCTTTTGTACCAGCGATAGAACATTATTTCACTTCTTCAAAGTACCAGCGTGAATTAAAGCCAGAGTCACCTCAACGAAAAGCAGATAAAGTGCAAAAATAGACAAAGTTTACAACATAGATATTAATGTTCTTTTGCAAAACTATTTGTGTCGTGTCCCATTTTTCAGTTTGTCAAAAACAGCATTTGCATATTAAAGAGGTTTCAGGTAGCTAAATACTTCTTTGAGCTAGGCTGTAAAGAATAAATACAGAACCTACTTTATAAATATGAAAACACTCTGCTAGCACCAGTCTAGGAAAAATATTTGCTTGGAAATGAACTGACAAAAGTTGCAGCTTCATTGAAGGAATGCTGACACAAATTGCTGTAGAAGTAAAAAAAGAAAAAAAGAAAGAAACTAAAAAAACATTTTACATGATTATCACCTACAGGCGGATCAATACTAGATTTCTAAAACTGGTGCGATGTTTGAGATTTTCAATAAATTTGATAATGGTACATCTATCATAGATATTTTTTTCTACATCACGAGAATATCTTCAAAAAAGGATCCCTTAACTTGGTCATTAAAATGGAGGCAAACATAAATAAAGCATATTTTGCATTTTTGTAAAGACATTTTTGAAACTCATTGAAAATAAAGGAGCAAAAATACAAGTTTATATAGAACAGGCTAAAGTTGGCCATGAACAAATGCACTTATAAATTGTGTTTATACAGTTAAAGTGCAAGTACCAGCAAACCACCTTGTCTGATTTGAAGACAATTAACTTATTGGGCTTTCATCAAGAGCAACTTTGCCTGTTGAATCAATTATCCTTTTATGATCATGTATTTTTCACAGTCATATCTATGATTTGTAGACAGTTTTTACAAAAAAAACCCACTACATCTCTATCTACATTTTCTCTAATATACTGCAATGGTTAATAATAGACATTTAGTGTTGCTGTAAAAGCCTTGCCCCCAGGAGGCTGAGATGAAAACCTCAGTGTTCAGAAAGTGTAAACAATGGTACCGTGTAGAAAAAGCACTTTGTAATCTAGTTAAGGCACAACTAGGAACTGAAACAGACAGGTCCTGCCATATTGTTTCTATAAGCAAAAGTTAACAAAAGCTAAACAAGATGGTGTCCTGAAATAATAAGCAATTTGTCATATTCATAAAGCTGGGTGCAGAAAACATAACACCTCAGGCCAATCTCAAACCATGTCCTACACTCTCTCTCTCTACCTAAGCCCACCTCATGTGGCGGATCCACCACATAGTGTCAGGTTCGCCAAAACCTCTGAGGGTGTGACCCAAAACCAGCAGTTCTTAGCTGACTTTCAATAAGATAAAATAATGATATCATTCAGATGTAGAAATCAAAAAGTTGACATAGTATTCAAGATCTTATTAACCATATTCTAGTCTCAAAAGTACTGGAAGTGTTCATTTGATTTAGAGTTAGTTTGTTTTTTTTATATCATTTATATGCACTTACAAGGGAATGGCACTTATAAAAACCCGACTGAAAACAATGACGTTTTGTAAAAAAGAAATTGCACTAAAAACACTGGGAGTGTTAAGTCATGATATGGAGTGATTTCAATGAATAAAATAGACTAATTGGTATTGGTGTGATTTAAAACCATGTCAACATGGATCCTGTGGGTTTTGGACATTGTCAGTGGAGATGAAAAATGTACCCAAAAGTGTACATTTTTATGACACACCACTGATGGGTCAAGCACACTGCTGGTCAAATCAACAGAAACTGCCTAATGTACTACTGTTGTAGAGTGTAGTAAGAGTGCAGCTACTAACAGAGTTCACCCAATGATGGAGAAGCAGCCAGGAGGGTGTGGTTTGAGAAAGGCCTCTAAAATACTCACAAATAATAATACAACAACAAACCACGAGAGTAATGTACAAGAATGGAGTACCTGGAGTCAGTTTGTGGTCCTCTTGTTTGTCACCAGCTATCAAGCAATCAAATGTTCCTTCCTTTTTAGTTATCAATATCAATATTCTTGACTATCATAATGTTGAACAGAAACACAGATGGATGAGAAGTGTACCGTTAAAAGACCACCTAACTCAGGGGTCAGCATGGTGCCTGAAAGAGGCCTTCAAGTTAAAGTTGTGTTTTTTGGCATGATTTGGTACATTTGTAAAAGGACAGACTGAGTTCAAGAAAAGGTCCTGAGGTCAGAGCTCTGCTGGTTGGCTAGGACAAAAATCATTCAGCTTACAGGGAGATGGACTGACTGTCTGCTGCTGTCAATATATCAGTATCACTAGTGCAAAGAATCTTATCACCTTTATTTTGAAAATCCCAGACTGTCCTACTCAGGGTTGGCAGGAGCATTGAATATTTTCACATCTCGGTTTCTTCAGTGCAGCAGAGTGAAAAGTCCAAGAGGGAGTAAAAAGCAAAGAGGCCAGGTCCCTAAGACAGAGGAGCCTCTATTCTGCCCTTTTTCTTTCTCCGCACAGGTCTCACCTCTGTATCCACTGTAGCACTGGCACTGGAAGTGTGTACGGAAATCATCCAACTCAGCACGGCCAGGACTGCCTGCAACCTTAAGCCGGCCATCCTGACTGGTGATGCTGTGTGTTTTGGGGCTGAGATGCAGGTACACGTCCTTGTCTGGTATTTTGCGTAAACAGCGGCCACGTGATTTGCACACCTCTTGACTGCATTGTTCTGCAGCTGTAGATACATTGAGGAGGTACCGGCCCAGCGGCCCTTGAAGATATCCATTAATGCTTTTGCAGTTGGCCTGCAGGGACAAAAAAGGGATTTAACCCCAAACCACGAAAATCAAGGCAATTTGGCATTAAATAAGCAGAGAGGCTAGGACACTTACATTACTGCTTGCATAGGAGGTGTCACCCCAGAAGACCACACCTGCGGCTCCAAGTGCAACACTCTCACCGATGGTGGAGACCAGGTCCATCTGAAATCATTCAAACAAACCTCTCAGTGGTCTATTTTAAACTGGGAAAAGTCTGATCAGAAAGACATTTTATCATATCCATTATGTTATTTAACTCCAAGATAACATTTAAGGTCCTTACACACCGAATATAGAACGCAAATATATGCAAATATAGAACGCGAAATTACGAAATACTCTGAGGCGAATTTTGACGCGCCTGTCTATATACATCAAGCCTGATGTGATCTTGCAACTTTCCGGGGGGGGGGGGGGGGGGATGCATCCTGGGGAAGACTTTTCCCGGGGAAAGTCCCGCCTCCTTCACCTCTGATTGGCTAGAAAAGCTGGAAACGTCATCACACACTCAAGCCAAAAGGTCAGCACTTATAGCCAGTCAGAGGCGATAAGATAAGCACATGAAACTATGGTAACAACCGTTAGCTTACGTTAGCACAGATGAAAGTTAAAACAAAGACATTTAGCAAACTGTTAAAGCACACAAACTACTGTCATATGAGAGATCTGACGCTATGACTCTCCACAAGTTGTCCTTCAGGTCATTATCTTTGTAATGTTTGTGGTTTTTATCAAAAAGCACTCTGTTCTCCGACACGTAAACAATCAGCCTGTCGGCCATGTTGGATATACCGGTGAATCTGGCATCGCAACAACACGCAATCTAATTGGTCAGAAGTGGACACACAGTATGCGAAACTTTAGAAAAATTGACCATGATCCGAAAAAATAAATGCCGCAATATCGCAAGATGGGAAAATGTCGCTGATGTGAACGTTTGTATTGACAGGATACGGTTTCAAAAAAAAATATTGACGTCCAAAATAATCGCATGACAAAAATGGTCCTGGTGTGAAAGGACCTTTACATGTTAAAGCTTTTTGACCTCAGTCAAATGTTGCTCAGTAACTGCTCTCACCTCAGTTAAAAAGGTCATCTCGCTGATGTAAGTAGGGCGGGTATAAACAAAAACAGGACGTGCCAACCCATCTCCAACAGACGCCAGACGCATTGCCTCTTTCACCCTGTTTCGAACAAACAGACGCCCGTAGTGTGTAGAGCCAAGTACCGATCCCATGTATATAGATGGAAAAAGTGCTGTACATTCCATCCACAACCAGTTCAGTTGATCATTACGCGATATCTCTAAAGCAGGACAGCGTCCCGTGTAGTTCTTCAAGCCACCTCTGTAGTCATGGTTGTAACAATCTGGAAAGAGGTAGAAGCCCCACAGCTGATTTGGCCTCAAACTCTTGGCGAATCTCAGGGTTTCCAGCATGAAATTGCGAGCTGATAGCTCAAACTCCTGCTGTGCTACTTTTGCCACATGTTCTGGGGTCCACTCTGGGTTCTTATCCGCAAGCAGTTTACGAGATTCTCTTCGATAGATATCTTTAACATCCCAATTTCGGATCCATAATGGTCTCCATTCTTCCCAGTCAATAACAGCTAAACCTTTTGCCTGCGGCTCACGGATATATTTTTGCACACCTTCAGGCATTTTTTCACGGTGCTGAGTAAGGCTGGCCCGTTGTGGGAGACCTCCGTTTATTGCTGTGCCGCCATGCCCATAATAGGGATACAGCCCAAGGCGCTCCTTATAGAAGATCGTTAGGTTCTGCCGTACAAAGCCCTCATTGGGGGACGCCACAATGTCAAAGTGGTCCAGGGACAAATAAACACCATGTCGTGGAGCACAATCCTGTGTAGGAGCATTCCAAACAAGAAGAACTGGCTTCTGGGGATATAATGGCCATCCTGTCTGCTTTATATCTGGTGTACACAAGACTGTCCGTGATGTCAACAGAGCCAGGAGCAACCAAGGCAGCTGTCCAGCCATGGTGGAAACGAAGAGAAATACAGCCTTTGTGGTCACTGCTCACCTTCTCTTCCCTTTCACTATAAAAGAAAAATAAGAGAAAACAAACATAATCTCAGGGGAATATGCATTTTTCGCTGAGCAAGTTCAAACTTATTTTTATAAACCATATTCGAAATGGATATAAGAGAGAAATGGAAACGTGGATTTATGACAATGGGCAACGTGCCTTTTTTTTAATGTATTTTCTTTCCGCTGTGCTGTTATTCCTACACATGCTCTAACTGATTAAATTACAGTAACACAACAATAAAGGGGTAGGACTAGATAAGTTTTATCAACTTCATTCCACACCCTTTCGAATAAAGTATGATTATCAATGTTGCTACAGAGCTGTCTCTAATTGTTTTTCTACCAAAGCACATTATAAATTGTATTTATTTTGTTTTTCTTTTAACCTGTTCGAATAAACAAATAAACTAAACTAATAAAATATAGTAATTTTATCACAACCAGGTCAAAAAGAAAGAGAAAATGACAATTCATCCTCATACTGCTTTAGCCACAAAGGGGAAGTGACTCGTCTTTTACTTATGTAACAAATCTGAAATCAGAGCAGAGTGGTAAACCTTCAGGTCGACGCTGGAAACATTACTGAACTATAATAAACGTCTAAATGTGGCTTTTTAGATTTTTTGTTCACATGATACTATTTTCTATTTGCGCAACAGTTTCATTCACTGTTATAAACCATGACACAGATAGTATGTAGCCTACTGATTTCATTCACTCAAAGGGATTTTTAGGAGTTCGGAGCTGTATTAAATATAAATATAGCATTCTTTTGGTGTATCGTGTGAAGTATCGGATGAATATTTTTTAATATTAAACTGTTGACGGTGATCGGAGCTAGCTCGGGCGAGTCAATAAGAAAGAGAAGTGGTTGGAAATCGCCCACAACCAGCAGAAAACATCTGATGTTAACATTCATAACTACATTTTATGTCCTGAAACTGAGTTAAAGAAACTAAACAAACCTTGTTCAAACTTTCATTGAAACTAACAGACGTGCATAATTCTGCTAATGTTTATCATTCTTCAGACTGACCTGTTCCGATCAAGCTGGCGACAAGGTCTTATTCCATTCATGCAACCGTCAATTAAATGACTTTTCCACCACCCTGCCGCCATGTGAGAGCAGTCATAGTCCTTTCAGTCCATGTTGATGATTTACAGAGTTTGTGTGCTAAAAGCTACAAGGAGGACCACGACACGAGAGGTGGTGACGGGAGGAAACGTTGGGCAACAACAGCTCTGGGTATCGATACTTAAGATAGGGGGGAGGGTACGACGATGTGATGAATTATGAATCTGTGCAGTTCCGCTGTTGTTACTGATAAGAAATGAGGTGGTGAGGTATGAGCTAAAAGGTAGTCTAGTTAAAGAGTGAACTTTGGATTCGACCAGATTTAGTACACTTAAAAGATGATTCCGGACCCCTGTACAGAGAACCCCTTCTTTTACACCAAAGTGGTCCCTTCTGCAAGGTCTGCTTTGTGAGGTCACACCAACACTTCCGGGTAGAAACCACACGAATTAAAGGGATGGATAGATTAACCTTCTACACAAACTTTCAAAAACAGTAAGAAGTTACGGTGGCCGAGAACCGCCACTGCTGCAAATAAAAAAAGAATGCAAAAAAAAAAAAAGAAACCACAATGGAAGTTACTGATGCAAAAAAAAGAAACCGAAGCGTGCTGCAAATAAAAGAAAAAAAAAAAAGAAACGGTGCAGATAAAAAACTCACAACAGAAGTTAACAATGCAAAGAAAAAAAGGCGGCGAAAGAAAAAAGTTACTTACTGCGAAATAAAGGAATGCAAATAAAAAAAGCCACAACAGAAGAGAGCTGCCGGGGACCAATAATGATGATGCACCGGTGTTTTACGATCTAGGCACAGAAGATGACGGTGGTAAGACGAGTAAGGAAGTTAGTGAAAAGGTTATTGTGTGCTTTTCAATGTGTCATTTGGTCAGGCCATGTTGTGCCTGGATCGTAAAACACTGCTGCATCATCATTATTGGTCCCTGGCAGCTCACTTCTGTCGTGGCTTTTTTAAATTTTTATTTTCGCAGTAAGTAACTGTTTTTTTGTTTGTTTGTTTGCATCACCCCTATTTTGTGTCATTAACTTCTGTTGTTTTTTGTTTTTTTCTGTTTTGTTTTATCTGCCCTGTTTCTTTTTTTATTTGCAGCAGGCTTCGGTTTCTGTTTTTATTAGCATCAGTTACTTCCATTGTGGTTTCTTTTTTTTTTTTTTTTTTTGCATTCTTTTTTATTTGCAGCAGTGGCGGCCCTCGGCCACCATAAGAAATTATTACACTGACAAGCACTAAGTTACTCATAAAACTAAGAGGAAGAGTGCAGAGACACTAGCGACAGAACAATGTTGATAAAATACTTGTGCGATGCCAAGAAAAACAAAGACAAGGTAGGATCTACAAGGACTAGGACTGCAACACAGTCTAAAGACGCAGTTTAAAGACCCCATTCGACAAGGCAAATCAAAGTTAAGGAATTAAGATTGTTAAAGGGGGCCTGTGCCGCCCCTCTTAACACACCCCTGAATATCTAAAGCCAGCAGCAACATCAAACAAACTAGTGAGACTGCAGTTTTGTGAATGGTCTTAGAAGGCTAGTGCCAAAACGAACAATTGCCGACCGACCCTTATGATAAACAGCACTGTTTTAAACTTCTCAAGTTTAAAATCGTGCTGTTTTTGACTTCCCAATTAAATTTCTCTCTTCACGATGGAATTTAATGAGAACTGGTAATTGTATTTTATAGACTTGTTTATATGGAGATTATTTGACCTCTGAAAATAAGCTGTATATCTTTTACTGCATACCTAGACTACTTTTATTTCAGAATAGTCATTATTCAAACTTACTTGTACCAGCCTGTCATTTTAGTGTAAATATTGCAAAAATGGTATTTTTAGAAAGAACATATGCTTGGTATCTTTACATGGTGTTTTAAAATCATCATGCCACTTACCAGTTGCTTATTCTTCTCTAATCACCAGATGAAAGAAATTTAATTAAGCTGATCCAGATCCAAGTATGCCATGTCTGCCGTCCTGCTCCAGTGTTGTATTTGAAGGAAAAAAGTAGCTGTGAATTCTGCTCACTGCTGCTGACCACTATTTAAACATCCAGTCGGCTCCACCTCTGTCTAAGCTCTATCATACTCACAGTGATACACCTGACTATAGGATCTTGTCTCTTCCCCTTTTTTAATATAGGGTTATCTGATGCAGGTTCCCTCTTGTTTTACTTCCTTGACTTCTTTTTTAGACCTGCAGTCAGTTTGGCAAATTCTGGAAGCCTCAAAACAGAGTACTTAGATTATAACCAACGTACAGCTGAAACAAGATTTCAGCAACACTGCTATCCTTGTGATCCTCTGTTGTTGTAAGCTTACTCTAAAAAAACATACAATCCTCAAGATGTACTACAAAGGCTTTGGAATCCAATATGAAGATTTGGCTCTCCGAAAGTAATTTCTGGATGGCCTAACAAGTAGGTTCTTGTTTAGTTAAGGTCATGTTTCGGTAATCAGAGAATTTCCAATCTTGTGAGCTGTGGTTTCTCAAACTTAATTTACCAAGTTTATCCAATCAGGTCCTAGTGAAGAATAAAGCAGCAGCTCTGAGTTTCAACAATGATTAAACCAAAAAATATAGCTTGGAGTACTAGTTAAACAATCATATAAAGTGATTGTAAGAGACATTCTGATGTTAATATGATTCATCCGAAAGATAATAAAAGATAATCTGAAAGCAATGTCACCCTAACTGTTTCACTGTCACAGTTCTAAACACATCAGCTGTTGTTGTTTAACAATTGTATAAGATTAGTATGCAATGGCAGGTTTTAACAGCACAGTGGACGTGAAGACAGCCATAATAAACTTGAGTAATCAGTGGTCAACAGTGTGCGTTGAGGTCACAATGTTCTTTTTCTGTTGTGTGTTAAGACTTATCTTATACGAGGGTCATCAAACCATCTCTGAAAGACACCACCATGTGACTTCTACAATTAAAGATCAACTGTAGTCGGTGCATCTGTGTGTCAGTGTTTGCATCATAAAGCCAAAATTTTGTTTTCAAATAGCTGGGCAGATGACTTAGTAGAGTTTTAGTTGGTTGGCTCCTTTTTTCTAAACTAAATGGGATTATTAGTATGTTATTACAACACAATGTTACGCAGGTTTGGATGACGTTTAAAATGTTTGTAAAAGCAGAATTAGATGGTTCACAAATTCTTTAAAGCTGAGATATAAATAAAATTTTACAAAATAAAATTCTTGTAAAGTTTTTCTTTTCCTAAATAAAATGGTGCCAGACAAAAAAACAAATAAAAATTGAACAATTTTGTTGTGTGAAAAATTCATGCTTATCTTAAATTTTGAAGCCAGCAGTTGGAGAAGGGACAATGAAACACTGAAAAGTGGTTCAAAATTTGAAACTTTTCCAATGTTTAGTCTTTTAGAATCATGAAAAAGCATAACGTCTCTGTAAAACAGAGTACATGGATAACTCAGCTGACTCATAAGTTACAGCAGATTTCCTTGTTACTGGTTCCCACATCAAAAGCCAGCCACGACATGCAGCTTTGTATAAAGTAGAAGAATTTGCAAATTTTTTGTAATGACACGGTAAAACATGGTAATGGTTCCTGTGAATAATCCTTCACTTTGTGATTTCACGTCTCAAAATCTTCCCAGACTTCAGTCAGCAAAACACAAGGGCTGGTTGGTGGTTTGCTGAATCTTGTTTTTTCTTTCACCCCAATAGTGCAAAACACACTATGAACCTGCATATTATTACAGCTTTGTGAGAGTAAACAAGAAAAAGTTATTATAGTGCCACGTCTCCCACAGACTCAACAGAAATAAGGTACTTGCCTAGAGGTGAAAGAGCACAAAACCCTGTGTCAAGCATAATCATTTCATGGAAGCAATAAAGTGGAGTGGATTTTGGAACAGCCCGCTTTATCCTCCAAGGAGAACAATATCAGATAGCTTTGCACAAAAGCCTTTCCCATGGAGACTGCACTGATGGTATTCACTTGTTACTTAACTCGGTCCAGCTCTCATTAGCGGATACACATACACATACACCACTTCCCAATAATGGCAAGCCTTCGCAATTTCCTTTGCAGGTGGTCGATTTCATTAGAGGAGGTCAGGTGCATTATTTCCATTACACAGGCGAACAGATCCTGTCACTTTATCTTAGTGTTTATACCTTTATCAAGGACATATCCAAATCCACTATCCTAATTGGAGTATTTGAAAATTGGCTTTTAAAGCTTGCCAAATAATTGTTTCTGACAAAACTGACAAGCCACATTTGACACAGAGGTAAAAAGATTTCCTCCTTCAAGATCCTTCATATTAGTCTTGACTGCAAAAATTACACTGTCTTAGGTTACTCATACACAAAAACTCAGATTGCCTTAAAGCTAAAAAAAAAAAAAATATTTCCAAAACGTTGAGAATGTCTTTTAAATGTCCAAATTGAGGAATTTCAGTAATTTTAGCCTCTACCTGACATGATTCGATGACATGGACATACCATCACTTCTTATTAAACCTAATCAACAAAAATGTTGTCTTAGCCAGGATAAAACACTCAATCCCTACAAAGCCACAAATATAGTTTTTGTACATATGCAACATCCATCAAGCATTTTAAATGTTCTCGACCTTCAGCTGTTTTTTTCTTTTTGTTTTTAAGCAGACAACCAGGAAAACATATGAAAGGGGAGAATCCGACCATTGAACGGCACTCAAAGTTGTCTTTTAGTTAAAATTATTTGTAATTTAGATTGGAACCAGGCATTTAGGTAAGCACCATGACTTTTAGTTTTTTGTTTCTTGTTTTTTTTTTACTCCATAAACCATAAAGAAAAAAGAAAAACAGCCCTGGCCTATTGTGCCATCTGGTTACCACCCTCTACTGCAAGTGAAGATGTATCATAAAGGATGTCCATGGACATTCCTTTCAGCCCTTCACAGCTTGAGATGTAGATATTTTTTTTAACATGTAAGCCAACTGTAATGTAATGCCAACACAAAAGAACAAAATGACACAGTTCTGCATTTTAAAACTGTAATTAAAAAAACTGTTAAAATAAATTAATAGTGAAACAGAGTATGCTGAAGCAGCAAAGGAAAAAAAACAGGATCTCATACAAGACTCACTGCTGCTGTGTACATGTGTGGCTCTGACGTCACTGAAGTCAGTCTATCACACTGATATTATGACATGAACCCACATCTGAACTTGTGGGCCATTGATTGTCAACTCCCTAAACTATTACCGATAAGTAGATCCTGTCCCATGCATAATACAGCAAGTCATGGTGTTGAAAAACTAAAGTGTGCACTTAAACTTTCCAGCTCTTTGTACGATTGTGACACAGGAGAGAACTGGTCACATTCGTCTCATACTTCGCAATTCATCAACCTATAAAACATTCTTCAGCAAAAAGATCAGAGGACTCTGTCACTGTATCCTGCATCTGCACACACGCTCACACTTACATGCATACAAACCATTGTCTGTAAACTGGGTAGGTTTTGCCAATTTGGCACCCTTATAGATCTCCACTGGTGACCTATTCTGTGTCTAACTGCACACAAGCCAAAAACAGATCACATGCAGAGGCTCAGCACACATTGCATCAGCCTGTCCACATAAGGGCATCAAATACATCAAGAGATCGTGTTATTTTTAACGGTGGTTCAGGCTTCCAGCTGTGGGGGGAAACCACTGGACGGAGTTGACACGGTGACGAGTCCGAGGCGCATCTCAAAAATCTTCAGGCTTCACAAAGAACGACTGGGAAATCTACATGGATGCAAGGGTGGTCCAGCTTTATAATTCCCTGGAAGACAAAAAGAAGGTCACGATTTGGACTGACAATACAGAGGGTTAGCAGACACTGCTATAACCCTGGTGGGTGTCCTCACCTGAGGCGTGAGGTTTTTCTGAATCCTCTTCAGCTTGGCTCTTTTACGTCCATTTTTTGTTACAATTGTCTCTTCATAGAATTCATGGGCCAAGTCACCATCTTCATCAAAAAACATAGAGCTGCAGCAGAGGAAGCAGATTATACTTCGGTAAATACAAAAAGTATTTTTTACATTCATACAAGATACGCAACATATGAGAATCTCTTTATTCTCATCATTTTTATGTGATTGGTGTTACATAAAAAAAAAACATACATAAGAAAAAATAAGGTGGAAACTGGCTGAGAATGGATCACAAATGTTACGCGAACAGAATAAATCTATGTACCCATCCTGCCCTGAGCCAACAACCACTACTGACTGTGGCACTTTTCTTTTTCAGTCAGCACAAAAGCTTCTTTATACAGCAGACACATGGTTACACATAGTTTAACTTTTGTTATATAGATAAGCATGCAATGTACTATAAAAAAAAAGACTTATCTGCTCAGTGATTCATGTGACAGCTCTACTAACCTGCTATCACACCTGACAAAAGTATGCTGGGGTTTAAAACTCTCTGAGGCCATATTTACCTTCGTCTGGTAAACACAAAAGGTGTTGCACCCGCGAAACTTCGAACTCTTGCGAGTGTTTGCTCGTTTCCATCTTTGGTGGAGTCATCGGTACTACCTGAGCCAGAAAAAGGCCAATATCCTTTGGATTTGGAGCCGCTGCCACCCATCTTCAGCTGCAGCACATTATTTTCTTGTGTCCTGCCAGAGGTTCCTACAGTGTTACTGTGCCAGGTAGAAATATGATGTCCAGACTATGAAACCCTGGAAAAGTAGGAAATAAGATTCAGTCAATTTCAGAAAATGTAATCACCCAAGACAAATATGGACATTTATGTACTCAAATGTACTACATTAATTTTAGGAAGGGAGGGAAGGCGGGATACAACTTCATTGCTGAATCGGCAAGTGGTAAAAAAGGTAGCACCATGTCACAATAATAATAATAATAATAATCATAATAATAATAATAATAATAATAATAATAATAATAGCAATAGCAGCACATTTGCCTGTGTAGACACTGACAATGTTCTGGTACCACTTGTCTTTTAGATAAACTGTTTGTTGCTATCTTAGTTAAGATAAACTTGGGTCCAGTAGGATAATTATTCAGCTGGGTTGAAAATTGAAATGGGTTTCCTTAAAAAAGACAGCTGTACGTAAAAGAACTCCTTGGCAATCCTATGCAATCCAGTACAACAGCTCTCTAACAACATTGTACCTGCAGGAAGCCCCTCAATTTTTACTCTTTGATGACTGAAAACGGGTGTTTTTATACTTATTTAATCATATGGACTTCGATAAGTTAAATTAAAAGGTGTGCCTTATTTTGGTCCATTACATTTACTTATATCAGGGAAGCAAAATGTAATGCACTCCTGTATATTACCAATAGCCACTACAACTTTGACAATTAATTTAGAGAATAATTTCAACCTGTGTGAGAAGGTAAATAATGTTTGAAAACAAAAAGGATTTCTAAAGTTGAATTTATGGTAGAATATTGTTGTATTTGATTATGAAGGTGTAAGGTCAGGGCTGGTATAGCAAGCCAGTTTAAAGGCAATGCAACCAGACAGTTGAACGATATAAAAGCTAAAGACGGAAACCTGACTACTCATACATGTACTTCAATAAAAACCTGCTTAACTCTTTCAATTTAAGAAATTGCTGAATAATGTTAGACCTCTAAGTCTGGCAGTTTCGGTGGAAATTTGGTTATCTAAGCAGAATAGCTCACTCAGCTAACCAGCTTTGACTCACAAGTACTACAGAGTTGTCTTTTATGGCGTTAGTTTGAGCTGTTCAGTCACTTTGAGTCCAAATGCTAACATTATCATCATGTCATGACAGCTAGCTCACTTTTACTACTAGCATTAGCCAGGTCAACATGTTTCCAACATCTACCGACCCTGTACAACGTCTACATTAGCTGACCTGATAACTGTCAGTTGTTACAATAAATTCGCTTTTACGTAACATACCTCAAGTTCGTTTTTCGTGTTTTTGCTGCTTTAAATTTATCTTTTGGTTTTGGTAGGTTGCTAAATCTTGAAATTGCAAGCAAGGACCTCAAATAACGCACTGCTACGTTAGCTGTTTATGCTAACAAATGTTGGTTCTTCTTCGTGTTAGCCTGGATGGTGGAGAACGCGGTTATGGTGAGCTAGCGCCATCACATGGACAGGAGTATGAAGCTACAAAACTGTGCATATAAAAAATGAGCTAGGATGGTCTGAACATGGGAATTATTAACCCCTAGACCAGTGGCTCTCAACACCCACATTTTCCCATGGTCCTTAAGTCGCAACCCACTTTTATAGAATTCAAACCAACCAAATTGATTTTTCATATTAGGAAAAAACTGTTAAGACTCTAATCTTTAACATAAATCCACTTGTTTTATTGAGTAAAGTGCATTTCAGAGCACATGAAGGGGACAACATGAGGACCAAAACTACTGAAGTTGCATATACAGAAAATATCGAATATCTAATAAATATCAAATTAAATATTTACTTTTTTGACCAGATGTTCGTGACCCAGCCAGAAAGTGTCCGTGACCCACTTTTGGGTCAGGACCCACCAGTTGAGAACCACTGTACTAGACCACATTTCTGGACGTTTAGGCTGTTCATGCACAAGCCTAAATTATTATTTGAACTTACATGTTTTTCTAAATTTTGGCTGGTCTGCTCAGTCCCAACATAAAATACAGCAACTCTGATATTTTGAACTGTTTGAATCTTTTGAAGATGAATGTCAACACTAAATGATAACTGAGTTTTCACATCTCTTCTCAGCAAACCCATCTCCCTGGTCACAAATCTCTGTTGAAAGCCTCTAAAGGACAAACAAGGCTGTCATTATAGTGTTAAAAAACTTGTGTTATTGAATCAGAGGTTCTCAATATTCTATGGATGGAATGGAAAGTTGTTATATAATTTTACTGCTTTGGTTTAAGGGGCTAAAGTGTGTGTCACCGTGTGTATATAAAATCTAAAACATTAATTACAATAACAGGAATTCAGAATTCTTAATAGGACTAGTTGTTAAATATCCCTAATATTCAGCACATCAATTGACTGTCATTGGAGATGTCCTCTAATCTTGAGTGGGGTGGGAATTGGCAATGATCACGTGGTGCCACCAGCACGCCACATCATCAGTTGTTCGCCCCGACTTCATTGGGTGTTTCGGCCACTTACAACAAGACACCCTCTGTCAGGGTTGGCCCACCACAGGATGATCAGCCCTGGGTGTGTGGTGTACGGTGGCACCATGCGGTCACTTGGCTGCCCATACTGCATCTTTACGTTTCAGCCATAGCCAGTGACTGCTCCGTTCTGCTGTTGTGGCAAGTTCTTTAATTGCCTTCCGTTGGGCCTGCCCTCTGATTCCCAATTCCTTCAGGAGCCTTGTGGCAGACCTGGCTACAAAGCCTCTGCAGCCGACCTCCACTGGCCACACCTTCACATTCCAGCCCCGCCCCTCTGCTTCAGCTGCTAAGTTGGCATATCGCAGTCTCTTTCGCTCGAATGCTTCATCGATGGCATCTTCCCATGGGACGGTCAGCTCAACGATGAAGACACGCCGGCAGGATTTGGACCAGAGGACCAGGTCTGGGCGCAGGTTGGTTGCTGCAATTTCGGGTGGGAAGGTGAGCTTCTGGGTGAGGTCCACCCGCATTTCCCAATCCCGGGCTGCGTTCAGTGGAGTTGGATCCGGAGGAGATGACTTTGTGCCTCTTTTCTCTCCTTCCCGAACGAAGTTTGTTCTCCGTGGGCCTGTAGTCTGGGCGTTTAGAGGCATGGCATTGGTGGTTACCCTCCTGTTCTCAATTTCGGCAGCCAAGCACTTCAACACCTGGTTGTGGCGCCAGGTGTATCTTCCCTGGGTTAGGCTGTTCTTGCAGCCCACCAAGATGTGTTTGAGGGTAGCCGGGGCTGCACACTGGAGACAGGCTGGGTCCTCTCCATACCAGACATGCAGGTTGGTTGGAGAGGGCAGGACATCGTAGGTGGCTCTAATGATGAAGCTTAGCCTGTTGGACTCCATGCTCCATATATCGCTCCACGTGATTTTCTTCCTCTCGACGCCTTCCCACTTCATCCAGCGGCCTTGCTGAGCTTGGGAGACCGCTGTGGCACACCTGGCTGCTTCCTCCTGGTGGCGCACTTCTTCTACCACCATGCGGCGCCGTTCAGCTGGAGTCGCCTTTTGCCATGTCGGTGTTGTTGCTTCCAACCCAAGGCCGCCTCTGCCATGCTGGACATGTCCCACTATATCCCGGTGTCTGAGAGCAGTCTTTGCCACCGCGACTGCTGCAGATGGCTTCCATTTCCTCCCCGTTGCTAAGGTTGGAGCAGCTCCTCTGACGAATGGATCCCGGGATTCAGTGAGAGTCATCTCCAGCCTTGATTTAGCACATTTGTACTCCTCCACTAGGCTTGAGATTGGTAGGGAGAGTGCTCCGTTGCCATATAAGCCTATGCTGCTAAGGCATCTCGGCAGTCCAAGCCACTTCCTCACTTGTGCGTTCACCAGTCTCTCCAGCCGCTTGGCATGGGATATAGTGACCTCATAGATGGAAATTGGCCACATGAGACGGGGCAGCAGCCCAAACTGGAGGCACCACAGTTTCAGCTTTCCAGGCAGAGCTGTGCTGTTGATCTGCTTGAGGCCATGGATGGTATCTAGTTTGAGTTGCTCCAACTGCTTCGAGTCTTTGAGCTCTGCGCTGTACCAGCGGCCAAGGCTTTTGACAGGCTTCTCCAGAACGGTTGGTATTGGCTCGTTGTTGACGTGGAACCGCTCATTGCTGAGCTGGCCTTTGACAATGGAGATACTGCGGGATTTACTGGGTTTTATCTCCATTCGTGCCCATTTGATGTTTCCTTGGAGTTTATCCAGCAGGCGTTTGGTGCATGCGCTTGTTGTTGTTATTGTCGTCATGTCGTCCATATACGCCCTGATAGGAGGAAGACGAAGTCCACTCTCCAGACGTTGCCCTCCAACCACCCACCGGGACGCTCTAATAATGAGCTCCATTGCCATGGTGAACGCCAGTGGGGATATGGTGCATCCTGCCATTATGCCAATCTCGAGCTGCTGCCAGGCAGTTGTATTATCCTGTGTTGTAACGCAGAACTGGAGATCCTGGAAATATGACTTGACCAGTCTTGTGATGCCCTCTGGGACTTGGAAGAAATTGAACGCTGTCCACAACATCTCATGAGGCACTGATCCGAATGCATTGGCAAGATCTAAGAATACCACATGCAGGTCCTTCTTCTCCTTCTTGGCCGTCTGCACCTGGTGCCAGATGACATTTGTGTGTTCCAGGCATCCTGAGAATCCACTTATCCCTGCTTTCTGCACTGAGGTGTCGACAAAGTTGTTTCTCTGCAGGAATGCTGAGAGCCTCTGGGCCACAACACTGAAGAAAATCTTTCCTTCCACATTCAGAAGACATATCTGTCGGAACTGATCGATGGTTGAGGAGTTCTTCTCTTTGGGAATCAGGATCCCTCCCGCCCGTCGCCAAGCCTTTGGTATAATTCCTTTTTCCCACGCCACTTTTATCAGCCTCCAGAGGTACTTCAGGACACCCGGCGCGTTCTTATAGAACCTATATGGAACGCCGTTGGGCCCAGGGGCTGAGGCTGTTCTTGCCCGCTTTACTGTGCTTTCCACTTCGCTCCATGTAGGGGGCCTAGTTTCCATCTGGTGCTCTGGTGGCTGGATTGGTGGCATGTCATCTGGAATGCTGGCTAGCACATGCCTCTGGTTGTTGGAGTAGGTCTTCCTCAGGTGCTCCTCTAGCTCCCTTACGGATGCTTCGAGGGTCCCAGTTTTCTCCTTGACAAAGAGGTCTTTGGCGAACCTGTAGGGGTCTCTGTAGAAGGCAGTCCTCGTTCGTTCCTTCTTCCTGTGTTGCTTTCTCAAACATTCTGCTCTTCGCAGTGTTGCCAGACGCTGCTTGATGTAGCCCTGTAGTGCCTCAAGTCCTTTCCTTTCCACTTCTGTGGCCTTCTTCCACCGTTTTCTCAGGGACCTTCTTTCTTTCACAAGTCTGTCAATCTCTTGTTGTCTCCTGGACTTGAGATGAGCTGCTGGTTCCTTCTGCCTCCTAGGATTCTTCTCCTTCACCCCAAATCTCTCTGCTCCATAGTTGTAGATGATCTCTCCAATCTTGTCCAGCTTCCTGTCCACGCACCCCTTCAGACCTTCAAGAAGATGGACTAGGTCTGCATTGGTGTTTTCCCACTCCTTTTTAAGGCAGGATTTAGGCCACAGGATTTGAGGCTTCCGTCCATTCATCTTCCTCTCTACTACCGCCTGTGGCTGGATGAGCTCTGGACTCTTGTCCGTTGGTGGATCTGTGCTTGTTTGAGCTTCGTCTGGGGTTCTGATACCCTGTGAACTGTGGTGAGTATCCTGCCACTGGGCTTCACTCGACTTATTTGTCCTACCTCTGAGGAAGTAGTGGTCAATGCGAGGCCCCTCGCTAAGCTCTCTCAGGCACTTTTTCCTGCCCTGGTGGATCTTGAGCCCCTTCTCTGATGTTACCTTTGTCCAGCCACAGATGCAGCTTTGTAGCTTATATCCTGCCCGTGCTGTTGCTCCATCAACTGCTGTGCTGATCATTTGATTCGTTGTCGTTTCCGCTGCAAGGTTCGTTACCATGTGGTCAGCCGGTGAGTCATCTTTCGCCCCCGCTCTCGCAGACTCCAGGGGTATTTTTCCTTTTGAGCTTTTCGTAGCAATAGTTGGGTGGATCCAAGACACTGTGTAGTGAAAGGCTCCTGCCAACAAGGGTAGCTAACCCTTGCCAGCCCCGTTGGGTTAGGGTAAATACAACACTAAATTCTTTACATATTTTATTAGATAATTAAAATGTAAATACATACATTGCTTTTAAATTTGCCAAAATCTATTCCACTGGTTCATTAAAGTGCCAAAAATGTGAAAGTCATAATATAAATGAAGCTAAGTATTCCCTGATGAATGAAAAGAGATACTAAAAATACATATGTGTTAAATACAACTTCAAATATTCTAGACAAGCAGCATGATTTTGAACAAATAACTGCATCAAACTGAGTCTCCTTCGTTCTTGTTCTGTTCAGCTCATACCAACGTCTCCGGCTGTGTACAATAAGCAAAGCCTAGGCTTTTGGGTAATAAACTTGAATGGTAACAGGAGTGTCCCCACATCATATTCCTTCCCTTTAATACCCTCAATCAGTGATACTTCATGGACTGCACATCTTCATGTGTGTACATGGAAACTAGTCAAATAGCTTGAAGTCAACCAGGAGTAGTAATTCTTGCCACAGCCTGCTTCATCCTTTCTCTAGCTAAAGTGTAGCGCTTCACAATCTGCCGCACATGCTCCTCTTCCTCACGCTGCAGGATTCGCAGGAAGTTGCGCAGCTCTGGAAAACTGAATGCATCCCACTGTGGAGGAGAACAATTTCACATATAAATAATTAATGTTGGATGTTGGATATCTGTGATATTGATAAGCGTCTTGAATGTAAAACTTACATTGACTTCTCCTGTTTCATTCTCTTTCAAAACCAGACTCAAAACTTTTTCACTGGGGCCCGCACATAGGCGCAAGTGGAGGGGACACTCTTCATCAGCCAGTTTACGCATGTACACTGAAAGAAGTCAAATCGAGTACTTTATACTTGCATTTTACTTCATTGTAGAGAAATTACAAACCATTCAGGGTTCTACCTTGACTTTGTCTCTCTCTGCGTTCGAACAGAGCAAACTTGGCTGGGTTGTCCACCACGGTGAACTTGTTGAGCAATGCCTCAATGACTTCACGTACACGTGTCTGGGAGCTTATATGCAGGTGCTTGGCAGTGTCTTTGGGGAGGTAGAAAGAAGTCCGCCTCTTTAAGCGTCCACTCTGAAGATCATCCTCTTTCGTATAGCTTAGGCTCTGAGATGGAGGGAGGGAGATAGGGCGTACCAACTGAAAGTGGACTTTGATGAAACCAGTGTATGACCCGTCTTTATTCTGTAAGAGGAACAAGTTTGTATTACCAAAGTGGTCTCAAACAACAGCAACAGCTGCAGAAAACCATTACAAAGGTATACATAGTTAAATCAAAATGCAAAAAATTCAAAGAACATCAGATAAATAACCACTTACAATCAGCATATAGAGGTTACTGTTGATCTGTGCATTGTACTCCTTAATTTTGTGTTGGATTTCATTAACAGACAGCTCCTGTTTTGCCCAATCAATCTGTTCATCCTGAAAAATTAAAGAGAAAGAACAGTACAGCAGATAGGCAACACAGTGACAAAGATGAAAGATCAAGATAGGATACAAGATTTTATTAAGCTTTAAATCAGCTGTAGCCTCACCACATATTGCCTGCCCTTCTGTAGATGTAAACGCAGTGAAATATAGTTCCTGCTCTGAGCTGCTGTCCTCCTCACTGCAGAATATCTTCCTCGTGGGGCTTCCCCTTGTCATTTCCAGGTTTCAAGTCAGCAAGAATGACAATCATGGGCAATCTTTTTGTAGATTCCCGTGATCGCAAGGACCCAAGAAAATTTTCTCAAGCTAACTGCCACAAAAATTTCCAGATCTCTTCTTTCTCTCTCATCTGTCTGAGTAGATCTGATAATACCAAGAGCTCTTTTGACCTCAGCGTTTGCATTTGCTCCTCCCCAACCATAAAACCTGACAAAGATGTCAAGAAGCCAGCCCACTCACCGTGAGTTCAGCTCAAACTATCATTTTTGCTTACTGTTGTTGTTTCACATAAACATTATTTTGAAATACAGTTATATGAATAAAGGCTTTTAGCTGTTTATATTTGTTAGGAACTCTTTGGAAGAAATATCTGATTTTGCTTTCCTTTTCCTCTCTAAGTTACAAGACTAAATTACAACACACAAGTGACTTTCCCAAATTCAATGCCTTTAAAAAAGAGGGGACATAAATGATCTCAGATAAAGAAAAAAGATTTAATCTGTTTCAAGGAAATTTCTACTGGGACCTGCTGGATGATTTAAACTGAAAAATGGAGAGGTAATCCACAAATATTACTAATTTGTGCAGGTCCACAGGCCTTAATTGTTGCAGATTTTATGGTTGTTGAATAAAGACAGCTGTTTTATTGTGAAGTTGTTAAGTCTCCCCTCCCCTCAGCTCTCTCCTAAATTACTTTCCATATATATGCCTTGACAAGGAGGAGGTAGTAAAAGCCTTGTTTCTGGGAACATATGGCTCACTGATACTCAGAGGACACCAGTGGACAATCTGGTAGTCTCCATCTGCTTTGACCTGCCATTTTAGACAACATAACTAGAGTGTATAGTGTGTTTTCAGCACGTTGTATTTCCTGTTTTTTTAATTGTTAAATCACAGTTGTGATTTTAAATGACCTATGAGGTGTCTACTGTTGGCATTAAACCACTTAATGAAGACAGTTGTCATGACAAGCGTGTAATCGCTAAAATGTGTGCTTGTAGCTATGGACCTCACCACATTAGTCTCAACTGAGTCGGCGGAGTAATCCTCCTGCTCTTCTGACAAACTTCCATTTGCACTGCAGTCCAGCTGGATGAATGGCCGGCAGCGAGAGTGACAGGTATAACTGCAATCTGAGAGAAACAAAACATTCAATATTAGAAGTTATGAACTCTGCATTCTGGCTAGAAATCAGCACATATATATCTTTGTATTCTATTTGTACAAATCTTAATTGTTCTTTTCATCCTGCTTATTTTCTCATCTCAACTCACCTAAAAAAGCACTTAAAAACAACCATAGCCTAAGTGCTGCACATAAATAGACAAAAACAACTCGGACATAAAACCATGAAAACAAGTGAAACAGCAGTGCAATGTTATATGAATATGGGAAAGAAGCTCCTGAAGTCAAATGATAGAGAAGGACAAAGCCATTCTTCATTCAACAGCAAGCTTCATACTGGATCTGGAGTGTGAAGCTTGCCAGAACTTCCCACAGATTAGGACTAACTCTGAGATAATGTGAATGAATGGAAAAATAACACAAGCATCCTGCATCGGTGTGAGAACGGACAGTTACACCTTTTCACCAGCCATGAGTCCAGGCTGGGCATATAACTTAAACAAAGGGGGTAACAGGATTGATTCTGGCTTTAACTTTTGGAATTTATTGACTATTTACAGAGGTTTTATATTCATACTTTTATTACAATAAAACCTAAAGTAAGCATGATCAAAATACAGGAATATAGTTCAAGACTAATATAGGTGAACTCCTAACATACATCATTATCTCTAAAGAATAAGATTAGTTTTGTATTTGTATTTTAATTAATACATTAAATCTACCTCAGGGGAGGTAAAGGGAATTGTGATTGGCATCACAACATTATCCTTTGATTGACTATTTCCCTTTCCAGAGGCAGGATTTATATTTGAAACAAGGATTTAGTCAGTGTGGCAACAGGCTGCCAGCAGCTCTCTTTGCACTGCAATGACGCACATCTTCTTCTTCATACAGTCAATTATAATTTTGGTTAATTGCCTCCTTTTAAGTCCTCAAAGACTTGAGCTAATTAATGAGAGTGCTGCCGATGTGTTGTGTTTCTTCATATAATTAAAACACAGGAATATAACACAACAGGATAGAGGGGGTAAATTCTATTAATTTGTTTGTATGTGCTAGCTAACCCCTGTCTATGCCAGTGCTCATGTGCCCCCCCCCCCCCCCCCCAGTCGAAAAAGTCTAGACACACCCCCGGACTACCCTGACCTTAATTTTATCAACATCAAACCAATTCATGAGCTCTGGGGTGTCTCTCCAGGACTGATCACCATTGAGGACTGATACACATTTAAAGCATGATTTTTACCCCATTGCAGTTTTTAGTCATATTGTGTGTTTTCTCGTAGTGAGCTGTGATTTGTTATTTAAAAGAAGAGTATTACCCATCTAATCCTTTCACACAAGTTCACGTAGAGGAGATACTCACTGGTGCAGCGTACACTCTGCTTATAAAGCCCCAAGATGAATTCTCCACACAGGTCACACCAGGTGAGATGGGTGTAACTGTTCGGCTGGAAGTCATGACCCACTCCTGCATCTCCTATGTGACAATGTGGGGCCTCGATGCTGACGCTGTCTCCCACCAGGCGGACGACATGGAAGTGACTTATCTGAGCCGAGTTCACTGGCGGTGGATTTTTGCGGGCTGCAGGGGCAGCCAGCTCAATTGAATCATTCACACTGAGGTCCTTCAGCTCAATCAGCTCACATTTAGACATCCTGTGAAACACACACTTGCATCTCACGTGAGCACTTGCTGTCCATGAGCTATTGATGTGCATCCAGTCTGAAGAGGATACATTATGTTCACCTACATATCCTTGATGAGGAGATCAGGCTCTGATGAAATGCACACAGTTAAGGACAAAAGGAGGAGGTTATGGTTCTGATTTGGTCCCTCCAGGTAGGTGAGCTGTACAGGGTGGAAGAAGCCCATAAGTGCTTTGGATCTGCAAGACATTGAAGAATCAATTGCAGACATGAATCAGTTCAAAACAACAAAAGCAGTACGCACAATAAAATCACTGCCCATGTTGCTGAGCGGTGTAGGCTTCAGAAGCAGGGAAACAAAAGATTAACCTTTGATATCCATCAACATGAATCATAGGCTTATGATAAAATGTGGGTCAAAATGTTGCCTCTAATCCTGTGACAATTTAAAATGCTTTTCTGTGTGATACACGTACAGTATTTCTAAAGAACTTCTCCAAAAGATAAACACAAAAGTAGGTCGATAAACTCAAATATCTGTGTCCAGAAATAACTGACCACAAAATGGGAGTAAAGATCCCACTACCTTAAAGCTTTTCAATTTTTACTACATGACTTTTGCGTGTATAACAATCATTGACATAAATACGAGGCAGTTTATGGCTGGACTAAAGCATTTTACATTTTACTTTCCTTTGAGGGATAAATGTTGATTTAATTTTTGAAAATAAGGTAAATAAGATAGCATACATCATTTTGTGAAATATGATGTGTTGTTGAAGATTAAACAATGAAGAGACATAAGTTTATTGTGAATACATTGGGCTTCATAACATCCTGACACATAGGAGAGAGTGGGGTAAGATGAGCCAGTTTTCATATGTCAGATCACTACATCAAGGCGATCATAATTTAGTCTCTAACTAGTGTATCTGCAAATATTTCAATATGTTGTGCATCCCTGCAAACCACCAGAATGAGTGTAAACATAACTGTCTTGATAATATAGTATGCCAAAAAAAGTGGTCTCCTATGGTCAACTTACCCCGTGTATGGGGTAAATTGACCATAGGAGCGGGGTAAATTGAGCTGTATCCCTACTACCCACTGGCTCAACTTACCCCAGAACTACTATTATGACTTTATTAGTCCTCTAATCTAAAATGGTGGACATGAATTGATGCCCATCTTCTAAATATTTGGTCACATGATCTTTGAACATTTCCAACCAACAGGGGGTGGCTCAACTTACCCTTTGGCTCAACTTACCCCACTCTCCTCTATATAAAATGCTCCTTAAATGTAAATGAATCTTTGTTGTTTTCCCCTAATACGATGCAAAAAAAAAAACTCATTGATTCGCTAAATTATTTCAATTGAATAATTTTAAACCAGCATTTTGCAAACTTAAACCCAAAGTTTCCATTCTTGGACCTGTAAGTGTAGTATTTCCAGATATTGTCATGTACTCAAAGGGTTTACTTGAACCAGTAGTAGCTGCAGAATTAGTGACCACTAACAACTAAGCCCTCTTTTTGAGCTGTGGACATAAAATCCTTCTCATGTCCAAAAGAAAGATGCGTGTTAGTGTTCACAGGTGAATCTCAAACTTGTTCACTTCAGTTTTCCCACGGAGCAACATTGTGACTTGAATCTGAACAACCCGGGGTTTTATCTGCCAACTGGGTCACCACACGGCTCAATTATCCACGCAGGGCAACAACAAGAACACGCTGTGACCAGGACCATCCGCGCATATTGAGCAGGCTTTATCGTCATTTATTCTCGCACAAATCTCAGCATTGATCCAGAGGAAGTAAGTTTTAATGGTTCTTTGGTTTCTAATTTGTTGCAAAACCGGTTCAATCTGAAACAGGACCGCCCAGTTTAATCCCATCTCGACGGGATGTCAAACCCGGTTGAACGTGACACCCGAAAATATCTTCAAAACGTTTAGTAAAAAAACGGAAGCTTACCTCGTAAAACCCTCAGCGACTCTTCAGCAGGTTCAGGACGGTAGGAGATGGGTTTTAATGTGAATTGACAGACAACATGCACGCACTTTAGGGTTGCGTATGCACGAAGTGAATGTGGGATTATGGTTTAATCCTGTGTGGGTTTTTTTTGAGCATCCTGGGGGAGGCACCACGAGAGGAATCCCCTCTGTCACTAAGTGAAGCCCTCCCTCCATCCTCTGAAGAAACTGGTTGCAGCTCTCACTGCTGAAGTCCTATCATAATGACATAACAATTTTAAAGGAATTAGGACTGAATCTTAAAGTGTAAGTGTATAATTGTCAATACACTAGCCACAAATAGGCAACAGCTAAATCAGCTATTGCTAACATTATGTGAGCTTTAAATCAGTTCTTTTTTGTAATTTTTGCCGATTAGCAAATATGGTAAACGAGTTAATAGGCTAAGCAATGGAGAAGCGATGCTATTAGTATCTGGCATTGCTAACATGTTGTAAGAAAGTAACTAGGGGAGACCGGGGCTTGTTGTCACATGGGTAAATTGTCACATTGCACTTATCTTTGCCACCAGAGGGCGCAACTAAAAAGTGGAATACTAGTTTTCTTCCTTTACATGGTCAGGGGTCGTGTCCATAGACTGTATAAAGAGTGGACAGCGTCTGCCTCCTCGCTGGGTGAAGCCACTCCGAGAACAGCCCCCTCTGTTGGCGGGCTGCAGTATAGGACATAAATGTTATCTATGATTGACACTTGATACAGCCTATGGGCGTACAAGGATTGCGTAGCTCACCTTGGGGGTACGCTGTTTGAACTGAGCGTCATCACAGCGACTCTCGGCAACTCTCCCGCCCAATGCGTACAACGCTACTGTGCAATGTTGGTTTCAGGAAATGAAGAAAAAACGCAGAAATACTGAACGCTTTTTGGCTTCAAATCCGTATACTGGCGGGAGGCGGAACCAAGTAGTCCATAGTATATACAGTCTATGGTCGTGTCCTGTCTGAGAAGAGAAGAGCACATTGTGAGCTGAGATGAGCGCCAATTAACCATTTCGCACAACCCAAAGTAAAAAAAAAAATACTTTATGTTTTTTAAAATAAGCTTTTTCCAGATAAAAATCCCAGCAGTGATACATGTGGACTTGTTAGAGGAGAGATTAAGGCGTCCTGTCATACCTCAGCCATTGTTCTGTTTTAAACTAACTTTAATCTAGAGCTTTAATCAGCAAACATGGTGGTTTGGGGCAACATGTCTCAGTCATTTTGGGGTTAGTTGTCACATGTTCAAAAAGGATTATTATTAACATATACAGTAGAGTCTGTTTGACATCTTACCCCATATAGTGAAACAACTTACCCAATGGTGGGGCAACATGTCACGTGTTCACACTCTCTATTTGATTGCTTATAACTCTGCACTGACACAAGATATGGAAATGTCATGAATATGAAATATATACCTGAGACTTTGGTCTTTCATCTGGTACACATTTTGTTTATATATGATGTACTGATTCCAAGAAATATATAAGCGTGTAAAAAGTGTGACAACAAGCCCCGGTCTCCCCTAATTTTTTGCTAATTATCAAACGTGGTAAATGAGTTAATAGACCAAGTAATGCAGAAGTGATGCTTTTAATATCTGGCATGGCTAATTTGTTGTTAGAAAGTAAATATTAAAGAAAAAAAACAATTTTGTAAAATATCAGAATTTAGCCTTTATGAGTATTTTTTAAATCCTATAATGAATGACACTATTGCTCACTCTAACACAGAGGAAGTCCCTTTTTTCAGATGACTGCTGTATTAGTTTGAATGAACAGCCTGTTTAATGTTTAAATAAAGGCCACTTGGCAATCACTCGCTTGCAAAAAGCCTCGGGCTCTGATATGGAGGCCAGATAAAAGACCCTTCTTACTCTGTCAGACGTGTGTAGAAATGGCGTGAGGATTTAAACCACTCCCTTTTGCTCCATTAAGTTCATTCAGTCTTGGGGCTTTGTAAGTAGACATATAGCAAGATCTCAGAGTATGCTTTCCTGTAATAATCTTGCAAATACATCACAGTGGTAATCATATGTGAGAAATAAACATGTTGTATATTTTATGAATAAGACATTTAGCTAGAAAAACTGTTTGAGGATTTGCTTCTGTACAGTGTTATGATTATCTCCCGGCATCTGGACAGAAGGAACAGTGCAAGTCTGACACTTCTGTGAAGGAAAGTAAACAAAAACACAACCTAAACAGAGAGTGGCTGTGCATGTTAGATAGATAGAGATGGACATACAGAGATAGGGAGAGAGCAATTTCCTGAATGAACATGTTGTTTCCTCAGTCTGTGCCTGCTGTCAGCATGCTCAGTGTGTAGAGGCCAACACAGTCACAGGCTTATTAGAGAGTAATTGGAGCACAATAATATGTTATCAGCTGACTGGTGAGTGTCCTCTAAGTTCATGGAATGGATTGTATTGGTATGAAAGAAATCACACAGAACCTAACCAGTGAAATTTTGCAGTTTTACCTGCAACTTTATAAAAATTGTTGTTCCTGAAGTTCCAGAACTCATAAACCAGAAGGTTTTGTCTCCCTTTCTTCTCTTCCCACAGGTCAGTAACAAATGTTTGTATAAGGCAGTGGTATACTCAGGGAGTTTGTGGGGCAGGGGTGAAAAAATGTTGGGTATCTGACTCTTAATTCTCCACATTTTGGTGAATACACATGCAAAAGTTGTGCATGAAAATTTTATAGACAGACACTGAATTTTGATAACACATGATTATAAAAAAAATAGGAGATATTAATAAAGGGGCACCTGATCACATTTGCTTTGGAGGACATTAAATGGGCACTCTTTTAGTGATTCACATGCTAGAAGGAAATTCAGAGGACAATTTCCTACACTTTATGGACTGGATGGGCATCCACAAGGCTATTTGGCATGTGCCACTTTGTAGAAAAGAGCAGTTTTCATGCATTTACCATGGAAAGAACACGAATTCACCTAAGTCAGGAGTATCCAAAAGGCCCCTTTAACGCAAATAGACTGTCAACACAAGGAGGGTTGACCCCAGCCCTAGTTTACACTAATGTTATATGGCGTCCACGTCATCTAGGTATGTAAAGTTTAAGAAAATTGGCAGTGACTATATCCGCTAAACATTGTTTCAAAATAAAAAATTAAACAAGTTAGAGTTTATGCAAATACTTTAAATTTTGTTTTGACATATACGTCGATCGTGCAAATTTTGTCTGTGAGCATTCCTTATGAGTAAATATATTTACATTCTGTATATTTACAAACTGCTGGGGCACTAAAGAAGACAGGTCGAAACAAACCACTGTCTGATCGAACTTTATTTTGAAAAGGCAAAAACGGAAGTTTCATTTTTTTTTCGTAACAGCTTCATTGCATGACTTTTCATTCATGCCTCATTACATTGAGAAAAACTGCAATTTTTGTGAAATATTAAGCAAAGTCGGTTTAAAGTTTCGACTTAAGACTTAATAAAATTCGGGCAGTAAGATAGGAGTTAGGTTCAACATTTCCGGGTTTGTGTGGATGAATCTGCGAGTTCACTTCAGGTGACGAGCTGGAGAGACTGTTTTCAGGTTGGTCTCCTGGATCCAGATATTAACTTGACCATGTTTAACAATAAAGAGGGTGAATCTGAGCCACGGATCTACGGGTTTATCCGGTCTGCAGCCGCAGCTTTGACCCACCTGGTCTGTATCGTCTTCACTGTGTTTGTTACAGTTCTGTCTCGACCGGGTTCAAGTGAGTGCTCAACAGTTCAAAGATCCTCATGTCACTGGACTTAGTAGGTTTACAATTGATTAACTTTAACTCTTGTTTTATTTTGATTTTTTTCCAGGTTTGTTTTCCTGGCATCCCTTCTTAATGACACTATCAGTAAGTTCAGAGTTTTAAACAAGTCTTTCAGTTTTGGATCCTCAAAAAATTATATGTTAGAGCTTTAACAGCCACTTGAACAATTTGCATAGCAACCTTAAAGATATAGGGGAATATTATGTTGATACAGTCCATTGATTGATCATTAAAGTCGTTCACAAAACATAATGGAATAAAAGAAAATTTGACTTGCTCATGCTTCTTGTACAAAGACTTTAAAGGGATATTTTGGCGTAAAATTAATTTAGGGTCATAACACTGAGCTAGACACCCCCTCGAGAGATGAATGTTGCCAACTGCTTGCTTCTCTAGTTATACCAACTTTAGTAATGACTGCAGATAGCAATACAGAAAGCCACAAGCTCATCTCAACCAAAACGCCACTCTATAGCCACAAATAATGCTCAGAACAGCACCTAACTTCATCAACAGTACATATAGGGTCCTAGCCACAGCACTAGCCACCAAACATCTTTTTAGCTTTGTCTAATTTCTTTCGCAAAGAGACTAAACACAACTCACCCACTCTCCTCCAGCAGCCGCTTGTTTGTGGGGGGAGCCCTGACGAGTTGATCACTGAGTGCAGTGGAGTTTCGCAGCTCAAGGAAGAACATTTATGATCATTTCCTCATGGAAATGCAATCAGACCGAGATGTTAAGGCAGAAGAACTACAGTGTCTGCAGTGCAAAATGATTAATATGGTGATTAATACTTCAAGGAAACGATAAAGTAATGATCATAAATGTTCTTCCCTGAGCTGCGTCACTCCGCTGCAGTCGATGGATTTGCCTGGAGGTCTCCGTACAAACAAGTGGCTGCTGGAAGAGAGTAGGTGAGTTGTATTTAGTCTCTTTGCTAAAGAAATCAGGCGAAGGTAAAAAGATGTTTGGTGGCTAGGGCTTTGGCTGGTACCCTATATGTACTGTTGATGAAGTTAGGTGCTGTTCTGAGCATTATTTGTGGCTATAGAGTGCCGTTTTGGTTGAAATTTGTTTATGGCTCCTCAGACCGCTGTGTATTGCTATCATGCGGTCGTTACTAAAGTTGGTATAACTAGAGAAGCAAGCGGTCGGCAACATTCATCTCTCAACGGGGTGTCTAACTCGGTATTACGGTGTGTTTGACCCTAAATCAATTTTACGCCAAAATATCCCTTTAAATAAGTCATCTTGGTCTTGGGAGACTTTTGAAAACCATGTGAAGTAATGCTTCTTGACGCATAAGATGCTTCATTAATGAACTGAGAAAAACCAAGAGTTTACTTTCTCCTCTTTTCTTCTAGTTCTCCTTACTCATGACAGAAGCCATACTCCTTTTCTCACCTCATGGCTCCCCCATCAAAAAGCTGACTCACAAGACCAAAGGCCGTGTACACTGGATCCTGCAGTGCCTCTGCGTTTCTTGTGCAGTCCTGGGTCTGGCAGTCATCTTTTACAACAAACATCTGAACAGTAAACCCCACTTCACCTCATGGCACGGTTTTCTGGGCCTGCCCACAGTGTGTGTGGTGGTGCTTCAGTCTGGGGCAGCTGCGCCTCTTATCTACCACTCTCTGGCCAAAGGCTGGTCCCTGGCCAAACTCAAACGCTACCATGCAGCATCGGGACTCATCACATACCTACTTGGCACCGCCAGCGTGCTCCTGGGTCTCTGCTCTGCCTGGTTCACTGGATCTGTGGTGGGATACTCCTGGTACCTGTCAGCACTGTGCCCTGTACTCACTGCCTCTGTTGTGATGAACCAAGTCACTCGTGCTTACATGGCGAAGAAACGGCTACAGTCTTGACAGAAGGCACAGTGTCCACAGTGTACAAACAAAGCATGCAGTAAATGTAAGATTGCCAAATAGATATTTTTTACTCACATGAAACAGGCTGGATGGGCATTAAGGAAAGAAACAGATTCCTGAAACTGTTAGCCATTTTAAAAGTCTTAACATTTCATAGGCTCTTAATTTTATATGATAATAAAACACTTTTCTGTCTTTTTTTTAAACTATATGGTGACTACCACTGAGGTCAATGTGGACATGTCAAGACTTTCTGTCAGTCATTTGACATTCACTCCATTGAGCCTGTCCTTTTTGGTTCCTGTTGTTTTTGGCAATTCTCATGTAGTTCATGATCCAGCACTTGCTAAATGAACTTTAATTCCATTCAGCCTCAGCTTTTGTTTGTGCTAAGCACTTATAAGCAGATGTTTGCATGCCCAAAGCTTGAGGCAATTGATAAGCATTAGCTGGTGAACCACTTTAGCATTGCTAGCCTTCGCTTTGAAAGGAACATTACTAAGCACGACTCATATTACAGAGAAATTCAGGGATTTGAAGCACTTGCTTCATTGTATTTTCTTTACTTGAATACTGTCTTTGGATGTGTCAGCACCTGGCCTCCATACTTGATAAGAAAGAAGAATTCAAGATAAATCTAACAACGACTGAACGTTAGCTAGCATGTAACTAGCTAACAACAGCAGCTCTGGACGCAATATATATATTTTTTTGTAGGACGGTAGGGGAAAGTCCCGCCTCCTTCACCTCTGATTGGCTAGAAAAGCTGGAAACATCATCACACACTCAAGCCAAACATGGGCTGTCGGCTCTGTACATCGAACAGAACATTATCACACTTCTGTATCTCCTAACCCTAACCCTCATCCTATTCCTAACCTTTACCCTAGCCCTAACCTTAACCCGACAGACGATGACATTTCACAGCCATTTGGAATAACCAATCAGAGCCCAGCACTTCTAGCCAATCAGAGGTGAAGGAGAGCAGGACCTTCCCCTACCGTCCTACAAAAAAAAAAATGCCAACAGCAGCTCTGGACAAAGGCATCAGGCTTTCGCTGGCTAGCTAGCCATCCACAGAGCCAATTTTTCTAATTTCCTTAACTTAAACGTGGCCTTAATATTTTCTACCATCCAAATCACGTCAACATGCTGTTATCAAAGTTTCCTATTCTGCCTGTGATTATTGATGCTGTCTTTGCAGTTATTGTTTGACTGAATACGATAAAATTTGTACCTGAGATGTTTTTAATATTAAAAGGATTCGTAAATTATTCACACTGCAATAGTAGAGTGTTTTATTGTTAAAATAACATTGATAACACAGTCATATTCTGCTCCGATTCAGGCTGCATGTCAAAAGTCTTACTGGGTCAGCCGTCAATGGGTCAAAGTGAACAAAAGGTTAAAAAATGCAATTACAAAAACAATATATTTTCCATCATAAATAAATAAATTTCAGATACTACATTGCAATAAGGGAAACGACTGCCACGTGGGATAACACCAATAGGAAGTTATAAAAAACGTTAAAAAAGACAAAATTTTGAAGGAAACAAAAATACACTTGACTGACATGATGTGGCAGACGGGGTGTTCTTAGAAGCCACCGATTCCCAAGATTTAGATGAAAAGTGTTTTCCACTGTATTCAGAAGACTGAGAATCGAGACATTACGCCATTATGATGTACCGTATACAGTTCACAGGCAGATATGATCCTTTTTCGGTGTCAGATCCCAAATTTTTCAAGACATGCTGAATTTCCTTGATGGCAGAAATGGAGCATCCAGAACAATGACAGGGAGGCTGTCAGTAACAGTAAAACAAAACAAAAAAAAGTGAACAGCACTAAAGATGGTGGGAATAAAAGAGCTCCCACAATGAGAACAAAATAATGTGACTTCGTAGGGAATGACCTGTTGTCGCAGGTTATCCAGTGTTTTCTAGAGGCTAATAAGCACTGTGTCTAGCCTATTTCACCAACGGAGGGACTTTCCTAAGATCTACATACCTTGAGATGCCATAACACAGAAACACAAGGCTACAGAGAACAGCAAAGACCTAAACTCCCTAAAGCACCGCAGACCTACACTGACTAAGACTACTGACAGGAGATACTAACACGTGCACTGCTATAAAAGATGCACCTGTGTGAAATGCTACCACACAATGGCACTGTAAGCTCTGTAAGGCCACCATACTCCTTGACCTGGCTCTGATGGAGTCAAAGGTTGTTGTTTTGTGAAGCAGTGTACGGTTTGATGGTTTATGGCTACATCAACTCAAGGTTTATACACTCAGGATGTGAGAATACATTGTTTTCTACAGTTTAGGTATTGTGAGTTTGCAGAAAAAAGAATCCAGTAGAAACTAACAGAAGGCTGACTGAGTGTTGACTTATAAACAGGTAGTGGGGACATTTAAGTAAAAACTGTACCAAAACATAGATGAAAAGCTTTAGCTAATGGGCTTGCAACAGAAAAACTTGAGTTTTGAGCTCCTTGGAGCTTTCAGCCCCAATGCTGATTCTGCCCCATACTTGTGTTTTGAGTTCAACACTGAATGTCTAAATGCTCAGTAGCTCTTTCAACAGATCTATTTAAAATAAGGTACTAAAGATAAATGCTAAGACTCAAGACCGCTTTGTGTGTTATATATTTAAGGCTTAAAATAAAAGAACACAGTCCAAATCCATGTCCTAGCTTCTGTGTTGTCCTAGGCTAACATTAAGGTACATTCATTTTAGTTTGAACAGAAAATTCCTACAAAAAAAAAAAAAAAAAGTTCAACAGAAGTTCCCCTGCATTAATGCAAGGGCAAATTTATCATCATGATAGTCACTGTAATGAACCATTTCCGTACAACCAAAGTCTACACACTGCACAGTATTGACTTGCAATATAAACAATGCTAATGACAGCTATTTACAAAATATCAACATGTTCAGTTTATAGTATGACACATAGTATTCTTTCAACAGGGGATGCTACAATGTCTATCAAATCTCTAAAGACTAAAATATGCTCCAAAAGCCTAAAGTTCTGTTAAAGGTACGCTTTGAAGAATTCATATTTTACAAATATTAACACAGCGCTCTGCAGCTGCTGTTACGTTTTGTTGCGGTTTGAAGTTTTCCAGTTTTGTGCACTAGAAAAAGGGGGACTGAGCTGAAGGACAGGAAGTAAACTCATGTTGTAACAGCAACTCAAATTTTGGTTTGGGGCAGCAGTAGCTCAGGAGGTAGAGCAGTCGTCCAACAAGGGGAAGGTTGGCGGTTCGATTCCGCCCTATCCCTACTCTGTCTGTTGTGCCCTTAGGCAAGACACTTAACCCAGCTTGCTCCCAGTGTGTGTCCTCCACTGGTGTATGATTGTGAGTGAAGTTTGGTGGTGGTTGGAGAGGCTGTTGGCGCAGATTGGCCGCCATGTTTCCGTCAGTGTGCCCCAGGGCAGCTTTGACTACCAAGGTAGTCTACCTCCACCGGGGTGTGACTGCGTGTGTGAATGAATGATGGTGCTATATTAAATCTGATGTATTATTATTATTAAGTCAGCTGATTCACAGAAATGTGTCATTTGATGATTCACCTCAAAGCACTTCTTAAATTACATTTTCCGCCTGAACTCATAGGAAGTTAACTGAACAGCATAGAAAGGTCTTGATATGGCAGGAGAGGCTGCCCTCCCCCACCCTGGTCCCCTACATGTTCTAAGGTCTGTTCCCGATGTGCTGATGCTCCTGCTGAAGAAACCAGGGATATTCAGCATTACGACTATTTGTTACTCTGAATTTGTAATCATATGAAAGTGTGAGCTGATGTGTGTGTGTTTTTGTGTCAAGTTTAATGAGACCATTGGGAATGGGAATTCAGTTTCACTTATGATTGGGAGAATGATTGGGGCATTTTTCAGTGGCTGATTTTGCAGCAAAACCAAAAATATTTCTGAGTTTAAACTTTTGTGTTCAGGATTAAAACTGATTTGCAGCTCCTGAATAAGTTTATTATTATATTTTTAAAATATTGAGATTTCATGTCTGTACTTCTTAATCTCAGCCTTTCTGTCGTCAAATGTGCGAGAAATCTCAAAACATGACAAAGCATTTAATCATCAATCAGTAGTTTGTTGGTTTCTGTGAGATACTATAACAGAATTTTTTAACCATGTAAACATTTAACTGTTCCCATCCCTAATGTACATTGGTAGCCATCTTGGACAGAGCTGTGTGTGAAACTGCCTCCACAGGACCTTACTGTCCTGTCACTTCGATAACATCGTCATCCGAGCTACTGCCGCCATTCTCTGTGCTCTGATGTCTGTCCGACTGGGTCAGAGCCGCCCCCAACAGGCTGGAGGTCGGATTGTTGAAATGGGAAAGGAATCTTGATGGGGTAGAGCTAGAGTTGGGCGTCTGGAATCCCCCTGACCCAGAGAGGAGAGAGGGGGGAAACACCCTGGGCTCAGGGAGCAGAGACTGACTGTAGTTGAGAGGGAAGCCTGGTGAAAGCAGGCCCGCCATATTGGGGTTCATCAAGTACGGAGGCAAAGAACCAGACACCAAGGAGGAAGAAGTTGCTGCTGATGGGGATGAAGACATAGGTATAGTGGTGGACGCAGAGGAGAAAACAGTGGGCAGGGAGGAGGAGGAGGGGTTAGGGAGGTGTCCGTTTCCTGTGGTGGACTGTCTGAGCAGGTCTGACCCTGCAGAGGGGAACATGGTTTGTAAGTCTGCCAGTGTTTGTCCTGGTGTCTGAAGGAATGATGAGCCACTGCTGCCACCCATCAGGAGAGGATGACCCATGTGCCCTAAGTTCCCCAGTAAGGAGGAAGAGTTCAGACCAACAGGAGGGAAACTGAGCCCGCTGGACCCCATGGCCAGTCCAGGGAAACGTGTTGCAGCAGAAACACGTTTTCCTCCTGTTAGCGTGTTCCCCTGGCTGTCTGTACTCCTGCGTTTGCTGCCACGCATGTCTAAAGCTGAGCTCAGGAGGTCGTCGCCTAGCTGCCTGTTGACGTCACCAGTCTGACTGTTTTGGGAACTGCCTCTATCTCCCGCCGGCGCAGCTGACACGTCTGAAGGTGACGACAATTCATTCCTGATGCTAGTGATGTCACCTGTGGATGAAGTGTAGCGGCTGATCTCTCGGAGGATCTCGGAGCTCAGGGGAGAGGAGGACCGCTGCTCCCCGTTGGGTGAAAGCTGCTGTTGATCCACAGGAGAGGAACACCCATTGCTGACAGGATGCATGAGGGAGCTCGTGTCTGTGGAAAAGGGGACGCAATCATGAAATGTCAGCTCGATGGCTCTGCATTGGAACAGTTTACTTTGAAACGTGCCTTTAAAAGGTGCAATCAATAAAGTAGCTTCACGTGCATGTGACCTTAAAATCAAAGTGAATAATTTTAGGAGGGTTCCTTAATGTGCTTCATACTAGAAAACATTTAAAAATAGCTTTATGGGTATTCGATACTGGAATGGCACAACCATTAAATTTGAGATTAATCTTAGACTGATTACTTAAGAAGGACAGAGCTGTAAGAGTTGAGGCATCTTGAGGCTTATTCCTTATAACATCTCAGGGCTCCAAATCAGTCATTTCACTGTGCAACTTGATCAGAAAAGGTTTATTACAACAATCCACCTCCTTGGTACCCTCATCTACACACTTGTAGTTTTTAAATACAGGTTTTAGTAACAAATCTCCTTTCTGACACCTCTTGAATAGTTTTACAGGATTTTCAGATCAAAAAAGCCTCAAATTTCCTCTCAGTTGTGTATCAAATATCATTATTTCAGCCTCTGTCTGAAATGCTTTGTTTTCGGCTGCTGTCCCATAAAGCCCCTCCCTCTACAAGCCTACTTTTCTCTGATTGGCCACCTCTCCACAGGCTTTCTGGGCGCTCCTTGTTTTGGCCATGCTCTCTCTATTGTGGTTGATAAGTTTTGCAGTTTATCAACGGAGCAGTGTTATCCTCATATACATCATATATGTGTAAATATCTCTGTGTATATCATGTCTGTGGTTACCCCGCTCCACTGTGGGTGTCACCTCACAATGCTGGAGGCAGGCCGTTCCGCTTTGAACGGAAGCACATGAACCAGTAAGAAGAGTCTATAATTCTTGTGTCAGAATCTAGTAAATCTCGCACATAAACTACGGTCTCGCATTCTCGCGCATTTGTCCAAGATTTGAGCAGTTTACATCTACTTTCTCAGATTATGACAACATACGCTTACCTTGTGATTTGAATACTTTGCACATGTGTAGTATGGACACCAAACTTTGTAACTTTGAAGTTTTTGTTGTAAACGTGAGAAAGCGTGATGAAGCAGGAACTCGTGGTAAAAAACATATGAGCTCGTACCTCTTGATGTTGCAGAGCCTCCAACTGTTGGTCTGCTGATTTTTCCAGATCTAATGGCAAATATTCTTCCATCATTGGTCCTAATGTAGGTACCTGTGTCAGAGAAAGCATAAAGTGATGGAAGCAGCCATTTAAAGGCTTTTTATTCTAGACAGCAATTATTGTGTTGTTGATACCTTTAGATCCTCTGATAACGTGGATACTCTCTCCTGCACTGATTCGAGCTTGAACATCCGTTGAGCTGTTAGCGCCTGGGATTACAATATCTGTGGATGCAGATTAAATAGTTAGAGATAAAATTAATTTCCTGTTAAATCATAACATCAGTCATTGAATGCACCAAATGTGGGTGGTTGGGAACTTTCAATAAATCAAGTGTGTAAGATTTGACGTTACCCGTGGTGGTGACGATTCTCTGCACATAAACTCCTGCTTTCTGCAGGAAGTTGACTGGCAGGCTGCCTGCAGAGCTGGAGCCAGCCAGACCCATGCCAACCTGGCGAGGCATCATGGGTATTGGAGTTGACTGGATCGGCCTGACACTTGCAACAGGCTTGTCATCAGGCCGCACCATGGGACGCCTGAAAAATAAAAGCTGAACTCATGACATGCTCACACACATACTCTCAGCATTTGTGTTTATATTCACCATAGAAGAGACACTGCGAAACCACAGTCCATATGAGCCAAAACATTTGATGGTTACTTTGATTTTTTTGGAAAGGCATGAGGGAATATCAGGAAACAACTACCCATAACAGTAGATACCCGTAAAGAACGCAAACTAACACATGCAGTGTGAAACCCACCAGCCACGCTGGTTAAACGCTGGTATATTTGAGAGCATCTGATCACTGGTTGGGTAATAGGGGGCATAAGATGGGCGAGAGTAGGGCACAGACGCTCGTTTCTCGTCCTCATAGCTCTTCTTGGCTGCTCTCTTCTCTGCCTTGGTCAGTTTGGACTCCTTACGGTCAACCAGTAAAGACTCGTGATGGAACGGTTGCTTATGACACAAACGGAGAAGAGATTTTGTTAGCAGCAATTACACTGAATTGGGTTTGAATAAGTTAACAAAACTCTTTTCATCAAACATCAAATCAGAAAAATGAGGAAAGGTATGATGATATATGTTACACAAGCAGCTGTACCTTGGTGATAAGGTTTGGGTAACGCTGACAGGCTTGGTGTATGACTGTTTCAAAGTCTTCAGAGGGCATTACTGAGGATTTTTCAGGTTCTTCTTCCACATAATGCAGCAGCGACTCCACCTCTTTGCGAGTGAAGTTCAGCACTGGATTTAGGTCGTCAACCACACGGTCTGTAAACACACACATCATCCTCAGGCTGGGTAACATTAGTGCAAACGCAGGTAACTGCCCACATCAGGTCTGCTTAAGTTTGACAGCTATGAGAATAACAAAAGGGACGAGAAAAAGCAAAAATGCCCCAAAAATGCTTCATCGAACAAACAGATGGTCCATGCAAGAATCTCTTACCAGACATTCCCTGTTTGGACACTTGTCGGTCATAGATCTTTTTCTCCAAGGTGAAATCACAAACAAGCCGGTAAATGAAGCAGGGTTTCCTCTGACCATAACGGTACACCCTGCACACTGCTTGAGCATCATGACACGGGTTCCAGGAGGCATCGAACACGACGACACGGTTAGCCCCGATGAGGTTCACCCCCAGACAGCCAGCTCTGATAGAAACACAGAAAAATACTGCTTTCATTTCTGCCAGTCTTCAGGTGATTTGAAACATGCGTTTTTATTGCAGAGCAGAACTACACACCTGGTGGAGAGCAGGAAGACCCATGTTGCACTGTTCTCCGGGTCATTAAACTGATTGATGAGCCGCTCTCTTTCTGAAGCAGATGTACTCCCATCCAGTCCTTCAAACAGACAAGGATGAAATCGAAACACTTACTTATCAAAGCACAACACAGAGATCATTATAATTCAGCCCCACTCCCCAAATAAGTTGGAATGATAACTAAAAATGATGATTAAAAACAGAATTTGGTACTCTTAGAATCATTCAAGCCTCATATTTAATAGAAAAAGGGTGTCGAGACAACACATCAAATGTTAAAAGAGAAAAAAAGATTACTTTTTTGTGAAATATACACATTTTAAAAATTTGATACTCTTTTTTTAAAAGTTGGAACAGGGACAAAAAACATGAAATAAGTTGTGTAAGAACATCTGAGGGAACATCTCCCAACTAATTCAGTACAGGTTACTGACGTGACTGAGTAAAATACTGAATATCGAGCTGAGTCACCTCTCTTGTCAAGACTATGTGAACAAATATTTCAACAACTTTCAAAATAATGTTCCTCTGTGTTAAACTGAATCTTAAAAGACTCAGAGAATCTGGAGAAATCTGTCACAGAGAAATAAGCTGACCATCTATTCTGACTGGATTGTGATCTTCTGGCCCATAGGTGGCACTGCATGAAAAAAAAAACTCTAACTCTGTAGAGGAAATCACTGCATGGGCTCAAAATCACTTCTAAAATTCACTGTCTATAAAAGGGGAAAAACATTGACATGACCCAGAGACACCTGCAGCTTCTCTGGGTCTGAGCCCGTTTAAGGTGGACTCATGTGAAGTGGAAAACTGTCCTGTTGTGCATGTGCATCTTTAAGAGAGTGAGTGAGAGTGTATCACAGCAGCACAGCTCCATGGTAAAAGAATCCAGGAGCGAAGCTGGCTTTCCCGCAGTGCTGTCTAGTCACCCACTGAAAACGTTTGGCTTATCGTGAAATAAAAAATAAAATAGCGACCTTGTGCTGTTGAGTATTTGAAGTGAACAAAATGTCCTAATCAAAACTTCAGAAACTGGCGTCCTTGTTTTTTTTTAAATGTTTACAGAGTCGTTAAAAGAAGAGGCGATGCAACACTGTGGTAAACACATCCCTGCCTCAGCTGTTCTGAAACATCTAAAAGCAGTATCCTTTTTATTTTCAACATTTAATTAGTTGTCCTTGCACTATTTTCAATTATATATTGGGTTTAAATGATTTGCAAACCATTAAATTCTGTTTTAGTTCACATTTTACACAGAAACCTAACTCTCTGGAATAGTATATTCCAATCAATAATATCGATTCAACTTAGAGGCTCCTAATCATGAACACTGCATTCTTGAAGGAGAATGATTGATCACATAAAACCATCTGTTAAATGAATCCGGGAATCTATAACATCCCTTGGGCAGATGCAGTACTTACAGCATACATGAAAACAAAAGTTTTAAATATCGTTCACAAATTGCAAATAGATCTTTCCCTAACTTGTTCACAGGGCACAGCTGGGACTTACCCCTAAAAGAGATCAAATACGAAAGTTTGAGAAATTACACTTTAGAGAAAAATCAATACATCCTATCACAGCGTTGAGTTTTTAGTGTGATGACCGTTCTCCCTGCAGAGGTGCAGGGTTGGGAGGAGGAGGAGAGCACAGATTGCATGACTCACTGTAGTAATTGAGGTTGCGAACCCAGTTTTGGCTCTGAGCTTCGGATGAGGCGATTCCTGGAGGCATGGGTCTCTTTGATAAGAAGTCCTCAATGACTGACAGCGTGGACAAGCTTTGGCTGAAGGGTAACCAGGACAAACAGGTTAGAACAAGTGAAGGAAATGTTTTTACTTCGGTACCAAACAAATAAGCCTCCTCAGAGTAAAAAAAAGACTGCATTTTGTATGGCTTCATGAAAACTGTCCCTAAAAGGTTTTATTTTGTTACTCAAGATTACAAACTTAAAAGGGATATACCGTCGTAAATTTAAGTTAGGGTCAAATACACCATAACACCAAGTTAGACACCCCCTCGCGAGATGTATGTTGCAGACCACTTGCTTCTCTAGTTAAACCAACTTTAGTAACGACCACACAATAGCAACATACAGCGATCTACGTCCCCACGCGCAAACCTCGACCAAAAAGCCACAAATAATGCTCAGAACAGCACCTAACTTCATCAACAGCACATATAGGGTCCCAGCCACAGCACTAGCCACCAAACATCTTTTTAGCTTTGCCTGTTTTCTTAAGCAAAGAGACCAAACACGACTCACCCACTCTCTTCCAGCAGCCGCTTGTTTGTGGGGAAGCCCTGACGAGTGGATCACCGAATGCAGCTGAGTTTCGAAGCTCAAGGAAGAAAACGCTAAGGCAGAAGAGCTACTGCAATTACAATGCAAAATGACTATTATGATGATTATTTCTTCATGGAAATGATCTGCTGCACTCTGTGATCGACTCGTCAGGGCTCCCCCACAAACAAGCAGCTGCTGGAGGAAAGCGGGTGAGTTGTGTTTAGTCTCTTTGCTAAAGAAATCAGGCAAAGTTAAAAAGATTTTTGGTAGCTAGTCCTATGGCTAGGACCCTATATGTACTGTTGATGAAGTTACAGAGTGGCTTTTTTTTTAGGTGTGCACGTGAAGACGTAGACTGCTGTGTATTGCTATTGTGCGGTCTTTGCTGTAGTTGGAAAAACTAGAGAAGCAAGCAGTCGGCAACATTTATCTCTCCAGGAAGTATCTAACTTGGTGTTATTGTGTGTTTGACCAACACTTAAATTTAAGCCAGAATATCCCTTAAACCTGGAAAAGAGAAAAAAAATCATAAAAATGAAGAACTCTTGAAATAATAATTACTAAGCGTTTGTTAAAAACCTCAGAAAGCTCCTGATAAATCAGATTAATTAGGTGAAATGTAAAGTGGCTCTTCCTCTTCTCTAAGCTGCTTAATGTTGGATTTGTGTTTCATGCAAAGACTAACCTAAAGATCAACATCTTGTCTCTTCTCGCCACACTCTCTTCAATCAAATGGAAGAGCAGAACCATCTTGGCCGAGTTCTCCAAGACTCCTGTTTGGTAGTTCGTCATGATGTCCTTAGCCTGAGACATAGTAATGGGAGAATAGAGAGGAGAAATAAACAAAATAATCACACAGACACAGAAATACAGATCATAGAACAAAGTTTAGATGTTGTTAAAGCAAATCTATGTGTGCTGGAAAAAGTAGCATATCTGAGTATGTAAAACGAAAAAGAAAACAGCTCTCCATGAACTCTTGTCATAACGTACCCACTCATATGTGATGACTTGATTGGCTCTGTCTTGTGAGGCATTGAGTGAGGGCACAGAGTTGTTGACTTTGCTGTTAGTGGAGTCCCCTACTTTAGCTTTCAGGCCAGCACCCGGAGCTGGGCAGCGAGGGTTACTAGCTGATGTGATGTCATCCAGGTCCAGGTCCTGTTCGTTTGCCTGGTTCTCCTTCTCCAGGGCCTCGAAAAGGACGTCTGGGTGATTCCAGATCTGGGGAAATCAGAGAATAGAAAGAGGCTTTTAACAGACATCTGTGTTAAAGGGAGAGTGTTTGGACTGCTTGTTCAGTGTCAAGGGAAAACCGTCTCACCTTGCAGCAAACACAGAAGGCTTTAAGTGGGTTGAGACCAAGCCAACCAGAGTTCCCTGCTTCCCGAAAGCGCTTCATGAACTCAGTATAAAGAGCCCTCTGAATGGGGGAAAGCCGCACTAAGATTACATGCTCCTCTTTTGTTGGCAGCTGGTCTTGCAGCACGTCATGGCCTCGCCTGTTACCAAGAAAAGACAGGTGAGCGCTGTCCAGACCTGAAGCCCCAATTTCTTAACACTGTTCAGACTGAAGACTTTACCTCTGGACAAACCCCTCCAGCAGGCTGTGGAGCACATGGCTTCGATAGCGCATCAAGCGCACGTCTTGAGGTGTGCTGTCCACGCATTGCCCGTTCAGAATAGGTCTCTCAAACATGTTGCTAAACTCCTGTCGTGTGCCTAAAAAGTCTGGCCTGACAAAGTCCACCATGCACCAGTATTCGATGAGGTTGTTCTGCAGGGGGTACCCGGTCAGCACCACTCTGCGCCGGGAGCGGATATTCTTCAGAGCCTGTGACGTGCTGGCATGATAGTTCTTGATTCGATGACCCTCGTCACATATGACCACATCTGGGCCAGGCCGGGCTATGGACTTCTCAATACCTGGGAGGACAAAATAAAGTGGAAACGACTGAGAAAATCGAAACTCAATGTTTGCTCGCATTTTTATCCCATATGCTCCTTTATTTGCTTTTTTAAACTTAATATCCTGGCTGACCTTTCATGAGTTCCTGCTGTCTATCTTCCTCGTCCAGGTCGATGATAATTGGTCCTGCTGGCTTCTTTGACTTCCTCTTCTTGCCCATCACAAAGCTTTTCTTCATGGAGAGCAGGCGGTACATCTCATAACCCATGAGTAACACCCCTCCATCTCTGGACCATTCCTCCACCACCTTGGCTCTGGCTAGGGTCGATCTGCAGGTCATACAGCGACCGTTATTGGCTTCAATGTTTGGCCAAAATGACTCAACCCCTTTAAAACAACACAGCATGATACATACTTGTGCTCATCGTTGAGGATGTGAACTTTGAATACACGGCCTGTGAGAAGTGTGGGGTCAGTGTCGGGAGGGAGTGTTTCTTGAGCTGGGAGCCAGAGGTTAAACTCTGTAAGCCAGTTCTGAAGTGTGTTCACCTTCAATAGAGAGAAGAAAGTTTTTACTCTATCAAAATAAAAAACACTTAAAATAAGCATCAAGATGTATTTGGTACACACTTAGATTACTCACAGGAACAATGGCCAGCACAGTGTGAGCCTCTGTATTCTTCAGGAGGATGTCGATAAAGGAAATAACCTGCAGAGTCTTTCCTAACCCCATGCTGTGAGCCAGGATGCAGCCAAAACCACTGCTGGTCTTATACCGGTCCAGAGACTCAATAAGGTTGTCGTAGAGGAATCGGATTCCTCCGATCTGAAAAACAAGGAGACAAATGTTTGGGGCGAACAAGCTGGGCTGTTTCTGTCACTGGGGGCTCGTGTTTCAAATGTCTGAGAGAGAATGCCGTGATGTGCATACCTGATGAGGTTTCACAGCCTTGGCCAACTGCGGTGCGAGGAAAATGTCTTTCTCCTCTGCAGGGTGATTGATATTAACCAGCACACGACCCTGGGCGTCAGGCTGGTTCAGGGCGTCATTGATGTGCGCCCCACTGCTCTCCTCTGAGGCACCGGTGCCATCAGCATCCTCGTCGGCAGACTCGCTGCTTATCTGCAGAGCGTCCTCGTCCCCGGAGCTGAGCTCAATTACATCTGCATCACAGGAGGAAAAAAAACACTCTGTATGAGAGGATGATCATTTTTCTACACACTGTAACAGACTGATAACTGACATGTAACCAGACTTGTAGCTAACCATCTCGAACAGCAAGTGCAGGCAACTTCGGTTTCCGTTCTTCGTCTTCATCACCACTGCTGTCCAGACATATGACATCCTGCTTGCCCAGGAGAGCCGGGACCAAGTGAGACACTTCTCCGAGGAGTGATGCAGTGTCCACTACGACAAAGATGACAAAGTTTGTAAAAATTCAGAAAAGTTATCACAAAAGGACTGTGAAACTTGAGTATGGCTGGGTTGGGCATCACCGATAGAGAGACATTCACCTAGCTGAGCCTCTGGAACAGCCAGGGCAGGTGTAGGAAAGTCTTTCCTCTGCTGCTCCAGACGTTTCCGCCTCTCCATCTCCTCCTGTTGAGCTGCTTTGGTCCCAGCCTCCAGCTGATCTTCTTTTAGCAGCTTTCTGTTAGCATATAGAAAAAAATCTGTTCAATACAACCATGTAAGCGTGCCTTCACCTGATCGAAAATATCAAACAGGTGTACGAACCTTATATTTTTCCTCATGTGTGCAGGTTTAGAAGGCTTGGGAGGTTTGGAGCCTTTTGAAGACTTTGAGGATTTAGTTGATTTAGAGGCTTTTTGCTTCTTTGATTTGGTGGAGGGTTTCTTGCTCTGACTTGACTTTTCTGGACTGCTGGGAGGTTGCGAGCAAGAGGCAGGTCTGGAGGGAGGCCTGGAGGACGGACAAGACGCAGGCGGAGATGGAGGTTCTGGGGATGGCTCTCCAGAGGACGCTGAGGCAGAGTCCTGGCCATCCTGGGCCGTGTCTGCCTTGCTCTGAGCACTTTCAGGCCGTTCTTGAAAAGAGCAGAAGATGTTTTAGAGGATAGCTTTCAACCACTTGATTAAAAGTATTTCTGATAAGGATGGACTCTTACATCTAGAGTCTCTCTTTTTAGTCTTGATTTTTAACTTCATCTTTGACTAACAATAAAAAACAATCTTCCCATTTTCAGCAGTAACTAAATCATTTTTGGTGCTCATAATAGACTCCATTTCAAGTACAAGACATAAGTTAACACGCTTCTCACCGACACTTTCATCTTCATCGTCTCCATCATTTTCATCCTCATCTTCCTCCATGTCCTCATTGTCCTCCTCTTCTTCATTTTCCAAATCTTCATCCTCACTGTTAAGGCTGGGCTCCAGGTCACTGTCTGACATTGCCTCTTCAGACATGGCGTCTTACAAAGGCTTCTACAGCATTACCTGCACACCTTCATCAGGGGGCCCTGCAATTAAAAAATGTTGCCATCAATGTTTGGTATTTTTTCTTGACGCAGTAGATTTTACTTCATGAATAGTACCTCCCAGGATGAAAAGCCACCCTGGTAGTGCTGCACTGGTGATAAAAGGTGAAAATTGCCGTAACTAAACTTTCTGTGGCTCTAAAGAGGAAAAACTTCTGTGAAACTTAAGGGTTGATTTACAGGATACAATTTACAGATAGGGCTGGGCGAAAAAGTTTATCACACAGTATTTATTTCACATCAGTCGATGTCGATATCGATATCGCGATATAAAAATCACTTGTCAATCTTAAATGTTCCCTGTTCCCTGAAATTCAACAGTGCGTACTGGTAGCATGTCTTTTGCCGTACAATAAGCTACTGCCTCTGTGAGGTCTTTGTGTCTCCTCGACATTTTATAAGGCGTTGCGCTAGAGAAAGTGGACTGAATGACCGGTTCTGCGCAGCACAGACCCGGAGCAACTCTCCTTATCATTAACTATTCGTATCATCTACTAAAACATGGCAGAATGCCGGCCATCAAATAGCATATTGACCATGTTTCATATCAATATTGAGGAATTTTTTATATATATCATTATCATTTTATTACCCAGCCCTACTTACAGATATGCAAAAGCCTGTTTCCCCATTAAGTGTCCTCTTTACTAAAACTCTACCTTATCACACAAACACAATTCAAAACACAATCCAACTCTACAGGGTGGCATTATGCAAAGATATTTTTCTCCTTAACAGGAGCTTTAGCCTAGAGTGTTGGCAACAAAGAACCGTGAATGTTTTTAGACTTGCACAGAAAACATTACAAAAGATTCCTAAAAATGAGGATGAGGCTACCTCTGGAGTCCAGTTGATACTGAAATGTTAATAATCATAAGTACTCTGATGTAGGGATGGAAATCGAGAACCGGTTCTTGTTGAGAACCAGTTCCAAATGGTTCAATCCATCGACATTGTTTACATGTTATCTTAATGATCCCCTTAGCGATTCCTTTCTTCCGGGTGACTAAAAAAACAGGCTCACGAGAGCCAGTTCTGCTTGAACAAGAACAGAGACTTTGAGGAAAAAAACATGGTGGATGTTATGAAAAGTAGGCAGAAACGATCTAAAGCGTGGCTTCAATTCACTAAGAAAGACAACAACAGCGTGACGCTCAACCTTTTGTCGAGTAGTATTATGTATTTGACTTAATACCAACTGAAATAAATGCTGTACAAATAGTTCCCCGTTTGATTATTTTTAGACTCTCACTGAAGGTGGCATACATCTTTTCCTGTTATCAGAGACTCAATCAAAATTTGAGTTAACAGTGAAAACCTACAGTCTACTTTAAAAAAATAAAAATCAAAGAAAGGCATCAGTAAGGGAATCGCTAAAGAATTTAATCAGTGAGAAGAATCGATAATGGCATCGATATCGATAAAATCTTATCAATTCCCATCCTTACTCTGATGGGTTCCACTTGGTTTTGCTACAGCAATGTTTAGACTGGGCATCTGAACAGAACAGCTTCCTCTGGGTCACTCTTTATCAGAACAAAATATGCAGAAAAGCGAAATGTGTCGAGCTCCAGACTGCACACCTGATGTATCATTGTAAAAACCTTTAATACACAAACTGACACTTTCCCCTATTGTCCGGATCAGGATTTTACAACCATTATGCTGTATGTTTACATTACTAAACGTTAAGTGCTGATTACTAGACACCTGTGAAGACATTAGTCCAATAATGAATGATATAAGAGATGATAAGCATGAGTTTGAGGCGGAAAGTTGATTTTGTACATGACGTACCCAGGTGAAGGAGTTCACACCATGGCTTTGGGAGGCTAACAGGGAGCATAAAGCTTCCCCTGCGGCTCCTCTGCTCTCATGTTGTTGTTGTTGTTGAGCACCACCACCTCTTTTTTGTCAAACTACTAAAACCAGAACCATAGTTTCTTAGACCGACTCTGTAGACCAAATGCTCGCTTATTACACAACCAAAAAAAACACGCAAATACAACCGCTAAAACCACGAAAATGTGCTGAATTGTTGACTGTTCTCTGGTGGTAGCATAGCGAACCCGCTGTTTCTCACTGTGGTTTGTAAAAAAACAGCTTCTCCTTTAGGATATTGAGTTTATTTCGCTGTCAGGGGGAGATAACAATCTTACATTGTGTAGGTGTAGCGTTCACACGGCTAATGCTAGCCCGTGTTACAACAAGGCTAACCCTCTCAGCGGTTAGGCGGTTGGGCAACAACATTCAGACTCACACTCGGTGGGTGATGCTTACCTGGTCAGCGGTCACACTGCACACTTCTAGATACCCCCCTGTGCATTCAGCGATTAATCAGTAAATCGTACAGTGACTGTAATTGAACAGATAAACGTTGGTAATTTCCAATTTTCCAGTGTTACCATAAATAGCGTCCCCGTAGAGGCTATATCAACTAAGGTTCCGGGGGGTGATAAAAAGCCCACAACGATGCTTATTCCTCTCCCCCTACCCCTCCAACAACTAACTTCGACTAAAATTGTTTTAAACGACAAACCCTTACAGCTATTACTGCCACTACTACTTCCAATCTATTATATGCAGACCCTCTCAGTTCTAAACGTGAAGAAAGTTCTAAACTGGTTTCTTTTTATAAATCGACCACATATACCACAACATATAGTTGAAACCAGAAGTTTACATACACCATATAAAAAGGCACATGACCTTTTTTTTCCTCACTGTCTAACATTAAATCAGATTAAACTTTTCCTGCTTTTAGTCAATTAGGATTACTAAAATTATTTTTATATGCTAAATGCCAGAATAATGAGAGAGAGAATTCTTTTAGACAATTTTTTTTATTATTTTCTCGAGAGTCAAATGTTGACATACATTTCATTAATATTTGGTAGCTGCCTTTTAATTGTATGACTTGGGTCAAATGTTTTAGATATGCTTCCACAAGCTTCTCACGATAGTTTGCAGGAATTTTGGCCCATTTCTCCTGACAGAACTGGTGTAACTGAGCAAAGTTTATAGGCTGCCTTGCTTGCACATGACTTTTCAGTTCTGCCCATACATTTTCAAAACAATAGGTTTCGTGATGGCCACTCCAAAACATTGACTTTGTCATCCTAAAGCCACTTTGTCACCAGTTTGGCAGTATGCTTGGGATCACTATCTATTTGGAAAACCCATTTGTGCCCAAGCTTTAACTTCCTGGCTGATGTCTTGAGATGTTGCTTCAGTATTTCCACATAATGTTCTTTCCTCATGATGCCATCTATTTTGTGAAGTGCACCAGTCTCTCCTGCAGCAAAAAAAACCCCACAACATGATGCTGCCACCCCTATATTTCACAGTTGGGATGGTGTTTGCAGGCTTGCAAGCTTCCCCATTTTTCCTAACCATTCCTGACCATGTAACAATGGTCATTATGGCCAAAAAGTTCAATTTCAGTTTCATCAGACCACAGGACATGTCTTCACAAATTAAGGTCTTGTGCATTTGCAAACTGTAATCTGGCTTTTCATGTTTCTTTTGGAGTCATGGCTTCTTGCTGGAAAAGTGGCCTTTCAGCCCATGTTGGTACAGGACTGCTTTCACTGTTGATAATGACATAGTCTTACCAGCTTCAGCCAGCATCTTCACAAGGGCTCTTGCTGTTGTTCTTGGATTGATATTCACATTTTGGACCAAAGCACGTTCATCTCTGGGACACAGAACCCATCTCCTCCCTGAGCGGTATAATGTCAGGACATTCCCATGGTGTTTATACTTGCATACAATTGTTTTTTTTTTTTTTTTTTTTACAAAAGGTTATTGTTTAATCGCTTCATGTACTTTTCATTGTGTCATTTGGTTAGGCCATGTAGCTCCTGAGTCGATATGAAGTTGAACTGAAGCTAACACTACACCGGTACCCTCCAGTTCAACTTCATATCGACTCAGGTGCTACATGACCTAACCAAATGACACAATGAAAAGTACATAGAGTAAAATTAAACAATAACCTTTCCACTAATGTCTTTGCTTGTCTTCTCGTCATCGTCTTCTGTGCCTAGATCGTAAAACACCGGTGCATCATCATTATTGGTCACTGGCAGCTCACTTCCATTATGACTTTTTTTTGTTTTTGCATTCTTTTATTTTTGTAGTAAGTAACTTTTTTTTTTGCATCGACACTTTTTTTTGCGTCGTTAACTTCCATTGTGGCTTTTTTAAATCTGTACTATTTCCTTTTTTTGTTGTTGCATCTGTAACTTTCATCCTGACTTCTTTTTTTTTTTTTTTTTTGGCAATCTTTTTTATTTGCAGCAGTGGCAGTTCTCGGCCACCGTAGTTGGTGTACACAAAAACGTAGTGATACAAAGCATAAAAATTGTACATTTAGAAATTAAGCATGAAACAAGTTACGTTTTTCATATTTTATGTTGTAGTATTTCTTTCATATTTGTAAATAAACAAAAAAACTATGTGACCATTTATTCAGTGCCTCAAATTGAATCGGTTGTTTTCTTTCGGCTTTGACAGGAAAACGCCGACAGGACGACTTTTCTATTTCCGCAACCACCCGTCGCCTTTTGATGACGTAATTTGTAGGCGGCTAAATCCCCCCTTTTGTGTTTATCTTGAGCTCCGCACAGTTGTTTGGTGGATGGATACGCTTTTCTGCTTAAAGATTCTTACCTCTTCTTCCACCATGGACTGGAAACCGTCTTGAACACGACATACGTCTGTGCATACATGCAAAAATGAACAAAGGCTGGCTGGAGCTCGAGAGTGATCCAGGTGAGAAATACCGACCTGCAGCTCAGCTAACATGAGCTTTTTTTTAGATGAACAATTCAGCTGCTACAGGAGCGAGAATTAAGATTAGAAACCTCATTTACTGCCAGTTTAAAATAACACAATCCTTTGTTCTTACATTTATCTCTTCTAGTATTTTGAGCGAAGTTTAATTAAGTGTTTGATTCTTCCAGGTCTGTTCACTTTGCTGGTGGAAGATTTTGGTGAGTAATGATGTTGGTCCACCTCACAAAGCTGCAAAATGCTAGTTCCGTCTCCTCATCCCTAATGTTAAAGTTATAGGGCTGCCAATATGAGCTGTGGATTTCTTTTTGTGTGTATTAAGGTGTCAAAGGTGTCCAAGTAGAGGAAATCTATGATCTTCAAAGCAAGTGTCAAAGGTTTGTAAGCGATCAGGTTCACTCTCTGTTTTTCTTGTTTCTACAAAGACTAAGTACAGAAACAGCATATTAAATTCTTGTGGCATTTTATCTTCCAGTCCTGTCTATGGCTTCATTTTCCTGTTTAAGTGGATTGAGGAACGTCGATCCAGGAGGAAAGTAAACACTTTGGTGGATGAAACATCCGTCATCGATGAGGAAATCGTTAATGATATGTTTTTTGCTCATCAGGTAAGTGCTCATTTGTTTGTATATGATGGTAGTATTGTGGTCAGTACTGTTTTTGGCTTGGTGTGTCAATCAATCAAATTTTATTTATATGGCGCCAGTTCACAACAGTCGTCATCCCAAGATGCTTTCCAAAGAAAAAGAGCAGGTCTAGACCACGCTCATTGTTTGATGAATTATCAAGACCCAACCTAATATGGAATTTGGCCCCTCTCATCTAACATGAGTGACAGTGGCAAGGAAAAACTTCCTTTTAACAGGCAGAAACCTTGGGAAGGACCAGACTCATACTAGAGAGCCACCAGGCCGCTACTGGGTTGGGGAGGAATACAGAAAGATAGGGGGAGAGAGAGTGAGAGGTGTAGGAGAGAGGGCAGGGGGAGAGAAAGAAAACAAAACAGAGGGAAGGAGAGAGAGAATAGGTAAAGGGAGATGAAGGAAGAGAGAGTAGAGAACGAGGGTGAGAGAGAGAGAGAGAGAGAGAGGGGACAGCAGCAACATTAAAACAACAGCAACAACAACAACAGCTCATGCAGTGATAAAACAAAATGAATTCAGTTTTACAGAATTAGGATATAAGTAATTATGGACTATGTTAAATTAATTTAATGTGATTACAGTCAGCAGGCCTAATAGTTGTTAACTCTAGCTTTATTGTTTGTGCAAGAACTTGTCATGTTACTGAGCTAAGCCCAGAATAAAAACACAGCGCCTCTAAATACAAGTCATGTTAGGGGTGAGTTTAAATCTTGACAAAAAGCTCACAGATTACAGTGATTTGTTTCCAAGCTATTGCTTATTCAATCCAGTGGAGAAAAAAGATTTTAAAAAATAACAAGTAACTTATTGGGACTCAAATTCATTCATTAAAATGTCCAGTGTGTTTTGATTATTGACCAAAATTGATTTTAAAAATTTATAAAATTGTGAAAACCAGTAATTTGAGGAAATTCAAACAGCAGTAAATTATTCTGGCTGTTCTCACAACTCTAAATTCACTCACATACTGTAATACCTTATATTTATCCATCCTTGCTTGTGTTGGCAGTCGTGGCCAAAGGACGATTCAGACAATTTTCTGTACTTTCTGGTTGGTTTCTACTGTCCAGTATTGTAGCAAGCTATCTTATGTTTGGGCTCATGAACGTTATTCGTGGAGCATGCCTCACAACACGAGGAAGCAGCGTCTGCCTCACAACTAATCAAGTTGGGGGAGGTGGAGAACGGCTTTGTTTACAGTCAGAAAGAGAGGGCAGCTCAAAAATGTTAAAATGTTGACTACACAGACATGAGAGAACACAGCGATATCATGATATTCCCAAATGTCATCGATAACTAATAGCTATTGACTGATATTAAAAGCTTTTTTGTATATACACCACAAAAAAAGATGTGTCTTTAACAGATTCCTGCCTACCCCACCTTTAAGTACATCTTTCTTATAATCTGGAGTGTAAAGAGGAGCTGAAAGAAAAAAAGAAATGTTTTTTTTTTAAGTACTGTGACCGTTCTATTGATCACAAACAACTCAACATATTAAAGATAGGGATCTTCCAAACACATTCACATGAAAAAAATTTGACAGAAATCAGAGGGAGAAGGAGTGGGCATCATTTGACATTATTTTTACCTCCAGCACTGTTAAAGCCCTTCTTTGCACTTCAATTCCACAATACACTTAAATACATTGTTAACAGAACAATGTTTTAGATTGTTTATACCATCTTTTTTTTCTTCCTAGCTGATACCAAATTCATGTGCTACACACGCTTTGTTGAGTGTGCTACTGAACTGCAGTGGAGTTGAGCTCGGCACCACCCTCAGTCGCATAAAGGCTTTCACAAAAGGCTTCAGTCCAGAGGTAAGACGTAGCTCACACTCAGACTCATGTCTTTTTTTATAGTGTAGATGTATTGTGTGTTGTCTCACAGCTTTTGTTTGGGATCCAACTATGTCATGTGTTTGTTTCACAGGTAGAAATAGTAAAAGGTTAGAAATGATGTATTCTTTAAAGCATTGTGAATTTATAAAAAATGAACTGAAATTTGTAAGATTTTTGTCTTGCCCGTTAACTGTTACCTTCCTGAACAGGTCATTTTGCCATCTCTTTTCCCCTTTTTAATCTTTACTCCTCTTTTTCCTCTACTGCAATGTCAAACTTTGCTTTTCATGTATTTTCAGAGCAAAGGGTATGCAATAGGAAACGCCCCAGAGCTTGCCAGAGCACATAACAGCCATGCCAGGTAGGTTACAGTCAGTGTTTCTGTTTTACATTTCCTGGTGTCTGTGTGAAAAGGAAAATCCACTCTGCTCGCTTTGTTGTACTCTGTGATACGTTCGGTTTTATGCTTCCATCAGTTTCTCAAGCTCTCTTTCTGTGTTTCTATGGAGACCGGAGCCCAGGCACCTGCCGGAGAAACAGAATGGGATCAGTGCTGTGCGAACCATGGAAGCTTTCCATTTTGTGAGCTATGTGCCTATCAAAGACCGACTCTTCGAGCTTGATGGACTCAAGGCTTACCCCATTGACCATGGCAAGGGCACAGAGTCACACTGATTTGCAGCAGTTTGGCTGCCTTGGAACAACTGAAATCTTATTAAAGTTCTGATTCAGATTTATTTTTCTATAGAGAATTGAGTTCAGCGAATTGAGACCTCCTTTTATATTTTATTATCGTTTTAAGCCAAATATCACTTTGCCAAAAGGCGATCTGTTTTTCTGCTACTCATTCTGCTGTTTTTCTGCTAAATTCACCTCCTGTTTCTACCAAGAAAATTGATTTTGATCTTTTAAAAGTTACCTGGAGACATTAGTGTAAATCATTCTTGTCATTTTTGATTTTGTGAAGGATTTCATCAACATGTTTGGAGATGTTTGTTCAATGCTACAGCTGCTAAGTACTCATCTTCTTGAAATTGCCTCTCAAATAAAGTCTAATATTTCCCTCTGTATCAGGCCCTTGGGGAGAGGAGGAGGAGTGGACTGATAAGGCTCGGCGGGTAATCATGGAGAGGATTGGACTGGCCACTGCTGGGTGAGTCATGAGCCGGCGAGCTCAAACTCACCTTCCACATGCACCCTTAGGGTTTTATTCTCATGCTGTTCCTCTGCTCTATTTTTCCAGTGAGCCGTATCATGATATTCGCTTCAACCTGATGGCGGTGGTGCCTGACCGTAGGATGAAGTACGAGTCCAAACTGGACATTCTTAAGAGGAATCGACAGACTGTTCTGGAGGGTCTGCAGAAGGTCAGTTTTATTACAAAATAGCTCAAATCACATTCGCAAACCCACAGCTCCAGGAGAGATGAATTACTGGTTCAGGTTTCTATTTCAGTTCACTTTCTTTTTGTAGTTTATCTAAGTGAAAATTCAACAATGTCCCAAATTTAACCATAGAGGAACTACTTTTTCCTTGTCTTCAACCATGGTTGAACATTATGTAGAACATGTTTTATGTGTTTTTGTGTCATCAGATGATCCGGCTCACTCAGCCTGAGCTTGTTCATGACAAGAAGCAGCAAGAATCCTCCTCTCCTGATGACAGCACAGCTGGGATTAAGAAGGAGGTCGATACAGAGCCAGTTACATCACAGGGGACTGAGCAGGCTTCTTCAGGTGAATTGATGGATTATCTTAGAGCAACTTTTGTTTAAATATATAGTGTCTGAGTCATACAGAGGCTTTGATGAAAATTCAGCTAAAATTCACTGAAATCTTTCTGTAGATGCAGTGGATGAGTCAGGAGGTCAGACTAAGGATGCTCCCAGTACAGCAGGGAACACTAAAGTCATGGGCAAACCGCCGGTACCCACAGGAGGGGGTGCTCAACAGGTCACCAGTCCAAACCCCATCGTTCAACGCCTGCCAGCTTTCCTGGACAACCACAACTACGCCAAGTCCCCAATGCAGGTAAAAGAAGAATGCAATTTCTCGCTCCCAGTTCAATCACAAGGGAATAGATTTCGTTTTTCGTTTGTTTGTTTTATATCTCAATCCAGTCTGAGGGGGGTAGGTGTCAGCCCTGCGCCCCGATGAAACAGCCAAATTCCAAAAAACACTCATCAAATATTCACAATGAATGATAAATTTGACTGTCAAACGTCAGCACGATGACATCATTGGTCCACAATTTCTACTCAAGCGTTTGAAGAATATTATGAGCAGAGACTACTTTGTCCACAGGGGGCGCCAAATTGACACAAACCAAAGTTGAAGTTGTTGCAGATAACTTCTCTGAATAGAGTGCTTTCTTAAACTCGATATTTATCATCAGAAAGAAAAGATGAATTGAATTCTTTTGTCTAAGTTTTTGTTAATTAGTTTCTTTATTAATTTATAAATTGACCAAATGTTTCGGGTGAAAGTGTTTCAAGGTCAACTTAGTTATGTAAAATGTTAACTTTACATTTCCCTGATTAGTTTTTAATGGGGTCTTTAAATTACCAATAACTAACCTTTCATCTTGGTTACATAGATGTGTAATTTAATGTTTATTTTCAAAGGTTTCAATAACAGAGGTGTTAGTTTTTATTCTCCTGGGGGTAGTTTTCTGTTCCTGTGACTGCATTTGGTTTCCATGGAAATCTGACATTTTCCAATGTGCCACTTTCAGGACACCTTAGATATACACCATCTCACCTACTTTCAAAGGAGCAGGTGTTACATTCAGGGTTTGCCATGACTACCCTCTCCTTACGTCAGCTCATATGTCCCCTGTCGCTTTTATCTGATCTCACTCTTAATCATTTTATTATGTGAAGTGACTTGTTTCTCTAAGATTTTCTACTCAGATAATACAAAAATATTAGTTTTACAGAGGTTCTTGTTTTCAAGTTGGGCTAAACAAACATTTAATAGTTGCATAAAATTTGTTCCTGGAGCTTTGTTTGAGATTTTTTTCATTTGCAGGAAGAAGAGGATCTGGCTGCAGGAGTCGGTCGCTCTCGTATACCTCCACAAACCCCCTACTCAGATGATGAAGATGATTTTGAAGATGAGGAGGAGGAAGTAACTGGTACTGCCGGCACATCAAACAGGTAAGCATATGTGTCTCTCATTTCGTGTTTCTGGATTTGGCTTAAGGAGGTTACTGCGGTTAATCTTGAGATTTCAGATTTGTCATATGCCTTGATCGATCTGTCTTTAAGGGTCAGGCGGAAGGCGAGTTTGCGATCACAGACAGGACGGGTGGTGACTGGGATGGAGAGTCAGATCGCCCTCACTGTGCTGGCTGAGAAACTGAAGAAAGAGGCTCAGAGAAAAGACGCCTTAAATACCCCCCTCTCTGTGCGCACAGAGGGGCGCACTGGGGGCATTTGCATCACGTCTGCTTCCCAGCCGTCTCCCACCCCCAGCAACGAGAGCACCGACACCGCCTCTGAGATTGGCAGTGCCTTTAACTCCCCCCTGCGCTCACCGGCTCGTTCCCAAGCTGCCACGCGGCCGTCCAGCCCTGTTGCCTCCCATCTGTCTCGGGTTTTATTTGGAGAGGATGAGATGCTACGGCTAGACTCCAGACATAACCGAGCTGTGAGAGAGCTGGGCCCCTCTGTCAGCATCGCCTTGTTACACCTCCAGGAAGACGGAGCCATCTATGCTCTGCCTCCATCTGGTGAGTACAAGAGACGTCATTTACTAAGTTGGCTTTAAAGCTTCTTGTCTGTCACTTTATACTCAGAGCCCAGTCGAAGCATATTTATCCTTTTCGACAGGAAAGTTGGGCGTCTTCAATGGGAATAATATGCACATTTAATATGAACTTGTCTGCATTTGGCTTTTTGTTGTTTTTAATCGGTGCGGTAGATACGTTTGCTGATGGGACAAAACAGACATCCACACCTGAGAAGATAAAAGACAAGGAACAAACAGGCCTTGTGGCCGGAGCAACAGAAGAGAAAGAGGGAATCAAAGCGGGAGAGGAGGGACCATCTGTGGAGGTAAAAGAAGAGGAGGGCAAAGATGGAGCTGAGGTGAAACCCAGCAAGGAGAAGCTCAATGCTGCTGAAGTTGCTGCAGACAGCAAGCCTGCTGGGGATAAGTACTCTCCCAAAGTAAGTCTGAGTATTTTTCATCATGCATGACAGATCAGAGCTAACTATTTTATCAGTCTGCCAACAGAGTACTCACATGTTTTTTTCACTTTTCTTGCTAATTAGTGGACGATTTCACAAGCCCTAGACATATCATAATAAACAAGTGCTTAATCTTCTTTTCCTGCAGGAGCTGCTCGCACTGCTCAAGTGTGTTGAGGCTGACATCGCCAATTATGAGGTGTACCTGAAGGAGGAAGTAGAAAAGAGAAAGAAATACAAAGTAAGTTTTACCTGAAACTAATTAAAATCTTAGATGAGAAGATATTTTTCTTCTCTGGTTTTAATCCCAACTTTTTCTTCTCATCCAACCAGATTGATGATCAGAGAAGGACTCATAATTATGACGAGTTTATCTGCACCTTTATTTCCATGCTGGCCCAGGAAGGTAATCAAAAACATTGTGTCTTAATTACAAGAGTTAGTTTTCCACTTTCTCTGGAAAAAAACGATAGCGACTATGTGGAAACCACATGTATCAGGCTACCTATCAGGATTCGCTGTCTGCCACCGGGTGGTTGTGCCACCAGGAGAGCTGCAGGGTCATCAGCTGGGAGCAAAAGTAGTTCACTTTAGTAATTCTGTTACATGTCAACGATGGGGATGTCCCCCCACTTTCCCATGCCTGGTCCTTCCCCCTTAAAGCCCAGGGCTTCCCTGCTCTTCCTCGTTGGCCAAACCTAAAGGACCTTTTTGAATTAATGATAAGACAACCAACCACCCTACTACCCCACAGTTTGCTCTGTGTATTTGTCCCTTTATTATAGGGGTGGGAGAAAGAATCGATACAGCATAGTACCGCAATATTTTGTCTGGTGATATATCCTCTCATTTACCAAGTAACGATTTTTTCAAATTTAATTGTTAATATGAAGTCAAATCTATGATAATGGAAAAATACAATCAACTGTTTGCCCAGTGAGGTTGGCAGAGGTGACATCATAGAGCAGGAGAAAGTTAGTGCAACAAATATATATATAAAAGGGTTTGCAAGATGTGCATGAAAATATAATATTGTTTAAATAAGACAAACAAAAAGGAAAGACAAATGCTAAATTATCAAAACAGTTGAAAAAATTGTATAAATTGCAATATATGGTATTGTAATACTCGTATTGCAAAATGTGAAAAATTGCAATAATATCGTATTGTGGCCCAAGTATCGTGATAATATCGTATTGTGGTATCACTGGTGATTCCCACCCCTACTTCATTATAAAGCTGCCTCCATCCCTCAGTCCCATGAGAGTGGACGCTGCATTCAGATGGAATCCACAGCCAGTATGTGCAGTTGGAAGTAGCTGGACCAACCAGAGAGTTTTCTCAGCACAGGCCTATTTGGAAGAAACTCACTTCAGCCCAACGGTAGAAATGCTGGTCCTACCTAAATTTGGATTGACCTTGCAAAAGCAAAGAAGTGAGGGTTGGGCGAGACTCCAGCTGCCTAAATAACAACTTCATTGAGCTTGACTGGCAGTCAAGCCAGCCACACCCCAAGTTTATACCACATCATGCAAAACATAATGTCTTTAAAAAACTTCCCAAATATGTTTATTCCTGTGATAAAAAAACTTGAATTTTGTTATGGGTGTCAGCGGGGTCTTCAGAGGTTTAAGGACCAACCTCAAGTGAACGTCTAAGAAACTGCAGTTTTTGTATTCCCGCAATGGCTTAATTCAAACATTGTCGATTGTTGCCTGAGAAAATGACTTATTTTCTCAAAGTAATGAAATAAGAATGGAAGAATAATGGAGAGAAATTGAGATAGCGCCACTGGTTTTGTGTGGTAGCTTAAGAAATTGCAGTTGATCTTTAGGGCCTAACAGAAAAAATTAAAGAAAAGCTGTTATTGACTCTTATAAAGAACAGAACAGAAGCAATACTCCCTTTTTTCTTTTTTTTATGTGACAGTAATACAATCAATATAATCTGAATACATAAATCACATTTACCCATGAATTGTCGTAAGAGAAGTAACATAACAAGTGTATAAAAAGAGTGAAAGGAAGTACGGAGTGGAAAGACTAAAAAGGGATAAGTCTTGACTGTGAAACAGTAGTAACAGCTGAAACCTTGTTGCCTTGCTGCTATTCTCCTGTTTCTTCGCTGCTCCACCTTTCCTAACGCGGTGTCTCTTTCAGGCATGCTGGCCAGCCTTGTGGAGCAAAACATCTCTGTGCGTCGTCGGCAAGGAGTGAGCATTGGCCGCCTGCACAAACAGAGGAAGCCTGATCGCAGAAAACGCTCCCGGCCTTACAAAGCGAAACGGCAGTAATTGCAAACCTCTAACTTCTGTGAGTAACTTCCTTCACTGAGCAGCGGGCAATCACCACACAGAAGAAAATAACTGTGCACTCCTCAAACTGTCTCACGGAGGTGGTTCGGTATAGTATTTTAGTCAGAGGCTCCTCTTCATGAAATCAACCGTTCGATTGGTTATTTCTTTTATCATCCATGTATATACAGTATGTCTCACCATTTTTGTCAACATGTACATTTTCTTTTTTTTTTATCCCACTGATATTGGCGGGGTTGTAAATATAAAAAAGGCATGTTCCATTAGCGTACCTGAATGCTTTTTAATCTCATCAGTCTTTCCTGATGGATCTTCTCTCCAGTCTTGCAGTCAGTACAGTTCGGTATGTCCCTGATTATTCACTTTGGAATCCGTAAGTCTTACTCACGTTTTTATGGTGCCAATGAAGCATTGAATGTTTCAGCAGTAAAAGGTGATGTGTTTTATTCCTCTGTGGCTTCTCCGTTTCCATTTACGCTGCTAGAAGTCCATTTTGTCACACACACACACACACACACACAAAAACAATCTTTTAATTGTATTTCTCATGGGAGTTTTTAAACTTGAGGGAAAGTCACAGAGCATCCGGATCTTCTTTCGTCACTGGGATGTCTTCTCAGTCCAGGCGCTCTCGCTGTGTATGTTTGTATGGTCTTCAAGGTTCTGCTAATGAAAAACAAGCTCCTGTGTTAATTTTCTACCTGAAAATAGCTCTCATTGTGAGTAATTATGAATAAGTCAGAGGTGTGCACTTCTGTGTTTTTGTACATATGTATCCGTTAAATGGCTTACCTGTACATTTAGTTCCATTCTTTTTTTTGCTTGCCAATAAAGTAATTGAAAAAAGTCTTGTTATAATCCGTTCATATCACCTGTCCCTTAGAGATGCATTCACTCACACTTCCGCTGGTAAATGACTTTTCTATGTCTTTGAGGCCATTTTTTATAGCATTGAAAATAAGAATAAAAATTAATGTGAAAATGTACATTAGTATATCTTACCTACAATCTCTGAAAAGCTATTTGTTTTGATTAAGAAAAAAACTCAAATACCACCAATATGTCAGTAAGATGTTTATACAGGTGTTTGTAGGGTACAAATTTTATGAAACAAAACTGCCAGGCTTAATTCTTTAAACATTAAACTTCTATGACTTTCAGGAGTATTCATGACTGTACAAACTCTGATAAATTGATGTAACTGCAGTTTGGAGGTTTGGTTTGTGACTACAGTGTTCTGCCATGATAGAAATGCTTTTAGGTATGATGCCATCTGTGAACAATAACATGTTGACAACTGTAACTTACAAATGGTTTCAGCTTTAAGTAGGGTTTCATTTTTCTTAATATTTAGTGTGCTAAATCAAACCTGCTTCTCATATTGTAGTGACAGCTTGTGTACACTAGGGAGAGCAATCATTTTGAGACAGTGTGCATGAAAGCGCATGCTGCTGTGCTGTAAGGAGGACCTCTCAGAGTGAAATGGGCTTTCCCTTTTTCTCAGTAGAGACTGTGTTGAAGCTCAGTGTCTGATATGACAGCTCAGTTTAACACCCCCAACCTCAAGGATTTTGTACTGATATTTTCTTCACTTTTTATATGCAACGTACTTTGTAACATTGAAGCTACCATTTATTATTTTGTCTTTTTTATATAATATAATAGATCTAATATGTATGATGCATTAATCAAGGCCAAAAATTCTGAAATGTGACAATATGAGCACTGGAATACTCATTTCTTTAATACTAATACTCTTTAATACCATGCAATTTGCTTTTGGTCTTTTGTTACAGGCTGTTTGATGAGGCTGGTTGCAGATCTTGTTTTCTAGCTCTTAACTAAGATACTACAGCAGTGACACAATATTATAGCATGATTTTATTTAACTCAAATAAAACTGCTGCACTGAAAATGTATGGGTTGAATAGAATACCCACTCCTATATAGGATAAATGAAGTACAGACTTTCTAAATATCAGATATGATACACTAACTTCTGTGAATCAGGATAATATTCATGTTATCAGAAAAGTGGTCCCTTATGATCAACTTACCCTGTGTATGGGGTAAGTTGAACATGGGATTGGGGTAAGTTGAGCCATATTCCTACTACCCCCCCCCCCACTCTCCACCTCAGCCCTCCCTCACCTTCTCTCTCCCTGAATAACAGTCACTTCTTCACATTCATGTGTATTTTTATCTATTATTCAACAGGTACAATAATTCTTTTTATTATTATAATTATTGCACATAACTGCTAAAAAGCTGTTTTGTAAAAAGTCATTTTAATTTGGCGTTATTTCGATACTAGTCCTTTTAATCCCAAAATTGTTTTCTGTTTTATTAGTTGCTTCTTGTCTGCCATTCGACTAGTAGCCGATATGAAAATGTAAAAAAAAAAAAAAGCATAAATTTGAAGAGTCTTTCTAATAATCAATCATATAGTGATAACGATTGGTCATTTAGGTTGAGGACACAAATGTACATCTACTGTATGCAGTGTATATATATATATATATATATATATATATATGTGTGTGTGTGTGTGTGTATATATACACACACACACACACACACACACACACACACACACACACACACACACACACACACACACACACACACACACACACAGTCTATGGCTTAGATTTACAATATTTGCGTGATGTTTTGAGATAACAGCGCACCGTGAACGCGCACGTACTTCCCTCTCGAGTTCCCACCCATTGCGTCAGCGCGCTCCCTCGCCCTCGCCGTCAGTGCGCGTGCTCCGTGCGGGATGCTGAATTGTAGGTGATGATGGCGGAAGGGGAGCAGCGCTGAGTTTCATCTGAGTTCTAACCACAGCTGTAGAACCACCTACAACATCGTTTCTCTCCGTCGAGACCTATCCCGACACGATGGGGAACGAGGCCAGTATGGAAGGGGAGGGACAGGCGGGACAGGCCGGTCCCGCCGTCCCTGCAGCGGGGGCTCCGGCTTCCATTTCAGCACCACCGGACTCTGGACAGCTCATCAAGCCGAGCAATGGAGCGCCTGTTGGAGGAAGCGGGGCTGCACCCGGGCCGGGGATTAACAGGTAGCCGCGATAGCTAGGACGCTTCTCCGCCGAAGAGTGTTGAGAAATGAGGGGAAGTCGACTCCACGGCAGCGTGGCGTGGCGTGAACCTAACTGCTGTGCATCTGTTCACGGCGCAGCGTAGATATAGGATCAACCGACTGCGTGGAGATAGACTTGAATGGGTGCTTAATTATTTATTTCAATATCCTTGTCAACACAATTCACCACCCTTTGGAGAGCTGTTTCTGCTTTTTCTGGCAGCACCACCCTCTTACTCAACGCCGATATGGTTCGAATCAAATCTAATATGCAACGCTGTCGATGAAGAATCAATAATAACGTAAAAATAGCTTCCAATAGGTCCGATTTTACGGTGTTTATCCTCAGGCATCAGCGGTAGGTGAGCATGAATGAATGAGCGACATTTTTCCTTCTCATAGTGAGGCAGTGCCAAGAAAATATGACTATAAAAGAGAAGATCTTGAGAATAATAATAATAATGGTGGTGGATTAAATAGGAATGTAAATGATGCAAAGTGTATTGGATCTCACTCACTCACTCATTCACTCACTCGCTTCCATTACAGAGTGATTTCCTGAACATGCTTCGACATGAATGCCGGTAAATACAAAGTCATTCCGTCTGTATCCTGATGACAGCGTGTATGATGACAAAGCTACCATCAGATATCACCGGCGTCATTGTGAGCACACAACCATAGAGCTGTCTCACTTTATCAGACCTCTGTCCAAATCAATATGCTGCCTGTGGGCCACTGATTGCTTTTCACAATCGTCATGCAGAGGAAAATGTAATTTTTTCTTCAAGAGTGATGTTGCATCCAGACACAGAAACCAGACACATTAACTAACAGAGCTATGGTAGCCTGAAAGGACAATTTTCCCACCACATGTGAAAAAACAAATTGTTTTTATTATATAAGCATATGAAATATTCGCCCCTCTCCGAATCCAAAAGGCAGCCCAGATCATTAGTCTTTAATAACGTGTAGTCGCCTGTAGGTCTGTATTTTCGGTGTGGGTGTGCAGGAGGAATTATCCCTCATAGCAGATCTGATATTGCGTTAATTACACAGTTCAACAGTTGTAGATGTGAATGTGAAGGAGTAGAGGCACAGCTGCGCCTTATAGTTGCATAAACAGGACGCAGTTTCGAGAAGACGTGTAGTTTCAGTGGGCCTCAGTCGAAGGCCTTACAGTACAACCCAGAAGGTGAAACTCATTGAGAAATCAGACTTTGTCTTTGGGTACAGGGGTAACAGTGAGGTTTAAAGGTGACTAGAAAAGCGTATATTGACAATAGCGTTCAGGCCTGTCTATTTTTCTTCTTGCTCTTCATCCTGCAGGCTGGTTTGAAAGCTCATAGCTTTCCCATGTAACCTCATGATTCTTTTATGCCTTGATTTCTCTCCGGGATCCACCCTGAGGAGTCTTATAAGGCGATGGGAAGTGCTCAGAGACACAGAGAGGGAGTATATCATACGGTTGATTAAAATGATTTTCCTCAGATGATGGGCCTTCATTCAGAGTGAGTCTTTGCCTTTAAACACTCATGTGACAGCACAAGGAACAGTGAGCATTGTTGAGACTGGAGATAGGGGACTTTCATCTTAATTAAAAGGAGCCGCAGCGTTTCCTACGTTCGCCTGTTATTATGAATGGGGGCATTAAACGCTGTTTATATCAGAACCATGTTGTGATATGAGATCCGCGCAGGCCTTTTGCTCTGTCTTTGACTGTATTATGATTTATTCAGTGCAGGCAGAGAGTTGAATCTGCGCTCATATAGGAGTCCATAAAGCAAAGGGAGTCAACCTATTCTTCTGTATCATGTGGTTGTTTTGTTGTCTGATCACGACATCGTTGAGTAAGTGAACCATTATCCTGACCTGATGACCAGAAGTGACAAGCTTTCAGTCATGTAAGAAGTTACATAAATACATACACCTACACTTTTTGTTGAAGAATTAATACATATGCTGTTTTTTATCTCTGAAGTGCCATCTATAACTGCTTCATCATGGAGTAGATGCGAGCTTCGGTTTTTTTTTCCTCTGCTAGCCTTGAAAATCAGTTTACATCAAAATTCAATCATAGATCTTGCTGCAGCTGCAGTTTGTAGAACCCATGAAAATAATGGATACAGTCATGTTCTGAGACACAAACAGTGCGCCCTTATAATTAATTTACCCTCGGCGATAGCAGCGCTGCTTACCATGTAGCCTAAACATAGCAAATGGTTCTCACAGCTCAAACAAATAATGCAAAAGCAGAGTTAATATTTATGACGCTGTGACAACCATAACATACAGGAGAGATGCATGACTGGCTTCAACAGATGTCCAGTTGACACTACAATGTAAAAAATGTAGGGCACCAAAGTATGTGCTCATTAGGAGCGCTGTTGTTTCTCTGTATGTTGGATAAAAACATTGTACTTGCATTGCCACATACTTCCTTGGTGTGCTGCATCATCTCAGGCTGTAGAGGTCCATTTCAGACGTACTGGGATCCACCTGAAGCCAGACTCTGGTTTGGTTTCTTCGCAGACCCCAAACTCCAGATAATGTAGCAACAAAAGAGACACTGAGCTCAGCCTGAGATTTTTGGATGGGAAATTATATTCAAGACTACTTTCAAAGAACCTGGAGTGATTTTTAACCCTCACATACTGTTCAAATCCTGTATCCTCACAGTATGTTACGGGTCAAAATTGACCCAGCCCAAGAATTGCCCATGTAGCAAGTATTTTCACCAAAGTTCTAACACCCAAACCTATTTATAATGTTTAAATGACCTATGCTACTTCAAAAAATTTTTGATTTGTCCTTCCTAAATGTTTCAAAAAGCAGGGAAAGTGTATTTTTTAGGTTTTACAGCCACTCGTTCTTGGTGAAATATATATTTTGGAGAAGAATATCTATTACACAAAATAATGTCATGTGATATTATGTAAGAAATAAAAGAATATAAAAGTCATAATGATAGGGGTATAGAGGAAAAATGTGTAAAACATTTTCAAAAATACACATGAATATTTTTAAATTAATTTCATGTATTTTGGGCCACTTCAGGAGAAGTCATCAAGTTTCAGGCTTAAAGAATGACGTTTAGGGTATTTTTACTGCTGTTTGACCCGAACAGTCTGTGAGGGTTAAGATAAGACTTCACTTTGTGTGAATGAATTTTCACAACCTTGGAAAACTTGAGCAATCTGTATTAGAGGTACTGCTTGTTGCTCGTTCCAGGATTTACTTTTTAACCTGTTTCTCTCATAACTGCAGTCCTTCCAATCCAGGCAGACAGAAACGACACATACTCTTTTTTTAAACCAGAAGCTTAATATGATTTTTTAATTTGTATGAAAAGCATTCCAGCTTCATAGCTCTATAACTTCGTAGTTCTTTTCGATTTTCATCAAGATGTACAATTGATAGTGAGACAAGCTGTTCTTGCTGCTATCTTTGTTTTGGTTAGAAAAATAACTCAACTTTGGGAACGGAAATTTGACATCGACGGAGAAACTAGGACATTATCTGAATGACGACAAAACACAACCGAAACACGTTCACGATCGGTCTTGTCATTGGGATTGTTGTTAAAGAGCTGCTTGTACCTTGTCTTCTGTAATGCATCACACACTGTAGCTCCAGCTCAACAGATCTCGCTTTTATATCCTACTTAGATGTTGTAGAATTTATATTTTTCCGCAGCGAGCGCTCCCTCATCAATATGATACATTTTGGAGGCTTTGCCAAACCTGTCTGACACTAATTGATGATGTGTCTGCAACTATTGGAAATAGGAAGTGCCCTGGCCTGTAAAACTACAATCCATATGAAGTTTTGAGAGTACTGATACAGTCGTCCCCTGGGGCTGAGTTTTTGTAGCTCCTGTCACCGTCTGGGAAGAATTTCAGAAATAGTTTCATCAGTTTGGATCATGACTTCTTATGATTCTGTGTAAGTGCTCGTATACAACACTTATGTCTGAATGCCTGTGTCCCGAAATACAACCATTCGCTGTTGTGGGTCAGATCTCTTCGTAAAAGTCACATCCACATGTTCCACGTTTAAGGAGTCACAGAATCTATTGAATCTCTGCTGCTGGGTAATTATGGAGTTTAAAGAAGTACCCCCAGGAAAACAAGATTATCACCTTCTTTTATTTTACCGCCTGCCTGTCTGTCTGTCTGCGGTCACCAACAATCCTGAAACGATTGAATCACCTTTTTTCGTCTCTGTGTGGATGAGCCAACATTTCATGGTAGAATTATCCCCGCTCGGCGCCTTCAACATACATTTACAGACAAATAATGCGCTTAGACATGGATTCAGGTCTGATGCATCCTCTGCTACCTCTCTGATAACCTTTAGATATGACTAAATTGACAGCACAGGGTATTCTACAGCAGCCTGAGTCACTTGTTTTCAATTGTAGTGGACATCAGAATAAATCGATGAGACATACTGTATGCTGCAGAGACTCAACTATGGAGACACTGATACACATCGACTCGGACTGGAATGAAGTGCCTGTTGCTTTTGCATCTGTTTAAATGGACATCTTCACAAGCTTTATGTATGTTTTGTCATGTTTGCACATTAGACAAACGTAATAATTGTTGATTGCAAGGTTGTTTGATGCTGATAACCCCCTTTAGAAGTGCAGCAACAGCTAACCCTTGTATCAGCGTTGTTTAAACGTCTGAGTTTTAGCTCGAATCTTTCTTTTCAGTCGGCTCAGTTAGCCTTTTATTTCCCACCATTTAACCCATATAAAAACTGAAGTTGAATTTCTGGTTGGCTTGCTGCATGGAGGTGAGAAAAGCATCAATCTTCTTTTCTAACTCAACAGAGAGAAATAATAATGACACTACCTGAAAATGTTGAACTTTTCTTTGTTGCATGTATTATTGAAGCAGACTAGAAAACTCCTTTTGTCTCCTTGTGATAGAAAGTTTCACAGGGAGCTCTCATTACATCAGATTGGCAGCTTACAAACCCTCACACTGTTCACTATCCACTTTGTGATAAAACAAGCTATTTGTAGTGCTTCAGATACAAAGCCACAAGTAGTTCTCAGTGGACTCCCATTTACTGATGCAAGAAAATGTTTTGAGAAGTCTTTTGAAAAGGTGTCTCCTTGTTTATATGACTTTTCTGGGTCTTATTAAGGTGCCATAGGAATCCTAGCAGGTCTGTTTTTCTGCATTTAAAGGTGGGGTAGGCAGGATCTGAGGAAGTGTCAGTTTTGGGGAGAAATCTTGAATGTAAACTCTACCCCTCCGTACCAATTTTTCCTTCAGCTCCTCTTCTCCCCTCCGTCTCTGCTCCAGCAAGCCCCGCCCACAAACAGACGCTTGCATTCGTTTGTATCGTTCCAATTAAATTCAGATATAATGCAGATAAATACTTTAGATAATTACAAATGGGGCCCAGTCATCGTGAAAGTCAGCAGCATAGGTGCTACTGTAGATGCCAACAGACTACCAACAAACACAAAGTTTGCAGGACTTCTAAAACTAGGATAGAGTGACATAGTCCAGGACCTGAGGTCAACAGTTTAGTGGTGCTATAACACGCAGCAGGTCCCGTTTGACAAGAAACACTTCTGTTACAGACACTTGGCTTACTTTGTTGTAGCGGTTTACCTGTCCAGCAGAAAAGTTACAGGGTCCATAAGACCCCGAAGCATCCCCCATCATTGTTGACCCGGCTTCTTAGCTCTTGCCCGGTCTACCTCCTTTTTAAGCGCCCGTTATTCCCCCAGAGTCTTCGGTATTTACTTTGTTTTCTTGTTTGTGTTGGCAGTCGTGGCTAAAGGAGGATTCAGACAATTTTCCGTACTTTCTGGTTGGTTTCTACTGTCCGATATTGTAGCATGCTAACTTTGATTGGGCTCCTGAACGACACAGGGGAGAAGCATCTGCCTCTCAGCCAATCAGGATGGGGGAGGCGGGGAATGGCTGTGTTTACAGTCAGAAAGAGCGGAGTGCTCTGAAATTTTAAAATGTTGACTACACGGACATAACAAAACACAGCGATATCATTATATTACCAAATGTCATTAATGACTAATAGCTATTGACTGATATTAAAAGATTTTTTGTAAATACACCACAAAGTAATATGCTTCTTTAATGGATTCCTGCCTACCCCACCTTTAAGTGAGACTTCCTTCTCTTTTGTGATGTCCTGGGGTAACATTACTCAGTATGTCAGTAGTGGAAGCATTTCCAGTTGAGCCTCGGAGTCATAGTAGTGGTCAGCACGCTGTCAGGGCTGAGTCTTGAGTGCTGTTGTGCAGAATTGGTTTGAAAGTGGAGGATCTATCTGATGGGCTCAGTCACAGTGAGCACAGCCTCCCTGCTGAGAGTGGATGAAGGTTCTGGTTGTGTAAAAGCTCCAGTCATCAGCGGTGGCTCATAATTGCTAACATGCTCTATTTGAATTCTTTTATCCATCCCTTATTTCCACCATTCTCTTACTGCAGATGCAGGGCCGCTGCCGAGACTGTCTTTGAAGATGACGGCCATGACAAAACAAGGCCTAAGTTGTTATGACAGCGGAAATCCTCCATTTCTCTTTAACTATTGGCGTGAACGCTGGAGGGCATGAGCAAGGAAACCAAAAGTTTATAATACAGTTCTCTGATACACTAACTTAAATTTATCCTAAAAATGTCGTCAGTAAGGCCAGATCAGAAAGAGCTTCAAAGAGTCAAAAGAAGCCACAAGGAGCACTTCACAGAAACTAATAGAGGCGATATAAAATATTTAGCATATGCCTCTCTGTTGCCAGCATTTTGAGTAGTTTGATATCACACTTTGAACAACAATAAAATCCTTTAATGGCATGCAGTCTGAGTGCATCTCACAGCTGACAGCTTCCAAAATATAAGCACTCAAGGAGAAGTGCTTCTCCTCCTGAAATTAAGTAGAGCTCAGTGGAATGAAACCCACTTGTGAAATCATTAGATGCAGCTCATTTGAAATGTATAGTTTGATTAAAATGTGTAAGCAACATATTTGCAGCACATTGATGAAATGTTATCATGCCAACAAACTGGGTAGATGTAATAACAGGACAAAGCAAATCAAAGCTCCACGAGTCAAAGTAAACTCGAGCTCCACTTTATGAACTCACTCTTGGTGGTTTTTAACCACATCCCGAAACCACGTCTCAGAGTGAAAAAACCTCATTTAATAAAAAAGGACTCTGTGGCTTTACTGAACTAAGCCACTAATAGTGCTGGTAAATGGGCAACGAGTTAAAAAGTTTGTTTGGTTTTTTTTTTCATCTTTTTTTTAGATTATTTACTAATTTTTCTTTATGTAGAACTAATGCTTTTGTGACTTCTCATACAGGGGCACAACAAAAATACACATTTATCACTTTATTGTTTTAAGCATACAATGTCCTGGTTTAACTGCAACTTAATGTGTGTATTATAATTCAACTTTATTAATTCTTAGGGCACTTTTCAGACAAAAAAAATGCAGTTCAAAGTGCCTCACAGAGGCTAAAAACATCAATTAACAACAATAAAACCCGAACCTCCCATTCACAGACCCACCCATGGACCCACACTCACCCACACATACACACACAAGCGCACACAGTGTGAGAATTTAAGCTATATTGTTAAAGAGACATGGCCTGACACTGAGGCATTATATGAGAAAAGAGCTACCTTTGGGAAACACTGGAGATAAAGATAAAAAATAAACAAATAAATAAAAAAGGGTAAAAAGGAAGACTAAAACCTGATGGACTAAAGCAAGAAAATAATCTTAAATGAACAGATGAGTAAGAGCTTTTTACCATGTAAAAGGGGTAAAAGAAGTAAAAACCTCTAAGACGGGAATTAAGAAAAAGACTAAAAACAGAGATAATTAATAAAATGACAAAATAAACATCAACAACTTCGATTAAAATGAACATTTGCAATAAGAGAAAAATAAAAAGGCAATTACACAAAAGTCAAATAATGTGATGGTAATGATTTCAAGTTTGATACAAAATTCAAGCAAATGAAAATTCTGTTTTTCTACACAAAAACAAACAAGCAAAGCAAAATCCTCCGGTTTTCAATTTGCGACGACCTTATTGAAAAAACTGAGCCAGGTGAGGGAAAGCAGCTGCTGATGCAGAATACACAATCCAGTTTTGTCGATGTAAATGCACAGGAAGATGTTTGGTTTCATCATTCAGGACAGGTGGACATTTAATGACCATGGGAGATATTCTTCCCCAGGTGTTGCAAAAGAGGATTGTGAGGTGTGAGTTGAAATGAGAACTCCAGCTTTACTTGCACTGTTGCATTTCTATATGTGTAGCTTTCCAGTAAGTCGAGTTTTGATTTGTATATTGAAATTGCTTTGGTTTCATTTCATGCGTTTACAGTTAGTGCAGAAATACAAAAACAGCCCAACAGAAAGGAATTTTTTTTTGTGTAGAATTGATTCGGTGATAATAATATGTGGTAATATTGTGGATGTTACAGACTCCTCCTGGATGTGGTAATCATATCTTTGTTGATTATAGATGGGGTTTTTTTTGTGTACAAACAATACTAGGTGCCAATACCAGGGGGCAAAAGCCTGCTGCGGAGTGAACTGATATCAATAATGATGCCGTATTGTTGAGATATCCATGAATTTCACTCAATTTACCAGGTTGTGACGTTGTTTTGGATGTTTCTAATATCAGGAGCAGGGTCAACTGTTTGTCGGTTGTTTGTTTTGCCGATTCCTTCAGTTTACAGCACAACAGCTCCTTGTCATTTTCTTTCTCCGTTGACTCCGCTAGTAAACTAATAAGAAATGTCTCGCTTTCTGCCCCCTGGCTGCGTGCGCATACCTGCGATGACGTTGCACAGAAACCCGTCTATACATGCTATGATGCTTTTTCTTTTCTAAAGTTTCAGGTATCATGTAGTGGGTGAATTACGCAGGTTTTATGAAATGTATTTAAAGTGTATAAGTGCATATTAGGTGTCATTTAACTCCCCTGCTGAGCCACACACATTTTATTCTACGTATGTGTGTGTCAGCAGTTACAACCAACTGTTTTTCTGTTGAATATATAATCAGAATTATGCTTCACTTCATTTATTTTGTTTTCTTCTTTGTGATCTCTTCCAGAGCACCTCCGTCAGACCCAGGCCCTAAAGCGGGAGTCCAGAGCAGTCATGGGACAGGGGATAGGTTGGCCTCACATGACACTCCTCAGCATGCTGCACCACAGGGAGAGCAGGGACAGGGTCATGTGGCTAGAAAGAGTCTACAGGTAGATTTGGGGAGCAGTAGGACTGGGAGGTCCCCCTCTGTGTCCCCCGACCGGGGTAGCGTCCCCACCTCCCCATATTCTGTGCCACAAATTGCACCCATGCCCAGCAGCAAACTGTGCCCCGTCTGCAAAACCACTGACCTGATGGCCACAGGGGATGACAAGCCCAATGTCAACACCTGCACACAGTGTCACTCCATGGTGTGCAACCAGTGTGGCTTCAACCCCAACCCTCACCTCACCGAGGTAAGCAGCGCTGCTCAGCTGGAACAATAAGACACGTGTTTCACTTCATACATCCTCAGCACATGTTTCTGTTTTTCCTCCATTTCTTCTCCTTCATTCAACAAGTAATCATATGTTGTATACAGTGAAAGCATAGCTGAGATAGTTTGCTGTCATTCTGTGCTGAATTACAGGCAGCTCAGCATCTGCCCTGGTGCATCCACTTGGAAAACAAACACCAGTGAATTGGAAAAAAAAAAGAAAGAAAGAGAAAAAAGAAAAAAAGGTCAATGCAAAAAACTGAAAGGATTCAGAAAGAAATAAGCACACTGTGTTTGGTGCTCTACTCAAGGTTCTTGGTTGTATAAACATGAAGTTTCTGACTGTAATAACTCTGTCATCCCATTCATCGGTAATAAGCAGCTGAAAAGAGAATGAATTGTGGCAGCAGTGACTTAGTAGTCGAGCCGGTCCTCCCCCATGTCCTGCTGTCCACATGCTGAAGTGTCCTTGGGCTAGAACCCCAACCTGTATGAGTATGGGATTAGTTAAAACTAAAACCGATGGGTGCTTTACATGGCAGCTGTTGCCTTGAAGGTCGTGTGAATGAATGAATGTGTCGATGAGTGCTTTGAGGGGTCAGAAGACTGGAGGAAATGGTATATAAACAGTGTATTTACTATTTAAATCCAGTTCATAGACAAAATCTTCAGGGACAGTGTGACCTGCCAAGGGACTGCAGATGTGAATTAGCTCGAAGGTAGCTCTGTCTCAGTTAATCAAATGGCAGCGTTTCTGTTTATACCATCCATAGTTTCTTCACAAATAAATGAGACTGATACATTTGGCCATATTTTTAAGTAAAACTTTCTATTTGATAAAATCTTAGCTAACATGGCATTACCAAAGAGGTGTCTGAAAGCTAATAAAATTGTTTGGTAGTTCTCCACTGTAATATAAACATTAAAATTATAAGCCCATGTAATATTAGATAGAATTTACGTTCCAGCTGATGTTATGTTAGCCAAGATTTGGTTGAATGTTTCTTCAACTTGTTGTCCGATGGTTGTCAACACCTTCTCAGTTTTACAAATATACTTTATTATCACCCAGGGCTCTCCGAGTTTTGTTTAGTCCTTGGATTTCCAGTGGCGTATTCATAGAGAAGAAAGCATTCAACGTTTCAAAAGGGTTATTTCAGTGTATTCAACTTCCTGGGATGATATTTGGTCAATCGGTTGTTGAGTATGCTGTTTTTACTTAAAATGTGATAAAGACTCCCTTTCTCGTTTGTCTGTAAAGTGTCTGATCAATCACAACTTCTTCCATCTTAAATCTAAACCCTTGTTCAGAGAAGTATGACGTTAAAACACGTTTTAAACTTTCCACACTGAGAGAGAAAGGGACTTTGTTCAAATGGACAGTCAGGTGACTGTATGACCACAGCTTTCAGCTCATTATTGTATGAATAAATTAATATGGTACATAAGTCCTTGTTATAGTGCTGCTTTGACACAGGACCATGTGTCTTTACGCCTGAAGGCCCTCAGTCATGTGTGACATAATAAGCTTGATGTGGTGTTGCATGATAACATTTATGAGCCACATACTGTATGTTGAGGGTGGGCGATAAATTATCATTTACGATATATCACCAGAAAAATCCTCCATAATAAATATTTGCCATCTCACAATAAATACGATAAATGCAAGTTGATAATATAGGCACGAGCGACGGACTTGCAGCCATAACCCACACAGAGCAGAGTAACAAACAAACATGTCGGAAGGTAATGAAGAAGACGTTTCTGAGCAGCTTGTTACTGAATGAGGCTCCACATGAGGGGTTTCCTTCAAGATTGGGGCTTAGATGAGTGCAATCAGGTATACCTGACATCAGACAGTAGATCTGCTGCTTTGTTGTCATTAGTTTTCTCCATAACCTACCACTAAAACTTGTGGTTAAGGGTCTTATTTGACTGTCCAAACTGGTGTTTTCAAGACAAAATGAGTCAAAAATAAAGATTGGAATTATAATATTTTTTACTAGAGGATTTTATCTTGTATATAGTCTGTACCTATTATTATTTATTTATTTTTAGTATTATTTTTTTCTTACAACTATTTTTGTACTTTTAATTCGGTCTCTGTTCTGTCTTTTTGTATTTGTTGCACTGAAAATGGAGAGAGATATCCATTTATGTTATTATTTTTGGATAAAGCTCTAACAATAGTATTCATAGTATCCATAGTTGACGTCAATGTGGGAGACTGTATCCCTTAGAGGCCTCAGAGCTTAGATTTAACACTCATATACACCATAAAGTATAAGAAGAGGAGTCTGTAACAGTGAGCGCACGTTTTGAGGTTTTCTAAGTGGCTGACTCAGGTAGTTGAATTAATGGTAATTATTTCTTGTTGACATTTGTGAGTAATTCCAGCGATGGCTATTGTTTTGCAGTTGGCTGTTACCGCCTCACAGGCCGGACTGCACCAGCTGAAGTGAGGTTATGAATCAGTTTCATGCTGGTTCAGAGCTGTGAGCATCTGAGGCGTAGTCATTGTTCATCTTGATTTGTTAAGGGTTTAATATTCTGTTGACCTCATGGTATTTCATCCTTTCAGACCCGGGTTACCGCGTTATTCTTCCCAGTAACATGTTGGTCACTTCCTGTTAGCTGTAATGAATCTTGAGGCCCTTATCATGAGCAAATGCTGTATTTGTTTTTAGCTAATGCTACAAACCAAAAGCACACACAACCGCTGAACAAAACTGCATCCATCCTTTCTGACAGGCCCTAGTGAGCATCCGAATCATGCCCAGAGCCTCTCCCAAAGAGAGCCCTTTAATAACACCACCACTGACCACTGCACAACATGTATCCCCCCCCTTTCACATTCATTCATATGCATCTAAACAGTCATCAGTGTTAACAGGTAGCTGAGAAAGCCCATTGCCTTTATCCAAAAATAAATCACTTTCCTAATTTGAATTAAGATATGCTTCACTGTAACTGTGAGTCAAGTGTGGCTGTGTCATCTGTCACGAAGTTTCACATCAACTCCAGTGAGTCATGTTGCAAAAACTGCAGCCAAGATGCAATGTCAGTTAAGTTGGCCTACAGGCTATCAGCGCAACTGTAGGATGAATAAATATGAGGATTCATCGAGTAAACGGTTTGTTTTTTTTGGAATTCAGTTGTCTTCGCATAAATGTATTATTGCATGAGTGTGTGTGTTTGAGGAGGGAGATTCGGCAGAAGTCGGAAGTGGTGGGAGATGGAAGGACTCGAAAAGGGAATGTGTGGAGCAAAGAGGAGACAGGCAGTGAAGAATAGATGGTGGCAGCGAGTGAAGGAAAGCATGGCAGTAAAGAGAACTGCGGAGGTGGATGTTATGGGTATTTTTTCAGCTCAGCCTTGGTGAGCTTGTCAGATGCTGACAGGGAGGAGAGAGAGGCGGAGAGAGACAGAGGGGAAGCGCTGAGACTCTGGAGACCTGAAGATTTACCCCCCTAACCTACTTAGCATGGATTGGGCTTTTGCCTCAGTGCAGCAGATCAAACAGAACCTTATCACTCTTTGGTTAAAGCGATGATGGTCACGTTGTTGGAAGCAAGGTGATAATAACGCTGGAGATGGTGCTGACTGAAAGTACGATTACAGTGATGACGGGACAAAGCTGCTGCAAGGGTTGGACAGAGAAGTTTCTCTTTGGCACTCGTGGTTAAGCGGAGACAGATTTTTATCGGCTTATGTCTTATTTTTCGGCATTTTCCTAGCAGCACCTCACTCATTACAATTCCAGCTTTGCCTCTTGATAAAAATCCCTGTCAGGTTCTGATTTATTTCTGTTGAAGAATATTTCACAGGTGCTTCTGTTCACAACCTTTATGGACAGAATTTCTAGGCGCAGCCGGGGGGGTGGAGGGTGTCCAGTTCAGCAGGCAGAAGATCGCGTCGCTGCTTTTTGCGGATGATGTGGTGCTTCCAGCTTCGTCGAGCAGTGACCTTAAGCTCCTGCTGGGGCGGTTTGCGGCCGAATGTGAAGCGGCCAGGATGCGAATCAGCACCTCCAAGTGCGAGGCCATGGTCCTCAGTCGGAAAAAGGTAGATTGCCTTCTCCAGGTCGGAGGGGAGGTCCTGCCACAAGTGGAGGAGTTCAAGTATCTCGGGATCTTGGTCACGAGTGAGGGTAGGATGGAACGGGAGATCGACAGGTGGATCGTGGTGAAGAAAGAGCTGAACCTATGGCCATGAACTTTGGGTAATGACCGAAAGAACAAGATCGCGGATACAAGCGGCCGAAATGGGTTTCCTTTGCAGGGTGGCCGGGCTCAGCCTTAGAGGTAGGGTAAGGAGCTCGGACACTTTGAAGGTGCTCAGAGTAGAACTGCTGCTCCTCCATGTCGAGAGGAGTCAGCTGAGGTGGCTCGGGCATCTGGTTTGGATGCCTTCTGGACGCCTCCCGTTAGAGGTGTGTCAGACATGTCCCACCGGGAGGTGACCTTGTGGCCCAGGACCAGGTGGAGGGATTATATCTCTCACCTGGCCTGGGAGCGCCTGAGAATCCTCCTGGAGGAGCTGGTGGAAGTGGCCGGGATGAGGGCTGTCTGGGCTTCCCTCCTGAAGCTGCTGCCCCCCTGCGACCCAGACCCGGATGAAGCGGAAGAAAACGACGACAACGAATATTTCACAGGCGCTGATTGAACTGTCCCAGATTACGGGGATAATATGGAAAAATTCTGTTGTTGAAGAGGATTTTCCCTCAAATTACAAAGAGATGGCCATGCTGATTAAAACGTCGATAACCCTCGGGCAATTCTGTATGTGGGAATTTTACATTACGCTTACTCAGCTCAAAGTCTAAAATACTAACTCAAGCTGGTATAAATTAGAGCAGCCTTTCCTATCTGATGACTGAAACAGCAAAAATAGGTGTTCTGGCCACAGCCTGTTACCGAGCTGTGAGTCAACCTGAAACACAGAGGTGCATTTTAGTCAAACTGGCTGGAAAATGTACAAGCGTTCATTCAACCAGCAAGCTTATTATGACAAAGATAACAGCTAAGTGAAAATTTACTGCCTGCTGTGTTGAATTGGAAATTTTCTGATGAAATAGCAAAAGAAAAAAGCAAGACAGAGAGGAACAAGACAGCCACGATAACTCCAAGGAGAAAGACTAACATAACAGAGAAAAGGAGCAAAGAGATAGGGAACCACAGATGCCTCCCATCTGACAGTGTTCTCCCACCGTCATACAGGGGAACATCTGCTTTATAATTGGTCCAATTTCTATTTATAGTCATACCCTCTTTCTGTCTGCAGCAATGGCCCGGTCCTAAGAAGCCACAGCTGAAAAAAAGAATAATAAGTGAGGGAGGAGTGTGGGGAGACAAAGCAGGAGAGAAAAGCATCATCGTAAATTAAACATAATAGAGCGTTCATGCTGACGCTATGCAACCCCACAGCTCTGAGCACCACACAACAACAACAACACAAAATGCTGAAATGAATTGACAAATAGCGCGGGAGAAAACCTTTTCTTTTTGCATTTGTGTCATACTCGGTGATGAAGGTGTCAGCTTTGCCAAAATACTCTGGAGATCTGAAATATTCCTTGAACCAGTCGTGACATGATGACTTTTTAACGCTTTTGTTTGATAAATGCTTCGGAACAGCTTCTTTGTCTTTTTAACCAACAATCCCACGAGCTGAGGAAGAGTTTTAACAAACGCTCCCACACAGAGCTTCTCTAGAGGCACTCTATAAATCACTCTATATATCTCCTCCTCCTCCATCAAAATACATCAGGTAGGAGGGCACGCTTGGCAATGCTGCACCAGAATCGTTTAGCTTGTACACAAAAGCAGGATGTTGTGACTCAAAAATAGATCAATATAAATTTCCAAACTTGACAGAAAGGCTTCACAATAACTGCTAGAGAAAAAGAACTTCAATTTGTTTTATTCGGACCCTTTTGGCGACAAGCTGGACCAACTAATAATGTTCTGTGTATCAAAAATAATGGTGTGGGAAGGATTTTGGTGCTAAATTACAAAATTATGACACAAAATTATCTTTGTAGGGTATTTTGGCATCTCATGTATTTTTTTCTTCTCTGGGGCTGCAACATAAAAAAAAAATTGCAGCCCCAGAGTGCAATAGACTGTTTCCATCATGAAACGTGAAAAGGGTGACAGAGAAATACCCGGAAAGAGCAATTATGAGCTAAATTCCCCTGTGTTAGACCTCCTCTGTAATGGAAAACACAGGTAGGTGTAATCATTTGGCGAAGTCATTCTGCTGCTGAGCTAGCACTGAAACAGAAGCAAAATGGCATCACTGTAATAGTCAGAGTGAGTTGGATAAAACAGTACTGTGTGTGTGTGTGTGCGTGTCTGATTGGAGGTGTATGAGAGTCCCTCATCTTGTAATCAACCAAAAAAATTCTTGGTTGACTAAATCCCTGAAATTTTCGATCAAAAATCGACTAATGGGACTAATTGGGACAGCAAACCCTTCTCGGCGGGATGAAAATATACTGATGTCAGCACAAGAAGGCAATTAAACACAAATATTATATTCAGCAACCCACCAGACGCTGATTTACGTGGAAGCTCTTCAATCTTCCTGTCTCCAGCCGGTCTCCAGTGGGTTGGGCGAATCCAAAACGGTCAAAACAAGGGGGGTGTTCCAAGACAGGCTGTTACCGGTGAAACGGGGGTGCTCTGAAAACACCTCCATTAGCACTTGGTACGTTCCTCCTGATAAAATTAACCATAGACTGTAAATCGACGCAGAAAAAAATCGAGTCGACCAATCAGAATTTTTGTCGACTCAGCACTTATCGACTAATAAGTTGAAACGTCGGCTGGGACTTTCAGACCAAGTGGAATCACAGCTCTGTAACATATTCTGTAAAAGTACAAAAGTCTTCCCAAAAAGAGGACACGACTATGTGGGGCGGAGTCGCACGAAGTAAACTTTTAGAGTTTTCAGGTCGGAATGAGTGTCTTTCACGCGCTTCCAACTCAGTAAGTCCACGTGACACAAAATCGAAACTTGCGTGCAAAACCGCGGACATTTTAAGGATTTTATTAACTTTCCTAGACAAACCCGGATGCATTTTTTTTTTTTTTGCTAAGTGCTAAGTTCCGGTTGGTTATTCCTTATGACTGTGAAACGCCATCGTCTGTTGGGTTAGGGTTAGGGAAAGGGTGTGTGGTGATGTTTCCAGCTTTTCTAGCCAATCAGAGGCGAAGGAGGCGGGACTTTCCCCTACCATCCTACAAAAAAGAAATATCGCAACCCGGGCTGTGTCCGAAATGAATCACTCAATCCCTAACCCCTAACCCCCATATGGGGTTTTACCATGTAGTTGACTATATAGTGAACTCAATCACCAGAGGTTTCAGACACTACATGGAAGGACGCAATGCATGACGGGATGCCCACCACCGGTGAGTGACCATCGGGTGGTCACGACATTTTGCAATGCTTTATGGGAATTTTTGAGTCGCCTTTATGGTGAATTGATCACTCAGATTTTGGACACCCCTCAAAATGGCGCTAACCCCCATATAGTCGCCTATATAGGGGTTAGGGATCCATTTCGGACACAGCCTCGGACAGCCCCTAAAAAGAGGACTCGACTGGGTAAAAGAAGACGTATGGTGACCCTAACAAAAGTGTAATTTAAAGCTCAGTGTGGCATAATCTAAATGTATAAAAAAAAAACGTCTTGTCTCGATTTAAAGTGTACGGGTAACAATTTGCTGACATATTCCTCACATCTTAACAAAATAACAGCATATCTAGTTTTGTTAGCTTGTTCTGCGGCCTTGAGTGTTCAATATAACTCCTGACATCTGCTTCACATCGTCCCTTACAGGTAAATTTAGAAGTTTGAGTGAAACCCATAAATACTTTCCCACCAGCCCTGTTTTTGTAAAGAGGTTTTTATCTGTAACTAGCTGCTCGTATGAGTCACCTTGCTGGTCAGTCAATTTGATGATTCATCTCCTACTCCTGCAGAAAAATTCTCTGCACATGTACAGCTGTGGGATACGGACTTTTCGTTAGTACTTTTAAGTACTTTTCTCAGTGAGAGACAGAAACTGCTCAGCTGTCAGGACTTTAATGTTGCCAGTGTTTTCATCCCAAGGCTTGAAATTGATTTTCTCGAGCTGCAACAGTAACCCCAAACCTGAGGGAACAAGCTGTCCATCGTCTCTGTAAACATTTGTGTTTATTATTATTATTCTCGAAGTGTGCTTCAAGGCGACTTTTCAGGTTGAGAGTGCCTTCAGACCAGAACTGTTCTGTGTTTGAACCTCAGCTCTTGATTACTGCTTAACCCTTGAAGAGTTTATGTCTTAGCTTTAAAATGAGGATTTGGGTTTTTTGCAGCATGCAAACTATTTTTGGGATAAAAATAAATGCTGTAGTTACAGTGCCCAGCAGAAGTCAGTTCACCCCTATTAAAAGTAATGTATTACTCACTATCTAGATGAGCAAAAGTATAATTTCCAAAGTTTTGACAAAGCTGAGTTTAACATAACATTTTATTTACCATAAGATGAAAATAAGGGTGATATGGTAACCAAAATTTAGCTTCCCAGAACTTTGATTGGGGTGTACTCATTTTTACATCCTGATTTTAAATACTTTTTTTGTATGCAACTTAAAAAGTCTTGTTTGCAATCAATGGCCTACATTTAGGGGAGTATTTTGTTGTTATAGTCTGACATAGAAAATGTTAATTTTGAAAGGAGACTAAAGGTTTTCTGACAACTGTGAGGGGTGTACTCATTTATGCTGAGCACTGTATATCATGGAAAGATAGGTGCATCATACCTCAAGGGAGCCTGAGTCTGGTTCTTAATCCTCTAAATTAACTCAAATATTTAAAATCAAACATTTCTAATCCTGCTGTAACTTTGCATCACAAGGCACAAGAGATCCAATGGCATTCTGGTCCAGCAAAGTAGAAGACAATAAGCTTACTGTTTTACGACTCTCCCGCTAGAACAGACTTGAGCTTCATCTGTGCTGTACTCGCCATCTTTTGCTTACATTAACATCACTTGAAGTTCGGTGAGTCGAAACTGTGCGATTTCTCAGGATTTCAACATCTCTTGAAATTTTCATTCACTGCATCCCTGAGGGGAAGGTTGTGACGAGTTTCAGTTTCTTTGAGTTTCTTTGGGGTCAGATAACAGGCTGAAAAAGAGTGACCCCGAGTTATAACGCTACAGCTGTCATTCTGTTTCTCTTTTTTCCTTTTCTTCTCCGATAATGAACGCCCGATCTCTCCGAGCTTTTCATGTCTTTTGTGTCGCATGTCGCTGGAGGATAGTGACAAAATGGATAACTGACAACAAAATGATAATAATTTCACTTGTACTATTCATCAAAGGTTTTATCGAACAGGAAGCAGTTGAATTATTTGTGAGGACTAAGAGAGCCAGAGTTTCAGTCTTGGTCTCTCGCCACTGACGAAGTATATTCATGTCTGACTGCCTGAGTGGGTCATTTGCTGGCTGCAGCAGAGGCTTCTCACCAAAATTGAAAAAATTGCAACTCGTTGACACCTATGACACAGTGTACAGTTTAGATTTCAATCACTGTAAGATTATTTTGGAAAAAAATACAATATAGACACGTTTAGTTCAAATGTAATGGTGTAATTCTCATAAGTTAAAGGGATATTCCGGTGTGAAATTAATTTAGGGTCAAACACACTGTAACACAGAGTTAGACACCCCCTCGAGAGATGAATGTTGCGAACCGCTTGCTTCTCTAGTTATACCAACTTTAGTAACTACCGCACGATAGCAATACACCGGTCTGAGGAGCCACAAACAAACCTCAACCAAAATGCCACTCTATAGCCACAAATAATGCTCAGAACAACTTCATCAACAGTACATATAGGGTCCCAGCCACAGCACTAGCAACCAAACATCTTTTTAACTTTGCCTGATTTCTTTAGCAAAGACACTAAACACAACTCACCCACTCTCTTCCAGCAGCCACTTGTTTGTAAGGAGACCTCGGACGAGTCGATCATCGACTGCAGCGGGGTGCTGCAGCTCAAGAAGGAACATTTATGATCATTTCCTCATGGAAATGCAATCAGACCAAGGCGCTAAGGCAGAAGAACTACCATGTCTGCAGTTCAAAATGATTAAGATGATGATTATTACTTCAAGGAAATAATAAAGAAATGATCATAAATTAGGGATGGGTCCGAATATTCGGCGCCGAAAATATTCGGCCGAAAAGCATCAAAAATGAATTTTCGGTTTTCGGCCGAATAGATGTTATGGCCGAAAAAAATTACCGAATAGTGTGGATAAACATATGTCTAGAATGAACTCTCAAAAACGGAAAACGCAGACGGCGCTGTTTTCCCTGTTTTAGTGGCATGTTGATGACGTCATCGGAACGCGACAAGAGGCAAGCCGGTGTTGTGCCGTAGAAAGCACCCCCGCTGTAGAATGCACCCCCTGCCTCCCATCCACTCGTTAGCTTCTTAAAGTGGAAGAAAATGATCTCATATTTTAAAAAACACGACTATTTGATCGTTACAACTTTCGTTCTGATTTTATATGTCTCAAAAATGCACATACGGAGGTGTGCTTGGGTATATAAACTGTACAGTAAACTGTCAAGCTGGCAAACATTATATTTTTCAATCGCGCTCCCGTCGGGGGTGCATTCTACGGCACAACACCGGCATGCTGATACGACGCACACGATACGTGCAGCTGTCTTGGCTCGAAGCCGTTCAACCGGCATGTCTGCGGTTTGGAAATATTTCGACATATCAGAGAAAGATGGTCTGATGGCAATTTGTAAACTCTGCTCTGCTGAAGTGTCTCGAGGTGGTGTGACGGCAAAAACTTTCAGTACATCGGGGCTAATCAACCACTTGAGCGCTAAACATAAGGACAAACATGACGAGTTTAAGAAACTCACTGCACAAAAGTTTGCACAATCGTATGTGCATGCATGTAAGTGCATTTATTGTTGAAGGCCTCAGGCCTGGATTTGTGTTTACTGTTGCACAATCATGTATATTCATGCACGTACCTGCATTTATTTTATTTATTTTGCATATGTGCATTTTATTTTATTTACTTTAGGCTATCCAACAGGGAAAATTGCACTTTTTTTGTATTGTTATTGCAAAGATGTTATTTACTTAATTTTATTTTATTGAATGTTATTGTTATAGCATTGTTATGTCATGTGCTGAAGCTGAATAAATGTTTCATGGTTCAAACATAAAGTGATTAATATTTAAGTTTGCCAGGTTTTGCCATAATCAGGTAGCTTTAAAACAAATGTATGGCAATGACAGCAATTGTACAAAAATTGCTTGGTGATAAAAATTCATAATTTATATACATATTTATTAATCATATTCAGCTATTCGGTATTCGGTTATTCGGCCAAGTGTTTCTAATATTCAGTATTCGGTTTCGGCCAAGATTTTCCCATTCGGTCCATCCCTATCATAAATGTTCTTCCTTGAGCTGCGTCACCCCGCAGCAGTCGATGGACTCGCCCAAGGTCTCACTACAAACAAGTGGCTGCTGGAAAAGAGAGTAGGTGAGTTGTGTTTAGTCTCTTTGCTAAAGAAATAAGGCAAAGCTGTTTGATGGTTAGTGCTATGGCTAGGACCCTATATGTACTGTTGATGAAGTTAGGTGCTGTTCTGAGCATTATTTGTGGCTATAGAGTGGCGTTTTGGTTGATGTTTGTGCTTGGCTCATTAAACTGCTGTGTATTGCTATCGTGCGGTCATTACTAAAGTTGGTATGACTAGAGAAGCAAGTGGTAAGCAACATTCATCTTTCAGGGGGCTGTCTAACTCTGTGTTACGGTGTGTTTGACCCTAACTTAATTTTATTCCAGAATATCCCTTTAAGTAAACCAGGATAGGATTTAGAGCCCACCTGTAAATGCAGTTATGCCTCTTTCATGTTTAACTCTTCATTTAGCCATCACTAAGCATACTTACTGGACTGACATCAGAGGTCATGTCTGTGATGAACGTTTTATTACTGATGTAGTTGTCTGGACTGTGAATTTATATAGGGATCATATCAAACAGAGCGGGGAGTAATATATCTACTAGGTCGCTGCAGGTCAGGTTACTTTTCCAAATGGGCTTTTATCTAGAAAAATCACTTCTCCTCTACCTTGGAAAAAGGTGGTTCATCAGCCACTGTAAATTCAGAGATGTAATCAATAATTGCTGCAGCTTTTGGGTTGTCTCCGGTAAAGTTTCTGCAGTTCTCATGTTGAATAAGTGGGACAGAATTTCTTTTTAGTGCTTATACCAGCTGCTTCCTATTTCTTCAATATCTGTTAAAAAGTGAGGAATTTTTCCGTCGCACCGAATACTTGTGGCACATGTTTTACAAGTTACAACAAAAAAACAGGTTTACTGTTCACTCCTTTTTCACACTCTCATCACCTTTTTGCAGCTGTGTTTGGTCCTCTCTGCACATGTCTATGCTTACTATGTAGGAATATGGAGACTTTTTCTACAAATAAGGGCATTTTTTATTGGTTGTTTTCATATCTGGTAATAATAAATACAAGTGGAATATTCCTGGCAGTGGCGTACTCATGCTGTTTGAGGGGCAGGGGTGAACTAAAGGCACCTGCTGTATGCTATAGGGTATAAGTGCGTAGAAGGTTGTGATAGATGAAGATCTGTCTGTCTAATAATAATAATAATAATAATAATGATATCAACAAATACAACAACAATAATAATAGAAAAGTAATTATTGTTATTATTATTATTATTATTATGACAACAACAACAATAATAAAAATAACAATAACAACAACTACAACAACAATAGTAATAAAAAATATTACCATTTTGTTATTATCATTACAACAACAACAACAATAATAATAATAATAATAACAATAATAATAGTTTTATTTATAGAGCACCTTTAAAAAACAAGGGTTTATAAAGTGCTTTGACATTCAAACACAGGAACACACAAGAATAAGCGAGGAGCCAAAAGCACAGAAGAGACACAGAGAAAGAAAAGACGAATAAAAGAAAAGCTCAACAACAAAATAAGATAAAATCTCAACCGCAAAATAACCACAGCAGAGAGAATAACTACAACAAACAGAGCCAGCAGCTGAGTAAAATAGAATGTAAATATAATAAAAAGGCATTATGAAGGCCATTTCATAAGCTCTTTACTTTTACGTTTCTCTTTGGCATTCTGTGATCACGAGGTTGTTGCACAATAGACCTGGTTCTGGCCTGTTAAAAAAACAGTGAGGGCAAGGAAAATGTTTATTTTTGGCAACCCTGGACAGTAGGCAGCCTGGAGGTTACAGAACAGGGAGAGTTTTCCAAACTTCTGATACCCACAGCAGCATGAGGTTATTTAAGCATTTAATTCAAGGGAGTTCTGGGGGTTCCTGCAAACCTTTACAGTGTGAACTCTAAGGTTACCAAACAATCAGGAAATACATTATGCAGAACTATTCTAGTTGTTTGTAGTCATTCAGATCAGAGAGCAGAACCCTCACTGTAGTCTGTCATCCATGTTTAAGTTATAGATTCATTATTTAGAGAACATCATTGTTTTTGTTCCTACTGTGCGCCAGGCTGGACTAACACACTGGAGCTTCAAGTGGACAAACAGTCTGAAGTGGGTCGAGAATTCAGCTGAGACACTACATGCTGAATTTTGCATATTCCAAAATATTTTGCAGTCAACTTCCAGAGACTAAATCTGGGACACTGGTTTAATTATTGCGCCGAAGCTCACTTCATTTAAAGTCTTAACTCGCTATAGTCGGCAGTGTGGTCTGCAGTATGGAGTACAAGGAATCATCATCACATCGATGTGCTTGAATTATGAAAGTCCTCCACCATTGTTTTGTTTGAGACAGGGGAGACGCAGTCATGCAGAATGACAATACTTTAACATGTAGTATTGTACAGTGTAAAGTAGATGTGTTTTGTTTGTCTTGTTATTTTATCAGTGTTTGAATCAGGGCTGAATTTTTGCAGCAGGCATACACTAAAAAGTCAAAGCAGCTCTGATCCTTTTAGGTAAAAAGTGCTTTCTTTTGGGAGCACTTTTCAGGACCTGTTTATATGTACCCGGTTATTTAAAAAAACTGAGACATTAACCATCATTTGCACCCTTCATTTCGACGCAAATGGAGGATTCGCCTCTGAAAATGACGCTTTTCAAAAACTTTGTCCAGAGTGGAGATTTTGGAAAACTCTGTTTGCACGTGTGCATGTAAACAGAGAAAAACTGAGATTTGTGTAGCCGATGACGATGGCAGATTGTGCACAGGAAAAAAGGAAGGGGCGTTGTTGTTGCTGCTATACGGGTTTTGATTGGCTAACGGGGCTTGAGCTTCTTGTTACAAGGCCACCCACATGTTTGATACGCTCTTGACGGCATATATACACAGGTTAATGTAAACAAAAACTATTCTGATAACGTACTGGTATGCACACATTTTTTTTTGTAAATGCAGATGAAATGTCTGTCTATAAAAATAGCCGGGCACGTGTAAACATAGTCTTAGTTTCACCACATTTTTAGCATTTGCTCAATAATTAGGATTAAACTTTCTAATTTTTGATTTTGTGAAGATTATTTGTCAAATCTTTGCTTGTTTAACACATGACTGGTCAGACTGCCAAAGCACAATATGTCCTGCTACGAGAGGGAAAAACACGAAACATTAAATGTCACGCTTGTCCGCTTTAAGTTGTGGATTTACATACAGTAATGGTGTTATACATCGTAAAAGTGCATCTTTTTATATTTCAATAACCATGCTTTGACATGCTTGACAGCAATACACTGTATAGGAAAACAGCAGCAGAGAGAGCAGCCTAATAATACACCGAGAAGAGCCATCATCTTTGACAACGTCACAGCAGAAACTCGAAGTGCCTCACAAAAGCAGTATGTTGTGTTTTGCAGAGATCAACATTTCTGTATTTCTTTACATGCCTCCTGTGCCTCAACATAAATTATGTACCTCATATCTGCACTACTTTCCTGGATCCTTAGTTACCCTCCTGCACCCTGCTGTGCCTGAGAGTAACAGCACACCTGGTGAGGGACATTCAACAAACAGCAAGAGAAGGAATTTAATAGTGGTCTCAACTCATTATTTCTCCTCTTTTTTAAGAATATATCTCTAGAAATGACACTGTATTTTGTTTTATTGAGATAGCACTTGTGTAGTTGTTTGTAAGACTGACTGACTGACTGGTGGGAGCTGAGCAGAGGCAGAGAGAGATGGACTGACAGCAAGGAGGAGAGAGAGGGGGAAAAAAAGAGGGAGAGGCATCGGGATGAATTTCAATGTCTTGTGGCCCAATTTGCAGGGAATTGATAAACCGCTGCATCCCGAGCATCCTGATCCCCAAACTGCAGAGCTCAGCTGCTGTATGCGCTGCATGGTGATACTGCATTGTGATCTCCGGGACAGAGCAGCTTTCTTTGTCTGCAATCTTGTTTGGTGGAAGTTTGATTCTGTCCCTGAGTGTGTTCCTCGGCCGGCTTTCTTGGGGGAAAAAAAAACAGAGTGCATGATGTCTCAAACCTGTCAACAAACCCTAACTAGAGAAGAGAAAGAGGGAAAGTTTGTCCTGCTATGGGATGTATGCAGAGTTTCATCCTCTCTCCTGTTGGAGTTTGGGTCTATGAGGAGCGTAAACCTTTTCATAATCTGTCATCATTTTTCTCTTTTTACCCTTAACCCACTCTGAAGCTAGGCAGTTTCTCCAAAAGTACTCATCCAGAGCCTTTTGTTTTTACAGTTATGGCCTTTTTTTTTGCTGATGTTACACCTCTTTGTTTGCATGAAGTATCGTTCACGATTTGTCGTCACAAAATGAAGGTGAAGGTGATGGAGGTCAAACGTCTGGTGTGTGGATTAGTGGCTTTAGTTGTCGTCTTTTTTAATGAAATAGGATTCTCGTTTTAATTCTTCAACTAGTTTCATGCTGACGGGTTGCTACAGGGTGTTCCTCTGTGATCTAAAGTTAGAAAAGAAAAATGTCTGCAAAGAGAATTCAGTCGGAATAAGTGAGCACTTGTTTAATCACCACTCATTTTTTCTGATTCAAACTCTAATTGCATTAGTAGTTTTAATCTGATCAGTCTGTCTGTTTGAGTCATATTACTGCAAAGAGGCAGTTTTCTAATTCTGATCTGATTAGAAGTGGCCATTAAGACAAGAGATGGACCATTTATGTCGTCAGTTTGCTTATTAATGGCATTTGACTCAATCTGCATCATATCAGCGTTGACCCTCACGAGACTGATATCACCGTCACCTTCTCCATTGAAGACACATTTTCTCATCACCCATGAACAGCACATTAAATCTAAAACAGTCATTGACAAGTGTTTTCATTTAAATTCAGTTATGATGTGCAGAATAATGCAGTTAAGTATCAACAGCAGTATCAGCCTAACCTGAAATCTTTGTCTTTCCACTGATTTATTCAAAATCCATCTAAGACAATTTACTAGCTAAGGTAGCCCTGTGTATTTGATTTTAATGTGCATGGAATAATGAATCCATGCATGACTGCCTCTTTTTATTTCAACCTCACCATTCAACTTAATAATAATAATAATAATCAATATCTTTCTGAAATAAAAAAAATTAGATTGCTGGTAAAATCCCAAAAGTCCTTTGTGATAATATTTTACTGACGCAAATATCACTCCATCTACATTTATTTGGCAAAATGTTCATTTGAGCTCAATTATTTTGTTTTTTATTTGTTAGTGTTATTGATATCGATATTCATTCAAGGTAAATCTCTGGTGGACTGTAGACAGGAGGTGGACAAGCAGTATGACAGATTGTCTTCTCCCTCTTTTGGATTTTACCTAGACTCTTACTTTGTAGAGCAGGGGTGTCAAACTCAACCACAGCAAGGGCCATAATCTGGATTAGAGTCTAACCTGAGGGCCCAACAGGGTCAACATTTCACCCAAACCGTCAACCTCCTTTTCAAAATATACATATTAAAATCAGCGATGATTATAAACCACTTGGAAATTCAAATAGTGAAAAAGATACATTTAAAGGCAATCTGAGATTTTAAAAAATCCAATAGATTAGTTCAAAAGATCAGAAGAACACAATATTAAAAATAGAAAAATAATGCTTTTAAAGAGCAAATACATGAGGAGAACATTGAAATCATAAGTTTGAAAGGTCAAAATATGAGATCATTTAGAAATCAAGAGTTTAAAGTCAAAATATGACTTAAAATAGGAATCTAAAGGATTAAAATGACATAAATCTAAATACTGAATTTAAAAAAATCAAAGCATGAAATAAAAAGTCAAATCATGTTTGACTTGTAATCTTGAGATGCAAAATTGGAAATATGGATAAAACACATTTTTTCCCCACATTTTTGACTGTTTATCAAATCTTCCTTACTCTTTACTTAACCAGATTTTCATGGTTTATTAAGGACATTTTAAATAATGGTAAATAAAGTTTACATTATCATCCTGGAGGAAATCTGCAGACCTCATACTGGTGGGCCAATAATAACACAAATATGATATAATCTCGTGGGCCAGATGTAATTGTTCCACGGGCCAGATTTGAGTTTGACACCAGTGTTGTAGAGCCTGTACCTGCTTGAATGAAGTTGGATGACGCCCCTCCTACTGCAAATGCAATCTAAAGCACATCTACAACCAATAACACATCTTGCACCGACAGATTCTAGTTTTTAAAATTGAATCTTTCAACACAGTTTACAGTGACAACCACCCAGAAATTACACCACGACAGAAAGATTTCCGCCCAACACACACCACCACCCACTTCATAAATGGAGTATTTCTAGTGAGCATGTGAATGATGGTGGAAAATCTCTAATAGGAATGGGACATCTGTGAAGAAGCAAGTCTGGACATTGCTCGGGCACAAATGTCCTGAATTTGTCTATTTTGAAAGCGGCTGTGTAGAGCCTCTCAGTTCATTGACACAGAGAGCAGATCAAAATGCAACATGATGCTACAATCATTCACAAAAACAGACACTGTCAAGTAGAAGTGGGCTGCTATGCTAGTGAACTGGTTACAACAAATACTGTACATCTCCCATTACAGTAATATTTGCATATGATTAGGAAGCCAACATTGATTATTCCTTATATAGAACATGAACTACCACACAAATATGACTGTACCAAACAAGCAATCGATATAGAAAAAAAATCACTGCAACATTTCTAGTTTGCGCTTACGAAGATGTGATGACCAGTTTTAGATCTCAAGAAGATCGGCCTTAAAATTCAGAATGTAAACATGTGTGTGTCTGTGTTGCCAAGGATGCTCTGCTCTCATTATTTGATCCATATCCAACTCTCTGCGGGCCTTCACTGCTAAAAGGTTCTATTTCTGGCACCAACTCGTTGTTCCTCATGAAACCACGTTGCTCGAGCATCCTGTTGGCAGACACTGAGCTCTCGCAGAGCTGTGGGCTGCGGTCCCTGCTTATGACCTTTTGACGTGCATCGTACCATTGTATACGCGCGCACGCACGCACACACACAAAAGAAAAAGCAGGAACTGGATCCTTGTTCGAAACGAAGGCGGGATGGGAGGCATCAGATGTAGATGGAGGAGGAGAGATTCTATCTGAGGGATGCAGATAAGAAGGAGAAATAAAGATGAGTGAAGGAGAACAAGATGGAGGTTGTGCATCAGAGGGGCTGAAAAAGAGAAGGAGAAAGACAAGAGACAGAGTGTGTGGCGTGCTTGTTTTCTGCTGATACAGATCAGATTTCATAAAGATCCACATGATTGCCTCATAACAAGGGGGATGCAGGGAGGAATGAGGAGGAGAGATGAGGCGGAGGCAGGCAGACGCAGGATGAAACTGATAAATAGCTGCTTGCCCTCCCCACAGCTGCTTTCTTTGTTTTTTTTTCTAGTTTTTTCTTTAATATGATTATCCTAACTGTAATCTGGGATAAAAACTCCAAGGACAATAACAAAGGTGGAAGGAGATGTTTCTTTTTGTTTGTCCTTGTTTTGATGGAGGGGCCCGTGCTGGGTGGTGTTGGCTTATTCCTCCGTCAATATTACTCCTGACTGTCCCCCTGACTTCTCAGTTTCCCTGATTGACAGTGAAAACCACAGCCTCATCGCTGCTGCTGCTGAGGACTGGCAGGGGGCCAAACACAAGGCTTAGATTGTGCTGAGACTGTGACTTACTCCGTCTCTACTGACTTACTGAATGACTGACCGACTGAATGGCTGACTTAAAAACCCACTGAGAACAACTGGAAGGCAGGTGGAGTGGGCCCGTGAACATTTTCAAGAAGTGAACTCCAAATACTGAATGAAAATCTCAGAACAGAGAACAGGAGGACAGATGCTGTTAAAATATACAAGTATTTTTAAGATGATAACTCAATTGTTGCATCAAAACACTTGGCAGGAGACAACATGGATATTCTGCTGAAACTTGTGTGTTCCTCCTCGCTAGTTATGTCACACTCTTACAGCTGATCATTGTACATATGAAAAGAATCGAACAACAGAAGCTGATGTTTGCCGCACAGCATCACGAAGCAAAGAGAGAAAGAGAGAGAGCTGAGGAGGAGGAGGAGAAGAGAGAGAACTGTTAACACTAGTCATGCTCAAGCAAGATGATGCTGGTTTTAAACCTGACTGTTGCCAAGCAACCCAAACATTCTTCTAAAAGAGTTGTCCTGATTGGCTAGTTTAATGTAATGCTGCGCCCCAGTTACCTCGGAAGTCGGATATCAGAGGTAGGATTGACGTCACACCCAAGTTACCAGCGTTTCAGTTACCAAGATGGAAAACCAAGATGGACGCCTACATTAGCCGTTGTTAGCCATTGTTAGCTGTTGTTTACAATTGTCAGCTGTTGTTAGATGTTGTCAGTTGTTGTTAGCGGTTGTTGTTGGCGATACCAGTTGTAAACAACACGTAATGCAGTATTTTACTCTACAAACACTATAGCACCGTGTTTACAGTTAGACGTTGGGCAGTAAAACATATACCACTTACTTAATTTAACAAAAACAAAACAGAGGTGCTAATTAATTTTACACTACGATAGCTGTCACTGTTGCTCTTTACTGTTGATGCACTGCGCTGACATCTTGGATTATGACGTTGTCATCAAGTCAGGCTTGGAGAGGATGGTCCGACTTTCCGAATTGGAAATCCAACTTCAGTGGTGCATTCCAGATGAATTTCCGACTTGGAGCTCAGAAATTCCGACTTCTGAGTATAACTGGAACGCAGCATAAGTAATGCCCACTTTTTTTGTTTGTTTAAGCCTCTTATATGATTGAACCTCTAATAAGTCAATAAACTAACCTTTCTAGCAAAATGAACACTCTGGCATTGATCATCATGACATGAATCAACATATATAACAGAAGGCATGTTTGAGAAAAATAGTTCGCCATTCCCCATCTGTTTACTTCAAAGAGGCGGGGCTTATGATTAATGTTGCAGCCAGTCAAGTAAGGAGCTTCAAATTATTATAGCCTCACAGTTTACAGTCTGTACACACCTGCAGAGTGTACAGACCATACATACTATGCTAACATTGTTAGCGGTATGTTGTCTTAGCCTGGTGTCTGGAAATGCTGCATTAGCAGTGGTTGCTTATGAAAGGGGCTCTGGACCTACAAATAGATTAACCCAGCGTGTGAGCCGGCACATGGCAACAGTAATGTGAACAGACAGTGAAATCCAGAGGAAAAACATAAATTTCTCACCGCTGAATGCTTCTTGTTTTAATGGCCGCCATATCAGGTCCTGTGGAAGCTGGTCCTGGTTGTGAACAAACACCCTGAAGTGGTGTTCCTGCATTGTCGTCTTAAGTAAAGGATTGTGATTAGTCTGGTATCTGACACAAAGAGAAAACGTTTAGAGTGGCAGCTGTTCCAGACCCTTCAGCCACCAAAAGTAAACATAAGCTGGCTGAAGGGTCTGGCAACACCAAGCGAATGGTTCCCTGCTTGAGGATAGAGGAAGTGAGGTTTTTTCAAGGACATGCCACTACTCTTCAACAAGAGAAGGTCCAGTTCAAAGAGGATGTGGCTGTCGTGAAGCGCAACATCTACCTTAATAACACCGTTTCCCTTAATTTCAAGTCTGAGGCACTTGTGACTCTTCACTTCAGGCATTCATCCTTTAATTTCTGTTGTTGCCCTTTATTCATGAATGTTAAGGAAGATTTTGTTAAGCATTCACTAAAAAACTAGAGAAACAGGACACTCATAGAGGAAGTAGTGCGAGAAGTAGCAAGAAGTATTAATGGTATAATCAAAATTGAAGTCTCCCTCCAAACTAATTGTTAATAATTTAATGAAGTTAATCACTTAAACTCCACTCCACTCTGTAATGGTTTGAGGCAAGTTTGGCATAATAACTGCACATAATAATAACAAGACTAACGCTGGCCAACAAAAGTATTTTCCATAAAGGATTATTATTTGAAAAAAGCTGAGAAATGACTTAACTTGCCAACACAAACTCCACTGTAGAATCGAATACCAGTTTTATCAGTTTAGTAAAGTTTGATGCAGGAAGACAGTATCGGGAAACATTTTTATGATCATAAAATAGAAAGATGCAGGGGGTCACCTCGTTTTTCTAGGGGGAATCTGAAGGCTTTTATCTCATCAGCTCATTATTTCCTCAACCAAAGGAAAGCAGTCAAAAGAAAGCGCTATAGCAGGCCTACGGTATATGAAAAGGAGAGCAGAACAGTAATGATGGCGGGGATTCAGAGGTCTATGATAGCAGTTCTCTACACTTCTGAATATGCCAGCGCTCTCTTTGGCTGTTCGAGGATGCCAAATATGACAAGTACATCTCCATGTCAGGACTTCTACCACTGAGACCTGCGAAATGAGCCTGTTCCAGACCTCTCAATCACCCCCCACTTCTTCATGTCCTCCATAATTCAAATTAAGACAATTATTCATGAGTAATGAAGTGAAACGAAGTGGCAGCTCAGTCTGATTATAAAGCTTAGGCAAAATGAGGTGTTACCTGTCAGGGTTAAGTAACTGTTTAGGGTAGAAATGTACAAAATCTTTATGCCAGACCATGGCAGTGAGTCAGCATTTTTGCCAGGTGTGGAGTAATACTACACTTTAGGTTCAGTGACTCATACTACTGGAGCTGAACTGTGAAATGACAGCGAGCCGTGATAGCGTTTGCGGTTGTATTTGGGAGATTGAGTACGGAGCAGTATACTTTCCTCGTAGATCTTAATGAAAACATACAAAAACAATCACAAATGAGGAAATTTGCAGTATTCAGCACATTTCACAAATATTGGATCAAAACAACATTAGATAACCTTTTAACCCTCCTCCTGTGTTTTGACTTTGTCAGTAACCCCTATTTCAACAAAATAAAACAAAAAATTTAATTGACTAAATTATAAAATGCTTTTATTAAAATTATGGCGCTTGTCGTGTTAGGGTCACTGTTGACCTGGTTAGATCAATATCTAATTATCAAGGGAAAAACTGAAATCATCATAAGTGAACTGTCAGGCACCACACTGACAGTCAGATCCTCTTCCAATCATGTGAGATTTAGGAAATTCTCATATTGCCATGTTTTTCCCTGCACAAAAGACAACGTCGGGCATGTCCAGACATGTGAGATCAGTTCAGTATAGATGTCTGTATGAGGGGTAAACTGACATAGAAAGGCCCAGAGGACCACAACAAAAAATATTATAAGCAATATTTTCATGGATAATGAAGCTTAACAAGTTAAACTAGAGATGAGAACCAAATTGGATGATAGAGAATTGTTTTTAGTGTAATTTACAGCTGATTTAAGACACGGGTCAAAACCGACCCTGAACATGGTGGGTGCGTAGTGAAAGCTAACACAGGAGGAAGGTTAAAGCACTTCTGTACGGTGGCCCTGAGGTGCAAAACACAACAGAAAAAGAGAAAACACAATGGCAAATCAGAAAACACAATGTTAAAGCCGAATATGTAACACTGACCCGAAATGTTGTATTAAAAAATGTAATAAAGCCAGAAATGTAATAATTTGTCAATAATTTAACAAAAGTAGGCAACACTTTACAATAACCATAATATATAAATGGTCTATTCACCATTTATGAGTTATGGTTATTGTAAAGTGTTACTCAAAAGTGTCGACCCGAGATGTAATAAAAATGATGTAATAAAACCCATAATGTAATAATTGACCCAAACATCATCTCAACATCTTGTTACATTATGACCAGTTATTACATTTTGGGTTTTTTAATTTTTTTTCTATTACATTTTGAGTCATTGTTACATATCAGGTTCTAACAAGGCATGTAAATGGTAGTTAGTTTTCTTCTACTGAAGTTGGACATTTTTGTGTTTTAAAAATCTTTTTTAATAATCTTAAAGTATATCCTCAGAAAGCTACACAAGCTTTAAATTAAAATTAAAACAAGAGAATGATTTGAAATATTTCATGTGACATCCAATGAATATAACAGATATGTGAGTAAATAAAATAATAAAAAATAAACTTTTCACAATATTCATCATGAGGGAAAGGTCTCAAAATAGAATAAGAACTTTAGATTTAGAATAAGAATAGAATTATGAAAATATCTTAAATATTATCTTAAATAATATTAAATATATTAAATATCTTGAATATTATTAAATATTATATTATGAATGTATCTTTAAAAATCTTATTCTATTTAGAAATACAATAAGAATAAGTAGATTTAGAATAATTTAGAATAATAAGAATTTTATCTAAATTTGTATTATTACTTACGTGTATATTACAACATCCTAAAACTACCTCTTCAGTGGGGCAGTGTTGCTGTAGGAAGTAAAAGAAATGATGGAGTGTAGACACTGCTGCTTGTGGCAGAGGTGAAAGGATGAATAGAATTGTTGGACATGAGGATGGATGTGTTGTGAAGCGGGACTTGTAATAAGCTTGGTGAAAGGACCCTTGGGCGCTGACTGTGATTAGGTGCATGTTGTGTGTAGGAGGGTTGCATTGATTTGACAGCAACAGCAAGTGACAGCGGCAGAGAAAGACCATTTTAAACCTTGACAGTGATGAGATGATTTGCTCTCAGAGTTTGTGACTACATGTGATCGGTTTAAGTGAAAGAGTGAAACCCCCAAAACACAGCTAAAGAAAGAGAGAGACTGTAAATGAATGAGTGAGTGAATTTATGGGAAAGTTAATTTGAGAGGATTTTTTTTTTTTTAACGTGTAACAACACTTGAAACATACTAGAGTAATGAACTGGGCACCAGTGGCCTTGTTGTTTGAGCACACGCCCCAATTACAGAGGCGTTGGTCCTCATTGCAGTGGTCTCTATTTTTACACCAGACCATGACCCTTTCTTGCTTGTTTGGAAAGAGGGATAGAGGGAGACGCAAAAAGAGAGACACGGATAGACACAAACAAAAACAACTGCACATATACACTAATGATTATGCTGCCAATAATAACATTAAAAGCAAATTCTATCTGCAGGAATCGCAAATTTAATAACATTAGATATTAATATTGAAGGTCTAGTGGTAGGGTTTATAAAATGGAGGAATGTTAATATCTATTGAAGTAGTTGGTTTCAAGCTGTCCTGAAGTTAGCATTAGCATTACAACATGGTGAGACTGATAACAGCTGACGTATTCAGAGTCAGGCAGGTCTGTCAGCAGCTGGTTGTCTGCAGAAACAATCTTGAAGTCGAGGGAGCTCAAGGATTCCCCAAAAGCTTGTAACTCTCGTAGGTCATGGAGGTTTAAGGATTCAAAGTAGAGGACATGCAGACCCGGTCATGTCAATAACCAGTTGTTATTGACATGAAGATGATCCTCCTGGTGGTTTTGCAACTTTTTTAGTTTTTTATTGTCAATATCTCATTTTCTCAAACCTGTTATGAGCATCACATTTTTAAATGAGCAAATAAATTATGTGATTTGATGTCAGTGTACTGTTGCCGGTCGATTACAGGGTAAAAAATTATTTTCAAACCGATAAGAATCTGTTTTCTCAACATTAAACGTCATGTTCCACCTATTTGGGAATTAGGGTAAGAAAATAACCAAAAAAAGAAGAACAAAACAGAAATTATCTCTAGCACAAAAACAGTTAAATGACTTGTAGTACCTTCTAAACCTTGTGTATGTGTGTGTTTGTGTTGTGTGTTTATACGTGTTTACTTGTAATTTGTCTGTCTGCGAGCTTGTGTGTGAATCAATCACCCTTCGCCCGAGGCCTGCAGAGACATTTGCGTCCACTGCAGAAGCAAAGAGATCTGTCAGTATTTTCACTCTGGCTTTGGCAGCATTGAAAACTTTCACTTCAGTCGAGCCAACACCTTTACTAACTTCAAGGGAATTTCTTACTTTAAGGTGTAGAGGAAAAACAGCCGGTGTCCGGGCTTTCCACCTCGCTCTTTGTGCCCGAGACCTCCAACCCTCACACAACCTTTCCCTGACTGCATTTATAATGCATTAAGGCATTATGTAATGACTACAAATCCACAACAGCTACAATGGTGTGGCAGCTGTCAGAGCACCGGGATGCCAATTACCATGTATGGCCTTGTGCCACAATTAGAGCCTCTTTTGAACTTTCACCATCTTATGTGCGTAAACAGAGACAAATGAAAACAACAAGGAAGATAAGAGGGGTAAAAAAAAAAAGAGAAAAAGAAATAACAACAGGAGAAGAGGAGAGGAGCATGGTTGGAGGAGTTTTATGAGGAGAGGAACATGTTTTGTATTAATAGGGATATCTAGGAAAGCAAAAAGAAAATAGACACAAAAATAAAGGACAGTCATACATCACTGGAGAGTTCACTCCAGCTGGTACATTTTCCTCCCACACATTTGTTTCTGGTTAATAATGTTTACAGATAAATGGACGCTCAGTGTCGCTGAGATCAATCCTTCCTTGTTTAGATATTTTAAATCATTTACACTTCTTTTATGCACAAATTTTCAATACACAAATTTTCTCTATTCAGAGCAGACTTGGGCTGTCCCAGAATACAATGGGGGGGTTAGGTGAAGCGGCCAGTCTGACATATATAACAGACCAACAGACTCATGGTCACACACCCCCAAAGGCAGTTTTTGGGTCATGGCATTGCATCTTTTTTGAACAATGGAAAAAAATGGAGCACCCCATAGAAAACTATGGGGGATGTAGAGGGTAAATAAAAACCCCTCACCCATGTTAGCATAGCTTGGCACACATTATGAAACGAGACAAAACAGCTTGTTTTTTTAGTGCGCTCCATGTTTGGGAATCATGATCCCTGCAGTGGTAGCAGGTTCGGTAGTCTAGCCCCAACCATGTGCTGCATGTCCTTCCCTCCATCTCTCCACATTTCACTCTATCATATCAATAAAAGGCAAAAATCGCCCAAAAAGGGGGCACGCAGATGGCCTAGCGGGTTACTGCGCCCCTACTTATGGGCACCGTGGCCCCCGCAGTGGTCGCAGGCTCGAGCCTGAACCCAACCATGTGCTGCATGTCCTCCCCCCTCTTTCTCTATTTCCCCCATACTTTCAACCTGTCCTATCAAAAACTCACCAAAAAAAAAATTGCCAAAAAATGGCGGAAAAAAAACGCTTGTTTTGCTTCACACAAAAATAACAAAAATTCTGCTTGAACTCACTTATTAGCATATTTTTATTGACTGTTAATCAGTATAAAGGGGTTTCAGTGTGAGTTATATGATTGTCTGTTTCTCAGCAGGTAGCAGGTTAAATGTAGACTGGGTATTGTTTTACTTTGACCCAACACTCAGCACGAATCAAAGTTTATTTTAGATTATATTTTAGGATTTTTCTTGTATTGAAAAAGCAGAATTAGCAGTCACATCATTCATTTGTTCATGTGTTGATGTTTCTCCTCCTCAGGTTCAGGAGTGGCTCTGTCTGAACTGTCAGATGCAGAGAGCGTTGGGGATGGACATGACCACACCACGCTCCAAGAGTCAGCAGCAGATACACTCTCCTTCTCAAACGGCCAAACCAGAACTCAAAGCTGATGCTCCGACTCAACCTGCACCCCAAACACAGCCCCCTCCTCAAACTCATCCCCCTCCTCAAACTCAACCCCCTCCTCAGACTCAGCCCACTCCCCAGAAACAGCCTCTAGTCCAGGGCCATCCTGCACCTGGCCCAGCAAAACAGGCTGGCCCAGCCGGCCCAGGCCAGCAACAAATTAAGCTTCCTCCAGGGTCTGTTCCCCTTCCCGGCATGGCTAAGGCCCCATCCCAGCCTGATCTGTCCCGCAACTCCCCAGCCCACCAACCCCACCACCCTCGCCAGGACCAGACTCGCAGTGCTGGGAGCTCCCCCTCACGGCAACCTCCTCCTCCAGAGCAGACTTTTGGAAAGCTGTTTGGCTTCGGTGCCTCTCTCCTTAACCAGGCCAGCACTCTAATATCAGAGACTACACAACCCCAACAACAGCCCCCAAAACCTGCCCCAAAACCAGGAGGACCTCCTGGTCCAGGGCCTGGGGCAGCTAAACCCTCAGGACCTCTGCCTGCACAGCAAGGGCCTCGAACTCTTACCCAGCAGCAAAATCTGCATGCTCCCCCAGATTCCTCGAAACCCAAGGCCTGTTGTCCTCTCTGCAAGACCAACCTTAATATTGGCAACACAGCGGAACAACCCAACTACAACACCTGCACACAGTGCCACCAGCAGGTGTGCAACATGTGCGGATTCAATCCCACGCCACACCTAGTCGAGGTAAGTCTCTGTCCGGGTCTGTTCTGCTTTTAACTGTGTGAAACAAAGACTCAGCGGGGCTCAAATGGCTTGTAGACCATGAAAATCGCAGAAAGAAATGATATATTGACATGTTTCTGTGAAAAATGCTGTGTCATTGTGCTGCCGAATGGGTTTGTTTGTGATTTATTCGGGGCTGGCTGGTCATTTTACAGCAGATTTCTGTGTGAATGAATCAAATATTCAGCTTTGGGTTTTTCTTTTAAATGAAAAATGATTTTTAGGTTTTTTTTCTAGATTCTCTCTTTGTGCTTGTCTTGTTGTCGCTTGATATTTTCAAGAACAATCACGTTTAAATATGTCCTACTGTTTGCCTCTGAGAAATCAGTGTATAGTTTTAGATCATTCAACGCAGGGGACACCTATGGAAAGGATTTCAACAGCTTCTGGTTGATATTTTGATTTCTAGGCTGCAGTTTCTGTCTGAAGCTTGTACACATGATGTTTTATGTAAGCCTGCAAGCTTGGACTCTTCCCCAGCCTGTTTCTCTCTCTCTCTCTCTCTCTCTCTCTCTCTCTCTCTTTCTCTCCCCCTCTCTCTCTCTCTCTCTCTATCTCTCAGTGTGGACCAGCTCTGTTGTGCTCAGTCTGGGCCTTTCATGTAGTTAGCAGATTGAAGTCCAGGCTGTGACTCAACCTATCAATGAGTGTGTTCGCCTGGAGCCGCGCAGAAATATATGACCAATCTCCAGGAAACAGAGCTTTATCAAGTCCAATTAATGCCTAATCTAAGTATTGATTAAGCTCATTCAGAGGTCAAGTGTGGGTGTTCCTCCCTGAAGTGTCCCCCTGTCCTCTGTCATCCGTCGGGTAAGAGCAGGGATTCACAGTGCCTTCCAGAGCGCAGCAGTAACAGAGTTTAATTATGCAAATCAAGTCCAATTGAATGATAGCAGTAATAACAGGCTTTCTGCAGAGTTCTGCCTTTTATGGGTGAGCCTTGTCTTCCCAGGCATCTGGTTGTCACAGGCACTAGCACAGGCCATTCACAGATCGCTATGGAAACAGAGTAATAATTTGTTTGTCAGCCATCCCTTTCATGCTTGGCTGCAGAGATGGTGTGGGTCCTCAAAAAGTTTTCAGACTGTTGTTGTTCCGTTTGCACGACAGAGACTCCATCATTAGGCGTGTTGAGTTTCTGCTCTGCCGCCTGCATTTTTCTCCTCAATCCAACATAAGGTGCATTCTTTCCAAACCTGCGAACAGTTCTTGTCATCAGTCCATGTGAGCTGGCAGGTTGATTGTATTTTGGAGTGGGTGAGAACCATTTGGACATGGTGTGAGGCTTTGTACTTTGAATCTAGGTGCCTCGGCTTGATTTCCACAGCTTGTTCGGCAACGTGTTCCTCTTTATTCTCTTCTAGTGTCTCCAAACTTTTCTCAGTTTCTCTGTTTATGCTTCGTCACCGTCTTGTTCTGGCAGCTGCAGGCGTAAATGTAATCATTGTTATAATGAGGGTGTGGTGACAAAGCCTGTAGGTGCATCAATTTTTCATAAATCAATGCTCTACTCTAATTGAGTTTATTGGGCATGCTTGAGACTGTTTGATCTTGTTAATTTTTGGACCACCCAGTTGCAAACAGACATGAGCAATTATTTTTAAAATCAAAATATCTACTGAAAGTACTAAAAACTGACAACATTTGAGTTTGTTTTGTTTTGTTTAACACAAGCGTAAGTAATGTTTTCACAGAGCAGGGACCCTAAGTCTTAAACAAGGTCATCAAGCACAGGTTTTTGTTTGATTCATGAAGTGGATTCTGCAGTAGTTACAGCAGGTTGTGGCAACTAAAAATAAACTCGGCCCATTTTTACATAAGAACGTGTCACCCAATGTAGGTTGTTGTTTGTTTTTGGATGACAGTGTCAGCACATGGCAATAAGAAAGGCAGTACCTCAGGCTTTTGCTACACTGGCAGCTCTTGTTAGTAAAGTAAACTTACAAGTATTTTTATTGACACGGAACAGTTGAAGGTAAAAAGACCAGCCCAGGACTTCTCCTTCATGGTTCAGTTGTTAGTTAGTTTGTTTTTTTTAAAAACAGTTCAAACAAATTTTACTTGCATTTTGGTTTTTATCATAGACTGTAATGGATGCCGTCTGCCTCCTCGCTGGGTGAAGCCACCCCGAGAAGAACAGCACCCTCTGGTAACGGGCTGCAGTATAGGTCATAAATCCTTCCTCCAGCAATCCCTATGGAGCTGTGGACAAACTTAAAAAATTTATTACACAGAATATACATTTTTCTCCCCCCTGCTTGACATGTAGAAGACTAGCTTTTGCTCAAGTCCTCTTTTTTCTGTACAGCCCCATTTTTAAAAGTTATAAGGGGGTTCAAGTTTTCTATGATTGACACTTGATAATAACCATGCATAGCGTCTGTGACATCACCCATTTGTTTCTGAAGGAGAGTTTAAAGCCAATGAGCAGCAGTCGGCATAATGGAAATGCTGACTCAACCTAGCTTTTGGTCAGTTTAACAGAATACGGCCTTGCAGTCAAGTCAGTCATGCCTCTGATTCACCGATCTTGTAACTTTAATAACTTTGAAACAAAGATATTGCAGTAGAGTTCACTCCCAGCTACTCAGAACAAAACATTTTTTTGAATCAGGCTGTACATGTGTTTAATTTTACTCTACAAACATGGGGTAATTGGCTTAGTGTGCACTTTGTTTCTGGTGCTTCTGCAGCCAGCCTAACCCCAATACCCCAACGTAGCCCTAACACTTGAAAATATTTTGACATTTTTCGAAATTTTTTTGGTACCAATTGACTCCAAATGGTCTGAAACTTACTCTTAAAAGGTCCTGGACAGTAATCATAACCCTAACCCTAACCCCCTAGCCCCGATACCCCAACTTTACCCTAACAATTTAATTTTTTTTTTTACATTTTTCTTAATTGTTTTTGTACCGATTGACTCCAAATGGTCAGAAATGTGCTCCTAAAAAGGTCCTGGACAGTGATTTTAACCCTAACCCCATAACCAAAACCCTAACCCAACCCCCCTAACCCTAATACCCCAACATTACCTAAACATAATAACACTTTAAATTTTTTTGACATTTTTCCAAAATTCATTGTACCAATTAACCCAAAATGGTCTGAAACTTGCTCTAAAAAAAGGTCCTGGATAGGGATTTTAACCTTAACTCCATAACCCTAATCCTAACTCTAACCCCAACACCCCAACACCCCAACACCCCAACGTTACCCCAACGTAAACCCTAACACTTAGAAATTTTTTGACCTTTTTCCTAATTTTTTTTGTACCAATTCACTCCAAATGGTCAGGAACTGAAGCTGAAAACGAGAGTAGACGTAAAACAACTCAGCTGCTTGAGAAGTTGAAACTTTAATTTAAAACAATTCTAAAATATCGAGCCCTCACCATCTGAACTTTGTCGAACCTTTAACAAAACTTCAAGACAGATGTCTTGTAATGGAGTCATCTGCTGCAGAACTTGGAGAAATTCTTCAAAATGATCCGAAGCTTTAAGAAAACATCCAATGCTGAAAATATTCATGAAAAGAATTTTTTGTCCCCCCCCCCATGAGTGACACAATGCATAATTCATTTAGAACAAATGAGGCTGAGCTGTATCATAGAAGGAAAAAGTAGTCAGCCCCTCTTTAATCTGTGCTGAGACCATGAGTGCCAGTGAGAATGGTTGGAAGAACGGAGGAGGAGAGAAAGAAAAGAGGTGATAGATCGAGGAGGAGGAGGAGGAGGAGGAGGGAGAGAGTGAGAATCAGAGATAATGAGTGAGAGGACACCAACTGTTTGTTACGTTGCACAATATTTCTCGTCAATTAGTGCTGAAAGTCATGTGTGGCTCTGAGTAAATAAGCCGTCCTTGTTTTTGGGACTGTTTCCTGCTTTTCAAGGTGATGAAAATCCAACCCCTGTGTCACTGTCGCCTCTCTAAACAGCTGTTGTAGATAGAAACTTCAAATGTTCCTCAATCTACAGTACAGTACACTAAAATCAACCGTTCTTACTCAATGACTCTGTCTTTGCAGCTTCTGCAGCAGTTACGCTTTAGGTTTTTCTCCACTGTAAGTACAGGTGGAGGTGTGTCAGTCACAGCGCAATGCATTTCAGTTCCCTTCAGTCTCGATATTACATTGTTTTTCCATTACCAGCCTCTCCATATGTCCAATATTTCATTGCCACGGTTGGGCTGGCGTACCAAATGTGACTGTGTGTATATGTGTGTGTCTATTATTATGACACAGAAGCGTGGCCTGTTTGTAACGAGGCGAGGCCCTGAGTGGATCATTAGTGAAACGACTGAATTTCTTACAGAAGTGTGGAAAAGTGTAGAGAAAAAGAAAACATAGCTCATCAATAATTCAATGAGGGAGAACATTATAAATAGTTCATGCAGCGTGGAGCAGTGAGAGAGAGCTGTGTTTGATTCCCGGTGTCACGTAAGGTCAATGTGTGTTAACGCCTGTGTGTATATCTGTGTTCATGCATGTGTGTGAGGGAGGCATGCTGCAGGTGTTGTTTTGTAGCCGCAGCAGGTGACGTTTTCACACATATTTACTCTCTGATGTCAAACACACACAGTGAGCAGATATTTGCCCCCTCATATCAAACACGTTTTTAAAATCTCCATCATCTAGCAAAGTTTTAGTTCTACGTTTACACTTGCTTCATGTGCTTGTAACTTCAAAATATGACTTATGTTGGATCAGACAAAGCCAGTTTAATATTTGCATATGCTGCTCGAGCCAGCAGCTGTGCTGTCCTGGCTGTGGTCCTTCGGTCACAATTTCCGCCTGCCAGAAACAACTCTGAGCTGAAGTAAAGCCAGGGTTTCCAAACCCTGTTTATGTTGACATATTTACCTATAAATGTTTAATTATTTTACATTCTGTGCACTTAACTTATCTTTATTTTGCCATAAAGAAAGAAGACTTTGCATTATTGAGATAATGAAGTCAGAGGTACTAGCGAGACACACATAAGCACACACACAGACTCCTTCAGTCTCTTTCTGTAATATGCTGAGCTGTGACAAAGCAATTACAGTCAGACTGAGAAAAGAGAGAGACCTTTAAACAGTCTGAAACACTGTCTGCAGTAACTTGGCTCACTTTAATGTGCCTTGCACAGAGAGTGCAGTAAACTGATGAACTGTTGATAATGAGAAATTGCAGAAAAAGACATTGTGTAGCGTGAAATTGACCCTTTAAAAACTATGTTTGATTTAGAAACATACACACTCTGCTCAAGAACTGCTTATATTCACAAGCTTCTGAGAGCTGCACACAGATTCAGTCGATAACTGCATTCATGAAATTCTTGATGGAACTCCTATTGATTTCTACTTCCTCCATTAGAAGTCCACATTTCTCGAGACTGCAGTGTCCTTGAAGACCCAGCGGGAACATGGTAAACATATGTACAACATGTAGCATTTGTGGATGTGTCACAGCTCTACAGGAACACAGTCGCCGCTCTCACACAGAGCCACAGTATAGATGAACATGTCATTCTCATTCTCAAACACGCTGGAAGTGTTTTCTGAAGGTTGGCACCAGCCGGTTTCTCCCTCAGGAGTCCCATCCAAAGCCAGATGGCTGCCGGCATCATGCATCCAAGCCTGCCGCGCTAAGCCTGGCTGCTCCCAAAGTGATGATGATACACCATCACGGCTTCAAACGCCCACCCAGCCTCAATCAGCTGCTCGACGCCTTTTAATACCTCTATTTTCCTTTGTGCTGCATGAACTATGTTTTTATTGAAGCCAGCTAGTTAAAAAATAGGACCGCGCAATAAATCTAAATTCTATTTCCATTGCAATAAACAACACAAAAGACCTACAAAGGGGGGGCCTTAGATCCATGGACCATGCTCTCTTCTCAGCCAGCGTCAGATTAAATGGTGTCAATTCGAATGCAACTGTAAGGTTAGCTGTTTTGTTAGCTGAGGAGGGACATGTGGTTGATGAAGACCGCTTGGCAGAAAAAAAAGCACCTCAGCCATTTTGAAATATTAGATTTTAACACAGATCCTCCTTAAATAGCTGGAACTGAGCAGGAAGACACAGGAACGGCATGTTGTTGCTAATATGCTAATTTTAACATTTATTTATCACGTCATCATCACATTGCAGAAGAGTTTTTACCCACAATGCAGCTTTTCCCCAAGCTCTTTTAGGCCTGCCGAAATATCAGACTCACATGCACAACCACAGGATACACAGTGTCACTCCTACTGGGAAATACATGTACTAAATATGCAATATTAGTCACCTCACTTATAAAATAGTGATTGTGCTGCTTCATTTTATATAAACAGACACTTTTTTTTGCAGTTGAGTAAATTAACTGCGCTTCCAACAACTGTTTTAAATGCTAATGGTAGCATCTGGCACTGTTTAAAGAAAGACATTTTGCAGCTCTGCAAACACCCACATACACACTTACATACAGTTTGGACACCCACACTTAACACTGTACTGCGCCCTCCTCTTTTCTTAGTTCAGATGTATTAAATGGCTGATCTGTGTGATCCTGACTCACCTCGCTGTAAAACTGCCAGGATTCAAAAAGCAGGAATAGATTCTTATGAAATATTTAATTTACCCTTCGCTGCTTATTTCATTAGACATCTCTTTCCCCGAGTACATCTCAGTTCTCATGCATTACTCAAACGTGGCAGATATAAATAATCATTCCCGTGACTTTCTTCAACATAACAAATTGCTTGTTTTGTCTGTTTGTCTCACTTGTTTCACTCATGTCCAAATGCCTCCTCCACCTCCTCTCTGCATGTTTCGGTGAGACTTCTCTCCCCACGTTTGCATTCCTCCTCATCCTCCTGTCTGCATGCCTTAGTCAGACTCTGCTTTGCTGTTGACACATTGATTGAATTGGCAATTACTCCTGGTTGAGACACACAGTTGACGTTGCAACACGGATACTCAGCCCCTCTTGATTCCATCTACGCTCCGTCGATTTAGCAGCAGCAGCGGTGGGGCGAGCATTTTAAAACCCCCTGTCGTAAAAAGCCTGAGTATTTGTGAAAGGTGATTCAGACACAAACAAAAGGAGACAGGGAGATGTGTGTGTTTGCACCTCTGTGTTTGTGTGTCTGTTTGATAGAAGGAGCTAATAGTTAGAAGTGTTTCTAATCCGTGTCGAGGGTGTGTAGTGATTCCCTTGAGTGCCCTGCTTAACCCCAACACACCACCGTGAAGATCCACCCACACAAACAAGAGCCATCTGAGAATAGTAAGCCTCATCGGCTGATTAGGCCGAGACATTGTCATTTGGAGTTAGCCTAAAAATGATGCTCGTGTTAATGAGATTGTAAAAATGAAAACAAAGAGTTTCCACCAGAGTTCTGTGTTTTCATTATGACAGAGCGTGTGAAGTTAAAATCTATATGGCATGTTTGCCCCAAATCCCTCTATTCCCACTGTATACTCACCAATAAATGTCAGTGTGTGGCAGACAGGCAGACAGGAAGATGATGTGATGAACAGGAATGACTGTTTCCTGTTGAGATTATGTGGTGTCCAGCACAGATGGCATGCTGGTCTGGAGGCTTAAATGCCACTCACTTTCATCTCTGGGACCTTTGTGTTTGCCTCTGAGCTTCGAATGAGTTACATACACTTGGTAGGGATGGGAATTAAAGGTGGGGTAGGCAGGAATCTGTTAAAGAAGCATCTCATCTTTTTTTGTGGTGTATATACAAAAAAGCTTTTAATATCAGTCAATAGCTATTAGTCATTGATGACATTTGGTAATATAACGATATCGCTGTGTTTTGTTATTTCTGTGTAGTCAACGTTTTAAAATTTCAGAGCGCTCCGCTCTTTCTGACTGTAAACTGTTGACTGTTTGTGAGGCGGACGCTGCTCCCCTGTGTCGTTCAGGAGCCAAAACAAAGTTAGCGTGCTACAATTTCAGACAGTAGAAACCAACCAGAAAGTACAGAAAATTGTCTGAATCCTCCTTTGGCCATGACTGCCGACACAAGCAAGAAAACAAAGTAAATACCGGAGACTCTGGCGGAATAACTGGTGCTTAAAAAGGAGGTAGACCGGGCAAGAGCTAAAAAGCCGGCTCAACAATGATGGGGATGCTTCGGGATCTTACAGACCCCGTAACCTTTCTGCTGGACAGTTAAATCACCTCAAAGGTCCTTACACACCGGGACCGTTTTTTTCATGCGATTATTTCAGACGTCTATATTTTTTTCAAATCGCATCCTGTCAATACAAGCGTTCACATCAGCGCCGTTTTCCCATCCTGCGATATTGCGGCAGTTTTTGTTTTGCATCACGGTTGATTTTTCTAAGGTTTTGCAAACTGTGTGTCCACTTCTGACCAATCAGATTTCGTGTTGTTACGACGTCAGATTCACCGGTATATCCAACATGGCCAACTGGCTGATTGTTTGTGTCGGCGAACAGAGAGCTTTTTGATAAAAAAAACACAAACATTACAAAGATAATGACCTGAAGGTCAACTTGTGGAGAGTCATAGCATCGGTTTTCTCACATGTGCTGTGTTTGTGTGCTTTAACAGTTTGCTAAACGCTAACTAACTTTAGCTCGTAAGCTAACCTGTTCAGATACAACATACCATATGTATTTTCACTGTCTCAAACTCAATCGTGTTGCTGTCACAGCACCATTAGGTCTCGGTTGTTACCTTAGTTTTATGGATTATAGTTTAATGTGCTTATCTGGTACTGGCCCCGACTCAGTACATGCTATCATGAAAGTCGCAAAATCGCATTGCGCTTGATGTGTGTATTCAGGCGCGTCAAAATATGCCTCCGAATATTTCGTAATTTTGCGTCGTATATTTGCGTCGTTCCCGGTGTGTAAGGACCTTAAACCTGCAAAAACTGAAACTGTAAAATCACATACAGTAGAGGCCCAACGGTCACTGAATTACATCCAAATTAGCAGGAAATAGAAAGGAAAAACAACCTGTTGTAAGCATGTCGTCGCCTCTATACTGAGCCCAGCTGACCGGGGCTGCACTACGCTGCTGCTACGCTCCAAATATGCATCCTGTTTGCGATTCCAAATGCTGCTATACGGAGAAAATTCGGATCCTGTATGTTTTCGGCATTAGACTAAACTCCTGTGGATCTCACTTGCTGAGGCAACCGCAGCTAAGCTCAAATTCCTTACATCCAGTCAGTTTTTGTTCTAAAATATTTGAAATGTACCAGCCAGCACTGTTTTATTCTTGAGCGACAGGAGATTAAAAAAGGCGGTGAAATAAAAGAACAATAACCAGCTCTTTTTGACACAGCGGTAGAGTTGTATGTGTGATATTCTGCCAAGTGTCTGTGCCACACAAGCGTCCATTTTTCATGTGATGTCTTTGAGGTCAATCTCGACCTGTTCCCAGCCCGGCCTGCACCAGCAGAACTATCAGCCATTATGATGAATGACTATCCAGGAGCACGGTGACCATACTGAACTTGAACCTCTCTTCTAGCCCCTTTCTTAGCTTCTGTCTTTAGATGCCCCTCCTCTTGTACCTTGTGAGCGAATTTGCTCCGCATTGGCTTAATCACCTCTTCAGAACTCATCATCTTCAAGGCCCGGTGGCTATGCTAACGAGCTTTAGCAATGCTCCTGGGGCCGCTGGCGGTGCTGTGTCTGTCCTCGCTGTCAGATGCACAGAGGTGGGGCGGAGCAGTCCCCCCACCCCTGCCACTGGGCCTTACTGTCTCAACACATCACTTCACCAGCCTCATCGCTGCTCCCGCTCTCTCCTCCTTGCAGCACCTCAGGCATGCGACTACTCCCTAATGTTGGCATTAGAAGAGAAGGAGGAGGGGTTAGCTGAGTGTGCGCTGCGCTTACAGGCTGCAAATACTAAAAAGGCAGGCGACACAAATGTGAGATTACAGAGCAGAGACGTGCAGTTGTATGTCAGGGGAGCAAATACAAAAACACAGGCAGACAGAGGGAGCTATAATAAAAGAGAGCACGAGATTGAGAGACAAAATGAAAGAGATAAAGCTCACTGATCGCCCAGATATTACATTTAACCCCTTGCTAATCTCCTCAGTGCTGCAGCTGTCAGGCAGCAGTCGAGATGACCAGATCCATTGGTAAGACTGAGGGCAGCATGAGCAACGACGGCAGAAGCTGCATGAGGAGCTGTACACTTAACTAGAGAGATGTTCCTCCCACTGCCTCCATTAGTGGAGACATGGAGGCTCCACTGCTGAGCAGTTTACTGCTGGGGGCGGGACACAATAACACATGGGGGGGTAATAGTCCTAAATGGGTTCACTTGGTCACTGTCATTGCCGTGCAAACCTTACCTCCGAAAACCAAAACACAGTTCTTTTAGGCCTGAATGTCTGAGTTAGTTTATTTATATTAAAGACTAGATTAGTCATCTCTGCTACAGAAAGATGCAGCGTAGATGTGTGATCAGCTGGCTAAACTGCTCGGTCAGTCGGCTTATCCTCAGTTAACCTCATTTGAACCTTCGATCCAGATATACTGTATATTTGTATATATTTGGTCAAATCTACTCAGACTTATGCTGTTTATATTTTTTTTATTGTGTCACAACTTTACACTGATTTATTCACTTACCTGAAAATGAGCCGTTCCTGCTTTTGATTTCAGAGATAATTTGCTTTATTACTTTTCTTTATGTTGTTATACCTTGTTTCTCATTTCGAACCCGTTCAGCAGCTGAGCGATGGGGTTAGGGTGAGAGAAAGTGAGAGAGAGCTGTGAGTATTAGTGTAAATGTGTCGGTTGAACGTTGCTCTGTCTGCACCTGCTTTCACTTTTATTCATGGTAGGACCTCCTTGAAATAAGATGCTGCATCTCGAGGTGCTAACCTTTGACAAATTCACATTTTTGAGTGGGCGTCTTTCAGTGATGTCAACATTGTCCTTGCCTCTCCTATGAGTACAAGTTTTATACTCATGCCAGTGCTGCCCTTTGGACTGACACACTTATGTATGACGACAATGAACTACAAGAAGTCACTGAAATCAGTGAACTTTTTCTGGTGATAAAGTCATACAAGTAGATACTAGTGACAAGTTGCAGCCCTGGTAAGTTGTCTAAAAGATAAATGTGAGACACACAAAGAGTATTTGCTTGGCTGGAAGCTTTAGCTCTGCCTGGCAAGAGAATTAGAAACTCATCTAATATAAAACAGGGCTGTAGAGACAGCCTGATTAACTTGTCCTGGGGACAGACATATGCGACAAGACACATGACTTGTTTCAGCTTGGCTGCAAACTGCAGTGTAAAATACGTTTGTCTTGCTGCGGCTTGATTAACAATTTTGGATAACAGATGTTTGTTTGGACATCAAACTTCTGTGCTTGTTTCTGCATATTTAGGAATTTCACAAAAAAGCACATCCTAATTTTTGATCTTTCTGTGTGTCCATGAGAGCGAGCGTGCTGATCTCTTTGATGCATGCTGATTTTGCATACACTGACTTAATCTGATGCACTCACACTGGAACACTGTGAGCTATTATCAAGCTGATATTAAGCCAGCGTGCTGATTAAACCTCCAAAAGGTAGGTTAGAGTGAATAATGTCAGAAAAAATTGGCTGCACAGTTAAAGAGGCAGCGAGTGTATGAAGGTGAAAATAAGACATCAAAGGCTTGTCTTTATTCTAACTGCATGAGACAGTTTGACCACAGATAGAGGTGCCTTTTATGAAACTAGGCTGAGCTATGTGCTGCTGCTGCTAAGAGGGTTTTTTGGGCAAGATTGCAGAGGGATAAACACTGCAATTTATCTGAATATTCTCAGGCCAAATTAGCAGCTATAAGGCAAATAAAAATCCTTCCAGGGAAAAGAGTTAAACAGAAAAAAACAGCTGCCTTCGGAGCAGCTTCTGTCGTCCTTTTAGATGCTGTCTCAGAAGTCCTAAAGTGTGTGTGTGTGAGAATAAGGATATCCGATTGTTCTTGTCCTTCGGGAAAGATTTCCCTTTTTTGAGGGATAGCAGAGGTGGACCCTCTGAATGTCCTTTAAAGATTCAGTTATATTTAGATTTGTGGAGGCGATGGATTAACGTCATTTAATGTCTTGTTTGATAGTTAGGAACCTCATATTTAATTGTGATTTAGCGATTGTAATTCTTTAAAGGACTAAAACAAACTACATGTTTTAAAATACCATTTAATCTTTTGAATTATGGAACCTCTCATTTCTGTTTCGGAGTACTCTGTCTTCTTGTTATTTGTTCCTGTTCGAGCTAAAGTGCTTTTCATAACACAGTTTCAACCTGAGGGAGGCCTTGAAATAAACGTTTTTGAGAACAATGAAGCAGCTCTATCATCTAAAATACGCTTGGATTATTTATAGATTATTTCAACAGTAGTGATAGTTGCTAATTCCTCTCTAAAACTGTAAAATTGTGCTTCCTTCCTAGTCCATAAATAGCCATGTTTACATGAGCAAAATTTCTTGATTGGATTAAAAATTTGAGTGATCGGATAATCTGAATCCACTGTTTATATGGGTGCAAAATGAAATAATCCGATCACCAAGTTTTATTCAGATTGGAAGCATTTGGACTTGCGCAGAGTTGTCCAATTTCGCTAAAACAACCGCAGAAGAAGAGTTGTATTTACGCCTGTGCTGTCAACAAACCAACAAACGCAGTAATGGCTCACTCCATCCAGTTTAGGAGGTTTTCTCCCTGTTAAATGTTGTCACTAGATGGCGCCCTTGCGTACTTTTTTTTACTGTTCTGTCAAAGGTTGCTCTGTGCGTGCAGATGTGACATCATTACGCTGTATTGTTATGTTACCGGAGGAGCAGACACGACGGGACCTGCGGTTGTGTTTTGTGCCAGAGTGTTAATAATTGAACCTCCTGTACTGGGATCAATAAAAAAGCCAAAAGCTAAAGAGTGAAGATCAAGTCAGGTAAGAGAGTCACGATCGCGATAAGTGTTTACCTGGACGTGGCAATAACGATCAACATAAACCACCCCTCTAGATCGGAATACAATTTCTTTCCGGATTGAGCTGAGTTGGATGAGAATCTTCCGATCGACGTGTTTACATGACGCATTTGTATTCCGATCGGGCATTTATTCCAAGTATTTGTGCTCATGTAAACGCAGCTAATGTTGAACTAAATCATTTGTTGTGATAATTTGGATGTCATTGTTCTGCTCACGTTGTGATTTATGTATTGATAGTCCCCATAATGAGTCAATACAGTCTCAGCGATGTGATCAGTCCCTGTGTGTTGAACAAAAAGGGTACGTACACCTGTTGCCCCCTGATGAAACAAACAGAAAGCGACAGAACAAGTAAATAAATAGCAGAAAACATGACCTGACCCTGTTCTATCAAGTCCTGAGAGGGACAGCAGAGATGTACACACACTTAATAGCAGATGACGCCATGTTGTCCTGCAGCAACACACTCTGCCTGAGAGAAAAGGGTTTTCCACATCTACACTCCTGTTGTTTTCGTATCAGGAAGATCTTAATCACTCCGGTAAAGTGCTCGGAGTGGACTTTGAAGCTCCTGATATCTGTTATTTTTAGTGCTGATTTACAAAATAAAGATAGGTGCACGCATAGGGGTTTCCCTCAGTTGTCTGTGAGTATCTTTTGATGCTGGCTGGCAGCCTGGAAGATCCCATCAACAGGGCCCTACGTCAGCCAACAGCTTCTGACCATTTAAGAGTCAGGGGTCAGCAGGAACAGACACAGGGGGTCAGAATGCTTTAACTTTCTATAAAACTCAGCTTCAGGTGTTCTTGCGTTTACTTTCTGACAGAGCTGTAGCATACTTCACTCTAGATTTGTTTGCATGGTCTTTGCAGGCATGTATTCATTCTGCTGTTTGCACCAGCCGAAGGTGCTGCTCCGCCCCCGGCAGAGTTACAAAACTTCATGTGTGGCTGATGAAATATAGAGCAACTGAGCTGACTTTGAATGCTATTCTGATGTGTGAACTAAGTTCCCCAGTAAGCAATCTTTTTACAGATTTGTTTGTAAAGCAGAATGTGCGTTCGAGTGGTGCGCAGGCAGGGGACCCATTTGCTGAAAGTTGTTCCAAAGTGATACCATGAAACATGAAACATATTCTGTTCTCGGTAAATTTAGCTGATACTTCACAGCTCTTCATATAGAAGCTGCAGGGGAGGTGCTTGTAATGCTTCCTACACTTACATCAAGTTATCTGGCTGGTTTGCCACTGCAGAAAATCCTCTGGTTTTACAAATAATCCTATAATTTTAATCTAAATAGCTCTCTCTGGGATGGGATTCTTCATGCTGTTAATATGACCCTCCTTGACTGATTCAATTGTATTGTAATGAAAATAATAAAGTTGTCAACTCACAGGCGCTTTCTGCTGCTGGATTTTGAATCTGAACCGACTAAAAAACAACAAGAGTAGAATAAAAGACGCAGAATTTTATCAACCCTATATTTCCCCTGCATGATTTTTCTTCGTTTATTTTGACCACATAGAGTGGACCTGCACGTAGGTGACTCTGACTATGGTTTAGTCCTGCCTGCTGGTGGATGATCCTTCATTTCCTCTCTAATCCACAGGCCTGAACCACGTGTCCCCATTGAAGGAGTCCCAGGGGATTGACCTATATACCTGCTGACTCTTACTGACCTGTCACCGCTGCGGTGTGGCGTGGCACAGCCCGGCACACTGCTGTGACATGTGCTCGCTCACGCTTTGCACTGCGCACTTGCTCGTCTTAAACCTCTGTTTATTCTGACTGTGCACAATAGAAATAGATGAAGTGGCGTTAATGTCTCTGATGGGGATTTAATGGAGTAACCTGCACGGCTGGTATTTGACTGTGAGTGTGAATCTAGCAGCATTCAAACAGGATGGAATACAGTGAGTACTGTTATTTGTAGTGAACTCGACTTCATCAGACGTAGACTGTAGTTTTGTCCTTATTGCAATTATCTATACTCTTAAGTAGAGAGTTTAGACATTTTATAGTTCATTACTGGTTTTACATTTGTCATTGTCAGCATGTCTGAGCATTTAAGGACATGCGACATATATATCCAGTCACCTCACACTCACACCGGTCACACCTGCTTGGCAGCGCGCCTTTTTGCACGTGGTAGTTAATAATTCACGCTGACCCTCTGCTCCCCTGACCTTCAGTTGTTACAAATTAATTATGACCTCCTCCATTGTGAACGCCTCATTAATCTCTGAGGGACACAAAACGGGAGGGATTACAATCACGATCTTTGATTTTGCCGTCACTCTTCTGGGAAAAGTGTGGCAGTGTTGCTTCAAATATCTTACATTTCTGTGCAACGCTGTCATCTTTGGATTTGTTTGATTTCCTCGCAGAAAAACTGTATCTGTCTTCTCATTATCTCTTGTCTCTTTTCTTCATTTTTGATTCCTATTCGGGTATGAAAACAACTATAACTGGGGAATAATCTTCTTATCTATCCTGGTGATGAGCACCTAAACTATAATACGATTGTGAGGTATATGATGGCGTTTAATGACAGCTGACATTTCTCACTCACAGCTTGTGGTCTAGTTCCTGGCAGAAAAAAGCAAGTGGGGGGGAAGCGACTCATGCTGCGAGTTGACTAGCAGAGAAAAAGGAACACTAAAGTTGTGTAGGTTATGCACAGTATGTCTCTGTGCACGTGTGTTCAGACACTTACTGCTGATCTGCACATTTGTTGGCGTATGCTGGTGTTGGTGTGTGTGTGTGGGGGGTTCCGTTTTGAATGGGACAGTGGGATGTGACTGTCACCACCAACTGTGCAGGGAGGCAAAAAAAAAAAATCTGAGATGATATTGAAAACGATGGTGTTAAACATGCTGCCCACTCAGAGTTCAGTTTTTAGCAGGATTCTTGTATCGGACTCGGTGAGTGTTTGTGTTTTTGTTCTGCGCATTCATGTTGTTGTGTGGGTGTGTTTGCTCCCACGGGGCTCCATAGCTATGAAATTCTGCACTCTCTGGCTCCCTCCATGGGTAGGAAGTGGTTTAGCTTTCTGGTAGATTCCTATTTGTCTTTTACTCATGTCCTTTAGTCTCTTAATTAGAAATCAGAAGAAAAAAGTCTATGATGAATGTCTAGGATTGTGAGTTTAACTGTTGCATCATCTAATCTTTTTTAATATTAAATTCAGCAGAGAATCTGATGTCCTTGATCAGAAATGCTTTCTGTGGCCAAAAAAACCAGATTCTCACTGAGAGGAAAAGGAACACAAGAACAAAAACTGACTTACCTGAAGAAAAAAAAAAATCCCTTTTTGATTTTTTTCACAGTGTATTAACATCATCAGGTAACATTACTGCAGACCGCTCACACCCAGGACACAAACTGATTTAACTCCTCCCCTCAGGTAGGCCTTGCAGATCACAGAAAACCAAAACATCGACCTCTCATGTGACATTTGATGTTAGTACAATTAGGGCTGGCCAATAAAACGATAATGATATATATCTAAAATTAATTTCCCTCGATATTGATATGAAACATGGTCAATATGCTTTTTGATAGCCAGCATTCTGCCATGTTTTGGTATATATATGAATAACCAATGAAAAGGGGAGCGGTCTGCGCCGCTCTGTACCGAACATTCAGTCCGCTTTCTCTAGCGCAGCGTCTAATGACAAACCATCGAAGAGACACAAATCTCACAGATGCAGAAGCTTGTTGTACTGCAAAAGACATGCTACCAATAAGCACTGTTAAATTTGATTTAAGAGTATCAGGGAACATTTAAGTTTGACCAGTGATTTTTTGATATCCTGATATATATATCGATATGAAAATAAAAATAACTCATAATAATCTGTTTCCTGTATCGCCCAGCCCTAAGTACAGTATATAAAACAAAGTTTACCACATGTACATAACCCAGCTGTAATATAATGACATGGATTTATTTTTCAATCACTCATTAATCCACTGAACTCCTCAACATTGCACCACTGCAGTAACAGTCTTGTACAAATTAAGGGTCTTGTACAAGCTTATACATATTTTGTCATTTTTGTAACATGTCTTTGTGTTCAAAGAGAGCAAACACAAGTTACTTTAATAAAAGAAAGTGTTCATACTTATCATCTAGAAGGACCCAGGAGCAGATAGAGCAACTCAAAGATGAGGTCAAATGGATAATTGGAGGCAGGCAGGTTTAGGCAGAGACTGAGGCCTGGGAGAGTTCTGGCAAAGTTAGTTTTCTGTCAGCAGACTGTAGAGTCTTGTAAAAGACAGAAAAGGTTGAGTGGCTGATTCCTGCTGGATCCAAGCTGAAGGAGAGTACTGGTTAGATTTACTGAAGAAGAAGCCACCACAAGAGAAAATAATTGACACAAAGCACAGAGCAGCTGATTAGACCACCTAGCAGACAAGGAGAAGCTAAGGTTCTTGTACTCTCACTGATGAGATGAGTTCTAGGTGTGTGTCCTATCAGCCAGCTGCCAGATAGAAACACAGACACATGCCAGACAAAGGGAGAAATCATCAGGGGAGGGAAGCCATCACAGCCAGGGCTGGAACAGAAAAAGCACTCAGTGAAGAAACTCATCCTATCATACTTTATTTTTCTATTGATAACCTACAGAGCCTATTTGTAAACAGTTCACTCCAGCATCTTAGAACAACCCTATCCATGCTCACTCCCACTACCTATCCTACCCCCAAGAAGAACCTCCTCAGATTACGACACAACCTGTTTAGCACCTGTTCATGCAAGCTTCTGGTACTGACGGCGTGAATACTGCCTACTGAGGATGTCAAAAATGTCAGACTTTCACCCCAGGATCATCATGCCCAACAAACTTAAAGCAATGATATTATTGCAACATTAGTGAAACAACATTTCTGTCAGTCAAGACAAGGGTGACGTAACATGTCACTTCACGGACAACACCATTAAACACAAGTGACTCACTTCTATTAAAAAATATTAAAAACTTTTTAGCTTATATTTTAAAGTTTGAACGCCTTTCATCAGGTACAACAGGAAAGTGGACAGAGCAGGAAATTAGTAGAGAGAGCAGAGGGGACAACCAGAAGAGGAGCTACAGGTTGGAATCAAACCCAGGCTGCCCCCTTCAGGCACAACCTCTGTACATGAAGTGTGCATATAGGCTGCTAGGCCAGATAAGAGACACCTCATCATTGTCAGTTTTCAATGACGGCAGTCTTCTTCTGTCTGTGAAAACAATTATCACCCCCGACTATGAACTAACTAGCAACATGCTATTATCATATGCGTATTTTTAGCACTATATCAATATTATTATTCTAATAAGAATGGTGTCTTTCAACAGCCTGAGCCTGCAACATCATATAGGAAAGAAGAGAGTCTGCTGCAGGATGTTTGAAAGAAGACAAGGAAGGCAGAGTCAAGGCGATTGGCCTGTTTAGAGTAGAGCTCACTCCAACCAGAGTTAGGTTGTATAATCTGCCTTCCTCTACTTCTCCAGTCAGACCAGTAAGAAAAGAGTATGTAAAGAGATTTCAGAAAGAGGGCATGGACTGGGCAAGAAGCCTACTGTATATACAAGTGGTTTGGTCGTGGGTGACAGTGGGCAGACATAGTCAGCAGCTGGCTTGGTTTGACGAGAAATGTTCATCTGCTAAACAGAAAAGCATGTCCTCAGAAAAAAACATAGAAATAAAACAAGCTGACTCATATTTACCATGTGGTGAGAAATACAAATATACTTCTGTCTTCACTGCTGACAAAAGCTTAAAAACACTTACAGTAGGTTTAGCTTAGAGGCTACATACAGGTTTGAAAAAGTCCCAGTTTTTATGTTTCTATATTGTGAATTATATGAGAATTCTGACACCTGGGAATTAATTGATTTTATTGAATAACACCTTCAGAAAATAAACAGCAGTTTCAAACCCTCTAAGACACATTCTGGGGAGTCTTTCTGCAGGGTTTACAGTTATTCAGTCTTCTCTTTGTGGGTCTGCTCGGAGTTATTTCTCTGTCTTGAATTTTACGGTTTCTGTTTTTAACAACTTCAAAAACACCTTCTATAGCCTGCAGTTCACCTGCCGCTTTGAGTGTGTGGTCCTCCTGCTCGATCACATTTTGGCAATTTTAGATCACTGGAAATGAAGCACGACAGTAAACGTGGTCGGATTTGAATTCAGGGAGACACATTTCTTAATCAAATTAAGCCTTTCTGTTTTGTTATTCACCTACTCGCTTTGGAGGCTGAAGGATGAACAAACACGGTTAATGAAATGCATGATTTTGGTAAACCACACTTGCTTCCTGGTTAGGTAAGTGTGTAGTTGAACATACAGTAGGCTACATACACACACACACAGACAAACACAGTGTAAGTGATCAGGGCTGTAATGTCTCAGCAAATTCCTCTGGGAGCTGGATCAATCTGTGAGAAAGGGATCAATCTCTCTGACCTTTACTTGTGGTAACCTGCAGTGCTCAATCTCTCATTATTTTGACAGTGAAAGGGCAGCTTTTCCGGCTGTGAGCTAGCTGCATGGAGAATCACTTCACTGTCAGTGTTCACACCTTCCACATTTGTCTCCTGTGGCACATTCAGGTTCTCTCACTTACTGCTCTGCTCAACTCTATGTGTAGGACCTCGTCAACTGGAGTGAAAAGAAAACATGATTTACGATATTGTCAGACACACTCAATAGGGATGCACCGATCCGCTTATTTCACCTCCGATACCGATACAGATATATACATTTTAGTATCAGCCGATACCGATCCAATTCTGATACAGAAAAGCCGCACTGAATTACCTTTTGTTGTAACCTGAAGTTTTACCACTGCCCCTCGGAACGTTTACTGTGCAGGTATTGCAAGTGGTCGTTCAGCTTGTGGGCTGAGGTATTGTGATAAAGTTCAAGATAGCAGATCCCTTTGCTCGCTCCATTTTGACAGCATGTTTACTTCTGGATGCCACTCACAGTGCATAGCATAGAGTTAGACAGAATAGATCGGTCCCTATGCATTGGGCCCATTGTCAGGATACCTGATCTAGAATTTTCTTCAGTATCGGGACTGATATCAAATATCGGATCGGTGCATCCCTAACACTTAACACTGACTATTATGTTCAAACTAGGTAACATTGACTGCAGATATGTTCGAACTTTGCATCACTTCATGGAGGATATATTTGAAGATTTCAGTTTGTTTTGTTGTTACACATCCTCACTAACACTTAAGTGGGCGGACAGATACAGTAGTTTGATAAAAAACAGAAAAACAACAAATACTGTATGTAGTAACATGCTACAGAAACCTGACTGAACCTGACTGAATGAGGTAAAATCAAAGAAACATTTGATCAAAGCTGATGGATCCAAATCGGGGATATAGAGTCGTCTAAATTGAATTCTGTTTCATTTTGTGACTTAAAGATTTTAACTTATTAAGAAATAAACTGAAACTCACACTGAGTCCTCTTTGTGACCTTTAAGACTAAAATAAGACCATCAGCACCTGGTGCAAACTGAGCATGTACAGAAACTAACTGGCTGGTGGCGCCACAAGACTGAGCTCACACCCACACACCCATTAAACTTACTTACTTACGAACCATTGGATCAGTCTACAGCAGAACAGATTCCTGACTTGATCTCACTCAGACACTTGCGCTTCTTAAAGATCCTCTACAAAGCACAGCAGGAGCCTTATTTCTCAACAGAGCTGTCAACCATGATACCACAATGGCCTTATTAAAGCTCCAGTGAGGAATTTTCTATCTGTGTTTGTTAACCCTTCAGAAAATATCCAAATCTCCCACAGTAGTTTTAAAATAAAATGTGTAAAACTTAAAGTCTGAGAAAAATGAACACTTGGACATAAATCAAAATAAGAAGTGACTACAAATAATGTCAATAATCCCATTTGAGAAAAAAATTAACTCATGTTTGAATTTTATATGTTGTCCTCTGTTCTTTCTGTTAACATTAAAGCTCCCATGTGTCAATTTTGGCATCCCCTGCAGACAAGGCAGTTTTTTATTTTCTCATTGTGGATAGAAATAATTACCGCTTCTGAAAAGAAATCACCATCCAGGCTTTTGACAGCTAAATTGAACATTTATTGTGAACATACAATGTGGAAAATGTAAAAAACAGGGCTGTTTATTTAGCTGTTTGCCAGGCATCAAAAATTCCAATTAAAAATCATCCCTTTCTATCACTGCTGTCCTTGTTTGCTTTTGAACATCATATAAAAAATCACATTATGAATTCCAGTCTTTTTCATAAACCTTAAAAAAACTCCTCACAGGAGCTTTAAGGAGGCAGGATTGAGGAGGCTAAACTGCAGCCAGTGTAGAGAACTCTAAATCTTGTGGCTTCACAGTTATTGGGCAATGATGATCTTTATTTTAATGTACTGTCTGTGGTCCTTATGGAAATGGAATATATAAACACCAGCTACAACTGTTATGAAGATAAAACACTGATATGATTAAAGGCACTGTAGCTCTGGCTTTATTGTGGAGCTTATTGAGCTCCAAAAAGGTTTGAGTCAAATGTGAGCTGATAAAATTGGCGCTGGGATTTTCAGAGATGTAATAAACACATCGGTGCAATAGCTCTTCTGGTGACAGCTTAAAAAGAAGGAAGTTTGAAGGTTCAGTCCCAGAGGGGAGCCTCTACTCTGAGAAAAATAAACGTCTCTAAACTGGATGCTGAAATCCACCTCATATTGACTCATTACTTGTCACAGTGGATAAGAGCTCCAAATGGTTCAAATGTAATTGATAGATTACAGCCAGTGTTTAGCCTTGTCGGCCGTGTCTGAGTCGCAGTTCACAGCCAAGGATAAAAACAATCTCTACTGAGCAGACAAGCTAACCTCCTGCCATTTAATGAGGTTACCAGCTCTCTAACAAGATGATCTCACTAACAAAGTGAGCCTGCTGCCACCAAACAAATGCACCAAACACAAATCCAGGGAATGATCAAAATAACTGAACTACAGTACAGAGAAAAAGCAGTTTTCTACATGTTAAAAAAAAGCTTTTCAACTCTAATTGTTTGTGCAAGAAACTATTTCATTATCCTTCTCATTTGTAGACTTAGCAGAGGTGTAATTCCTCTGTATTGAGCTGTTGAACTTTGGTTCTTCAGAGGGCAGTTAAACAGCAGAGGGGGATTGCCAGAGCGAATTGGTTGCTCTGTTTCCCAGCTGCATTAAAGGCCTGTCGAAGAGAAGTGGAGCTTCAGTCATTTATACGGACCAGATTTTCTCCACACAGAGTTGGTACATAGAGGTAGGAAGCACAGCCCACATCGCTTACGCCGTACAAGCTAAAGCACTCTACATGAATAATTTGCTACTCCCAGATCTGTTTTGGCCTCGCTCTCCTCTCCCTCTCACCCACGCAGAGATGTTATGCTGATTCAGGAGCAAAGAGGAAAGTTCGGCGGTGCCAAAACGGCAGGAATTGAAATTCTCAGAGGAAGATAAATTTCCATCAGTATCAAATTTAGATATCTGATAAAACAATAGAAATAATCATCAGTGTGTCCAAAACCAGGGAGAAAGAAGGTTTGATGCAGCTTTGAGTTAACATAGAAAGAAAAATGAAGCTTGGATTCTATTAATAAACTGTTTAATGTCATTCTGTATGATATGTGCAGTAGTTCCTGTCAACACTAATGTGCACTATCTGTCTGTGAACACACTAACGCTTGTCTCTGACATTTCTACATATTTCGTTGTATGATTTTTTTTCTTTCCTTCTGACAGGACTAGCGCAGATGGCTAGTTCTGAGAGTGCTGCACCTGTTTATATATAGCTTCTCAGTAGAGCACTTGAGAGAGATAAAAACAAAGCGAGTCTGTCTGTTTGGCATGCCAATGGCACCATCCACGCTTGGTGATCTCAGATGAGAAAACCAATTCCTGTAGGATTTGGGCAAGCTATAAAAGGTTTCACTTCGAACAGGAAAATAGTATCAATTAAAATAGCATGTCAGACATGCAGAATTTAAATGTAGCTACCATATTTGTCTTATGTTGTTCGATATTTTACCATGTTTTGGCAGTTATTGCTCTATGGAAGGGAGGAAACCAGAATAAGATGGTGAAGTTAAGGCGCCTGTGAGGAGTTTCAAGCTGGTCAAGCTGATGTCACCTTATGTCCTCCAAAGAAAACAAGACTATTAACAACCAGAATGATCATGTCTACTTCATTTCTAATGTTTGTAATTGCTACCTCCATGTGATTTATAAGACATCATTCCTAGACAGATTTAACTGAATCATTTTAAACCAGTGTGCATTACTGTGAGAGGACAGGCTTTTCTCACTTTAATATTTTACCATGAAGACATATCTGGGTTCCAATATATGTGTGTGCCGTCTTCATGTGTAGCCTCCATTACTGAGGTGCAGCTCTCTGCATGCTGACTATTACAGCTGAAAAGAAAGTTCAGTTAAAAGAAAATGGAAAGCTGCTGATGAAGCTACTTTTATTGTCTTCCCTGATCTTCGAATAACATATGACTAGACATTAAGGGTGAGGGGGATCAATACAGCATGGTATTGCCATATTCTTCATGGTGTTATTTCATCAATATACAGCTGCTAAACATCAATAGTTGCATTGTAATGATTTAATTTATGAGATAAAGTTCATGGTGGTGCTTTCCGATGAAGTTGAGAATCTAAACATGGTGGTGCCAAGAGGACTGTCTTTGTGAACAAATCAAACAAATGGACTTATTTATTTATTTTACATGAACATACCCAGACTAAAGCTGTACAGAGAAGTAAAGCTTAAGTTGGTAAAAGTCTGAGTACAATAGAAAGGTTTTGTTGTAAATTGCAACACGTGGACATCACAAGCAGTGAATTCATATGTAACTTTAGTAGATCATCATGTGACAGACTAGCAGCTATCATCTCATGTTCTCCATGATAGACACACTGGGGCTGGGGATGTTAAAACTCGAATTAGTTGATAGTTTTGTCCAAAAATTACAAATATCTGAGAGTAAGTAAAGCACAAGCAAACATCCAGAGTAGTACAATAGTAGCCACACATGTGGACAATAATACATACAGCTCAGTTTTTCAGATGAATGCAAATTTTAAAACAGGATGTTATCACTGTGTTAGTCAGTATGAGTGCTCGATTCTCGTGCAAAGAAAAAGAAGACTTCAGGTTGTTGAATAGACTGAGATTTTTTCAATGGCATTTCAACAAAAAGGTCAGAAATTGGGTTTTATTCCAATATATATAGTGTCTTATGACAAGAATTTTTTCACTCATCTATGTTAAGACAATATAAAACATAAAATGATATAGTAGCATATACTTGGCTTGTGGATATTGGTAACAGAGCATTTCAGGGGTTATTAGTTTCTGTAGTATAAGTTCACGACACACACACTCTCCTTTTTCTAGCTTAAGGCACAAACGATTATCATAGAAACAGGCTGAACATGGTGCCACCTCCTCTCATTTCAGCTTAATAATCTGAAATATAACCATTTCATTCCATTGAGCAGTTTCATCGATTCGGTGCATTGACCTGAAACTGAATCTTTTAATGCTAATATCCTGCCTTTGATGGGTTTTAGTCCTCAGTTTCGGCCGTGTCAGAGCCTGTAACTGCCTCGCAGCACAGGGCTCAGGGAGGATGTCAGTGAAGGACAAATACTTTTACAGATAGAAGGTTTGCTCTGGGTTTGATAAACAGTTTAACGACACTTGCAGCCTACCAATCTTAAATCAGTCGTGCTTATTTGTATTCACCCAGCAATCTCCAGCTGTGTATCCTGTTTGAGAGTGCTTAATGCTGTCAGTGATTTCACAAAGAGATGAAAGGCCTTGTTTGCGCAGGCTTTCAAATATTCTGTTGCTCAGACATGCTTAACTGACTTCTTGGCATGGTGTGACTGTTAACAAAGCAACAACTTTTTGTTAAATCGTAGGTAACAGACATATTTATAACTCTGTACCCGCATGAATAATAACCAAAGAACATGTTTCATGAGCCAAGGCTAACACAGTTGTCGAACAATACTTTGCAGATGGCTTCACTCATCGACTGTTTTCTTATTGATGGCATGGGACTGAATATAGGTTCATTAAGAAAACTCCTGAGTTTTAGGATTTTGTCGTCTGTATTTTGATCCTTACAGCTCATATGAGACAAATTGAGCTCATCACCAAACATAATCAAATTAAAGGTCCTTACACACAGGGACCATTTTTGTCGTGCAATTATTTCGGACGTCAATATTTTTTTTCGTACCCGTATCCTGTCAATAGAAGCGTTCACATCAGCAATGTTTTCCCGTCCTGCGATACCATAGTTCCATGTGCTTATCTGGTACTGGCCCCGACTCACATGCTATCATGACAGACAGACAGCCATCTCAACACTAGTGTCTAGTATCTAGTCCTTTGCCTCTTCAAACTTAGAGCTAATTGTTTCAGCACAACTTCAAATTGTCCAACGGACATCCGACAATAGGTTCTGACCATGGTACAGTTTCTGCACCAAGCGGTGAAACTCACCAAGTTCTCTTCTTTTTTGTAACATTGGATGCACGTTGAAGCAGACTCCATTTTTGTCCTCTCGCTTCCACCCAAGACGCTGTAGACGCTGTTGTTGGGGGTTGTTCAGTAGAACAGGCAAGGTTGTTTTGATATCAGAGTTTGAAAGAAATCTGATGTTTTACTTCACTAAAACTAACTGTTGTTTCTCTGTTCTTGTTATTTTCCAGAAGAAAGAATGGCTGTGCTTGAACTGCCAGACGCAGAGGGCTCTGTCAGGAAGCCTGGGAGATATTCCAGGTCCTGTTGCACAGCCCGGATCCCCTCGGCCACCTGCTGCAGCCAATCAACAACCACCTCAGCAAAAAGGGCCCAATCAACTTACAGGGCCTAAACCAACAGGTCCTCAACAACAACAGAAAGCACCGGGTCCCCAAGTAAGTGGCGCCCTTTCTCCTGTGAAACAGGCTGGGCCCTCCCCTCAAACCAAAGGGCCCAGCCAAGCTCAAACCAAGGGTTCTACCCAACCCACTTCCCAAACCAAAGGCCCTACTCAGCAATCTCCTCAAGTTAAGGGTCCAACACAACCCTCAGGGCAGAGTAAAGGACATCAAGTTAAAGGTTCTAGTCAATCTGTTGCTCAAAGTAAGGGTTCTCCTCAGTCTGCTAACCAAACAAAAGGCCCGGCCCAGGCCAAAGGGCAGACTCAGACGAAAGGATCTACCCAGCCCCCTGCTCAGACTAAGGGTCCTTCTCAGCCCTCTGGTGCCAAGGCTTCAGCCGCCCCCGGTAAAGCCACACCTAACCAAACTAAAGCCTCTCCTACCCCATCAAAAACAGCTCCCACTCAGTCTAAACCCACAGGTAACACCCAGGCCCGCAAACAGCCGCAGAGCCAGGAGAAGACAAAAGGCTCACCCAAATCTCTCAAAGAAGATGTCAAGGCCTCACCAAAGAAAGCATTGTCAGAGACTGTCACTTCACCTAAAGACACGAAGATAACTGAGGATGCACAGAAGCCAAGACACCATGAAGTGAGCTACCTGCAACTTCTTCGCCTTCACCTGTTACCGTCACTGTTTTTTCTTTTGATGTTTTTTTCATTTGAGTAATTGAAAACATGTTTCAGTGTCATTATCATCTGCATCATTGACAAATCATAGTCATATTCAATCCATGATTGGACATCCATGATGCAGTCAACATCGTTTGTTGATTTATTACTACACAAAGACAGTTTTTGTGGTTGATGTACTTTTTTCAATGTTTATTTTTATTTCTATCCAACATTTGTTCTTTTTTCTTATTTCTTTTTCATAATCAGAGGTTTTTCCTGTCTATTCTCATCATTTTATTTGTTGTTATTATCACCATCAGAGTTAGTTAATTTTAGTTATCTTGAACTTGTGCAGTTATAATAACAGCTAATATGCATGTTTCATTTTCTTTGTACATTAAGATACTTTTCCATCCATGTTACTTGCTTTATTTTCACAACCCTCTTCATCCTTGTTAATTTCTCATCATTATTGCATCTCTGACATTATCATCAGCAGTGTCTCTTTGGCCATTTTTCATGTTTGGTCCATTTCTATGACTAGTTTTGTACCCTTTTCTTTTTTGTGGCCAACGCAAGCTTTTTGTTTAATGTGACCCTTTGTGATAATACCTGAAGCATTCTTAGCATGTTTGTTATTCTTCAACGGTTCGAAGAATGCTGTGGAGAATGCAACAAAGATGGAAGCAAGCATGTGCTGAAATGACATTTGTCTATTGATGTTTGTACGCTTAATTGTCCTTTATACTCACTGTATGTGTCAGTGTATTAATCCATCTATGTGTACATGAATTTGAATGGCTAACTCAACCCAAATTGAACAAACTAAATGGCATTTTATTCACAAATGAATCAAAAAAACCCTTTAATTGGGATCCAGGTTTCATTCATTTGTTTTAATGTATTCCAAAAAAGGGATACACGTCACTAGTGAGTATATTAGCAACAATTGATGCTGGTCAGCTCTGTCTTTTAGATAAAAAACTCCTGGGGGAACTAGTGTGCAAGCTCGGCTGCAGACATCTGCAGATGGAGCCAGGCCTGCCAAGTAATTAAACTTATTTTATGAGACTCTAACACAAGCAAACATCTGACTTTGAATGTGCACTCTACTGAGAAATTTTTCAGCACCTTATTCTGCCATCAGAAAGCCCATTCAGTTTTGCACTTGCATTCAGCTTTTCTGTTTTTTTGGTCCGCTCCCAAAGAAGCTGATGACAAACAGTAACGTTGAGTGCAGCAGGGGACTCTCTTTAGTGAATGATGGAGCCTGCAGCCTGATGTGAACTGCCGGTATATTCTGATTCTGAATGATCGAGACAGACTGTTATTACCCTCACTCATGACTGGGAGTTGTTTTCTCAGTTTATTGGCAGTATCTTGCAGTTTTTATATCCGCACTACCAGGTACCTTGGGATGTCTCCTATTCTTCAGTTAACTCAGAAATTTCTTCCCTTTTTCTTCGATCTCTCTGTGAACTCCAGCTCACAAAGGTGCCCAGCCCGCATATGTCTGCCGTCGACAGCTTATAATCGGTGCTATCACCATTACTGGTTATTAAATTTAGTTGTATTTAGTTGTATCTAGTTGTAACCCCCACCACCACCCCCTTACCCCCCGATCAGGGTCAAACTCGGTGTCTCAGTGTGTTTGACCATGGCTTAAATTTAAGCCGGAATATCCCTTTAAAGGGAGAGCTGATTAGCTTTAATTGTGGCTGTTAAACTTCCTTGTGACATGTAACTCATACAAAAGCACTGTTGAAATAGCCCTTTAAGAGATGCCAATATTTGACAGCTTTTATAAGAATAAGTTTATAAAATTATAATTTTCCTCATTTAAGATCAAATTTGCTCCGTTTCTGAAAACAGCTTAACATTTGGGTTGATTGTAGCCAATTGGTGGCACTACATCTGGTTGTTTTTTGATTGAGAGTTTGTTCTTTTCCCAGGTAATTTTATTGTACTCTGGTATCTGAGACGACTGCAATTGCATTAGATCTAGTGCATTTATTCAAGCCTCTTGTGTTTGCAATGACTAATGAAAATGTTAGAGCTAAGTTAATTTGATAAGTTTAAAATAGACGACATGTGTGCATTGACATGATCACAGACCTGGACATAACTTTGCTCAGAGAGATTTGTTTTATGTTAGCTTCTTATACCTCTCTTCTCTTTTTTCCCCCTGTCTTTAGGATAACAACAAATCAAGTACCCAGAGTTTGAGTGACACTGGCTACTCCTCAGATGGGATCTCCAGCTCTCATGGGGAGATTACAGGCCAGATACAGGAGGATGGAATTAAGCTCAGTGAAAGAGGGGCATCCATACCCTCAGATATCACCAAGCTAGAGAGCTCGATGAAGCCCCTGCTAGAATCAAAAACAGCTTCAGACCAGAAGCACAGGCCACATTCGCTATCTGTTGGACAGGAGCGTGACTACAGTCCAGATGATGATGCAGCAAGGGATGAATCAGAAGATGACCTCAGCTGTAAGCTTCGCCATGATTACGTGGAAGACAGCAGCGAAAGTGGTCTCTCACCATTGCCAGTAAGACAGAAGAAGTCGCATAAAGAGCTTACAGATGAGGAATACATGAGGAGGCAAATTATGGAGATGAGCGCTGATGAAGAGGAGTTGGAGGAACATGGAAACCAGAAAAGTAAAAGAGGACATAAAACCAGTGGGGACGCGAGTAAAGAAAGGCGACGACTTGCTCACCATTCTAATAGTTTTGAGGAAGACACCAAGACATCAGAAGGTGCTTACAAGGAAAAAGAAGAAGAGGATGTTGTAATGGCCGGGGGCCTTCGGCGATTTAAGACCATTGAGCTGAATAACACCAACAGCTACAATCGTGAAATGGAGCTCAGCACTGAGCATGATTTACGAGAACCAGAGTTAGAGATGGAGAGTCTGACTGGTTCTCCTGAGGAGCGGTCGAAGGGAGAATATTCATCCACCCTGCCTGCCACCACTCCCAGCTACACCTCTGGGACGTCCCCTACATCTGTCTCGTCCATGGAGGATGACAGTGACAGCAGCCCTAGTCGTAGGGCAAGATTAGAGGAGGCAAAGCAGCAGAGAAAAGCTCGACACCGGTCTCATGGGCCCCTGCTGCCTACTATTGAGGACTCATCTGAGGAGGATGAACTCAGAGAGGAAGAGGAACTACTACGAGAACAGGAGCAGATGAGGGATCTAGAACAACAGAGAATTCGAAGCACTGCACGAAAAACAAAGAGGGACAAAGAAGAGCTACGAGCACAGAGACGCAGGGAAAGATCCAAAACTCCTCCCAGTAATCTTTCTCCTATCGAGGATGCTTCGCCAACAGAAGAGCTGAGACAAGCTGCAGAGATGGAGGAGCTTCACAGATCATCGTGTTCTGAATACTCACCGTCTATGGACTCTGAAGCTGAGGGCTTTGAGATGATTGGAGGAAAGCTTTACAAATCAGGAAATGAGTATAACCTTCCAACTTTTACATCACTGTACTCCCCTACAGAGAAAACAGCTGCATTGTCACCATCGGATAAAACACTAAAGAGTGCAGAGGAGGTTTATGAAGAGATGATGAAGAAAGCTCAGCTCATGCAGAGGCAAGGACAAATGACTGATCAGTCTGACAGTAAACATCTTCTTGATGCAGGAACCACCCTAACTCCTGGCTCAAGTCCAACACAAATAGCAGCACCAATGTCCTTTTCCACAACAGGTAGTGATCCAAGAATTCCTGGAATTCATGCTGCTCAGCATCTTTCTAAAGAAACACAGAATAGGATGATGACTCAGAGTGCCAAAATTGAAGGTGTTGTTGGAGTTGCCGCAACCAGAGCCCAAGTCAGTCAGACTGCCACCACAAGACAGGCGGGTAGCACAGTGCCCGCTGGCAACAGGGCAAGCTCTCAGAGGCCAACACAGGCAACATCTGACCCTGGAGCTTCCTCCATCACCTCTAAAGTTTTCTCCCTTTTCAAAGGTCCCAGCCCTCCAATCTCTCCCACTGCCTCTCCAGTACAAAGCCCAACCCACACGCCATCTATTAGGCCTGCTAGTAGTAGTGGGAGACAGCTACCCACTTTGCCTGGTGGTCCTACATCAGCAGCAGCTCATGGAGCTCAAACACCTCAAAGGGCAAGTTCACCACGTCTCGCTCGTCAACAGTCCTCACAAGAATCACCAGTAATGGTGATAACACTAGGCTCTGACACAACTATCCCTGCCAAACCACTTACTGTCAATTCGTCCACTTCCCCTTTGTCATCACCCACCCAGGCCAGTTGTAAGACTTTGTACAGCTCAAAGTCCCCTGGGGCAAGTTCCCCAACATCACCACAAATGCATCCATCACAGCAGTCTCCAAAACATTATTCCCAGATGACCCAAAATGTTGAAAAAGTAAACGTCGGTATTAGCACTGTGACCACAACTGCACAAAGTCTATGTAAAATCTCTGGTGTTTCAGGCTCCCCAAAGATCATTGGTCCCAATCAGACATATCAAAGCACCAGTGTAGTCGATCTCAGAGCCCCAATGAGGCCAACTCCAATTATAATGACGGACCAGGGGATGGATCTAACATCACTTGCCTCTGACACGAGAAGATACTCTTTAGGAGCAGAGCAGTCATCTGTTCGACACACAGCAGTCCAACCTCTTATTATGAACCTGAATGCACAAGAGCAACCACATATATCTTTATCAACACCCACCACAGTTAGTATTACAGTTGCGGGTACTGTATTTATGTCCCAGCCCAAACAACAGGTTGTGTATGGAGATCCTTTGCAAAACCGTGTGGATTTGGGACAGGGCGTTGGATCGGCTGTGTGTCTGTCCCAGAGTAAATCACCAGTTAATGATCCGTCTATCCCCAAGATCGATGCCTGCCTGGAGAACTTAGGTATACAGCAGCAGCAACTACAGTTACAGCAGCAGAAGCTTCTGCAGCAACAGCAGCTCCTTGAACAACAGCTTCAACAGCACCAACAGCAATCCTCATTTGCTCGTTACAACTTAGCTAATCAGGTTCAGCCAATGCTAATGAAAAAAGATTTAGTTGTGAGTCAGATAAGCAGTGCCCAGTCTGTAGTGACTGCTAGTGCCATTCCCAGAGTATCCCCCCTTGCCCCACCACAAGGGTCTGGGGCTCCTGCTTCTAATGCTCCCCATGAAATCTATGGTGGAGTTGCCTTAGAGCTAAAAAACAAGCCAACAGTAATGAACTTATCCACAGGTAAGCCCCATGTTATGATGGTGCAACTTGATGAGAGTAACACATCACAAGGGAGCACAGTGACTCAACTGGTAAAGCAAGAGGAACCTCCTCCCGCTCCTCAGGTCCTGGATCTTACTGGACAAATTAAACCGGAAAACCAGGTGGCTTGTTGTGATGTTGTTTACAAACTGCCCTTTGCTGGTTCCTGTTCAGGGTCATTCACTCAGAAGCCTGCAGCAGTATCCTCGGATAAAAACCCCACCCCAGAGGCTTCTCAAGGAGTGCACCCTCCCCAACAACCACAATATAATATCAGCCAACAACAACAACAACACCAACCTCAATCTACGCAAGGAGGGAAAGAAGAACATAAACCCTATCAAACACCTGTAGTCCCTTCAGGAAGAATTCAACCCTCCATGTCTGATACTAACTTGCCTTCAATGACTGACTCCAACCCCTATCAGAATAATGTTCCGGGGGGTCTGGCAGTGGATCTTACCGGCATGAATCAAGCTTATGAAGGTGGATATCTTGGTCTGGGAGCTCAGTATGGATCTTACACAGACTTACGTCATCAGGGGGATTTTTCTGGCCCTTCAATGCCCCTCCGTCGATATGGCTCCATGTCAAATATCAATTCTGACTATGCCTACAGTTCCCAGAACCTATCAGGATCACAGGACTCCAATCTGGCTCAGTACAGTGCAACTACTGCCAGGGAGATCAGCCGCATGTGTGCAGCCCTTAACTCAGTGGACCAGTATGGCAGTCGGTATGGCAATAACCCTGAACTGATACCATATGGGGCCGGACGAGGTGGCTCTTTAGGTAGGTTAAATCTCCATCAAAGCTTAGCATCAATAAGAGCTAACCTACTGTATGGCCCAGATGGAAGAGGTACAGCAAATGGCCAAACCCTGACTAACCTCATTAATGCTAGACAAGCAAGTATACGAGCCATGTACCCTGCTGCTCTTAGAGGTGGTGATGGCATGATATATTCCACAATAAACACTCCCATTGCCTCAACCTTGCCAATAACCACTCAGCCTGGTTCTGTCTTGCGACCCATGCCCAGAGGAATTTACAGAACATACCCAACAGGCGTGACTGCTGTACCATTGGCTAGCCTTACCAGGTTACCTCAAATGGCTCCCAGAATGCCGCTTTCCACACAGGGACCATATTCCTTCCCTGCTCCAAACCAGTACCCCACTTCAGCTACACCCTCGGGGAGTATGCCTGATGTAAACACTTCACATCAGGAAACTGCTATGTATCTAGGAAAGCCTCTAACAACTGTTGCTCCACAAACAGCAGCCACCATCGCACCGACCCAAGCTGCGGGGCACTTGGGACCCCAAAATGTACTTGTAGGTGGTATGCAAACCATGCAAGATCAACAGGCAACTCAGCTCAACCTACAGAGTGCGACATCTCTTTCTCAAGCCCAAGGCCAACCTCCAGCTATCCAGTCAGTGCAGCCCCAAACACCACAGCAGCAGTTACCTACCCAAACTGAACCTCTATCTTTGACTCAAACCCAGTCTCAAGTTCAGTCCATCAGTCAGCCTCAATCAATAGTTCTACCACAAGGTCAACCACAAGCAGCACCCCATGGTACTGCCCTACCACCTACTTCCAAAGTCTCCCCTCCCTCAGACCCCCAGAAGGGTAAAGAAGATGAGAAACTCAGTCAGCAACAAGAACACATGCTGCAGCTTGAGAGAGAGCGTGTTGAACTGGAGAAATTGCGGCAACTGCGCCTACATGAGGAGCTTGAAAGAGATCGAATGGAGCTTCAGAGACACAGAGAAAAAGAACAGCTCATTGTTCAGCGTGAGATTCAAGAGCTACAGACAATCAAACAGCAAGTCCTTCAGCAACAGCAAGCAGACCGGGAGACACAGCTTATAATGCAAAGGGAGCAGCTGGCCCAGCAGAGAATGCAGCTTGAACAAATTCAGTCCTTACAGCATCAGCTTCAGCAGCAGTTGGAGGAACAGAAAAGGCAAAAGACTGCGGCAGTGGAGGCTGCAGCTGCTGTCGCAGCAGCAGAAGCAGCGGCAGCATCAGCAGCAGCGGCAGCAGCAGCAACCTCAGCCCAGGGAGCTATCCAAGGGGTTGTCGTTGGTGGAGGGCAACCTCAAGGATTTATCATCTGTGACCAGAGTGGCAGAGTTATTCAGCAAGAGGGACAAAGTGTCCAATTTTGGCAAGATGGACAAGTGGTCCAAGCTGTGATGTCTGCACGACCTCTTCAAAGTTCAGCCTCTGAAATGTCTTTGAGAACCAGTGACAAACAGGCAGATTCCAAGATTATGAAAAAGCAGAACTCCATGCCCCGGCTTAGGGATGGTTCAGAGGATGAATCCTTGAAAAGAATCACAGATAGCTGTGTGCAAACAGACGATGAGGATGGAGAAGAAAAATTCATTAACAGACGAAGGAGAACCAGGAGGATTGCAGACTGCAGTGTGCAGACCGATGAAGAGGACCAGGGGGAATGGGACCAGCAGCCAGTGAGGCGCAGGCGATCTCGTGTTTCGAAGCACTCAGAATCCAGTGGGGAGGCTAAATCAGACGGGTCATCGAAAGTGGCTTCTTCAAGCATAGCTATTCAGACCACTAATGATTCTTCATGTCAAACAGAGTCAGATCAGCTAGGCAGGATTTCTCCTGCAATCCACATTACCATGGCAGAAACTTCAAAGGTTGACCTGTTACACTACATAGCAGCTCCTGAAAGGACCCACAAAGGAGAGAGTTTGGCCTGCCAGACAGAACCAGAGTCTCACTCTCAGGGTGTGGTGGCACCGCAGCTTAGTGTTCCTACTACTATTAGTCCATATTCCACAAGCCTGCATATAGTAGGAGCAAACACATCTGACCCATCATCTCCCAGGCTCCAAGGAGTTGCGAAATTTGAGAGGAGAAAACCAGACCCCCTGGAAATTGGCTATCAACAGCAACAAAATGAATCTTCTCGCCAGCCCCCCAAATCCCCCCAGGTGCTGTACTCCCCTGTGTCTCCATTGTCCCCTCATCGAATGCTGGAGACAACGTTTGCCTCCCAGGAGAAACTGAACAAAGCCCATGTTACACCCCAGCAGAAGGCTTTTACTGCTGAATCACCTCAACGACACCAGACCCTACCCAGACCAATCAAAAGTGTGCAGCGCTCCATGTCGGATCCGAAGCCACTCAGCCCAACATCAGAAGACCCAGCAAAGACCAGGTTCTCCCCATATCATCAACAAGCTCTGTCCAACAGTCAGGTATGATAACATAACTGTTTTCTGTTTTCTTTATCTGTTATCCATAGTTATATCAAATTATGTTCCTCTAAATAAAACAAGAATAGGTAAATAATCTGATCTAAACATATGACTAAGAAATTATATCAGCTATAATTCATGTATTATTAAAGAAAATGCTTACAAAAGAAACCATAAATTAAGTTATGTCTTGTGCAAAAAAGAATGTGTCTTAACTTGTTGAACCAGTGCCAAACCCTGTGAAACAAGTTAGTTCATTTCACACTTAAAATTAGCTGGGGAAAAACTTATGGAGGCCTTTTTAAAAAAGTTCTTTTCAGCTCCTTGTCTAAAACAAAAAGTATAGTTAAATAGATTTGCATGTGAATGGAGACGATGCTTTGTGTGCACATAGATGATCACACAGGATCTGGCATAGAGTCGGCGACAGAATGTTCTTATGAGAGCAGCTGGCCATGCCAGAAAAGCTTTCCCTATCATCCTCTTCTGCTGTATCCACTCCCTTTTCTTTTCTCTTTCTACTATTTTAGGATACTTTCCCATGTCTCTGTGACTCTCTCTCTTCTCTGCGTCTTACTCTTATTATGTCATGTCTTCTGTAGCTATAAAACCCATGAGTGACAAAGAGGACATGCTATATCAAATCTTGGTACTTTGCTGTCTTCCTGATCGCTAAAGTTTCTCTGCACCTACAAAAATAAATAGAAATGACATATAAACAAAATTTGGAACATTAAGTAAATTATATCAGGACTGTAACCTTTGATAAAAACCATATAAATCCACAGTACTCAATTGTTTTGTACATACTGGACCAACACGTGTGTTTATAGGTTTTGGTTTTAATTGTGTTGCCATGTTATAAGCGATCTCTTTTTCGTATGATAAGTTGCATGAATTAATGTGCCACTTTAGTCGAACCCCTTTGCAATGTTGACGTTGTTGACTACCACTGCTCAACATGGCTTAGTATCGTTTATTGGGGATAAAACTGTCCATGTGTTTGACTTTTGTTAAAAACCATTTAGATCAATGCAATAATATGTTCATCTAACAAGTGACATAGCCAGCAGTTTTGTAGTACAGAGGTTAATTACCATTGAGTAGTCTGGCGGTGTATCTGACTTCATAGCTTCTCACTTGTGTCTGAATGTGGAGAAATATTAAGAGCCTCTGTGAGTTACTAGTGAACAGCAATGAGTCTAATTTCCATAAACACATTCTGTTTATAAATCAGTGTTTTGCTGATGTGTCTCTGCCTCTCCTACCAGATGGCCTCCCTGCAGCAGCAGAACGCTCTGATGAGAAAAGTTAAGAGGACCCTTCCCAGTCCACCTCCAGAAGAGAGTCCACTTCCCATTGTAACACCAGCACAAATGTACAGCTCCCCTGGCATGCCACAAAGGGTCCATCCCAGACCTGCCCAAGGTGTCACCAAGGCAGGTCTGCTAAGTGAATTGAAAGCTGTTGAGCAAGAGTCATCAAAGCTTCGTAAGCAGCAGGCTGAGCTGGAAGAGGAAGAAAAAGAGATTGACGCAAAGCTTCGGTACTTGGAATTAGGCATCACCCAACGTAAAGAGACCATGGTAAAGGAGAGGGAGAGAAGAGAGCTGGCCTACCTGAGGAGTATGGGTGATGCCCGGGACTATATGTCTGATAGTGAGCTTAATAACCTTAGGATGGCAGCTGCAACAGGGACCTTTGACGCTAATGGTCTGCTGACAAGGCCCAGTACTGCACCAATGAGCCAATTTACCAATGACCTCAATTCAACCTCTCAGTATCCCTCAACGTCATCCTATATGTCTTATCCTTACCCTCAAAGTCAACAATCCATGCAGCAACCTGGCTCAGCTTACCAACAGATAGGTTTTCAACCTGCCCCGTACCCCACATCCTCTGCACCCCAGCCTGGAACATTCCAGCCACACCCACCGCCAGGCCCTGGTTACCAGAACCAGGCTAGCTACACCTCCCGCATGTATGGCCAGTCCTCCTACCAGACAGACCTTGGTATGCAGCAACATGGTCACCAAGGCTTCCATACACCCGGTCAGCCCATGCCAGGCCAGAGTCTTCCCTACCCCACCCACAGCTCCTACCAACCTGGTCTCCCTTACCAACCCCAGGCAGAGATCCTTACTGTCCATCAGAGACCACGCCAAACATCATTGGCTGACCTTGAGCAAAAACTCCCAACCAATTATGAGGTCATCAGCAATCCAGCTGTGTCAGTGGCAACATCAGCTCCAGATACCAACTTTGGCACAGTGTACAGCAATGCATACGGTCAATATCGCCCTCCAGAGCCTGGCCTGACCCACTCCGTAGACAGCCCCACCTCTGCTTATGCATCAGACGCAATGTACACCTCCAACCTGGAGCAGAATATTCCAAGGAACTACGTCATGATTGATGACATTAGTGAGTTGACAAAAGATAACGCGGGCCAACCAACTGATGCTCTAGGCCATCCTGTGGGCGGACGATATCGCAATGAGAATGGTCCTGCACGTGGAAGTGCCTATGGTAGGCCTGAAGATGAGCCTGTTGATGCTTATGGCAGGCCTACTGGTTCAACAGGTTTTCCGAATACAGCAGACAATCGCACCAGCACCGCAGGAAGTGGCGGCTCTTCCTATTACTACGATGATTACAAACACACGTCAAGGAGCGGCTCCAGTGGTCACAAACTCAATCCGAAGAATCTTGCACCTGCCGTCGTCTCATCTAAACGTAGTAAGCACAGGAAGCAGGGGATGGAGCAGAAGATCTCTAAATTCTCACCTATTGAGGAAGCTCGAGACGTGGAGTCTGACCTTGCTTCTTATACAATGACAACACCATCAGGAGGAAGCTGTACAGTTGTGTCCAGATCAAAGAAGCTCCAGGATGACGGTACTTATGGGATGAAGAAAAATGCCTATGACCAGCAGAAATATTATGGCACGAGCCGTGAGGGATTTGAAGAGGAAGACCGTATGTACAGCTCTGGTCGATCCAGGTCCACTGGATATGGTATGGACAAAATTTCCTCCAGAGACGCCACGGGTCATAGAAGTAAATCCTATGAGAGGGACGCCATGGAGCGATCTCAGAGAAGCAGCCGTGGTGGGAGGCCTCCTATGCGCAGCAACTCAGAAGAGGAGAGCCCACTGAGTCCTGTTGGGAAGCCTGTGGGCATGGGTCGAGGCTCCGGCATTGCAGATGCCCATGATGTCAGGAACCAATATGGCTCCAGCCATTCATTGCCGGATGTGCAGGACCATTACAAGAAAGACCTGCCCAGGAGTCATGTCTATAAGCCAGACGACCCTTACCTTGTAGATGACATGCACTGTGCTGTTTCTGATAGTGAAGGTAACTGGTGCTGAATACTTTGTGCTGCCTGACATTCGTTTTCTGCACTTTTAATTTGTGTTGGACAGAGACTGCATGCCAAGTGTGGGACTTTAAGGAAAGCACAAAACCTTTTTTTTTTTTCTTTTTAGTTCTTTTTGAATATTTTTTGGTCTATATTAAGCCGCATATGCCTATTTTATATAAATATTTTTGCATGCATCATTTGTTGGTGTGAGGTTGTCTGTTTTTATTTTTAATTTTTTTGTTGGACTTTTGTTGGAGAGTTGCATGGCTCTTGGCTGTGGGGCATGTTACCCAACTATTTTGCATGGCTTCAACCTGCATACTACCCGGCGCTCCACTGAAATGAAATGACTGATCATGTCTGTTTTGATTTGAAAAGCCTATCATTTGGGGCAAGAGGAGACCGATTGGTTTGAGAAGCCGCGGGAGGCTCGTTCTGATCGCTCGAGACATCATGGAGGTGGCAGTCACTCGTCCTCAGGTAGGCGTAGTAAACACACCTACCATGATTATGATGAACCTCCAGAGGAATACTGTCCCCAGGATGAGTACAACCAACAACGTCACCCTTCCTCTACAACTCGAGACCACCGCCACCATGGAAGCAGCACTGGCAGACACAGCTCTTCACGGCATGGTACGGAAGATCCCAGGTCCTCCCGTTCTACCAGGACTCATCCAAGAGATCCATCTGGTCGCACTGATGGCAGGAGCTCCTCATCTGCACAGAGAAGAAGCGGTCCAGACTCCCGATCTGCCCAGGCAAGCCCCCGGAACTCGGGAGACTTCTCTCGGGAGCCTGCCTCTGGTCATCATCACGGCACTGGGGGACGAAGTCAGAGATCACAAGGAGATCGTGCAACCACCAGAAGGCAGGAGCCATCTACAGCAGGGTCCAAACCCCAGCAGCAGCCCCCTCAGGGCCACCCTGGGCAGCAGAGGTCAGGTGCCCAGAGCCAGACCGGGAGACTTCCAGGCTCTGAGCAACTCGATGGTAACCAGCAGGCCCAGCAGCAACAGCAGCAGAGTGCACAACAGCAGCAGCAGCAGCAGCAACCACCACAGCAGAGCCAGCCAACTCAGAGCAACCAGCTGCCAACAACAACTGCAGGAGCAGGACCAGCACAGCAACAGCCCAAATCCAGCCAAGCCCAACCACAGGGACGCCAGCCGGGAGTTGGGCCTGCTGCAGGGCAGGGGGCTAGTACAGCGGTGAGTAGATCTAAACCTTGTTTTGCTTTTCTTTTAATTGATTTTCATATTTTAATTTTGAAGAGGTGCTACTTAAAAATCCTTTCCTTAATAGATTTTTTTTTAACAGACTATATATCCATTTGTGTTACATCCTTTTGAATGAAAAACGCTTTATAAATAAAGTTTGATTCGATTTGATTTGATAATGAGCCACTCTTGCTGTTTTCATGCACATTAAATCGAACATTTCCACTGATGATAAAGTGACACAGTCTGACTGAGTCTGCACAAATTACCCCAGCAAATAATTGAAGTTTTCTGCCTCATCGCTGTCAGAGTCTGTTGATGTCTTCTTTTCCATCCACCAGACTCTCACTTTTAGTGTTCATATACCATTCTCGATTTTGTCGATAATTAGTTGTTGCCTGTGGCTGTTCTCCACCTTTGCAGATTTTTCTAAACAATGAAAGTTTCTTTTCTTTTTGTAAACCACAGATTTCAAAACCAAATTTCAATTTTACTAGACTCTTTTTTGTTGATTGATATGATTGTAGTAGATGGTCTAAATTTTCAAAGCACCTATCTCCTGTAGAGATAAAACAGACCACATAATAAAGAGGATGTATATTATTTAAGTATAAATTGGATGAAATATTCAACACCATCCAATATCATAAATAGATGCATGATTTAAGTTTGCCCTAACAACATATTTCTCACTGTTTAATTGATGACAGGCCAAAATGGATGCTACACCTGCAGCAACAGCCACAGGAATGAAAGCTACAACAGGAGTGCCACCAGCACCTCAGCCAATGAAAACAGCGACACCACCTCTGGCAGGCATTGGTGAGTTTCAGCTGCACCACTATCACAAGGTTTAAAAATTCATAAACAAAAAAAAGACATACAGTATCATGATTGTGTTTTTGTTTGAAGGCTCCAAGGCACCCCCTGTTGGGATCGGGAGCAAACCAGGAGGAATAGGCAGTGCTGCTGCAGCAGGTCAGCCACCTGCTGAGGGGGAAAATGTTCTCACCAAAATCCTGCAAGGAGGGGCGGCTGAGCAAGCGGGAAAACTGGGAGATGGTACGGTCACGAAAAATCTAGACATTATCAAAGCAGAGTTGTAGCTTTTGTTTTCTGTAAACAATTCAATGTGAATTAAGGTCCTAAAATACCTTGAATGTGTTTTTCCCATTATTCTTATTTTCTCCTTTTCATTGTTATTTTACAGCATTGTCCGGTCTTGGGAAGAAGTTCACATCATTTTGGTGAACTAAACAGTGAACCGTAAGTGGACTTAAGTTAGAGATGACAAAAAAAATTGTTGTTTTTTTTTAACTTTCAATATAAGAACTTGTATTTTACAGGGATGGTACGCAACAGAGATCAAGTAATGGATGTTTGGGGACTGAAAACATTTACGTATTGCTTGACATGCTTACTGTGAATTAAATGTGTCCTTTTTTTCAGGTAATGCACACCTGTGTTGAGATGGACCGGTAACTTCGTACTCGAAAAACCTATGAAACTTCATTAAACACATTTCACAACATAGACAAAACAGAGAGGGGGATCCTGAGCACATCAGTGAGTATCTCATTTACTGAACTAAGAAGATGCTAACTTTAGTGACACTTCCATTAAACTCCAAGCTACATAAGTTACCTTAATGTGTTGATTTATAGTTTTTTATCTGCTAGATATCTTAATCAATTAGCAAGGATTTGACTTTTCTGCATTTTGAGATGACTCAGGTTAAATGATGACTGATAAAGTGCAGCGAGTGTGTGATCGTTCTGATCCTCTGTACGTTTCCTTTATCCAAAATCACTGAACAGAGCTGGAATCAAAGGATGCCTTGTCAGCACTGAACTCCCCAGACATGGGCACACAACTCAAGTGAATTAAATAAGGGTGAACGCTTTGTCAGCAGGGTGTTGCGAGACATAAAAAGAAGACTGAGCGCACCAAAAAGTAGGTGATTCCTTGCATGATAGTGACACATTGTCGAGCGTTTGCTTGTATGTTGAGTTGTGTATGGAAAATGCTTGTTAGGTTGGGTTATTTGAAGCACAATCCCCTTGAACCTTTGGCTGCAGAGGTTAGAGGCCAGGACCAAGCACAAAGGAGGTCAGCGCTGGTACAGTTTACTTCTGACTTCACACATCTCCAATAATCTGGGCCAAGCACAGGCTGCTATAATTAGCTTTGAGAAGGCTAACTGTGGCTTTGCTTTCATGTCACACACGCGAAGACACATAGGGACATGAGCACATGCAGGGACACAGAGCCATGACTCATCGTAAGAATCACTCATTACATGGAAGACTGAGCTGATCAACTAATTCTGCTCAATGTAGCAGAAATACAGAAGCACCAATAAAACAGATTTCAAAGCATTTCTACTTTGCATCTGTTGAAACACCTGGTGTGACAGGATGAAGTCGAGGTTCATTTGCATGGAGGTTTATCCGACTATACTGTCTACATTTACACTTGCAGTTTAGGTAGCTGTCTTAGTCATTTCTGTGTCTGGGTCTGGTCTCAGGATTAAGAGGGGGAATGTGGGGATGAACCTGACTCAGTGCTTCTTTGAGCTGCTGCAGGTCAGCCTGTTCAGCTCTGTGATTACTTCCCATATTACCCAGGGGGGCTGTGATTGACTGGAGTATCAAGAGATGTAAAGAAAAGCGGGCTGGAAGGGACCTAACAAACAAATAGGGAGTTTTAATCTCTTGATGTGTTGTGCGAAGGCCTCAGCAGAAATGTCAGGGGTTTAAGAGATCAGGATCAGTCAGGACATTGTATACTAATTAGTTTACTTTTAGATTACTGTATTCATATGAAATTGTCAAGTTTGCAGTATAGAATTTGACCTTGTGAAGTGATTTTCTTTGACTCTTTTTCATTGTCTCTATTCCAGGAGGACATCAGCAGTAAAAAAATGAAGTGGGAAAGCGAAGGAAAGAGAGGAAGGGGGGCTCGAGCACTCCTTACCACTCTCTCCTACAGAAAGCCTCCTGGGATTTGTGTCACAGTAAAGGAGAGCTAACTGAAGCACCCCGATGTCATGGGAGAAATTCAACTCCTTTTTTTACAGCACAATAAAGGAAGCCTCACAGCGCCTACTAAAGGGATTTTATGGAACACCGCTTTTGTCTGAGGAGTGCACATCTGGCAAGGATATTTGATTCCATATTGATGTCTTCGCAGCCTTTTCATGCAGACAGTGAAAAATAGAAAAATAAAGATTTTCATAGGTTTTCCTTGTACCAAAGATACCCATCTTAGCCCAAAATGACACAACATACCTGGAAAGACAAGATGAATCACGGCAATGACAACCAACCGGATAACTCCACCACAACCCTTGAATGCTTGGTTTCTTCTGATCTCTGCAGTACATTCCAGTATAGGGAATATGACCCTTTCTCTGAATGTGTTTTTGTTTCTCCTCTTTTTGTTTTGATGTCTACAGAATGCATCGCGTAAATGTGGACATGTGAATGCACGCACAAATATTTCAAAAACTGAAAAAAAGAAACCCATATCAGTACTTTTTCACCACTTATGAGATGCCACTAGTTATTAAACTGTAGGTTTTTAGGGAAGGAAATTACTACCAGTGTGCCCACAAGTGTGAGATTCACACAGATGAGAGGACCAAAAAGAAAGAGTGGCCACGGCTCTTTGTTAGCCATCGCAAAGCCATCCTTGTAGTCAGCCTCAGAGCTGATGGGAATACTCTGAGGCTGACTGTGAAAGAATAGGGTCCCCTCTGGGACTTTATCCTTTTTGATTATTTATCTCATCTTTTAGTTTCTTTTGATTTTGCCTGATATTCACTGAATGGAAGAGCCTTATTCAGTACATGTTTTTACTTGTATACCTCACATGTTTGAAAATGTCCATGTCATCATGCATTTCTTTTTACACAACTGTATATTATTGTATGTACATAACCGAACAGAGATCTACTTATGTAAATTTTGTCATTTGTGTATTCATGGAATCACTCTCCAGTGACTTTTTTTTTGTTGGTCTGTGTCTTTCTTTGGTAAAACTTTATATTTTTCACTTTGATTTCCGTTTGAATTTGTTTTCCTGCATCAAATAATTTGCTTGTTGGTTTTTAAAAGCAATAGCATGCAGAGAATGGTATATAGCACAATAGTTTAAATGTTGTTTGAATTAGTGATGGGAAACATCGAACACTTCTGTCGTTAAATAATCGTAATACAATTTGTCAGCGGGTTTACAACCACAGTACCATGTCCAGACATGCATGTTTTGTGCAGCTGCATAAAAAGCATGCAGACAGGTACTAACACACTCACACAGATACACTCCCTTTCTCTTGCATACACGTATGCACTCACACTTAACATATTTCACACTTGCATTATCACATTACACGTCAGAGCCAAGGTTAATTGTGTTCTCCACTTAAAAGACCTGTTAGCCTCCTGCTCATAAATGAGGTAACCGATTCACTAACAAGATTATCTCACTAACAAGCTGGGCCCATTGCCTCTATTTGTGCGAAGACACACACAAACACACACTTACACACACTGATACATACACACATAAACACAAACAGGAGAGGATGAAAGCAATTATCAATTCAAATGTTCTATGCAATGACTCATTTTAAACCTGGAAATGATTCAGCCTAAAACAGTTTATTATCATCATTCTATTCACAAGAAAACAACAAAATTATGAACTAAATATTAAAAAAAAGGTAATGAAATGTTTTTACTTAGCAACTTGTCTGTATGAATTTGAATATTGAATATTGATCTAGATTTGTTTTTATTTTCGTGGCATGTTTTGACCCCTCACCCCCCCACACATGGGGGGACTTGTTGCCAAAGGGTAAACTGTGTAGACTGTCGGATTTGAATGTCCACCATCATGTTGCTTTGAAGCATGGGTTTGCTTGGCTTTGTCTGGCTGTTTGTAAGCCCTCATTCAGTTTTTGTGCGTTTTGGCTGACCTGGGCTCCTCAGTGTTTGGCTTGCAGTGACCGTACGTGCTGCTATAAACCTGTGATGCAGATGGTCAGCACTTCTCATTAATACTTGTCAATGTACATATTGGGTGTCAGTATAACCTGTGGGGTGAATGGAATGCTTCTATCGGATATCTCATTGTTGATTAAACCACTCAGCAGCCAAGCCATTGAAAAGGTGCATGATTTGATCTTATATTCTTTGAAGCTGTACCTGAACTGAAAAAAAATGGGAAGGCATGATTTCACGAAGGTTTACTTAACAAACCTTGACTTTCACTGGCCAATGTAGAGAATATCGATAAGTTAAATGTTCAGCCAGTCGCTCACAAATCAGGGCATGTCATTCTGAAAGCACAAGCCTGACTGGTAGCTGCTAGATGAAGCGCAGAAACATGGGAGGTTGCGTAACAGTGCCTCTAACTAAATAGCGAAGGATCTGTATCAAAACATGAGGTGTAGATGCTCTTGGGTCGATATGAGGTACACGACACAAAACAGCCTTCAGTGCAGCCGTCCGATTGACAGAAAGGCAGACAGACACACATTCTTACTGTAAATACAACTTCATTTTTCTGTACAGCTTTTGAGTTCTGAGTACGGCTTTCATGTGCATCCCCATGCCGTATTTGCTGCCAACTTTTGTGTATAAAAAGAATATTTATTACCACAATAATGATGATGATGATGAAGAAGAAGAAGAAACTAATGATGATGATTATTCTAATTATTGCATAAGCATAGTGTATGTGGCTGACATGTATTGACTGTTTACAACAGTGGAACAAAACTCGTATTCAGAAACATATCCAGTCTGTGTATAGTTTCTATACATATTGTGTTTGTAAAACAACAACAACAAGAAAAAAAAACCTCCACAGCGACTGCAGAGTAGGAAGTCTTTGTCAGGCTCTCAGGAGGTCTTTAATCTGATGGATATGATCTGCAAGGTGACGAAGGTAATGGGAAGCATCGGGAAAAAAAAAAAAAGAATCAAAAAATCTGGAAAATGTCATTCACTGTTGTAAGTGCAATGGGCAAAACGTCAGTCGTGTATCCATTGTGAAACCTTGTGTTCTATTCAGTGTATTCCTGTAAACAGATAGAGTAAATTTTGGTGCATCATGTCAAGTAATGTGAGTAATGAAAATATTGACCCTGCAATTTCCAAACAGAGAGAAGAATAAAAAGAAAAGGAAAACATTGTGTTTATTGTTTTGAGTCTGTGTATTTGTACGCGTTTGTCACCTACTTTCTCGCGAGTGATAGCGACAATCTGTGAGTTTTGTTGTGGCTCCACGGCAGACACCGGAGAGATCCAAGAATAAGACCTTGTATGCATTGCATCTGTTCAGATAAGACCAGGCTTTACGCGCTGAAGCAGTGATGACTTATCCCAGTGTGGGTGGGCAGGAGGCAGGAGATGTGAGGGGAGAAGTGTTTGCCAATGCATGCTGGAGCTGGGAGTGTGAGTGTGTGAGAATGTGTGACTGTAGGCAGATGGAAATGGAAAGAATATAAGTTATTCGTATTGTTGTTAACTTCTGTATTCGTCCTCTGTTACTCTAATTGGATCATTCATTTGCAACAAACAGTCACTATCATTGTAGACAGGTGATTTGATTGTTTTAGAAAATGTTAAAAAACAGACAATATGATAATGAGATTAAAAACAAAAAAGCCCTTTAATGTTTTTTGGATCTTTAAGGATCAACTAAAGGAGCAAAATGAATACCTGTACGACAAAAACAAAAGGTCTCAAGTCAATCAGTAAGACTAAGTGCTGACTCAACAAAGTCCAACTGCACTTTTAGCAAAATCGAAACCTCTCAGTCCAACTACAGATTCAGGTCTGACTCACAAATTTTGACTTTTTTGTTAAACCAACTTTTCCTCCTTATCCTGATAGATATCAAGCAAAATGCAGCATCTCCAGCAACAATAAAGTCTGTTTTTGTTAATGTGTCATGATAGTAGCCAATAAAGCCATAAGTTTTTAGCCTGGGTGGGTTTGGTACACACTGAGCAATAGACGGCTTTTAGACGTCCTGTTTTTTTTTTAGACCTGATTTCAACCATCTAGATTCTGTATATTTTTAGACGAAATTTAGACGTTGCTCTTAAACCCATTATTTGATAAATATTTATTTCTGTGAGTTGCATAACTGATCTCCAAGTACTTAATCAAAATAATTATGATAGCTGTTGAGCAATAGACAGTGTAGTATAGATATAGCCCAGATATAGATTTAGTCTAAACTTGGTCCAAATTTAGACATCTAAAACACTCATTTTTAGACCTGTGGTAACTGATTTTAGACCAGTCATCTAATCTACATTTAGACGTCTATTAGACCTCTTTTGGACTAAAAAATCCTCAGTGGGTAAGATTGATTTACTCAAAATCAAACTGACACTGACTGGGACTCTCTGTAACTCCCTCTGGAGGCTGTTCAAAAGTGTGTAAATGTCTCTGTTACTGTATGTCTCACTGCACTGATGTTACAAGAGTTTCCATCAGAGATATAAGTGAAGTCAAATTGAGAATTTAGTGTGACATAAAATTGGTTCAAACATTTTACATCCCAAAAATTGTGAGGTATATGAGACTTTGAGTTTCTTCAGCATCCATGAAGTCTGTTAATTTAGTTTAATATTGTCAACCTGCCAGCAAAGTAAACATGCAGGTCCATTTGTTCCAGTTTTGTGCCTTCATGAGAGCAAGGAAATATTCTAATGTAACAGAGTCAAGGCAACCATCTGGTTCAAAATCCCACTCTGAATTCAGAAGCTTCCCTTTTCCTTTGAGTAAGCATCAGTAGTCACATCTGCGGACCTTGGCTGCCCTCATCTGGTTAGGGACTGAATTGGAGGCAAGGCATACCAAAAACACAGGGGGGATATATCTGAATTTAAATAATCATACTAAATAAAACAAAACCAAGAGGTAAGCTTGCAAGACAGGTAAAAAAAACTCTTGGATTCATGAAACAGAAACTGAGATGTGGGAGGAAGGTGGAAAGGCTAACTTAAGGCCTGTTTGGAGTGAACAAAATACAATACAAGAACTTTATTGATCCCCAAAGGGAATTTATTTAATATACTGAATGTATCAGCATGTTGCCTGTCAAAGTATACGAGAGCTTGAGACAAGATGTGCAGAATCTAGGAGCAGATGAAGTGTTTTTTTGCATGCAGAAGATGTAGAGTTTTTCCATGCTACATCACTAATGCGTCTTCAAAGCTGGATTAGAGGTGGTTGAGTAATTGCAAATCTATATGTTCAAAGTCAAGACTATATTTAATAAGGATCAAACTAAACTTAAACCTGATTCTGGCTACAAGAGGGTCACTGGTGAGACTGATAAGACGGTCAGTTTCTGTACAGTGAAAAGAGAGAAAATCCCTCGGTTTTTTAAATATCCAACAGGATATTGGCAGAATCATAGAGGTAAGAAATGTTTATAGCATAAAAAAGGTGGCAATGTCTGTGAATGCATTTTAAATGTGGGTTTTTAAGCGGGCTGTCAGCAGTGCTGTAGCTCTTTCCCGAGATTTCACCCAATAAAGCAAGTAGTAGACTTCATACAAGATATATTTTTCATAAAGATTACTGCGACATAGGTCCAAAGGTTAAACTACCACTGAAAGTCTTCTATTAACTGATATGACCCTTCAATGGCTGGGTTGTGAAGCCGTAAGTGCTCAATCTTCGCTCTAACACAGATTTATTGCCGGGCCCTGCAGCAGCCAACTCTGCTACACTGATGTCCAACCTTTTTGTCCCTTCAGGTCAATTTAATGGGTCATATTTAACACCCCGGTGATATACAAGACTGCCATTCACACTCCTCTTTTACTGGTAGGGTGACTACATATTTCATATGGAGTCTTATACATTTTTTCTTACAGTATAGCCAGTGAATGCATGTTTACAGCAGGTTGATAAATGCTTTGTCATTACTGGCCTCAGTTATAGGTCACCTGACATGCATATCCTCTCATGAGGACATTAATGTCAGACATTTAATTATAATCGGGGGGCTTACAGTCACCTTTTTCCTGAATGGGGTCCTCCGCCCCTGGAGCCTTCAAACCCCTCTAAGCTGGTTATTACCGTCAGTGATGACCTCAGAGGAATCGCTCAGTGACTCATCCTTCGATAGTGGGAAGTGTGACACATAGAGGTGGGGGAAATGAGGGAGCAGAGGATGACCAGACGAACAACCATTCATCCATTTCATCAAAAAATTTGTCAATGTCACAGCCAAAGTGCACTTCAGCTTATTCGAGCCTATTTCTTGGAAGAAATCTGAGTCACACCGACGTAACTGCATGATGTGATTCTTTTAAGATGATAGTGCAAAATTTCTGAGAGACACTTATGTTTCATAGAAATCCCGCTTTTACAAATCTTTCACAGAAATCCTTACCGATGTAGAAAATAATCTAAAAAGCAGCCAAAGCCAAGGTTTGAGGAGTTCCCTTTAAGACTTTGAACATGTTGTAGTCACACCACATGAGGTCAGCAGAGAGCACACCCACAGCTGTACAAGCCCCAAATATGTCCACATCCATCAAAGTGCTGAGCTAAATGGCAAATGAACAGTGCTGAGGGAAAACTGACTGCTCAGGTTTTTATCCCTCACCTGTCACTCACTGTCGTTAGCTGCTTGGTTGCGAACCCTAGAGACTGCATAATCAATGTGCAACCCTTTGATAATGGAACAATCCTCTTCCAAGCCTCTAAAAATGTTCTGTAAAGGGTTTGTTTCGTGGACCATTGCCTTTAAAACAATCAATACCCTTATATCACTGTCTCAGAAGAAGAAAAATAACAGTGATCACTGAGCTGAAGAGGGTTCTTGTCGCATCTTTGGTCACCTTTATGTAATCTGATATAAAAAATAGTAGCAGCAGTAGTAGTGGGTTAAGTGATAAGTATGATTTAAAAAAATAATAAATTGCTTTTTGACCTGAAGAGCCTACAAATTAAAAAGAAAAATAAATGTTTCTTTATTTTGTGTGTCTATCGTTATTGAGCTGGCTTATATCAGGATTTTGGGTGAGATAAAAGATTAAGGGGCTGGCATTTTTTTATTGGAATGTGTGAAATATTTTTTATCAACCATTAAATTGTAAATAAAGTCCTTGAATCATGGAAATTAAGCCACAATACAGCAGTGTTTACCACTTTCAGCCTACAGAAACGCCTCCTGCCCATTCACCATACACAGATATGGGGAGAGTGGGGTAAGATGAGCCATTTTTCATATTTCGGATCACTACATCAAGGCAATCATAGTTTTGTCTCTAACTTGTGTATCTGCATATATTTCAAGATGTTGTGCATCCCTGAAAACCAACAGTTGACCATACTTCTTACCTTCACAGACTCCATGAATTGATGCCCATCTTCAAAATATTTGGTCACGTGAGCAATTTCTTTTACCATTTCAAAGCAACAGAGGGTGGCTCAACTTACCCTTTGGCTCAACTTACCCCACTCTCCCCTACAGCATGGCACAGGGCTGTTCACCTCTCACAGTAGGTGGGGTGTACATTTCTTTAGAGTTTGAATGAACTCCAAACAAGTAGCAATAACGGCGTTTTATAGATATATACTGTAGCTATTGTTCTGTCTCTATGTTGCATACTTTTCCTGTCAAGAGACGGAGCCTTGTGGAAGAATCAGAGTCCAAAGAGACCCGAGACTATCCGTAACAATTTAGTTCTTCATTAGTTGTCTCATATGTGTTAATTTTAATTGCCGACTAGCTAAAATGAACTGCTCCATATCCATTCTGTCGAGCTGAGTTCTCCCAAAGCTAGCTAACTATGATTTAGTTTTGGTTAACCCAATTATCGAGCTATGTTTCTTTTCTTTTTTTTTTAAATATCTCCATACACGAGAGAATATGATAAGAGAAGAGGCTGAACGATTAAAGTGGATGGTCCACGTTGTTTAAGATGTTTTGTATTAGTTGTGGAAAATATTATCAGTCTGTTTGACAAAGAAAAGAAAACTATTTACCCTACCTCCCACGATGCATCCCAATTTGCAAAGAATTATTCAGTGTTACTTTAGTTTCCCCTCCTTTACATCCAGATTTAGATGTTTTCCCACAATTAGTGTTGTGTCGTTCGCGAACGATTCGTTTAAAGAACCGAATCTTTTAAGTGAACGTACTGAACCGAATCATTTCCTTGAG